GATCCCCTCTTCCCCTCCCCCAAAGCCCGGCCCGAGTGCTCTGCGAACATTGCTTTGCAGTCGGTGAAGCCTGATCAGGCCAACATTCACGACACAGAAAGTTGTATCCGACTTATGCTGTTTGGCTTGACCGCTGCTGTTTATGAGAGTATTCGGAACACGTAGGGCTTGGGTAGTTGGGGAAGTGTCTATTGTCTATGTACACTGTATATCTGCAAGCCCTAGGTGGAATAAACGCTCCAGCCCAAGGTTCCAGTTCATGCCCTCTAGAACGGAAACGCTTTTCCTTGAAATCACGATACTGACATACTGTACTAGGGTTTCGGTACATACCATCCATAGGTTGGCTTGAATGCCCGTAGGTATGCCTGTATGCCTGTATTAATACTGTGCTGGCTATCTTATCAACCAGCTAACCACTACCTAGTTCGACCGAATTTTGGGAGCCTTGACTCCCTGAGCTTCCACTGTACGTAGTATGGTAAGGCTGGGAGGTCCAAGGCCCTAGCATGCAACAAGACAAAAAATACAAAAGATGAAAAGACGAAAACGCAGACAAACTAAAAGAAGCCCAGGTCCTTACTCCTTGGATGCTCCGTATGTATCTACGGGTCACGTGCTATCCATGACCATGCTTCGCTGACTACAGGCTTCGCTAATTCGTTATCTCCAGGGTATAGATCTTGGGACTCTCTTCCATGCTGAGGCGCGACTCGACAGGATCATCACACGTTAGGAGCACAAGCAGCGCTGCTCCATGCCCTCAAACACTCTGAAAGCACAACTCACAGCAGTCTACCAGTTGCTGCTTCGGGATGCCATTGACTCTAGTGCAAGAGATATGCATGACAAGTCGGCGCTCAATCCTGCCGCCGAAACTGAGCAAACGGAGTTGTGCGCCTTTTGCGCACGCAGAAGTCCAGTGGAAGCGGTATTCAGAATAGGGCCTGCCTGAGATGAGTCTCTTGCTTCTAGTCGGGTTACGATCAGTTGGTTGAATAATCGCTTACGGGATGGAAACCAAGCTTCGCTGGACTGCCGGGGCTGGAAGAGTCTCCGGTCAGGTATTCCTATTCCATAGACACGCAGAAGACCAGGTCTTCTTATTGAAGGGCTGGTTTTGTATCCTCCGGATCGGACCTTATCGAATCTCTTTCCACGAGTGAGTTGTAATGAACTTATTCTTAGACTATCCTGTGTGCGTCTTCTATGTCCTTGACACAATGACAGTAGTAGTTAGTATCTATCTCTTGCCATTACCCTGCTATGGCTCCAGGCCTCCGAGTCATTGTTGGTGTCATTCACACATGCATGTATCGCCATATGTGACGATGCGAGTGGAAGGTATCATGCCGAATAGTCTAAGCCAATTTCATCTATTCATCAAGATGATAAACTGTAATCTATATTATTGAGTACTCCGTAGGATAGGTATCCATCGAGGATTCAAGCTCATCAAAATCTCGACCAGTCCGTTTTCCATCCGGATTTCTCTGTTCACACCGCTCTTTTGTGCGATTTCGCTAAACCAGGGCTGAGGATCCATGATTAGCGAGCTGATAGACAGCAAAACAATGCTCGTTACTCATGTTCATGCTCCTGCTGTGTAATATGACTCGCTTAATTCTTCGAGGCTGCCAGTTTCTTTTTGGAATGTGGGATGTTACGTATTTATGCAGGTAGTCTGTCGGACTTGTAGATGGGAGATCGCTCTCAGACTACACATCGGGCAACCATGGAATCCTGATCAGTCCGTCCGTGCTTGGTTCAAGATCTTAAGGATGATTAATGATATATCCATGGTTCATTCCCGCTGTCAACGTCTAAATGCCCAAGTGCTATAGCTCCTTCCATTGACTCTGTGAAGCGAGGGTCGAGTATCTTTCTTTCTTTCTATCTATGTATGTGTTTGGGTAGCTGGAAAAGCCTTCAAGAAAGGACGGAGTTTCGAGCCAATTAGCTTGCATAGGCTAGTTGATCGTTAGAAACCCAATAATCGAGCTGCGCGACGCCAAATGTATGTATGATGTCTGTGATCAATGATCATAGTTTGATCTTGGGAGATTATTTTGTGATTCACTAGTCTAATCGTCATTCTGCGTGCTTCTTTACACCGTCTGGTCCAACCAAACTGAACTCACAATTGGGTTACGTATGATTACATTTGAGGTCGACTACTAATTACTACTAACTATCTACTCCCTACCCGCGCAGGACACGGGACGACGGGACTCGCCAACAAGCGGTGTCGGATGCTGGGATGTACCTGCGCCTGCATGCATTCATCCAATGCATCTGTTGGGCAGCCGATTGACGATTCATGTTGAGCTGGTGACCGCCACTTTCTCTGTTCCTGAGGAATGCTGATTAAGTGATAAGAGGGCGCCTGGCTCTCCAGGGCCGGGACAAGTCATTATTACCCAAGTGCTGCTGACAATTGACTGTTGATGCAAGGTCATCTGGAGCCAGTGTGTTCCTCGCTGTATCAAGGATCAACGTCTTACGAACATGTATTTACTGACTTTGTAAGTATGGAGGTACTTCATACAGGAGATACATACGTGTCTCTTACAGTTACACGTACGAAAATAATAATCACAGACAGTTAAAACCCTTGACCCGCACTCTGATGAGTGGATGACAGAAGTACGATATGATCGAGTCTCCAGAGTCCGTACTACCGGCACCAACCAGCCGGGATCTCCTATCAAATTCAAACCCTTTCTACTCGCAAGTTCCAAACTTCGAGCTACAAACACCCAAACTTCGTAGTCTCAAATCTGTCTGCCCTACGACCCGCGCAGGCTCAGCTGATTGGATTCGGATTTCAAAGCAACCTTCTAGAAGACTAGAAGATCCCAAGAGGCCAGGTCTAGATAGTCCTGCGACGGCCTGATCACCCGGTGCTCATTTCCCAGTGTCCCAGCTGGTTGGATGAGTGGGAAAAGGGGGAGGGGCAGATTCGGAGGCGAAGGATTCAATTGCTGGGGGGGCTTTTTTATTTATTTATTTCTTTCTTTCTCTTGGAGTTTGATGATTTGATCGGGAGAATTTCTTTTTTCTGGGGCATATGCTAGGCTGCTTCTATCTCACCTTCTAGACGAGCTCTGGACTCGGATTCTTGACCGGGAATAATAGGTGAACTTGTGCTTTTTTTTGGGGGGGTATTGTACTACGGTGTGCAAACAAGGGTATCAAGGGCACTATCTAAATAACGCAAAGAAAACCTCTCTTCTTCTTATTCTGCTGACTACTGTGTATGTCGTGGGCAACTTCACCAGAACCTTATCTTTGAGAGGCATTCGAGGGGCATTTAGGAGCACCAGCTAGGATCTGTGTCCAGATGCGCAACCAATTAACTAGCCAATATGTTATTAGTCACATCAGAGTGGGCGGTAGGGCTATATCATCTCTTCTCTTCTAGCTACGATCTTAACTTGGAGTCGTATCTGAATTCAAGTACCCCCCTATTATCTAGAGCTGTTAGAAACGTAGGCTTCAAACCTGCCATGCCATCTGACCCATGGCGAGATCAAGAAGGCATCGATCAACTGTGTACTCTTTTAGCACAATGTTATACAAGATTGGTTGACTCAGGCGATAAACAATGATCCATCATAGTACAGCCCAGCCAGTCTATATCCATGATATTCGATGCATCGTACACACATTCAGTCTGTTATTGTCTTGCTGGACATCATGACAAACCCTATTGAGTACACAGAACACCTGGGCTTCTAACGCCAAGTTATAGCAGCTGTCCAGGTATTGCGTCGTGTCTCGGATGCAAATATCCCTAGATAGAGGCGCTTTTGGCAGTTGATCCAGACTGCTCATGGCCCATGGCTGTCGAGTGTTACCCTTGATACCATCCTGTAAGCTCCGTTAGAGCATAGAATCTCGCTCAATGCATCTATACCATAGAGTATATATATTTGCTTGTCCACTCCACCCGGGTCCCATATCCGTCCCCGCGACAATGAGAGCTCCTGCCAGACTTGACCCCCAGCACACCAGCATCATCGATAACGATAGAAGCATGGGTACCCCTTCGCTTCCATCTTGAGTGAGTCTGCAGCCGGGAGGAGACAAGAGGAGAAGCTATAGTTGGTGTTGTAGTTGGTCAAGGCCCTCCGCTGCGAAATGGGTGGCTAGACGGAATGGCCGGATCATGTCAAGGGTGTGTTCGCTATGCTTCTACGCTGTATGGGAATGATTTACGATCCGTTGGGGACGAGTTTGTGCTTGGCTGGCTTGCATTTCCGAATTGTTTTTTTCAAGATCGGTTGCTACTCTTCTGAGATTGAACAGCACTTGCGGGAGTGGAGATCAGACAACAAAAGTATGATGTACCGGAGACTTGGATTTCATCTAGGATATACTCGAAGCGTGAGCTAGGCGTAGACAATTCTGTCCTTTGTCGAGAATCTCGTACAAGCCTTCATGACTGCGTCTGGAGTCCTGTCTTGGTAGACTCATGGCCAGTTGCTTGTCCGCTGGTACAAAGGATGGACCTTGTATATAAATAAAATCGTGGGCACGAGTCACCCTCGGTTGTCACCACTACTACAACCCAACATCCCAACTGCAGGATGACTGATTTCCGGTACGATCCTAAGCATCTTGTAGCGAGACCCGAATATCTATGTCTAGTTGCACGATTTCTAGATGCGCATGCAATCCCTAACGTTAGATAGGAGAGAGCAGGCATTCAATTTCTTCCGTACTAACCTAGAGAAGTAGTAAGGATACACGAACCATCCCTCTCGAGCCCCTTTTATCAACGATCAATAGTGGAGTTGTTCTAATGCTCAGAATCCTTGCAGAACGCATGCTTCGTCATCCCCGACGAGCACATCGACAGAGCCCGCGACGTGCTTCTGGCAGCAGGGTTTCCGCCCTGCGAGAATGACGAGCACTGCGACTGAAAGACCCGGAATCCGGCCAACCGGTCCCCTACGTGCACTTCCAACATCCTGGAATATAAGCTACAGGACGAGATGTGGTACACACTGGCGCTGTTTGAGGAGTCTGAGCTCATGTGGGCGGCGCTGGACATCCCGCTGGGCATACCCGCCGCTGATGACCCAGACTACATGACCGTGACGGATGAGCGGCTCAAGCAGTATAAACACGGGATCAAGCTGGGCCGGATGCCCAACGCCGGAGTATCCGGTCAAGATTCCCACGCCCGCGCGCTTCACCGAGGCGCTGGTCCTCCTCTTCTTCTGTGATGTCTTCCTTGTGAACACGTTCCTGGGACTGGAGTGGCATGGTCTGACGTGGTATATGATTGCAGCTCTAGAAGATAAGAAGATATTCAGATTGGATGACCTCCATCCTCACGTGTGTTCATGGATCAAACTCCTAATTGAATATCCCCTGGGAAAGGAGGTAGGGAATGCTAGGTACCAGTTTGCAGCAGCTATGTGCAAGGCTGGCGGGGTTCCTAAGAAGAGCCCTTGGTATTCCGAGCCTCTTGATCCGCTAGAATGGCTCAGGGAAAAGCTGGTAATTGAGGTAGAGGAAAGGAAAAAGAACAAGGAAGAGGAGGAGGTAAAGAGCGTATAGGAATAGTGTGAATGAGGACATGATGATATCTTGAACTGATGAGCCGTGTGTGTTTCTTATTTTCTGAAACTGTATTATTCTGCTAGACTTTGATGAGTGCTGTGACTAGGCTGTGGTTGATAATGATAGATAGTGAATGTATAGAATCTTTTCTTATTGTTGAACAACTTCTAGATGTCATGATGTGGTGCAACCCTCTTCAGTATAGATCTAAATATTGATTTCTTCATCAGTAAGAATGCATTTTGTTTATGCCACTGTCTTATCCATATTAATTTATTCCTTTATTTACTCCAGACAGCATATTTTGGTGGTGTTCATCTCGATTGTGTGCCTGGACTCACTCTTAATCCACTATATGTTGTATCAGAAGGTAGCAGTATGTCCTAGATAATGGGACTGGTTTAATCATGACAGATAGTTCGCAGCACAGTATGACTTAATAGATGGATGCCTTCACGCCCTACCATTAAACCATATACCCCCTCTTACAGTATGGCCTCTCACACTGATATCGACACATCACAGCTGCATCTCAAAGCAGCAGCACAGGCACTTATCCACTATTTAAAAGAGATGCCTGAGCTCCAGAAGGCCCGAGTCATGATCATTGGTGGAATAGCAGTCAAGCACTGTCTACAAACAAAACAGCAAACCAGGGTGAATAGGAAGATACACTCCCCAAAGAAAATATGTATCCTATACTGACTAAGATTTGCTGTGGCCGGATGCAGCACGTCCATCTATTGAGCTTTGGCCTGGTGCCTCCAGTAGACACTTGATGGATCCGGACGGAGCTGGTCTCTCGGTCTCCCTATGCCTTCGTGGAGAGGGCGCAGCCTGTTCTTCAAGTATACCCCAGACCACTTGGTCTAGGTAGACATCATCCACGAGGACGTGATACAGTCACCTCTCTCCCACGAAAGGATGAAATAGCAGCATCGTTTGGACTAACATGCCCCGTTTCAGCCGCCGTACTTGCCTGGTGGTGCGGTCACGCTGGGAGACGCAGACGCGGACAATCCGCCGTTCCTCGCGCCCCTGGATCTCCTGGTCTACAAGATATATTGCTGTAGCATGTGGCCCCGGCGGCACCAGCAATCCAAGGATGCTAAGGACGACTTCCTGCTGGCGCATAGGTTGACGCTGCGACGAAATCAGCGTATCAGGCTGAGCGATGTTCAGGGACAGGCTGTCCACACTGGTCTCAATCTAATGGACGAGTTTGACCGATGGTCTTGTTGGGTGAAGACGAACTTGGGGAGAATGGTCGAGGTCAATTTGTAGGCTCGAGACGACTTGCGGATGAAGTAAATCTTATGCTAGAGGTGAGCAACCAATGGAATGTTCCTAGCCATGGTAGATAATAATAGCAATAGTAGCAATAGTAGTCACTCAGTCTGTTGCAAACTACCACTGCAGGTTTACTTGTGAGGATGGGGAAGTCTCTTATGAGTGACTAGCAACTCCCAGTATAAAGGTGCTATATTTTTACTTCCTAGGCCTGTTATCAGACATCGTTATATCCCCTAATCATTGATACACACACACACACACACACACACATATATATATATATATATATTTGGATAGCCGCTATTTAGGCTGCTGATCGCTGTCGATGATGCTCTCAAGTTGTTGTTTTTCCTTGATAGTCTGCTTACTTCATGTTTAGCATAAATCGCAGGCACAAGTGATACCGCCAAACGCCAGAGCCAGAGACCAGCAGGGTGAATTATATATGGTGTAACTATCCAGGGACATTTACCCGGTCAACCACTTGGAATCTCATATTCTGAACGCCTAACACCCAGTCGAGGTGCTTGAATGGATGCTTCAGCAGTTGGTCTTCGTTTCTTTCTTTTCCTAGATACATAGACCAGAGACCACGGATGTTCCGTGGGGTATCCAAATCGGCACGTCGGTCGTTCTAATTCCATGACTATATCCTCATTTGAATGTAGTTATTGGCTCTGATCATCAATGACTTGGTGGATGAATACCGGGCTGATCATGGTTGATTCGGGATCAACCGTTCGCTCCGTACCCCGTTGGTAATCCGTGTTAAATCCGCTGTCGACTCCGTGGACGATGATGGAGGTCAATATAAGAATTGTATCCGAGTCAGTCGGATTTGATCTATACGTAGTAGGCTGGAGGTATCCTGTTCTATCAGTACGCCTTTTATTCCTGAACGTCAAGGTAACCACAAGCGAGGTCGTGACGTCTTGTGACACGGAGTAACGTCCATATTCTCTTCGAAACGGTTACAATAATAATACACAGTGGACGAGTGAGGTAGCTTATGTACCTAGGTTGACAACGCGAGAGATAAGCTTAAGGTAAGGTACGAGTAAATAATACAACAGTATCTCGTATAATACCATCATACACTGCCCAACCCTGATGGGAGGGGTTGACAATACCGCTATGCTACTTCGTACAGAATTCAGTGACAAAACTGGGGGTCGAGACTCGAGACTTGAAGAGCTCTCTCTCTCTCTCTCTCTTTCTCTCTCTCTGTTTTTCAAGAGTCAAGACTCGAGTTTTTCATCAATCATCGCATCTTCGGCCAAGGGAGGGCCCGCACTTCCGTAGTCTGAATCGAGAGAGGGGCTTCCTTGGGCTCTAAATGGAGGCCCCTTGACTCTTAGAACCAAGGCTAACTCTATCATAGCGTGTCCCGACAAGCCACCAATGACCAAACTGACCAAAGACTTGGGAAACTGCCCCATTAGGGCCAACGGGGAACTGGCTGGGACCACTTCCCGAGCAACCGCAGATATAACACTCGTGCTGAATGGGGTATTGAAAACAGAGTATGTATCTAGGTATTACCTAACTGGAAGTAGATACCTAGGTACTACGTACTAGGTAATACAAATGTGTGTAGTATCATCCTCCAATCTACCCAGGTACTCCGTACATTGTACTTTAATGCTTGATACATGACTCGAAAGCTCGGGTACTCGACACCTTGGGAACCTCGTGTTTTGGTCTTGGCGCGTGGTCAGTGTTGGTGGTGCCACTAGGTAGGAGGTACCGTAGTTGTGGATATTTTACAGGACAAGGACGGGATGTCACAAACTCACAATACCGTATGAAGACGGAGTATGAGGATCCCAGGGTACATTCTTAACTTAACTTCAAGTCTGTGATAAATAATGGTCGATCCTCAAAAAGGGTTTATCAAGAATTGATAGATCAAGGAAATTTGATGTGAATCCGAAGCCTGTCTTAATCTGATACATTGAGACCTCCATCGCGTCTTAGGTTGTACCTACCTATCTGATCATAATGCAACGTCATAATACCAGACGAATACAGATAGTATATACAGAGTAATACTCCGTACATACAGAGCGGCATCCTCCACCCCACAGCAAATTGGTCCGTGAGTCCTTCTCTGTTCTCTCACCCGCTGTATTCTATTGTACTAGATAGGTAACTTTGTTACTGTAGGTGGTCTGCGCCTTTCCCCCCCCCCCCTCTCCTCTCTCTCTCTGTCTCTCTTACTCAACAGGTCTCACTACTACGGAGTACTCTCCCCTTCTCTGCCACACTTCCCATCTGTCTAGTCAAAAACTATCAATCAGCTCTCAATTGTCTCTGCTGAGCCGCTCTCCCCTAAAATCTCTCTCTCCTTTTCATTCCTTTCATCTGGGGATCCATAATTCCATATAGAAGAGATTTAAGAGAAACTCTAAAAAAAAAAGGAACAACTAAAGAGTACCATCATCCATCAGCATCCATCACCTGCACACACACTGCAATCAATCAGTCAGTCAATCAATCAATCAATCAATCAATCAATCAATCTCTGGGTTGCCTGACACCCAGTGTATATTTCACCACCTTATCACTTCTGGTCCATATTCTTCCTCTTCCTCTTCCTCTTCTTCTTATTATTATTCCTACCATTACTACTCGTGTCTTATTATTCTTATCATTATTGTTTCTCAATTCTCATATTATTATTATTATTTCTATTATCATTGGGTTTCTCGCCACCAAATAATTCGAACCTTGATCCTGCCACCAACCGACTGACCATCAGTGCCACCATTTGCAACCCACCAACGTCCATCTCCCCGTTTACCGCCCCTCTCAGGTTCCCCCCTACTACTACTACTACTACTACTACTACTTACCTACCACCAATCTCCCCCCAAAAAGTCCTCCTACCACCACCCTCTCTCCGAACTTCTTGTTGTCGGTTACCTGCTTGTCTTATCTAGTCATGAACAACACCTCCGTCTGAGCTCGTCCAGCATCAATCGCCAGGGACGCAGCCATCCGATGGCCATATCCCCATTCCTTACCTACTAGTAGATCTGTCTGTCAATTGCCGGTGGTACTCGATGTACGAAACCCGGGTGGCAGAGTCGTTGCTTGTCGACACCAGATCTGCGCTGGCGACCAAAACCCACACTTTTGCGACCACCTTTGAATTCACCGAAGAACAGGGGTCTACCCCCCCAACGACTGTCGCCCGCAGTCGCAGCCGCGGCAACAGTATCTCTGTTCAGCAACGAGGCGCAGCAGTTGGCCAGGCGTCGCCCATGAAGACCAACGGAGATGGGCGCTATACGCCCAGCCCCGAGCCGGCGCCGGCGCTGTTTGTGCGGGCCATGTACGACTACGATGCGGACGATCACACGAGCCTCAGTTTCCGCCGAGGTGACATCATCCAGGTTCTCAACCAGCTCGAGACGGGATGGTGGGATGGTGTGATTAACAACAGCATTCGAGGCTGGTTCCCTAGTAACTATTGTGCCATTATTACCGATCCCAGCGAGTTGGAGGAACAAGTGGCGCATGTTCGCGACGAAGGAGAGACCAGTGCGGACTCCGGACCCGGCGAAGACGATTATGAGGAGGAGCACGAGAACGACCACGAACATGAGCATGATGAAGACGAGGTGGACTCGGCCGGCAACCCACGCGACTCGGCACCGATTCTCCCTATCGAGGGCGTAGTACCGCCCAAGGAACAGGAAGAGGCCGCCTTCTGGATCCCGCAAGCGACGCCTGACGGTCGGTTATTTTACTTTAACACTCTCACGGGATATAGCACCATGGAGTTGCCTTTCGAAAACCCATCCGTGAATGAGTCGGGCCCTTTTGACCGAAATAATTTCTTCGTGCCAGACCAGACCCGGCCACCCCCGGAATTGATGGCTCGTGGCTTCGAGCGGGATGAGGACGATTATGATGGTTCGGCGTCCGAGGCTGAGGGAGAGTCGCTTATGCTAGCCTCGCATGATTCCATGTCCCACCGCCGTCGCTCCTTGATCGACGGTGTATCCCCCGCAACTTCAATGGATTCACTACACCCGCCTTCGACCACGAAATCCATCCCTGAAGGGAAGATCTCACATCAATCGAGCCGGGATCTGCAGAGGATAACTACCGCTGGCAGTAACACCTCCGCATCCATTCACTTCCATCGGCCTTCTATCTCCTCGCAGGCCCCCTCCCGATTTGTTGATGATGGGCTCACAGCTCCTGTCACCTGGCCTATGCTTGTTGACAACATGCGTCACGCTGTAGAGAGCTATCGCCAAACACTGCTGAAAGGTGATCGCTCCGAGTATGTAAGGAAGGCAGAAGACATCTCGGACCATCTTCGCATGCTTCTGGCCGCTGGGTCAGATACCACCGACAACCACTCTGGAAATCCATCGATTATCTCGACGAACAAGCCTTTGTATCCTCACTTTAGAGATATGATGTCGAAATTTTCCAAGTTGGTTCTGTCGTCACACATTGCCGCGGCGGATTGGCCGGGACCGGATTCCGTCAACAAGTGTCTGCAGGAGGCGGACGGCGTCATGCAAGGAGTCTACGGCTATGTGGAGGTAGCGAGACAACAGCGGGGCGAATCCATTCGCCGCATTGTTCCGGGATTCGTCGTGGGAAGCTCCGCAGGAGGCGGGTGGCAGAATAATGGTGTCACTCTGGACGAGTCGGGCCCGACATCGTTTCTGGATCAGGATGGTGCAGAATCTCGCGTCGAACCCTCGGTGCCTTTGGATGCGGCACTTCTAGACCACATCGACATTCTTAGAAGGTCTTTTGTCGGTAATATTCGGCGACTGGAGGAGCGGCTTACATTGAACCAGAAGAAGATTGTCACCTATGCTGGACTGCACGAAATCAGTGATCCTGTTGCTGCTGCGGCGCTCAAGGTCGTCGAACAGTTCCGTCCGTGGATTTCGGCGGTTGAATCGATCAATCTGGCGCCACTCGGCACCAGCTTCCAAAACCCCCAGCTGGTCGACTTCAGCCTACAGAAGCAGAGAACTTACGATGCCATCGCGGACTTTGTCATCAGTTGCCAGGCTGTTTCGGCGCCGCTGGGCGATGAGTGGGCTGAACTCCGTGGCGATTCTCTCGAAGATCGTTTGAACGCTGTGCGGGCTATTGCCAGACAGCTCGAAAACTCTGTCTCTCAGATTGGGTTCTCTCTTTCGCTGCTCCTCGAACAGATCCCGGATCCCGCTTCGACCTTCCGGAGTGAAAGTCGTCTGGGTGCCGACGAGTCCTTCAAGGGTATGCATAGTCGTGGAGATTCTCAGGCCCGAATCGCAACGGAGACTATAGGGATACCGTCTTCATATTCGATTGAGCCCTCGTCAGGAAAGGTCCGACGCAATATGGAAAAGGCCCAGAGATTCTTTGGACAGGCGCCCCCGGCAGCCATTACTCGCGAACCCATTCGTGAGCCGGTCCGAGAGCCGGAGGAAGCTCCCTGGTTTTTGAAGATGGACCACGAAGGCGAAGTATTCTACGATACCAAGGCCGATACACCCGCTTTGAAGTGCGGAACATTGGCGGGCTTGGTAGAGCATTTGACTCGCCACGACAAATTGGATGCTTCATTCAACAACACTTTCCTCCTTACATATCGTTCTTTCACGACCGCATCAGAACTGTTTGAGATGCTAGCGGAGCGATTCAACATTCAGCCTCCATTCGGACTCAATCAGGATGAAATGCAGATGTGGATCGATAGAAAACAGAAGCCTATCCGATTCCGTGTCGTGAATATCCTGAAAAGTTGGTTTGAACATTTCTGGATGGAGCCAAACGACGAGGCACACATGAATCTTCTGGCGCGTGTTCATGCCTTTACCAACGATTCTATTGCGACGACGAAGACACCAGGTTCGCCTCAATTGATGGCAGTCATTGATCAGCGTCTGCGCGGTCAAGATACCACCGTCAAACGTCTCGTTCCCACGCAGGCTACTGCCGCACCCACTCCCATCGTCCCCAAGAACATGAAGAAATTGAAGTTCCTGGACATTGACCCTACGGAATTCGCCAGGCAGCTTACTATCATCGAATCGCGCCTCTACTCTAAGATCAGACCCATTGAGTGTCTGAACAAGACTTGGCAGAAGAAGGTTGGCCCAGACGAACCGGAACCTGCTACCAATGTGAAGGCTTTGATTCTTCATTCGAATCAGTTGACAAATTGGGTGGCAGAGATGATTCTTACTCAGACGGATGTCAAGAAGCGAGTTGTCGTGATTAAACACTTTGTAAACGTAGCTGACGTATGTTTTTCTCTGCTTGCTTGCTCTTCATTCGCTTGGATGCATTGAAATGCCTTTGCTGATCATTCATACAGAAATGTCGCACTCTCAACAACTATTCCACTTTGACTTCTATCATCTCCGCTCTTGGGACCGCGCCAATCCACCGGCTTGGTCGAACCTGGGGTCAAGTCAGTGCCCGTACGTCCACGATCTTGGAGCAAATGCGCAGACTTATGGCCAGCACAAAGAATTTTGGCGAATATCGCGAAACCTTACATCTGGCGAACCCGCCGTGCATTCCCTTCTTTGGTAAGGACTTCTCAAGACTTAATTCTCTATTCGTCACCCACTGTTCGTAGGACCGTTAACTAACCCTCACCAGGTGTCTACCTCACGGATCTAACGTTTATTGAAGACGGTATCCCGTCTCTAACGCCTTCGGAACTCATCAATTTCAACAAACGTGCGAAGACCGCGGAGGTCATCCGGGATATCCAACAATACCAGAACGTCCCTTATCTCCTTCAGCCAGTTCCGGAACTACAAGACTACATCCTCAGTAATCTCCAAGCAGCAGGCGACGTGCATGACATGTACGATCGGAGCCTGGAGGTGGAACCAAGAGAGCGGGAGGACGAAAAGATAGCGAGGTATGCAACAGCCAGTAGAGACTTAAGAAGTCATAGTACTTTGGCCATCGCGAGCATGGTAATGTCGTCGCGATGATCAGGTCGACTTGTCTTTCTTTTTTTCTGTCTCCTTTTCTTCTTTATTTGCACCCAGGCGTTGGACTTCCTTGATGATACCCGCAATGGACATTTCGGAGACATTTTTTCTGTCAATTTTCCCTTTTGTTTTTTTCCCCCCATCTCAAATTCTTTTACCTTTTTTTTTTGGGGACTGATTGAAGACTAACCTGGGTTTTCTTTTTAAACCGTAGACTGCTGTCAGAGTCAGGCTTTCTATAAATCGGCTGCTCGCATCGCTTCTCCGTGACTCGTTCCCTTATTGGGCGTCCGTGTCAGCGATCGCATATTACTTCGCGCGCCGTCTTTGGCGCCACGCTCCTCCAACAAACCGAGGAATGCGCCATGGCGATCCAAGCGTCATCGTTCGGTAGCGACACCTTGCATTATCTAGCCTAAACTCCCGGATATTTACGGAGTACAGGCTGCCCTGCCAGGTTTCGCTCCCACTCTGTTTGACCTCGTCAGTGTTGTCACTCATGGGACCGTTCTCGAAACGACAAATGCCGGACAGTGTACCCCACAGCCTGCTGTCTCCCGGCTTTACCTGGAGAGGGACAGTTGGATTCATGTTCATCCAATTTAGCCATGATCATGCAGGTTTGATGCAGCCATTCCCTCTCGCCGTCTCGATCATCCATGATACCACGCGATGTGGCTGGCTGTCGCGCAGAGCTTGAATCCCGATTGACTCTAGTTCTGGTGTCTGTGGGACTTGTTGCTCCGTCGGTGGATCGCCCAGGCCCCTCTTATAGTGCGAAATGTGCGAGGGGAGCACAGGAGCTTGTCGGCTTCTCCGGACGGCCATAGTCCTGCTGACCCTCATCATTGGCCCAGTCTTATCAGTGTTGATTGGAGATCCGACGGAATGCCGCGCGTCTGTCTGACTCTAGTGGTTCTGGCTAGTACTGGTCTCAGTTTATCCCTGAACGAGAAACGCCTCAACAGGGCCCTATACATACATTCATACCTACCAACGATAACGACATGATTCTCTCTCTTATACCTCTCTTTCTTTCTCTAATCCTGTCTCTCTTTCACACACACACACACACTATCAAAAAACCTTTATATCCCCATCTTCCCATACTCCATACACTACCACAAGCGGCCGGCTCATCCCACAACATGACCCTACATTGACCTCGATCCCTTCACTCCTGGACATGGTACTCCTTTCATGTGCAAATGTTGCCCAACATAACCCACTTTTGTACAATGGCCTCGGACAAATTTCTCTTTGTATAAATTCTCCTACTTGATCTTTTCTTTATCATATCGATTCTCACGGTCGTCGGGTTTTGACGCGGTCGACTAATGATATCTCATGACATAGGTGGCCCTGTCGGTGTTCGGCTTGGGCCTGGCAGATAATGATCAATTCTATTGTATCTATTGGACCCCCCCCTTGTGTGGGAGCTTCGGATTATTGAGTTCTTCGCTTTGTAGAGGAGTAGCAGTAGCAGTAGAAATGAGAGCTTGTATGCAGCTTTTAATAGATGCTGTCTTTAGATGCTTTCTTTTCGTTTTGCTGGCATTGAGGGAAGTACTTCATTCCTATGTCATTACTTACGATGTGGTGACCAGACCCATCTCGCTTCAAAAGAAGCGTGTTCATTTTTTCCTATGTCGCCGAAAGAACACCTTAGCCTCATCGGCTTGAAGATCATGATGCCTCTGTTCTAGTCTCCTCGCCGATCCCCTGGAAGAGCTTCATCTTGACTTCTGCTGCGACGAGGCCCTTGACCTCCTCGGAGACGATCCGCTGCCCATCGCGTACTACCTTCTCCAACTGCTGGTCTTTGGTTGCGGTCACTCCGCCCCGGGAACCGCTGCTTTCAATCGCCCGGGCGGCCCGCCGGACTTTCTGACTGAGATCCATCATCTGCTTGCTACCGTAGTCGCGGGTTGTGAACAGCGGGCTTTGGCTGAGCGTGGCCACCCAGTACTTGTTCCAGAGGAGCGAGAGCAGCTCGCTGTCGAGGTTGCTCTTGAAGAACGACACGTCGAGCGAGTAGTACTGGTGCGCGTACGCGCCAAAGTCCTCGGCCTTGCTGAGAGGGATGGTCTGGTAGTCATCGTCCTCGTGGCCCTCCTTGGGCGGCGTGTAGTCCTTGGGGAACGTGCGGAACGCGCCGATGTCGACCTTGCCCGCGGAGATGGTGCGCTCCGGGTCGATGACGACAGCAACGAACGGCCCGCCGAGCTGCTGCATGTCCTGCGTCGTGACATCGATCCCGGACAGCCAGCACCCATACCCGGGATGGCTGTGGTACCACCCGACCGCGTTCTCCATGCGGCCCGCGTCCCGGCACGCCTGCAGGTACGACACCATGTATTCGTTCGCTTCGTCCTGCGCGTTAACCCGCGTCTCCGTGCCTTCGACCGGCAGCCGGAATGCGTCCGTCACCACGAACGTCTCCGGCAGAATATACCCCTGCATCAGCCCCATTACCTCCAGCGAGCCCCCGGAGCGCGCATGCATGGTCATCTTCAGCAGCGCCACGGCGGAGATCCGTATCGACTTGAAGTAGTGGGGGTCTTTGGCCCATGGCCGCGCGGCGCTCAATGCCTTGTGTGTGGCTTCATCGTATCTGTAGAGTGCATCCCGTTGGGGATCAATGAGACTGATGGCGTTTTCGAGCTCTGATGGTGTCGGATTGTAGCCGTGGTTAGTAGCTAGCTCTTCTTACAGCATTTATCATGTGGGGTTGTAAGTACGAACCCCAGGACTGCTGTGCAGCCTGCATTTTGAATAAGGTCGTGGCGTACCGCTGTGTTAGACAAGAAGGAAAACAAAGAAGGATTGAAATAATAGAAATCAAGACAAATCTAATCAGTCAAAGAGATTGTGTTGTTGCCTTCATGATTATCAGACTATGCAATCAGCACTGATACCAGTTGGGGAATACGTCGATGAGTGCGGGGAGGCGGTGAGCTAAAAGCCACGGCAGAACAGGGCGGTGGCGCGCTGAGTCAGCGGTTGCCTGAGCGACAAGGCGCCATCAACAGCCGCAGCGAATCTGGATTGCGGCTGTATCTCAGCTGCAATCAAAGGGAACAGCGTCAATATTATTGTTCGCTTTCATCCTGCTCCCCTCCGCTGCCCCATCCTCTCTTTGCTTTTCCCACTGGTCTTCTGGATCCTTCGCCCTTGCATACATCTGCACTGGGTAATCTATTGCCTACATAAATCCTGCGGGTCTCCCCCCCCCTCCCACCCCCCTTATTTCTCGCAGATGACATTCGACTTGTGTTGATTGCAGATTCGCGTGTCGGGCTATCTGCTTGTCTTGGATCTGCTCCCACCCCCGCAGGTGACGATTCGCTGTCGCAGCCATCACAGGTAGAGGGCGCACCGTCGCCGGTGGTTGTCAAAGTGCAGACTTCGCAGGTGGAGTCTCTCCTTGATTCGCATATCGAACTAGGAACGCTCCTTTTCGCATCCCCATAGCTGGGGCTCTATACACAGCCTATGGCGGTCGACACCAGCTACTTGACCACTCAGGTCAACAACATTGTCTCTCAGCTACATGGAATCTTTGATGATATTGGGGTTCCGAGCCATGAGCGAGAGACGCGAGAGGCAGAGGTATGGCGTCTCATTCTTGCCCCGGTTGTCTTGGTGGGTTGATGCTGATTGAATCGGATGCAAAGCTCTTTAGTGCTCTGTCTGAGACCCTGAACAATCACCTCAAGATTGTTGATGAGTAAGTTCCATGCGCGATGGATGACGGAAGGTACATTTAAGCGCCCTTGCTGACTTGTCTACCCAGTGAGAGGACCAACATGACGGAGGAAGGACAACGACTTGTTACTGCTATTCGACAGATGGAAGAGTCTCTGGTAGACGAGAAGGCGAACGGGAAGTATCACTTGGACCAAAATGATTTGCGCGTCACATACCCCCTCAACCGCTGTCTGTCTTTTCTCCGCGACAAGCATGGCGCAATGAAAAAGCTGCACCAAGAACGATTTGAACAGGTCAAGAGTAAGTATATCTGCGCCATGTAAGCCCCTTGGTCCCAAATAGAAGATATCCTAACCTGCATTAGAACTTGTCGAGGCTCTCGAGTCATATTCTTCCCACCTGGAATCCACGTTCGTGTCTATCGAGCTTCCCCCAACAGCCCCTGGATCGTCTATCGCACCGAGCTTTGATCTTTCCCCGTCATATGTTGCCGCATTGGATAACGAATTCACGAGGGTCTACGAAGAGTATCACCGACGTGTTGATTTTGTCAAATCTACATGCGAAGAGATCATAAAACTCTGGGCCGAGCTGGGTACGCCCCAGGTACAGACCGATGCCGCAATTGTCAAGTACTACCGCGAATCTCCCGAACAGCTGGGTCTTCACGAATCTGACCTGGCCAACCTGATGACGAAGCGCGAAAAGCTGTTGGAAGAAAAGAAAACACGTGAGCGCAAGCTGAAGGAGCTACGGGCGGCGGTGGAATCCCTGTGGGAGCGCTTTGGCGTTGAAGATGGTGATAGGAAAGCCTTCCTCGCAGCCAATCGCGGATGTGGACTGCGAACAATCAACGAATTCGAGGAGGAACTGGGACGTCTCAACGAACTTAAACGACAGAACTTGCACCTTTTCGTGGAAGACGCGCGCTGTCGACTTCAGGAACTCTGGGATGGTCTCTATTTTTCGGAAGAGGAAATGCTTGACTTCACACCTGCCTTTTCCGATGTCTACAGCGATGCTCTTCTTGAAGCCCATGAAGCGGAAATTGCGCGATTAGAGGCCCTGACGGAGCAACGTGCCCCCACACTGCAGCTGATCGCGAGGCACAAGAGCCTGCTCTCTGAGCGTGAGGCTCTGGCTATCTCGAGTCAGGACGCTTCGCGTCTCATGGCGCGCGGCAACAAAGGAGAGAGACGTGACCCCGGTAAACTTTTGAGAGAGGAGAAGATGAGGAAGAGGATTGCCAAAGAGTTGCCAAAGGTTGAGGCAGACCTAAGAAAAGAACTTGAGAGGTGGGAGGAAGAATTTGGAAGGCCATTCCTTGTTCAAGGTGAAAGATACCTTGATGAGCTTACCCCCGTCACTGCCAAACCTCCACCACGCTCTAAGACACCATCCGTCCCGCCTTCTGTAAGCGCGAAAGCAAGCTTTGGAAAGTCGCAGCCACCGTCGCGTCCAGCAAGCGTTATGAGGGGGCCCCCGCCTCCTCGCTCGGCCACCAAGACGCCGACTGGAAATTTTCCGACGAAGTACAACACCATTGGCCCCAGTAGAGCAGGTGCCAGATCGCCTTCTAAGATCCCTGCTCGTGTTCCTTTGAGTAACATGCCTTACGGGAACAACTCGAATGATCGTCGGGCAGCTCCCGGCTCTTACTCGACCAGCACGATCAGCGGCAAGATCCCATCATCGCGCCCTCCACCGCCCAGGATGCGTGCATTGACTGTTGAGTCAAAAGAGGCGAGAGGGAGCTATTTGATGGACCCCCCACGCAGTGCTAGTGCATTATCTAACGCATTTGTGCGGCCGGTCAGTCCTGAAGACGTCTATGATGATCGCAACCAGCGCTCATTTATGAGCTCTTCCATATTTTCTCAGCGATCCACTGGGTTCTCTCAATCCTCTCAATCCTCGGCCTCTTCGATATCTTTGAACTCATCTCTTCAGAGTTTCCCGCGACCAAATCCTTACATGCAACATGCGCCTCCTCCTCCTCCTCCGGCACCTAGGCAGGTGTCAAACTCCTCCACCGTGGACACCGCGATTACGGGATCAGAGAATTGGGAAACTTTCGACGATGGGTCGGATTCAGAAGTTGATGCCAGTGACGTCTATTACGCCAAGCTTCGTGCTGCCCACAATAAGCGGTTCGCCCCTGAGGAAAACTCGTCCCTAGCGGGCAAGAAGGCCAAGGGGATCAGAAGCGTCAGCCCAGATGAGCCCATGGACAACCAACATGGGCAGATGGTCAGAGTGGCGGGTAGTGACGCAGGCTGGACAGATGATATGGAGCCCTACTAGAAGCTTCTCAGGCCTAGTGACTAGAGGATCGTGTTCGTTCCTTTTGTTCTCTCGCTCACGGCATCCACCCACTGTTCAATCAAAGACGTGATGATGAAACTGATCGATACTGACGATTCCATGATTATCTTAATTGTGGCTAATACATCCAACTCTATCGCTCGCTCCTGGCGCAGGGCAACGTCAAGCTTGCTTGAAGTTCACAACAGCATCAACGCCTCGCTCGGCCAGCTTCTTTACTTTCTGTGTCAAAAATTCCGGATTATACCACGTTTGTTATTTTACTCTTGTTTTAATTCCCAGACTCTTGGGAGTCATTCCCCTGGGTTATTCCCCTTTCTTGCCAACCCTGCCATGCATTCACCACAGCGAGTGACATTGAATCAGAGGCCCCCCTTTTCCCAGTCACAATGTCTTAAAAAAAGACATCATGGCATCTTTCGTGTACTATGCTTTCTTTGCGTCCAACTAATCGGTCCTGATCCCCCATTTATACCATGGAAGGCTCTTGGGTGGCGCCTGTTTTTATGTCTTGCTTCTTTCTGGCTTCCAAATTCCCTGGTCATCTCCGATCACACTCTGGTTCCTTGCTGTTCGGTCTTGGTTTGGGTTCTCCTGCGTTTCCTTTGGTATCTTGTCGGCATTGTACAAGTCGCATAGCATGTTATTTCCCATGGTTTATGATATCAGTGTAGCGCATTTTGATTGATATGCTTTCTAATGAGATATTTTGTTCATTCTTTTTTCAAATCCACTCTTACACTCGTAGCACCCTGGTTATCAAGGTAGATCACCTCTCAATCTCAATAGAATAGAGAAAATGACATATAGAGGAGATGGCACAGTTGCCGACTAATATACAAATACAAGCGTGTTTGGCTCAACGAGCCTCCCATGGGCGTATATTCTCTAAGACCGCGGAGCCAGAGAACCCATCCACTCCGTTCCCTGACCCTCTTGCATCTGAGACGACTTCGGAACCCTGGCAGGTGCCGCCGCGGCCAACTCCGCCGTGAGCTGTTTCGCCTCGTCGAGCCGCCGGAGCGTCTCCGGCCGGCCCAGGATCGTCATCGTCTCGGGGATGCCCGGGCCCGGGGCGCCGGCTGACAGCGCCCAGCGCAGATAGTGGTACAGTTCCTTCTTGAAGGCCTTGTCTGCGGCGATGCGGGCCTTTTCGGGGTCGGCGGGGGTCTCTGGTGCGGCCGGGGTGGCGGACGAGCCGTCGTATGCGGCGATGTTGGCGCGGTGTGTTTCGATGGTCCAGTGTGGTTCTGGGACGAGGGTGAGCGCCGCAGCGGCGGTGTGCAGGGCTGTGATGGGGATGGGGGTGGAGGGGCCCGAGGATGAGGTGGCGGCTGGGGTGTAGGGGGGTCTGGTGAGGGTGGTTGTGAAGAAGGTGGAGTTGCGGTGGATGAATTCGGGGGCATTGGTATATGACTTGGCGTCTGCTTTGAGGAGGAGGGAGATGTATTCCGACAAGGCGCGGAAGTCGAGGATGGTTGTTCTGGTGGAAGTTGCTTAGTTTCTGTTTGGGTTAATGGGGGGTATGGGATCAATATGCGCACAGTTGGTCAGCTGCGTATGTTTCTTTGACGACCTCGGACGCTTTGGAGACCATCTCGGCGAAGACGGGGCCGCCTGTAGCGGCGAAGCGCTGGGCATGTGCCTTTTGCAGGAACCAGAGCTTTTCAAAGGCGACGACGGTGTTGCCGCGGGTGATCTTGAGGTTGAACTAGGTGTTCGTTAGTACCGGCGACTGGCGCGAAGGGTGTGGCAAGAAGATGTTTCTGCGTCAGCGTACCAATTGCTCTAACTCTTCAAGACTGAAGAGGTCTGATTTTTGGGTGTGCGACCAGCCAAGAAGTGCGGCGAAGTTGATTAGGCTCGCTGCAAATATGCCTTGCTTATCCTTGAAGAAACTGAGGTCGATATCTGCGTTCCGCTTGCTGAGCTTCTGACCAGACTTGTCTACAAGCAGAGGGACGTGGCCAAATCGTGGGGGCGTCCAGTTGAACGCTTTGTAGAGGGCGACATGCATCGGTGTTGATGGCATCCATTCCTGTACAGATCAGCATGAACGCTTGATTTACCTGGGATCGTCGTCGGTACTAACCGTGCCCCGGATAACATGAGTGATCTTCATGCAGTGGTCGTCCACCACATTTGCAAGATGATACGTCGGGTGCCCGTCTGATTTGATCATGATTGGGTCGTCGAAGACCCGGTCGATGAGATCCAGCTTGCTACTTGGGCGGTTCTGGCCGGTCTTGCCATAGACGAGATCATTGAACATGGGATACCCTTCCATCCTCAACCGCACCACATGCGCTTCTCCGTTCGCTGCTCTTTCCTCGGATTCCTCGGGGGAGACGTCTGCGCATTTTCTGTCGTATCCGGGAGCGAGGCCGGCTTGGCTGCGGTGTCTAGCAAGGGAGTCGAGACGTTCTGCGGAACAGAAGCATCTGTATGCGTGGCCGTTGTTGATTAATTCGTTGGCATGTTTGCGGTAAATGGCTGTTCGCTCGGACTGCGTGTTCACCATCTGAGCCTGAGATCCCAATATAGATCAATCATGATCATTGCAGAGTTCCTCACCTGTCTATATGGACCATAAGGACCTCCAACGATGGGACCTGCAGGAGAAAGACCCGCGTTAGCAACGCCGTTCTCATTCCACTACCACAGTGCGAAGCGCCCGACCTTCATCCCATTGCAATCCAGCCCATTGTAGATCTTCATACAGCCGCTGCTCTGCCCCGGGAATCGTTCGTTTCTAAAGAGCATTCGTCAATTCACATCTCGACTATATCCACATGCTCGCTCCGAAGCCGAACCTGGTCTGTATCCTCAATCCGCAGCAGGAATTGGCCCCCCGTTCGTTTAGCGAGAAGGTAGTTAAACAATGCCGTCCGCAATGAGCCAAGATGAAGATATCCTGTCGGTGACGGCGCAAATCGGGTTCTGGCAGGCGCATCCGGGAGATTCGTCTTGGACTTGGTGGCAGCGCGGACTGGCGCGGTGGAGGAGTAGTTGGCCGCTCGACAGCGCGTGCAAATCCAGGAGCGACGGGCAAGAAGGCCCAGGTGAGGGCGTCTCATAGTGCGCAAGAAGATCAGAGACGGCCGTTGCGACAAAAAGAAACCTGCAACGACGTGGGAGGTTGGACCTATTCAGAGAACCGTGATTCGGCCGCAACACAGGGACAATCGGTCAATCGGAGGATCTGCAGATAATCAAATAATAAATAATTCAATAAAAATAATCATGGCGGGAAGAGAGAAAAAAAAAAAAAAGCGGCTAAAATTTCTGGGGTTCCGCATCAAAGCGCCGTCGAAAACACTTTCCCACGCTCTTCCTGTCAACACCTTTAGCTATTGGCAGATTTCCCTTATTCTGTTTTCTATTCCCTTCTTTTAGATCGTTCGTATCACTCGTGCTCTGCGTGAGAACCGCCTACTCAGGGTTTCAGTGAGCATTTACAGGCGGGGAACTGAACTTTTGCCCGTGTTCGAATATAGCCGTACGCTTACCGATCACTTCACGCTGTCTTCGTTGGAAACAATCACTCACATTTCATCAGATGTCCTCGGTGGAGATTGACCTCTACGGTATGTCGTCTGATATACATCGCGGTATGAACATGAACGGTCCCCTAACCCGCATTTCCCGACAGAGGTCCTAGAGATCACCAGCAGCGCAAGCAAAGACGATATTCGGAAGGCTTATCGCAAGGTAGACCAATATACCCACACTCGTCGGAGATGGACAGCCGAGAGTCTGATACTCGAATGACCCTAGGCCGCTCTTGCTAGTCACCCCGATAAGGTCCCCGAGGCCGAACGAGAAGCCGCGGAGATCCGGTTCAAGGCCGTGCAGGAAGCCTACGATATCCTTTACGATGAAGAAAAAAGACACTTGTACGATACCCATGGCATGTCTGCGTTTAATGGCTCCGGCGAGCCCGGAATGGCTGGAGGCCCCGATCTGGACGATATCCTAGCGCAGATGTTCGGAATGGGTGGTGGGATAGGTGGAATCGGGGGGATGGGCGGCATGCCTGGAGGCCGGCCCCCTAAGCCACGGAAGAGTCCCGATGAGAACACCAAGTACGAAGTGCGTCTGGAGGATCTCTACAAGGGCAAGACGGTCAAGTTCGCCAGCACGAAGAATATCATCTGTGGTCAATGCCAGGGTAAGGGCGGTAAGGAACGGGCGACCGCGAAAAAGTGTTCGACGTGCGATGGACAAGGTATGAGCTGGGGAGTGCTTTGGATGCATGGAATGTCACATTGATGATGGTCTACAGGTTTCAAGCAAATCTTGACGCGGATGGGCCAGTTTCTGACCCCATCAACGGTCACTTGCTCAACATGCAATGGTCAGGGAGAGTTCTTCAGCCCCAAGGACAAGTGCAAGAAGTGCAAGGGAAACAAAACCGTGGAGGCGAAGAAGATGCTGGAGATCTACATCCCTCGCGGCGCAAAGTGAGTTATAGATGTTTGATTTACAGACTAAGAGAAGCCCCTCTTTGCTGATTCCATTTTCAGGGAAGAAGATAAGATCGTGCTCGAAGGTGAGGCGGATCAGGTACCGGGCCAGGAGCCCGGCGATATCGTCTTCCATATCGAAGAAGAGGAACACCCCGTTTTTCGCAGAGCTGGTCCCGATTTGACCGCCACCATCGACGTCACATTGGCCGAAGCCCTCACAGGCTTCTCGCGCGTGGTTCTCAAACACCTTGACGGCCGAGGCATCGAGATCACCCACCCCAAGACCCCCGGAGAGGTTCTTACCCCTGGTCAGGTCCTGAAGGTTGCCGGAGAGGGCATGCCACACAAGCGCGGCGATTCGCGCGGTGACCTGTACCTCATCATCAATATCAAGTTCCCTGATGAGAAATGGAAACCTAGCCCGGCAGTTCTGGAAAGACTCCGAGAAATGCTGCCCAAGCCGGATCCTCTGATCCAGACCGACACAGTCGATGACGTTGAGTATGATCCTCAGGGTAACCTTGACGACTTTGGAGCTGGTGATCCTCGTGGTGGCGCCGGGTGGGAAGATGATGAGAATGATGAGCCAGCTCAGTGTGCGACTCAATAGGGGAACAACTGTCTTTTCTTCTCCACTCACAGTTCTTTGCTTTTCGAGTCTCTGGTAGATAGATATCCTCGGTCCATTTCGAGTTGAGTCAACCCTTCTCTGGCATCGCGGGCGTTATTGGGATTTTATTATGGTATGATTTCTCTCATTTGGCCTGTTTCACAACGACGGCTTGGTTCACCTTGCAATTGAGCCTTGACTTGCCTTTTTTTTTTTTCTATACCTCTTTCAGACGAGAAAAGTGCTTCTTATATTAGACCTGGCCCAATATATGGGCAATCCATAGACCTGGAATCGAATCGTTTGAAGCAGGCTTTCACGTAATCCACAGTGCTATGGCTGCTTGCTGGGTCGCGTAGGCCGTCGAGCGTGGGGTTGGGATGATGACTCCAACTCCCGGCATTGACTGACGGTGGAGCTTGCAGGTTGCGACAAATATTGGAGGCGTAGAAGTGGATTAGTCCTTGCGGAGATGACGGGGATGCTGATGTTTCCTGAACTAGGGTCGAATTGTTCAGTGTGGAATTGAGGCAGAGAAGTCAGAGGAGGAGGGGGGAAAGTAGGAATGCAGTCAAGTCACAGTCACCTGAGCTGCAACCATCCCCAAGTTGCTTTTTCGTTCTTTTCTTCTTTCTTTTCTCACTCGCTCCGGAAATCTCTGGGAGAGGTATAAAAGACCGCATAGTCACTCCATCATTCCTTCACCATGATCATTATTATTCGGTCATCTCTGCCAAAACTTCTGCCATTGCGACCCCCATGCCCCCCGTTTTCTGATAGCGTGGGGTAATGTACCAACCATATCGGACTTCTGGGCAACATTGACAGATCCATCAGAGTCATAGTGGCTATTTAGGAACTGATTTCCATTTGGAACGACCCAAAAATCCACTCTGCTAGGCCGAGCCGGGTACCATTCAAATCTTGATGACCTGGTCCGAGGTTGGGGAATCTTGGGTTCGGTGCTTCTGCCGTTTAAATTGGCGCCCATTCTTCCCCCCGCCTGGAGTTCGGTTGAAGCAATTGAAGTTGAACGTTTGCAGTATACACCGGGGATACTGTGATTGGATTCCTTGGTCGGAGTATTTCCGTGCTGTTGGTATTTCTTCAAATTAAGGTTTCCCTGTCGTTTTCATCCATATTAGTATCGCGGGGACCCTGGGGTCTGCTTCAGCTGAACCCCTGAAATTGAGGACGGCCTTTCTTAATAATAGCGGAATCACAGTCATACGTCTTTCTTCGCCATGTCGTGCAATACTCGAACTTCGTGTGATGGGTGTTCTTGCGATACCGGCGCTAGCCGCGCACCGGTGAACATCGAAGATTGCGAAGCCGAATTGCTTGCGCTTCGGAAGCGCACCCTCGAGTTGGAGAAGAAGTTGGCATCGGTGACAATTGCTGCCTCTGAAACGCCTAGGGCCAGGCGCAAGTTGCGGTCCGCGAATTGGTTCAACTGCGAGAGTAACCCGGGCATGATGGCACTATACATTGAGCGGTACCTGAACTACGGCATGACGAAGGAGGAGCTGAGGTCCGGCAAGCCGATCATTGGAATTGCGCAGTCCGGCTCGGATCTGTCGCCGTGCAATCGTCACCACCTCGAGCTCGTCAAGCGGGTTCGTGAAGGCATCAGCGCAGCGGGCGGTATCGCTTTTGAATTCCCCACACATCCTATTCAGGAGAGCTCGAGGCGCCCAACTGCTTGTATCGACCGGAACTTGTCATACTTGAGCTTGGTCGAGGTCCTTCATGGGTATTTCCTGGATGGTGTTGTCCTCCTCACCGGCTGTGACAAAACCACTCCAGCAGCCCTGATGGCAGCAGCCACCGTTGTGAGTGCCGTTCTGCACGATTCGTTGCGATTTGTATATCTCCTAACATTCTTTGCAGAATATCCCGGCAATCTGTCTCAATGTTGGGCCCATGCTTAATGGCTATCTTAAGAATGAATTGGCAGGTTCTGGCATGGTCGTCTGGAAAGGAAGAGAGAAATTCGCCGCAGGGGAGATCAATCAAGAGGAATTTATTGACTACGTTTCAAGAGGGTACGTGCCAGTGTCACCTGAATAACGTTATTGTATCTGACTCTTTTTGATTTCCCAGTGCACCCTCTGTAGGACACTGCAACACAATGGGCACTGCATCGACCATGAATGCACTAGCAGAAGCTCTGGGAATGGCGTTACCGGAATCAGCTGCCATCCCAGCACCGTATCGGGAACGGGGGCAATGTGCCTACGAAACGGGCAGGCAAATCGTTGAGATGGTACATGCTGATCGTAAGCCCAGCGACATCATGACCCGGGAGGCATTTGAGAATGCAATTGTCGTCAACACGGCGATTGGTGGCAGCACCAACGCCCCGATTCACATCGGCGCCATTGCCAAGCATATCGGAGTAGAACTTTCCCTCGACGACTGGGATCGACTTGGTTTTAATATTCCCCTTTTAGTCAACATGCAGCCCGCGGGAGAGTTATTGGGTGAAGAATATTACCGGGCGGGTGGTCTGCCAGCTGTCATGGCAGAATTGCTCGACGCCGGCAAATTGAACGCTGACGTCTTGACATGTAACGGGCGCACCGTGGCAGACAATGTTCGAGGCAAGCATACCTGGGACCGTCGCATGATCCGAGCCTATGACGAGCCGCTCATGAAAGATGCCGGCTTCTTGCACCTTCAAGGCAGTCTGTTCAAATCCGCCATCATGAAAACATGTGTGATTTCCGATGAGTTCCGACAGAAATTCCTTGAGAATCCTGACGACCCAAATGCATTTGAAAGTGCGGTAGTGGTCTTCGATGGACCCGAGGACTATAATCATCGACTCGATGATCCCAACACACCAATTGATGATAAGAGCATTCTCGTAATGCGTGGTACGGGTCCTTTGGGCTACCCCGGCGCAGCCGAGGTGGTCAATATGCACCCACCTGGACGTCTCTTACGACAGGGAGTCCACTCGCTTCCATGTATCGGCGACGGTCGCCAGTCGGGCACATCTGGCTCACCATCCATTCTCAACGCCAGTCCCGAGGCAGCAGCCGGTGGAAATCTGGCGCTCCTTCGCGATGGCGACAGACTCCGTGTCGATCTCAACAAGCGGCGTGTCGACATCCTTGTTTCCGAGGAGGAACTTAAGAGACGAAGAGACGAGCTCGAGAAGGAGGGGGGTTATGCTGTACCCGCGAGTCAGACTCCCTGGCAAGAGCTATTTAGGAAGGAGACTACGCAACTCAGTGAGGGCATGGTCCTTCGAGAGGCCGTCAAGTATCAGCGACTGGCTCAGAAGTATGAGGAACCCAGGCACAATCACTAAGAGCTCATTGGATGAGGGATACCCCTCTAAGGAGTTCTGACATTAACAGAATCTTTGTGATGTTTCATGTTAAGGAAGGTTTTCATTTGCATACCATAACACCAGTCCAGTGCAAGGAATAATAGTAGGGTCAAGCTCAGTTGGATAGATTCTATTTTAGTAGAAACTCAGGAGAGAAAACAATTGCAGACAGGATAATAATTGACTGTGTGACTAAAAGTCATGTGTTGCGTCTCTTAGTGGTTTCCTCCTGCTTCACATCGACTTCCTTGATTTCTCGTCGGGTCACCACATATCGATCTTCTTCCATCATGCATCATCTACCAGCATAAACAATGAAAGATAGCTCCTATCATCCAATATGATTTATCCAGGGGTCAACGCTTTCTTCTTATCACAGTGACGCTATTTCTCAGCTGCATCCCGGTTGGACAAGATGTAGTCGTTCCAGTCCCAATTGAGCGACGGAAACTGTACAGAGTATATTCAGGCATCTCTATCAGAAGATTGGCAAGTGGATAATGCAATCCTCTTTGATTCGAGCTCAGCGGATGCCCAGCCCTCTGCCAAGCTGGGCGTGCAGGGTATGACTGTTTCTTTCTTCAACAACATTTGGATCAACATGATTGACCTCGGGAAGTCGACTAGCAGGATATCACCGGGCTAGATGATTTTGTGGTGCTGGAATCATTGCGAGAATTCCCGATATTCCCTGACCAGCCAAATTAGATTGTCACGAGTACTGGCGTCGGACTAGACGGGATACGGATATTGCCGTTGGCATGGACTTTGCGGGAACATTCTCAAGATCAGATCACAAATGTCGACGACAGATTCCACAATTACGGAAAGGAAGGGCAGAAAGTGCATCTCCCGAAGAACTAGTGAAGGCCAGGGAACAGGATGACAATTGTTAGGATGAAGACGGTGAGATTTTACGTCTCCGACACTCAGTGCGGACCACCGTCCTCCTAGGACCCAGGGACAGCATAACAGGCCAAGGGAATATGAGAAATCAGGATTACTACTTGACTCATCAAGGACTAAAGAGTCAAATACCTGACATGATGCTGAGAAAGGCAAATGATACAGTGTCAGTGCTGAGCTGAATCCTTGAATACCAGCGATATAAAAAAATATCCGCCGGACAGTGGACCAGTGGGGCGCGGCTTTCCCGTGGCGCAAGAGTTTCCCCTTTGCATCTCCGCCAGCTCGATAATGGGCGCTGGTTTTGTTGGACGGAAAGCCTGGAAGCCTGGAAAAATTGGGCCTGGAGCTTTGACTACCACAGATTGCAAGCCCACAGGGCCACAAGAGCCACAACGCTACTGCCGTGGGTCTAGTCCACCCTCCTCGAAATTTTTTTCTAGCCCCCGGCCGTCGTGGGCTGACTTCAGACCGCCTCTAAGTGCGACGCCCATGCCTTCACTATCTCCCTTTTAAAGATGGACACGCTGCTTTTCTTTTCCTCCTCTGTCTTATTACCCGTATTATCATCATCATCGATCATTCGTGCTTTCTTGCATTATGTCTTTGCTCCTTATCATCCAGTCAGAGTTGATCTTTCAGCCATGCAGCCTTGATGGGCTGTAACACAGGGTGATTGCACTTCATTGATTCCTGCACTATCTTGCATCCGGGCCTTTGATCAGCCTCCCACCTACTATCTACTTCCCAATTTGAAAGAGTCCTAAGGGGTTAGGTCAGGCTTGTGATTGTGACAGCTCCCCAGACCTTTTGTACTACGACTGCTAGGTCTAGGCCGATCGACATCAAACTTCGAACACACCGCATCATCACGCGGCGCGTTCCCTTGCTTCTGTTCTGCTCTTGCAGAAGCAGGTCTGCTTAGAATTGTTGTCGTCTCGAAGTTGAAAGCCCGAGGCTCTTAAGGGGCTATCGGGAGCATCAAATACCGGTGGTCGCGTACCTAACCACGACTCTTCTTCTCAACCTCTTCAAGACTTTCTCACTCCATAACACGCCGCGATGGACATTGACTTATGATTACGCCTTTTCCCTTAAATCCTTCAGCAAAAAAAGTTCTTCTGCATTGAGTGCATTTTCTACCTGATTCTCCTCCTTCCTCCTTTATACCTCAACTCTCCTCATTCTCGAATCCTTTCGATCAATATCCATACAACATGGCGCCAAATCTCTTTATCTGTCTTCGCGCTGTCTTCTGCCCGACATACTGGTTTCAACGGGGCGAGCGTATCCAAGGTTCCATCCACAAAGAGGAACACTGGGAATCCCCCGTTCCGGGTATCTACAAATACATACCGGCTCACGGATGGCATCTCGTCCACAAAGATGGCAGCGAACACGAGGAAAAGGCCCCCGTTCCACTTGTTTACTGCCGCATTCTCCACCGCTTCATATTTGAGCACGAGATGGAAGATAGATGCCGCTGGCGTTCGGTCATTTTGCACGAAGGTGCGGAGCCGGAGAAGCTGCTCTTCTTCCTCCTTGACGACGGCGATACCTGGGTTGCCGGATGGGATGCCAAAGGAAAATTTATTCCCGGACCTTATCAAAAATGGAATTACGACCCTGACACGAAAACTATGCAGCGAGTACTGTCTCCCGAGAGCCCCGATGTCTCTCGGTGCAGCAGCATCGTTCCTAGCAAGTGGGATTAGTTCTACATCAGATCGTCTCGATCAGGCAGCGATTGCGCCCTCACAACATCACTCCTCGCCTCTTCTACTGTGGCCGGTACCACTCCTCTCCCACCTCTCACCTCTACAAACCCGACCATTGACGACATCTGTTTTCTGCTCTTGAATTCGTTACGAAACCGCGTTTGAGCGATGGCTGTTTTATTCTTCTCGTTTGTTTTATCGCCATCGCACTTGAACTTGCCAGTGCATTAATTAATGGGATGGAGTTGCATCTCGGCAATGGTTCGACTTAAGCGATGGCGTTCTGGTTCTGGGTTCCAAAGAAGGGATAGACTTTGTCTTTATGCTCCTGTTGCTATGTCCATGATGACCTAAAAAGTGTTTCTCCTTGATCACTATCAGAGGAGTTGGTTTCATTTATTTTTTTTTCCTCTGAAAGTTCGACTGGAGGCTTACTACATGTCGAGCATTCAATGGAGCAATGGTGAACGATGACTCGTTCAAATCGTGGAAATTGAGTCTATATCTTAGAAATTATTCTCAGGGATATTGTAGTGCAAACGCAAATACAATCTCGCAACAAATCAGGTAAAAACTGATCGTCAGTCGTGGTTTATAGGCTGCATGCTCCTGCAGTATGTATATGTCCGTGGAGCACCAACGCATCTAGCCAGCCGGTAATCCTTAGTTCATAGTTCCTCACTGCCTATAGGCGAATTACCACCCGATCAATCACAGCTTCGAACCCAGTTCCTCCCTGACAATCAGCTTCTCCAGCCCCCGTCTCACCCTCTCCTCCATCCCCGCCTTTGTCGGCCGCATCGTCTCCCTCGCACAAAACACGTGCGTATACCCCCCAACCACCTTCACATCCTCCTCGCCCTGCTTGAACACCCCAACTTCATAGGTGACGCTGGACGAGCCCAGCTTCGCGACCCGCAGCCCCAGGTCCAGGACATCCGGGTACGAGACGGACGAGAAGTAGTCGCAGTACGAGTTGACCATGATCCCGACCTGCTTCGAGGCGTTGCTGTTCTGCTTGCCAAAGGGGTCCATGCCGCATTCGGCGATCAGCCAGCTGTTCACGATGGAGTCAAAGAGCATGGCGTAGACGGTATTGTTGAGGTGGGCGTACATGTCGTTGTCGAACCTAGGCCCGAGGTTAGTCGGGGTGGGCGTGAAAAAAGAATCATTGGAGGGGGAAGTCGGTTTACCATCGTGTTCGGTATTCCTGGTGGAAGATGTAGTCGCTGCGCGTGCGGCGCTTCTTGGCTGCGAGGTCTGCTCTGGAGGACATCTTGTTGATCGGGAAGTGAGGTGGTGGGGGGGGGGATCTGGGGATTGTGAAGTGTTTATATATTATATTATATTTCAGATTGTCGCTGCACGGATGGAGCTGTTACCGCTCGGAATTAGGATAACGCATCTACACCGGATCGATGGTTTGTGCCCGTGAGAAGTAGAGTAGCCTCGTTCTCTATGGTATGGATCATGAGTCTATAGACTTGCTAGTTATAATAGAATGCTGCTGTTCACCTCATTGTCTTGTCGAGTGTCGAAGAGGAGAACCTCAGGCATCCAGACGGACCGAGGTTCAACCACAAAGCAGTCTGATTGGATGGAAGAAAACTTATGCTACATTGCTGAGTCAGAGAGATAAGTTGTGCAATCTGTGCCTCAGGCGGGGAATTGAGATTCAACGACGAGACGATTCACGACTGATGCCGAATAAGATTGTATGATTTCTGCTCGGTTATCAGATTTAGAGTAACTGTGTATTGTTTTTCCTATCTGATTCTATCCGTAGTGTGTCTATCCAACTGTTGCGAGTGTCGGGAGTTTTTCGCCCTCAAAATCTTCCCCGCAACACGGATTTTATTTTATTTTATTTTTTTTTTCCCCCTGCGGCGTTATCTTTTCGCCTTCGTCAGGCACAGGAACAACCACCAGTATCTTGTTGATCTTTTGTTCGGCAGTACTACTACTGGTATCAAGTCAAGTCCTCCTGGCGTATTCTCCTCGCATTTTCTCCTATCTGCTGCGGCAAGGCAGGATTCCTGCTTCCAGCATGGCTGTCGTGCCCGTCGACACGACTCTCAAAGTCCCCCCACCAGACCCCGTTGAGGAGCCTCCCAAAGTCGCAGTGACCCCTTGCGATCCGTGGCCGATCCCATATTACTTTGAGGGTGGCTTGCGCCGAGTCAAGCCGTACTTCTATACCTACAATACCTATTGCAAGGAGCGATGGCGGGGTCGAGAACTGCAGGATATCTTCGTCTCTGAGTTTAGAGACCGGCCGGCCGAGTACTATGTGCGTTGTCTCTGTACCTTGGATCGGGAGGGCTCAAGGAATGTTTGCTAACGCGTTGTTCGTTTCGCGTTCTAGGTACAAGCTCTCACGGACGGCAGGGTCACCGTCAACGGCAAAACCGCGGCGCCCAACACGGTCATCAAGAACGGCGAAATCATCTCGCATACTCTCCACCGTCACGAACCTCCGGTCACCGGACATGAGATTGGAGTCATCCACGAGGACAATGACATCCTAGTCATCGACAAGCCGGCGGGAGTGCCCGTGCACGCCGCTGGTCGGTATCACTACAACTCCATCGTCGAGATCCTGCGCTCGCAGCGCGGCCAGGAGTTCGTCCCACGGCCCTGCAACCGCCTCGACCGTCTGACTTCGGGGGTGATGTTCATCGCAAAGCACCCTCAGGGCGCAGACATGATCACCAGGAAACTGAAGCAGCGCACCGTGCAGAAGGAGTACATTGCGCGCGTCAAGGGCCGATTCCCCGACGGCGTCGTCGTGTGTGACCAGCCGATCATGTCCGTCAGCCCCAAGCTGGGACTGAATCGCGTGCGCGCCACAGGCAAGGACGCAAAGACCAAGTTCCGCCGCTTGGCGTACTACCCGGCTGCGTCGCCGGCGCCCGAGACGGACGAGGTCACGGCGAGCGGCGAGCGGCCCGCGACGCCGCCCCCGCTGCTGGCCAACGAAGACGAAGGCTACAGCATCGTGCACTGTCTCCCGCTGACGGGCCGCACGCACCAGATCCGCGTCCACCTGCAGTTCCTGGGCCACCCGATCACCAACGACCCGATCTACTCGAACCGGCGCGTGTTCGGGCCCGACCTCGGCAAGAACGAGGACACGTCCGAGCGCGACGACGAGATCATCGACCGGCTCTCGAAGATGGGCAAGACCGAGGTCGCCGACACCACCGCCAGCACCAGCACCGGCACCTACCGCACGCACCTGACGACCGTGCCCCCCGTGCCGCCGGGCACGCACCCGTCCGTCGTCGAGGAGATCATGTCGCGCGAGCACGAGGCCGCCGTGCACGACTACCACAAGCGCAAGGGCGAGCGGCTCTCCGGGCTAGTTTGCGACGTCTGCGGCACGGAGTTGTACACCGACCCGGGCGTCCATGAACTGGGCATCTTCCTGCATGCCGTCGCCTACTCCGACCTCGAGGGCCAGTGGAAGTACCGCAGCAAGATGCCCACGTGGGCCATGCCGCCCAAGGGCCTGGACGGGCCCCGCGAGGCCCCGGACTGGGTGTTCGGCCCCGAGGAAGAGGAGGTGGTTATCGGCCACGCGCCGCTGCCGGAGGGCATGGTGATGGCGGACGGCGAGGACAACCGCGTCCTGGTGCGCGGAGTCGGGCTGGTTGATATCTCTGCGGCGCGCCAGCAGGAGTACCATGAGGGTGCGGGGGAGACGGCACAGGAGGAGGCGACAGTCACAGCATTATAGTAGATTGTTTGCGTTACGTTTAGACAGCATGTGCTTTTTTTTTTTTTTTTTTTTTCCTTTCTTCTCTTGATACATCATCTCTTTACGGCTTCACGATGCAATTTGACGATGTTACATATAACTCCTCGTCCCCTGGAATCTAGTTTCCAAACTGCACCTAAGCATCATACCCATCCAGCGAGAATACTGGGGCCGAACATAGGAAGGGATAGATCTCCATCAACCCCAGATCTTATAATATACGCCTACAAATCCCTCCACCCTACGGAGAGTACTAGATTACGACCGTAGCCCAGCAACGAACCACGACTTCATCAGTCAACAAGACCAGAAGGCAACGGAATCCCAGTCCCCAGACCAAACCATCCTTAGCACCCAAAACCCACACGCGAGAGACCATAGAAGCATGCACATAATCTTTGAAATTCGTTATCGCCACGAGGATTTCACGACCATACATGGAACCGACAATCGACACCCTTTTCCCGCACACCCCCGCCAGAGAGACCAAACGAAGCACCGAGAGAGAGAGAGAGAGAGAGAAGAAAAAAAAAGATGGGAAAAAAGAGGACGTCCAACCATCCGGCCCCACCTCCTTCTTGGTATATTTGTTTTTGAGAAAGGGGGTGTTTTTTTTTGTCCGGAACGGGTAAGAGAGGTATGTGTATGGGGGTGATTTTTTTTCTTTCTTTTCTTTCTTTCTATTGTTGGTGTGCCATTTACGCCTCAACGGTGACACGGCCCTTGGGGTTGGTGACCTTGACGCCGAGGGCCTTGGCCTTGGCGAGGATGTCGACGCGCTTGCGCGAGGAGACAGCGGAGGCGATCCTAGATTCGGTGTGTTAGTGGGATTGGGATATTGGAATGGCTGGTGGTAAACAAAGCGGGGGTGATTTGTCTGCTTTTTTTTTGTTTTTTTGCCGGGGGTGGCCAGGAACGTACTCAGCGGCGTAGGTGCGGTTGTGCATGAGCAGGAGCTCGACGTCCTTGGGGTTGTGGACAAGGAAGGCCTTGTGGCCGGAGGGCATCATGTGCTTGGTCTTCTTGTTGCTACCATAGCCGATCTAAAATCCACCGAAAGGAAAGGGAAATCAGCAAATCGGATTCTCGAATGTTTCACACGAATACCGCCAGACTTCAGCAATCATCGATGGGATGTTGATTCTTGTCATGCGGCGCTCTGAGTGATTGGGTCGGAACGTACGGAGGGCATGGGGATGTTGCTCTTGAAGCGTCTGCGGACACGGTTGTCGATACCCTTGGGCTTGCGCCATGACTCCGGCACGCACTTGAAGCGGTCGGACTGGTGGCGGAAGAAACGCTTGGTGCCTATTCACGGGCAAAAAGAAGAAAAATGTCAGCCCCTTCCCATCCAGATGCATTTCGGTCGGTAGACTAAATGGAAAGCGCGAGTATGTGTCGGTTTCGTCGCCGAGAGTTCATATCTTCAACCAAGCCATTCGATTCCATTTCAGAAATAAAAACCAAAGAAGCCCAAAGCGCTCCGTATCCAATATTCCCCTTCTCTTCCAAAGGATCGAACTTCTCGCGGACGGATTTGCTTTTGAGGGGGCAGAAGAAACAGGCTGGCAAGAGGGAGGCAGGAAACATACGCTTCTTCACGATGGGGACGTGCTTCTTTGCGAGGACCATCTTGACACAATGTCAGTATTCCAGACTCGAATCTCTCAAGACGAAAAATGTCTGTTTTTGGCACAGGAAAAGCATACCTTGTCGGTTGTCGTTGGGTCTCCTCGAGAGTTGTCGTGACGGTTCGAATTCGATCGCAAAAATTCGCGCTGAGGTTTGGCCGCCCGAGCGAGTCTGAGTGCAGCGGGGACGCTAGTGGATCGCTAAGCGAGAACGGGCGGTTTAGGGCTTCAGCGGAAAACCCTGCGCCAAGATTTATGCTTACGGCGTAGACGAAGAACATCATCATCATCGACAACTGGTCAAGTTTATAATGTAGATAGTCCCATTATTAGGGGTTATCCTATTCCTGTACTAGTCCGTATACTACTACTGATTTATTAAACCTGAAGGCTCAAGGCCTCTCTCTCCCCATCCTTCTCACTGCTGACCAGGATCTTCTCCAAGATTTCCAGATCCGCCAACGCCTCTTCCGGACTCTGTCGCTTCGCAACCGCATCGCCCTTGGCAATCGTTGCCCCAAAGTCGGCAACTTCACTGCTCACGCCTCTTCCGTCAAAGGCGATCTCGTTCGTTTCGCCCTTGACCGTCAGATCGTCAGAGATCAGATTCACCACGCCCCCGTCACAGTTGAATTTGAACGACGACTCCTCGGACTCCGATCCGAACGAGATCGACAGCACCCCCGTAGCCCCGGATTTGGTCTTTAGCACTGCATCTACCGTGTCCAGCGGGGGCAGATACTGCTGTTGGAGACACGACTGCGCAGACAGCGTAGTGATGGGGTCCTGCGCCCCGAGAATCAGCCGTAAGCCAGCAATCATATGGACACCGCCATCAAGGATGAATCCGCCCTGGTACTCTGGGGTTTGACGCCATGCCGTTTCTGCGCGGATGTGTTAGTTAGCCCGTCGTTTTTTTTTTTTTGTTTTTTCCTCATGCATTCAAGCCCAGCTGGGCACGGTCACTTACTGTAGTACTTCGAGTCCTTCTCGACCAGATAGTGGCAGTGGACGCGGAAGTTCTTCACCCGGCCCAGCTTCTGCACTTCCTCTGCCGCGCGGATGAACTTGGTCATGTACCGGAAGTTCTCTGCAACAGCCCACAGCGTCTTGCGGGTGTCGACGTTGGCATGGTACCACTGCAGCAGGTCCCGCGCCGTGGCGATGTCCTTGGCGATGGGCTTCTCGGAGAGCACATGCTTCCCTGCTGCCAGGGCCTTGCGGATGAACTCCGGCTGCACGAGGATAGGGAGGCTGCGAGACAGCGTTAGCGTTAGGCTTGAGGTAGGGGGTGTAGTCGACTGCAGACGCACGCTATGACGACCGCCGCGATGTCCTGGCGGGCAAGTAAATCCGCGTAACCCTTTCCTGGACCCGAGTCCTCGGAGTACAGCTCCACGTCCGGGGTCCCGCTGGCCAGCTCCTGGGCGGATTTGAGAGAGCGCGAGTAGACTGCTCTCAGCTGGAAGTCCTTTGCGGCTTGGACTGCGGGCTAAGTGGCAAGAGTCTTGTCAGAGGGAGTCGAGTCAACGGGTTTGCAAGGTCCATAATTAGAACGTACCAGATGCTCTTCGCGGGCAAAGATGCCTGTGATGCAATCGTTAGCTGAGAGAGCCGCGTGGGAGCTTGACGACAGACAAGTATAGATGGTGGGTCATAGGGGAGGTCATACCGCTTCCAATAATAGCCACGCCAACAGACATGATGAGAGATACGATGAATCGACACGGACGAGGATCAGCGTTAAACAAACCGGTAGAGAATGTATCAACACTATTGCAAGTGTAGAGCAGCACGATGATCTAGATATAGCTCTGGTCCAGCCGTGAGCTTAGAAATCCGGTTGTCTGGTACCAATTAAACGCGGCGTCCCCGACTCCAAACTGGTTTCAGCGGGGTTGAGTCCGAGTGGAAAACTGGACACGACACCCGGTGAAGAGTAAGTATGATAGAAGCTAGATGGATGGCAATGAGGAGCACAAGATTGACTCTCTATCCAGGGAATTAACTCTTCACGGCCAAGAACTTGTTACTACCAACTTCCCTGAAACCTAGAATTAATATTGACCATTATCCAGAACGCCCATGACTGTCGTATAAGAGTGCACATCGTAAACCTCGTAGGCTCCATGACCCAGCATCAAGAACTCATCCAAGAAAACCCTCGCCCAAAAAAAAGAAAAAAAAAAGAAAAAAGAAAAAGCATGAACCTTCGCCAAATCCAATAAACAAACGGGGGTATATAAAAAGAAAAGCCAAAAAAAAAAACAAGAAAAGAAAGAAAGAAAAGGAGAGGGAGAGATCACTACCGAGAACACACACAGCTGTCTTCAAAGATGCTTTGGAAGTGTCGGTCGAAGATAGCCAAACGGCTACCCAACCAGCGCTCGCAGTCGTTCCACCCTCTCCATCGCCTTCTCTAATCGTTCGAGCCGCTTCCTCTTCTCCACGTCCCGGTGTTCGAGGACAGCCACTCGCTCCTCCAGCTTCGCCCGCGCCTTGCGCTCCTGCGCAACCATCTCATTCGCCTGGCTGAACAGCTGCGCCGTCAGCTCCTCCAGCTCCGTGCTCGCCTGCGACAGCTGGCTCTCCGCCGCCCGGCGCAGATTCTGTTCTCGCTGAAGCGCATTCTGGAGCTCGGTGGTCGTTTCGTCGGGGATAGTAGGGTTCGACGGGACCGGCTGGGCTGCAGTCTGCGTCGAAGACGCGGTGCTAGGTCGGCGATAGGGGAGGAGCGACGTCAAAGTCGAGAGTCGGCCTTGCTGCGGTGGTTGCTGCGGCGGAGACCGCGACTGCGTGGGTGACAGAGACTGGTCTGTCTCGTGGGACGGGGCGGTCGATGTCGACGACGCCGAGGCGTTCCGGGGTGTATGTGTGTGGATTTGTGATCGCAGACGGCGGGCTTCATTTTCGTACTCGGCTAGTTTGACGGCTGTGTGGGTTTTGCAGATTTCGCAATTAGTTTTTTGAAGTTTCCCCACGCGAAGTTTGTATAGTTACTGAGTGTAACGGCGGCCCGGAATTGCTTTTCGTACCGGTCTGTGTAGCGTGAGCGTTTAGGAGCTCAACCTGGCCTTCCAGCTCCTTGATCCTCCTCCGGGCTTTCTCCGCGATCTGATCCTGCGACAGGAACCCCTCGTGGCCGCATGTTGGGCAGCTCTTGCCGGCGAGGATGGGCATAGCGCTGGTGATGGTAGGGAGCATTCCGACGAGGGTCGTGGCTGTGAGAGCGGTGGTTGTAGTCGTCGACATTATAGCATACGACATATAGATTCAACAAGGTGAGGAGAGGAAGCGACTAGGCCAAGAGCGGTTGGAACTGAAATGAAGAAGATAAAGAAGAAGAAGAATCTGGGGTCGCGGAAATGAAAGGGTGGAGGCTCAGCGTTGTCGCAGGTACGTATGGTCGGCATTAAATAGAGGAACAAAGTGGATAGACGATGGAGAATGAGAATGGCAGGAAAATGAGATCGCAAAGGTGGACCAACTATCCAGATAGAGAGAGGTAAGGAGAGACGAGATGGACGATGGGCCACCGAACTCACAATCCGTGAGTACGGAGAGGTTTAGCGGGATTCTATTAATATATGCTGCTGGATGCCTCCTTTTTCATCTACGGTGGAGAGAAGAGGAGGTGCTGACACTCTCTCATAGAGATAGACTAGATAGATATCTACCTAAATCTCTTTGGATCTCTCTCTAGACTCCAGAGCCCATTCACTCTCTATGAAACCTTCAACCACCTGGACCATAGTGGTTTGTTGAACGGTGATTTGACCACGCCCCAGAATCCCCGTTAGAGATAGTTGATACTTGGTAGTATTAACATGCTACACGTGTAGATCGTGGATCACTTTTAGTCTCCGCCTCAGTGGGTTCTAGTAGTGTGTTTGACTGGTCATTTAGCTGAGACAGTGAAGTTCCTCTGATTCTAAACTATCATCTACTAGTTAACTAGATAGATATCTATGATATCTATCTATAGTTCTATACGGTACTGGAGTTTTGGGTAGTTCTATCGCTTATGTCTCTCATCATCCGTCCTGCTCTGATATCCCTGGACCAGCCTTCAAAGCATCTACTCCCTTGTAAGCAATACCTTTATATCTTCCGGGAAACACCAGCCTCGACCGTTCCTCGGGCTTCCTCACTTCACCCCTGTAAAGCCATTGTGTTTCAACGATGGACAGGGGGGAGTTATATGCAAGATGATAAGATCGGAATGGTTCGTCAGCACCGTCTGATCTGGAAGCCTCTCTGGCGCCCTTGCTAGCGATTCACCTTATACGAGTAAAACACCAGCCATGAAATGATGAACTGACCATCAAAGTTCGGTCTAGGTCCTAAACTTTCTTCCTCTTCCTGCTTTACTAGAGATCGCTGAAGAATACGGCTGCTACGCCCAATCCCAAATTTCAACCCCCCTCTGCCTCGTACTTCTCAAAGAACATTTTCTGAGTCATAATCTGATTCGCATGGCTGTCTCATCAACTAGGAAGGGACATGGCTCCGTTACATGAACAAGGATATGAAGAAGAGGACTCCACACTCCAGAAACCCCCATCCCCTTGAAACAAGAGAGATGTTGCGAAGGGGGAATCGACGGCTTGCGAGAAGACCAATTCTTCCGGCGGGAAAAAATTGGCAAGGAAGAAATACAAACATCTTGAGAGATCACAGAAAACCCCTTTCCTCCAGACAGGCCGTGATGGGAGTCATAAGTGCACAACACTAAATCCACACAACATGGGAATAGCTAGCTCAGAGGAGAAACACGATGAATCAAGGAAAATTGAGTAAACACGGGAGAGAAACAGGAAAAGCAAACTTTTTCGACGTGCCCGATAAACGGTAGCAATGACCAGACGTGCATCAGGAATCTAGCCCGACGAAAGGGGAAAAAAAGGGTTCAGGAACCTAAGAGAAAGTGGAGAGGAGTAGAGAGACGATGTGGGAGTCCGGAAAAGAAGTTGGAGAAACGAGGAAAAAAGGCCGGGCTGGCCCTCGACATAACCAAGAAGCAAATGCCATGAGCGGAGAAAAAGAAATGCGGCTTCAGATGCGTAGCACCCGAAAACGACAAAAGAAAGGGCAGTGGAGGAACCCCCCCCCCTAAAACTCTTCATCGCACTTCCCTCTGGGTATAGCGTAACATTCTGCTGAAGGATGACATAAATCGGGGTATCGGGAAATCTATGCGAATGGGCGGCCAGACTGTCCACGGCGGTTGTTGCGTTGCCGCGAGCTCACCGTGCTCCAGCCCTCTTCGTCCACAGTAGGCTCGGCAGGCTTTGCAGGGGCGCTGCGCCAGTTGCCGTTAGCCTTGCTAGCAGGAGCCTGCTTCGATGTTTCCTCGCCAGCTGCAGGAGCAGCGGCCTCTTCTGCCTGGGCTGCTTCGCCGTTCTCGTCCTCACCGGCCCGCCGGAGGATTTCGAAGTTCTTTCCACCCTGAGGCATCTCCGCGCTATCCTTGTCGTTGGAGTCGGCGGCGGGCGCAGACTTTTCCGTCTTGACCTGCTCCTTGGTCTGACGTTGCTTGTCGGCCTTCTCCACCTTGGCCTTCTCATCCGCTTCCTTCTTCTGGCGGATCGCTAATTGGCGACGCTCCTCAACTTGTCTCTCCCTCGCAGCGGTGTCGATTGGGCGTGCGCCACCGAACGGGCTAGCCTTCGTGTCGGCGGTGGCAGCGGGGCTCGACGGGGTCTCAGTGACGGTCCGCTTCTGCAGGTTCAGCTTTGGGCGAGAGGCGGGCGCGGCAGGGGCGGCAGGGGCGGCGGCAGCAGCAAGAGTGGCAGGAGCAGCTGCGGGAGAAGGAGGGTTGCTGGGTTCCTTAGCAGGGGGCTGATCGGGTCGCATTCTGGCTCTCCACGAGTTGTCGAGCTCGGCAGCAGTGGGCGCACGTTCCTGGAATTCCCGGCGCGGGGGTCTCGAGCCATCCTGGGAGCGTCCCTCGCCCCAAGCAGGCGAGCTCTTTCTGAAACCGGGGCCTTCGTTGCTGCGAGGACGACCTTCTCTGACGGGTCCGGGGCCGCTCACGGGAGAAAGAGGGCCCTTGCGCTCCCAGTTGCCAAAATCACGCGGCTTTCCATCCGATTCGAAGTTGCGGCGTCCACCAGCACGTTCGCTACCCGCATCGGAAACGTTGTCGAGATTGCGGCCGAAGCTTGAGCGATCCGGCACACGACGGGGGGGCGCATCAGGTACGGACAGAGGACCCTTGCGTGTCCAGTCGAGCTCCTTGACATCACGTTCCTTGGCTGCAAGACGGACTGTCAGTTTGTGCAAGAAAGGATCTTGGCTGTGCGTATAGATTTTTTACTCACGAGGCTCAGCGATACTGACGCGGATTGCTCTTCCCTGGAGCGTGGTGCCCGAGAGGTCGAGAGCCTTCTTCAAGCCGTCGACAGTCTCGAATTCAACATAGCCGAAGCCCTTTGGGCTTCTCGTCAACTTATCCTCGACAATACGAACGTTCGTCACACTGCAGTCGGCGAACAAATCGGAGATATCGGCCGAAGTCGCCTCAAACGAGAGGTTTCCGACATGGGCGGTGTAGGGAGGCTGGGTGGGAAGAGGAAGAGGCTCTCTGACCGCATATCCGCCACGTTCGCGATCTGGTTGACTTGGGTGTTAGGATATGATCTCGTGATGCGGGAGATATCTATCTGATAAGCGAAGTAAACGTACCACCACCAAAGCTGCTGCCGCCAAATCCAGCAGAAGAAGAACCACCACCGAAGCGACGGTCACCGCCGAACGCAGACTGGGAAGGGGGAGCTGTTGCAATATTAGAGAGAGATTCCTCTTTGATGGACTGGTACTGGAATATATCCGGGGGCGACTAAGGACGCATCGCACATACCAGCTATCGACGTTGTTAAATTAGCAAAATGGTCATTTACGTGGATAAGTTCTTGAGTAATTTCTTGTAAACTTACCAGGCAAAGGCATATCCTCCATCTCATCAGCCCAGGAGCCAAAGTCTGTTTTCGCTTAGCACCGACCATCCCCGCGGGGGGGGGACAAATTTGTGTGGGAACCTACTCTCATCAGCCAAGAAGGTGCTGATGGACATCTTCTGGGCTTTCGGCTTTGCGGGCGCTACAACCCCGACCAACAGTATCAGTCATCTTGCCATCGAACATGATATGGGAAGGGGGGAGGGGACCTCATGGCATGCACCGAGTGAGGGGTCTGGGATAGGACGAACCCATGATTGCGGTTGTTGGAAATTCGGGGAACGCGCCAAGGGGACTTGTGCGCGTCTCAAATAGGATAGAAAGTCGGCCTGGTAGGGATGAAATAAGTAAACTTCCAGATAAAAAGACAGGTGAGACTGTAAAAAAATGACGTCTAGTTGTCTGAACAAGAAGACGTGTGATGGTTGATTGCAGGTTGAGCTCCGCAGTTGAAAGGACTGGAGGGGGGAAAGTAGGTTAGTTAATCCGTGAGGATAATTTTTAGTGATGACACTAGAAAAGTCAGCCTCAGGGTAGGAAAAAAAAATGTTGGTGGTGCGGGCTTTTTTGTTCGGCCAATGTCTCGACCCAGGGCTTTCCAAGTTACAACGTCTCTCTGCTTCTATCTACAGAATTCATGGGTTGGTTCTTTTTTTCTCTAAAAAAATAAATAAATTTAGGATGACTAGAGATCTTCATACTATTTACAGTTCATCTCATCTCTTCTCAATCTTACTGTGTTTCATTATTATTGTGACTCTGAATCAATGCAAAGCCATTCTGATACAACCCGATCCAAGTAGTAAGCTTGTGCCCTTAGCCCGCAGCCGACTCCCTACACCCATTCAAGGTACACTCTTCCAAGTCGTTCTATAATCTCGTAGATAGAGAGATGGTACCATGACCAGCAATGCCCCAGTGATGGCCATGTCAAGGTAAAAGTGTCGGTTTAATTATTCCCACTGCCGATACGTAGTCTTATATGCTGGCTATGTTGGTTTCTGGTCAAGGACGGTCCCTGAATAGTCCCAGTATCAGGGCAGACTTTGGTGGCAAAGGGGACTAGAATATCGCAAGTAGAAGCACTTCAATTCAAGTCGGGCACTTCATGAGCGCACGTATCACCCAGTTTAAGACCAAGAGGCATAATCAATGATCCCTTACGGAGAGGAGGAATATGGCCGTCTATCCGATCGCAAGCAAGAAAGGGGAGGAAGAAGCTCGCGGCACATGACTTCGTGTGTCACGTGACTAATCACTGTCCCCCAAGACTATGGGCCAGCCATTTAGCATTCATGGGTGTCTATCGTAGTAGTGGCATGAATCAAAGCCAGAACTATCAATCATCGGCACGATGAGCGGACAGGATGGCCAGATTCCCCATTCTGGAAATAACATTTTACTGGCTTCCCTGAAAGCTGGAGCCTTGAGCGGTTCGTTCTCCCCTTTGGTTGAAGCTCTGGATATTGACTTTTCTACATTTCGATATGATATTTGTTCAGCTCGCTTACCTTGAAATCTCTAGGCTCTGCTGGTCTCGTGTATGGCGGCATTTCGGGAGTCATCCGGTCTCCTCACCCAGTGATCCATTCAATCTCTTGCGGGATCCACTGGTTTGCATGCGGGACTTCCTTCTGGTGTGCGTAACCTGTCCCTCAAACTCGGCGCGATACTGATATCGAATCACAGGGCTACGGAGTAATATCCTACACCTCCATTATCAGGACCAGGCCACTCCGAAGCAGCGCGCTTATGTTAGCGCGGTTTCTGGCGGAATCGCTGGTGGTGCCGTGACCAGACTGATGGGTATTTGAACCTCTTGAGACCTCACAGAAGAAGGAGGATGGTTCTGCAGATTTGACTAACCTGTACGGTGATAGGAGGTCGACTGGTTCCAGGGGTCGTTATCTTCTCGCTACTCGGCTTTCTTGGGCAAAGTTCTTTCAATGCGATCGACACATGGCAAATGGAGCATGCGAATACCCCATCAAAGCCGATCCTGCAGCGAATTGCAGATTCCAAATGGATTCCACTGAAGACTCTGTCGGACGACGATTACAGGGGAATCCTGGGCGAAAAATTACTCAGCATCGAGGCGGAGATCGCGATTATCGACGAGAAGATCCAAGAGTTGGAGAAGTCCAAGGCCAATGGACCGGTTGCGGTTGAATCGGCGCCTTTAACTACTACTAAATGATAGTACATTTGTACGACATTGCTTTGCGCTTGTGCGGAATGGTCTTGACTCTCAAGCGCTCCCTTTGACAAGGATCAAGGTTGGAATTGAGCATCTATGATCTTACAAAGATCAGCAAGCAGGCGGGTACATCCTAGCGCCGTTCGACACAAATAGTGCTTCAATCATGACTCCTGGTACGGTATTCATCCGTTGGCTACAAATCTTGCCGAATATGATCGAATCTGAGAGAGGACCCCAAAACGATCTAGCCGATACCCATTTCTATGCTTGTTTCTCAAGGGCTCAGTGATTGATGTGACAGGTATCAAATTGTTGGAAGAGGAGCACTGGCCACTAGTCTGAAAAGCTAGTTTTTTGTATGATATCCAGGAGAGCAGATGTATTATTATAGATGATGGTTGATTCAATTCACATTTGCATGCTTAATAATGAAATCTGACAGCCATAGATAGGGGTCCAACCTCAAGTGTCGGACGTGTGATATACAAGCTATAATAGTGTGCTTGCAGCCTTGCACTATGCCAGTACAGAGTATGCATGCATGCTAAGCAAAAAGGAGGCAGACGGGTACGATGGGCGATGGCCGATGGTGAAATTACTGAGGATGAACTGAGTGAAGGGACAAGGGACAAAGAGGTTAAGAACATTATATTGGGAGCTTTTAAGTATTCTACCAGCAACAAGGGGTAGTAGTCTAGTCTAGTACTTACTACTTACTACTTACTACTACTGACTATGGACTCCGGATGGATGGGGATCCCTGAAGCCTCTGGAGAAAGAAAGGGGGAGGGAAACCAGCATACTGTGTATTCTTATGCACATCAGAGTGACCAGAGTGGCCAGACAGACAATCTGAACGGTAATTCCCTGCGATGTCTGCAACCAAGTCAATCAATCTATCAGGATCTATCTACGGAGTAGTCAACCTAAATACCTGCACTCCTGAAGTGTCAACCAAAGACCAATATTTCGCCAGAATAATAACTACAGTACTCTCCGTCCCAAGCATTCAATGCCGAGACAGCCGATCCGTCCAAATGATCCGCTAAGAACCACCAAGTGGGCAGGCTTTCCGCTTCCAGTTTCGTCTCGAATTGCCCGCAAGTAGTTAGGTAACCAAGTAACCACTATTGTTATTTGTTCTAAGCCTCTTCAGAGTTCAGACACTACTATGTACAGTATCTCCGGAGTATTTAGCAGAAAGGAGATAACTTCTAGCTAGGTACTGCACTGCTGACATGATGTTTGGTGATGGGATAGATCGATTATGGTTCGTCCGCTCGGATCTATCTCGCCTTGTGATTCTTCCTCCCACATCATCCCTCCCCCCCAATCTTCCTACATTTTGAACCATTCATCATTATTTGACTCTAACTATTAATTAATAATAATATCTTGGTTTGAAGCATGTCTGAGCTTACCACTGTCGACGCTTCTTCCGGACATTTTGCAGGCCAGTGCGCAGTTCTGTTAAACTGAGACCTGTCCCTCGCCGATTTCAGTGCCATCCTGAGATCTGCTCGTATTATCACCACTGAAGGGCCACTTCTCTGTCAAGGCAAGACATTCTACACACAGAGGAGTCTGCTAACTCTGGATGATCTTTTTTTTCCCCCCCACCCCATCGTCACGGTCCTGTCCACACCAATAGATAGAAGGGAAGTCATTCGCAACGGTCGCTAGCATCTCGATGATTCGTGTCGTCACTTCTGTGGCCCCTGTTCTCCGGTTCGGTCCCCTTACAGGTCGCCAGACGCGATGACGCTCTTTAGCCCGACGAGCGTCCTCGTGGGCTTCCTTCTCCTCTATCTGTCCTCCTTCCTCATCTTCGCCATCGTCCGCATCGCGACCGGAATCTCCATCCAACGAATTGGTTATTTCTCGCTCCGCCGCATCGCCTACGTTCCGCGGGAAGGGGTACACATCGAACTTCGGGGTCTTGGGCTGTCGTTACACCCTCCATCATTCGCGCAGCCGACATGGGTCAGTATCCGACTGACGGAGCTGAAGGTGACGGTGAAGCCGTCTGCTCTGGGCAGAGGGAAAGGCAATGCAGCTGAAACGGATGGGCTGGACCCCCCAAGCCATGCCGAGGTGGCGGATCAACAACCGGAGGACGAAAAGAGAGGCAGCCCATTGCAAGCTTCTACCACTTCGCGGAGTAAGACATGGGAAAAGTTGGCGCGGGTGAAGGAGCAGGTGAAGAAGCTGCATCGGAAAGTTCACTGGCTCAAACTGGTGGACGTTGTCGCTGTCAACACGACCATCAATTTCCTCGAGGCTGGTCAATTCCAAATCGGGTCGCTCTCTTTGGCGGTGGATACAAGGCGAAAGATGGTCGATCGAGGCAAGGTCTTCCGTCGGAAGATAGAGGAGCTCAATGAACCATGTCCAGCGGAATGGATTATGAATGTGCAAAACGTCCTGCTTGCGGTCGACGGCGGCGAGCCCACCGAACTCCTAGACCATGCCCAGATCAATATCCACGGCCTCCTCCACAAAGATCTCGATGGACTCCGGGACGCCTCGATTGCTTTGAAGATCGGACGACTACATCTACCCTACGACGAGCTCCGAACCGTGGCGCAACGGATGAAGCAGTTTCGCCAAACTCGACCGGAAGCCGCCGCCAATGATACCGACGACGAGATATCGTTTGCCGATTTTGTGGAGGAACTGGACAACCCTGGCAGTCGGGACGATGCAATTGTGCAGACGGTTGCGGACTCGAAAGAGTTCGCGAGTTCTCTCCTTCGCGGCATTCGGGAGATACAACTGGCCTTGAGCTTTTTCAGATTGTCGCGCGCGGTACAGCCTTCCTCGGCGACACAGAAACCCGTGTACTTGAATATCTCTTCTCATGAGATAGGTGTCGACCTACATCGAATGGACCAGAAGAGCCCAGCCCATCGCATGTATTTCCAGCGCGCAGACGTTGCACACCAGGCCCTTCTGGCCGCCATCTCTCTTTCGGTGAGTTTAGACGATAACTCGGGCGAGACCAATAACATTCTCTACATCCCCATGGCCACAACAACGATCAAGACTACCCTTCCTTCCAAGACTGTCAGCTCCTTTGACGATCGCAATGCGGAGGAGCGCAACACAAATATCCTGTTCGCCAATTTTGTCATCACATCGCCCTCTCTTGATCTGGAACCACAACATCTGTCCCGGCTGCTGGGCCTGGCTCAAGCCCGCGCATCGTCCTCGCGTGGAAAGAAACGGGATAACCACCGATTGATCTCGCGGCTGCTTCCCAAAGCGAATATCAAACTCTCCGTGCACGAACCGGTTATTCGACTGGTCCTCCCCCCCGATAAAGAAACAGCGGCTTCCGAGGAGGAGTACAATCTCTTGATATCCTCCATATCCACCATAGCACTGGATATAGAATCGTCCCATTCATCCGAGGGCGGTATACACTACTCTCTCTCGTCGGTGTACCGGGTGGCGTCTCACAAGCTGTATTACCAAACTCCCACCGGGGTCAAGCACAATCTGTTTACTACGGAGACTTTGGAGCTCAAAGTCCTGCTCAACGCGACCCCGGAGGTATGCGTGATTGCCACAGGCGCTCTGAATACTTGCTCTGCCCACATGGTCAATAGCGACGTCAACAGAGGCATTAGCCAAGTCGTTGATCAAATGCGAGCCCAGATGAGAAGCAAGAGGAGAGTCTCTGCATCGTTAGAAGAACGGAAACCAAGCTTAATCAGGCGTATCCCTCCCTGGTTGCTCAAGTTTCAGTTTGAGGCGTCGGGCCTCAGTCTGGAGATCGCCGGTGTTGATAGTAAGGTCTCGGGTCTTTCGCGCGGTGTCTCATTGCAAATGCAGTCTTGGACTGCTGAATACAGAGCTCAAAAATCTGAGCCGACTCACATCAGTCTTGTACGGCGACGCACTCCAAGTCACTCTACGATTGGCGATGAATCTCCGTTCCGATTCCCTCCAACTTCACCACCCAGACAGACTCAACAGGGTGCCGCTGATGGAAGACGGTTGGCTCTCCATGTCCGTGGCTTCGAAGGCTTTGTCATCGAGTCTGAAGACTATCTCGAGCCGGAGCCGTTCTTTTCGCTTCCGAGATTTGAGGTTGCTTTGAGCACCCTCAGTGACCGTCTTGGACCTATATTCCACATCAACTCGGTCTTCAAAGGCGTTTACATACAGTACTCCCTTTATCGTTATTACTGTGTTATTGTTGCAATGTCTGTTATTCAGGATGCCTTCATACACCGGCCCTCTGAGACTTCAGATCAGTCATCATCTGAATGGCGTTCAAAGGACTTTGCAGCGCCTCCATCTCCTCCCCTGTCACCCCTTCAGAGGAACGAGCTTGTTACTGTGGATGTCAGAGCTACAGTTGTCCAGATCAAGACATTCTTGCCCGCCGACCCTCCCATGATGCTCCAGATATACGGCCTGTCGGCTGGCTACCACCGTCTGACTTCTCCTTTCGCCAAGGCCCGCCTGGTTCGCTTACATGCCGAGGCTCCTAAGCTCAAAGGGATTTGGGTACGGATTATCGGCATGACAAATGTCAAGGCCAATCTACGCAAGATTAAATTAAAGCAGGGTCTCAATCTGGTGGACGAGAAGTCAATCGATCTCTGGGCTGACTTCATCCGCATCGGGGTCCCTCACCACATGATCATGCATCGTGTCTTCGACAACTGGGCCAACACACTGAAGGCACTCAAACAGCTGCACCATCGCTACAAAAATCGTTCGTCCGACTTCATCTCACCGAGGGAACCGGAAGCACCCAAGAAGGTGCCGCGGATATCACTGAAGACTAAGGCATTATTGTTCGAGCTTGAAGACGATGCATTTGAATGGAAGCTAGGCTGCATATACCGGACAGGGCTTCTGGAACAACGGCAGCGCCTGGCTCGAGAAGAGGCCTTTGAGATGAAAGTTCAAAAGATCAAGGATTCTGGGCAACGACGGACGTCGTCTCGGTTAAGAGCAAAGTCCAGCCATCGGACTCTTCGAAGCGAAAGAACGAGCTATGAGACAAAACGAAGCAAAAGTGCCGAACCGAAGCCGCGGACCCCTACGCAAGATACCAAGCGCAATCGGGGAAGTAAATTTCGATATGATGCAGAAGGGGCCGCCTGTCTGTCCGGCGAATCCAAGATCTCGGAAGAACAGGCGTGGACTCGTCTCCAGGAGCACAATGCCCGCTCGTGGAGGCAGAAGATCGACGCTGCTTTCCAGTTTCAAGGCACCTCAATCAAGGAGATCCGAAACCTCTTTTCCGGGGTGGATGACCTTCCTGAGGACATTGTCGAGACGGAGAAAACTCTCGCCATTCCAAATCGACCGGCTATCATGTCAGCTCTCATAACGGACCTGACACTACTCGTTGATAAGCCGTATTTCCCTATGGAGGAGTACCCTGCCTTCCTTCACAAGCTCGGCAAGGGAATTCCTCTCTCAACCCAATATGCCCTCATCGTCCCAATGAGTTTGAGTCTGGACATGGGTGAAGCTCGTGTCAACCTTAGAGACTACCCCTTGGACTTGTTACACATACCTGGTCTTCGTCCTGGTCAATCTCCTAGACTGTCTAGTTGGTCATTGCGGACCAATTTTGTCATTGCCGAAGAATATCGAGACTACAAATCATCGAGAAAGGTACAGGTCGAGCTCGTTCCCGCCACTGAGCTCTCTGATGGAACCACCAGCTCCCCCTTCATGATCGATGTGTGGCGGTCTGTGTCTCCTGTCAAGACCTATTCCGACCCTACCTTCGAGATCAATACTAGTCTTCCTACAAGTATCTCATGGGGCATGTCGTATCAACCAGTGATCCAAGACATGATGAAGATCATCGAGGGTTTCACAAAGACCGAGATTGACCCATCGGAAAGAGTCGGGTTCTGGGACAAGATCCGGCTCAGCTTCCACTCTCGTATTCGAGTTCTATGGAAGGAAGATGGCGATGTCCATTTGCGCCTCAAAGGTTCTCGTGACCCGTACGTGGTCACTGGCTTTGGGGGTGGATTTGTCATGTGCTGGCGCAAAGATGTGAAATGGGAAATCCACACCAGTGACGATCCCAAGGAGTTTATGAGCGTGACCAGTGGGGAATACGTACTAGCGATCCCGGACTACAGCAACGAAGCTCGTTATGCGCAGGATGCCACCACACAGGATCTGGAGACCACCTCTGCTTCTAGTGAGTTCAAGAACGCAACACACTTCAAGAAAGTTGTGATGAAGCTGTCTGGTGATGTGCGCTTGGTTGCCGGTCTGGTTTTTGAAAGGAATGTCGATGAGGACAATCGGTCCTTCGACTTCAGGCCACACTACGATGTTATCCTCCAGAACCCGGAGTTTATTGATGCGGCGCAGCGACAGGTACCGTGCTATCTATCTTTTTGGGGGTGAAAAAACCATATAAGCTAACTGTTGATATTATAGGACTATGACGCCTATCGTGGATTCCGGAGCAACCATATCCATCTTTCCATCTCGGTCGTCGCCCCCGTGAGTCGAGATTGGGCCGTGGATCACCTTCAGCCCACTGCTAGTTATAACACAGTTCACTTAACCCCCCGGTTTTTCACCCACTTCTTCAATTGGTGGTCTTTGTTCTCGGGTGTTATGTCTCTTCCCGTTCGTCAAGGTCCTCTCTGGCCTGGCATCACCAAAACCAGCAAGAAGTTCAACCGTCATCTTGCAACTGTCAAGTACAAGCTGCTTCTTGCCCCTTTGTTTGTAGCCCACATGTACAAACACAAGGATCGCGAGGATTACGCCGAAGCTGTAGTCACAGCAACTGGGGTGAAGGTTCGCTTGGACTGTCTCAAGCTCGACGTCCACCAAAGACGAGAGCAAATCAAAACCGTGGCCAGAGGTCGCTTGAAGCAAACAAAGGCAAGCGCAATGCGAATCAACCAGGCTCAACTAGATTTGCAAGCAGCAGATTTCAGGGCCGTCTCGGCGAGTATCGAAGGCACGAACTTCGATGACATTGCGAAAAATGGTGACGATATCTTGTCTTCATTCCAACAGCCAGTTCCTTCGGTCGATTTGTCACGATTTACAATCCCTGACCAGAATCTTGACTGGATTGACATGGATGACTTTGTAGAGCTTGACTGGATTCTACCTCAAGAATCCAATCCCCGAACGCACATATTGCCTCTTGCCTTCACACCCCGTTTCACCTACTTCCGCCAGACCGATCACGACGATATGACTCCGGATCAGACGGGTTATAGCCGGTTTGGAAATGAGCCCACTCATGAGTGCGTCATGTCCGAGAGCAATGAGCCTCGTCGCGTACAAATGGAGCTCATCAGAGACCGCCTCGCGACTGTTGAGGCACAGATCCAGAATTTCGATCGTCAAATTGGTGAACATGAACTTCGCATGGCGAGGGAAGTGGATCACGATGCCGAGCTCAAGAGGGAATATGACGATTTCGTCAAGCAGGCTGAATCACTTGCGCGTCGGCGTACTTTTCTCGCCAACGGTCTCCGTCGTCTTGAAGTACAGCTTGCACGCGAAGATAAGTTGCCTATGGACAGAAAGCCCGAAACTTTCGCGAGCGATAGTTCATTCCGCTTGGGCGCCGACACAGATTCAACTAAGGAGGGCAAAGAAGCGGATCTTCACGGGTTGTATTCGTCCCCCAACGACGAATACGCCAGCGATTTCAACAACCGCTTTCTGATTCATAACATGCAGCTGAAGTGGAACAACTCGCTCCGTAATATCATGCTGCGCTATATCCACCAAGTGAGCCAGAGGCGCGGTTTCGTATACTATATGTCCCGCAGGGCCGTCAAGTTCATCATCGACATTGTCGACGAACAAAATAAGAATAACCGCAAGCGGTCCAAGATGTTCAAGGACTCCTCGCGACGGCCTTCTACAACAGATACCGATGAGGACTCTGTGGAGGATCGTATCGAACAACTACTAAACGATGCCAAACGGTTTGTCAATGCCGAGGAAGAAGAAAGCATCGACACGAGCCGAACTCAATCGGATTCGGACAATTCAAGTGAGAATATCGCGCCGGAGTTCACGCCGCAGCACAGCTATTACTTGCGCCTGATTGCGCCACAGATTCAGCTTCAGAGCGAGAAGAATCAGAAGTCAGTTGTCTTAGTTGCTGCCAGTGGCATGCAACTCAAGGTCATCTCCATCATGGACAAAGAGCGGGTTTCCGATGATGTTAGCGGTCTAGTGCAACGGCGCTTCTCCCTTGACATGGACGGAGCTCAGTTTTTTGTCGCCACCCAGAAGAACCTCCTGAATCACTTGCAGTTTTATGCTGGTAATAAGTACGGCAACTCTCCGGGGTCCGCGTGGCCGCCCTGGCTGACCCTCGAGGCCATGTTTGATTTCGAACTGAGCCCGTTTGGTTTCTCAAGGATTGTTCAAAAGACTTCAGCCAGCCTGAAGTATGACAAATACAACAATCTCCGTCTGAAGTACAATGAGGAGGTGGCTAAAGGGCACCCTGGGAAAGACGTCGGGCCAGATGGTCAAGAGACGAGAATGGATCAAATCCGTGTCGACTTCCCTCATTTCCGGGCTATCTGTGACTCGGCAGAGTACTACTCTATGTACATCATCGTTCTGGATCTTTTGCTCTACAGTGAGCCATTAGAAAAGGTTCGAAACGAACGTCTAGAGCGGATTCTTCTCACTTCAGACTTCAGCGATCTGCGGGGCGCTCCGGAAATGGTATTCAAGCTACAATCTCGCATTCGACAGCTAGAAGAGATCAAGGAGCATTTCCAAATCAATGCCAAGTACTTGGATAAGCATGGCTGGGAAGATCGGATGGTGTTGGAACAAGATGTGGCACAGTGCGAAGACGAGCTATTCTTTCTGATGAAGGCGATCACCACGTCCCAGAGGCGAATGGAGCCGACCATGTCTCAGACGAACGGCATCTTACGCTGGAACATCTCCGCATCCGAGGTTGTCTGGCATCTCATGAAAGACCAGTCCCAGCCATTGGTCGAATTCCAGCTACGGAATGCCGAGTATGACCGCACGGACAACAGCGATGGCTCCAACCACAATCTCGTGGCTGTTGAGCGGCTATATGGCTTGAACCTCCTGCCGGATGCCATCTATCCCCAGATCATCGTACCGTATCTCGACCAAGTTAAGAACCTAGACGAGCCGGATGACTATATGATCCGGGTCAAGTGGCACATGCTGGAAGCCGTTGCTGGCATTCCTGTGCTGGACGATTTCGAGGTGTCTCTATTCCCGCTCAAGATCCAGTTGGAGCACGAACTTGGCCAGAAGGTCTTTGAGTACATCTTCCCCAATGTGGGCTCTGGTGCTTTTGACGGCGGGTTTTCCCCTTTCATGATCAAGAATATGAAACCCTTGGAGGCCTCGGATTCGGAAGCGGATGAGGATAGTTCATCCCCGCCTGTGAGTGCACGTGGCACGAACGACATCTCTACTGAGGACCTGCATATGACCAAAGGGCCCGGTGCGATTGAGCTCAGATTACACCCCACGCTTTCGTTGGCCGACGACGCCAGACCCAAGTCACAGCATAGCTCGCATAACCTCAAGGGTCTCGCGCTGGCACCCCTGCACAAGGAAAACCGAGCGAAGGATCCGAAGGATAGCAATCGGCTTGGGCCATCCCAGACGGGCCGCCCTACAACAAGTGCAAGTACACTGAGCAAGAAAAAGTCAGTCGAGAGCATGCGGATGCTAGTGAGGCAGCCTACGGACAAGTCCTTCATGAATGGCTCGAATACCAATGTGGGCGAAGACAAAGGCAAGAAATTCGCTCTGATTCCGGTCAAGGGCGGTAAATCCAAGGAAATGCAAGACGACTTGTCCCAAATGATGTCCCGTGCATCCAGCTATATGACGCTTGCTCATGTCAAGGTGCACGACGTTGTACTGTGCCTGAGTTACAAGGGTAAAGGAGAGCACAATCTGGAAGACCTGCATGACTTCGTCTTCCGCCTGCCGGTTTTGGAATACCGGCACAAGACCTGGTCCAACTTGGACCTGGCTTTGAGACTCAAAAAGGATGTTATCAAAGCCCTCATCTCCCATGCACCTGCAATCCTTGGCAACAAATTTTCCAACCACCGCCCCTCGAAGCAGCAGCTGAAGCGCTACCGCGAGCTTGCCAGTTCATCCCAACTACTCCAGGGTACAGACAGTGCGGCCAATACCGTGTCCGATAAGAGCCGCAGCCAAGTCAGCTATGATTCCAATAGCGAGTATTCTGAATCGCCGTCGCAGCGCTCCATCCAATCGGGGACTTCCCCACTTGCGCGGTCACAGTCGTTGGGCTCGAGCATGCTCAGTGTGCAGGACCAAGGGACGCCATTCGACGCGCGCTCCGTGAACGATGTGGATGTCGATGCCCGCTGGGAGGTATGTCTTCCGCCTCTCGTCCATTTCAGGATCGTCACTGACTATACCACAGCAATCTCGCAGGGTTGTGAACCCTCCTCCAGGCAGGCCAATGACATCGGGACAGGTAATGGTGAGGTCGGACACCAAGATTTGGAATGGGCCGCCGGATGAAAGGTACTTCATCATGTTTATTGCAAATAAGGAAAGACTTTGTGCTAACTGACTCAGCGGCAGTTCCAGGTCGACGATCCGCAACATTGGCCGCAAGTTGCTGCCCTCGCGGAAACAATGAACTCCCTCCTCATCCTCCTCCTCTCTGCCCTCTCCTCTCTCTCTCTCTGCCTGGCTGTCTGTCTGTCGGTCAACTCGCTTCAACAGATCGTCTGTGAGCGCACACATCGTGCTCCGCTCAAAAATATCCCCCCTTCAACCCTCATCATCTCACCACTGTTCACCCTCCCCTCCAAAGTTCCCTCCTCTCCGACCAAAACCGCGTTGCCATTTGATTTGCCTTTTGTTTCCAATAGCGAGCATTCTCACTTGAGCATCTTGTGCCATGAGATACCCCGGAGCAAGTGGGTTGTATATGGGCGTCAATATCTCCGGTTCATTTCCCGTCTTATTTATCCCTGGGCCATTACCATAGACTTTGATACAACGGGGTTGTTCTTTGTGTGTTTTATTTTCTTTCTCATCTTCCCTCCTGTTGTGTCTTAATCTACTCTACCTCTTTGAGTCATCGAGCGTGCCTATGTCGCCTTCGCTCGGTGCGTCTATACTCCCCTTTCTTCTTTCCTCAATTCTTTTCTGCTGCTTTTCATTCCTGTCTGTTGGTATGGGATGGGTGATACGGCGGTTACAAACGGCATTAGATCTTGCATTTTATCGGGTAAGGGGGTGTAGGTATACTTCTTTGGGTTTTCCCCGGTATTCTTTCGCAGTATATATATACATATATATAGGTATATTTCAGGGCGCTGTTTGCGCTGGGCTAGCAATTTGCATTCGCGTACTGGGACCATGGACAGATGGATACTAAGGATCTGAGGCTTTCTTCTTTAATTCTGTCTGCACGCTTGGATTCTCGTGCGCAGGATAGGTTGGGGATGAAGTCTCAAGTGAAAATGATAATACATATTGCTGAACTGCAAGTGAAAGTGAAAGTGAGACAAAACTAAGTGAAAACAGCTTGGGTATCTATACACATATCACGCGTTGCATCATCATAAGGTTCTGCCTTTTTTTTTGGCCATGACCTCTGCCAGGCCTCTATTACTTCTATCCCAACGCCGAATGCATGTCGTGTTATAGGAAACAAACGCCCATCTCGTTCACACCAAGGTCGGGGTATGTAGAAAGGAAAGGAAAAGAAAAAAAAAAACCAATGGCGCTAGACATTCGAATGCCCATCCGACGGCGTAGTCGGCGTCGGCGGCTTCTCCTTGTTGCCCCAGGGTAGGAAATTGGGCAGATGGTCCTGGACAGACTCGAGGCGGGTGCGTGGGGTCGGCGCGCTGATGTCGTCGGTGTAGGTGGGCACGGCTCCCTGGCCGCGGTGCGCGCGCCAGGCTTCCTTTTCGCGGCGGAGGTCGCTTTTCACCCAGGGGATGGTGATGAGGGTCCAGACGCCGGCCCAGGCGAAGGGGAGGGACCAGCCCAGCTGGGATTGTTAGTGTGATGTTGAGGGTTTGGTTGGGGGGGTGGGCTTACGGTGTACGCGACGGGTGTGGAAGTGGTGAAGATGATTGCGGTAATGGCTGCGGCACAGACGATGGATCCGCCGGCCCAGAAGATGTTCATTTCGAAGAGCATGCGTCGGAAGTACGGGCTGGACAAGTATCGGTTGCGCAAGGCGTGGCGGTAGATCTGGCCGCCGCCGCCGTCGACGGCAACGACGTCCTCAATCATGACGTAGAGGGCCGTGGGCATCACGGAGCCCTTAGGAGTAGAGGAAATGCGGAAGGGGGCTCTGACGCCGCATATGCGAAGGATGTCGAGCAGGAGGTAGACGCTGCCGAAGTAGAACATCACGGTGGGTAGGACCATGGCGACGAGGCGGACTGTTCGAGTCGGGAGTTAGGCATTGCAAGAGGAATTGATTGGGGATATGACGTGGGAACATACCATATGGTTCGTCAGGCACCGTACCACTAAATAGCATTGTCAGTTACCTTTGCCTCTTGGAGGGAGAGCGGACTTGCGTCGCTTACACGATGAGCTCCACTGCCAGGATCAACCAGACGATTGTGAAATTGATCTGGAAGAAATCCAACTATCCGAGTATCAGCATCTGCGCGCAGAATATTCCATATATAGCCACGTATTTCCTGCACTTACCCATGATTTCCTTGCGTTCAAGGGTCGTGCCCGAGAGTCCTTGCGGAATAGGTTGTAGAGACGGTAGAAGTACTCAAAGACGGAGATGCCTCCCAGGGATGCGGTCACGATGGAGAAGACTGTACACAGATGGCATAGTCAGCATCAGGCCTCGGATAAAACCACCGCATATATTGAATCCGGACTTCACACTTACCCACATTGTGCGATAGATCCGTGGCGTACCACAGGGCCCAGTAGAGAACAAGAGGCTGAGCTAACGTATCAATCACAAACAACGTCCAAAAAATGGCGATGGACTTCTTCCGAGTATGCAGCGAGTAGGGCAGTGGAGGAGGCTCGAGAGGCACCGTGGTTGTCGTTTCTTCTTCCATCAGTCAAGAGTGGCGATTTTGTCGTTGGGTTGGAGTGGTGAGTGATACTTCGGAGATGGGGAGGGGGAATATACCTAAGGTAGTGGTTAGATGAGAAGACTGGAGGGCATGGCGGCGCGAAGAGGGCAGTGAAGGGAAATGATTGCACTGGAATGTTTTTGGGGACTCTATGAAGAGAGGCGATATGGTAATGCTTTATCATATCATAATTATGAGCTAGCTGGATTGACATTTCGGAAGAAACGGGAGGATTTTATTTATGATTACTATCGTTGTATCTGCCCCGGGCCTGGAAGCCTCAGGCTCACAGGCTCACAGGCTCACCACCTGACGTAACCGGGTCAGGTGCGGATGATGTCATGGTGTTGCTGGGCTGACTAACCCTCGTTGGTTCTATTGTTGTTGTTTGTTGGATGCACTCTTCTTAGTCTCAGATTCCCTTCCAGATGAGATGAGGCTAGGATGATCCAATCGTGCAGAAATGATTGATGATGATTGCAGCTGTCATCAGTCCGGGATGTCTCTGTAACTGCTTCCAACATATACTTCTCCGCCGGCCGAACGTGCTAATGTGTGGTCGAGGTTCTCTGACAGAGTCCTCGGCCAATGTCAGCCCAGGCACTAACGGCTGCTAATGGATCTGCACAATCAAGTAACTATCCGACTTTTGTGATATCTCATTTTCGTGCAGGATACAGAATAGTCTGATCCAGCATCGGCCACAGGACCACTGACGGCGCCGAGTCTCGGCGAGGTTGGGATACCATGAAAATCCGACTAGTCGATTCTGATAGAGCCCGGCCGATCACTCCACCAATCTGCATTGAAAGATTCAAAATAGCTCATATAACCCAATTAGAGCATTGTCTAACATCCAATGGCAAGGTGTCCGAGTGGTCTAAGGAGCACGGTTCAGGAACTGAACCTCAAAACTGATTCATCAGTTTCCGTGTCTCGAAAGGGGCGTGGGTTCGAATCCCACCCTTGTCAATTCTTTTCATTTTTGTTTTTGTATCATGTTTAACATATCAGCTTCCGTTTACAGTGCTACAACAAGATACTCTATTATTCCGACCAGATGTGATTGATACATCATACAACCAAGTCCATCATCGTCATACTATCCCTCAGAATCGTAACTCCATACGCAGGTCACGTGCCCCACCGCTCCCTGTAATCCTTTTCCGTCCGACTCTTTCTTTTCTTTTTTTCCCCTACGCCGGCGGTTCGAATCTCGTCTCTTCCTTCACTTTCTCATCGTCAACTGCAGAATCTTTTTTTTTTTTCTTTCTTTATTCCCCCAGGCCATGGATGCTATGAGATAGGGCATTCGACAGGTCTTCAAAGTTGCTTGTTCCCGTGAAACCATGGAGACAAGATGGCACCAAGCTTACAGGATCTGATTGATCATCTTCTCGCCGAGATTGCGCTCTGTGGCGATCAAGGTACGTGTGCACATGTCACTACTATCATCCGCTATAACGTATATATTTATATAAACTGTTGTTGTTCCTCATTTCCCCCCTGCGTGTTTCACCAACATCTCGACTAGCCCAAGCATATATGGCCCGTCCAATAAGATCGTTGTCCATCTTCGACCCTTCCACTATATTATCATCGCAGCTATTCCTTCCTTCTCATCCTATATGCTTTTCTGGCACAACAGCTATGCTTTCGATCATCTAGTCTCGCCGATCACGCCTTTGACCCTAACTGACGCTCCCTCTAGGCGCATCTCCCGCGGATATTTTGACTTTCATCGACGCATTCTATGCCAAGGGGACACAAGAATCAACGATCCGAAGTCAGACTGTTGATCGCCAATTCCAAGAAAAAGTCTGGTCGTGGTTGACCAGACACCCAGAGGTTTCAGTCGGCAAAGAAAGAGAGCAGAATCACCTGAGCCTCAATGATGCCGAAAACCTTGTACGAGAGGCGGATGCTGAGCATCCCATCCGGGTCTTTGTCTCCAGGGAAAGGACCTGGCTTGCAATCACCGGTCATGAACCGGACGAGACCAAGGTTCTTCCCATGGAGTTTGCTCTCCTCTCTATCATTGCGTCTCACAAAGCGAACGGGATCGTCCAGACCGATTTGGTGAAGTTAAGCGGCCAGGACAAGCGCTCGGTTCCGAAACGAACGGAGATGTTGCAGCAGAAGGGTTATATTGAGAAAAGAGCAATTCAGATTAAGGCTGCAAGGACTAGCCTGTGCACTCTGCGCAAGTTCTCCAAGCCAGATACCTCCACAGCCGATACAGGTTCTGCTCGTAGACTGGAATCAAGGCTCCAAGAAGAGAGAGTCATCGACTACAAGGACTTCACTGATCGGCTCTTTGCGATTCTTCGGGAATACAGGATCATTTCCCGTAACGATCTCAAGAACCTCTTGGGATTCGCCGACCTTTGGCGCTGGAAAATCCTCTCTCGAGCTCTGCGCAAGTTCGAACGGATTGGTGTGCTGAAACGTGTCAGGGCAGCATCACAATATGCGGATACCTTTCGAAAGTTGCACCCCTGTGTGATGCTCATTCGGGAGCCGACAGAACGAGATTTCGACCTTTTCCACGAATACAGCCAGAATATTAACGCGGATCTCGAGCAAGAAGATGGCATAGAGCTGGATGAGGGTGAAGATAATGCAGCTACGTCGACGGCGGCCGACAATAAGCCAGTCAGTATGGTCAGGCAGGAGGAAGATGTCGAAGAGGTGGGCCGGATGATCCCGGTTTGGTCTCCTGACCGTAACATTCACAATCAAATATTCGAGGTTGTTGACCAAGCCGGGATCTCTGGCGTTACAAATCAAGTGAGCTCGCCGGAGACCTGCCATTGAAGCGCCCTTGCTAACCCAAGTGCAGCATATTCTGCGAGTGGCCTTTGGGAGTTTCTTCCGTCGGCCCCTGGAAAATACGTTAACTCGCCTAGTGGAATGCTGGCAATTGTCTCAGCCATTACACCTGCGCCACCTCGCCATCGTGCGCGATACCGCACTGGAGAGGACAATCACTCACTACGTTCACTATTCCACGGCGAACTTTCAAAAATTGGTTGACGCTGGAGAGGCGTCATGGGAGGCCGTCGAATTTGTGCCGAAGAACAGTAAAGCAGACGCTCTCAAAATACCACCGGTGGACGCCATCCCGGAGTTGGATGAATACGGATTACCTGTAGCTGTCCCCACGAAGGAACTTCTTCACAAGGGCAATGCGTCGCTCCTGGCGAGTATTGTGGCTGTCAACCCATCGGATTACTCTTGCACCGGAAATGATCCCGTAGCAGTTCGGCTGAAGGATGGCACATATGGTGAGTCGAAGACACAGAAAAAAACACGACCATTGTTCAGTGCGTCACTAATACCTGCTTGTCATGTAGTCATCCGGTATGGGGTACCATCAACCCCACAAATTCCCCTGCCAGAGGTGAGACAACTCGGGCGTCCAAAGGGCACACCAAACAGATTGAAGCCGAAAACCGAAGATCTGTCAGAAACAGAGGCGGAAATTGTCGTGACAGATGCTTCAGTTATTCGGCGCATGAGGAAAGCTCAACGTGACGCTGAGAGGTTCCGAGGGATGTCCGAAAAGGAGAAACTCAAGGCCATGGGGCTGGACGAGACATGGACCGAGTATAGTGTTCTCCTCATAGAACGGACAGAGCCTGGAGTGTACATCACACCTCGCGGTCGCCGTCGGCCAGCAGGGAAACGGCAAGGTCGTCCAAGAATTTCACGCCTTGCTGTCTTTAAGTCGCCCAAGCTGGTATCTCTGCCTTGGTTTGTCGAGGAACCGGAGGCCGAGAGGGCTGATGAAGCTATCTTTACCAGTCAGCCGGTCTCTCGAGCCCAAAGTATCGACCAAACCCCGATGACTTCCTTCACCGCCATCAATGGCTCTGCAAGAAAGTCAATCCCTCCAGATACGACCCCCTCAAAGGGGAGGAAAAGAAGAGTGCCAAGCCTCACCTCTTTTGAAGCAAATGCCGAGCAGAACCATGACAGACCATCCAAACAGCGACGTCTTAACGAGGCGGATGTGTCTGAGGATGTTATGACTGATGCCCTAGCCTCAGAGACTCCGTCGATCACCGATCGCCCTACTGACGTAGCTGATAAAGCTTCTTTTCAAACGAAGCGCAAAAGACAAATGTCTCCGGACCCTACTTCGATCGACCTTGATGTCCAAGAGGCGGGCATCGGCTTGCCACGACCATCACCCCAAGCAGATGAAAATGTGAGGCACATGCCGCCGCGGAATGACATGTCCTTTAAAACACCGTCCAAAAAACCTCGAGTTCAGAGAAATCAAAGGTTGCAGGGTCCTGCAGTTGCCTCAAGCCCCCCGCCAGCAGTGACGGTAGAAAACATCTCGATGCTGCCGCCTCCGCCTCCAGACTTGGCCGAAGCCGAAAATCGAGAGGACCATCGGATCGCCACAGAAATAACTGATGCACAGGTTGGAGATACGGTTCAGGACAGCGGTGCGGCAGCCGAGGAGGGGCCTGCAGTCCCCGCAGGTACAGAGGTGAAGGACGAAATACCGGCAGCCGATGCTGTAGACTCAAGGCCAGTTGATGGACCGCAAAACATTAGCAAACAGTCTGAAGCTTCCCAGACACCGGATCAACAGGGAATTCGGACAAAACGGTCAAAAGAGAAGGGGGGATCCGTCGCTGTGTTGCGAAGGTCTATTGTCATGGATATTGTGGAGAAAGCAGGGGGCGCGTATCCTATGGGTACCGAAATATGGTATCCATTTGCGACCGCCTGGCGGAAGACGAAGTACAAAGAAAAGCCCGACATGCGAACAGTCAAAGCCTCCATCAAACATTTAGTGGATGGGGGCAAACTGCGCCAGTTCACTTTCAGCGGACGAGACAGCAAGGGGATCATGGTAACAAAGAGCATCATCGCAAAGCCCGAGCTGCGGGCTGATGATCCTTTTATCAAAGACCTGCAGCACAAAATGCTTACCACCGAGGATCGATACTACTTCCCACCGAACGTTGAAAGGGACCCTATATTGACCAAGGGCAGCTTGAAGTCTGTACCAAAACGAGAAGCCACCAAGCCAGGCCAAGTTCCCATCGAGCATGGAGTCACGGTACATTTGCACCAAAAGCCCGCCTTCGTGCTAGCGCATGAGCAAAAGACGGGGCGGCTCATACAGCGACGTTTACTGCAGCGCCTTCAGGATACAGAGATCCCACGACCTTCCGGGGTGGTGCGACTTGCAAAGCTCCAAAGACGGGAAGCACCTGGTTCCTTGGCACGTAATCTGACGTCCATTGCCCGGCCGACTCGAAAGCGTGTTCTGAAACCTCGAACGGCTGCTGATACTTTGACCGGGGAAGCACCGCCTGATGATGTTACCCGCAGGAAGAGACGTCGTTGGGTGCCCATCTCTCTCATGGCACCTTACGCGATGTTCATGAACCCGGTACAGACTTTCAATCGGAGGACTGGGACCTTCTCAACGGATGCCGGGCTCGCGGCACTTCAGGCTGCAGCCATTGCACGTATAAGGGCAGCCTTTAGATTACCAAAGTCCCTTGATGATCTGTTGGACCAAACAAGGCGGCGCCCGATGGACTACTCTGGGACCTTAGACCCGCGGACCTGCAGATTCTTCTGGGACACCAACGTTATCTTGAGGTGGGAACTTCAAAACGAGGAGTTCATTCAGGGCAAACTTGCGGATGAAGGTGTAAGCGATCTCTGCTACATCAACCAGACGATCGAGGATTTCCCCGAGGAGGTCCCGATAGAGGGAGACATCGACTTCGAAATTGATCAGAGTGCCTTCCCTGTGGTCCGGCAACGCAGGATCAGGAGACTTAGACAAGAGCTTCCCCGTTCGCTGTCACCTGAGGGCCAAGTCGCCGCTCTAGAGGAGCCGGAGATGTCAGAAGAGCTCTCAGAATCAGAAATATCATCCGATTCCGAAGATTCTGATGATTCGTTGGAGGCGCTGGATCTCCTATTCTCCTCGGATTTGCGCAGACGGCGCAACGACTTCGTGCCGCAAAGCCGCCGATTGGAGAAATTGAATGTGTCGATGACAACAAAGAACGATGATGCCTATGCAGCGGCTCAGGCAAAGATCTCAGCTCGACAACCCCTTCGTCGAAACCGGGTCGGTCAGAATTTGCCACGCCTGGTCCAGGAGAAGATCATGACTGCTATTGTAGTGGTCCGGACGTTGGCAGGAGGCCACGAAGGCAAGAATGTCGACTGGGTTCTAGTGTCCAACAGTTTCCCCGACCAGGATCCGAAGGTCATCGCGGAGAGAGGCAAGAATGTCCTCAGCCGAAATCGATTGCAAGTAGCCAAGATGCAGAGCGATTTCCAGGAGCGATTTATCGAGGCATATGCGACTGGTCAGGTTCCACCAATCGACTACGACGACTTGGAAGGCTATGATTGGGAGGCGGTCGTTGACTGGGCACATACGCAGCTGGATATCCCCAAGTCCGAGAAGCTACCGGACCTTCCTGCCACGCGAGAACAATTCGACACTGTATTCGAGCTGCGTGAGGAGCCACCGGCCACACTGGGCGAACTCTACGAGACTGCCCATGGAGTCACTGTGAACCGTAAACGTGCTCTGTGCGCTGGCGTTCCTTTCGCTATCCCCCTGCCCGAGAAGCCAGCCCAACTCACCCCCCGGCAGACGGAGCTGGCCCGTTTGGAAGTAGCCAAGACTTGGGTCCGGGCTAACATCGTTGCCCCGGAGGAAACCTACCGGCCAGTGGAGGCCCGGCAAGCACTCGCGAACTTCGGGGGCCGCCTGGTCGACGATGCACTGCAGTCCCTGACGACAGAGCGGATCGTCTCACAGGGCAATCGCGGCCGCATCACCCCGGGTCGCAACTACGACATCACCGAGTTCTTTCTGCACACGCTGGGCCGCCGGCGCAACATCGAGGTGACGCAGCTCCGGCGCGCCACACGGTTCAAGATGAAGACGCTGGACCCGGCGCTGCGGAGCACGGGGTCGTTCGCGATCAACTACCACGCCGAAGACGGCGACATACTAGCGCTGATCAACCTCGCCGCGGAGCGCCGCATCGTGCTCAAGCCACAGGACCCGCCGCGCGACAAATTCGGCCTGACGGACGGCGGGTACCTGACCCGGCAGATCGACAAGATGAAGCTCTGGTTCGTCGTCAAGGCACACCCCGTCGACGGGTCGTACGCGTACGGCAACCCGCTCCGCGAGAAGATCGCCAGCACGCCCCCGCCATGTCCGCCGCAGTACACCACTGCCGCCGCCGCTGATGGCCAGGCCGCGCCCGCCAAGATCCCGCTCTGGTACGACATCCACGGCACCTTTGTCGAGGTGCTCTGGGAGCTCGCCGTGGCGGCCGTGGTGGGCATTGTCGCCGTGCGGCCGGGCATCAGCGCCGACGGGGTCGCGAGCATGGTGCAGCCGTCCATGGGAGCGTGGGAGGTGCTGCTTCTGTTGAAGTGGATGGCGGATGTTGGTGTTGTACGGGGGGATCTTATCGAAGAGGAGGAGGACGTGAGGCGAACAGGGTGGCATGTACAGGAATGGTGGTGGATGGTGTTGGCGTGATGTTGGATTTGTCCATTTGACCTGTCTGGATCTATGTACACTGTCAACGTGGAGTAGAATGTACGATTGAATTGGGTTGAGTCAAGCAGCGGAGAACCAAGGGCGTAGGGGATCCGTCAACGTGGGATATCGATACAGGGGATACTCAGGTGTAAGAAATAAATAATCAAGATATCCTGTACTTACTACTCCGTACTCACCTGACAAATACAAACAGCCAGACCATGTCATATATCATATTCAGCTAACTAACTAACCCCCAGGAACCAAGTCACGTAACCTAACGAAACCAAACAATCCAAATCCCAAAACCATCGCTCAAATCCACACACAAAGCGCCGATACACAGAAAAAAGCCCATGTCATGTGATACCCAAGATACTATAAAACCAGAGAAATATCCAAGATGCGAGAACGAGAACGAGAACGGGAACCAGCCCCGTCGTGGAGCACTAGCCCCCCCCAGGAAGAGAAGATGGGCGTTGGTTTAGATGTCGTCCGTCCGGGCCATCCGTCGGATGATCATGACGACTAGCGCGATGAGGACGCCGAGGATGGCTCGGTCGAGCCAGGAGCTATCTGAGGATTGGGACTGCGCTGCTGCTGCTGCAGGGACTGGAAGGGGGATGGTTGGCGTAGGAGCTGGCGGAGCTGGGTTTGCATGGTCTGACGAGGGAGGTGGTGGCGAGGATGCGGCCGCGGCCGCGGATGATGGGTTTGATGAGGTAGTTGATGGGGGTGGTTGTTGTTCCTCTGTCGCGAGCAAAGCTGGGGTTTGAGTCGGAGCAGCAGAGTCTTCCTCAGACACCACCTCCGGCGCAGTCACCTCGCCCTCGCCCTCATCCTCACCCTTGCTTTCACCCTCACCCTCATCCTCCGCAACCACCACCCCACTCTCCTCACAGACCTTCCTCCACTCCCTCAAAACCTCCTCATTCGACCTCCGCCCCTCACAAACCTCACACACCCACCCCCGGCTCCGCCCGGCCAACTCCCTCCTCACCTCCTCCGGCGCATCCAGCCCGCCGACCTGGCCCTTCGCCTCGGCGTCCATGAAGCTGCGCAGCGCCAGCAGCGCCGTCCGGATCCCCCACGCCGGCTGCCACGTCTCCTCGTGGTGGCCCGAGATGCTCAGGCAGATCTCGCGGTTGACCTCGAAGCGGCCGGAGGGGGTGAGGAAGCGGAAGGACGGCGGGCGCAGCGGGTAGGTCGGTGGGAGGACGATGCGGCCGTGGTAGATGCCGTGCGCGTAGGGCGAGGGTGCCGGCGGGCCGGCGAGCGTGAAGTGCCAGTCGTAGAGGTTGGAGTCGGAGACCGGGTGCGCGTGGAAGTAAGGGGAGGGGGAGGAGGAGAGCTCGGAGGCTTCTTTGAGGAGGCGGCGGAGGGAGGGGGACATTTTTTCTATTTCTTTTTTTTTTTACCCTTCTTTGGGGGGGCCTGTCTGTTTGTGGTACTTCGTAGGGAGAGAGGTGTGATGTTGGAGTGTGGGTGAGACTATCAGATCTGGTATCTGCGTGGCAACTGGCAACTGGCAACTGGTGACTGGTAACTGGCAACAATCGGCTTGATGGTTGGCTTTATGGATACATGATACCGATAAATATATACTGCTCGATCAAACGGCGGGTTTCAATGTCAAAAAAGGGGAAGATGAAGATGAAGATGAAGAGATGATGCCAACTTGGCTTTGTGAAGTGACGTTGAAAGTCCGCCGCCTTGACGCCTCAGGCAGAAATGAGGATTACTCAGAGTGGTAGATCCCTCAGTCAAGACTGGAAGGGAAGTACGAGTCCTCCTATCCATTATATAGGCTCATGATATATTGTGATAGTGATTTCCATTAGAACATAACCAGAGGACTATCGTACAATCATTGCGCCAAGACCATCAAGTACACAACGGCCTCAAAAAGAAGTATATACGACCTAACCCATGTGCACCGGCTAATATCCAAAAACACCGACTGCAAAAGTGCAAAAAAAGAAACAGATTAATCCCAGTCTCGCCATTCATCCGATTGCTCTCGACTGTTTGGCGCTCCAGGAGCTGTCTCGTCGGGTTTCCGCAACCGGCCGGCGGGCCCGTTTGCGTCTGACCGCCGACGATCAGCAACCGGCACTGATCTAGAGGGCAGTGTCTCCGGGCCTCGATTGAGAAGGCCGGCATCCTCATCAGCAGCGTCTTCAAAGTCACTATCGCCCGGTCTGGGTCGCGGGGACATGGGCGCAAGTGTCTGCATCGACACCCCCGTAGTGGGCCGTTCCGGGTCACGGAAGCTGTCCAGAGGCTGGTTTGGCGTCCATGTCGGCGTCGCAGAGTCAGGGCCCAGCCAGCTTCGACTGTTGTCCATGTTGCGCTGGTACAGATCACGGTAATATTGCTGCTCGTCGGCCGTATCCTGTTCTCTCTTCAGGCGCCTGCGTTCCTGTGCTTCAAAGAACTCCCTGCTCGGTTCCCAGTACCACCCATCGCCGGTGGTCGTGCAGACAGGGATGAGCCACAGCAGTGGTTGAGGTCCGAATAGATGTAGTAGATTCTTGCGCCACCCCAGATCAAACGCATGCGGCAGCTTCTCGTTGTCCTCTTCGTTCAAATAGTCCTGGTATCTGTCGTGCTCGCGCTGTCTTTCCATCTCGGCATAAGACCGCGTCAGCGCCTGTTGCGCCGGGGTGAGACGGTCAGCCGACTGCAGCTCGTACCTGGGCTGTCCCGGTGCCGGGGAGAGCCGCTCCTCGCCTTCCTCGGCGCGAGTGACCCCCGGAATCGCATTGGCATGCGCATCGAGGACCCGCTGCCCGTAATCCTGTAGTCGATGACCAAAGCTGTCCGAGACCGGGCTGGCCCCGTTACTCTCCCCATGGTGGCCCCGGCTGTGCTCATGGCGGTGACGATCCAGCGCCTTCCGCAACGGCGACACATACCGGGTCTTCTCCAAGCACTCGATGGTGGTCATGCCGCGGAGCGCAAGGCTGATATGCCAGACCGTGAAGCCGGTCAGCACCAAGCCAATAATCCCGCCCAGAATCGCCAGCAGCACCACGTTCACCGGCAAGATCGAATCCAGGTCCCCGGTATCATTGAGCACCTCAGTCCAGATCCACGCTGACGCCACGGCAAAATCCACCCAGCAGAACAGCGACGTATACACCAGGAACAGCAAAAACGCTTTGTAGTTGTATAACCCCACGCACGTGGCCAGCCACGGGCAGTGGTGGTCCATCTTCAGCACGCACCGCTTGCACGTCGAGCAGTGGTGCGCGCGGTCCGGCTTCAGACACTGACATTTCTTGCAGAACCGCGACCCGCCGGTCGAGTTGACCGTGTATGCCGTGAACTCGGGGAGCTCGGCCACCGGCAACGCGCTGTACTGCTGGCGGCCGCCGCGCGTGCGAGTTGTCAAGGGCGACCCAGGGTCCGTAAACACCGCCACCGTATACGAGACGTTGAGGAAGATGTAGAGCAGCACGCCCACGATCGTTCTCGGCAGTCCTGTGAACCCGTGATACCCCCCCGCGTCAGCGACCATCATTCCCGGTTCACTCATCCCCCGGGACCAAATATCCATCCACTTACCGATCCAGATACTCTTGGAGGGTTTCAACCCCACGCTAGTCTCCACGTAGACCGCCCACGTCGTCAAACTATACACAAACGCCAGGGGAAAGTACGACGCCGCGGCGCAGCAGTACCGTTCGCACCGGAGGGCCCAAGCCCGAGGCCGTCGTTTAGGCCACGACGGGGACGCCGGCGGTGATGAGGCCAGAGTCGCCATCGAGAGAGCGGTATACCGAAGAAGAATCTATACGGAGGCGATCATTGCGAAACTAGGAATCGGGGAGATAAGCGGTGTTGAGCGATGTGAGAAGCGAGGGGATCGAGCGGGAAGGAGGAGGGATTCTCTCGATTGGATGGAGTGGAACGTCGGACTGAAGATGGTGTAAAGAGTACGATTGCTCAGAAGGAAGAATGATGCAGAAAGAAGAATAGCAACGACCGGATGATAAGCAAGCGAACGGATGAACTGGAGCCTGGGGGGGGGGGGGAAAGGGAATAATAATAGTAATAATAGTATCGCTGTCTGTGATGTCTGTTAACCGTTGGGCTGTATCGGTAATTACCAGATGCAACTGCACAGCCATTACGGCATACGTAATATTACACGTGGATGGACTCAGCCACATTGGGGATACAGGAACTCCCTTTGGTCAGTCAACAAACAGAACAGCGAGAGTCCTGGATAGCTGTGCAGTTCTGTTGCTGTATGGTCTCTCAAACGTGAGCTTACGAGGCTTGGCCGTCGACTGTTGAGTCCTCGTGGTGGATCACGCCCTTCACCGGAAAGCTGCTCTATTTGAAGGGATTGATATAGACATTCTCCTGGGTATAGTCACACTAGAAATATCATCTTAAAATATACCATCAATTCCAGAAACGCCAAATATATGTCAGGACATCAAATGTGGCCGACCCTAGTCCTCTGTACACAAGTTGACCGGGTATTCAATCATGAGAAATGCACCGATTTGGTGAGACCTAATCCACTTCGAGGATCTCATCCGAGTCCCTGCTCCAAATCACGGGAGAATGATTAATGATGCGATGATCCTCCGGTCGTTGTTGTCACGTTGATAGTCGTAATCTCACCCTGTTGGCACCAATCGTTGACCGGCTTTGAGGAGACCAAAGGTCAGTATCATCCAGACCATTCATTCAACCAGAATAGAAAAACTCACCAGACAGCTCAGCCTATAGCACCATGAGCAGTTCGAGGTGTAATATTTGTAAAAGTCCACAATCAGCAAGATGAAGCCGATGAGGACTGCGACCAGCGCTCCCAATCGCACCAACCACCATGCCCACCACAGAGGCTTCCGACCCTTGAAGAAGGACAACGGGCCAGTCACCTCGGCCGACTTGGGACCCTTGCGGCCCTTGAAGAAGTCAGTAATGCTCGAGCCCGGGTCGGCGATCTTGCTGTTCTCCGGCTCGGTGCTGGCCCCAGCGCCGCCGGTCATGGCCACATATGGATTGCGGGCAAGACCGATGCGCTCGCGAAGGGCATTGGGAGAGCGCATGATGCAGAGACCCGAGGCCAAGCCCATGACGAAGCCTCCGATATGAGAAAAGTTATCCAAGCCCGGAAGTAGCCCCAGCACGAAAGAGATGCCAATGCCGATTACCATGATGATTAATTCGGTCAACGGGCTGGCCCGCTCATTCCAGGTGTAAAGCAGATCCAAGATATAGAGGGCCAGGATACCGAAAAGACTGCCCGAGCAGCCGCACGAGCTCTCTCCCTGAGCCGCGTAGTTGCCTCCAAGCACGAAACCCCAGATACCGCTCGCCAGGTACACAAAGGCGTACCGCCACCATCCGACTGTCCGTTCCATGTCGGCCCCCATGGTCATCTGGACCAGCAAGTTGAACCCAATGTGGATGATCCCGGTGTGGAGGAACATGGGGATGATGAAGCGGAACCACTGGTTTGGCATCGGGCGATCGGTGAGGTGGCCCTTGGGGACCGGGTTCGGGACTCCATTGAAGCCGCACAGCTCCGACAAAGAGCAGACAAAGTCGGTGGTGGATGTAGCATTCGGACAGGGGAACATGAACTCCACGGGCGAATTCTGAATCTTGTCCACGTTCTTCATGCACGGCGTGTAGCGCGCTCCCATATTAATCTGTACGTACGGCGAGGGGCCGATCATCGGGTTGAATTGGGGGTGCAGCTCGATCGGCGAACCTGTAAGCTGAGCTACTCAAGCGAGTCAGTAAAACGATGACCAGGAGCCTGTTTCCAACCGACAAAAAATCGATTCCGCACATACCATTCTTCACCAACTCAACGATAAAGACAATGATCTGGGCAACCGTCAAGGTATATGTCACCCAGGCGATCTTCTTCTTCCAGAACCCCTTCTTCTGCCTCACAGGGCGCCCGGGAGGCCCTGCAGCTTCCATCGCTTCCGGCGACGGAGGGTAGCGTGTCGGCTGTTGCATCCATCCTGGCGGCGGAGGTCCGTTCGAGTACTGGGCATTCGCTTTTAATGGGATATTGTCCGAATACTGATCCGCCTCGTTGAACCGTCCTCCTGCAACATAGGGTGCCCCCTGATCGGAGCCGATCGATTGTTGACTGTGTCGGAGCTCGTGCGGATCATAGTCGGTGGTTGTATAGGGGTGTGCGTTGGGGCCTTTGTAGCCGTGGGCATTCGATGGTGAGGGGGAGACGCGGTCGACGGGGTCTGTTGGAGGATAGGACTGTTCATAGGTAGGGGGATTGTTGCCATAGCCGTGGGCCGCCATATTGGATGGACAGCCGCGGCAGTGAGGATGGAGCGCAAATGGGGGGTTTGGATTTCCGCGATTATTTGTTGATGGGTTGAAAGAAACAAGCAGCGACTGCAACCGATGATTTAAATCAACAATATCCACCGGTAATTTGATTCCCGGCAGGGTTCCGGCCTTTGGGCCTTGATATCTGAATGATGAAGGCCACAGCCACACAGCCACGAGCTGAAACCGATGAACTCCCTACTAGTGTAATGAGTCTGTCTTGGGCAAAAGGAGGTTAGATCGTAGGAGAAACGACTGATGAAGGGTATTTCGACTCCAAGTGAGGTTAGAGGGATTCAAGAATACGACGAGAAACAGTGGTAGAGACTGTATTATTATGGACGATTATTGATGAAATAGATGAAGAAAAAAAAGAGAGAGTGAGAGAGAGTTAGTCGAAGTGTCGTCGTGTTGTCTTTCTAGGCAGTCACTTTTGCACTATTTTTGGCGCCGATCATAATGCATCGCCAGTCACCACTTGCAACCACTGAACCAAGGTATTAATATTATTCCATCGAACTTTGATTACGACGACAGGACCCGAGTAGTATTATTTCTCCACAGTCCATATGTCAATCAAGGTGTCTCTGATTGTTTACGTTTTTTTCCCCCCAGACCACCGTCTGATCGCTCATTTGGCAGCATCCAATGTCTTGCGCAGATGAAACGCGTACCACCTACAGCGGAGTGATTCGTACCGGTATCTCATGGTTATTTGATATTAAGCATTACTGCGCATCTAGGAACCCGAAGCCATTATCCTGTACAGCAATCAAAAGACAGACATCTGAGAGAGAATGCAGTGGGAATCGACATGATCGGACTGAGAATCCCCCCAGTCCGTCTTGAAAGTCCAAAACATCGGCTGTGCAGAAGGTCCAAATTCGGAAGAGACACCCGAGTGTAGCCAAGAAGCAATCCACCAGTCCCCGAGCCTCCGAGCTCCGAGTACGCATGATTATCACCGTTCGTTCAAAGCCGTTTCAAGTACTCTTGCTCACATTAGTATCCCGTTTCCTCCTAATTCATTAAGTCTATACGACGAGCCGTGCGTCGCCATAGGTTGCGAATGATCATCCAAAGAAACGCCTCCCCTTTTCGAACGCCGGAAACAAGCAAGAAAAGCACCGGGGAAATCTATCGCGAAGAGGGGTTGGGTCAGATTGCGATAGATCGAAGGGGAGTACTTAGTCGGGAAGATGGCCTACCCATCGTTTACTGACTTCCCCAGTATCAGTCAACCACACACCGTCGTTGCGGCGTAATTCATACAGCGACACCCGTCATCATTTCACGACGATGGGCTTCCCGCAGCAGCAAAGACTGGAGACACAGGGCTGACGTGTGTGTCATAGATGCCTAGAGCAGCGCCCATTTCCGCACCGCTGTGGCCGGTGAGGAGCCACACGAGGCGGCTGAGCTTCTGGTACAGCAGCGATGGGAAGTAAAGCAGCAGCGCCCAGAACAGGAGCGACAGCACCACGATGACGAAGGTGTTGGCAACCAGCTTTTCTCCGGGAGTCATCACGTACAGTCCGAAAGTGACCTCGTAGCGGTAGTATTCCAGGTAGACGCGATCGGCGAACCGCTGCAGCACATTGCGACGAGGGTGCTTCATCAGCAGATGACTGACGGTCTGTGTACCAGACGTGTGCGCCATGGTGGGCGAATATTTGCTGAGGAACTCATCGACGGCAACCGGAGCATGGGATGAGATGTGCGTTGTGGTGGCAGGGGTGTAGAAGGTTTGGACTTCCGTTGCCATGGTGGTCGGGGGATGCTTCTGTTTTTGTTTCCCGCTGACGATTGCTGTTGGTATCCCTTCGGGGCTCTTCTGAGACAGACAGATCAAACAAATCGACTATCGGGGGGAGAGCGATCCTGTCACGTCCTTTTATAAAGGTCTTGCGAGGTGTTTGGAGGAGGTTCGCGCTTCAAACGTGCTGTTCCCTCCCTTGCGGTCCCTTCTCTGGTGGGCCTTATTGTACCGACTACTTTTCCAGCCACTTGTTAAGCGAGGGTCCCTAGCAGTACGATGGGGGTGAGAGCGATTCTCTGGGTGAATTTGGGGAAAGATGAATTTCAAGGGAGAAGCAGGCATCAAAACAGTCAAGTAATGAATCTAACGAGCGAAGTCCCGGAAGGACCGGAAGAGGGGTTCGCTGGAGAAGTGGGAAAAAAAAAAAAAGAAACACTAAGATCAAATTGCTGCACTTGAGAAGACGCCAAAGGGAGCGCAAGGGTTTCTATTTAAGACGAACGATGGAAAGACAGAGAGACCGGGACAACAGGATAGAAATATTAGTAGTAGTAGTAGTGGTACAGAGAAGGAAATGAGAGGAGACTGGGTGATGATGCTGGAGGGAAGGGGAAAAAAGGAAGAAAGAGAAGCAGTAGTTGGATACTTCCTATAGATACTCCAATGATCCAATCTTCATAGATACATGGATAGGTAGTAGTTAAAATGGATACTCCATACATGATCCCTCTGATGCTTATTATTGGAGAAAAGGGAGCCAAACCGGTAGGGCGCGGATAGGGACAGCCGCCACCAAGTTCACTAACACGATGAACTGATGGTGTGGCTGATTCCGGCAGAGCTCTAGATGCGTAGAGAAAGTATTCAAACGGCTGTTCTTTGCTCTTCTACATAGTCCTAGACTACTAAGTACAGTTGAAGCTCTTTCAGAAGGTTCATCATCATCAACTAGTTCATTGAATTCATCGTGATGGTCAGATTGGTGGAACTCTCGGCAGCATCCGCTTTCGTCCATTTCTCGGGTTTCTCTCGTTCCTTGATCGTTGCGTCTACTACTACTACTAGTCTACTACTACTAGTCTACTACTACTAGTCTACTACTACTAGTCTACTACATTAGTACATAGAGGTAATCACCCCCTTCCGGCACATGATACCACTCCGCAAAATTTTCATCTCAACATTAAAATATATATCTTTACTCCTTGCATTTCATATCAAGTCCATCAATGTTATTAATTTAGTTGGATTACCTAGTAAATAAAAACATAAATATACATATTTAGATATACTGAAAGTCTGGATTAATATCCAATTTTTCCAACATGTTCTGATGGTATTTTTTAGCCAGGTGAGAAGGTGTCTATAGAGCCTCATCTACCCACTCTTTCTTGATCTGTGTCTCATTATCCAGCATGAAAGTGAAGCTATTCGCATGGTCTAGATTCACTGGATTCACTGGATTCACTGGATTCGCTAGTGTAGTGAGCAGTGGGAGCCACTGGGGGGTAGGAGCATATGAATGCCTATCTAGATCCAGAGTTAAATAAGGAGAACTAGGCAGTGGATATAGTGCTGACTGGCATAAAGTCTAGATATGTAAATATCTCTCTAGATTAACTATAGATTAAGAGCCTCCTTCTGCTTCAAAGAGGCACTTTTAGTTAATCTCTATAAATGCTACCATCTCTCCCTCCCACTGAGAGAAGTGGTTGATGATATAGCTAGCTAATTGCTGCAGTAGAGGCATCTGCGGCAGTAATATCTGCAGTAGAGCTGGTGGAGCTGGCATTAAAGATAGATAGGAAGGGTAGTTAGATAGCAGAGTAGGCAGGGAAGACTATGAAGTCTTTATTTTTAGTATGTTTATCATAGAATTTTAAGTAGCCTAAGTCTCTTACTTTTGCTCTTCCTCCTCCTTCTTCTTCTACTCCTACTCTAGTTTCTAGGCCTCTATAGCCTTCACTTTCTTATCTTTCTCCTTCTTCTTTAACTCCCAGGCCTCACGGGCCTTTAGGGCCTTATCTAGGCTGCAGACACAGCCTAGAGATGGCTTAAACTTCCCTTTAGAGCGCTGTGAGCGTTGATTCTTTGAGGTAATAGTAGTACTAAGTAGATTATAATAGCTATTCTAAAGAAGGGTGATGCTATTTAACTTACTAATAAGTAGGTGAGTAAGATACTTCTTATATTTTAGTAAGGTAGTAGGTGATGCCTGCTATATCTACTGAAAATAGGAGAGGCATTCTTCTTCTGATATAGGGGTTTTAAAGCTAAGGGCAGAGGTAACTGGCTCTAGAGATGGAGAAGTAGTATCTACCTCTTCTAGAGCCTATTTCGCGTGCTTTATCACTGTTTTTAGGTTGATTAGCTAGAGACCTGAGGTTCTCTAGCCTGCAGAGATCTAGGTAGATATTATTAAAGCATTCTGGGTAGTAAAGAGGCCATCTAAAAAGTCTTCCTTTATAATATTTACCTAGCCAACACGTAGGTGCTTCCTAACTTCTATTAAATAGGTATAAGATAGCAGGCTGAATACACACAGATCCAGTGGTTGAAGCAGATGAGATATATGCAGTGGCATATAGATTAGGATGATCTGATTATCCTAACAGATCTATATAAATCTAAATAAAAGATGAGATTCATGCCCATTAATTAGCAGCAGCTATAATAGCTAATCTATCTTCTTCCCTGTATGCATCACCCAGCTTATATTTATCTAGGGAATAAAGATATATTAAAGCTATTTAATAGCATGCTGCCTATTACTATATCCCTTTAAAGAAACACTAATCTGCGCGTTAGGATCTATAAAATAAAGTAGCTAGCCTGTATGGATCTGCTTCCCTTTAAAGATGATATATAGTGAGAGATGCTTCCCATTCATACTATAGCATTCCAGAATAGTAGCCTATTCTTAATTATCTGAGCCAGTAGTATGGCACTACTATATACAGAGATAGCTTTAATATATGATTACCTTCTCTTTATAGCATGGAACACCCATACAGAATCCCTTCTTATCTATATTCTAGATATCTTCATGGAAGATATGATATTTCTCTATTATATACTTGAAGAGCTTAATAAAAGATAAAATAATCTGAGGCTACGCCTGAAGCATGTGTTTCTTATCTAGAAAAGATTCCTATGTCTGCTTAAATTTATAATAGTATTTAAAGAATTTTATGTGCCAGTGCACACTAACTAGCTTAAATTTAATGTCTAATTACTAGTAATTCTACTTATATAGAAGATTTACAGCATCCCTAAGCATCTTATAGCTTGGAGGGAAGCCAGATTCTATCTAATATATAATCTGATCATAGAGAACCTCCTCTTGGATTTCATCTAGCTTCTAGAATCATTAAAAAGCCTTAGATTATGGCTGCTATATGCCTTTCACCCAGTGGTATAGGGTATAGTAGTTAATTCTGTATATGTGAGCTACTTCATAAATTAACTAAAATTTATATTAATCCACAGCCTTAATTACTTTCTCCAGGTAAATAGCTAGGGGGGGTAGAAGAGGCAGCTCTCCCTTATTTTTACTGTATTCCACCTCTAATTCTCTTATAAGTGTTAAAGATAGGGAAGAAAGCAGCAATGATATAAAAAGTAGGCTCCCTAGATTATATGCCTATGTTTCTGGAATCTCCCTTATCTATGTAGGTGGTGAAGATGGTGGTAGAAGAGGGGGGGTGGTATGCAGTAGGCTTATAAGATATAGTAGTATTATAGGCATATTAAATTAAATTTCTTCTGAATTTTCAGTAGTGTCACTATTATTTTCTAGATATAAATATTAGCAGTGCTTTATTGTATATAATTTACTACTTATGATCTATTTTGGATGTGTTTTTATGGAATAATTTAATGTGGAATGTGGACAGATCTGTGGTTGAGATGAAAATTTTGCGGAGTGGTATCATGTGCCGGAAGGGGGTGATTACCTCTAGTACATACTCTGTAGGAATGAGTATTATGAGTTAGTGCGCGCCATGGAGATCATTAATAATCCTAGTACACTAGCTTCCTTTCCTCAAGCTTAGATAATTGATTACATCATCCTTGGTATCAGGTGACCAACAATTCAACATCAACAATGATTATTATTATTAGACAAACTCTTATGGCAGTTGCAGACTTCCTATGTACACTAGAATCTAGATACACGTGCGAGAGCTAGGGTCATAGTAGTAGTCTTATAGTCTCATAGATAGTAAGAAATTGGTTGTGGGAGGAACCGCCGAGTAAGAATAATAGTCTCGGGAAGGAGATCTCTCTACTCTTACGGAGTAGACTATGGGATTGGGAAGGACTGCCTATATCACGTGGGCCAGTGATGTCATATGAGGCACCACCAAATATCCAATAATCCCATCGCTATCAGTCTATCTCCATCTCTTATCAATCTTCCTGGCAACCACCGCTAGTACTGTTCTTCTGACAATTCCTCCCCTCTTCCCCCCCCGTCTCTATACCATACCATCCAGTCTCATCTATATCATGACTGGCGAGGAAGATCCTCTCATCCAGGCGCTGCCACCGGCTACCGACTATCTCACCTATCTCACCCTATTGGAGTACCAACTCACCCCCGCCCGCTTGCCCATTCTCCACAACCTGTTGCAAGATGAAGTCCTCACCACGAATATCGGATGGGACCTGGTCCAGCTGCTCCTGCCCATGCTTCCGCAATCGCTGGAATGTCTGCAGGATGTAGCCCGTCTGGGGAATCCGAGAGAAGTGATTCTGCGCGTGTCCGATGCGTTGATGAAGCTCGAGCCGGACGAAGACGATGATGAGGTTGAATCCACATCCGGCTCGGATGATGACAAAACCGCCAAAGATGCGACCGCCCCTCCACGGCATATCATGCAGTTCAACTGTCTCGTAGCAATGCTCTCGATCCTACACTCCCGCATCCAGACCAAATCCCCGAGCCGGTTTCTCGCAACCTCCCTGCAGGCGGTTCTCGAAGCGTATACCACCATGCCAACCAGTGAAACCACCGTGGCACTACTGGAGTTCCTCCGAGACGTATCGCCGACGAAGAGACCAGCACCCCCCCCGCGAGCCGCCAGTGAGTCCAGCGTGTTGCGAGTATCCGAAGCATCTGCCCCAGATCCCGAAGCCGAAATCCAGTCCCCGTCGCCCATGGCGGACAACGAGCCGGCACTGGTCAAGCGATTTCTACAGTTCGGTCTCATCGAGCTCCTCAAGTCGTACTTATTGAGTCTATCCAGCCCCCTAGATCCAGGAATGTCCTGGGCCATCCGAGTGCACGAAAAGATCTATCCGCAGACACCGGTGCCTGGGAAGGAATCGCAGATCGATGTGTATGCCAACGATAAACACCTAAGGGAGAGAGACATGATTATGGCGAAGATCACAGTATGCTCGACGCGGCCCCACAATTTGGAAAAGTCACTGACGCGATGTAGGCACTGTCGACGGACTTTGGGCTGGACGACCAGCAACTCCTTGCGATTGTCTCTGGGCCGCCGGAAGAACAACCTGCGCCCCTGGACTTTGATGAACCCCCAAAGAAGGTCGAGGAAATTCCACTCGAGAGACATGGCTCGCTGCTGCTTCTGACGGCTCGGGCGGCCATGGCAGAGCTGTTCACATCCGGCAAGGTTGCCAGCGTTCCAGTGTATCCCGATCTCGCTCGGATATATTCCAACTTCATCGGAGAGATTAACACTCCAGACGAGGTAGCGTTTGGACAGCCGCAGCCACTTCTCGACTCGCTGCTCGCCTTGACCGTCCTTGCGTTGCGCAACCCCAGCGGCATCCCCCCCACAGATGACAAGGAATTCGCAAACCTCGTCCTGGCCGTGACGGCCTGCACCGCACGACAGACATACAGTGCCACCCGGCAGCTCCCCGAAGTGTTTGTCCACAGCCACCCTTCGCAGACGGCGCGGTTCAAGATCATCCGCAAGGTCCTAGAAGATGACAAGTGGCAGACGGTAAAAGATCGTGCCATTGGCTGGTTGAAGAACGAGATCCTCCAGACATCCTCCAGCGCAGAGCCTGCCGACGAGACGAACATCTTCCTCAATCCCCACTACTTCTCCGTTCTGTTCCCCCTCCTCTTCAACGCGGCCGATCTCCTTCTCAACGTGTCCACTGACATCGTGGCATCCTGGGTCCGATTCTCGCAGACACTGGCTCCCTCGATCCACGCCGCCCTGAGCCTGTACTATATCCTAGTCTCCTCCCCAGCACTACGTACCCAACTCCAACTCGCCAAAACCCACCTCTACTTCCGCACCCGCCTCCTCGAACCCCTCAAGACCCTCTGCCACACCTTCGAAGCCGACCTCCCCCAGAACGGCGGCGAGGGCCGCATCGAGGCCGCCGTCGGCGAGGAGACGTGCCAGATCGGCATGGCTCGCTCCGTGGGGCTGATCGCGCACGTCGTGGAACAGGTCGAGGACGCGGTGGGCAATGCGCTTGCACCCCCGGATCTGGAGCTGCAGGAGCCGAGCGCAGATGACATTGCGCGCGTGGGCGCCATCCGCAAGGAAACCCTGCTTTGATTGTGTGGTGGTACCGTCAATCTCGAAATCGGCTTAACCAATGAACATATATGGACGATGATGATTTTCCTGCCCCACTGCCAAGACCTTAGCCTTAGAAGTCTATTGAGCCACCAGCCTTTAACTGAAGGCCAGTTCCCACGGAAGAGTACAGTTTTTAGATCTCTTACTATCCATACTACGGAGTAAGTCTCTTCTGAGTCCAGGAACGAGATATTCCCATCAAACACTTCCCGTCCAGCCAATAATCATAATGTCGGCGAGTCCAAAGGGGCCTCCTTCTTCGTCGTCCACCGCTTCACTGAACGCATCCAAACCAGTCAATCACAGTTTTAGATTACAACAATATAAACGCCGAAGGAGTTCCTGTATGGTATGATGCCCGGACTCATGCGTCTGTCTTCCTTGCCTGGCATGGTCGGATTGCATCCACCGTGATTGTCTCTGACCAAGTACTGCAAACCACCCGCCGCTAATGAAGCATTTGTACAGAGTATAAACCATGGTAGCATAAAGGACAGTCGGAACTAGACTACTAGGTAGGAATGGTCAATGGAGGAGTTTATTTACTAGAAGGATTAAGGAGTATTGTAAACTTATCGAGTACCTTGGATATCATTCCACCGTTCCATCCTAAAAGAAAGTTAAAGAGCGGATGGCTCAAATTCAATAAACTATTTAGATTTTAGACTACTGGTAGTTAAGGTCTTAGGTCAAGGCGATTTCCAAATTACTTAAACATGAAGTTGTACATACATACTCCGTAGTTGCGCACTTTCTATCAGCATACTCTGTAGCACAATGGGCAAATGAGCATGATGACAAGTGAACAGTCACCCCGTATGCGCTGCACATCCCTCAAGAGACTAGCATACCCATCATTGATCAATCAAGACCTTGACATTTTTTTCCAGACTAGACTAGACTAGACGAGACGAGACGACCGACCAAGTTCATCAATTCTCCTCGCGAAACAGAAGAAAAAAAAAACAACAAGGGTAAGTAAGTCCCAGCCCTGATACAACCCACCAAACCAGATCCCCCGCCCGAAAACCACAGCACACAGCCGGAACAAAATCAACAGTAGGTAAAAACCAAGAGAGTGGAAATTGGGGAAGAAGAAAAAAGACAAGGATGGGAAACCCCGAGTCGAGTTCCACCGGAAAACCCAGCAGATCTAGAATCTCATTATCTCCCTCCTCGTGCTTCCTCCCTCCCCCCTGCTCGCTCACCACCACTACCACCAACTACATAGCACACTCGACCCCCCACACCTCTTCCTCAGGGAGAAGGGGGGAAGGGCAGGGGGCCTATAGACACTTCACACTTCGATAGACGGAAAGGAAAGAAGAATAACCGCTACTCGCAGCACGCCCGCATTTCTGGTCGTCGTCGTCGGAGGGTTTGTTCGGGCCCGGGGGGTTTCAAATTGTCGAAATCAGATTATGGTCTGGTTTGGTTCTTCGAGGGGACTTTTGCGGGCGGAAGGCGCCGTGGCCCTGGATTTACATGACGACGCAGCCGCCGCCGGGGGAGGCTATGATTGCAGTTAGCATGGAGTGTTATGTAATGGATGGGGATGGGGATGAGATGGGAGCGAAGGACGTACCCTTGACGATGGCGGTGTTCTCGACGGTGTTCTGGGGAGACATTTTGGTTGAGTTGGGGGTTTGCTTGGAGCAGAGATTGGGCTTGAAGCTTTGGTTTTTGAGGTTTGGATGCGTGATGATGACGATGATGGAGAAGAGGAGGTTGAGCTGGGGGATGTCCATGGCGGCTTTATATCTTTGCTCGCTCGGTCTTCTGGTGTGCTTCGTTGCTCGCTGCTCCCTGCTCGTTCTGCTGAGTCGGCCTGCCAACGCAGCTGGAGGTGGATTCTCGAGTATGCTGTAGGAGGAAGAGGTGTGTGTCTGTGGTTCGGCAAGTTGAAAGAAACGACTACATCTCGTGGGATGTTGCTAGGGGATTTGCGCACCGTGGCGTTCCTTGAGCTTTGGGATAACGAAGAAGGTACGTAGTATATTCATGCAGCCAGCGTTCATATTCTTCTTGCGAGAATCAATGGGGACCTGATGACTCCTCCGCGCTGTGACTGGCGGGCCCATTCAACGGGCTTGATATTGTTCTTCACTCGGAGGCTGCTGTTGCCGTGCTTCCTCGCCGGCCAATGCTAGTTACACTGTGGCAAGCATTCTTCTTTCAACGTCAATGATAGGCTTCGGGCTTATCTCGCCGAGTTATGGAGAAAGAAGAATCCATGCTGCTGGAGAGAGTTCAGCTCTGGACTTGCGATCTGCAACGCGGAGATGTCAGTGCGAGGTCTTACTGAGTACTACCATTCAGTTGCTTAACGAATAGAGGAGTGGATACTCGAGAGGGCAAAGAGCCTCTTCATGGCTCTGCAGTTGAGGGACCAATTACCAGCGCTCCTGACTCAAGGTGCCTCGTGGATATGAGATAGTGGCCATGCACGAGAACAATAGAGAGCCAGATACTCGAGTATCGTGTTCAGCGTGTGCGGGAAGAATGACAATAGGGGTTGGAGGTTGTGAAAGTCAGGGTGGCTGGCCAATCGGTCAGCAGGTGATCGGCCTGCTTCGTATTGTTCTCCCCGGGACAATATCAACTCAACTCAACTCTCCCTGAGATTGTGGCGGAAACCTCCAGATTTCGACAAAGAAAAAAAAAAAAGAGAAAAAAGACCAAGAAATGTTATATTCATCATTCGCGATAGGTAAAGAAGATACTCAAATATCCAAGATCCCTACTATTAGGTATAGAGCGGCTCCGTCAGCTCATTCAGAGCCAACCCCGACTTGGCCACATCCTCCTCGATCAGGAACATCAACGGCATCTCCACCAATGTACCCTTTACCTGACTCAACAGTTCCTTCACCTCGCGCACGCCTTCAGCGCCAGGGGCGAAGTTGTCCCGAACGACATGCCCGTACTGGAACCGCGAAGGCCGCGAGTCCTTCTCCTCCTTGCCATACGCCTGCTTGTCGGAGCCCTGGAAGTAGTAGCTGTAGAACTCCCTATATGAGGCCCAGTCGCGTACTGTGTCATCGGGAACGGCGTGGAAGACTTTACGGAATACTTCTGTGTTCGTCCTGGAGCGCGTGTTCCAGAGGCTCTGGAGGGTGTCTGCGAGGGGATCGGCGACGATCCTACTCTCAGGGGCGTCAAAGTCGAACTGGTTGGGCACGCCGACTGGCTCTGAGTTGGCATCCGGCCGCTGAGGGTCTTCTGGGGGCAAAAGACCGAGGTGCTTGCGGAACAGTTGCCGGCGAAGGGAGGCGGCAAAGCGGCTGGCGGTCCATGGCTGGCCATTCATGCTAGACTGCACGGGGGTCTGGTCTTCGATGATGACCGCAATCTCGGAGTCGTGGTCGCCTAGCTGAGATCGATCGTTCAGGTTGGCGGAGCCGCAGATGACCACCCGATCATCCGCAATCATGACCTAGCAAAAAGAAACAAAAAGCGTTAGTTGATTCATTCCTCATTCAGTGTTGCTGACTGCATACCTTGGAATGAACATAGAGTTCCTCCGTGACGAAAGCATCAATCTCAGCCTCACTGGGCCCTTCCCAAGGCACGTTCCGAATGTCCTCGCCGTGGAGCATATAACACTCGCTAACACTGTCCCATCGGCCGGATGTCGACTTGGTCGTCGACACTTGGTGAGCAGCTTGCTGGTACTGCTGCTGAAATGGGACGCTCGTATCAAAAGCGGTCCGAGTAGCACCGGGGCCATAGCCGCCTGGGCCAACGGTGTTCAGATCATGCTGCTTCCGGGCGTCCTCATAACTAACACCACTCTTCTGTTCAATCTCCGACATGCGGCTGTTCGCATTGATCCGGTCGTAGTTGCGGAGGTTATAGAATCGGATGTATTCCATCGGGTTATATCCCTCCTTAGCAATGAGCTCCATGATACTGTGGCCGCCCCGATTGATCGAATTGTACTGGAACTCCATAATTGCACGCGTTCCCAGAGATGCCTCATCTTCCAGGTCCCCAGCAAAGCAGGGTACCGTGGGGATCACCACGATGATCTTATACTTCTGGCCTGCCCGAGCAGCACGTAGGATACGCTCAACGATGGCAGCACCGATCTGGTTCCGAACCGGTTTCTGGGAATCACCAGTCGCCGTGATGAAGAACTGGTTCTCGATGTACACAAAGTGCTCACTGTTGCGGATGATCGCTGCATATGCGTCGGCAATCGAATGCTCGGTGGGTGTTCCGTTACTCCATTTCGTGCAGCTGCGCACGATCTGGCAGGACATGTTGCCTCGCTGCTGGGGACCAGGGCGCCCGAAGGAACTTAGACGATCCTGGTACTGATGCACCTGTCCCGCCAGTTGCCCGCGGAGGACATTGCCATAACCCGTGATTTCGTCCTTGAAGCGGCGAGGGTTGAAACTGCTGCGGTCGGGGTCACCTTGGCCCCGTGAGCCCTCATAGTAGTCGTCCATGCCTCTTGTCTGGGAATGGGATCCCTCCTGAGTTGGAGGTGGAGGGAAATAAGGTGCCTGACCTTGGCCCTGATTGGGCGATTGAGCCGATCCATAAGACTGAGTTGGAGTCGACCCATAAGATTGGGTTGGCGGTGGCCCAGGGGGAGGTGGTGGGAATGAGTCCCCGGTGTAGGAGTACTGGTGGGAGCCGGTCTGGGCTTGCGATGGCGACTGTCCACCGTAGCCAGGCGATGGAGGCTGATAGTTTGGTGCTCCTTGGCCACCAACGGTTGTCTGGGGCGGGTAGGCCGAGAGATCAGCTGGTTGCTGAGGCTGGTGCTGCTGCTGGTACTGAGGTTGGCTCTGCTGCTGGTATTGGGGTTGATGTGGTTGCTGCTGCTGCTGCGATTGAGGTTGATTATTCGCAGCCGACTGCTGTTGGCTTGTAGAGGAGCTGGGCCGACCGTACAGCGCAAGTTTCGAGTATCTCACATCCTTGCGAACCTGGTACTTGGTGTCGTAAATAAAGTTCCACCGCTCTACAAAATGCCGGCGCAGATCTTCCACGACCTGACCGTGCAGACTGACCGAGATATCAGACCAGCCCATACGCGAGGTCCGTTCCCGATTGAGCTGGTTCTTCTCCCAGTGCACGACATCCTGAAAGTCGAGAACTCGCGCGTTGTTATAATCTTGGCCAGGGAAGACGATATCGTCGAGATTGGTTGGGTGGACATCAGCGATTGCATGCTGATGTGTATCCCAGCGGCCAAAGCACATGTCCAGGCCGCCCATGAAGGCAATTCTGCCGTCGATGAGACACAGCTTTTCGTGGTGCGCCCAGTAGAGAATCACATCCTCGTTCATGCCATAGATACCCTTGAGCGCATCACCGGACATCTTGGCAAGTGAGACGGTGTCCAGGGTCAGATTCTGCAGGGTTGTAGTAATCGAGGAGTGGAGATTCTGACGATCGGGAAGATGGTCGGGGTGACGGAACACGGCGATGTTCTGGTGGAGGTCCTCGAGAGCATGCTTGGTATGGGAAGACGAGACTGTAGTAGAGTTAGAAACCAGCATGTGCCGTTCATCCATCCCTCAGCCGATACGTACGAGTCAATGCCTGGGTCACCTCCTTATACACGATGATATTGACGCGCACTCCGCGCTGGGCAGCAGCGTGCAGCATCCGGTCCAGGCGATATTGCTCATTCTTCGCCGGTGGACGTCTGAGGTACAATTCGGGGGACAGCCACCCTGGTGACGATTATCAGCTTCAAATAATATGCTCAAACGGGCGGGGCCACTTACAGTCCAGAATCCAAATCGACTCCTTAGCACTCTCTAGTGCCTTCGAGACGGCATAGAAGTAAGAGCACCCGTCGACATACCACTTCGCATCATTGGCCTGCCGGGGCGCAGCAAAGCTGCCGAACCGTTGCTGCGATTGGGGTTGGGGCGTGCCATATTGCGCGTACGCCTGGGGGTCGAGGGCCGTTCCGAGCCGTTGGGCCACATCTGTTCCAAGAGTGGCGACGGTGTCCTGAAACTTTCCCAGCAATCCGGAGAATTTGTCCTGTTTCGCAGGCTTTCCTTGGTACCCGGGTTCCTGGTACGCGGGGTTCTGGTTCTCGTTCTGGTTCTGACCCTGGGTTCCATATGGATAGGTCTGCGGCGCGCCTTGATTCGGGGAGAAATTCTGGCCCTGAGCAACAAAATCATCAACAGCTGACTTCCTCCAGGTGAACCCAAGACTAGCAAAACATGTCTGCGACACTTACACCGTAACCCCCTGGATTATAACTGCTCTGGGGCTGATTCTGTCCCGGCGGCGGCGACTGCGAGTGGTGCTGCTTGTAGGTATTCCGCAGCTTGTTGAAGGTATCACCTACAAAACCTCTTGTGCTCTCTCCCTGGCCGTCATCCCGCTGGTAGTACTTGCCGTAAGCCAGATCATCCTCTCGTCCCGACATGGCCGGCTGTCAATATGAGCGGACCGGATGATAAGGGGTTGACAACGGAAACAACAAGATACTTGGTGATTCGGCAGCGCTGAGAACGATGAAATTACACGGCAAAATCAATGGTCAACGAACAGATGTCAGACGTAACAATGCACGAAGAAGTACCCATAGCTATTTATTATTCGACCGCGGGGCAGAGATCAGCCCAGTTTCACCATCACAGCGCACAGCCTCACCATCCCGCTCAGCCTCGTTGGTTTGTTGACGGCGCGCCACGTTTGCCCCGCTAGGGCCGGATAGAGTGGAGAGACATTGATAGTATGACTGTATGAGTGATGCACAGGCTTGATGACTATGTTAGTACGGAGTATGTGTCGGATTGATGATAATGTTGGAGCCTGGAGATCCCACATCTAAACAGGTGTATAAATAATGAAGGGCTTACTCATTAGTCCACAGTCCACACGCATAAATGTCCCCGCTGAAATATACATCTCACATATGGGTCCCTTCTAGCTGTGTCTCATCACTCATGTAATAGAACTCATAATGAGACTTCTACTCCATGTTGAAACTGATACAACTGATACATATAGCATTATTGCAATCATAGCTCTTAGACCTCTAATATCATTCATACTCATAGCATACAAATCTGAGAGATTGTGTGAATCTCCTCACTGACTGGTACCGTAGTACCGTAACTCCCAACCCCGCAGTGCACTGTGGTCTCATATAATACCGTACCGTAAATACCTTATCATCAATGCAAACAAAAGTGACAACTGAGGGGTGTCAACTGTAACATTACCGTATCAGTCTTGACTCCTCTTATCTCCCCGCATCAACCGTTGGAGAAGATCGTCCACTGCTGGTTATTTAAGTAAGAGTGACATCGCCCTGAAGGACTTCATCCAGTCAAGCTTTGTTTTCAATTGAACTCCTATTTAACAGCGTAGTGACTCTCTCTTCCTATATCCAGTCTAAACCCCTCGCACCAGATACCTACATCCCAACAATGTCTCTCGCAACCCTTGACGTCAGTCCACCAACACCTACTAAGCCAAAACAACCACTAACCCAGCAGCACCCAACAGGCCACCCAGCACCCCAACCTCCCCCAGTCCTCCCAGACCCTCTTCAGCGCCAAAGCAACCAAAAAGCTCACCTTCGAGCAGATCGCCCAGCACATCGGCCGCAACGAAGTCGCCGCCGCCGCCATCTTCTACGGCCAGGCCAAGGCCTCGCCCGAGGACATCGAGAAGCTGTCCTCGCTCCTCGACATCCCCACCCCGGTCCTCGAGGAGCAGCTCGGCGGCTTCCCGGACCGCGGCCGCTCCGTCGAGATGCCGCCGAAGGAGCCGCTGATCTACCGGCTGTACGAGATTGTGCAGAACTATGGGTATGCGTACAAGGCGGTGCTGAACGAGAAATTTGGGGATGGGATCATGAGTGCGATTTCGTTTTCGACAAAGGTCGAGAAGGAGACGGACGCTGATGGGAACAATTGGGCTGTTATCACGCTGAGGGGGAAATGGTGAGTCTTTTTCTTGTTTTGAGGTGGGATGCTTGGACTGGGTGCTGATTGTTCTAGGTTGCCTTTCTCGCGTTTCTGAGGGTGTCGCTTAGTAGGGAATATGGAAACCTATGATAATGGACTTGATATAATTTCAATAACAGATCCTTAGTAGAGTAGGTGTGATACAGATGTGCCATTATAGTGCTAGTCTCTCCATGGCTGAACCACTGCTTCTTATTGTAAAATATGAGAAATGAAGTGCCAGATACCATGGTGTGAATACTATACCTTCAAGGTGATTCATACCTTTCATGGAGTAGTGCTCAACGAGTGATTTTGAAGTCATATAAAATTCTATAAAGAGAGGGTCTAACATAATAGTGAATAGGTATCAGTGCTAGTAATTGAGTAATTGTACACTCATAGAGCAAGCTTTCTCACTACTCCTTCTTTCAAAAGATCCAACACAATCTGCCAAACTTCACTTCCATCGTTCTCCTTCACTCCTGCTCTTACAGTTCACTCAACCTCGCTCTCACCCACTCTTGTCCACTCTCACCTGAATACCTCATCTCCAACACAACCCTCAACACACCAACCTCAAAATGTCCGGTCCAGCGACCCCCAGAAAGACCCGCTGCACCTTCCCCAACTGCCCTCGCCTCTTCGATTCAGTCGAGGAGATGAAGAGACACAAACGCTTCACTCCCGAACACGAGTACTGCAGCCGCTGTGATGAGGACTTCCAGGACGAGCAGCGGCTCCTCATCCACAAGATCAAGAGCAACAAGCATATCGTCTGTCCCATCTGCGGCATTGATTTTCGAAGCGAGGGGGGCCGCGATGTGCATATTCGCCAGGTGAGTGAGGGGTTTTTTTTTAAAAAAAAAAGAAAGAAAGAAAGAAACGAACCTGAGACATACCACAAGCAGAGAGAGAAAGAGAGAGAGTAAAAAGTAGACAATGTCATACTAACGACCATGATATGAATGACAGAACCACCGCGCCGAACAAAACCTCGAATGCTACGGCTGCAAAGCTCACTTCAAAAGCGCTAGCAGCATGATGCGCCACATCGAAGACGACGAGTGTCCCGGCATCACCAGAGCCCGCCTCCTGCAGGAGAAGTCCAAGAAGCTCATCATCAAACAGGCCCTTAAAGTCGGCGAGGGCTCGCCCATGCCCATCATCCCCGGCCCGAGCGACAACGACGACATCGACGGTGGCGTCAAGGTCGATCCAAACCCGCTCGAGTACGACAACCGCGAGGCGATGGCCCACCAGCCCAAGCTGGGCGAGCACGACCCCACCGCCAGCGTCTCCGCCATGCTGGCGCTGAAGCACTGGCCCCAGCCACCAGGACGGGCCCGCGCGGCGGTTGGTGCCGTGCCTGTGGAGCTGATGGCGTTCTCAGAACTCGCGATTGTGAATGGGACTCGGGCGCAGGGGTGGAAGGGCAAGGAGCCGCTCCGGGCGATCCAGGAGTCGGCGGAACAGGAGGAAAATCAAGGTCATCGTCCGTTTGGCGTGGCAGCAACCTTCGATGCGGGCCAGACGCTGCGAACGCTCCAGAGTAACTGGGATGCGACCAATTTCTTCAACTCGTACAGCGGCGAGTACGTCTGTCCTTGCGGGGCACGGTTCAACACCATGAAGGAGTTTGAGGAGCATATGATCATGAAGAGTCAGGGAGGGAGAGGCATGCAGTAGGTGTGGTCACTTCGGATTTATACAGACTTAAGGTTAATATCATTGCCAGGTGTCCTGGATGCCAGAAATTCTTCAAGACCACTGCCGCTCTGGTGGCCCATTGCGAGTCGGCCAGTACCCGCTGCTATATTAACGACAACCATCAGTTCGGCCAGATCATCGACGAGATGACCGGCGGATTGATCCAGGCGGCTGGTTATAATCCCGATGGAACTGTCAAGTATGAAGCCGGCAAGCTGGACTTGACCAATGCCACCACAATCGGCGTCGACGCCAGCAAGTTCAAACGGTAAGTGGCGGAGAATGATGACTAGCGGGACTGTATCGATGCAACCATTGTATCTATAAAGGTCCACTGCATAAGGTTATCAGGAGGGATAGAGAGTTCTTTGAACTTCCAGCACAACAACACACGTTCCACATGGGGAACCCATAACACCAGAACAATCAAGCCATCTATCAATATCAGTTCACGAGATATGGTATTCAATTCCATGATACTCAGAAATCAGGTAGCGAAGGGTATAATAATATGATAAACAAAGTAAGTCCTCGACAAGCGAATCGGACCAAGCACACCGCAGAGCCATACATCTCGTAGCTCGTCTCCACTCCAGTCTAGAGAACAACTCCTTCACAGAACCTAACAGCAGTCCTCGCAGCACTCGAAGCAGAGGATACCCGCACACCTGACGCCGAATTAGCCCAGTCCGCAATCCATCCAATGGGACGATCAAACATACACTCCACAGCACACATCTCCAGCACCACCACCGCGCAGCTGCATCTTCATGTCCTCCTGGTTATTCTTCGAGTATATTAGCGATCGTGTTGGTTGCGTGGAAAGACAACGAGAGACGAACCGGTTGCTCCGCTACAACACGCTCCGTGGATGGAGCCTCGGGGCTCGCGGGCTGTTGCATGGTGAGCGTGGCAGGATCCCAGGTTGGCTGCTGCTGGGCAGGAGCAGCATCCTTGGACTTGAAGAAATCAAAGAGACCCATTTTGATGATTGAGGGTGGATTCGGTAATGGTTATGCGAGAGAAAGGAAGAGTTAAGAGGGAGGAGAGAAGTGTGGACAGTTTTGGTTCCAGTTGACGGACTCGGGGAGTACAAAGAAACGGAAGCACGGGGAGGGATCGTGGTCAGTTATATAGGCAGTTGCGGCAGAACGGCCACTAGAATTGAAGCCGCACCGCCACTTACTTTTTATTCCCGCTTATACGAGGGACTGGCCCTCATTGGAGAAGGATATCCTGTGTTGTAATCTCGTGGTGGAGCTGACGGACAGCCGTCTCACAGCCACCTGCCCTGGAGATGATCCATGCTACTCTGCCCTAGCCCTGTGGATTGGCGGTGTTAGTGGGACGCTTGTTTTGGGTCTGTCTGTTTAGCGCTTGGTCCTTTGAGATCGTCATAATCAATCCAGTCGTATCGTTTTGACCTTTTTCGAACTTTCGAAGATATTCAAATCCCCCTTGTACCCACTCGAAGAGAGTGTTGAATATGAACCGCTGGAGCTCAACATAAATCCCCTGCAGTCTAGTTTCATCTCGATATCACCGCAATTCGATGAGAGAGCATGCAGTAAGCATGAGACAATTTGAATGAACCTTTTTTTTCATCCTTTCCCCATTGGGCATAAAAGCGCTTCCTGCCGGAGCGTCCGTAGTGTGCATACTGCATAGGTTTCTTGTGGCTTGCTAGGCAACTTCATTTCGGCCTGTACACAGTAGGCTGTAACCCACTCTTCCATCGCCCTAAATCTCGGGTTCTGCTGGATAGTGATTGGCATGGACCACAGGGGCCAAGCTTTGCTTAAGCTTCCATTTGTCCACCTTGGCGAGTGAGCTATTCTTAGAGTCAGTCAGCACCGCCTGTTTGGTGTCTGCCGAATTTGCCGAGTGCTCCGTAGTAGCAGCGTAGCCTGTAGGCCCATCATGATACTGATAGGGCTGGAATTGAGTGTTTTCAGAACGACGCCATCTCCGATCAGATAGCTTTAGGGATGTCCACTTCCATCTTTCATATAGATACGCGTCGCAGTTCGCACTCGTCGCAAGTCAACAAAGTCTTGACTCTTAAGAGAAGCAATGGCACTAAACCCAGCTGGGTATAATGAGAATTATCACGTGACCTTCATCTCTGGGCTGAACGGGCCACCGTAAATTTTGCTTCAACCGCCGAGAGAAATAATAGCCAGCTTATTGAACAGCCTCAAATAATAAAACACCTAAACCCATCACATAATAACATAATCTCCTCAAATCCGCACCTAAAAAACAAAAGAAAATAAACCAAAACAATAAAAACCTCAATAATCTACAACAAACCTACACCCACCCTCAAAATGACTACCCAAGACAACCCAGACATGCAAGCCATCCGACAAGCCGACTACATCCGCTTCAAAAATTACGCCGCGCTTACCTTCCTCGTTGTCTCGCCGGTGCTCATCGCCCTACCTCCGCGGAAACTAGACCACCTCACCGTCCTCCTCACCGGCGCTTTCTGCGTCTCCGCGAACCACCTCACCCGCGAACGCACAGGACGCAGCATCGTCGAGCGCATCGAGGCGCGCATTGCGTCCGCGCCATCCATCGCCCCGGCGGACCTCCCCAGCCAGCGCGCGCAGGAGGTGCAGGCGAAGCTGCGGGCGGCGCGGGACGCGCAGATCCGCGAGGGAGGGCTGGTGACCGAGGAGCTGGAGAGGTTGAAGGCGCGGCAGGTGCAGGAGAAGGGGGTCGCGGAGCGGATTTGGATGGGTGGGGAGACGGAGGGGTGGAAGGAGAGGCGGCTCAGGGAGGAGCAGAAGGCACTGGAGGAAGGGAAGGGGTATGGGGATCTGATCAAAGAGCATATCTGGGATGTGTGGACGTGGGGGCAGAAGGATGAGTCGGAGGGAGGAGAGGAGAAATGAGATATAGGGTCAGTGATTTGCTGAGATGATGCTTTGAATGTGTATATTATGTATGATATTTGTATATTTGTATATAACAACAAGTCTGGTGTTGGGGCGTTGGGTCATTGCTCGAATCGGTCTTTGGACCTCGAGATGGAGAGACAATCTACAACTTCACTCTACACTCTACACTCTACAATAGATCATCAAGTGAAGGAAGAGAAAGCGCAATTCCATTCAAAAGAAAAAAAAAATCGTCACAAAACAAGTGATCATCAACGCACAATACAACAAATATCCCCCCATTCGGGCTATGGATCAAGGAAAACCTCCTTGTCACTTCATGTGAACAAGGTAAAAACCTTAAACAGGATAGACAAACCAAGTATATCCTCCAGCTGTCTGTTTGGGCTTGGACAGCTTTTACCAGAAGATTCTCTCTCTCTTCCTCATCCCCAGATAAATAAGTCCTCCCACTTCATGTGGAGGGAACTTGTCTCGATGGACCTGGTCCTATAAAGGCCAGTCCTTTCTCTCATCCCCAGAAAGAGTTGTTCTCCCACTTCATGTGGAGGGAACTTCACTCAATGGATCTGATCCTGTGGACCAGTCCTTCTCCAAGACAAAAATGCCTCCCACTTTATGTGGAGAGAACACTACATCCCCTTCAGTTGTCCCTTGTTGGAACTTCAAAAGTTTCCTCCGCTGGGAATTTCCCTATCCCGTGGCCGGCGCCGGCCATATCCTTTTTCCCAAACGTGTTTCTTCGACTGATTGTTCAGTCGGAATGTCAAGTTGAATCCAGGTCCAATCACAGAAGGGAGTCGAAAGGCGAAAGGAAACACGGACCAGTTAGAAGATCTGGCTGTGCTTCGGAATTGACTTTGCAGAAATGACTTGTTCGCCACACAGGATCGAATTGACTCGACTCAGGCGGGTTCGGAAGCGGTTGATGGGATTGAGGTTTGATTATTTGGAATGGATTCGACTTGAGATTTGGCACCATGTTGACTGCTGCTAGCCCGATAGTGACATTCGAGAGAAGAGCGAGTCGAAGTCATGAACGAAAGTGATATGGTCGACATCCATTGGGGCCCTCAATGGAGTCGCCAGTCATTTTGATCGTTCTTTGGGTGTGTGTGCTTGTAAATTAACTTTTTTTTAAAAGGTTATAGTCCTTTTGACTTTTTTTTTGTGGTTTTAGTCTTTTTTTTTTCGGAGAGAAAAGTTATGCGTTTTTTGTTGTTTTTCTTCCGTCGGGCATCACAAGCAGTCAATCTGATGGTGTATTTCTGTTGGGGCGCGGCATTGGCCGACGCCAACGCCCCAAAGGATGTCATTTCACAGGGGGGTTTGAGATGGCCAGGGCCCAGAATGGACAATTGCTGGGACTCGCTGGCGCCCCCTGGAGGAGCTTGACAATTCAGAAATAGAAGGGAGCACCGCCCATTTGGTAGCAGGTGCTCCCCAGGGCCTCGTCATTGAGAGCGAGGTCCAAAATGGCAGAGGCCTGTCAGAAGGTCAGCGAGAGATCTCAGAAACAGGGAGAGACGGTACATACAAGGCAGTTCATTGCCATAGCCCCGCGAGTGAGGTCCTCAGCCCTCTATATGAAGTGGTTAGTAGGATGATCCAGCTCATGCAGGAAATGAACTTACCGTTTCAAGGAGGGGAGGAGCGTCAACCATGACCACATCGGGGTCAGGCTGAGGAGCCGCGATGGGAGCATACGCATCTCTCATCACCACGTCGCCATCCCGGGGGCCAGCGGGAGCAATGAAGACTTTCTGTGCGTGCTGTCCACGCTGTCCACGTCGTCCACGCTGGCCGTTGTTAGGACCGGGTTGTCTAGGCGCCTAATCTTGTTGTCAGTTCTAGAATCATACACACAGCCATCAGCAGAAGAAAGGCACTCACCGAATTTTGCTGCGGCTTTCCGTTTCTAGGCATTTTGCCCAGGTTATTGGGAGTGAACTGATTCTTGTTCACCCCATTTGGTTTGGGAGACCGACGAGGCTGCTGGCTTGGTCTTTGACCTCCAGTTCTTCTGCCCCGCCGTCTGTTCCCCTGAGGGGACTAGCAAGATCATCAGCTAATTGCCCGAATCCTTCCATTGACAGGGTAGAAGGTTCATCTCAGCTGGATACTTACTTGTCCATTGCGGTGATGACCACCGGAGGGTTGTCCAGTTCCATTCGGCAGCCCGCCATTTGAAGCAGAAGCTTGAAGAAACCTGGCGTTGTGGCCACCGAAACCCGAGCCGGAGCTCAAGGGATTTGCGTTCATTCCGTTGCTATAGAAAGCCATTGGGTTTTTAGCTTTCCGGAAGAAAGAGGAGAAGAACAGATTCAAGAAGGTGAAGGTATTGCGGTTTTTTTTTTTTTTTTTTTTTTTGATGAATGCCCACTGCTACCGGCTCTGGTCGGTTTAGCTTATTCTCAAGAACGGATCCCTTTATTTCCTTCGTGAGGAAAAAAGGTTAAAAAAAAAAAGACAATTTAACAACGGATTATTTTTGGGGGGGATTTTTTTTTGCCCAATTTGTTAGAGGATTTTTAAACAATTTTGAAAGCAACGCTCCGATTTCAGCCCCTACTGAGGGACTCGTATAGCAGTGGGGTGCTTGAGGTGAGGTCTGCGGTGTGGTCTTGATAATTTTGAAGAGTTCTTGATGTGTTCTTTGGTTTCTTCGAGTTGGAGACTGGTAAAAGCACACTGATCTTGGTAGATGAAGAAGGAAAGAATCAGTATGAGCCCGGGAAGAGAATGGAGGGCTTGATATAGACGGGAGGGCATCGCAGGCAGCGATCCAGAAGTTCTGAGTTCTGGACATGACCATGGTCGTTAATTGCGGTCGTTGACGACCGACTGCTGTCATTGAGTTGCAAGATCGGTAGAAGCGAAGGTAGCCATGAGAAGCAAATCTTGGAGTCATTTTGTAGTCAGAGCTTTGTCTGAATTGCACGACAGACGGATGTGTTGATCGCTGCAAGTCAATGATGTATACCCCAGATTTGTGCAGAAACTCAATTTGTTGTTCCTGAACCAGCGGAAATAAGCTTATTTAGCTCAGGCTCCACCTAAAAATAGGCCCGTTGCAGGCATTTCAGCGGCTCAACCATGACAAGCACTGGCAGAACAGGCACCCGTCCACTACCACAACACCAATTGGCTGTCGAAAATAATCCTTCCATTGATTTTCGGTGTCAATGGATGGTTCGAATGCGAAATTTTCCGTGTCCTGCATTGTTTTTAGCAATACCACTCACTTCGAAATGAAAATAAAGGTGTCATACCTGACTAAAAAGCGTCCAACTCGAAGACGTCCCTAACTTCAAGAAGCCTTCCTTTGTCTCTTTGTTCCTGACGTCGACTGGTTGTCAACGAAAACTTCCGAACCACGCTTTCTCTCTGCAGGTTTGCTACCGTCTGCCTGCGACGAGGAATTCGTAGCGCTGCCTACATCCACCGCGTCGGTCTTTGTCTTCTTCCTCCTCGGTCTGGATGCACCACCGGCCGAGGAAGCGCTACCGTTCGACGCGAGACTATCCCGTTTTCGCTTCTCTGGCTTTGCGTCGCCCTTCTCGGCCCTTGCATCCCTCTTCTTGCGCCGCTCCTCCTTGATCTTCAAGCGCCGCTGTACCTCCTCCGAGATATCTTCCGTCTCCATCGACACGGGCATGACGTCCCGCACATCGATCTCGCTGCCTGCGATGACCATTTCCCGTCGTTTCCGCTTTTGAGATCGAGTAGGTTCCACGTCTCCTTGTTCTTCACCCGGGCGAACGTCAATGTCTGCCTGCACGGCGTCCTCATCCATCCTCAGCCGTTTCTTTCCTTCGGTCGAGTTATTACGTCGCGATGAGTCGCTGTTGCCGGGCATTTCTGTTCTCGCTCCCTGATCAGGCACACCCCCGAAAGACGCTGGTCCTAAACCCAAAAGTCAATTCTCTATTCGTCCTCACCAAATCTCGCGCGAAAACGGAATCCCGTCGGCAAAAGTTTCCCTGCAGGAACTTACGATTCATCTAGTTCCTATTGTTAGCAACAGCAGAACACTTTGCGCATGCCAGGCAGACACCCACCAATTGCTTCTTGATGACTTGGAATTGCGTCACCAGTTTATTCGTCTTCTCGACCATCGAGGAAATCAGGCGGAAGGCGTCACCGTTGCCTGCGACTTGGTTCTTGACACCGTTGAGCATATCCAGGTGCGACGAGAGGACGGATTCGTGTTGCGAGCAGATCTATGGTTCGAAATTCTCTGTCAATGAATGCTCCAGGCACCTATGTGTGCTGGAATCGGTCGAGATGCACTCACCTCCGGCCAGGACGATAGTCTGCGTTGCGCATTCAAATTTTGCGATTGAGGTTTGTCGCCCTGTTCGTCGCTACATTCTTCGACGGTTGGGTTTCGAGGAGGCTGGTAATCGCTTGAAGGCATCGTGAATCGTGAATACAACGTTGAGATAAAGTTGGCGAAGTCTTCCAGAATCGTGATCGACGCAGCTGTTGCACAAATTCGAGGGACTCCGCGCCAAGACTCCGCGAGCTGCCCGTCATTCACTTTAGCGTCTCCACCAGCCAGTTGAGACTACAAATACTGTTGTCCAAGCTTTGCACTGCATGTTATTCCTGCAACTTCGGACCCAATATAATTCAGATCATTTAATAAACGGATCTACCAGGATGATTTATGAATTCCAGAAATATAGAATAAGTGCTGTACTATACCACATCGTAAGCCATTATATGCTGTATTGATTGACCCATCCATACCCAGTTTGCAGCCTGTGTTCGCCCAATGCGCCCTAACAAAGTCCAAATCATGCTCAATACGTTGCCCAATACTAATACAGGTTATCGCAATCCATGTTCAACCCATATCAGGCTACCATGCACCGGGGTCGAAATCGAACCGCGACAATTCTTTCTCTGCATCCTCAACATCCTTCTTCGCTTTCATACGCATGTAGAAGATAGGACAGTCCCGAGACGAGCAGATAACTTCGCAGTGTAGACTGCCCTGGCACCGCTGGCATTGGGTCCAGAGCCGGCCGAAACGGACTTCCAGATCAGAAACCTTGTTCAGGGTTCGGGTGTAGAGCTCACCCATGCGCGGGCGACAATGCTCGCAGACAGCGCCAGCCATTTCTTCTTTACCAGAAAGGGGTTTCTTGCAACCCATACACGTCTGGGTTTTCTTTGCGAACTTCATGAGACCGCCGAGCGTAGGTGCCGCGACAGAAATGGACCGAGTGTGTTCGCCCGTCAAGAGTTGGCTGGCCTTCTTTTCCCCGAGAATAGGTTCGAAGATACGACCGAGAGGGTTTGCCAATTGGTTATCGAGGTAGTATTTTGTGTCAATAGGAATGTTGTTTTCCAAAACGTAGATTGGGTCCTCAGACTTCTCATAGTTCTTCGAACCTCCAGCACCTTTCACGATGACATAGGCAACACGATCACCAAGCGTCGGGGCAGATCCCGCGTCACGTTTGCGCATCCGTTCGGCAAGCTCGACGTGGGCTTGCTTCGCCGTATAGTCTGCCTTGGAGAGCGCTTTCGTGATCACCAGCTTGGACATGTCGACCTTGTTCTGCAGAAGATCCGAGATAGTATCCTTGACGTAGCTGCAGGTCAAGTTAGTAAAAAGCGAGGAGAAGCGACAAGACAGTGGCTCTTACTCTTGAGCACCATCGATATCTCGGTCGATTAGGATTTTGTGTAGCACCGTCTCAATAACATTCTGGACCAGCAGACAGTTATCTCGGCGAACAGTTTCAATTCCCTTCGTGTCCATCTTATCGAACTTCTTCGGGTTCGTCCAGTACAGGCCAGCATATCTCTTTTTGTTGATCAGAAGATATGGAAAGTACACCTTCTCGAACTCGAGCTTGATCGGCTTCAGAAATTTCGAGGAGACAAAGTCTGCTGCCTCCTGTCCAAGTTTCATGGCGTCCTCCAATTCACTCACGCCGAACTTCACCATGACCGAATCAGTGTCACCATAGATAACTTTAGCGTCGTGAGAATAGCCATTAGCAATTGTGTATTTTGCTTCCACCTCTTGCTTGGTTTTCTCAATCATCTGACGTCCATAACTCGTTGTACTACTTGCGATAGGTAAACAAGGCAGTTTTCCTACAGTGGCTCCAGTCAAGCCGTAGACACTGTTAGCGCTGATCTTCAAAGCAAGCTGTCTTCCGTTGAGAACGGCTTTCTTGAAAGGATCAGTTTCGATGGCCAACTCTTTCTTCGCGCGTTTTCTGGCGGAAAGCAGTTCTTCCAGAATCTGCGACAGGAGACCTTTGCGCACTTTAGCCGTACAGAACATGTCGCCGTTCGGAGTCACAATGTAATCGTCGTCCTTTTTCAATTTGAGCTTTTCGACACTATTCTTGTTCAAAAGGGTCGTATAGCAGAGGTTGTGTGCCTGGATAATCGAAGGGTATAGAGACGCAAAATCAAGGGTAGCAATTGGGACGCCATAATATCCTCTGATGGGTTCGATGACGGTGGCACCTTCATAGTCTTGCTCATCCGTCGACTTCATATTGGGAATGACAAGCTGCTGCTCCAACGCTTTCCGGAACAATTGACTGAGGAACTTGACCTGCTGACCACGAGACAACAGGAAATTGAATGGGACACCCGTGACTCTTGCCATCTCGGTGTAGTTGACCAGACACATCAGTTTGTCCATCAGTCTTTGTGGTAGGTAAGCATCCTTAAGACAGTAGACTGCCAAACGCCGCCTCGAGTCAGGAGTTCCGTTGTACAGCTCGGTGATCATTGTGTGATGAACATCTTCCTTCTGTTCTTTGAGAAATTCGTAGGACACGGAGTTCAGTGTATAACTTCGCAGATGGTAGTCCCTCTGCACCAGCTGAAGGAGATCAAGCTGTATTCTTCCGTTTGTGTTCGTTGCCTTTGTGTCTCGGTTGCCCATCTGCTTGCTAGAAAAGTTGGTCGAGGTAGCCTGCGAAAGGATACCCTTCATTCGTGTCCAATACGGAAACCCACCACATTTAAGGTGCTTTGCACGATCCAATAGATAAGGAAAGTCGAAATTGGCAATATTGTATCCAATAATGACGTCGGGGTCGACTTTCTCAAGAAAATCGCGCCATGCCATGAGCATTTTCTCCTCCTTGTCGAATTCCAAAACCTGGGTGTTCACAATAAGACTGCAAGTATCCAGAACAAAAACATTCCGAATGAATGGTTTTGATTCTCCATAACGAGTCACGACATTGGCAATCTGAATGACCGGGTCGTGGTTCGGCTCTGGGAAGATTCCTTTACGACCGGCACACTCAATATCGAACGACAGGATGCGAAGGGGTGCCATTTTGGCCCATTCGCCGTTGGGCGGGTGGGAAATCAAGTCCCGATAATCGATGACAGCTTCAATCTGACAATTCGATAGTTTTTCTCGTCCATCGAGGAGGCGGTACTTTCCGGCCTTGGCCTCGACCCACGACATACCAGAGATGTCCGTGTCGATCATGAACCTGAGAAGATACTGGATGTTGTCGAAGGTCAAAATACCCGCATCCGCGCTGCTCCAAAGCCCCTTGTAATTCAAGCCCTGCGAATTGTGCTCTAGAGCGCCTCGGACTTTGCTGATGAACTTTGGTTCTGTGACAGTTATTTTCAGATAGTAACTTTTCTGATTGCCCTGGAATCCATAGATATTCTCTCTCATCGTTATCTGGACGGATTGAATGACGGGTTGAAAGTGTCCGAGTTTGCTCTCCAGAAACGCACGATAGGGATCGCAGTCCTCTTTGGTGAAGTTGACTGGTGCCGCGATGTAAAGGTAGTGCTGAAAGCCGGTGACATGGAGAAGAACCGATTGACCGATCTAGTAGAGAGTTAATACAACCCAAGCAGCCATTAGCCGAAACCATGAAGCCCACCTCTGTAACGCCGAAGAGTCTAACAGCCGTCTTGCCGCCAGTGATTGTCCCTTCCTCCGCATCAATCTGCTGGAAGCAGATATTTTCTTTCGCCGCATCGAAGTCTCCTAAGGGTGGTCGTTCCCATTGTTGATCCTTCTCTGTGTTGCTGTCCTTGAGACCATTTATATCCTGCGTCAACTTCTCCAAAACTTCCTCCTCAAATTGGCTTTTCTGGGGTTGACTTGAGCCGAAGTTTTTCCGCTGACCATTTTGGGGTATCGAATTGATTCTTGCGGAAGGCTGTCCATCGAGCTTTCGTTTCTTTGCTGCAGCGGGAGAATTCAGGGCACCGCGGGGATTATTTGTTGCTTCTCCCAGCACCCGCTTCTGGGCCATCGCGACAGCTTCAGGCATGGTCACAACTCATAGAACAAATCCTCGTTGGGATAAATGACTGGATCAAACGGCTATTGCAAGAGAAAGGGCAGAGACCAGGAAGCCAAGGAGGTCGCATAGACGGAGGTACGACTAATTCAACGGCGACTGCGCTTCCGAAACAGGAAGTCGTGTTCTGGTCGCGCTCCGAACGTGACGCTCTTTACGCGTAGACTCCGCACCACGTGATCTGACGTCGCGCTCATCCCAGCAGCAGTATGTTTAGACAGTGTGCGTGTAATAAAGCGTCTAGAGCCGTGAGGATATATGCGTCTTCTGTTATTATGAAGCCTATATACATGAATGTGGCAAGTTTTGCCAAAAATTACTGGTTTTCTTGTGTCTTGTAGATATTGTTATATCCCGCCAGTGACACCTCCTTGAGATCGTCCATCGACTTACCCCGGAATCTGTTGGGGTCAAGGGCCTTCTTCAATGCCTCATCGACTTCTTCCTCTTGCATCATTTTGGTCAAGAATTTAGCGGATCCAGCTGCTTGTGTAACCCACACTGCAACCGCCACATAAAGGCCTGGGATTGACGAGATAGGTCCGACCAAGGGCAAGTTGTCTGGCGTCATTGAAAAGATGCCATTGAACTTCTCCTTTACTGTCAGCTTTGTTTCCGCTGGGATCAGACTGCGAGCTCGCTCCAGTGTTGCGTCGAATGCGTCAATCCAGTCGCCCTCTGCACAGTCGGTAGGTTTGATGTGAAGCGGCTGGTGGTCGTAAGAGCCAAGTCCGTATGCTGTGCCATGATCGCGAGCATATACATGGTATTCGGGCCATCGGACGAAGGGTGACTTTCGCGACTTCGACACTCGCTGCTCACCATACATATATGGATGCGCAACAGGAATGACTGGGATTGGCACATCGAAGCGACAGAGATTCTCTGCCCAGATACCAGTGGCAACTACCACCTTCTCGGCCTTGAGTGGTCCGGCAGATGTCACGATACCGTCCAGGCAACCGTCGAGTCGACTTATTTCTTTTACATCTGCCTCCAGGAAGTGAACGCCATTCTTTCGCGCATTCTCCTGAAAGAAGGATGTTATCTTGATTGCATTTGCAGCTCCATCACTGGAAAAGTGCAGTGCAGCCAAGATGTCGTCGTTCTTCACAAGATCCGGTGCCAGTTGGACTGCCTGCTCTGGAGATAGCATTTCGGCAGCCAGGCCAACTTTCTGCGCCGACTCATGTCTGACCTTCAGCTTCTCGAGACCTTCAGACTTGGTTACAACTTCAAGGCCTCCAATCTTTTCAAACCCTCCCGGAATCTTTGAGTACTCCTTCACGGTCTCTATAGCCAGGCGAGTAAGAGCCTCGGATTCGTTGTATTGACCGATGTACCCAGGAGCATGGCCAGTGGAACCCTTCAATTGTCCCAGAGAACGATCAATGAGAACGATTTCTTTTCCACTATAGGAAGAGTTAGACAGAAAGTAGGCCAAAGCTGAGCCAACAATACCACCACCAACGACGGCGACTTTGAAAGTAGACTGCGAAGGATCCATCTTTGATCAATGTGTCAAAATAAAAGCAGAGCGATAACTTCTAGATTTCTTATGTCCCGGGCACTTTCCTCTATATATGGATGTCTATGGTAAGGTATATCGGTGTCTCGGAATACGAACGATGGATAGATACATCACCGAGGACCACTGTCACGGTGAACCTGTAGCTTGTCCCCCACAGGGCGTCGGAAGGTCTGAACTCTATCAGCCAGATCTTCATAGTCCCAGTCTCCCAGACCTGGTTTTGACAGGATAAATCGTGTCATTAGTGAATATGGGCTGATTGTAGAGTACCTTAGTCTCATGTTGGACTTGGATCAAACTCAATTGAGAGGCAAGATAGATACGTGGCGGCCTTAGAGCCTGAGGCATAAAGGACGTCATCAAGCTTTGACTTCACAAATTCAGAATCCGCCAAGAATGCAGACGCGTCTTCTTGAAAACCGACCGACTTTAGTGTTCAATAATCGGGAAAACATTTTGGAGAAACACATGCAATGGCCCGAAATATGGCTTAGCCAATTATAGCTTCTATATGTGCGCTGAACTTTGTTGTTGGGAAATCCACGCCCTTTCAGTGTCATCTGGCTTTAGAATCCGATAGAAGCCAGGTAGAAGTGACAGCCTGGTCAGAAGCCATTCCCAAAAGCGGATCATGTTTACCACAGATACCAACTATCTCTAATAGAAATTTGAGAATCGCTTATGAGAGGCAGTCGTTGACTGATTTGTGTCAAGCTTCTTCCTTTGGCGAGCCTGTTGATCTGGGCACTCAGCTCTTGAATAGGAGTCATTCCCTGTATCGGATCTTAGGGGCTTCACTACCTCGATTGATAAACTCTCACGAACTGATTCTTCCAGATCATATGTACTTTGGCCTTGCATCGAAAGCGAAGCATTGACTCACGGCTATATGAGCGGCGTCTGAACTGGAATGGCTTGACTTCGGCCGCGAAATACCATTTCCATTATGTCGATGTTCCGGCCGGCTTCAGAGGTATCTTCGTCAGACTCTCAATCCAGCTCCGATGAGACTGATCAGAACTTTTTGGAGACGTCTAACAGTAAAGCTCGAGATGTCTCCTCCACTGAAAACAACACTCACATGTGTTCTCTCGACTCGGGGCTTGAAACTGAAAGCTTGTCAGACTCTTCCAGAGATGTGCGCAACGTTGAAAACGAAGGCCATGCAATGTGGATGACTACCGCATTGCTTGAATTTTACTGCATGAGCAAAGCTGCAGATATCCTGAATGCCAAAGAAAGCTCTATGCGATACACTCGCGACTCCCCAGAAGTACAGTACCTTGGAAAAAAGCTGTATTCATATGAGTCTCAGGTTCTGTCATCACATGGAATGTTACCAGGAGGCATCCATAGAGAAGAGTGGGGTGACAAAAGACAGAATTACCGAGATACTCTTGATGTTCTTGGTCTCCCTGCGCTTGAAGGACTGAAATTGGATGACATTCCTGGGAAAGTGCCATCAATAGGCACTACTGGAGATGTAGTCCTTGCTTCCAAGAGTTCAAAACATGTACAGATTCATTCAGAGAACAGTTTCGCAGGGCCATCCCAGTTGAAGCGGCAAAACTCCGGACTGTTAGGATTCAAAGAGCCAATTCATATTGAGAACAACTTTCCCTTCCTTGGAAAGGGTCGGCTAGATGTGGGAGCTCTACCCAACCAGCCATTCTCGCTTCTGGGGAGCTCACCCGTGAGCTTTCCATTGTTTAGAGCCAATCCTCCACCACCGACTCCCAATATGTCACGCTATGCAATGGAGTTCTCTGAGGTGAAAATTCTGGGCCGAGGATCATTTGGTGAGGTGTATCATGTCAAGAATCATATTGATGGGCAAAGCTACGCAATTAAAAAGATTCCGCTCAGTCAGAGGCGGCTTCAACAGTTACAATGCGGTACCCAGAATCAGCTCGAGAGTATCATGAAAGAAATACGAACACTTGCTCGACTGGAACACATGAATGTTGTCCGATACTATGGTGCATGGGTGGAGCAGGCTGATACATCCGCCATCTTCCATTCGAGAAGTCAGGGTGCCATGGAAATACATCATGAAGAGACTCAAAGTGTCCATTTCAGCCATGAAGCGACTGATGATCAAAGCTTCGGGATTGTCTTTGAACACTCGGAAAGTTCCGCAATGCAAGCACACTCTGAATCTGCCTCTGCGTCTCTTGAATACGACGTCGAAACTGCAGGTCACTTCCACCGACGCTATAGCCATGCTACGACAGCCTCGCATCGTTCAAAAAGTAGTCTGGCACGGAGCCTCGAAGACGATGATGAAGTCGAATCCATCCCTCGCGACTTCAATCTTGCGTCTCATGGCCAACTATCAACATTCGGTGGCACTGATGACGATATCTTCACCGACGGACTCAGTTATGACCCGTCGAAGCTGCAAGTTCAACGGAGACACCAAAATGGAACCCAAATTCCTGCTGTCATTCTTCACATTCAGATGTCGTTACATCCTATTTCTCTAAGCTCATACCTGAGTCCACAAGCCATGGTTCATACGGAGGACAACCAATCCCTGCATCGACGTCACTGCTTTCATCTAATTCCATCGTTGCGATTAATGCTACATATCATCTCTGGCGTCGAATACCTCCACGCACAGGGCATCATCCATCGCGATCTAAAACCAGCGAATATCTTCCTCTCATCCTCGCAGCATTCCAACCTCGACGGATGCCCGTCCTGTCATGCAAGCCATGGGACCGTCCCTCGTTATTGCCACCCGCGCATAGGAGACTTTGGTCTTGTTGCAGATATGTCGCACTTCGACGAACTCACCTCACCTACGGTTGAAAATGGCCCGAAGGTCCACCGTGTAGTTGGTACAGAGTTCTATCGCCCACCTCTGGGTACAAACGGGCCGGAACACTGTGGTGATATCATGAGAAGTGAGAATCAACAGGTCAGCTATATCATCAACGAAACACTCGATGTTTACGCCCTTGGTGTGATACTTTTTGAACTACTTTATCGTCTCAATACTAAGATGGAACGCCAAATGGTCTTGACCGACTTGACAAAAGGGCGAAATCGACAGTCTTCGATCAAAAGATTGCTGGGACACACTATATTCCCCACAGACTTTGCAGAGAAGGTTGATATGGGATTGACGATATTAAATGACGATATGCCTGTGGCGGAATCGTTGATGAGATGTATCGGCGGCATGTTAGAACCTAACCCCCAGCGACGCTGGCGTTGTGCGGATATCAAAAAACATCTCGAGTCTATCTTGGGAGCTGCTGTCGTACAAGACTTCTCCTGCTCTTGATGATGGCGTCGAGCAATATCATCCATGCAGGGGTCTCAACAGCAGCAGAACCAAGCCCATAGGCTGCGCTAATTTCAATGTTAGGACCGGAGGAAGGTGGAGACGAAGTTAATAGATTATATACCCTGTATCTATAGGATGATGCATTGAGCCTGAGTCCCCTGGGACGATCAACAGGCATACTCTCCTCTCAGATAACCTTTTTAAGCCAGCCTGGATGGGTGACCATGACCAAGCTGAGCAGCGAAATGAGTTATGCATATTCTCAACCACTGATAATGTCACTTATTAATTTTTACCCAGAGCTCTGGCGCATAAATGGACTTGGCCCTCGGTTTCCTAGTGATGGAGTCGGAGTTAATAGCATCACAAGGCGTAGATCCTCCGCAGTCACTACCGACATAAAAACACAAAACTGAAGATCAAAGACCTGCTTGCTCATTTCAATTGTAACCTCTGATTCTCTTCCATCTCCTACGCACCATTCTCCATATCAACTCAGTCCCAACTCTTGAAGTAATGCCAGCCACAGACCACCCCCCAACCGCCCCATACAGTGAACCCCTTCTTCCCCAACTAGACATCCAAACTCCATACTACACCGACCTGCATCACATTCTCCGCGCTTTATGTCCGCAACTACGTCGAGAGCTCCATCGCACCCTACGCCAAGGAATGGGAAACAGCCGGCCAAGTCCCAGAGCAAGTCCGCCGTCGCCACTGCGAGTTCAGCTTCAGCATCGTGCATCCACTAACCACCGAGGAAGTGGTTGCCAAAGGTCGCGAGGAGGGATATCAGGTTCTGTTCGGGAATTACGGAGCCGGATGGTGGGTGTTATTTTCTCTGGGATTGAAGAGGGATGGGTTTGCTGATGTGATGTGCTTGATGGCTGGGTCGGATGTTGCGAGTATCCGGACGACCGCTAAGCGGGACGGTGACCACTAAGTTGTCAATGGGGCGAAGAAGTAAATTGCGAGCGGTATCTGGGCTGATTACTGCACTGCTGCTGATCGCACTGGCGAGCCGGGACGACGAGGGATCAGTTTGCTTGTGATTCCTTTGACGGCGCCGGGGGTGACTCGTCGGCGGATGTACAATTCAGGCGTCGTTGCTAGTGGTATGCTTCTCCGTTGCATGTGGCATTTTCTCTTCGACTGATGCGTGAATATGATGGGGCTCGACTTTCATTGAGTTCGACGATGTTCGTGTGCCGACTGATCATCTGCTTGGAGAGGAGAACAAGGGTTTTCCGATGATCATGTCGAGTGAGTACAGCAGAATCCACACACATGGTATGTTCTATGCTAAAGCTCTCCTAAAGACTTTAATACTGAGCGCCTTGCCCTTGCCTGCGCCTCTCTGCGACTAAATCGTGTCTACGCGGAGGATGCCTTCCATTACGCAACAAAGCGCGAGACCTTCGGCGCCCAGCTCATCCAGAGACAAGCAATCCAGTCTAAGATCTTCAGATTCGGCCTCATGATCGAGCCTGCATATGTATTCATGGAGCAACTCGTCAATACCATTGAGCTCACCAAGGATCGGCCCACGGACGATGTCAAGATTGGTGGAAAGACGGCTTTGCTCAAAGTGATGTCTACCAGAGCCCTGGAGAAGAGTGTCCGTGAAGAGCAGCAGATTTTGGGCACTGTTAGATACCATAAGGCTGGAAAAGGAGCGCGAATCGAAAAAAAAGCCGCGATGTTAGAGTTCATGTTGTGGGAGGTGGAAGTGAGGAGATTATGGTGGGACTCGCGTTACAGGAAGAGACTAAGCCACTCCAGACGAGACGTAGGGCGCTTGAGAAACGGGCGATGCTCTAATACTCGGGCAATTCCATGTACTATTCAATCCAATCATGTTTTTGCTAAACTTGAGCTTGTAGTCCACAGCGCAAAAAGGTTGCCTGTTCACGATGGCAATACCTGCGAGCCCAGAGAGTGGTATCTTGGGTAGTACACTGCATGATAAGCATAGAGTAAACGACATCAGTGAGGAAAGGATACGACGATGGGATATAGTTTCAGGTATGTCACAGGGGATCAATGAATACACCAATCAGATCTCAAACCAGCTCCCAAGGGTTCATTGCTAGACGCTGTCTATCCTCCAATTGCTGAACCCTTCTATTGATTGTTTCCAGATGCCCAGTCAAATCTTTGATGGCTTGCTCCAACAAGGGCAGGTTGTCAATAGTCTCCGGACCCAGAGGGAACGGTATGACCCTGCCATCAAGTGGAGAGTTTCTCGCCAAAATTTGATTGAGAGAAGGCTGATTTTGGGGCTCATCTTTTGGGGGAGCCGAGGGTGCTTGGGTTTGAACAACTGGCTTGTCCTGAGTAACAGAGCTGCTTTGCTTCTCTGGCTTCTGACTTGCTTCAGCTCTAGAGTTGTCGGTAGAGGTGGGCGCGACGTCTCCAGAAACGAAAGATGTATCCGTGGTATTGCGAACGTGGTGCTTCTCTGGGGTGGTAGTAGGTCATCAGATGAAGCACATAATATAGAGATGGGTGCTCAGGAAACTCACGTAAATCACAGCTGTATCGTCTACTGTACTGGCAGCTTGTACAGGCTCCATGAAGCTTGGACGATTTGTTTGTGTCAAATCCAACCACGCAAGTTCTCCAAACACCTCTACCCTCCTTGCAAGGGTTACAAGGAGAAGAAGCTTCAGTCTCTCGAGTGTGAGCAAATGCGGCTGTCAACGTCAGACTGGTTTTTAACGGCTTCCGAATATGCTTGCCCTTGCTGTCTAGTTGCCAGTCCAGCTTGCGCACAGGAGGTAAGTTCTGGTATCTTTTCTGGAGTTCGGTAGGGGTATCAGGAGCGATGGGCATATCTGAAGCGTCAACTCCAGGGTCTTGGGGTTCATTGTCTAAAAAGGCGTTAGAACGGAAGATTGCTAAGATGTAATAAGCTTGTTGAAAGGAGCCACGTACCCGTTTGCACTTGACTGCCACCTCGCAATGGCATCTCTTGAGTGCGTCGGCGTGGCCGGTAAGGTCCCTCATCCTCGCTGTCAGACTCGTTGCGAGCTCGCTTTGAAACTCCCAAACCAAACATTTGGAGGATGTGAGAAGCAGATGGAGTGATGCACTCAGGATCTCCCTGCTTGCTGTTCATGTTGCACCTGCATTGACAATGGGAGAATGATGAATAGAGTGGGCATAAAACGAGTAAAGGATGTCTGCACAAAAGTTGCCTGTTTGCTAAAGATGCAGATAGCGTTGCCGGGACGCTAGAAGTTGAAAATAGTCAACCAAGTTCATGGTTTATCATGATACCAGATGCAATCAGCTGTGTACATTGTCATGGTTTCTTCGAGACCAACTTATGAGGATTACAGTACTCTACCGTCTCGCATGATGAGCCTCTCGGAACAACTACTAGGCTCTTTACTTTTGATAGAACAGAATGTCCCTGGACTGTATCTGTCCTATATTGGCTGCAAGTACATTCGACACCTTACTCTGGCCCATTGGCATGGCATCTTCCTGCCTGCGATATTGAAATAGACTCAACCAACAACGATCCCTCTAGATGCCTCCACCGTCTATATCTCTACTGTCAGCCCTTGGAAGCCGGCTTGCTCTTGATTATTGGAATCCGATCAGATGTGTGAGAATCTTCGAGATGAGACTGATTTCGATATAGGATCGAGGAAATCTTGGGCATATCACAGATGAGACTGAACCTGACAAGTTTTGGATCCTTACTGACTTCATTTGCTTTCAGTATTGAGCTACCTAGCGCTCCCATCCTTCTTGTTACATCAACTGCTGGCCAGGTCTTTGAAACTCTCATCTCTGATGTTTTTTCAGAGCAGATGTACAAATAAAGGCCTGAGAATTACAATACTCAGTGGCTAAACGATTATAAACACAGCACGAGCAAGCAATGACTAATCAGCCAATCAAAAATAGTTAACATTGATTGTTGACATAATATGACGCCAATCGAAGCCAACTGGTCACTGATAAGGAAGAACGTCGTCTGGATAACGCTCAAGTGTTTCTTCCACACGAGTCGTGCACTACAAATGACCATCAGAGCTGAACTCCTGGAGCAGGCAACTCCTAGCTCGCTCCTCAATAATGGAGAGCTTTAACGATGTGCCGCGCCCCAGAGAGCTTGGTGAAGAGAGTGCTGCGCTGCCGGATGAGTTTCCCTCAAGAGCTCCCTCGATAGCTGGAAAAAGCACAGCAAGTTTCACATCTGACCTAAGCTCGACCATAACGGAGGGATCCCTTGCCTCTGGTGGGACTTTCCGACTCGAAGAGCAAGCTGATTCTGTGCAGCGCAAAGTTTCTGACCAAGAAGATGTCTTCAAGCTTCCCCGTACGGCCTCTCCTTTCCCTCCGATGCCCTTCAGTCCACCTCCAGGAGCAGAGATCAGTGAAGAAGGACACGATGAGGAAGACGAGGAACCTCATGTGGCGACCTCCTTTGAGCGAGACTCTTCGCCAACCTTCGCACAGAAGCATCGGTCGGCGTTCTTCGACCTCGGCGAAGAGAGCATCAACCGTGTGCACAAAATCTCGTTATACGAAACGGCAACTCGATTCTACATGGTGGGCATGGACCTTTCAGACACTCGATTTCGAATCCTCAAGATGGATCGCACCTCGGAAACAGATGATTTGAATATTGCGGAGGATGATATTGTATACACAAAGAGGGAGATGAGTCAGTTGCTCGATGCGATTGACGACGGCAATAAAAGCACTGGTGGCTTGAAACTCCGATGCAGTGCATGGGCTCTGCTCGGGTTTATTCGTTTCACTGATGCATATTATATGCTTTTGGTGACCAAAAGAGCCCAGGTAGCAATGCTAGGAGGCCATTATATCTACAAGATTGATGGAACGGAGCTCATCTCGTTGACCGCCTCGAACTCCTCCCGGCTCAAACCAGAGAAGAACCCCGAAGAAGCGAGATACATTGCTATATTGAACAATCTGGACCTGAGTCGATCGTTCTACTTCAGCTACTCATATGATGTTACACGTACCTTGCAGGACAACATATGCCGCGAGCGCAAACTTCATCAAGATGGGTACTCGCAAGGGTTCCATCAAGATTACAATACGATGTTTATATGGAACCACCATCTTCTGAGCCCTGCTATTGCTGCTTTGAAAAATCCCTATCAGTGGTGTCTTCCCATCATCCACGGCTATGTCGATCAGGCAAAGATAGATGTATATGGGCGAATGGCCTATCTTACAATCATTGCCCGTCGATCTCGCTTCTTCGCTGGAGCTCGCTTTCTGAAGCGAGGGGCGAACGATCTCGGCTATGTGGCCAATGATGTTGAGACAGAGCAGGTTGTGGCAGACATGGCTGAGACGTCCTTCCATGCTCCTGGCCCTGGTCTTTATGCGAATCCCTTATATACTTCATATGTTCAACACCGCGGGAGCATTCCTCTTTACTGGACGCAGGATAACTCTGGAGTATCTCCTAAACCGGATATTGAGCTGAATCTTGTTGATCCATTCTACTCTGCTGCAGCACTGCATTTTGACAACTTATTCGAGCGTTACGGTGCCCCAATCTACGCTTTGAATCTAATTAAGTCGAGAGAGCGGACCCCGCGAGAATCGAAACTACTCAAGGAATACACCAATGCCATCAATTATCTGAATCAGTTTCTTCCCGAGAATAAGAAAATCATCTATAAACCGTGGGATATGAGCCGTGCGGCCAAGAGCCGTGATCAAGATGTGGTTGGAACACTTGAGGAGATAGCGGGTGAAATCATTCCGAAGACGGGCTTCTTCAAGAATGGTATAGATGCAGATTCGGGCTTGCAACTACAGAATGGGATTGCGAGGACGAATTGCATTGACTGCCTTGACCGTACAAATGCCGCTCAATTTGTCATCGCCAAACGGGCACTCGGACATCAGCTTCATGCGCTTGGGTTTATTGATGGTACCACGCTGGAGTACGACTGCGATGCTGTGAACCTGTTCTCCGCCATGTGGCACGATCATGGTGATATGATCGCAATCCAGTATGGCGGCTCACACCTCGTCAACACAATGGCCACGTATCGCAAGATCAATCAATGGACTAGTCACTCTCGAGACATGGTGGAGAGTTTCAAGAGATATTACAACAATTCCTTTCTTGATGCTCAACGTCAAGAGGCTTACAACTTGTTTCTTGGTAACTACATTTTTGCTCAGGGCCAACCAATGCTGTGGGACCTATCCACCGATTACTACTTGCATCATGCCAGCCCCAAATCTTGGGCAGAGAAAAGACGGCCAAGCTATATCCACTGGTACACACCAGAGAATTTGAAAGAACGGGAACTTCCACCACCCCCAACAAAGCCCAAGGAGCCTTTGACGCGTTTCGATGATTACTGGCTAGAATACTACCGGCCCTTGGCTATCTCTACTCTACCCAAGATATTTTCGTTTAAAATGAAGTCAACCTCCCACTTCACTCCGCATCTCAGCCCATTCGATGTTCGCTTCCACCACGAGCAGCCAAATCGGGACAGACATCCGCAGCGAAGCGTTAGAATACGGGAACCAGGAAACAACGTGACCGAGCATTCAACACGCTCACCGCTGCAGGGTGCATCGCCGGCGCACAAGTCAACACGAAATTGGTTACAGCAGTCGGATTCTAGGCAACCATCTCCGAAATACATAAAAGACTCCTTGTACGAGCTTTCTATATCAGGCAGCCAGATCCCATCCATGCAGTCGTCCACGGAACCTACTACTCCCAGCAAAGCACAAATCACCCAGTGGACTCTTGATCAACTGGTGTCCGGCTCGCTAAATCCCTCAGTCACGGTAGCAGAGGCTGAGGAATACGAGCGATACATCAACCACCCTCTTAAGGTCCCTCTCGTCGTGACTTCGGAAGACGAAATCACAGCCGCTTCAGCCCAGGATGAGTCGAACTTGGACCTAATAGAATACGCGAACAAGTGCAACGTCGAGGAGGTTACTCTCGGGGCGAACGCCGAGGAAAATCTAGCGGACTATGCTGAGTTCCTCAATGTATCTGAAGAAGGACTCACGGTCGTGACAGAGGATTATGAGAAGAAGCGCTATAAGCGGTATCGTCAATGGCTCAGAGGGAAAAGTCTCTTCAAACAGCGGGTCGATATATAGTTACTGTTATCTCGGGTTCATGCTCTATGACTCTTATGACCTGTTCCGCACATGATACCCAGTCTTGTTGTTAATGAATCGTAACCTTTAATAAGTCCACTTTACGCATTGAATGCAGCGTATCATTCAGCCTTTTTTAAATCGTTCCGTTGGAAATCGTCCATTCCCCGACTCTACAGACAATCTAGAGGAGTCAAGGATCCAGCCCGAAAATGTCCGCATCATCAGGATCAATATCAGCAAGAAGCAAATCCACAAGCGACTTGTCCGCGTCAATTAACTCCTGTAGCTCCGTCCGAATGACCGCCTTAGCTTCCAACTGACCGGCATCTCCATCCGGCTGCGCCGGGTTCTCCAGCGCAAACCTCAGCAAATACACCACACCCTTCAGCTCCTTCTTCAGCTTCGTCATAGCAACACCCGTCTCCTGGTCCGCGTCTGTACTCTGGCTTTTCGCCGTCCTCTGCGCGATCTCGTCTTCTTCCTCCGCTGCATGCAACCAGCACGAGCACACTGCGCCGAGTATCTCGCCGCGCCACCGCCACAAGCGGGGATGCGCGTTCAAGATCACTGCGCGAGCTGCTGCGACCGCGGCGACGAGAAGAGGCGGGTGTGCTGGGCCGAAGGGGTTCGATAGGGTGCTGTATAGCAGAGGGATGATTTCCTGGAGGTATTTGGTCGTGTGGATGCCCAGCTCGAAGAGCAGGGGGCACATCTGGTTGACGAGCAGGGTCGAGAGGCGCGGGTACGGGAACGAGGCGAAGGATGAGGAGGAGGTTCTATTTGTGGAGCTGATGTGATGGAAGGATGGGATGATGTTCTCGCGGAGGGTCTTCGTCACGCCGGATATGTAAGCGTCTTTGTGAGCGGCTGATGGTTTTAGCATTCCGGAAGGGGAGGCGTTGAGGTAGTTAGTTTGTAAGAGGGATAGTAGCGCTGGATAGGCTACATTGAGGAGTTTGATGGCGTCGTCTTCGGGCGTGATGGAGGGTAGACAGAGGAGGCAGGGTCTGACGGCATCCTCGAAGACCGATGCCAGGTTTGTCCGTTGCAGGATATCAGACCTGCTTTCTCGAATTGGGCTGAGAATCTGAGAGAGAAGAATGCAGCCACGGGTCTTGTATGCGATGCTGTCATCGTCTATTAATGCCAGAACGGGTGGCACGAGCAGTGGAAAATGCGCCTCCAGATGGGATCGGTCTTTCGACTGCATGTCACTAGTTAAGGCGAAAATTCCAAATCTTTGGGATGGTGAAAACATACCTGATACTGCGCAATCACCCAGGATAGCAAAGTCGTAGCATAGACACTTTGAATCTTCCAGGGCTTCGTTTCCGGGTCGATTATACTGGCATCAAATCGCGGTAAAGGAACAGGATGAAAATTCTTTCGACCCGCTTCAGTGATTGCAGGATTCTTCGTCTTTGCGAATAGAGGCTTGATCCTCTCTGTAAGAAGTCTTTCAATAAGAGACCAGAACGAGTTATCTGATTCGGCGCGGACTCTTGCGACAAAGCCTTCTAAAACAGTCCTCGATGCTGCATAGCTTTGCTGGGTAGTCCAAGGGTCCTGATCAGAGGCATGGCTTGCCAGAGCAACGATCACATCAACTACGTTCGGTGCTTTCTCGATTGGCACAAATGAGTCTAGTTGCTCCAAAACGCAGATTGCAAGCTCTAACTTGACTTTGTTTTCGCAAAGCACTTGGTTCTTCTCGGCTATGACCTCATATCATCAGTGATCATGGACGATTAGATGATGATCAAGAGGACTAATGCTCACCATCCAATGACTCTACCTCTGTCGCTGCGAAGATCGCAGAAGGTAGTGCTAATTTGCTGGACCAGCTATAGAGATTATCGACAGTATCCTTGTCAGATTCAGACAATTCGGATACACTCGTCGAGCTTCGGCTCTTTAGGAAAGCTTGAGCGACCAGGAGATTCTCGGCTGTCTACCGCGAGATCAGTGACGAACAACAGCGCGTACCGGCAGGTCCTCTTACCTCTGTGGTATCTTGATGTGACAATATATCTTGCCATAGTATATTCAGTTCTTCTGGAATGGTGATACTATCCAACCATGTCTCTGTAATTGCATGAGAATCTCGTCGTCGGAGGGCCTCACGTGCTGCTACGCGGAGTGCTTCCATCTTCTTAGATTAAGTCACGGTTGGATCAAGCGGCATCCACCAAATATGTCGGGTCTGCAAATGGCAGAATAAAACTCAATATGAAGGGATGTTATGAGAAGGATTTTATACTGCATAGATAGCTGTTGTTTGACGGAGAGTGGTTCCATCAGTAAGCAAGAAGTTTGCGGAGGGAAAAAGTGATCATGGCCGTGTAGCAGACTCTTGAATCTAGATCTGAGCTACTATATATATACACTATATATGTAATTATTCTATCACCAAACCTACCTATAGACCAAACTCATCCTTTCTAGATAACACATACTCCAGAGCCTTTTCCTTCTCCGTAATTTCTGGATGCAGAAGCTGCCACTTGATCACCAGATCTAGCGCTTTGCTTAGCCATGGCCCGTTCTTAGCACCCATCGCTTTCATAACTTCAGCTCCATTGACCATGGGCTTCATCTCACAGACATCTTGCAGGTCATTCTTAACAATATACGATATGAGTTGATCATATTCTTGGGCCACTGCCAGGCAAGGACGAATTAGTGTCTTGTGATCCAAGCCCGCATCGAGCAGGGGAATGTGTCCGCGATGTTTCTCACCTGGCAAGATCTCTCTTCCTTTCATAATTTCTTGCAGAATGGCTAAGACCATGCAAAGCCTCCAGTCTTTCTTCCAGCTCCTCATGTGCAGTGCGATTTGTTGTCGCACTTCGGCATCTGTTCCCTCTATGCGGCCCTCCAGAAGCGATGACTTAACATCAATGATAGAGTTCCAATTTGTAGCCGCATCGCCAAGAACGCTGAGCGTCTTGTTGTCAGAGCGGAGGCTATCTCTGGCAACTTCCACCGATCGAGGAGGGAGAGGTTTCGCTTTTGGCCCCTTTGCTACGCGCCCTGCCACACTCGACCAGGGTGCCAATGCAGTGATTATCCATGCATAATATGTCTCTTGGGCATCGCGGATGAGAAAATTGCGTACTTTCTCCAGCGTCGGCTTCAAGGCTTCGTCGTGATGTAATAGAGTCTCAAGGGCGTTGTAGGCAAGGGACCACGAGGATGTATCCGCAGTGGCATCGTCTTGGTTGTTAGCAAAGATCGTAGGATACAAACCAATTTGGTCAATGAGATGCAGTGCACCCCGAGGGTCAGGCCCTAAAGAGTGGTCAGAATGCAGTTCTATTCCAAACCTAACTGGGATTGCAGACCTTTGAGCATCTTCTCCAGCTCAGTCCCCACGCGTTCCTTGCTGATTTTTTGCTTCAGAGCTGTACTGATGTCACTATTCTGCATCGCTAGTTGTGTATTCGCATCAATGTTGTATCCCAACCGGCTTGCGAAACGGATCAACCGTAGCACACGCAACGGATCATCTTTGAATGTCTGATATGGTTCCAGTGGAGTGCGAATGATTTTGTTCCTCATGTCTTCAAAACCCCTTCCAGTAAAATCTTCCACTTTAGATTCGTTCAAATTGTAGAAGAGCGCGTTGATTGTCGCATCACGACGCATGGCATCTTCTTCGGCCGTACCGAACTCCATCTGTGGGTTCCGGCTCTCATCTGTATATGTTTCCTTGCGTAGATTGACTAGGTCAATATCCAACCCAAAAATCTTCGTCGTTACAGTTTCGAGGTGTTTCGACTTCTCCGGATTCGCTTCGATTTTATGTAGACTGACAATCGCCTCTTTCAGCTCTCCGTTGGGGTGGTTTCGTTTGTACTTTTCCAGATTTTCGGGATCGTCAAGATACGTCTTAAGTGCCATACCAAATTGATATCCCGTCATAGAACTGATCCCGACATCGATGTCATGACTGTCAACCCCCAGCAGCTTGTCCCGCACCCAACCTCCAGTAAACCGCAAAACCATGTGTGGGGTATCAGCCTCGCTGGCTCCCGTGGCGATTGCTCGATTGTGTATGTACTGGGCGACATCGAGGAGGAGCTCCTTTAGAGTCGTCTCAAGAGGCGTAAGCTGGAAGGTGACCAGTGGCTGGGGGGTTTGCGCCGGAGTTTGCGCTGGATTTTCCATTGCTTCAGGCACGCCCTCGTGCGGGGCAGTGGTAGATATGCGTCTTCTCTTGCGTGCTCGTTCGGAGGAGTGGCTCGGCGGTATTCTATGGACCATGGAATATCTGCAAGAGTTTGCTCCTAGGCTCCAAGATGAGAAGCGTGGGTTTATGTTCAATGGGTGGTTTCTCAAAGACGGAAGAAGTGAGCTGGTAGGAGCAGATAGCAAAACGGGTCCAGAAGTGCGCAACAAACAATGACGTTCAAAAAGAAAGCGCAAAGCCTGAGATTTTGACATTGACATTGACATCAGCCATGTCAGGAAAGTTATACCTTATCCATTGGTGACTCAAAGGAGAATGATCAGTACCTCATAGTCATTGGCAGTCGCATAAATGAATCATCCAGCAATCTGTGTCACCATTGTCGTCGGGCTGATGATCACCACCGCCTTCTCTGTGGCCCTCCTTGTGACTTCGTAGCGTTCACAACACTGCATCTTCAATTTAAAGGTATTGAAAGGCTATTGTATGGAGACTCCCTGATGAAATCAATCTCCAATCAAACCTATTATTAGCTTTTCGCAATTATTGAACGAAGGAAAGCTGCCTCGGCGTCTCTCTGTCTGCCCGCTCATCAGCTGCACTACGCTTTTGCCAGACTGACTTGGCCTCATTTCTCTTCCCCTCAACAATCTCTCGAGCCAAATCGGATCTTTCTGTCCTTTCTCCCTCGAACGCCTTCTCTTCGTGCCTATCCCCTCGGTCCATGGGCTCCAACGTTCCTCCTATCTCCATTAATCCTATATTAGTATCAATTCGTTGTCCATGACATCGCCCGGAGATGCACCTCCGGTCAAACCTCCGCCGTCCTTCTCCCCCGGCGTGCCGCGTGTCGCAACAAAGACACGATATCCAAACCAGCGCCGGGATTCTTCGTCGTCTCTAGATCCGGACTCGGTGGAAGCTAGACTTGCGCCATCTCCGACTCCGCCTCTCTCCAGTACGACATCGGAATTCCCGATACGTTCTGCATCACCGCACACTCGGTCGTTGAGATCTTCAACTCCACAACTAGGCAGATCATCTTTAGGCTCCCCGCTAGAAGGACATGTTGATGGCACAGAAGATATACGATCGCTGATTATACGTTCTTTCTCCCCAACCATTGGGGTTTATGCGTCCGTGGATACCGATGATTTGGTGCGGGAGAAAGGCTTCAAAGGCGGCTTTTGGGAATTGATCCGGCCTTTTGGAGAGACAGTCCCTGGGAAGATCGTCATCCGGGACAGCGTGGGGGCGAGTCGCGGCTGGGAGGATTACGGGGTGCGATTCGTAGACTTGGGTGGACAACAACGGTTTCCCGGCGATTCGGACTCTGACCGGAATCCTCTGGCACAGCTGGAAGAGGTCGTTGATGGCCAATTAAATGCGGCACACGAGCTATTGGGGACAACCATACGTCCAAAAGATCTTTCTAATCTCTCCGCCACGTCACCGTTATATAAATCCTACCTGCGGTCACTCTTATCGACGGCGACTGCCGCACCACATGAGACCTTCCGCCATCCTGTGGCAAGCGTGATCGCTATAAGTTCACGCAACAGCGCTCCGTTGGAAACCCTGAGGCAGCTATATGCAGATACTAGCAATGGGGATCGAAAATTACCGCAATGGATTCACTCGGAGTATCTCCGCTACTATGTCCTCGTCCACGACGAGGATCGGGATGATATCACGGAGTCAACCAAGCTCTACGATCAGATGAAGCGGCATTTTGGGTTGCATTGTCATCTTCTGAGGCTTCGAAGCACTCAGTGCGTAGTAACGGATGATGATAGTGCTCCAGTACCACATTGCGAGTGGCTTTCACCATTTGAGCAGTTATCAAGCCATACCGGTAGGTCACGTCGTTCTCTTCTTCAAGCACGGTGCCACTAATATATATCAGAGCCTCTAGTTGAGATTGACAGCGATAGCCATCCCTATCTCTTTGACTCGGATATCATGTCCATCAAGGGTCTTGTCCGAGAGCTAGTGGCGCAATCGCTCATTCCTTATATGGAGAACAAAGTTGCCGTCTGGAATGATCAGGTGGCATCGCGGAGGCGTGGTATCAGCGGCCGCTTCATGTCCATGTCTCGAAAATGGGCAGGTTTTGGTTCTAGCTCTCGTTCTGGTATCGCAGGGTCTGGCGGAGGTAATTACGATATTACGCATGGATTCTATAAACCAGACGCTCCCGAAGCAGTCCTGCGCAAAATGGCAGATTTTGCTTTTATGCTCCGTGACTGGAAATTATCTGCATCCACTTATGACCTGCTCCGTTCGGACTACTCAAACGACAAGGCTTGGAGATATCACGCCGGCGCCCATGAGATGTGCGCCGTCAGCACTCTCCTGAATCCAATGGCAATGCCGGCCAAAACGAAACTCGAAAGCATTGATCAGATGCTGGAGACGGCTTGCTATTCCTATCTCACACGATGCTCCGATGCGCCAAATGCTTTGCGCTGCCTGTGTCTTGCTATGGAACTTCTCAAGTCTCGTGGGGGTTTTGCTACTGAAAGCGCAGCCAAATGGGCCATGCGGGCCATGGACCTAGGCTTAGTCGGAACTATAGGACAAATTCTCATTAGCGAAAGAATCTCTGCTTGCTATGCTTCGAGGCCGCCTTTGAGCGGTGTCAAATGGGGCGGCCGTCGCAGAAAAGCTGGGATGTGGAGCGTCCTCGCTGCTGATTCCTGGCTTAAGCTCGGAAAGCCAACTCTAGCCTCGACTTGTCTTGAAGAAGCAGAGCGTCTGTACGCCGATGTTCTTGACAGTGATGGACTATTTCCGATGCCAGAGATACAGTCCTTCGTGGATAACCTACGGCATAACGTGAAAGTTGAATATCTAGGCGCAAGAGGGTTGAACACCAGAGCTGGGATTTCTGCCACTGAACCACTAGAGACTGAAGAAACCAGTGAGAAGCTGGACACACGCCAACACCGAAAGTCATTGATTGGCAACGCGTTGGATTCTGGGGGCCTCAATGCACCGACGAGGGATATTGAAACCCCGGAGAATGATGATTTTGAACGAGCTTAATGTGCAGAAGATGGCCAAATGGCGATACATTATGACATATGGTAGCTATAGAAACTGGGCAACCAAATTAATCGCCAAACAACTATACCTATAGTCTGGGGCCGGCTTTGTAGTGTATACTCACGTGACTGCTATCTTATCGATAGCAGACGCTCTCCCGAGCAACAAGGTGTTGCTGATCATAGAAGCCCAGGTAATCGTCTATTGACGTCTGCCGTTCACTTGTCTCTTTTACTACAGTGCTCCCCGGATTTTTAGACTAGCAATGCAATTTTGACTCTAATAGCTGGACCGAACATCGCAAATTGTATACCCCGTCACGATTTTCACGAATACACACCGTTACCGTCTCCTAAGTAACCGCAACTTGTTGACTACACGGCAAGATGAGCGACCTCCTCAACTACATCCTCACACAAGAAGACTCCTTCAGAAAGTCTGCTGCCCCCATCTCCTGCCCGAGCAGATCGTGGATCAATCTCGAAACTAACCCCTATACAGGAACCGCCTCCCCTCCCTATACTCCGACTTCACCCTGCAAAAGAAGACGAACCCAGATGGCTACGCTGTCAATGTAGCCGCATGGGAACACGCCCTGACAAGGGCAGCGAAACGAGGTCACTTAGGGACATCGAGCTCACATTCCCGCGCGCCAGGCTCGACGACTGCCCAACGAGTGAAAAGTGATCATTTGATATTGAGGACGGACGATTCGCTGCTGCGGGATCTGGAAATACCCGATTACGGGCGACCTGTGGCTATCGGTGCGGTGCTGGTATGTTGTAGCCCTTTCTGGGTCTCAAAAACCATGGCTTACTGAGTGTGGTGGTTAGGATGAGGCGATTCGGAAGCATACCATGGTCCCGCTGCAGCTGTACAAGGCTAGTGCGGCGAGCTTGCGGAAAGGCCAGTGGGGGATCATTGATCCTGGGGTCTTGAGTCCATGGAATGTGATGGCGTGGGGGATGAAGCAGCTGAGAGGCTTCGTTGTCGGGAGCAGTCCAGAAGCCGCGCATCGCTTGCAGGTTCAGGAGCTGGTGCTAGTAGAGAATCTCAAGGTATGAAAACTATTTTTTTCGAGGAGTCATATTCTTCGGACCGGCGCTGATCTGGCCTTTTTTAAGGAGGCTGCAGATATGATAGTGAAGCAGGCTATCAGTGGTACTCCAAACAAAATGGATCTTGTCTACTCCAAGGGCCGTTTCATAGCGGATTTCGGAACCGTGTTTACTAAAGACAGTGAACTATCCAATGCTGACTTCGATGTTCTACTACTCTATCTATCACGAGATATTGGTGCTATCGCATATGATGGCAGGGTAAGTTGAATCCATCCAATCGTGGAATTGCCAGGGAACCAAGACTGATTTGATTTCAGACAATCAGGTTCAGACCCTCGAATGATTCTCCACGAGAAATTACCGAGCAGGATACGACGATTGCTTCTATCAAATCTCTCATGTCGACGATGACGGAGCAGATCGATCAGCTGGAGAGCAAGGTTGAAGACCTAAACACAACAGCGAAAGTCGCGCTGCAGAAGAAAAATCGCGTTTCGGCATTGGCGGCGATGCGCTCAAAAAAGCTTGCCGAACACAATTTAAAGCAGAGACTGGGTACCATGACACAGCTCGAAGAGGTTTATTCAAGAATTGAGCAGGCCACAGACCAAATCGAATATGTCCGAGTCATGGAAGCGAGCACGGGTGTGCTTCGCGGGTTGCACACTCAGATTGGTGGCACGGAAAGGGTCGAGGATGTGGTTGAGGAGTTGCGTGAAGAAATGTCCAAGGTGGACGAGATAGGAAATATCATGAACGAGGTGGCTCCTGAGATTGATGAGACTGAGTTGGACGATGAGCTTGAGGAACTGGAGAACAGAGAGCGACAGGCCAGGGAAGAAAAGGAGGCTGAGGAGACTCGCAAGCAACTCGCCGAGCTAGATCACCTGGAACAGAGAGCCGCGGAGGCTGCGCGCCGGGCCGCATCAGAGCAGGAGGTAGAATCGGCAATCGAGGAGAGCATCGGAAAGCTTTCTCGTATGTCGGTTGAGGAGAATGCTGGGACCATGGCTCAGTGAGAGATATTGCAACGACTCAATCGACATATCATTTCGCAGTTGTTGTGTCTTCACAGCTTCTCCCAAATCAAGTGCGGGCACAAAGAAAGGGTAGATATTACTCCGGCACGGCATTGGCTACCTGGCTATGACTATGAGTATGCATTGTCTGAGCTTCACTCTCGGAGGCAATTGCAGCTGGAGCGTCTGCGGATAGCATTTCGGGCATCTGTGCCTGTTGCGATGGCGTTGAAAGCTCTGTGGGTTGCCCCGGTGCCGATTCTGCTGCCTCTTTGTTTGGGGCTGAAGCTGTCTGGGGTATGGTTGTGCGGACCAAAGCGTCGCTCCTTTTCCGCGCATTCTCAATTAACCGCTTGAAGTCGCCGTCATGGTTGGCTGACCACGATTCCGCATCAAAGTCCTTCCGCATGACTGTATTGCTCGACTCCGAAGGCTGGGCAGCATAGCCACCCTGAGTCCGCTCCCATATGCTCAATTCATGCAACAGTTCTCGTTTGGATTTGGGCGCTCTCGAGTCGCAATTGGCATTCCATAGATTCATCCACTCTGTATGGCGTCTTTGCAGAAGAGGTCGCGGACCGAAGTTTGGTATACCTAAGTCTTTTAGCTTCTTGCGAAGAACATTATCCTTCAACAAAGAATAGTTGATTATAGGGAGTCGTTCCAGCGGTTTGTCGGTGACAACTTTGGTTTTGCGCGCGGCTGGGGACAGTGGATGCAGAGAACTGTACATAGACTCAAGTCAGCATACTATTCAAGTATATGTGTCAATATCTTACCCAAAAGAAGCTTGTTTCGAAGGGGCGCGGTCCCCTGTGCAGGTATCCAGATGCGGGAAGACTGCCTCATTCTTCATTCTCCTGCCGCAGATGGGACACGCAACAAGCCCGTCTTCTGGGAGATTATGATGTTAGATGCTGCACTTTCGAAGCTAATATAGGTCCAGTGCGCGCAAGCTGTGCAAACATACCGGGAATATATTCCTCATCTTGGTCGTCCTCAATCACATCCAACAGAACCGGCTCCGCCTGACTATTTCCGCGTCTGCTCTGCGATCGCGTCCGCACACCCTCCGAAGCGCCCAAGCCGGATCCAGCCTCCTGATCAACTTTGCGCTTCTTCGCCGCAGGTAGCTCTGTACATTCCTCCTCGTCCAAACGCGAGTTCGCAGCCTTCCTCGCGAGTTCCAGCACACTCGGGCGGGCATTCTGAAACGCTTCTACCAACTCCTGAACGGCCCAATTGCGCCGTAGCTTAAGCTCCTGGTCCGAACTTCGGCATGCAGGGCATTTCCCTTCGGTACTTAGGCATCTTCGAATACATAACGAGCAAAATGTGTGGCTGCATGAGGTGATGACGGGGTTGTCAAAAAAGTCCTTGCAGACTTGACAGCGGAGCGAGGATTCGAGTGGTGCGAGCAGCGATAGTGGCGTTTCTAACCAATCGGTAGAGTCGGGAAGGTCGAATGTATGCTCCATTAAATACAGTAAGGCGCGAGAAGCCTTGAACAACAACCAGACAATGAGAGTAATTTGGTTTCAACAGTGAGCATCGGAATCACGAGTATGAGCTGCCACTACCAGCGGGCGCTAGCGCCAAGACCGGCTGACTGATACGCGTAAAGTGGTTAAGCACGCGTCGCCCAAGGAAAGTCCCAAATATTGGATAGGAGCTTCAATCCGCGGAGCGACATAGACTACTGTTGCAAACGCGCAGAGAGCTTCGAACAATAATGGCGGTCGCCGACTATCGAAAATACCTGGCAGAGAATGTCCTCAATGAGCGCCGAACTGTATGTCAAGTTTCGCGTCTTGCTGTTTGCTCCAAGAAACTCAGTTGATGCAGGTCACATATCGCTCGTTAGGCCGAGCTCTCAAGGTCCATTGCAACCAGGCCAAGCAGTATGTCTGTTCGCGGTCCTGTTGCTTTCATACGCGCTGATCCTTCTAGGATGCTATATGACTTTCATCATTCCGAGAACAAGAAGAAGCCGCAGAGCGTACATGCGACCTACGTCATTACAGGAATTCAGAAGCCGCAGGAGATCTTAAATACGAATGGAGCTCACACTGGGAACGACCGCGAGGATGGAGATGATATCATGCAGAGCAGCCCTTATATGCCCAGCTCGATGCCGAACCAGGATTCAGTCGCCGACGAAGTCGCAACAACTTCCATCATTCTAGCGCGCGAGGAAGATCTAGAAGGCAAGTGAGGGCTTCTTTGCTCAGCATGAGCAAGGGAAGGATTGCTGCTGACTCCGGGTGCAGACGTAAAAGCAACTTTTCAGACAATATCGTCGATATACATTTACAGTCTACAGGCCACAGTTCTACAAGATCTGAATGTGCTGATTGATGTCAATCGGGAGTTGTTGACAGCGTATGCTCATGAAGACCCTTTGGAGTATGGGAAGCAGTTGGGGATGATTCAGAATCAAAACGTCAAGGTAATCCTCCGACCGGCCATTGTCTATCGACTCATGGCGAGTGCTTGAGCTAACTATATATCACGCAGCGGAGAACAGGAACACGACCTCCTGCTCCTGCTCCTGCTCCCAAATCCACAATTCCCTCGAAACGTCCATCACAAGAGTCCTCGACACCAGCCGTGAAGCCAGAAAGTAAGAAGGTTGAGGAGGTAGATTCTAAGCCGCAGAAAAAGCCGGAAGAGAAGCCCTCTGCAAAACCAAAACCTAGCTCCAAGAGTGCGCCACTCAAACGCGAGAAAAGCGATCTCTTCAGTTCTTTTGCCAAAGCAAAGCCAAAGCAAAAGAAAGAGGACTTTGGAACTCCTGCTGTGTCTGGTGCTGAATCGGTCAGTGCAACCCAGTTCTGTCTACATGTTGAACGTAGCTTGGTCACGCATGCTGATCTAGAGAACAGGCCGAGCCTAGTGGCGTGGAAGACGGTAAACCAAACTCAGCACCCGATTTGATTCAATACTCGCTAATAAATATCAGTGGTTCTGGGCGATGCCTCAGACGAAGATGAACCCGAGGAACTATTCCCCGATTCTGCGAAACCCACAACCACTGAGACGCGCGAGACGAGGAAGGAGCGCGAGGAAAGGCTAAGGAAGATGATGGAGGATGACGATGGTATGCTCACGACTTTCCCTACCGGATAACAATTAAGGCTAGGCCACTGACTTGTCCAAAGATGAGGATGAGGAAATGGCCGATGTTGCAGAATCTCCGGCGGAGGAAGAAAAGACCATTGACCAGCCACCTCCCAAACAAGAGGAACCAAAGCAAGAAGTAACAGTATCAGGAGGACGCCGGAGAGGCCGGCGCCAAGTAATGAAGAAGAAAACTGTCAAGGATGATGAAGGATACCTTGGTGAGGATCCCTGCGCGCTGTGTCGGATGACCGTCCCAACCTAGCTAACCCACCTGTTTTCCTGTTCAGTGACCGTCGAAGAAGCTTCGTGGGAATCCTTCTCGGAGGATGAACCTGCACCCCCTCCCAAGAAGAAAGCAGCTGTGAGTGCGCCGAAGGGCAAAGCGGGAGGAAAGGCTGGTCAAGGCAACATTATGTCCTTTTTCTCCAAGAAGTGAACAACCATAGACAATCTTTCAAAGAAGGATCTATTCGTGGCGTAGAAACCTAGATTGTATAACTTTTCGAATGTCCCGATGTCCTTGGGTGATTTTGAGTATCATCGCCGGTGTCAATAGAGAAGCTGTCAAAGTAGCTACAAGGCATAAGTAATAATGTCGCTACCAAACCCCGCATATTATTAAATCATACAGCAGATCTCCGCAGTCTCCAAAGGCACGATTCTTAAATGATCAGCCGTCATTCTATTGCAACTGCCCTTCGCAATGCTACCGTGTGACTTCGGATGAGTTCCGATGGAAGATATCAAGGTCTTTCTATAAGTACTATCGATTGCGCTTTGGACTGGCTTCTATGCGCATGTCCGTTTTCGACACTCTGAGATCTCCGCATCCACCGCAACTGCTCTGGTATGCACGGAAGGGCCATCGGATAAAAACAATCACCACAATCATCTTGTTCCGTTCCTCAATCTTCATGTCAAAGTCATATTTATCGACTGATTATTACGGTATATAGATTCAAGATCACAGCTAGCCGGTCATGACTTTCTCGTCAGCCCTGTTCGTCGCCCTGACTGTTGGCTTGCAGATCCACAGCACGGAAGGGCTTCGCGATGAGCCTGCGATTCTTCGACGTGCTTGTCCTGACTATTTATCCTACTCGACTGTTCCACAGTATGACACTTGACCCGTCCCTCAATCTACCACCGCCTGCAGTGAGGAAATTCTAATTTCGCTGTACGATTAGTGCACCATATAGTGGTGGCCCATTAAACCTGCCCTTCCAAAGACCAGCAGCGGAATGTCGGACCTTCTCATCCCCAGCAGTGGAAAAGGTGATTGAAGATGTCACGTCTCGCATGGTTGACAAAGATCTGGCGCAATTGTTTCGAAATGCGTTCCCTAATACCTTGGATACGACCGTCCGATGGCACACGGATGGCTCAACCTCGTCCAGGAAAGCAAAGAAGGATAGCGCTCAATGGCAGGGCCCACAGAGCTTCATCGTGACCGGTGACATCAATGCTGAGTGGCTTCGCGACTCGACAAACCAGCTATCAGGCTACCAGGTCCTTGCGAAAAAGGACAAGGCTCTTTATAACCTCATCCTCGGAGCCATCAACACCCAAGCCGAGTTCGTCATTCAGTCGCCATACTGCAATGCTTTTCAACCACCTCCACCCAGTGGACTCCAGTCAGCCTCGAACGGACAGGATGACAAGGTCCATCCAGCCTATGAACCTTCGGTCGTATTCGAATGCAAGTACGAGCTCGACTCGCTAGCGAATTTCCTGGCACTGGGAACACAATTCTACGAGAACACAGGCTCAACGGACTTCCTGACTGACCGCTGGTATAAGGCCTTGGACACTCTTCTCAAAATTCTGGATGTGCAGTCACGGCCGACTTTCAACGCGCAGAACGAGTTCGAAACTAATCAGTATACGTTCCAGCGCACAACCACCATTGGCACCGAAACGTTGAACTTGGCGGGTGTTGGGAACCCATTGAACGACGGCACAGGCCTCATCCGGAGTGCCTTCCGCCCCAGCGACGATGCAACCATCCTCGGGTTCTTCATCCCGCCCAATGCGATGATGGCTGTTCAGCTCGAGAAGACCGCGAACGTGATCAAGGCTGCAGGCGGAAGCTTAGACCTGATCGAAAATCTCCGGCAACGAGGCGATAAACTTGGTCAAGCTGTCCGTGAGCATGGTATTGTCCATCACTCCAAGTATGGTGATGTGTTCGCTTTCGAAGTGGACGGCTATGGCTCGCGCATCCTGATGGACGATGCGAACGTCCCTTCCTTGCTGTCGTTGCCTCTCCTGGGTTACGTCGATCAGAAGGATCCGGTGTATCAGAACACGCGCAAGATGATCCTCGACAAGGGCGGCAACCCATATTATCTGACCGGAACCGAGTTCCATGGCATTGGCGGACCGCACAGTAAGTCCACCTACACAACTTCACTCATTCAACCCCCCTCCAAGAGTGAACGAGCGAAAATTAACCATACCTTCCAGTCGGCCTCCAAAACGCCTGGCCAATGTCTCTCCTGGTGCAAGCGATGACAAGCGACTCTGAAACTGAGATCATGGAAGCCGTCAACCTCGTGCGTAACTCCAGTCTGCTGGGCCTCGTACATGAATCTATCAACGTCAACAACATCAAGGATTACACTCGGCCTTGGTTTGCGTGGGCCAACTCAGTCTTCGCGCAGACGATTCTCAAGATTGCAGCGGAGAAACCGCATTTGATCTTTGGGGAGGGCGCGAAGCCATATATCATCCAGTAGTGCGCGTACTATACCCAGCTTCTAAATGATCATTTTATGAATAGTTTTTCTTAATGGAGTATGACTCTTCGGCAATTGCGTTTAACGAGGGGATAATCATCAGAGTTTATAATCACAAAACAATTCATCATGGTGAGGTATAGTAACACATACTGTCTGCACGAGAACAGTTAAATAAGAACCCGTCTCAACCCTTCCGTTCCCCCCAGAACTCTCCTCCCCGTGACTGGACATCTGCCCTTACCACTTTCCCACTTGCCTTGCCGACTAATCTTCTTCTCCTCGGCGCCCTCCTTGCCCTTCTCCTCTTCCTCGTCTGTGTTCTCGTCCTCCCACGCCGCGCCTCCGCTCTCACCATTCATGAAATCCTGCTGTCGCTGGTGTTCCCCATTCAGCCAGTGGAAGATGCACACATAGCAAAACACATAGCCCGTCTGACACGCCGTCGGGTTCGTCAGCGTGTTCAGACAGACGGGACACGTAGACGCGCTGTCCGAGCTCGCAGGCGGAAGCGGGACCGTGAAGATGGGAAGGTACGAAGTCGCCGAGACGGGCGGCTGCATGCGCCGACGGGTCTTGAGCGCGGGCTTGAGATCCTTATCTTTGCTCGTTGCTGGTTCTGCTTTCTTGGTCCGCTCAGATGGCGGGACCATCCCCTTGACCACGGGCGCGGGCAAATCGAGCACCTCCGTTGCCTTGCGGGCCAGTTGCCGTGAGAAATCGCTTGCGTGCCACCATTCGAGGAACTTGAGAGCGAAGATCGAAGCGGGGAGGAAGTAGCGGAGCGAGGTGAGGAGCTGTGGGTAGAGGTTCTGTGGGCTAAGGAGGCCTAGCAAGCCGGAGCCAGGGCGGGAGCGAGCGGCCGCAGCGCCAGTGCTGGGTTTGGCGTCCAGCATCGCGGCGATCGCGCGGTGGTCTGCGGCGCCTAGCCGACGGATGCGCGTGCCGATAAGCCAAAGGAACGGGGAGGAGTATTTCGTATTGTCGAAAAGGTAAGCCAGGTTGAAGGCGAGGACGGAGAAGTAGTAGGCTGCGTTGACGGAGGGGTAGACGTTCCGCAGGAACCATTTGTAGTAGTGCATCAGGCGCTGGCGGATCGTTGGGTTGGGAGGGAGGTCGTCGCTGGGGTTATATCGCGGCCCGCCGCTCATGATTAGCGACGCCTGCGGCGCGGCGTGGATATCGTAGCCCTCATCCAGCTTACGCTTGAGGTAGGGGATGCCGACCATGACGAGGAGGTTCTTCCACACGTCCGACGAGCGCAGCTTGAGCGACTCGCGCACGGGGCCAGGGGCGCCGAGTTGCGCCCGAGGAATCTCGCCATTCTTGGTCCGTAAGACGCGTTCTCGTTTCAGAGAGTAGAAGTTCTCGGTGAATGAGCCGCCAAAGTTGCGGAGGTAGTATCGTTCGACGATGAGGGAGAGGAGCGCATAGACCTCGTCGTAGGAGTTGAGTATCCGTAACAGATAGCGCGGATGGCGATGTGTGGCGACTGCGAGGAGATATCGGAGTGATGGAGGGAGGAGATCAGAGAGTTGCTGTTCTGCGAGTAATTCTGTCGGATGGAGTCAGTCCCATGTGGTTCTTTGCGATGGTCGAGGCGAGAGGGCGCTACCTACCGAAGAGAGACGGCTTGAGCTCATCAAACTCCTGTTGAAGACTGGGTAGATATTCCATCGTGAGGATGTTTCATCCTCAACCAGTCCGGGTTGCAATCTCCAGGTTAAGGCATATGGCTTGGTCTAGGGAGAAGCGGACTGTCGCCAGTCTGGGGAAATGAGGAAGATGGAGTGACTTGGCAGCCGAGGCTCATCGGCCATCAGAGACGGCCATATACGATAAGCATCCCGATAGTCACATCATCCATACTATTCATTCATGAGACAGTCAAAATAGTTTGAGTCTCGATATTCTGACCGTATATATTGCATTAATGTACATGGGGTATATAGAACATATTATACATCTCTGGCCACATCAGTCGCGCCAAAATCTATCTACGCCAACTTATTCTTACAATCGTTCCAAATCAAAGCGAGATTGCTCGTCGACCCTTCCGATGCCATCTGGTCAATGTCAGGCTCCGCAATCACAAGACAGTACATAATGTCTTGCAATACTTGTCCTTTCAGTGGTATTGGAGGAGACTCTCTGCCCATCATCGGAACCCACGTAGAAACACAATCCCGGGCGCGACGCTCATCCCCCAGCTCCGCGTGCAGTTCGAAGAGCATCTCGTAGTCGGCAGCAGTGCGCGGACTTCCATTTAAAGGGAGCTTCTGCCACAATTTCCAAAATCCATCATAGTCTTCATTGCGAAAAAGGGACAGCATGAGCTTGCGCGCCTCCTGGGGGTCAAAGGAGATATTGAGGATGTCGATAAATTTCGCGACTCGCGCTGTGGACTGATTCTTGACGCGCTCCGATACTTTTTCTTTATTTTCTGTAGATAAATGCGTGGGATGACTTGCCGCTCTGTAAAGCATGTGGAAGACTTTCATGTTCAGCACGTCTGTTCCGCGAAGTGTAAGATATTCTAGAACGCGGAGGGCGAGTTCTCTGTCAGATTCAGGCAAAACCGTAAAAGCCTCGCCACCCTGGTCGTTGAGTGATTGCTCCGTCAACATGGCTGCAACAACATCCATACCCAACTCATCCGACAGTGAATAGGCATTGTAGCTGCAGTTCATGAAAGAGGTCCAAAGTCCCTGCTTGCTGTAAGCATGGTGCTGTCGAGAGATAGCAGTGCACAATAACTTGATTTGAGCTATCGCTGCTTCTTCTGGAGACAATTCGGAAAGAGCATCGTTGAACAGGCGCAAGAAGATAGTCGAATCTTTGTCATCCGAGCCAGTTCCTAATTCACTCAACACTTGATCGTTGGGCAGTCCGGAAAGATGTCGCAATAATGAATCCGTGACCGATCCAGTATGGGAAGCGCCGGCATTGGCGATATCATGAAATTGGGAATCCGCCGCGCTATTTGATCGAACATTATCGAGATCATCTTCGGATGTGGGGGTAGCTCGACATCTACTGTGTAGACCCCTCCTTTGCTCCAATGGAAGGGTCACCGAGGACCTGGAATAATGTCGAAAAACATGGTCAGAGGATGTTGTATTGACTGGTGTGGAAACACGAACCTCTTTAGGTGGCGCGTCTGGTTTGGATTCTAGGGAGTCAATGGCTCTTTGTCTTTTGCGCTCGGCTCGCTCAAGATTAGCAAGCCAAAGACCCTCAAGGTCGACATCTGCCCTCTTTTCTTCAGTGAACATCTGTACTACAACTCGTGTGCCTCCCACGAGGTTGCCGAACCCTTCGAAGCTTCGAGCCGCCTTTTCTTGGACAGGGGCCTTCTCGACTACTCCGGCGTTCACGCAGATCCAACCAGTAGTAATTCCATCATCCTTTTCGTCGACCATTGCCCCAGCACGACTGGCGATCCTGGCCCGGCGAGCTTTGCGACGGAGCTTGATCTTGAGTTCATTGCGACCCAACAACCCATCCGCATAAGGCGTGAGCTTCCAGGTGCTCCGCAACCAGCGGCAAAGACGATCAGCGCAGACATTCAGATGCTTCACACTGCGAGCGGTGCCGATGATCATAATGACATTTGCTCCGAGCGCCGGAGGTGTATCCAGCCCTCGGAGGTCAAACAGTTTCAAGCCATCCAAGCCAAGGTCTTTAAATACGTAATCAAGAAGAACGGGAAGAATGGCGGGAGGATCTTCAGGAAGCTCTGGAATCTGGTCACGAGAGGATACTGCTTGGGATTCGGCGATGGGTGTCTCCTCTTGCAAGTACCAGGGAATATGTTGCGACGGTGCGCGAGACTGAGTTTCTGCGACCTCTTCCTTGGCAAATTCTGACTCAAGTTTCAATGACTGACTGCTGGGAGGCAAATTCTGAGACCGTAAGTCAGAAATAGAGGAGAGGGCTCGGCTATTGCAGGTGTAGATTGAGCCGGGGAGAAGAGCACGACTCGATGTCGAGACGGAGGGAACAGAAGCAATCGAACGTGCGAGTCCATATCGGCTCCATGAGCCTTTCAGCAACATACGATTCATCTGAAGCATCTTGCCAAATTTTTGTCAGTCAAGTACTTGAAAGAGCATCTCTTGTTGTTGGCAATGAGCAACATCGAATCTTCTTCCGCATGGACAAACAAACAGTGCAAACATTGGCTGACCAAGCACAAATTTGATAAGCAGACAAACAGAACAAAAAAAATGTTTTGTCCGCGGGGCAAAAGCAGTCAATCCATTTATCATCCCATCAAAGAGTCCTTGACTCTCCTCCATATTTTCACTATATCGGTGTTTTCTTTTGTGACTTCTTCAAGGGCTGCAAAGATGTCGATGGATCTTGATGCCCCCGTGCCCTTTGCTCCTCAGGAGTCAATCACTGCAACGTACGTCGACCCCTCACCGATGCCTTATCAAAAAATATTTCATCTGGACTTCTTGGCTTACAATCATGACTTCCCAGGATCCTCTGTTGCAACTGTGGTGCTCCTATTGACGGAACAACATCGGCCGGTGCCCTGTGCCAAGATTGTGTTAGATTGACCGTGGATATCAGCCAGGGAATCCCCCGCGAAGGTGTGATTCATTTCTGCAGAGATTGTGAGCGATGGCTCCAGCCCCCAACCGCTTGGGTCAGCGCAGCACTCGAGTCGAAAGAGCTGTTGGCACTCTGTCTGCGGAAACTGAGGGGCTTGGCGAAGGTCCGAATCATTGACGCAAGCTTCATCTGGACGGAACCCCACTCGAGGCGTGTGAAAGTCAAAATCACAATCCAGCAGGAAGCCTTCCAGGGCACTATCGTCCAGCAGAGTTTTGAGGTTGAATACGTCGTTCATGCCCAGCAGTGCCCTGACTGCCAGAAGTCTTACACACACAACACATGGCGAGCGTAAGACATCTACCTGACGTACGATTCGATTCTGTTCACTAACCTGATTTATAGATCCGTGCAAGTCCGACAGAAAGTGCCTCACAAGCGCACGTTCCTCTACCTAGAACAGCTGATCCTTAAGCATAACGCTCACCAAGATACGGTTAATATCAAGGAAGCGAAAGATGGGTTGGATTTCTTCTTTGCGCAAAGAAATCATGCCGAGAAGATGATTGACTTTTTGTCGTCGGTTGCGCCAATCAAAGTGAAGAAATCCCAAGAACTGATTTCGATGGATATCCACACTTCGACCAAGTCATACAAGTTCAGTTACTCCGTTGAATTGGTACCTATCTGCAAGGATGATTTGGTTGCTCTTCCCATCAAGCTGGCCCGGTCTTTGGGCAACGTCTCGCCATTGACCCTCTGCTACCGTGTCGGTACCGCTCTCAGTCTGATCGACCCCAGTACCCTCCAGACCGCCGATGTGCCCACCATGACATATTGGAGAGCACCATTCAAGAACCTGGCAGATGTTGCGGAACTGGTCGAATTCATTGTCATGGATATCGAACCTGTTGGCCGTTCCAACGGCCGGTTCCATCTCGCCGAGGCGACCGTTGCACGCGCGTCAGACCTTGGCTCGAACGATCAAACCTACTTCACCCGGACACATCTGGGAGGAATTCTGCACGTTGGCGATTCGGTACTCGGATATCTTCTTACCGGATCGAATTTCAATGACCCGAACTTCGAAGCTCTGGAAGCCAGCAGCCAGTACAGCTCGATAATTCCCGACGTCGTCCTGGTGAAGAAGCACTATGCTCGCAAGAAGAACAAGAAGACTCGCAACTGGCGTCTCAAGCGCATGGCCCGCGAGTACGAAGAGGAGGCTTTGCAGCAGCAGAGTGGATCGCTCAGCCGCAAGCAGGAGCAGGAGCAGGAGCGCATGGAGGCAGACTTTGAGATGTTCCTTCGGGATGTCGAAGAAGATCAGGAGCTCCGGGGCACCTTGGCTCTATACAAGGCCAAGAATGCCGTCCAGAACGATCGTATGGCAGGTGTCGAGAGTGGTGCAGGTGGTATGGATATGGATGATGACGATGATGAGAGTGAAGATGGTGTACCCAAGATCAGCATGGATGAGCTTCTCGATGACTTTGACGAGCTGAACATGAATGATGAGTGAGCGCGTGCTCATGCATCTTTCTTTCCCATTGCATTGAAGGGTTTTGGCGTTTAATCATGGGTCATCTGCTTTTCTTCTTCAGGTCAATCAATACCCGGTCACTCAAAAAGTTCCGTACATACATTCATCCATACAAGGTTTTAGAAACAAGTTTCTACGTCCAGATGCTCTATCATAACAATCTTGAAAGTAGTGAATAAAAAAAAATCCCATATATGTATATGTACCTGTACATCTCATTCGTATCAGAAAATCTTACTGAGCACCCGCTTAGTATCATCCTCCAAAGTAGCATCACCCTTGATCTTATCCCGTCCCACCTTGACCTCATTCTGCTTGAACAGCCTGCGCACCTTGACCCCTTGCGGACCATTCCCAGCGTCGCTCGTCGCAGCCGTAGCCGCAACCGCAGCTTCAGCATCAGCCCTCGCCTCGGCCTGCCTCCTCCTCTTCTCCTCATTCTTCTTCTGAATCCCCTGCAAAACCTTGCCATGCTCCACGCCCTCCAAGAAGACCTTATCCTCCTTGCGCGCACGCGTGTCCTCAATCCGCCGCCTCGCCTCCCTCTCCGACCTCTCCCGCTGCACCTGCTCCATCAGATCCGCCCACTTGAAGCCCCGCAGATACTTCATGTTCCACACGTCGTCGTGGTACCACCCGCCCTTGCGCCCGCCCACAATCGACGCATTCAGCGTCTCCGCACAGATCTTCGCCGTCTTCTTCGACGCAAACTCAACCCACCCGTCCGCGTACGTTTTGCGCTTGTTCGACCGCCGCCGCGGCCCCGCTGCCGACGGCACCTCGGGCGTCAGGAACACCTTCGTGATCGGTTCGAAGCCGCGCGTCTCGAGCATGGATTTCAGCGCGAACGGCTTGAGGTACGGCGGGAGCGAGGACAGGTACACCACGCCTGTTTTGTTTTTCTTGGGCGGTTTGACTTTGGCGAGCGGTTTCTTCTTCTGCGGTTTGGAGGTGGTGGTGGTGGTGGTGGTGGTGTGCGAGTCTGTGTGGGAGGGCGATCCCGGTTGTGCGCTTGCGTCTAGGTATTGGTCTTCTTGGAGGTCGTCCTCGTCGGCGCTGCTGTCGTCGGTAGCGATCTCATCGCCGTGTTTCGCCGTCTTCCTCTTCGACTTGGTCTTGATCTTGGCCTTGGAATCGCGCTCATCGTCTTCGTCTGAGACATCGAGGTCTGATTCTTCGTCGCTGAGGTCGTCGGCCCGGGTATGTGTCCTCCGTCGCTTTGTGAACCGTCCCTTGCTCTCTTCCGCGGCCTCGGAGTCGTAGCCACGGTCACTGCCGTCCTCGTCTTCGGAGGCGATGTCCAGGAATTCGTTTCTTTTCCGGGTGGTCATGATCAGTCCCTTGTGTAGTGTGTAATGAGGTAAATTTAGCTCCAGAGACTCCTTGCTCTCTGTGTTGGCTGCGAACTGAGGTTTGAGGAACTTCAACTGAAGTTCATTGTACAGAGGAGGAAGCGGGCTTCAACTTTTTTTGCTCCGCAGGATTGGTCCGTGCCACTTTTCGGACACAGCCAATCATATCTCAGGATTCTTTACCACTGTGATCAATGGCAATGGATATTACTCTTGAGGTTAACTTATGTTGTTTGGCGCTGAGTGTGTTTTGTATGGACAACAATTTCATTTGGACTTCCCATTTATATATGGCATATGCATGGGCCCATGCTCTTCAGATCTAACAAATCCACCAGTGAAACAGGCAAGAGGTATCCAATCAAACTATGTACCAGGGGCCATCCCTAGCCGCTCATGCAAAGAGGAAAAGCAAGAAAGAAAAAGACCAAGGGAGAGGACATGAAGGACGACCGCATAATCAAGACGCCAATATCTAGGGTCTAGTACGAAAGGGGAGATGACATGAGAGGGGCGGATAGGTAGTAAAAGGGTGTTTCAGATGACGGAGGCAAGAAAGAAAAAAAGGTTTATATGTAGGAGAGGAGGAACGAGATGGTCAAGTCCTGAGCAAGCTCAGATCCCCAATGACCACTTGAGTCGTTCGTAGACAAAGAAACTCGTGGCAGCCAACGGTACCACCTTGATATAACCAATGGTCAACCCGACCCAGAAGCCGCGGAATCCCTTCTCCAGCCAGATCTTGCCGGCTGTCTCGGCGATGCTCATCCGGTGGCCGTCTCCCACCGCGCCGCCGACCTGCATCCGCCGTCGGATGACCTCAAGCGGGTACGAGCAGGTCTGCGAGACAAGCCCTGCCAGCGCTCCGGAGAATAACTCCGCGGCGGCTGTCAGCTGTGGCCGTCGCGAGCCCTTGTGCGACTGGCTGCGCGAGCTCTGTTCCGATCCAGGAATAGTTGTGTAGCGAGCAAGGGCCGGGGAGCGAAGCCAGTCGCCAACGGTGTCGTGGGTGAGGAAGGACATGCCCGCGTAGGGTAGCATGCCGAGAATTGTGGGCGCGAAGCCGCGGTAGAAGTTGGACAACCCGTACCGGGGGACGACCTTGTTCACCGCAGAGGATACATTCTCAGCGGTAGCGACGGCCGCGGCTGGTGCGCTTTTGGCCGCGGCCAGTTCACTGGGGCCAGAGGGCGGCCGCACCCGCTCGTTATAGATCTGCCGGAAGGTACCCACGAGCGACGAGTGCGAGGACTTCTTCGTCTCGAACGCAAGGCGCACTCGGATCAATTCGAGCGGATACGTGAAGAACACCGATGTGATGCCCGCAAGGCTCCCCGAGATGAGTCTGCGGAACGGGGTTTCCTTATCGCGCGACGGGATGACCGCAGCGCGAATCTGCTCGTACGCGAGGAACTTGATCGCGGCATAGGGAAAGATCCGCAGCAGCGTGGCGGAATGGCCCTTGAACAGACCTCGCGCGCCCTCGTGTCGATGGATATCCCGCATTGCCGATACAAGGCCGAACCAGCTGCCTGTGTATTTAGCAAAGTGCGGATTCGACGCCTGAAACAGAATCTTCACGCGATCGAGTGGCGCGACAACCGTTTTGGCCTACGCATCCATGAAGATATCAGTACGTCTGCTACAAGCCTGCAATGAACCAAATCCAACCTGGAGCCACCCTGGCTCCCATACGTCTCCAGAACTCTGGGGGAAAATTAGACTTACCGCACACCCCGCCAGACCCCCCGCGAGCCCACTTCGCAACACATAGTCCAGACTCCGCTTGTTCACCTCCTGGACTCCCCCGCGATCATTCTGCTTCACCGGCAATGATGGGCCAGTATCTACAGGGCGATTCGCATGGGCTATCGAATTGAGATCGCCCGAGACTGGCTCTCGCGACGGTCTCGACTGCGAGGCTTGTTCCATCTGAGAATCGAGTTGCGGAATGGCTTCCGTCCTTAGGCGATGTTGTTGTCTAGATTCCGGTGCGACAGAAGACTCATCAGGACGCACATGGCCCGGGAAAGCTGCCGACATGAGAGATCGAAAATGTACAGGCGAGATGTCCCAGTTTCCTGAGAAAAAAAGAAGTGTGGGGTGAAGCTTCTGGGGAGGAGAGTGTCACGGGCTACCGGGTAATCGCGGCCATGGATGAGAAGGGACTTAGGTCAGGTCGTGGTCCTCGGTCTTGGAGAGTAATCGAGTAGGGCGAGTCGGGCTTGGAGAGCGAAGAAAGGATCTATAGAGAGAGCAAAGTTACTAGAAGGATATACAAGACCAAGCCGCAGATGATCGCATGCCCCAGGATTTGCTTTGAATCCCAAGCGTGCCCACTGGTTTACCTTCACTGACGTCGGTCCACAGAGGCGGAGCACACAAGACCAGAAAAATTAAGAGATTACGGCGCTGACATGCCGATACCTGCCGATGCCAGCCAGCGGATGTCCCGTTACCGTCTCGTTACGCATCGGTATCCGAGTGGTGGCGGATAATTCTTTCGTGTATTCTTTGCCATGATTTGTTAGATTGAGATAGAGAAATGGAGATGGAGATATTGGGATAGAGACGGCAATGGTTGTTCGTTTCGATCATGCAGAGTCGCATTAATCAGTCTCTGCAACTGCCTTTCCCACCGATGGGAAATATCCCTGTATGTACAAAACACCAAACTCGCTCCACACAATCAGATCACCGCCTCTCCCCGTCCTCTATGTAGGTGCAGCCGCTCTTCCAGTTCCCTATCTAAACCAACCCAAGAATTCTTCATGGTCTCATCGCTCAAGTATATGAACAAAAAAAAAAATGGAAATGGGAAATGCAATGCAAGAAGGTTGGTTCCAATCCCGATGCCAACTCGAAAAACTATCCAGGACATGGTCTGTAAACGCCCGCGTGTAACCGAACAGGAAGATTCATCTTCTCCAAATGTCAATTCAAAACTCGTAGCGTGTGCCTTGCCGGGTCAGCGGTTTACCCTGCCGGTTCGTGCTTTTGATCTCTTTGGGTTCGTCGGTCACTCTCCTGGCTCGCTTCGATGGCCGGGCAGGGTCGACATGGAGATGTCCATTCTCGGACAGGGCCATTGTATTCCTCCATTTCAAGCAGCGATGCTTGTGATCATCCACGTACGTCTTGTTCCGCGTCGTCATGCGCTTCGCCGGCAGTTCCTCCGATTCATCTCGCTCCGCCGTCTGCTCCAGATACTCCTTCCGACACTTCATGTACTTGACGATATGGTCCCGCTGAAGCTGGAGCTCCTTGCGCAGTCTCGACTCCCTGTTTCCCCGTAAGTCTAGCCAATCAATCAGTTTGTCGATCGCCTCAGGATCATTGTAGTAGCCCCACTCATGGGCATCGGAAACTCGCGTGGGCCCTTCCTCGGCCTTTTTGCGCTCGGCAGGTGTGGTCTGGAACTCTTTTTGATACTGTTTCCTCTGGTCGTCGGGCACGTCGATGAATCCCAGCCGCTCCATCTCATCTGGACCCTGAACCCAAAGTCGACCATTTGCGTAATTAGCCTCTGCGGTGGAACTTTTGGGCATCCCCCCGTAAGGCATCGCATTTCGCTCAAACCACCAGTATCGGTTGCAAAAACGATCCTTCCCAAGACATCTGGTGCGCGGGCAATCCGCTTCCCGTAGATCATTGTCCACCACCTCAATTTTCTTCTCAAACTTTTCGACGGCGGCTTTCTGGTCCTCGATCTTCTTGAGGACCCTCTGGTACTGCTTCGATCCCTTGGGTTGTTTGGCGAGCTGCTCCTTTCGCTCCCTTTCTTCCTCCAGTTTCCTCTTCCGTTCAAGGATTCTGTCCATGCCGCCCCGGAGCGATCGGACCTGGGGCACATCGTCATCCTCCGTATCCATGACTTGCTCAGAATCGCCGTCTCCAATCGTCATCTTCGAATCTTCTAGCGCTTCCAGTTCCGGTACAGGGGATGGTGATTTTTCTTGCTCTGGCTGAAGCACCTTCCGCTCTTGGTGGAGTCGACGCAGCTCCTCGAGTCTGTAGTTTCGAGCGGAGATGAGATTAGAAGGCAAATATACCGAGTTTCACGGCTTGGGGGCAACTTACGCTACTTTCCGAGCCCTCTGATATTCAATCTTCTCTTTTCGAAACTCGGTCATCTGATTGCTGCACTCCTCCAGGTAGTTTCGAATCGCTTTCGTGTCCAGACTAAGCATGCAGATGATCTGAAGAGCCTGTACGCGTAGATTGATCGGGAGCTTAGCGTACTGGGATTGCACGGTTTCTTGGGTGGGTTCTGCATCAAGGGGTGCGAGATGTTGGAGAATTTCGTTGCAAATCTTTTCCATCCGCGGGCGAGCAGACAGTTGATGCAGGAGGCCGACCATCACCATCTCCCATCCGCCATGGTGAAAGTCACGTTTGCGTAGGCGTTCAACCCACTTGTAGTCTCCAAACAACTCTGCCGCACGATGAACCTTGACCTCCTCCGAGTTTTCGCGGCTCCGATTTGCCTGTGCTTTCAGATTCTCGGCTTCGGCTTTGGCCAGACTACTGCGCGTCGTCATTCTCGTCACGGCAGGTTCAGGTTCAGGGGAAGGCTCCTCGTCCTCTTCCTCGTCTTCATCTTCAGCCTCGGACTCCTCCGAATCTTCATCGGGAAGCTCGGGTAATGAGATTTGTATAGCGCCATCGTCATTCTTTTCTGCATTGACAAGCTTCTTCAACACGGCACAATGAATCTCCACAAAGAGTTCACAATCCAGCTCGTCTGACGAAAAACGCATGGCCTGGATGAAATCATCAAAGGTAAATGAGTCCAGCTGAAATACTTCACAATAAACATTAAGAGTGTTCCAGGTCTCCAGGAGAAGACCCACGGCTTGCATGTCGATCTTGTCATGCAGTAGCTCCTCATCATCGGCATCATCCGTCTCATCGACTTCTAGAAATCTCAGAGGCGGACGTTGCTTCTTCTTCTTCTCGCGGTCTGGGGGGATCTCCAGGTCCTCGATTGGATATTTGATTGGAGGAGGAGTCGGTAGCTTGGGAGGCTCAGGTTTGACGACGACAGCAGGAACTGGTTGCGGCTTCTTTTCTTCTTGGGGTTTTGCGTGTGGAGAACGGGCAGGCGCAGAGGGAGCTTTATTAGGCACAACAAAGGTTGGATTTCCATTGAGGGAACGCTGATACTCGAGGTATTGGGCCTCCTTTGATCGCGCCAGGTCTTGAGCTGAGGGCTTAGATTTCTGTCCTTTGGCTGCTGGTTTCAATTCGGGCAGTTGTTGTGATGAGAAGAAACCAAAGAATCCCTCCTGGTCAGCCTTCTTCATGGCTTTCTTTTCAGCAACTCGAGCACCATATTGAAGATGATTGGGAACCTCCGTCGGTATCTTGTACTCTTCCGCGATGGACGGTTTGACCAGCCATGGAGCTCCGTTCCATGATTCCCTGGTGACATTGTTCTTGATGAACGCGCGCAGCATTTGCTTCGTAAACGTCTTCCGATCACGGGTGATATGGTCCTGATCCAGCAGCGCCTCTTCATTGGGACGATCCAACACTTTGACAAGGTATGTCGCATATGCCGGAGCTTTGATGGTCCCGTCGGGATAGCGCTGCTCGGCGAACCTTGCTTTGTCTCGAATCACGCCATGAAGTCGGCTGCTGTCCTCAAGCAATATCAAAACAGGCTCTCCAGGGTAGAAGTCTTGTTTGAACTCCTGTGATTTGTTAGCTCTCTCAGTCGTAGAAATATTAAAATAAGCTTTCACGCGGTATTTCTCACCTCATAAATCTCATCAACTAGATATCAAGGTCAGTGATCGTCCCTGATGACTCGCGGTATTTTATTTGGAACTCACCGAGGTTATCGACCCGTGACACCGTGGAAAATTGTATTCTGCGTAGGATCGGCTCCTTCAACGCATCCGGGAACGCGCTGTTGACCTCTCTCGATTCCTCCATCTATGCACCGGTTGAGTTTAGTTGGTTGGTTGTAGGAGCAAGGAGAACCGGTCACGTACTTCGCTTCTTAGTGCTTCGAAGAAGGTCAAGCCCGAATGGCCGGTGATCTCGCAAATGAACCGTTTTTGCTTGTAGAAGTCCATTCGCTGAAGATACGGTTCATAGTTGGTGAAGACCTCGTTGGTTTCCGGGATAACCCAGACCTGCGCAGCCATTGTCAGCCAACCATGTCGCAATCAACCTTAAAGTCGTTTCGGGGAGTATGCATGCCTCGGAGCTGTCATCTTCAATGACCGGTCGTGGGAGGTACTGGACCGGTTTCCGCTTGAACAGCACCTAGGTGAAACCGTGAGCCACAGATATTCATCGATCCTCGCAATCTCCCAAGCACTTTTTGTTGGAACGCACCATGATCGTGGGAGACAGCCGTCGCGCGCCGATTTACCATAGGTCGTAGAGAATGAGGTGTGAGACACGACGATCTAAGACATTCATGGACAGTCAGTAAAGCGTGAACGCGAGGACTCTAGCACCCAAGAAGAACAAATGACGTCGGAGAAACAGAAACCAGCCAAAGCCAAGGACGGGATTGAGAGTGAGCGCCCGGAGCTGCCGAGCAATCGATCCTGGCAGGAGATAGATTGGTGCACTGCGCCGATCCGCAGCCGGGGAAAGGCGGTGCTTAGAGCTTTGATAGATATCGACTGCTTTTGAAACGGACGAGGCGAGTGACTGCAATTCGAAATGGCTATAGAAGATATGGAATCTATAACATACCGGCTGCTAAACGCGTCTCCAATCGCGCAAAATCCGTCGTACTCGAAACAATTCGTCGCAAAGAAACACGTCGAATCGGCTGGACAGTGGCGTCAAAAAGGGTAGGTAGGGGAAAAAGGGTGTTGGATCGCCGTGCGGGGGAGGGAGAAAACACGCGAAATGAAGGAGAAGAAGAGAGAAGTGGGAGAAGATGGAGGAGTACTCAGTAGTCTAGGGAGAGGTAGTCGATCGTCGGTAGAGGAGGAGAAGAAGAAGGATGAGAAAGGTAAAGCGGTCGCCGCGACGATGGAAAAGAGCGGCGACGGCAGAACCGGGCCCCATCAGAGTTGAGGATCATTGCGGCAAGAGCCCATAACTACTGCTCCAGCTAAGGACCAAGTAGGTAAGTGACCATAGAGGAATTGTGAAGGGGAATGGAGTGGGAGCGCGGCCGCCGAGGCACCGCAGACGCTGATTGGACCAGAGGAGGCCGGACAAGAAAGTCACGACGGGCGGAGAGCAGCTGGGTGGCTTAGTCATGTGGTTAGTCATGGCCAACCGCTTTTTTCAACGGAGAGAATGGAAGATCCTTAACATGAGTCGGTACTGTAAGTTGTAGCTGGCAAATAATAGGGATTAATACTACTACTACTATTAAGAATTAAGGAATATTAGAGACTGGGTACTCAGCACTGGGAAGGCTAAAACTATGTAGTAGATCAGGAGGCTAGTAGTAGAGACTCCGGAGGACTGACCACTGACCACTGACTCTCTGGTACGCCCAGCAGCCAAACGCTAAACCCATCCCTCCAAATAGGTCTCCTCCTCTCTCTATCCTGCACCATTCGGCTCCTCTCCCCTACCCTCCATGCTTTGGAGCCTGCTTGCCCACCACCATCTCTTCCAACCATAATTGTTCGTGCACTCAATCTGCTCGTAAAATCTTGGAGAACCTTTTTGAGTCACCTCCAACTTACATTTTCTTACGAAATCCCAGAAAATGGCTCAAAATGAATACATGTCTAAGACCTGCGCGGGGACCTGATGGCTGTGATGAATACTGGGCCCCAGCAACCTCAATCATCTTCCACATTTTCCAGCAAACTTAGACTTCAGACCGTCGCATATGCTCTGCTTATTTTCTTTCTTGTCTAGCTAACTGTTCTAATGATTGTCCCTACCACGGTAAAGTGGAACATTACCTCTTCATGTATAATATCTAGCTGAGCAGGGTAGCAGGCGACCAGAATCCTACAGTCATCACATAAAATCTGTGGGTTGATCGCAGCTATGCTTCTCCTCCATGGCGGCCATGATGTGTGAGCGCGTCGTGATCATAATACCCCCGCCTAATCAATATGTTCAACCAAGAATTTACAGGCCAACATACGACCGCTTCCGCAGGATCTAGCCCCGGATCTCTGTTTGCTGCGCATCCGCTGCCTTCTCCCAGATCATGGCACAAATGCTTCCATGAGCTCTCAAGCGTGCCTGTTCTAAACAAGTGCTTAGCTGTTTTCATGTCACTTCGAGATGCTAGCTGAGCAACTCCTGAACACCAACTGATACGATTTCACGATGGCTTTAACAATAGGTCTGGATCAGGTCAAGTTCAAGAAGCTCAGAGCAAGAGATTACGAGTCTGAATATCGCGACAGGCACAGAAATGTCGGCCTCATCTCTTATATCCACATCTTGATGTCTCTCGATCAGAGCAGTGTCCGTTTCCATACCATTCTCAGCATTGCTAATGCGATTTTCAACTTCATTTTCCTTGATAATGTATTTCGATTGGCATATCACAACCGCTGGCCTCGAAGTCTCGTGATGACTTCTCGATAGCTGTACTAACCCTTGAGATCGCAGGAAACAGGTTTCACTGGTCATCAAACTTGCCCATTGAACCAACCAACGATTCACCAAGCTCTGGGCTAAAGCGAACCCTCAAGAGACAAAACACAACCTACGTCTGACATATACCCAACCTCCACCCCATGGCCATAGACTCATCCCAATCCCTAGAAAGAACCACTGTCCCGAAGCAGGTCTGATACTGCGGTTGAAGCATCCACCGCATGCTGTTCCAACATGACGTAACTCACACCAAACTGAACTACTATGGCAGAGTGTATGCCAAATACCCTGAAAAACAAGCTCTCATCATTCTCGATGAGCATAACTAATCTCGGGTATCAAAATCACAAAAGAGTGTCACAAATAACGAAGTAGACTGCGAAGTCCAGAGCTGTGAACTGAAGAAATATATATCCATGGAACTAAACAGTGGATGCCAGGAGACTAGCCGTTTTCGACTAGCGGCTGATAACCCTTGCAGACTTGGGAAGATCAAGTGGGTCCGTCTCCGGAGCACGTGGTCAACACAAACACATCAAACACTGAGTCTGGTACGATTGGTAACTTACTCGGCTCCGTTGGAACTACTAGGCTTCATTACATCATTGCCCCATTGCCGTTGGTTGTCCATCTCAACTTTCGCATCATGAACTACCAATATTCGCATCCCACGACTTCGGGGTCAAAGACATTTAGATGGTGAAGATAGATAAAACACACACGTATCTATTTTAATTGGTTTATCTATCGATCTACGCGGTGAAGTAGACCACCATAAATCCTACCCAACTGCCAACGACTCCCAAAGCAGAATAGCTGCTCATGAACATCAGCGGGAGGAATTCATACCGATCCCATCCGAAAATCAGCTGATGTACCAATGAGCAGTAGACGATCAATGGAATAGCCACAGTCAGATACAACAGGGACAGGCGGTCGAAAACGAAGATCCGCTGCCGCTCGGAAACCGGCGCCACTTGGTCGAACACGAACAGGAACAGAACGAGCCACCAGACAGTGTAGACGGTCTTCAGCGGAAACTCGGCTGCGGTAAACAGAAGTGGGAAGAGCGAGACATGGCCTGCAACAGCGAGAGGCCGGAAGGCGCTGAAGTAGCGTCGGTCCTTCAGTGCGATCAGACTAAAAGGGATGATGATCAGGAGGACGGCTTTCTCGTGTACATGCCAGCCGAACAGGAACGATGCGTATCCGCAGAGAGTAATCGCACCAACAAACGTGTCCCAGGTCGGGTGAAACCAGAGTTTGATGAGTGGGAGCTATATGCCAATTAGATTGCCGATCACCAGTATCAAACAGCAATCCAAGACGCTTACCAGTTGGAACAAGAACGTCAACGCGAATGTCTGTTCCTTTGTTATCTCAGGAAGGATGGCGAAGGAAGTGTCGCCGACGAGTCCGCGTGTGACACTCGTCAAAGCGCCACGATTGACAGACAGACCCAGACGGGGAGCAACTGTGGAGGTTAGTGGAGCTGCATGACTGTATACGGTATAGGTCGTACTCACGAGGAATCAGCGCGCGGTCCGTAAAGGAGTACATTGCCCATATGTTTGGCGCCCAGTAAGCATGGCATAGGCCCCGCGAGAATGGAAACAACCTATCCTTCAATTGCAGCAATTGGTTCCAGTAGGCAAACGGGCCGAAGGCGAGGCCAAACACGCTGATGACACCCAATCCGAGTTTGAAGATATTTCCAAATCGTGGGCGAAAGACCGACTTCGGGTCAAGGCAGTAGGCTCTCAGTAAGTATACAAAGTAGGCTAAAGAGAGGTACAGGTAGATGTGCTTCAGACACAGCAGCACGGCGAATAGGATACCGCTGTAGAAGAGCGTAGACTGCTTGCGCGCCAGAACAATCGACAACACCAGGATTCCGTAAAGAAAGCCGTTGTATTGGAAATGAATGTGGTCAATGATGAGCAGACCCGGTGACAATAAGATGGATAGGCCTGCAATATGCGCAAGATGTTTATTGGCTTCAGGCAGAGACTTGATGAACCTAGAATACCTCCCGGTTAGTCACCATTTCCCGTGTTGTAAAGGATAGCTTGAAGAGCTAGGGCCCATACCGATTCAGTGCGTAGACCAAGACAAGCTCCGTAAAAATGACGGTGGCTCTCTGAAAATAGACGGTCTGCCAGGAATCGTAATTGAGGTTCTCTATAACCAGCATTGCGGGGTCCGCATAGCGCGCTGCCTGCGACAGAAGCCATTCGAAAGCCGCGAAGAACGGCGGGTAATCGAGTGTCCATTCCGATGTTTTCTATGCAAATCCTCCATCATCAGTGTCCTGAATTGCGGAGTGTCGGAGGAGATCAACGGACCTCATAATACCACTCCCTGGCCGGTAACGAATTTGTAATCGCGAGCCAATTCCGATGGACTTCAAAGTCAGTCGATTTACTGCACACAATCACCAGCAGCTGTCAGTCCCAGCCCGATTTCAAACCTCAGCTACTTCGCAATAGGAGCAACATACTAGGCGGGGAAGAGTAGGATCTTGAAAGCTGTTGCGACGATGGCGCATTGCACCAATGAAGGATATATGTCAGCCATTAAAGCTGTCGCGCATAGTGCACAGTCGAGAAAGTTCAGATCAAGAGAAATGAACCATTGAAGGTGAAGCCATTGCAATTCAATCTTGAAGTCGGGACTCTTGGTCTATTGCGGTTGACAGTTCCATAATCTTCACGTGACAGGATCCGGAGCTCTTTTAGCTTCGTCTTTATGCCTGATTTACCAGGCATCTGATACGTGGTTCTCCGCAAAGCAGGCCATTGAGAGATTCAATTGAAAAATAGATTTCTTGATATATTAGAACCCTTGAGTACGACGAAGTATGTATCTTTGATTCCGCGATTTACCTTTTTAAAAGTCGATACTTGTGTGATCTCAAGGGTGATAATTGCCCCGTCAAACAGCCCAAGCTGGAGCAAGCGGAGAGAGCTTCTGTTTAGGTGGATCAACCATCTTTCCCCTTCAGCGACTCCTGCGTGCCTTTGTTTTCGATTTGTCTCTACGTCCACAATTCTCGTCCATAAGCACCATGAGGATCTTAATTTCTTTACCACTTCTTATTGCTGCTGCTACAGCGCAATCAGTAATTGAAAGCTTGAGCTTTGGCTATGGTCAAACGTAGGGGAACCCCCCACTACACGTTTTGTTACCACCTGTCCTAACTAGCCTCTTAGTATATCGCCAAACACAGACTCGATCCCCGGCTGGCATATCGGGGGAGAGGGCCATACACCACAGATTGTATGCTTCCCGTGCTCGTCATGAAGGTCTCAATATATTCAGGAATGCTTACCGGTTCCAGCTCTCGAACAAACTCATCCTAACACCCCCCTATCCAGGGAACACTCGAGGCTATGCCTGGTCGCAGAACCCGTAAGTCTAGACTTCTTCATTTCGTTTGACTCAAATCAAATTGCTCATTGAGTACAGTCTATCTCAACCGGAATGGACAGTGGAGTTCCAGTTCCGCGCCACTGGTGTGGAGAGAGGAGGTGGAAACCTCCAGTTATGGTATGTGAAGGATGGGCGAGACAGAATCGGCTCCTCTAGTATCTACACTGCTGGCCAGTTCGACGGCTTTGCGCTTGTCATTGATACGCATGGTGGAAGGGTATGCACTCCTTGTATTTGTCTGATGATGATATGCCAGTACTAACTGCTTCCAGGGCGGAAGCATTCGAGGCTTCCTCAATGATGGCAAAACGGACTACAAGAGCCACAGAAGCGTAGACAGCTTGGCTTTTGGGCACTGTGACTATGCCTACAGAAACCTGGGCCGCCCTTCAGTCGTGCGCGTGAAGCAGACCAACTCTATCTTCGAAGTGACCGTGGATGACAGGCTGTGCTTTTCGACCAACAAGGCAAGCTATCGAACTCGCCCGCTACTCATTAGATATTCTAACCACGTATAGGTTGCCCTTCCTGTTGGCAACAACTTCGGATTGACAGCCGCCACCCCTGAAAACCCAGACTCCTTCGAGGTCTTCAAGTTCATCTTGCAGTCGACCCCGTCCGGGACCAATGGAGCGCCCCCTGTCCAACAGCAGACCAACCAGCAACCGATTGCCAATCAACAACAGGCTGCCCCCGTCGACACTAGCGCAGTGAAGCCCGACTCATTCAGTGACCTGAGCAATCGTCTCAAGAGCGTCAACGACGCCACCAACAGCATCGCCCGCGACATCAGCGCCCAACTCTCCAAGGCCGAGAACCGCCACGTAGAGCTTCTCCAGAAGCTCTCCACCAAGGAACAGGTCGCAGGCCTAGACGCACGGCTGCAGAAGATTGAGCAGCTGCTACAGAACGTCCAGCGTGACCTGGAAGGCAAAGACTACCGCAACAGCTTCAACCAGCTCCATGAGACCCTCCGCTCCTCGCACATGAGCTTGTCCGAGAACCTCCAAGGCACCCTTGGCAGCGGTAAGTTCCACGAAGTCTCCAACCTCATAACTTCCCAGCACCTGAACCCCAGGTCACTAACTTAACCAAACAGTCATCACCGCCTCCACCCCGCGCATGGGCTTCTTCATCGGTCTCCTCATTGCCGTGCAGCTTCTCCTCGCTGGCTCATACATCATCTACAAGCGCCGCCGCGCCAACATGCCCAAGAAGTTCCTCTAGACAGTGTGGGGACATTCGAGAGGAAAACACGATTTTTGGAGCTTGGATAGTTCCCAATCTACTCACGTCTTCTGCTCTTCATAATGACATGGCGATTCTTATCCTCGACTATGATGTACTGTCTATTTTTGATTTGTAACCCTTGTATTCTTTCGTTCCGATCTGATATTCCAGGGAGTTGATCCTGCTGTACATGCGCGCATCTCACTGCTTTCTGCAGTTTGGCTGTTTCCATCTGGTCTTGTGTATCCTGTCATGTAGAGTTTCGGCGTGTTTTGCATGAGAGAGTTTCAATCTTTTGATCGTTGACTTCCTTAATGGCTTGGCTATTTTTGTAATTCTAAGTGAACTTCCATTGGTTTGTTGCGTATTTTGCAAGCGGATGTTGCTGTCGCTGTAACTATACCAGACGGACGGTTCTTCGTTTACTGGAGGCAAATAGTGCCCAAAGCAACCGTACAGGTTCGACTCGACGGAGAAGGAACAAGGGACATCATCATCCATATCGAATTGGAAGATCACAGCAAAATCTAGCGAGGAATCTATTCGTACATGAGACTGCGGCGCAGCGGCCCGTTCACCGTTCCCAAATGAGACACGGGAGGTTCCAGCAGTGGCCACACAGCAACAAGAAAATTCAAAAGATCATCACAACATTAAGTACAGGTTTCCCCTTATGGCGAAAGCCCAGACGCTGGCCCAGTATTGGCAGAGCACACGCAGGGAGACTGCTCACTGCACGCGTCGGACCCATCGACGTTCGAACTTCGCAGCCACTCTCTCTGTGGCGGTTCGGAACGGGGGACTCAATCGCCGTGAGAGCTTTGGCTAACGGTGTGGAAAATCCTCTAGCCAATTGGTCCAGCCTCCGGGGAGAAGGAAAATGCAAAGAAAAGGGGAATGAAACAAAGATTCCCAAGCCCTTCGCAAAAGAGAAATAAACACAAAACTGCAGTCATAAATCCGCTCATGGATGCATGCTCAATGTGCGCCAATCCGGTAGAACCCAATCTTCCTGACAGAAAGTAAAATGCACGTCAGGGCAACGCCTGAATCCCGTTTTTCCCAATTGTGCCCAAAGAACTAAAAATAAAGAAAACTTAAGGGGAAAAAACAAAGGAAAAGGAACGCCATTGACGCTCGAAATGTACACCACACATGACACATTGTGGGTCAAGAAACAAGCCGAGCTCATGAAGAAAGCCCGGTCGCTAATGAAAAGATCCCCCTTACAGTCCCCCAGGAAGGAAGGAGACTGCAAACAGTAGGCAGAGGGTGTCTCGACCTACTCATCTGGAGCCTCGGCAGCTTCACCCCCGACAGCGGGCACTCCATCAGGTTGAGGGAGATCGGTCTCCGTAGGAGTGGCCCTAGCAACCCTCGAAGCCGCGAGGGCCTGGATGCGCTTTTCAATGAGGTGCTGCAAATTCCGTAGCGATTCGATCTCTGTTTCCGCTTCCGGTAGGTCGCCGGGGGCCTGAGATCTCAGTGTATCGATGAGATAAGAGACGCGATTGCTCTCCTTGATGGTGTCGGTCTGAATATTATCGGCCAGGGAAAGTAGATTCTCGGCCGCTTCCCGATCAGCTGCAGTGCGCGAACTATCGATCGCCGTTTCGGCATCCGCCAGAGGAGCGGGTCGCTGGGAAGCATAGAACTCAAAGGCTTTGGCATGAAGATCGTTGAGTTTGGCTCTAGCCTCTTCAAAGTATCTGTCGGTCTGTTCTTTGGCGTACTGGTATTCGGCATGTTCCCTATTCAAAAAAGTTAGACAAGGTCGAAATGGTAAATCCAAATACGTAGCAGAATTTAAATAAAAAAAAAATAAAGAAAATAAAAAAGACCAACCGTTTGATTTTCGCAAGGAAAGCATGCTCGATGCCCTTTTCAGAAACCCGGTAAAGAATCCCATTGCCCTCATCCCGTTCGTTTTCGACCTGTTCAGACTCCTCCTCCTCCGGAAGAATCATAACGTCGATCATGCGAGGACGCTTGGGGCGCCGAATCTTACGCATATCGTACGCTCCCTCGTCGTTCCAGTGATAATACCAGAGGTCGTGTTCGACATGGTTCGGGCAACGCCAGCGTTTGTCAAGTTTTGGATCTTGTATCGGTGGTTTGGCCATCGGCGGGTCCATGCAGTCCAAATGCCAGTTCAAGTGACAGTAGTCACATTGGAGAATGGGCTTGCTGCCCTCGCTCGTACCACCACAACGGTGGCAGAAGATGATTTTGCCTTCCGAATCGGTGATCTTCAGCAAGTTGGGGTCATCGTAGTGGCCGTTGCACAATCCGCGACCCGCTCCATTGATGAGGTTGACGGAGGATTCGTTGTATCTTGTGCGGTCAAGCCTATCGCCCACCTTGGCTCCAGTTTTGACACCGGCGAAATAATTTCGAATCGTAGCAGGCAAAAAAAACTCCTTCTCCTTGTTCGTAGTGTGGCCGACCTTGTCCAGCAACTTGTCGAATGGTCGCGAGATCTCGCACTTCGGACAATACCAGTCTCCTTCCGGAGGATGCGCAGGATCCAGGGGCGGGTCAAGGCAAGAGAAATGAAAAGAGTTCACACAGCCATCGCAGCAGAGTAGCTGACCCCTGCCGCCGCATTCGCGACAGAGATCACTGTTGTCCAAAGAATCTTCGCTGCTGTATGAAGTTAGTTTTATTTCGAACAGAATTATCGATGGATTAATTTGGGAGCCATACTCAAGAGTTGGAGTCAGCCGCCGATTATCCTCAGCACCACTGCTTTCAGGAGAATCAGATCGTTCTCTGCCATTAACCATAGGAAGCTCTGGTGTTGCCTCCCTTTCTGCAGTCAATGTGGGCTCTGGAGATACAGAGCTCGTAAGAGGCTCGTGGCCCAATGTTGAACGCAGAGTGCTTTCCTCGGCTACAATTTCCGGTAAAGGTTGTTGCAGGCGCTGCCGTTTCGCTCGGATCATCTCCTCAGAGACGTCTGGCTCTTCTTCCATTGCCCGCTTACGAGCCTCACTTGAGGGGAGGGCGGATTGGCGCGTTGATGGTCTCGGTGTTTCTCTGCTGATCAGCTTGGCAATACTGCTGCGGGTCTGTTTGCCCTTGCCACGAGTCTTGGCACGAGATGATGCCGGTGCAACAGGAGTAGACACTGAGATAGGTGCAGGCGCTTCAGCATCGAGAGACATGGCTGACGATAACGAAGTAGCAGTAGTAGCGGATTGAGTGCGAACCATGTCGATTGGTGCAATAGTGAGGGAGGTGTCCAGAGTGCGAGTTGTGTCAGCCGTCGGGGGGGCATCTAATTGGTTCTGATTCCGCACCTCCAACCAGGCAGCACGCATCATGGTGCTGAATGCATTTCTGTTGCGGTCGCCAGGATCTTGGGTGCACATGGCATGGAGTACGGACATAATCATGGGATCCTGGGTACCTTTCCTCCACAGATTGAATAATCCTTTCACAACCGGGCGATTATTCGTGTCTGCAGCCAGTCGCAAGGCCTCCGTCAGAATCTTCTTGGTTTGATCCAAATTCAGCTTCACGGAGTCTGAAAGGGGCAGCGACATGAGAGCATCAATGTCCTCGTAGGAGCAGAGTTTTTTCGAGCCATTGGCCGGGATTTCTCCAGCTACCATCGCAGAGCCCTGGAGTTTTTGGATGCGATCATCGCCGTTCTGTAAGGCCTGAAGATTCACATTCTGGGATAGCTGGAGCACTTCCGTCGGCGACATCTGGGGTGTTTCGCCTTGCGAAACTGGAGTTTCTTCGTTCTGCGATGTTTCATTCTGCGATGTTTCATTCTGCGACAGCTCGTTCTGCAAGGCCTGAAGCTCCTTGCTCATAGGAGTGATCGGTTTAACAGGCTTTGCTGGCTTCAGTCCGACTTTGCGCAAGTCCGCCGCTGTAGGCATAGCTCCCAGAGGACGCATGGTGGCCAGGATCGGATTGGCTGCGTTGGACACAGCCGACCATGGACTGTCGGCGTAACTCGGAACGGGATCTCTCAGTGGAGGCTCGGTCCAGCTTGCCTGTCCTCCAATATGTGTCAACCCGCGATCCGCACGATCCTTTGAGCCTTGTTCTGTATTCTGCGCCGAGTCGTCGTGGGAAAGATCGGTACCGACGCGACTGCTGCGCCCCGTGCGGCGCTGCTTCTTAGATCTCGCAGGCTCAATAAACGACGAAGGGCGTTTACTTGGCACGGGAGCATCAAGGGGGGTTGACTGGCGCGAAGTGTTGGACGGACCGCGGGATGAAGAACGGAGTTTGGGCGGCATTATTGTCGAGGCAGGGCTCGAAAACTGCAGCGCCTGACAACACCAATGTCAGCTCGAATCAATTCATAATGACCAGTAGTTCTGAATTCTTTTTTTTTTGGACTCACTAAATAATTGGACGCAAGCCCACAGCAAGCGTGCCTGGCGTTGCTGTTCGAGAGCGTGGCCGGCCCGCGCGCTGTCTGCGGGTTGTTCAGAAGGAAAGAACGCGGAGCGGGAGTTTTCGAGGGATGGAGTTCCCTAATCACAATCACGCCTCCTAGAGATGTTCGCCGCTCCAACCACGAACACTGCCGCGCTAGTAATAATCAATTTTGGAATCGAATTAGAGTAGCCGGTAGATTTGAATAGATGCTAGATCTCTTATTCTTAGCTAAATTTCTCTAAATCGGCGTGGAAATGCTTACCTGGTGATATCTTTGCACCTCCGCCAATCGTCCTTGATAAAAGGGGCAAATAGCTCTGCTAAGGCGAGCAAAATATGCGTTTCCGTTTCCAATCAAGATAGTCTCCTCGGTATCTTTCCTCCTTCTCAATGGGCAAGGTTTAAAATAGCGCGTCAAACCAGTTCTTTGCTCCTAGTAATCAGCAGGGATTCCAGGCGGCCTTCATAAAGAGCACCAAGAAGGAACAGGGACAACAAGAGTAATAAGAAATCACATATCACAATTCAGGGGTAGTAAACTGGCATGCCAGATGTACAGGCGCCCTCTAGAGTTCCAGCAAGGGTAGTGAGGCGGATTCGTGATGATGAGAAAGGGGAAGGGGGCGCAAGATCGAGAGGTAGAATTATGAGAACCAGGGAGCAACTCACCCGAGCACACACAAGATGCAGTATCGAGCTGATGTCGTACTATACAGCAAGCGAAACATGCAAAGCACCGACTTTATTCAAATCGAGGCCTGTCTCTCGAAAAACCGTCTCGCTGAATGGAACAAGACCTGGAAGGATAGGAAGCAATGGGCATGAAACAATGCAGTCGAGAGAATCTTTCAGCTACCCCAGTCCCTATGCTCTGTCAAATCTTGAAGCCAAAACCTCAGAGATGCTTGGTGGCAGAGGATAAGAATGATGCGTTCCGGGAAGATGGAGATCAGGTTTGGAAACAAGAAGGCAGAAGCCCCTTAGATCGCGATGGATCCTCTGCCTCTTTCGCCGAGGGATAAAAAGGAAAGAAAGCAGCTCAGATAATGCAGCCAACGAAGAGAAGATATAGCGTTGGCGTAGAGGGACTGAAAGGGGTGCAAAGGAGAGAATCAAGTGGCAATCACAAGATTCGAAGTCTCGAGATACTCGCAAGAAGTCTTTTTCTGCTCGGCCCGACAGCTGAGCAGTAAGATCCAGGTCCCAGAAAGATATCTGGACAGAAACAGGATGCGATTCAGGCCAGGAGAAAGTTGTGGCTGAGATGTGTTATTTGAAAGAAGGCAAGGTCAGAGAAGCTGACGCTGCAGCTGATCACCCTCAGGGCGTGTCAGATATGCTTGCCCGTCCTTGAGACTTGAAAGTGAAACAAAGGCTGTTGAATCACAGAATCAAGGACTGTACATGTAGGATGTGTTGCGGTGAGAGAAGGAGAGTGATGGGGGAGAGAGGAAGAACGAGATGGTGAGAGTGAGATTCAAAGGAGGGGTGCTGAGTATTCACTCCTCAGGCCTCAGAAATCTCTTAGAAAAGATATTACAAGACCTGCAAGTAAATGCAGGGCCTGAAAGTAGGAAGCACAACACGCAAGGCCTTTGCGATACTCTCAGAGGAGGTATGCGAAGTGATGAAGTTGAAGTGGGGACGATGAAGATGAAGACGTATCTCTTGAAGGCAGACGATGAAAGTCGGGTTGAGCTTCAAACCGAGATGAGTTTTTGGAGAGGTAAATTTAGATCCAGGTAAGAAGCTGAGGAGAGAAGAAGACAAGAAACCTGGAGAGGAGATAATGGGAGAAAAGAGCAGTGGCCCTGGAAATCTCTCGAGACAGTGAAAGTCAAGGACGCGCTGGATGGAGAGAAACGCGCCACACGACACCAAATGCTGTTCAAGTAAAAAAGAGGCTAAAACCGTCTTGTTCCCTATAATTCATGACACGGTAGGGACAAAGGATAGTGTCTTTCTTAGTGGAGGTGAGAAGTATGGGGGAGGGAGAGGAAGGATGAGAAGGGGGATGGAGAGAGATTCGAAGAGAAAGAAGAGCGGCCCATCCAACATCGCAGGCCCACCCACATTGCCAACCACCCTCTGGGCAGCATCAACGAGCACGACAAACAGAACCGGTAACGGCTCAGTGACTCAAGTTCTAGGGAGATGTATTCATGTTGCAGGTGTAAGAGAATGATTTTCATCTATGCTATGGTTCCCTGTACCTCCCCCTTCACCCTCGAGAGGCGGTTCGTTCAAACGTCTTTGATCAGCCTCTTGCTGAGCCGAATTGCTTCAAGTCGATATACTGATTCATAATCAATGTATTTAGCGGTTCTACTAGCTCATAAGAACAGCCTGGTCACTAGTCATGATAGTTGGCGGGTGGCCCCTGAGAGGGCGTAATAGGACGGTGGCGACTATCAGCATAGGTCTATGACCATCAAGAGTAGGACACAGTCTACGATTTCAGTTCCCTACAGCGATCACCTGAAATAAACCCATCATTTTATTGTGTCCCAAGTATAATGACCTGCCCATGAACCATTGTCATCAGGTGCTCTCCTTGGGGCGGCAAATTACTGCACATACCAGACTTTGACGACTTTGAATGCAGTTGTTACTGCCCGGGTTAGAACGCAAAAAGTGAAAAGTACATTTTCCTGGTGAACTTGTATGTTAAGGAAGAGGCGAAGAAGACGCTCTTCAAAAAGCGCTATGAAGAGTGTCAGTATCAGAGGGTAAGTGTCGCGTCAAAAAGCTATTTCCGGAAATCCCGGATAACGCCGGCTACAAAAGACAAACAAACTTGAAGGGATGCAAGAACGACTTCTTCTGATATGTATGTATATATCCAGCTTGTATATTGTTTTCTCATTTTCAAATAATACGTGACAGGCATTGCAAAGAGCCTGATGAGGCAACATAGATCTCGCATTGCTGCGCTGAATTCATAATGGCTGGGTCACTCGCTGGGCTGTCTCAGGGGGACTGGTCCAGCTGCATCCTCTCGGCCCCTTCGACTGCTTCGAGGCATTTCCGATGCCTCCTATTGCCGCTCTCATTTGGAGTTGGCAAAGGGACGACCCCTGTGGTATAGGACATGGATGAATGGGAAAAAGAGGAAGGTAGATTGCTCCTAAGTGACTCGTTTACTCATCCTTGGACTCTCCCTCCTTGGCAGCGGGCTTCTTCTTCTTGTTCTTGTTCTTGTTGCCGGTGTTTCTGGCCAAGGGGCGCTCGAGGATCTTGAGAATCTCCTCATCCTCGATCTTCTTGTCGGTCTGGAACTTGGACAGATCAGGGGTGGTGGGGGCCGCCAGTTTGGTGATACCGTTCTTGGTGATAGCTGTGATCTTCGTTAGCCTAGGCAGAATCCTCTATTACGCCGGAGGAAATCGTCAACATACCAATGGTCGTCAGCAGACGAGAAACGGGAGCGTTGTCGGCATCACCAGCGGGTTCGTACTGTCTCAGGACACCGCCACGGACACACTCAACGACACCGACCTTGGCGGCCTTCTCATCATCAAGCTGGCGCAAGCTGAAGGGGAAAGTGCCGAACTTCTTGACGACTTCGGACAGAGTCTGTCTCGAGCTGGGTCTCTTGAGGATATAGGTGGTGGTGGTACGGCGGTGCAGAGTGGCGCGGAGAGGCAGGGTCTTGACCTTTCCAGATCCAAGAGAGAGACCAATCTCAACACCCCAGACCTCACCGACATCGGGAACACCCTCACCCTTGACACCGGAGCCAGGAGAAAGAATGATCTTCTTCTCGCCCTCGATCTCGTTGCGGTCAAACAGCCAGCTGGTGGTGTTCTCGACGACATTGCAGTCGTAAGCTTTGGCGACCTTCTCGATCAGGCTGGAAATCTGGCTCTGGGTAGGGGCCTTCTCAGCAGCGGCCTTCTTCTTCTCCTCTTCAGTGCCGCTGGCCAGGAGACCGGGGGGCACCATGAGTCTGAGCAGGAGCTCGTTGGCATAGTGAGTAGCGTGGATGAGGTCAGCCTCACGGCCGGTCACAACATCCTTGGACGAGTCCTTGTCAGCGACAACGATCATGTCGCAAACAATGGTACCGAAGCCATCGATCTGGGCACCGAGTTGGATCTTGACAATCTCCCCGGCCTTGAGGGTGGTCTCGGCCTCTTGAGCGTCCGACACCAATGGGGTGTAAGGAGTCACATGGGAGCTAGGGGAGACCGTCGTGGGGTGAGCGATACCTTTTCCATTCGAGGAATCTCATGTTAGGAAAATATGCGCTTCGCGAATCGGGGGAGCTGGCGACCAATGACATACCCTTGGTGATCTTCTTGCCCTTGTAGACCTTGGCGAGCTCCTCATCGAGGAGCTGGTCACCCTTCTGGCAGAGCTCAACGATCTTGCTTCCCTCAACACACCATCCTGAACCCTGGCATTAGGCATTGTCGTCGCGAGTGAGAATCGAGAGCGCAGAATCCTGCATGGACGCACCTGCAACAGCCTCGAGGACTTTGTGAGAGATCTGCGCAGCAGTCTTGTACTTGGTGAGGGTATCGGGGTTGTTGAGGGTGTAGTCTAGAATTGACCAGAAGCAACGGTATGGTCAGCTATGGTCGAGTTGAAGAGATACAGAAGAAGCCCAAAGAGGAATCATCGGAATTTATCATTTGTTCCAGAGCTATATAGCTGCTAGTCCCAGCCTACTCATCTCGCCCTCATGTTGAGTGATGACGACGAGGTCGGCGTAAAACCCACACAACGCCAGGGAGCTTGCAAATTGGACAACGGAGGGGTCGAAATATCACACAGTTGACACTTACCAACCTCGGGAGCCTGAGTCTCAGTCATTGTGAACTAGATGGTATATCCTCGCACCGATACAAGGAATAACGACTATCCAGAAGCTCTTAGTGAAGACAGTAAAACTGGGGGGAGGGGAGAGGTAATAGATAGATGGAGCAGCTAGTCAGAGAGAGAAGACAGAAATTGGGCTCCTCAAGCTGGTAACTTTCGAATTGAGTCGTGTGCAGTCTTCATTACACGCTGGCGGGGCTTTTTCTCGCTGGTTACGTCGTTGAAGTAGGGCTTGAGGCGGGTGGACCGTGTAAATTTGGCCTGGCTGGGTTTAGCGCGGTCAAGCTGGGGTAATGGTGTATGCACAGTACCGTAAACAATTACGTTTGGGGTTGACGGGAGCTTTGGAGGAGCTCCATGGTTTGAAAGGATCTTGGTTGATAGGCAGATGGGGTGAAAAGAAGTTGATAACGCACTTTGAAAATCTGTGGGTTCGATCATCTCTCCTTGAAAACATATGCAAGGATGTATAGACTGTCATCTATGGATGTATCTTGCACTGTATCCTGTACCTCTGTACGGAGTAGGTAGGGAGATGTCAATGGCCCAGTGTACGTCATAGGAAATCTGCACTATATGAGTTACAACACTCAGGGATGGTATACGGTATACAGTATCTACTCTCTGCCTGCTGATCAGGAGTTGGGTTTTATGCGGTAATGCTGGGTATCTTATGTTGTGTCTCAAAATTAAGCTGTCAGGGATATAGGTTGAGGTATAAAGCACTTATGAGGACTGCTGCGGGGTGTTGGTGATCTGTGAGTGTGAGAGTGAGCTTCAACCATCTTTGTCAGTGAACAACAAAAGGATGGTATCAACTCTCACCTCGATCATATCGATTAGAGTATATGAAATCTGTCTGCTATCCATCTCATATCTTGCAGGACCTAGTCGAATTGCGCTTCGTATCCATACTAATAAAATCTGTCATCTCTGAGACACTTGAATGCTCAATTTATATATATGTAACTTGTGTCAACATTCTTACACAAGTATCTTCACGCAGACAAAAAAGCATGCTACTCGACCTCACAATTGATAGAAAGGAGCATATTCTCTTTTCTTTCTTTCTTTTTCTTTTTTCTTCTTTTCCCCTTTCCCCCCTCGTTTATAGCTAGATCTTTGCTGGGTTGCCAGTAGCTGTTTTCTAGCCCCAGGACTTGATGAACCGTCTGATTCGTTTCCAGCAATTGTTTCGGCCGGCTGGGACAATCATCATTATGACAATTGATCTCACAACCCTCCAGCAATCCCTACAGGGGTCTTAGTCTTCTGCTTGATTCTGTGATGCCTCGTCGGAATATGTCTCGCAAAAACGATCGAGATCCGCTCATTTGATACATTCTCGCCAGAGATCATCGATTCATGCCCTACGACTGCTCAGTCGAGCAGTATGACGAGCCTCATGCGAAAGCTACCCTTTCCGAAGTCATAACAAGAACCCTGGTGTCCACAAGTGTCATCAAGCTCGCATCTTCGGCTGCTACTGTTCAAGGTAGCCTTCACGCTATCCACTTTCACATTTCTAATCTGCCCAGCAGGACCCAGTGACCACTTCGCCAAGCGTCATGAGTACCCAGGATGTCTTTGACTACGTTATTGTCGGCGGTGGTACGGCAGGATGTGTCCTCGCCTCTAGACTCAAAACAAGGGATCAATCCCTGGAAATTGCTATCATTGAAGCTGGTCCCGATATCAGCAACCATCCAGGTGGTCCTGGATGGCGGCAAATATGCTCTCTTACTCGAGTCGGACATAGACTGGAACTACCAGACCGTACCACAAAAGCATCTTGGAGGCCGTGTAATATTCAATCATGCAGGCAAATGTCTTGGGGGAAGCTCATCAATCAATGGTGGTGAGTCAGGACCATTCCATCAAGAAACAGCCGAGAGCTAGCTTTCAAAGAGAGGCTTTTCTTTCTCTTCTGCATATGGGATGCTGAAGGGCTGATCTTTTCTTGTTTGGGGAAGGCGGGTGGCTTCGGGGAGAGAGGGGGGATTACGACTACTGGGCTGAACTCGTCGGAGATTCACGTTGGAGCTATGAAGGTTTCCTTCCTCATTTCCGCAACCTTGAACACCACTACGACCCTGACGCTGATCCAAGGGTCCACGGTCATGATGGTCCCATGCATATTGGATCACCCTCGTCGATGGGCGGCGAATATGCTCTTCGAGGCCCCGTGAAAGCGGCATGGAACGCTCTTGGGGTACGTTACAATCATGACCTGAACTCGGGGAATCCACTAGGACTGGCAGAGGTCGTAGAGAATCGTTGCGATGGACGGCGGCAATTTTCGAGTTCTATATACACCTTAAATGTGCACAAATTGACGGAAACGCTCGCCAAACGGGTCATCATAGAGAAAGGGGATGGGAGAAAAGTGGCAACCGCCGTGGAGCTCGTCAGGGATGACAAGAAAATCCTAACGGCCCGAAGGGAGGTCATTCTTGCAGCTGGGGCGTATCGTACACCCCAATTGCTGATGCTCTCTGGTATTGGCCCTGCGGAGGAGCTGCAGCGCCATGGAATCGAGGTCTTGCTCGATATGCCAGACGTTGGACTCAATTTCCATGACCATCCATCGGTCACCCAATGGTGGAAATTGAGGAGCCCCGAGAAAAATCTTTCTGTTGGCTCACCAGCCTTCGGAGGTCCCATATTATCGAAAGGCATCCCGCTGGATTTTATTGTGGTACCTCTTGATGGACTCCGTGGAGCTTTGGCAAAAGACGAGACGGGTCCAGATCCAAATAAGCACCCGCTGATATCAGTTCAGCGTGCTCATGTTGAGACAGCCATATTTATGTGGCGCGCAACACCGAGAACCCCCAAATCGAAACCGACGGTAGTCACATCACGACCGCAGCTGTCTGCTTAACACCCACCCCCGAGGATCCATCAAATTGGCAGATAGCGGTCCTTGGAGCTCCCCTATCATTGATCCCAATTATTGTGCCACGGAGACCGACAGGTATATCTTCCGTGAGGGTATAAAAAAGCTGTGGGAACTGTTGCGCGAAACACCTTCAGGCCAAGACATGGTTGAAGGGGAAACGGTCGAGGATGATGCATGGCCTCTCTCGGCAGAGTCAACCGATGAGGAGATGGATGACTTGGTTCGGCGACGAGTTGCGTAAGTTCGCGCCCAAATTTTGTTTGTGCACAAAGAGAGGAAGATAATATCGCTCACAGTGATAGGACACTTTTCCATGCTGCAGGCACTGCATCCATGGGCAAAGTAGTCGACAGCGAGCTCTGCATCAAGGGAATCGAAGGATTGAGAGTCGTTGATGCAAGTGTGATTCCATTTCCGTTGGCGACACACCTTCAGATGTGCGTCTATGCAATTGGCGAACAGGCAGCAGATATCCTCCAAGGGCACCACACTGTCTGAGCGAATTAGTCTCGAAGTTTCGTGATATTAGTTGCGTTGTTAAGGCTACCTTTTTCTCTAATCTCTGGACAACAGATATACAATAGCCATGTGGGTCTAGCCAGCGTCTTCGTCATCCAAGATGTAGACAAAACAGAAACTTCCCAAAAAGAAGTAACTAGAATGATGCGAGAGTGATTTATAGCAATCATCTCAACAATAGAGTCCAGCATCATTGGTACTTGCATGCCAGGACTACGCCTTGCATAAAAGGCACAGCATCTGAATGAGGAGAAACCTCACCCTTGGCCAATCATGGTCTTGTGGTTGAGTTTCTCCTCATCAGCGCTCCTCCCACCTCTTGCCAACATCCAACACTACATTCAGCTTTTCAAGGGATTGGTTGTCTACCAGTTGGCTGCTTCCAAGCTGCTGTCCATGATGAAGACAACGGCTGAGCTTCCTCTACGCATCCTCACGCACAATATTCGATATGCCACGAAATCACCCTTCAAGGGCGAGCTACGTTGGGACGACCGCAAGCAGTCCCTCTTGAACGAACTACGATTCAATACGCGCCACCAAGATGCATTCATCTGTCTCCAGGAGGTCCTCCATAACCAGCTTGTCGATGTTCTGTCTGGACTGAACCAGCAGTCTCCGCCTTCATCCAATCCGACGCCTACGGGTCAACAGTGGACGTATATTGGGGTTGGGAGGGATGATGGCCACGAGGCGGGAGAGTACTCGGCTATCCTTTATAAACCTTCTGTCTGGCAGCTGAAGCACTGGGATAGCGTCTGGTTGTCGGAAACACCAGATAAGCCATCCAAGGGCTGGGATGCAGCGTCGATTCGGATTTTGGTCGGACACTCTTGCCTTGCGCTTTGGCATCCAACATGCTGACAGCCTTACAGACCATCGGTGTCTTCACCCATCACGAAACTCGCCATACCGTTCTTGCTATGAACACTCACCTAGACGATCAAGGTTCTCGATCCCGCTATGAGGCTGCCAAGATCATTCTTCAAAAGATGGACGAGTACCGAGGCGGTGAATTCAGTGACTCGATCGCGGGTGTCTTTCTAACCGGGGATTTTAACAGTCAAGAGACACAAGAGGCTTATGGTGTTTTGACGGGGGCTGAATCTTCTCTAGCCGACACGGCTAAGGTCCTGGAACCTGCTCTGCACTACGGGGACCACTTTACATGGACAGGTTTCGGATATGAAGGACAAGATCCTACTCGCATAGACTATATTCTGCTAGGTCCCGGGAAGCAAAAGGAAGAGGAGCAGTCTTGGAGGGTGGACGGATATGCAGTTCTGGCGAACCGTTTTGATTCGGGTGTGTTCCTGTCCGATCACAGGGCCGTTGTGGTGGATGTGACCTTGTACGACTGAGCCAAGTCTTTTTTTTTTTTTTTTTTTTTTTTTTTTCTATCCAGCAGCAGCCACTGGAAAGAGGAGATATGATCAGAGTTCTATTCCGATCATCCATGGATGAACCTTGATATTTGATGCTGATACTCACCATGACGTGGACACTGCATGAGTTGCTGAGCGGTGGTAATAAAAAATACGCTAGTTGTATCAGTCTTGAATAAATGTATGACTAGCTTACCTAAAGCGGTAAGCCGCTATCACATGACGTCCGTAGGAGGTATAGCAGATGGGGTGGTACCGATACCGCACCATACGTCAGGAATTGGTCATCCGTTTTTCAATGGCCATACTGTAACAATGGTAATGAGCCTCCAAAAAGATCCCCATGAGAAAGGCAAAAGAAAGGATGCGTGATAGCTTCAAGAAGTCCCCAAAAAGGATGTATCAAAGCCTCTATCAAAGAGACAGTCCCTGCCAGTGCGGTGGGCTGGTCGTCAGCTCTCCCTCCCCTGGCCTTCCCTGGCCGTCCCTGACGAAACCGGATTACTTGTAACGGCCTTTTCTGCCCGCCCAGTGTTTTCTGCTGGCCTCTTGTTTCTTCTTTCGCTCTCGCCTCTCTCACTCTTCTTTTCTTTCCACCCCTATTATTTCCCCGTCATAGCGTGAAACAGAAAGACTCGCAGCAAGCCGGTCAGACAGAGCAAACCAAAAAAAAAAACACACCACGCAGGACAATACAAATCTGGCCGGTTCCAGAGTAACAGAGAGAAGAAACAGATCTCACCGATCGACTTGCGCGTTCCCCGGTGCGCCATCAGCTGATTAGCCGCCTTCTTCCGTCTCTCTCTCTTTGCTCGCTCTCGCTCTCTCGCGGCAAAGCGCAAAGACCCAGAACCGGCACGCAGACCCATCCAGTGCCTCGTCCTGCCCTGGAACCTTGATGATTCGGTCTGCGCCTGTTGGTAGCTTCTGATTGAATTGTTATTTTTCAGTCTGGTGTTGTTATTTTTATAATATCCTATAATTTGGGGTTTCTTGGTATGGCTTCTCCCCTTCCCCAGTCAATTGCGCGCGGTCATCACTCTTCCTCCACGTCTTGTGGCTTTACCGGCCTTTGGTCATCCTGCCCGAGTCACCAACAAAATATCCATTGATTATTACATGGGTTGACGGGACTCGATTGTGCCAATCTCTTGGCTTTTCATATGTGGCTGCTTCTCTGTAATGCGACGCACCGCGTCTCTGTTCGATGCGCCGTCGCGTCCCCATTGCCATCACATAATCGTCTGCTACACACCATCACCGTCTGTGCTAATTGACTTCTTCGCGCAGGTTCCTATCAAGGATGCTGTTGTAGGGCTACATTCGCCTTTGGTTGCCACTACCGTCTGTTTGGAACTTCCCTTGATGAATGTTCCCTTCTCCTGCGAATGATACCCGTATTCCTGTCTTTTTTGAAGAACTGAGAGAGACAATTACGAGCCTTAGGCGAATCCTTTGACCATGTCCTTTTCCGACTTGTCACAGCCGGGGCAGTTTTCCGGCGACTTTCAGACAGACAGCATTCCGAATGGATCGGACGCGCCAGGTTCCAGCGGGGATGCTGAGGGGGACTTCGTACCTGAGCATGGAACAAATGGACTGGATACCATCGCCGAAGGGAAGCAGAATGCTAAAGCTGTTTTAGCAGCTTCGGGTGTTTCCCTACCCAATGCCGACACCTCTAATGGGAAACTGTCGCCTAACTCCTCGTCGAACAACGCGAACGGGTCGGCATCCACTCGAAAGCGATCACGCGACGGCTCTGTTATTCGTACCTCCAGTCCGGTGCAAGAGCTTCCAGTGCGCACGCGCGAAACCCCCGCCAACAAGATTCTACTTGAACAGTATGTCGAAAGAGAATTTCTCCACTCGGCCTTGACGGCGTGGCACAATCCCAGCCAGGAGTTGATACAGCAGAAGCGTGCCGAGCGGGATTACTACTTAGCTTTACGCCGCGAGACCCATTTGAACCCGGCCGCCCTATACGGCGTGGGCTATGAGGGTTTTGGGAATCCCCGGACTGATCTGCGAAATCAACATCCGCAGTTGTTATATCCGGCAAACCGTCGCCGGCCAGGAAATAGGAAGACGAGGGAGCTGCGTGTACCACGAAAAGACTTGAAGATACAGAATGAGCAGATAGAGGATCTCGTACCGATCCGCCTGGATATCGACTGGGAGAAGGTCAAGATACGCGATGCGTTCACCTGGAATCTTCATGACCGGGTTGTCTCCCCTGAACTCTTTGCTGAGAAGTTGGTGGAGGACTTGAGCCTCCCGCTTGAGACGTGTGCTCCTCTCGTGCGAATGATCTCACAAAACATCCAAGAACAACTAGCGGATTACTATCCTCAAATTCATATGGAAGAGGAACCCCTCGACTCCAGCTTACCCTACACTGCTTACAAGAATGACGAAATGCGCATCCTGGTCAAACTCAACATCACCATTGGCCAACACACCCTTATCGATCAGTTCGAGTGGGATATCAACGATCCCTATAACTCTCCTGAAGAATTCGCCGCGCGTATGACCGACGACCTCTCTCTCTCCGGCGAGTTCACTACTGCAATTGCCCATGCGATACGTGAACAGTCACAGCTCTTTACCAAGTCCCTCTATATCATATCCCACCCCTTCGATGGTCGCCCGGTCGACGATCCGGACCTTAAGGCGGCATTCCTACCCTCTCCGCTATCTTCCTCCTTCAGACCTTTCCAAGCGGCCAAGGAATTCACTCCTTATCTCTATGAGCTCAACGAAGCGGAGCTCGAGCGCACCGAGGTGTCAATATCTAGGGACCAACGCCGGCAAAAACGATCCGTGAATCGCCGCGGTGGCCCGGCTTTGCCGGACTTGAAAGATCGCCAACGGACTATTCGTACGATGCTCGTATCCTCCGTTATTCCCAACACCGCGTCATCGATCGAGGAAAGCAATGTCTTCAAGCGCTCTGGATCCAGTCGGCACAGACGCGCCGCAGTTGGGCAGCGTGACGGTGGTGATGAGTCAGATGAGTCGGATAGCGATGAGTCGTCGATGACCGGTTCCCCTGCAGTTGGGCCCCATCTTGCCCAGGGAACTGCAAGAACAAGAGGAATGAGAGGTGCTGCAAGCGCAGCCCACGCCGCTTTGCGCGCAAGTCTGGCACATTCCGCCACCCCCGAACCCCATCACGAACCCCGGGTCTCTGCAAGACGACGAGACTACCGCGAAGAAAGTGTCGTCGAGGAACAGGAAAAGCTTATTGTGAAGTTGAAGATCCCTCAGGAAAAGTTCCGCCAATTCCTTGCAGGCGGGCTTCGGTCACAGCCACCAGCTTCCGCATCCACGCCAGGACCCCAACCCACATCGCAGAGCGGCACGCCTCAACTACGAACGCCGACCCCGAGTACCATGGCTCCGCCATCACAGCCTAAACCGCAGGTCCATATTCCCAACACAAGTGGGCACTTGCCCCAGCGGCCTGTACAACAGCTGGGGGCGGTGGATGCTACACATCCGCCTCAGCCCGGCGTACCAGGAGTAAGTTCATCCATCTCTTTTTAATTTTGCGGCAGTCGCTAACCTGGCCTACTTAGCCTCCCCCTCCTGCCTGGTTATCGGCAGGTCTTGCCCGCTTGAACCGCTCGCATCCCAACGATTCATTTGAGGGTGTCATGCGCTACACCGCTGTCGACACGGAGACGATGCTCCCGGTAGCAAACGCGAACAGCCAGCCTGGTCACCGGTTGAAATATCAATACCTCCCCCGGATCCGTTGTCACGACTGCCCGGGCAAACTGTACACCCCCGGCCCCGGCATGACGGTAGACAACTTCGAGGTCCACTTGAGAAACCGACAGCACAAAGAACGCGTGGAGGAGAGACTCTCGAGGGCGGCGGCTGCCGCAGCTACCAGCAACGTATCTTCGTAACGAGTGGATGACCTGAGCGGTGCATTACCTTTTCCATCACTGTATACTTTTTTCCCCCTCCCTTTTCCTTTTTGATCTCTCTCTACCTTACCACGGTCTTTCTGACCGTCTTCTGTTTGGTGTACATGGTCCTTTGAGCGAATGATATGGGTCATTCTGACCTGTTTCGATACTTCCAATTTTCCAATTCTTGCCTAGATGAGAGCTCTCCGCTGATGCGGATACCGTTCGACATCAATCTTCTCGCAGATGTATAGAACCATTGGCATGAATTGCATTGATTGCATTGACTCCTTCTATACTTGGAATATATCGTAGCCGCTAGCATCGAGCACGAAATCACCTTTTATCAAAGCGAGGGATATATACAAGCCCCACGAACAAACAACCAAACAAGCCAATAAATGTCCCAGACCAGAGCAAAAACAATGCTTGCAATGCTAGTTATCTGCAACCCCTAAACAAACAATCCCAGGAAACAACCCCCCCCCCCCGATCCAACGCATCTCATTGACTCAATACCCGCCCCGCCCGTGCCCTACGCATGAAATAGGGAAGTGGAGTGGAGCATTGCATAAACTTGGCTGCTAGGTGATAGGTTCCTTAGCAAGAACTTTATTCCCGTCCTCGGCATCTATGGCTCAGTGGTAGAGCGTTCCACTCGTAATGGAAAGGTCCATGGTTCGATCCCGTGTAGATGCAGGACATTTCCTTTTTTTCTTTTTTTTCTTTTTGTTGTTGTTGGTCCACCCTTTCCAGGGTGGCTGGTTGGAACTTGGTGGTGTTTTTTGTTTTTGGTTGCGCCACTTGGATAGATCAGTGGAAGGGAAGGGAAGGATGGGGAAGTGAGTGACTGATTGTTGCAGGTAAGTTGTACATATCTGCAGAACATACAAGATTTGTTGCGGTTTTTTACCTTCTACCTGGCTATTTGCGGACCATGGATGGATGACAGTTCCAGTCAACAGAGTAATCACACCATACTATATTCTGCCTCGGATACAGGAAGAAAGAGAAAAGAAACAAGATCTGGAAATGAAAATGGGTATACACATTTCGATGCAACTCCAGTGTGGGGGAGAAATGCAGCAAAGAAGATAAAAAGCATAGAAAGGATGACTGCTTGGTACATCAGCCATGACCATATTCCATCAAGGAACGCCGGCAGCGCAGGCAGAAAAAGGTAAGAAAGGGTAAACCAGTTCATGTACATCTCGATGATAAATCAGGAATTTTCAAATCCATTTACTCCACATCACACACACATGGTCTCACACTCTCAACTCAGCCCCTTCGAGAGGATCGCCTTGTCGGTAACGCGGTTGGTTTCTCGCTGCGCTTGGCTTTTGTTTCTGTCGTTTTGGGGGCTGGCTTCGGAGGCTCTTCGGGCTCTTCAGGCTCCGCTGACTCCTCAGGCGCCTCGGGCTCCTCAGGTACTTCGGCATCGCTCGCTTGCTCCTCGTTTTCTGACTCAAGTTCAGCATCTAGTTCACTGTTCGCTTCGCTGAGTTCCTCGTCATCGCTGCTCTCCTGCTCTTCATTCTCTTCCACCGGGTCGTCAACCTCCATTTCATCTTCATCACTGCCTTTGTCGACATAACTGACACGTTTGGCTGTTCCCCGGCTGCTGCGTCTCCGCGCAGCAGAAGCCGTCGTCTCCTCGGGAGCTCCGTCCTCATCGGAAGACCAGCCATCACCGCCCTTCTTCTTCTTCTTGGGCGTTTTTGTGGTCGTGCCGGTAGACGACCTGCGGGGCTTCGCGGACCTGTCTTTGTCTTTCCGCGCCTTCTTCGTTGCGCTGGTATTGCCGTTCGTCTCGGACGCTTCCGGTTTTCTCTTCTTGACCGAACTGTGGTTGTTCGACGAACCACTCTTTGCCTTCATGACGGACCGCACGAGGCGATCCAGCAGATCTTCGGCATCCTCAGGGAGGAAATTCTTTTCTGCAACCTCCTGGGCTTCCTCATGGCTGTTCATCCGAGCAAATATCGAGCTTGGCACGCCGACTTTTCCGGGATAGGTTTGGAGAATGCTCGAAGCACCGGCCCCGCCGCCAAACCTGCGCTGCTGGGAGTAGATGTCGGCGAAGCGACGGATCGTTGCCTGTGCCAAGTCTGAGAGTGTATGCAGACGGGTGGTCATCTCGTCCGACTTGGTAATGCCATCGCGCGTTTGCTTCACGCGCTGGGCAATGTGGAAGATCAGCGATAGGTTATGCTCATTCGCAACTGCCGAGAGGTAGAAGAGGATGTAGCGCGCAAAATCAGTCAAGTCCCGAACCTGAGTCTCCTCGTCCAGATCGGGAGACGGATAGTCGGGATGATACGCAAGTAGAGAGAGAAGGCGAGAGAAGATCGATTCCATGGCCGTCTCCTTCTGGCCACTGTTCTGGACCTGCTGCGCAAAGAACGTAGCCCGAGATCGTAGCCAAGTAAGAGTGCTCTCCTTCAGACTGACGTTCGGCTCGAACGCAAGCAGGCAGGGAACGACGTACCAGCGGTAGCTTAGATAAGACCTTTGAACGAGTTTCTTCTTGAGCTGGTTGATGAAGCCACTCCTGACGGCTGCGATGGGATCTTGAGCGACAAGCGCAATCGCGTTGAAATCCATTGGCGCAAGCAGATGATCACCCAAACTACTCGATGCGCACAGCTTTAGAAGTGACTTTGCAGCGAGAAGGCGCAGCCGCGGCTTCTGGGTTGCCGGAGTGTCCTGTTGCTTCGACAACTCTCCTTCATTGGCCACGAGTTTGTTAAGAGTCTCGTAGACAGGCCCTGCATGAGCGCGGAAATCAGCTTCGTTCTCCGAGGCTTTCTTGGCCCGAAGTTTATTGACAATGATCTTGAGGGCCCATTCCTTGGCCACAGTCTCGTCGTCCACAGAATCCGACCAGGCGTACCCGGATTCTTCCTGCGGGGAGCGATTAGTCAAGAGAATCTGATTGACGGCGATGGAGATAATAGCATCGCCTTCTTCATCCGTCTCGGCTGGGGCCAACAGGCTCAGCTGAGACAGAGCCGCCAGTTTGGTCAGGAAACGGTCCGAGCCATAAGACCACTTTGAGATACATGCCTTGACCAAATCTTTGGCATACATTTCTCTTTTCTCCGCAACGGACATGAGAATAGAGACCGCATGTTTCGCGGCACGGGGCGATGGGCTGTGGACGGCATAGTTTGTAAGAGCCTGTAGGAACTTGCGGTCCTTGGGAAGTTTACCAGGCAGTTTCCTGGCGAATCCAGAGCAAGCCTTGAGTATTTCCTCAGTGTTGGCGGCAGTGGTCGTTGTCGCCTTCGGGGCTTGAGATTCGAGATCCTTGCACATCTCTTGAACTTGAGCTTCCAACACCTCTGGATTGCTAGAAGAGATTTCCCGCAGAATTTCATGTGCCGGGCTCGCAAGTCCATGCTCGTCTGTTCGGGAAAGTTCCATGATTGCCGGCGTATGACTCCGATTGAAAATCAGGGAGCTGCAACGGTACAACAGTGGAGTAAGCGTCTCTAGAAGAGGCATGTTGTTGGAACTCTGTATACGCCTTGCTAACTCCCTAATAGCCTTGACAACGGTGCGATAATCACTGGAAACCGACATAGCAAAGCGGATGAGCTGGTAGTTGCGACGGTCGTGAACCTTGGCAAATTTCCATAGATCCGCAGACGCCCGCGATGAGTCCGGGAACGTTTTGGATAGTGATTCGATAACTCGAGACAACTTCGTCTTGATCTCATCTTCATTCTCCTCCATTACGCCTCCCTGCATTTCCGGTCAGTAACTTCAGAATACCTGAGGTAGAATAAAATGTCCTTTCCACGTACGTTGTATTCCTCACAGGCTTTGAGGTAAAAGTCCACAAAGTTTCTTAGAGAGATTTGTCGGCCCTGCATCGCGTAAAACACCTTCTTTGCCTTGTCATCGAGTCCGCCGAGGAGGGTAAGAATGCGACGAACACGTATCTTGTCAATGTCCGCATCAGTATCCACCTTGGAGGTTTGCGACTCCTTCAGCTTCTGGGACTGGCTCGAGCCGCTGTGCAACAGCTTGGGCTTGATAGGGGGGTAATTGAGGGGAAGAAGTATCTCAAAGAGCACACGGTCGATCGAAATATGGATTTCCGGGTCGTTGGTGTAGTAGGCATCGAAAATCTTCGATGGTCCATCCTTGAGCAGAGAAAGCACCTGCTCATTGCCCTGCTCAATGTCGCCTGCCGCCACAGCCCAGATGCTAGCCAACGTCTTCATCGCATGTTCTCGCACCTGAGATTTGCGGTCTTTGACCCGCTCTGCCAGGACAGACAGTAATGAATCTGGCGACGAGAAACCACCGTTGAATCCGAGTTTATTCACGACCTGGGCCAGTCCGAACGTTGAAATTGCATCAACAGCAGCTACTCGAACCTTCTCATCCGCATCGCGAAGCATTGATGTGAGGTTCTCGATGAGCGTCTGCTCCTCGTTGTCGCTTAAACCAGAGCCACCGGCCGAGGTCAGCAGAATGCGACCCGCGACAGTCACCCAGGCAGCTCTGACAGAAGCGGACTTATCAAAGCGTCGGCTTAAAAAGCTCTCGTAGGCGGAACTGTGTGCCTGCGAGAATGGCTTTGGGGATAGAGGTGCGACCAGAAGATTGGATGGCGGAAGTGCCTGGGAGGATTCTGCCAGGGTGATCGGGGGGTATGCAGCAGGATCCATTGCTATTGGTGGAGGTGGACCAGCAACTCCGATACCAGCCGTCAGATCACCGATCGTCTGTGTGGCCAGCAGACGAAGGGAGACCGATTCGGCAGACAATTCAGCTTCGAGCTGGGGGACCACATTCTGCAGCACATCGGGACAGGCGCGCCAGAGCTCCCGAATCAGGCGGTGCGCTTTGCTCAGTTCCTTGACATCCTCTCCTTCCTCGTCGGAGTCGTCTAGGTTTGGCCTGCGATGCGGATGTTTTGAGGATCCATTTGCTCCCGCGGTGCCTGAAGCGTCGATGATGACATTGTTGAAATACTGACTGATGTGGCTAGTCATCCTCTCCGGACAGGCTTGGCAGATGGCCTTGGCCATGTTGTAGGCAGGCGGGTAATCCTTGAGAAGAAGGGTGCCTTGTTTCGCATCGACCGGCGCATCTGTCTTCTTGCCCTTCTTGCCAGGATGCTCTAGGGCACGGGGATCGATTCGAAGGAATTGCGCTACGATGACATCTACAACATCGGGTGCGAGGATTGGGGATTCGTCGATCACTGTCACCAGGAGACGGGTCATATCGTATTCCACATTCTTAGCGATGTCCTCTCCTGAGGAAGCCTTCGATGAACCGGAGACGATGTCGAAACAAGTAGTGAACAGGGGAATGATTAATAAGTCCGGTTGGTCCAGATCTGTCATCAGCACGATACTCTTCACTTCCGCAAGGGAATTCAGAACGTAGATGTGCTGAGCATTGTAGGTATTCGAGGGATCCCCGAGCGCGGGGATGATGGAGGTGACGATGCAAGTAAAGATATCCTAATCATGTGCGACGGTTAGACCCAGAACCCAATCCCATCCCACATATTCCTGCAATTGCCCTAGCCGACTTCAAAGCCAACCGATATCCATCCTCACACGCAATGGAACGCACCTTGAGCTGATTCCCCGTAAACGGCGCGTCAGGCGCGCAGAGTCGCAAGACATCAACAATGCAGCAAGCCGTCCAAGCTCGCACCCCCTTATCCTTGTGAGCTAGCAGATTAGCTGTCGCCAGCTCCTGCGACACCTTCCGGAGAGAATCCGTATCGATCTCCTCTTGTTCGAGTTTGCGGAGCTCCTGCGCGAGCGTCTGCAGGCGTTGCAGTAGATCGGCAATGGGGATGGCCCTCCCCACGCGCCAGGAAAGCGGCTGATTGAACTTGAGACTACGAAGGCCTCCAGACGTCTCTTCGGGTTCCACGACCTCCGTGGCAGCGGAGGGACCTTGACGAGTGCGCGCGGGCATCGTGGACGAAGCGCGGGGAAGCCGGGGGTGGTTTGAGGGCGTGACTTTTCAACACACCATGCGCCTTGGTGGTGCGATTAACACAGATTAGAAGAAGGAAAAAAGAAACGAGTCAGAAGCGAGAGATTGGAATCCCTTCGCGATAGATGAATGAAGGATAAGGATGGGACACGAGTGAGATGGAGTGACAGCGGGTTAGTTAGATAGATTGGTTGGTGGACAAGCAGACGATTATTCGTCCTGTTCTGTTTCGAAACGATCGCCCGCCGCCTTTGACCGCCCTCAAACCACGGCCGGGACGCGTCGTTCCCAGAGCGCGTGTTTCTCGCTTCGGCTATCTGGATGTGGAGTGTCGAGAAACAGTCCTTATTTCGAGTCAGTGTGCAGACAATGATTGTGCTTTGAATCGACGCATCTAAGTCGTTTACGGTGACCGTGCTTGATCTACTCTGGATTGCACGACTACAGGATGGTAGTGGTGTGATCGTCATACTGTCTCTCATCAAAACAATCAGTGACTGAATCTGGCCCTTATCAACCTTGATGGGTCCTTCATTAAATTACTGGTGTCTGTATGATCAGACGTCTATTTGCTTCGAGAAATTATCAATGCTATGGGATATATTGCATCGCCGAGTCATTCGCATAGTATCAGATCCAAACAGAAATGCCCCAGGACAACGCCTTTCTAATGATGCAAACAATCCATGATTCGGAAAGAAAACCAAGGACACAGTGACGCATAAATGAGAATTCAATCAATCAAAGCTTGGGTGTGAATTTGCTCATCGCCCGGATCTTCTTACCGTAGATGTAGAAGACAATCGGGATGGGAATCATGGCAACCGTGATGAACCCAAGCAGACTCGAAGCCCAATCCACGCCGAGTTTCTGATACATCTGGACGGCGAACAGGGGAAAGGCACCGCCGAGACTACTCCGGATCAGAGTGTTGGCCGCAATGGCCGAGTTGGCAAACATCATGTACACGTCGATGATGTAGTTAAGACCCTGCATGAAGATGACCAGAATGCCCATTCCGATCGGGATGCCGGCAAGCACCTGAGCCACCCATGAGATGTCAGGACTCGAAGTCCAGCCGAACCAGAACAGACCGGCTGGCAGCATCACAGACGCAATCATCATGGGGACGAGACGCTCCTCGGGGACCACGCGGCCATGCTTCGCCAGCTTGCGCGCAAACCGCGTCTTGGTCTGCCAGATGATCAAAGCCACGCCACAACCGACTCCGATCAGGATTCCGATGAAGGGAAGTCCGGCGATACCCGCGTTGGTCCAGCCACGGACCTCCTGGAACGAGACTGGGTACGCTTCGAAGAAAAGATAGAGGATTCCGTACACCAAAGCGAGGTAGATTGTGATGAGGAGCAGGATCGGCTCGAGGAAAAGCATTTGGATAGGGCGCAGCAGGTACTTATAGACGATCTCCGATGCCGTCGGACGGCTTTCATCCAGCAACGAATGCAGGGCCCAATTGCCAGTCTCCTTGCGCAGTCGAGCAGCACGTCGCTGAAGAATGACGGGCCCATAAGTCTCGGGGACAATGAAAAAGGCCAAGCTGCCAAACGATGCAGACGCAATCAGGGTGATCCAGGCAGTCCACCTCCAGCCGAGATACGAATCGGTAATAAAACCACCGATGATAGGCCCTAAGGTCGGGCCCACAAAGGTAGCGGAGGAGAACAAGGCGATGGCGATGGCGCGGTCAACAGGATCCCAGAAGTCGGCCATCGCACCACCGACCACCGCGAGGGGAGAGCAGCCAAAAACACCCATAAGGAAGCGGCAAACCATGATAGTCTGGAGATTCTGAGCCACGGCAACGGGAATCTGGAAAATGGCGAAGATAGTATACCCCAGGAAGAGCGGCAGCCTGCGTCCGTACAGCTCAGACATGGGAGCCCATGCGATGGGACCTAGAGCGAAGCCGAAGACCACCAGACTGGTACCTAAGGTCATGACTTCCGTCGAGACGTGGAATTCCTTGGCTGTCACTACCGTCGCTGTTGAGAAGACGCTACTCGCAAAGGTGATCCACATAGTCATCGAGGACAGCGTCATTGTCAAGACCCATTTCTTCCAGATGGGCATGTTCTGCGGGTTGTCGGGGTCGTCAGGCCCATCCCACTCCACTAGATTGGGATCCTTTGCAGACGCTTTCTCTGGCTCCGGCTGTTGAACACCTGCACGTTCAATGTCCGTTTCTTCTTTCTCTAGGTCTCTTGCTTCCGCGGTGTCGAATTCTGACGCGTGGTCCCCGATGGTGCATGGGTCTTTGGACTGCGCGCCCATGTCTGATGTAGGAGGAGGAATGGATAGGGTCTCTTGGGTGAGGCGAGGAGTAGTTTCATTCGAATTATATATAGGAGGATTATGATTTTCGGTGGACATCTTGCAACCCGAGATCCAACCGGAATGGGGAAAGACAAGGTTTGTAAAAGAGGTCTATTCTGCACAAAGCACACTGAGATTCCCAGATCTTCATCGATTCCCGAGAGGGGCGTGCCCAAGCCTTTTTAAAGAACCCGGTTTATCTTCCCAAGGTGGGTTCTCCAGAGGAAGAAGTTTGATCAATCATTCAGTCAACAGTTCTATCTCGCCTTCTAGAGCCCCCATTGGAGATAAGGAGAGCGAAGGCCATGGCCCATACAACAAACTAGTATGTAAGGGAAAGAAGATTCTCCACCCGCTTCCACAATATTCACCATATCAGGTCAGTTTGTCACTATATCCGATGCCGATGTCCCGATGAATCATAAGCAGGAGAGCAGTACTTCGTAACTCCGCCAAGTCAACAGATGCTTGACTCTGAGTCCTCCCTCCTCTGTGGCTCCTTTGCCACGACGAGCGGAAAAAAATCACGGAGCATGATGCCATCAGCAAATCAGCACCAAACGCCGATTATGGATAGTGATGATTACACCGGATGAGATCATTTGCGGCGCGTAGCATGCGGGAACACGCCAGACCCCTAAACTCCGGGCCGCCGAGTTTGTGTGGCTTGCAAAATCTTTTCCCCTTTGATGGACACCAGAGAGTCAGGATCCCATCGACTGTTTAGAACTTTAGATAGTTACCTTGGTCTATGAAGATGATTTCTGAATGACCAACGGGTACAAAGCTTGGCGTTGTAAAGACCCGCTCTCGCTTGGAGTTCGGTGCCGCCAAAGGGCCAACCAGTTTCGTAATCACTAATCAGGTTTAAGTCTCTGAGGAACCCACTTAAGTCCGCCATCTCACCCATGGACTGACACGAGGTCGGTAGATGGCGATGCTCGCTCTCCCGATACTGATGGCTGGATATATTATTAGCTACGGCATGTACTGTAGCTAATGGCCTTGGTTATCAGTGCTTGTCTTGTCTATAGACACCGACTATTTGTAGTCTGTACCGAGGAGACCGTTTAGGCCTTCCAAACCAGGATTAGTTCTCAGGATAAAACAAAAATGCCAAGTATATACGTTCAAGCTGCTGCCGAACCCGAAGCCGAGTGCTCTATAAATATATGAACAAGTTATGCAGATGAGATGGATGTATCGATTCCTGATATTCTATGACCAGCGGTGAGGACGCCTGTTGGCACCACAAGTTTCCGTTGCTTAAGAGGTCTCTCTCCTCTTACTTCAGTTGTCTGGAAGCCTACAGATCAAACTAATTCATGAACCCAGTTCAAAGGTCAAACAGCTACCAGCTGGTCAAGGCCAGTAGTTATATGGATTGGTATGCGTATAGTCTTGACACATCGAAAAAAAAAGGAAGAGAAGAAATAACATTGCAAGAAATCGTGTCTCCAGGATAGAACATTATGAACCTGTCCCGATGTTCCTAAGCGGGTATCCAAACGAAGAATTTGCGCCGAGTCCAAGTGAATAGAAGGATATGAACGCCTCGCGGTATGCTTGAACCCTTCGTAACGGTAGAACAAAATGAATCGCTGCACAACGCCGGTAGATGCAAAAAGCTTTATGTGTTCGAATGTGAGATTACTCGCGTGCTAGTCATCTTCCACTTCCGGTGGGAGGAGATCAATAGCTTTCTTCACCTCTTCGCTAGCAATCTTCTCCAGGTCGTTCTTGGCGACGGTATCCAGAAATTCCGCATCCCCCACTCGATCATACAGCATTCGAGAGACAGTACGATTGATTTCCGTATACTGCTCCTTGGATACTATTCGTGACCTATAATACGGCTTGAGCGCTGCTCCCACTAGTCTTTGAATGTCTGACTTGACATCCAAAGACAATCCAGGACGAGTGGGAGATGTTCCAGGAGATCGCGCCGCCAGCAACCGCAATGCTGCTCTGGGTATCCGAGAACCTGGGCGACTTGAACCACCATGTGATGGCGAGGTATCCCGGGTATCGGTGTTAGGACCTGATGGTGACACAGTGGCCGAAAATGGGGGTGATGAGAGGTCGGGAGGTGATGAAAGTTGTATAGGGGAAATCGGCCTGCTGCGCGAATAGGGAGGGGGCGTAGTAGATGATAATCGAGGCGATGAGAGATTAGAAGGCGCAGGCGAAATTGAGGGAGATGATGGACCGATGGTGCTGTGGTCAGTCGGAGCCACAGAAACTGGAGCCGATGGCGCAGATGAGTTGTTACCACTGGGATTTGATGCATCCTCTACTTCCTTCAGAAGAGACTGTAAAAAGCTGGGTTCGCTAGAGCTCTCCGCATTGATGCGGGCAGAAGTTTGAGCACTGGCCGCTCTCGATGACTCGCCATTTTGCAGAGCCAAAGCCGCGAGTTCCTGAGGCCGGCGAGTCCGCGGACGCTTGAGCTTTCTTTGAGGTTCCGTAGGCTCAGGAGAGGGAGAGAGGGTCGGTTCCTTGCGCTTTCTCGCTGCGTTTGGATTGTTTTCAATCTCGCGGGCGCGTTCGAATGCATTCCATGCCCTCATCTCCTCAAGCGACTCGGGTTCAGGTGTGGGTTCTCTGGGGACCCGAGGTCGTGACGGGCGCGGAGCTTCAATATCCAAAAGAGCTGCAGTATCCCTGAATCGATTGCTGCCGCCCTGTCGCTCCGCGACTTCGAACCGGCGCTGCCATGCTCGAAACTCTCGCTGGTTGGCAGCTTCCCGTCTTTGTTGTTGGAGAGCACGTTCAGTAACCCTCTCATCATCAAAAGGGAAGTCGAGGTCAAGATTCAGATGATCCCAGACGGATTGCCAAACTCGGGCCCAGTGGAGAGAATTCATCTGATTTCTGCTTTGAAAACTCCGCTGTTGTGCCCTTGTTCGACGGCCTTGACGCTCCTGTGTTCGGGTAGGTCGAGCGGCGTCAGGCGACAGTGCCCGAGAACGTCTAGTTTCGCACCGCGAACAGTACCAGGCTCCCGATGGGACGTCATCGAACCCGAGGCAGTACGTATGGGAGGGGGCATCGCAACCATCGCACAAGAGAAGCAACTCTTCATTGTCCGCATCTCCACAGATAGGACAAGGTTGAACATCAGCGAGATCATCCTCCACATAGTCGACTATCATAGAGGGATCAACCTCTGCCACTTGTATTCGGTCCTGTACTGCATACGTTGAGGTCACGGGACCTGCGAGAAGGGGCGAAGCGCCATAGATCAGCACGAATTTCCTAAACGCGCAAGTTACCCCAACAAAAGTGAGGCAAAAGTGAAAGCAAAAATGGGACGAGAAGGAGAAAAAAAAAGGAAAAAAGAAAAGAAGAAAACATACCTCCAAGTCGATCACTCAGCTCCACTATATTGAAGCTGCGGCGACATATTGGACAGCTGTTGGCCCTCTCCACCCACGGTTTCAAACAGTTATTGTGTAAGATATGACCACAAGGGAGTAGCTGGGCGATTTGACATGCATCCTCACTGTCATCAACGCCATCGACCTTGACGGTGGAAGCGTCATTTGACTTGCCTTCTAGTTGAAGGTCAGGTCTTGGCACGGCTTCGGCGGCGATGGCAAGAGGATCGCTGGCGCTTTCGCCAAGGTCTCCTAAGCACACAATACAAGTGTCGGCCATGAACGGAAGAATATGTGCCAGAATTGCCTGCAGGAACGCTGTGAGAAGGCATGAAGAGCAATCGGCAAGGAAGAATAAAGGATAGAGGCGTAGAAGGGGAAGGGGAGAGAGAGTAAGTCTGAGTGATGTGGGGAGAAAGCAGCCGGCCTTTTGAAGGTGGACCTACAATCCGGTCTAACGCAAAACAGATTGGACAGGAACGTGACCAGCCAGCAGTCGGGCGAATCAGCGCTCAGGATAAATAAAAAAAGAGCCAAGCCGAATCTCCTCGTCTTTTGCTGGTGATTAATGGCGCTTGGAGAACACAATGCCCTTGCAGCTCATCAGAATGGAAAACCCCTCGTTACTGTCCTCGCCTGGCTGTGTAACAATTACTCTGCCTGAGAGGTGGGAGAGGGATTTGGATTGCGAAAAATAGAATGAAAAGAAGCGGATGAAGCAACCTCAACTGTACAGTAGTCTGCTAGAGATTTATAAGTGAGCCAAACTCGCATTGCCTGCTCGATTATAACCAACAAGAACAAGGTGCACTGGCCTGGATGCGTAATTCCGCTAGGGGAGAAGATGGCTTATCCAGTCGTTAGCTAGAGTTTTGAAGCCACACTCCAGATAGGCCAAGGAAAGTCAAAATGATGAATTGACACTCAAGGGGGAGGGAAAGATAATAATGCAATAATCTAGGGGATGCGTCTACTTTGGAGGATCCTTCTGACCACTATTTTGGATTTCTGCTCACATCTAGGTAGTGCGTTGTAAGAGCAGTCTCAGAAGACCCATGCAGTGTTTCCCAGGAGACATGGATGTTTCGCCATTGCTCTGGTGTGTTCAAATGGATTTCCACTTGTGATCGACGTTGGAGAGTCACGAAATCGTCAGATGAAATTGATTTTCTATTGAGTAGTCTGATCCGACAGGGTAGCGCGTGCTATCGACATCGAGAAGTGGTATCCGTTACGAGAATGTGCTTTGCTGATTCTCCAGATTTTGAATTTATTTTGATTTTAATTCAGACGTTAAACAGTAAGAGAATCCCATCATCACATTTAAACCTCCGCGATTTCTCTGAGACGACGGATGGTGGAGCGGGTGGCAGCGGCGGCGGGTGTCCTGTGATACAATCACATCTATTAGCACTCGTGTCACAGGGAGGATTATTGTCACAATCCCCCTATAGCGCTGGCACCATCCTGGCTTGTGCCCCTGGCTTGTGCCAGGAAAATTCATCGGCAGAGCGAGGGGATCCAGGTGCGAAAACTCGTGGTCGACTTACGAGACAGTGTAGGCACCACCGGCAACGGTCTTCTTGCAACCCTTGCACTCCCAGATACCAACAGCCTGGCGCTTGACGGTGTTCTTTCCGCAGAAGGTGCAGACGTAGCGGGCGTGCTGGGTAACTTCCATCTTCTTCACCTGCTTACGCAGGGAGGCACCGTATCTGTTCAAAGTCGCGTGTCAATCAACTACTCTTTCTCCTTCGTTGAAATCGATTTTTCCCCGCAAGTTTCATTTCGAAATTCGCTCGAGCAGAAACAGAACGTAGACGATTTCAGACCGATTTTGAGGCGAGAGAGCGTAGAGCATACCTGGTACCATATTTACCCGTGATACCGACCTCTAAACTTTCGGGTTAGTTTTTCATTCTTTCTGAAGCATCTCTGTATATTTCTCATTTAGAGAGCACTCACTCTTAGTGCGCTTGGTCATCTTGTCTCGTGTGCGGCTGTTGAGGTCGAAGATGGATTCAGTGCGGTAAGTCGAAATCGAGACTGCGGCTTTCTTTGAGAGAGCGGTTGTGGGTGGGCTCGCTTAGGGTTGGAACTCTTGGCGAGAGTCACGTGTTGTACCCATACTATACGACGATGATCCTTTAAGACTACAATAGCCAAGGGGGAGGATCAATAATGTAGTGTAATCAAACGATCAACAACAGTTTTTGATCATTTCAATGCCCTAAATGACTAAACTAGAGACGATTCGCAAAGACCTGATTTTTCAATATTTGTGGTGACTCAAATTGAAGTAAACCGTACCTTCGAAGTACTCTTGGCTTCGTAGTGTACGGCCCACGCAGAACTATTCAGATATTGATTCCTAGTCATGATAACACTGGAATCGAAACTTCAAGATGGGCTATATAATAATTAACAAATGATAGCACCGCTTTATCCCAAGCTACATGCATAAATCATGCCCATATTTACTTCGTATCGAGGAGACCAGCATCCTGACTCTTCTGATTCAAGTGTGCTGCTGAAGGATTTTGAAGGTGTGCATTCTTATCATCACATGGCCACTGATAAGCCCTTTCTGCTTGCGGCTAGCTCCAAGGACCCGAGGTATGACGATAAGAAACCATGTGTTTACTACTGCCCGGAGAGAGTCACATTGGAGCTTGCCATCACTGACATCTACCTTGTTTGATTGTGTTCCGGAATAGGCACACTAGTGCTATACCGAAGGGGCTTCATAAAAGTGATACTCCCTTCACCATAGTCATCAACGATCCTGAAGATCGGTATCTTTCTAAACATGGAATCTAACAAGGAGTTCGACTTGGTCCTTCTCGGCCCTACCGGTTACACCGGGAAGTTCTGCGCTGAGCACATTGTCAAGCATTGCCCTACGAATCTGAAATGGGCTCTAGCAGGGCGTTCCGTGCAAAAGATCGAGACTGCCGCAAAGGAGTTGAGAGCTATCAATCCCGATCGCACCGAACCAGGTATCAAAGGATAAACCCGCAGAAGGGCCATTGCTGATTTTCCTGTAGATATTGTGGTTGTCCAACTTAATCGAAAGGAGCTGGACCCTCTTATGCAGAGAACTAAAATTGTTATCAACTGTGTCGGTCCTTACCACCTATACAGCACTCCTGTTGTTGAGTCGTGCGCCAACAATGGCACTCATTACGTGGATGCGTAAGTCTGGAGACAGCCTCATTAGAAGAGATGGCGGTACACTAAGAAGCTTTTGATATAGTACTGGAGAAACACCTTGGGTAAAGCACATTATCGAGAAGTATCACGAAACCGCCAAGTCGAACGGAGCTGTTGTCAGTTTCTTCATCTAGCTAGTATCTGCACTTGAACTGACTCTGTCATAGATCATCCCGTCCGTTGGCATGGAAAGTGCCCCGGCGGATATTCTGGCTTGGTCTTTGGTCAAAAGAGTCCGTGGGGACCTCTCCAGTGATACGAAAGAAGTCATCAGTGCGATTGATGAGATAAAGTATGTTAATTGTTCAATCTGGAGAGTCCGAATTTCCCCTAATGAATGACTGCAGGAGCTCCGGACCAAGCGGTGGTACTCTCGACACGGTGCTCACAACACTCGACACACTGACATTCTCCGATATGCTGAAGTCGTTCGATCCTTATGCCTTGGCTGCCTCCAAACCGCCCAGGAATGTTCCGAGCGAGCCCCTCGTCGAGAAAGTTCTAGGGGTGAGATCCGTACGTGACCTGGGTACTCTCACCACTTCGCCTTCTGGCATCGCAGACATCACCATTGTACACCGCAGCAGTACCTTGATGCCAGAACTCTATGGACCTCGCTTCCACTTCCGACAATTTGTCCGGGTCAGAAATGCCCTTGTCGGCGCACTGTTCCATATTGGCTTCATGCTTGGGTTGGCTCTGCTTATTATTCCCCCAGTCCGCACTCTGGTGCGAAAATTCATATTTGCACCAGGTCAAGGGCCTCGCAAGGAGGACTCGACCCATGACCGTGTCGAGTACCGTGCTATAGCGACGGCTGATCAGAAGACCGCCACACCTCGCCGTGTCTTCGGCAAGCTGACTTATGAGGGCTCGATGTATGTCATGACAGGACTTCTGCTTGCTGAGGCCGCAATGGTCATCCTGGAAGACGCGGAGCAGGTAAAGAGGGTGTCCCGAGGTGGAATCGTCACGTCGGCTACCATGGGACAGGCTTTTGTTGATCGACTAGACAAAGTCGGCTGCCATATCGAAACACAGATTTTCGATAACTGATGCGACAACCGTGCATGATGCTCTGTTTTTTGCTTATTTTGATGATCCCTTTGTAACTTCCGTACTTTATCCATGTTTATGATCCATATGACAGCTTAATACCATCTTTCTACAAAAGCACCTGGTTGCACAAGCTTTCAGTCATTGGAGAGACGATATCAGCTACCTAATCAAATACATGGTCCCTCAAAGCAGGCCCCGGAACGCCTTCTGTCCTTATACAAAGACATGATAAACACACATACGTATTTTCGTATACAGCCTGTACACCGTGATCACGTACATCTCTTACAGTTTGAACATCCGAGGATCCGAAAAAACCACTTCCTCCAGCCACCAAGCGATCATCTCATTGACCTCCTTGGGCCTCTCCCAGAGAGCCCAATGAGACGTATCCACTTGCTGGAAGGTGAGATGCGGAATGGTCTTGGTCATGCCACTCCCCAGGTGGGCGGGAAGGGCGGCGTCCTTGAGCGCTTGGATGAAGAGCACTGGAGCCGTGATGCGGCGATGGAGAATGGCCAGTTCCTCTTCATAGTTGATTTCTCTCGTGCGATACCAGTTTACTGTAATTCTATTAGTTTTGCGCCGGTCTGTCGCGGGGATTCGTGCGGAAAGAGGGGATGGGCGAACATACAGGGACCACGCAGACCATTTCTGGAGAATTCTCGGGCATAGTATTCGAGTTCCTGTACTAGGTATCAGCAGCATGCTCAAACGCGTACCGAACCAATCACGAGAAATCAGCGTACCTCTTCACTCAGCAGCCTCGATGGGCGCACACGGAACATATTCTCTAATAGAACCCCCAGCCCTGCATCAAAGGCTACTTCGCCTGTGTCGGTACGCCCGCCATACAACGCGCAGAGAAACTTCTTGATGTCCTCTTCTGATTGGATTGCTTTCTCCAGCTCCCCGCTCTTAAACTGCAATTGATAGGTAAAATGCGGCGCAATTGTCGCCGCAAATTCCTCTAGTGGATAGTACTTCTTCGCTGGAGGAGCGTACGGTACGCAGACCGTGAAAAGATGAGTAACGAGATCTGGGTGCCAGAGTGCAACCCGGTATGCGAGTGCAGCGCCCCTGTGAGATTGGTGTGAGCCATAACTTAAAGTTTTGAGAGAATGTGACAGATCTGAGTCGGGAGATATACCAGTCATGTCCGCCGACGAGGATCTTGGATGCACCGAGCTGTAATGCTAGTTCCTTGATGTCATCGGCGCACTGCTTATGGGAATATAGTGCAATATCCTCAGGGGCATCCTATAACACCTAGTCAGTACTTCCGGAATGGGGAGTATCGTTGTTGTGCTCGAGAACATACCGTTCGTCCATATCCTAGACAATCTGGAGCAATGACTCGCAGTCCCATGTCGATTAACATGGGAATCTGATACCTCCATCCCAACGATAAGTCGGGGAAGCCATGGATCTATCATCTGTCAGTTAATCTCTTGGTTCGCTGGCACAGCCAAGAGGAAGAAGGCATACGAGGACAATGGTAGCTCTGTAGGTGCCTGATTCAGGCTCACTGTAGAGATATCCTATATATATCTAGTCAGTGATATCATACGGTGACTTTCAAGGGAGCCTCCAGCACAATATTCCATATGTAAGATGACCCGAGGTGAAGAAATCCCTCTGCATATCTGAATTTGTATCGAATTGGATAGAGCATTGATTGCATACCGTAGTTCTTCCCATTGACGTCCGCTGACCGATACTCGATCCGAGGATCGCCCAACACATCGATCTTATCAACAATCATACTTGCAGCACCGGTCCAGGACTTGTATCCGTATCTAAAATCTGAATATCGGAGTTCAGGTTACTGGAAAAGAATCATTCAGGATGAGTTTACCGACTTTTCCCTGCTATTTAAACACAAATATATGGATCCTCGCCAGCTGTCTTGTCACGTGAATCCGAAGCTGTTGAAAAGTATTGGCTCGGGGAAGAATAACAAGGCTACAAATAAGGCTGGAGAGAATATTCAAGTTACGAGGTAATGTAGGAGCTTAGGTAGTGAATCGCTGGTATCATTCTAGTTCTTTCGAGGAGGAGACTCCTCAGTCGTGTGCATCAAAGCGGGTGAACACCGCTAGATTCCAAGCTTTTGCCGCCAGAATGCCTCGGTTGTTCTCAAGGCAAGCTTGGTTTCCCCCCAAATTCGCCGATGCTGCATGAACGAGCCACAACATCTGGAGAGATCGATAGATGGCGGGAAATAGAGTACAGATAATTAAATTGATCGAAGATTGATGTACGGAATTAATAGATTACCGTATCTTCGTTGTCCTCAACCACTTCTCCCCCATCATCATCAGGTGCCCGATGTACATCTGAATCGTTATGACTGACTGATACAGGTGTAGTATCAGGTGGAGCAGTCTCCGTACCTCCGTCATGGTTTGTTTCAACATCCGCCTTGTCTGAGCTTCCTTGAGTTGTGTCTTTGGGCTGCTCCGTGATATCCGCGTCGGGCAGCGGGGCCTGGTCTTGCGATTCTGATTCTCTCCGTTCGGCCCCATCATCTTCCTTCTTAGGCTCTCCTTCATCTCCGGGTGGATAGCGTGCTTCAAACTCAGTGCGTTCTCGAGAGATTGTTGCTTCTGTTTCTTCAATCTGGTTGCGTATTACATCCTCGTCTTCGGGGCGCAGTTCCCACGGTTTGTAGTACTAAAAAGAGCAGCAATAAGTATAAGCGTGATAGGGCTGTACAAGACCAAGAAGGCCCAAACATACTAATACTGGCTCTGATTTCGTCTTCAAGAAATGTGCCATTGCCAACAAATTCGAGTGGCGGGTTCGCAACTATCACAGTTAGCAACCAGGGCGCAACCTGTAGCTCCGTAGAGGGAGACACTCACCGATTCCTCTTCATAGTATCTCTGTTGTTTCTTCCGGATGGCTGCTCGCTCCTCCCTCTTCTTCTTCTTCAGCTCGCCGTACTCTTCCTCCTGGAGCTTCAATTTGTCCTGCTGTTTTCGCTCAATATCTGCGCGTCGTCTCTGAGCCGTTGTACTGGGGGTTTGGGAGAGCGTTCCCAGTAGTGCGCCGAATAATCGCTGTCCACGCTTACGTTCCTCATCGCGTCCTTTAACTTGTCGACTCTCCCTGCGAGGTGGTCTCTGTTCTACGGGATCGGGAGACGATGTTCGGCGAGCTGTAGTCGAGTCGCCCTCCTCGTCTTGAGTGCTGAGTCGGCGACGCTTGGTATCTGGATCAGTACCCGCAATAGAGGAATTCCTTCGCTTGGGACGGGTCTCCGGTGATACGTCCAAGTGGTCCTGTTCAGGCACTGCAACCGCAGATGCGAGTGTTCTAAGTGATAAGCAGAGGCATAGTTAGTATGAGAACGTTCGGAGAAAGAGTTGAAGAAGAAGCCTTACTCTTCTGCCATATCTTAAGTCTGGGGGTCCTGACGCGATCTCAAAAACTTCGTTGCGGAAACAATGAAGCCGAAACTTCAAGCGATCTTGAATTCCAATAATAAGAGAAGAAAGCTGCGCTCACGGCAATCTAGTATTTCCCACTAAATCTCCCCCAAGCCAGAGATCAACAAGATTGCAGAGCACACTCTAATCGTTGCGATATCAACGGCGGGACTCCAGCGCACGGACCAACCGCCAGATCTGTTCCGTGGAATCTTCTCTCTTCTCTTCCTTCCAGCGCCTTCGATTCTTTCATCTCAATATTGATAATCCATCACTCCGTGCTCATCTACTATCTTCTGCCCGTTTTTACAGAACTTGTTCTTCTCCCTTCAAATATCTCTAAATCAGTGGCGTTACATAACAACTCGTCGCCAAAGCCTACTACCAGCCTTGATTCAAAACCGAGTCTACATAGCAGATCTAAGCAGCCATGTCTCGCCATCACCCAGATCTCGTCATGTGCCGCAAGCAACCCGGTATCTCCATCGGTCGTCTCTGTGACAAGTGCGACGGCAAATGCCCCGTGTGCGATTCCTACGTGCGTCCTACCACTCTTGTCCGGATCTGCGACGAGTGCTCCTTCGGCAACTACCAGAATAAGTGCGTCGTGTGTGGCGGTGAAGGAATCAGCGATGCATTCTATTGTTTCGAGTGTACGCGACTAGAGAAGGATCGAGACGGCTGTCCGAAGATTATCAATCTGGGAAGTTCGAGGACGGATCTATTTTACCAGAAGAAAAGTTTTCGAAATCAATGATGATGCGTTTGCGGGGCTCTTGGGCCTTGTACGGGCCTGGTATTTACGTACGCTCTGTGGGTGAGGCGCCTGCTATTCTATACAGTCATTGTCGGCATATGTCTCGCGCCCTCTGCTCACGAAATTGGTTCGGGGCTTATTCGAGAGAAATAATGGTGATGGACGCGTCAAGTCAAAGCTATCTGAGGCTATCTAAGCATGAAGGAGATGCTACTGGGGATGTGCTTCAACCACGTTTACCTGCCAGGCCGCTTAGGTCTGGCAAATCCTCGTCTCATCCCGTCGTTCTGCTGGGGCTGAACCTCCTCTTGCAGTCTATCACCCGAAATTTCATCCGGGGAGGATGCTTCAATCTGCATATCACACTGTTAGAAGACCCAACAATCAATAACGAGGCTGCCGTACGAATCATACCTTCTTGGAAATCTTGAGCCCGTGTTCATCGGCAACAGTAAGGGCATACATGCGCGAGCTTGCGTACATCATTCGCTCTCTGATCGATGAGCCTGACGGGCAGGTATAGATGAAGAACACGGTTTCGGACTCGGGATAGTGGTAGAAAGTGTACCGAGGCGAGGACGGATGGATATGATCCTGGACAGAGTGTGCATCGATGCCGGATTTTGCTGTGGCGAGTGTGAAAGTCTCGGACGCAGTGTCAATAGCCTGTATTTAGATGGACCCATCATCGTCAGCAATGCCAAAACTCCAAATGAAATACCCTCCCATTTGTATCTCTCAAAGACCATACCAATTGCACCAGCCCACCCTCCTGCAGTTCAGCCAGAGCAGTCTTCGCTTCGTCGTGGACATTCATCCGTATACGCGACTGCACGCCCGAGCCAAACCCACCGCGGGGAAACGAGCCCCCGATCCCAATATCCCGCCCGGGCGTCCCACTCCTCGCCTCCTCCTCCGCCCTCCGCACAGCATCCAGCTCCCGCTCCTTCTCCCCCATCAGATCCTCCCGCCGGAACCCACCCTTGCCGCCGGACCCTTTCTTCTCGGCGTCGCGCTCGCGCCAGGCATCCTCGCTGGTCACCTCCTCCTCCTCCGTCGCGAAGATCGTCGACGCGAACTTCTCGCTGCCTAGCTCGCGGACCAGCGTGGCGCGGGTGGAGGCGAAGAGCGTCTTCGCGCGCACGGGGGCATTGGAGGGGATGTATGTCAGGGCGCTGAGGGTCGAGGAGCCCGATTCCGGACGGCGGAAGAGCAGGTAGAGAGGGGTTTTGGGCTGCAGGACGGACGAGAGCTGTGGGAGGGAAGGGTAGAAGGCGTTCGGGGTGGAGAAGCGGATGGGCGAGAGAGGGGTCAGGCTCTCTGCGGTGATGGTCACGGGGAGGCAGAAGATGGAGGAGTCCGAGGCGAAGGTCGAGAAGGCATCGTGCAGCTCCTGGGAGACTGTTTGTTATGGGTTGGGGGTTAGCTTTTGGGCTCTTGGGTTGTTTGTCCTGTGGTGTTGTATGCATGTATGCATTGTATGTATGCATTGTATGTATGTATGTATGTATGTTCGTGGTGCGGCGGGGGTCGAGAACCGCGTGTCAGGAGGGAGGCCGCGTACCTGCGATTCCGGACTGCATGTTGAGCAGATGCAGAAGCGGTGTTGGTCTTTTTATGGAATGTGTGATCTGTCAAGCGATTTGAAGATGTTCTCGCTTCCCAGTCAGGAGTGTTTACACAAGGCAGAAGCGGTGTAGTCGGAGATGTTGTTTAGCGGGGTATCCCAATTGCCCAAAGGAGCTAGAGTGAGGGTGTTTGCAGGTGGTCTGTTCACCGGACGATACTGCTGCTCAGTACTTTCATCAACTGCATCTAAACGATTATTTGGTTTGTTTTATTCAAAAGTTTTTGATTCTATTTAGAACTGTCAAGGAAATTGGTATACTTAGACGACAAGACCGAAGATGGAAAGAAAAAGAAAAAGAGATGTTATATACAAGCCAACCGGGCTATGAGCCTCCCCATCAACACAGCCCAGCAGTGCCATCATCGTTCCAAAAAAACATGAACCCAAGGATAACCTGAAAAAGAAATGCAGTGAGATCGCAATGCAATCGAAAACGCCACCATGCTCATGGTATCAAATGCCTTCGAAAACACGCAGCGGCCGTTTCACTTCCCTCGCTTAAATAGAGACAGACCGCATTTATTCTTCAAAAGAGCCACCGACAAAAGCCCAGTTGGACGCTTCAAGCTTGCCGCGCACGTACTCATATACAGTGAAGGTAACGGCCTGACCAGGAGCAACTCTCATCACACGAGGGGTGATACCCTTGTAGAAAGCGCGCGCACCTTCCTGCTTGAACATGTCCTTGGCAATCACCATGATACGGCTGATGGCTGACTGGCCGGGCTCGGCGCGGGTCTTCTGCAGTCTGGTCTTGATGGTGTCGATGGGAGCGTTCGAGAAGGGACCGACAGCACCGGAGATCAAGCCGATGAGGGTTGTCTGGTACGAGGGGAGCTGCGAGTTGCTGTATTCAGGCTGGCTTCTCTGGAGGAAAGCCTTGAGCTCGGTGTATGCGGTGAAGTTGGCGGCCTGGTTGGTACCCTGGCGAAGAGCGGTCAGGGAGACACCACGGTAGAGGGTGCTGAATCCCTCCTCCCGGATGACGGTGAACAGGGCGTGGGGCGCGCTCCGGTACTTGGGGGTCTCGAGAGGGTCCGCCAGACTGTGATGCTGTGCTTGCAGGCGAATCTTGACGACTTCCATGGGGTTGACCACGGCCACGGCTTCAGTCACACCAGCAGAAAGACCGGCTGATCGAACAACTTCTGTTAGCTTGAATTCTTCAAAACGAGTCACCTACCGAGGCTGGTTCGTAACGTACCGAGGAAAGTAGCCTTGCTCGAAACGGCACCAGTCTCCTTATCCGCGAGCATCTCCTTGTACCACTCGTACGAGGTGAACCGGATAGCCATCTTGGGAATTATACCGCCCAGGACGGCACCAAGACCCTTGTACAGACCCAGAGCGGTCTCCTTCTTCACGATCTCAACACCGGTGGCAACGAATCCACGGGGTTTTACCTGTCGGAGCCAAAGCTTGTCAGTCCGGTGCGCGCTTCAATGGTAGTCTCAGTCACACTTACACCGGGAGCTCTGGCCCGTCGCGACAGCTGCATTCTGACTTTGATGGTATCTAGAGGATGGCAGACAAGAGCCTCCATCATACCGGCACCACCGCCAGCTGTGTCCCCTTTTAGCATATTGTTGCCAACCAAATTCGTCCCCGCAGAGAGAGAGAGAGAGAGAGAGAGAGAGAGAGCTCTGTCTTACCGATCAGGTTTACGGCGGCGGAGGCAGGCTTCTTGCCATTGCCTCCCTGCACATTCTTTGCGGACATGATGGAAGTGATTGGGGCTCGTTCAATTCAATCAATATGCAGTTCTTGATCTTTCTGCCAGGCAACCTCCAGCGTCCTTCTATGACGATAGCGCAAGGAGAGGTGTTCCGCCGCGGGATATTTTACCGTGGTCAAGCGGGAGAGGAATGAGATGGAGAAAGAGGAGGAGAAAGGAGAAGAGAGACAGGTAAAAAGAGAGAGGAAAGAGAGGAGTGTGACTCAATTGACGCCCGATATAGAAGATATTGGAAAAAAAGAAGCGACGATATCGGATCTTCACAAGGTGCGCAAGAAATAATCCGGGGAGTTACGGAAGTATATGGCCCTCGGCACAAATCAGAGCTGGTATTTAAACGACTGGAGTGAGAACCTGGGTCGTCTTTTGGGGTCAGCCCGCTTATAGAAATAAAGCCTTCAGATTCTCGGGAATGGGGAACCGCAGCCAGTCTCGGGATCAGTGGCGGCTTTTGTCGTGGCTTGCGTTTCTTCGTCCTGCGCAGGGTGGCCGTGGGGAAAGTCAAGCTATGACGGGGAAGCGGAGGAAGCTATTCTGGACGAGCGGAAGAGGTGCCGCCTGGTGGGAAGGGTAGCCGAACAGCTCCAGATCGTAATTCTCGGTAGGAAATAGGAATGCTAGAGTAGAGACGTCTTAATTGAAGTCCTAAAGCGACGCTGTTGACTTAAATATCTACGAGAATCTGGTCGTCGTGGATGGACACTGCATCGCGGGGGAAGCTTCCTGGGGTATCTTCATTATTATTGTTTGAAGCATCATCCCGAGGCTTCGGCAGCATGGAGTATGGAGTATGGACAGTCCAGCTACGGGAGACTGGAGTCTTCTTGGGAAATGGATTCTTGGAACCTTCCTCATCACAATGAACCTATTTAACCGACTCCAACATACTACGAAGTCGTATCTACTGGTCATTTGTCTGGGGCAAAAAAACATGACTGCATCAACCACCCAATAATAAATATCCAATGACAACTACGAAGCCAACGCTTCACATGCTCAGAACCGATATCCTCCAGCATCATCGTCATCGCGCATGATCTTGGACTGTCGCAAGCTCATAGCTCGTGATTGTTGATCTTCTATCAACTTAGCCTCGATCAGTCTGCTTCATCTACTGTAAAGCGCAGACTGAGCTGCCTGCCTCTGCGGAATCTTCCGGGCCAAGACCAAGACCACCAGTTGGTGGGAACCGAGGCTTTTGCCCGATTGGGACGAGGGGCGAGGCCGAATGTATTGCTTGACTTGTGCGATGGGAGTAGTTGCTCAGTGCATCTGACTTGGATCTGTTGTTACTGTGTCGGGTCAAGTAACGGGTTGTTGGAGTCATACTACTTATAGCGAGCATAATATATCGAGTTCACACTTCTTATATTCATCGCGTTGGTCCTCACTGCGACTTGGGAAGGACAGACGGATGTCCAAGGGCCGCTTTAGACTATTTCCCACGATACTACGTACATCCTTTATCCACGACTCCCACGCCCATTGGCTTCTTTTTCTACGATCACCTCTCGCCTTTATGCCCCATGTATGACTACGGAGTATGGTTTTCGCAGCTGGGATACCATACGTAGTAGCCCCCTATTATGACTTACCTGGATACATAAGTAGAGCTAGTAGTAGTGAGCCACAATTTGGACGAATAGATGCGAGGTCTTCATGTGACAGACTTGCGATCCATCTAAGCATACGATCACGAGGCTGCTGGTCTTAGTTTCCAGTTTCAGCCCTCCTGAGTTCTGATGGTCAGTACAGAGTAGAATAGAAGGTTACCATCACAGAGTGAGCATCCAAGGGGTGTGGAACTAAACTATGGATATTGCACAAAGGCGCATTCGCAGAGAACAAATATCCGAGAGAAAGCCGAAGTGACAGAAGCTCCTGGACTGTGGACTCAGGATTGTCTCCAATAGTCCAATAATCTCCATCGATCTCCACAATGAAGAATGAGGATTGAGGAGGAAGTTCTTGTGCTCCGTACTTTGCTCCAGAGTCGATGTATGGGAAAAGAACCAAAGTGACAGTGACACTTGACATTCTAACTCTGACCCTTGAAGAAAAATGTGAAGTCTATCTACAATATATATTCGACATGGTAGAAGCGACGGCGAGCTTACCCCACAGAATGTTATCATCGGATTTGATCCGATCTCCGTGTCGTTCTTCTCCCCGGACTCGGCACGCCAACAGAGCAAGTCATCGGTGAAGAAGATGCGGAGTTGGAAGGTGAACATATCTCTGCCTCACCTAGAGCCAAAAAAAAAAAAAAACATTTCCGGAGGGAACAATCCACTTACTGAATTCCCCGATGAAACAAAAGGGTAGCCGAAAATGAGCTTTTGGCGCAGTATTGGTCCCTCAGCTCAAGCACGGAGCCCGACACGCAGCTGCAAAAGCATCATAACCTTCCTCTTGCATCAATGGTTGCTCATCGGGATCGGGGTCGCATGTGTTCTGGCATACTACTTCCCCAATGTAGCCAAACATGGCGGCGTGATTAGATCTGAGTATAGCATCCTCTACGGCGCGATGGCGATTATCTTCCTCACGTCGGGACTGAGCATCCCGCGCCAGAAACTGTTCATGCATCTCCTCAACTGGCGCCTTCACTGCCTTGTCCAGGTTTTTTCTTTCATCTTCGTCCCTGCACTGGTCCTAGCGGTTGTCCATATCATCCTGGTTGGGGATCCGCAGGGTCATATCGACCGTGCCCTGCTGGCGGGGTACATCTTCACCGCGTGTATCCCGACGACCATCGCTTCGAATGTCGTGATGACTCGGTCGGCTGGCGGCGACGATGCGGCGGCCTTGGTGGAGGTAGTGATTGCGAATTTCCTGGGCCCGTTTATTACGGCCGCCTGGACGGTCACCTTGCTTCCTGGCACAGCGGAATTCGACCCCTGGAGACAGGCGAGCGGAGATCTGAGCGAAATGTACAAGGGCGTCTTCAAACAGCTCGGGCTGAGTGCGCTGCTGCCGCTGGTTTTGGGGCAGCTGGTCCGCTGGGCCTGGCCTGAAAGGACGGAGCATTTGATGCAGAAGTATCGAATTTCCAAGCTTGGATCCGCGTGCTTGCTACTGATGGTTTGGTGAGTCTTCCTGCTCGATCCACTCGCCTGATTGCGACAAAGATCTATCTCGGAAACTAAACCGTCTTCCAGGATGACATTCTCTTCCTGCTTCGCAACAGGGGCGCTCCAGGCCCTTTCCGTACAAAGTATCCTGTTCGTGGTCTTCTTCAACATCGCGTTGTACATCACCCTCACTGCAGTATGTTTCTGCCTCTCACGCCCTCCGAAGATATTGTCAGTCAACCGGTTCGGACTGCAGTATGTATTCAAGCGTATCTCTCCAGAGGAAACGATCGCAGTCTGCTTCTGCGGCCCCGCGAAGAGCACCGCTCTCGGGATTCCCTTGCTATATGCCATGTGGGCCCCGGTGGACCTATACACCAAGGCCAGAACATCAGTGCCTGTGCTGCTGTATACGACTGAGCAGATCTGTATCGCGCACTTCTTTGTGCATGCGCTGCGAAGGTGGCATAAGAAAATAGACCATAAACGAGACCTCGAGAGTATAGATAATAGAGGCACACTGCCTGAGATGGCTGCTAGTTCAGCTGCTGGGGAGTCATTGGACCACAAGAACATAAGTTCATGTGCAGACCAGTCGAGCTATGTTAGATAATCCAATAACGAAAAAAGAGATATCCTGTTTCCTCTGGACGTTGAAACAGTTCCATGTCCAATGATGTGCTACCACAAACTCCCATCTATCATGCGGAGGTTGTTGAAATACAATTTACAGATCGAAGAATTCTTATATAACAGCTTGACCAGCAATTGGGTCCATAATAGGAGACAGATCAAGGAAACTCGAAGATCCATGCTTGGGGGAAATGCGTTTGACGAGCAGAAAATGTTCAACGGAAGAGAAAAAAGCGGACAAAAGAGAGGAAGAGGCTCATCATATATAGCTCACCTTCACTCCCATCCCAACGGTTCCCTTTATCTTCTGCCATCCCGAGTCTGTAATTCTCCGAAGCCTCTCCCGGACGTTCTGCCTACTCAGCGCCATGATCAGACCGAGTATGAACAGTAGCGTGCGAGCAAGTGACAAAGGATTGCCGGCAACCGTCTTGGAGAAGTATTGCACGACGTTACGCAGGACTTTGGTCAACGCTCGATTTGACCTGGCCGGTTTGCCTGTCTTTTTGACATTTTTTGATGAAGCAGGTGGTGAGAAGGCAGTCCTTCCTGTGGAGGAACTAGGCTTGCCACCAGAAGATTTTTCGGGAGATTTCCCCCCTTTGCCTTTAGCGGCGCCATTGGGACGGTTCTTCTCGATGCCATAATCGACCTCGCTATTACTGCGCCGGTGAGCCTTTTGCTCCAAGCGCTCTGCCTCGGCAGCTTCTTCCGCTCGCCGACGCTCTTCCTCCCGCATTTGTCTCTCCAGCTCGGCGTCTTTTTCCCGTTGCAGCGCCGCTGCGCGCAATTCGCCTTGTTCCTTTTCTTCCTTGAGCCCCTCCAAGGTCTGCAGAAACATGTCCTTTCTTTCCTCATCAAGAACTTCGCTCATATTGACGAACTCCCTGGCATAATCCCATTCATCGTTCCGAGGAAGGACATGGAGCGTAAATAGCTCAATGATTCTGACGCGCGTGGCCAGATCGTTCGGAGTATTAGTGCCGTCGTTCCGTCTGGCACGCGAACGCTGAGATGGCGAGTTCTGTAGGTGCTCTGCGATATCTAGGTTTGGTTGGCCATATGACGACAGATAGGTTTCGAGTCGTTGCTGGTTGAGGGCCTGGGAGGCGCAGTGGCTCAATAATAGGGTGCCTCTGAACCGTATCTGGTCAGTCCTCAATGCTAATTGTAACGACAGACTGCATCTTTGACTCACAGATTATAGACGACCTCCGCATCGACCAACCCCTCCATCCCTCGGTATCCAGTCTGAGCCACAGTCTCCCAAATCTGCCCATCGCGCACCTGAGACGAGATGGATTTCCATTCTTTCTGGCCGAATTGCTTTTTCCCCTCCTCGGGGCCCAAGTCAATGATGGAACTCAGAAGGGTGATGTATAAATTCCATATTTTGATTCGCCAGGTATGCTGAGCCGAAGCAATCGGTGGTGTCGAATCATCGCCATTGACATACCGCTCGTCATTCGTCCGCTGCACACTGATGGCAGGCTGAAGAGCTGCGAAAGCCTCTGGTAACCGTCGCGTCAGAAAAAGCTCCCGAGCCTTCTTGTATGTCTTGGAACAGAACTTCGATGGAGAAAGGGACGGGGTGGAGGATGCGAGTTGCGACTGCGAAGTCGACATGTAACCATCGTCGGCCATTGTTCACCGCCAGCGGAGGATGCGATCAGGTGGTAGAAGACAAAAGGTGGGGATTAGGAAGGTATCAATGCTCAGAGAAGATCAACAATGGCATAAGGAGCGCACAAGAAGATAAATGAGACTCGAAATGGGAGCTGTTGCAAGGTTGCATGCAGGATGGCGGTGGTTGATTCGATTGTCGCTGGACTCCGAAGGCCAAAAGTTGGGGTTCAACTGCGCTACGACTTTCCCTCGGCTCGGCCACTGGGGTCTGTACTCTGTAGCTGATGTCACGGGATGGCGCGCCCGCATTTCATCGGCAGCTGGTGATGGATCTTATCGACGTATCTAACTCTCAACTCTAACCTCACTTATCCCCTAAACTGAAGTGCAACTGGACCAATCTTCAATCTTATGGGCTGATAGAGCTCTCCTTTGTTGCTGAATCTAAAAGAATTGACTGTACAAGTCACTTTTTCATGATGAAACCTGCAGATCATAAGGTGTCACTGCTTATCCATCAACAGTGCAGTAGTCCTTGCATGACCGTACCTTTACATTTTAGCTCCAATCAACACCCAGATCCAGTTCAATCAATTAGCGTTCCTTTCCATCTAATTCTACATCTCATCCTATCTCCTTTCTCATCCCGCTGAGCTTAGTCTCAGCCTATTTGAATCGAGCCTAGAACAGTGCAAAACAACTAACATAGCAAGATGGATGTAACAGCGCAGTCATTTGCTTACCATCTTCCCCGCATCTTAGATGAGCTGGCGACCTGCTGCTTCGTATCCATGGACTTTGAGTTCTCCGGAATTGCGACTGCTTCTTCAGCACCGAGCAGCGGATCGCAGACCTTGCAGGAACGATATGAAGAAGTCAAGAGATCGGCGGAGAAGTACCAGATCTTGCAGGTTGGATTGACAATCTGTCACGAGGATACTGGAAAAGGTCAGATTGGAGAGCCTGCAATCTTGTTTACAGCGCATTAATTCTCATAATCGGCAGCTACGTATACACTGAAACCATACAACATATGCCTGAGTCCAATTATCGACAAAAGATTGGAGCTGGAGAGGGATTGGATGATGCAGAGCGGTGGTATGTCATCATGTCATTCGAAAGTGTCCTCCGAACTTGATTCCACAGCTAAATCGCCACCATAGCTGTTGAATTCCTACTGGAGAACAAATTTAGTATGGACGCCGTCTTCAAAAACGGCGTCTGTTATCTGTCGCGAGAAGAGGAGGAACTAGCGATGGCCAAAGCCATCGAAAGACGCGATCGAGTTGCAACGCACACCTTGATCGACGTCAAAGAAACCGAGCTTGAATCACTGGCCTTTCTCCAGGCGGCCCGGCGTCTCGTAGATGACTGGCTTGCAATAAGGACTGTAAGGTGGCACGTCTTGAGATCATTTGACAAAAGGTAATCTCTTACTTAGACACGCGACAGCTACCTCAATATCCCACCTCCCACTCGCATCGGTCATCTTCAATCCTCCAAATCGTTGCCATCGACCCTGAACAGGTTCCAGAAGAGGCTTGTTCATCAGTTGATAGAGGTGGAATACCCATCGTTGGTGACGATCAGCAACCCTGGCTTTATCCAGATCATTGATTACGATGAAGAGCGAGAAAGATCTCTTCGAGAGCAAAGACTGAACAGAGTACAGGAAAGGATCTGGAAGCAGACAGGCTTCAGATGGATAGCGGAGGCCCTTGCCGGAGGAGATCTGTCCAACCTTGATACCAGTTTCTTCATTGGTATTATGTCGAACTCCGCTGCTGTGAAGCCTATATACTCGCTCCGAGAGTTCTCTGAGAAGCTCAGAGAGCGGCTGCAGGAACATCGACCCGTGCTAGGTCATAACATTTTCTCCGATCTTATATACTTCTACCGCTGCTTCTTTGGACCTCTTCCGGATAAGGTAGAAGATTTCCAATCAACGATGCACGAACTATTTCCTGTCCTCATGGATACGAAATACATGGCGACACATAACTGCGGTTCGATCAACCCTAGGTCATCGTTGCCAGAAATCAATGATAGCTTGTCGAAGAGAGCAACTCCAAAGATCGGTGGGCATGATCCCGCCCGATGATCTGCTCTATTGGTGCTAATTGCAATCCAGAAATCCACTCGCAGTATTCAAAGTACAATACTCGGAAAATCGAACACGAAGCTGGCTACGATAGCTTGCTCTCCGCTCAGATCTTCATCAGGTTATCTGCCCAGCTCCGTGATGGAAGAGAGTCACCTCCAGAATCCTCATCCTTCGCAGACCTTCCACACCAGGTATCCCCTGAGCGGGTCGCCGAATGGACGGAAACCGAGGATCGACTGAATAATACCAGACAAAATACTCTAGTTGCAGACTCACAAAGACACCATCGCGGCCAGGGCCGACATGACTTACCCCAAGCGCCTAAACCAAATGCCTTTGGGACAAGATTTGATTTGCTCGAGATCGAAGAGATCATTGACAGCATCGACAGTGACATACCCACCGATGACCGTAAGTTATCATTGGCACCCAGCGACTCTGCCGAACTCATGCGTAAAGCGAACTCTGGTGAATTAATCCCCCGCCTTGGAGCCAAGTTCTGGAAAGTCTACGGTAATAAGTTGCGAGTTTTTGGCACGTTGGAGAGAGTGTGCATTATAGGAGCATCGTAAGACAACCTCGTGGCCAGTCCTGCCACAAGACGGACGACTTTCTCCATCAGAGGTGGATTCCATGTGATCAATAACTACACAAATCCATGCGCAGGATGATTTGAGTCTAAAGTAACTACGATACCAACACAAGTAGTGTGGCAGAATGTATGCAGCGTCTATCTAACAGTACACCTTGATATAACGAAGGTACCGCTAGCGAAAATAGCCGCCTGGTCAGTCTGAGCACCGCTAAATGATCGACTGGTTGTAGTGCAACAGAACGCAGTGATGATAAGGAAAAGGTGCTGTGAAGAGAAAAGAAAAGAAAAGAAGAGGAAAAGAAGTTGCGCTGCATTTATTAAAGAAGGGAAAAAAAGTATCGGGTCACCTGACCCTCTAGCCTCTTCTGGATTAGTGCCGTTCCGCGGCGGACAGGTGACCGCCAACTTTTCTTGACAATTATCGGCGTTAGACTTGTTGACGAGGCCAGGGACCCAGTCAGTTGCGCTGTCAAAGATGTCTTCAGCACCCAATGGCGCCAGGCGCATAGCGTCTGTATTGAGTATGTGATGCAGCATAGGCTGGCCATTCTGATATTGATTCATGGGCTGACATTTCTCTCAGGGCCTTCGATAGTCGACTCCGGAGTGTGCAGAAGCTGTCGCCGCAATTATGCCTCAGCTGCCACGCCCATCTCAACCTCAGAAATTGCTTCACCTTCGTCCTCTCCCTTCCCCGTCGTCAAACCCACACACATCATCAAGGCCGGCGTGGTCCTCTCCCGCCCGCCCCAGATCACCCGCGACCTCACATCGTTCGAGAAGGCGTACTTCTTCTACCAGAAACGGCTGAACGAGCGATTGGCGCTCCCTTTCACGAAATACTTCTACTTCAAGCGGGGCACTCCTGCCGACGAGGACTGGAAGCGTAAGATCCGGGAGCGTGAGACACCCGCCCGCGATATCGGCAAGTACAACGCGTACTCGAAGGAAGCATGGAACGACGAATTGCTTGTCGGTGCGGTCGAGTCCGAGCCCGAACATCAAGTTGAGATGCTCGTGCAGGACGCCGAGGCTACTGTCAATGCCACCTCTCAAGACACCAGCAAAAAGGAGGAGATCCCTCGGCCGTTCTCTCGGGCAACGGAGGCGGACCAGAAGAACGACCAGAAGAGCCTCAACCGGGCGCTGCAGAGGACCCTCTATCTTCTTGTTCAGACCAAGGAGGGATTCTGGAAGCTTCCCAGCTCGTCGATAGAGACGGGAGAGACTCTTCGTCTGGTGAGTGTGCTGCAAGATCGCGATTTGTGATGGTCGTGTAGGTTACTAACTTCTATGATCTATCATAGGCTGCTGAGCGTACCCTCGCCCAATCCGCCGGTGTAAACATGAACACCTGGATGGTGGGCTACCACCCCGTCGGCCACCATATGTACAACTTCCGATACCCTAAGACCGACGCTACGGGCCACGAACTTCTGGGCGAGAAGACCTTCTTCATGAAGAGCCGTATCATGGCGGGACAGGCAGACCTGGCTGCCAACTCTCAGAACCTGCAAGATTTCAAGTGGCTGGCCAAGGACGAGATTGCGAAATTCGTCCTGCCTCAATACTACAGCAACATCAAGAACATGTTGGCGGAGCGGTAAAGAGCAGGTGCCTGGGTGTGAGATGTGTATCAATAGAGCTGTTGCGAACTTGCGCGGAGTTGTTCCATTCCGGCGAGGCGGGCCTTTTTTCCCTCTAAAGACGGGTCACAGAATTGCATATACTGATATAGTATGATATGTACAACTAGCTTTTCTTTTTCTTTTTCAAATATCTTCGCAATTGAATCTCTTGAGTTTTCATGGAGTTTCATAAGAGTAACCAACCTAAACGCCATGCCGAACCATCTATCCCAAGCCAGTACCCAAAAAAGTCCAACGAATGCATAAGATCCATGTCAAGCGCGTCAATCATTTCAAGTTGAACTTCTGTCCCTGCACCACAGGCTGATCCTTAGCCGACTTGCCAGCCAGATTCTTCCCACACATCGGACACGCTAGAACCATCAGCAGCCATCACCTCAAACCACCCTTCCCACCCCCAAAGAACAGGAGAACTCACCATTCTTCTGATACGCACACCGCTGACAATACTTCCGCCCCTGCTCGGTCTTGGTCTTGCACATCTCACATGCCGACGAGTACGCCGCGTACGGGTTCTTGGCCTTGGAGCTGAGCAGTTTACTCTAATCCTTCGTCAACCATCATCCAGACAAACGTGACCAAACCATAACAAATAAAATAGAGAGAAAAAAAAACACATACCTTTCCCACCCCCGTATTCCCCAGCGTCGGCTTTTTCGAGCCCGCGCCTGCTCCGCCACCGCCTACGCTCGTCGCGGGCGACCCATAGTACATCTCGCTTTTGCGCTTGACGCCCGGCGTGGCCAGTTCGGTGGACTTGAGTTTCTTCTGACATTTGGAGCAGACCATCTTCGTTTGCGTGGATGCGGGTCTTTATAAGGGAGAGTGTGTATTGTATGTACGGAGTAGATAGTGAGGACGGGGAATGATGATATTGGATAGTTTGGACTGGGTTGGGTTCATTGGGGGTTGATGTCAGTTGGACTTTTGGCCCACGCCACGCGCGTATAATGCACCCTGCGTGGTTGGTCTGTGCAGAGTGCCGGAGCCAGGGTTGGAGATATACAAGGAGATGTGAGGAGAGAATGAGCTTGGGAGTACGGAGTCGATTGGAATTGTTGATTTATTTAGAGTATGAATTATCTATTGTTGCTATTATTTGCAGGGGATATTGCCGTATCATCACGCTGAAGATTGTAGAGTTAGGAACATCCCGAGTCCAACCCAACACAACACATGGTATCATCGAATTACGTATAAAGAGTTCCGCTTGGAAAAAACAACAAAACAAAGAATGTCAACAACATCGAGCGGACTATTTAATCTAGCATCTTGCTCATGCATGTTGGTGGTGCGGATGCACAGGCGCAAAGCTATTGGTCGCCGCGTCGCGTCCATTGTGAAACCCGGCTGCAGAAAATTGCCCGTGGCCACCTACGGGGCTCGAGTACCCGGAGTTTGTCGGCGGCTGAGTTCCTGGAGGAGGGTAGGGCTGGTACGAGGGCATTGGCGGTTGGGTTTGGTACGCGCCTTGAGCAGGCTCCTGTGAATAGAACTGGCAGGCCTTGCACCACTGCGTGCAGCAGAAGAGGATCCCGGAGTATATGCCGACTATGCAGATGAAGCTGACGACCGCGCTTGCGAGATTAAGGTACAGGGGCGGGGAATGGTATTCCATGCTATACATGATCGTTACGATCATTGACTCGAGGGATTGGACGAAAAGGAAGAAGCTTCCCAGGGCGAGGGCGTTGGAGCCAGACTAGGGAGCAAACTGTCAGAGGAGAAAACGTGACGCCACCACAAGACACAAAGTCGGTGCTTACCTTGCTGCTGAATCTGGACTTTGCAATGATGAACATGGTCCACGCAAGGACCTCCAGAGACATGATCCAAGAGAGGATGATGCGCGCTTCGCTCACTTGATTGTACCTCATGTAGAACTCCCGACTGAGGCGGCTGTACAGGCTATTTTGCTTCACAATCATGGTAACGTACATGCCCCAGTTGGCTATCAGGACGATTCCCAACCCCCCCAGCAAGATCCAGTGGACGATCAAGACAGGGTGAAACCGCTTGCCACCGTTTGCGATCCGATCGAGGTATGCCTGAATAATGCGGTAGAAGACGTAGAAGAGGAGCCAGAAGCCGATCATCCAGAAAGCGGTTTGGAGCAGGGACATGACGACATAACTTCGCTTTACCGTGACTTCGCAAAGGTGGAAGAACATCTGAGGAATCAAAAGCATCTCCCAGCTGAGACTATGTTAGCGGGGGATTATCTTCCTCTTCCATCTTGTTTTTGGTGCGCTTGGCGACTAGCTCTTCAAACGTACAGGATATAAATCACGATAGACGTAACAAGAGCCTGCTTGGGAAGCCACTGAGGCAGCGCTCTAGGCTGTCTGATGGCAAAAGTTCCCACAAAGAAGCAAAGCAGCGCGGCGAAGGTGAGGAATTCGAAGACGAGCTGCGCGATGTAATACGACCTGCTTTCATACACGCCGTCCACCGAGAGGGTGATATCCTCGTTCCACAGTGAACCGCCGGACCATCCAGACGAGTGTCGGAGTCTGCGTGGTTCCAACATGTTGTAAGCTCGAACAAATAGTCTTGTGTCAGGATCAGAATATGCGCTGACGCTTAACTGGTGTGTCTGTGACGACCGTAGAACAACAGAACAACAGTAGTACTGAAAACTTCACAGAAGCAACACGGCGAAACTGACTCATTTTGAAGGGTTCAATAAAATGCCAAGCTAGAAAAGTACCCTTTTTTTTCGTGGCGTGCAAGCGTGTCTCATGTGGACAAGCTGAATAGTTGCCCAGGAGGCTCAGACTCACAGATACGAAGTGCCAGGGCGCAGCACACAGGTGATTGGGCGGAAACAGAAGGGCGGAGGGATAGCCGACGCTTGGGCTGGGTCTACTTCTAGTGAATGAGCCTAATGATCTTGGGTTGCTTTTGGTTGAGCTTTGGAGGGTAAACTAGAGAGTCACTAGCACTATACGGAGCAGACTCACTACTTAGTCTAGCAACTAACCTGTTGGGAGTGATCTAGACTATCAATATTTCCTTGATCGAAAATTCTGGCAGTTGATAGTTCGTGTCCCACTCATGCACAAACTGCCACTCCCACTTCTCTTCATCATCCGAGGTCACCACGACTAGCAATGGGCCCTGGAATTCCCCTTGGTACGGGAACGGCCGCGGAGGAGATACAGGTCCAGTGGATGTTCGGTGTCGGAGAGCGGGTTGCAAGAGAGCAACCCAGCGATGTTTTTTGAATAGCGGTGCAATCACAGAGCGAAGCTTGAATAGACTTTTCATATCCATCTTCGAGTTTGCGCCCTCGTTCCAGATTCTGTAGTACGCTTGCAATCGGTTCTCGGCATCCGCGTAGGTATACAGCGAGAACCACATCCCAAGAGCCCTGGAACGGCGGATTGGGCACACGAGCCATTCCGCTTGAAGGCCCTCTGTTGTGATGATACCGGAAACGCTGTTCTGCCCATCATAGGCGGGATATGGCTTTTCATTGGGCGTGCCAGCCGTCGGAGGCAGGAGATTCGGGCGTGCTGGCGCCCAGCTCAATCCTTGAGACTTGATCCGCGGGGCGCTGGACACGAGAAATCCTGTTGCTACCGGCTGTCCCACTGTCGCCTTCCAGAAACCTTCAGCCGTCTTGACGATCTTGTTTGAGCCACAGACAAGGCTCCAGATCATGGTCACATCTCGGTCCTTGGTGGCATGTCTGTGGTTGAGGAGGCAAGTGGCCTGCTCTTTCGTGACAACTTCCTCCGGGACGAACTGGGCATCCTCAGGATGTGTAGGGGTGTAGTATTGAATAGCTAGGCATGGCGATATGAGGGAGAGGTCGCTCTGTAGTACAACGCTGGAGATGACGTCTTTCAGCGATATAATCCGATTATCTTTGCATAAGAGATGGAGCCTCACGCGCCCTCGCAAGCCTTCCAAAAGCGTCCATGCACGGACGTTCCAGTCGCATACGACTAGCGTAGCTAAGATGGCTTCTTGCGCCTGCAGAGTCAGTGGATGGATGTCAATCTCCATAATGTCTCGATCAACAAGCAAAGTGACTTTGCTATTGGAGAAATTATCGTTTATCTGACCAAGCGCCTCGGTCCGGAGCTCGCTGTCGGTTGGGACACAGGGTGAATCCATCCAGTAGGACGTGCAGCCAAGGGTTCGAGCCAATTCAGTGTACCTCCTGTGGAGGCAGATGTTGAACCCAGTCTCAGGTCGCCCTCCTTGCCCGTGACTCCAGACGTGAGACACTGCCATCGTTTCACTGGTCACAGGACGATATCGAATCAGTTTATCATCAGTCTTCTCCGGACAGACTGCTCTCGCTCCTGTTATGTCTTTATACGACTGCTCATCCCAGGTCAAGAAGCTGCAAGTAGGCCCAGGACACTTGACATCGTGAGCAGATTGGATCTGGACGCCCTCGGACTCAAATCTCTGACAGTTGCCAGGCGCTTTGCCATCGCAGACCCTCTGCCTTCCTTGTCCACCAACAAGGTTGCAACGGGCCGCACGGCCACCAAAGTGAATCTCGAATGTCTTGAAAAATTTCCTAAAATCCTGAGTGACCGAGCTGAGATCGGAGCGAAGCAGCTCAAACGCCCATTTGCACATATAGCTCGGTCTTGAGCGCTCAACAACTGCACGCCCCGGCATCGCCAAGGGAGTCAGTCTCGATATGAGATAATTATGTCGTTCAAACTGGTAGCCAATTCTCAACACTCTTGCGCAGTCGTAACCGAACTGTAGCATCACGGTCTGCTGCCACGCCGCCCAGAGAAATGCCTGCACGACGAACCAAGCTTGTGCAGCAGCTTCAGTGGTCGAGCTGCGGTATAACTCTGTTACAGCGTCCAGAAGTCTGACAATGGTATCTGAATAGTCGGAGGTAAGCGCGAATGCAATACTTTGATCCATTGTCAAGTACAAAGCAATGCGAATAACACTCGTGCTTGGTCTCGAAAGCACTCGGAGACTTGCCCACTTGTACCCATCTTGGGGCTCCTCGGATTGCGCCTCATCGGTGGAAGACGTACACAGATATTGAGCCGGCCACGGATTGATTAAACGGGCCTGACCGTTCTTGCTCTCATAGTCGAATTGCAGCTCTGGGGGGTACGAGGGGAGACGGGCTAGGAAGGCGCATGTCTTATCTACAATCTCATCCCTGCTCAGTTTCTTCTTGTGGACCTGAAAGCAGCAGGTCACCAGCGTTGAAAACGCAGCGTCTAGCCGCTCGAGGTGTGAATCCAGATCCGCCTTCTCGGGGTCCAGGAGATCGTATGCCTCCTGACACCACTGTGCGATGCGGGCATTTGTCTTCGTCATGCTTATCTTCTCGTAGTTTCCCGCTTCCCCGGTCTCCCCAAAGTCCATGAACCTCATTTCGATAGGGAGGAGCCCGGACTTGTTCTCAGCTGGCTTGTAGGTAACATCATCGAGAATAGCTGCGACCTGGGCCTTGCTCAGGGTCCAGGAACGTTGTATAGATGATTCTATCATTGTGTATTTTGGACAGCTTTCTGTTTTTTTTTCTTCTCTTTCTTTTCTTTCTCTTTTCTGGACTAGGAGCATATGGATCGGATACAATGGACAGGACCGAATAGAATCTGTAGTAAACAACACAAGTCAGCATCGATAACAGAAGTCAAAAGTTTATATAGGTTAACAGAGTCAGCAGAGGGGCAGCGGCTGTGTCCCGTCATACATTAGCTAGTGAGTTCGTATACGAAGGATTCCAGCACGGCAGCCATCAGCTGAAGACTAAACCAGTAGTGGTCTAACCTGCGAAATGAGGCTGTTGGGGGACGGGTTTAATTCGAAAGGACCCCCCGCACTGGCAGCCCGCAAGGCTGGCTTAAGGCTCAAATGTTTGTTTGTTGCAGGACTGAGCCTTAGACTTATTATTATTATTGATTATTTCCATTGAGCTTTGACGGCTGAAGTTTTTTTCTCCCCCCCCCTTTACTGATTGATTATCTCTCTGCACCATTGATATACAGTACACCTTCGCAGACTGATCCTCACTTTCTTTCTCCTCATGGCTCCAGTTCTTAAGCACTTGTTCTTCCGGCGTGACTTCGACCCGGGGGCTGTAAGCGCTGCTTTCGCGGAAGAATGGTCAAGCCCATCTAATTATGCCTTTACTATCCTTCTCTTGATCGGAGGTGATTTAGTCCATCGCGCTCTCGCCCAGTTGGCTGGGGGTTGGGTTACCCCAGTCGCGTTCTCATTCGGTACGTGTAAGAAAGAAGAGGAGAACAAAAAACTGAGAAGAAAAAGGTGAAGTGGACTTGGCTTACCTTCTTCTCAGGTTGGGTTTCTTATGCGACATCCTCGATCTGTTCGTCGCTCGGCGAGTACAGACTGATGCCCGACGCCGACACTCCCTGCAGCGTGATCAACGGCAAGAATGGGTATGTCCGAGGAAACAACTCCTGGGTCCTTGGGCGAATGATGCGAGACTACGAGTACTGGATGGGGAGAGCAGTTCAAGAGAAAACAGAGTCTCTGATCCAGGCTCGCTGGAAATTCGACCAACAGCGTGAGGAGAGAGAAGCCCCCGGATCGGGCTCCCAAGTGCCTCGTCCTTCCCAGGCCGGGTTAGTGGTCAGTTTCTGGCAGCCAAGCACCAAGATACCGCACGGCGAGCCCGGCCACGATCTGCTCCATTGGTCGGGTCTCATCGTCACGGTGCTCCAGCTGGGAATCGCCGCTATCCCATTGGGCCTTAGCGGCGACTGGGGCATCCTGATGATCACCGCGGCGGCCATCATTCTGTGCTACACTACCGGGGCGCTGACGCAGTGGAAGGTCGAGAAATGGGCCTGTCGCCGCCTGAACATGCGGGAGAAGAAGAACTTTATCCTGACGCGTGGGAACGGGTCCCAGCATGCAATCGCCATCATCAGCGGCGGCCACGGGCTGGACCTTGAGGACCTGGCAACAGGGTTTGCGAAGATTGACAGCCCAACGATCACCGTCTTCGCGCAGCTCGCCACTATTGGCCTAGGGATCATGTGGGTTGCGCTCCTGATTACGGCATCCGCTCTACAGGAGAATTCATGGTACTTGATTGCCGTTGGGGGTATAGGAATGCTGCAGAATATCTTCGTCGCAGGCTGGAAGCGGACACCCAGTGCATACGGCGTCCCGCTGGAGTTTATCGATGTCGTGGGCGAAGTCAAAGTCATGCAGACTCTGATGGAAGTGGAAAGGAGATATGAGAAGCTGGGGAAGAGCCTACTAGGCACATTCTTCCCAGGCGACCTACGGGAAAATGAAGTGAAAGAGTGGGAGGCCATCGCACAGGAGTGGAGGGAGAAGAAGTCCGCGACTGTCAAGACTGATCGCTGAACCGCGGAGCATTTTTTTTTAATCTCTCCTGCATTAGCATACTGTATATGTGCCATTCTAGGCTATTCTTTGTGATCTGTCTAGGAGCATTCTCGCATTAGCCCGGCGCTTTATTCTGTTGATAGGTATCAGGTGAAATGAGAAGCATGAATATATGAGTCAACCTTTCAAGAGTGTTCGTGTCCTTCAGCGTCTCGACATGATGCAGATAATATGTATTCTTCCTGCGAGTCTCCTTTAGTACCTCCGTGTTCGCTGTTTGTCATGGGACAAGAAACGTGGGAAGACAATGGATTGTTGCGAGCACCAATCCTGATGTTACACAAGATCAACGTCTAAAGCGCTCATCGCCCAACCGACATGAAACGTTTTTGTTCATTTTTAACATTCAATATGACCCAATTGTATATATATGTCTGTCTAATGGCATGCAGTATATATGGATAAACTCCCAGTAGGTCGTGACTCGGGGTTTTCGAACACAAAAGGCAGTTGCAGCATGATCAAGGAGACGCGCCTTCAATCCAAGGTATATCATTCATCTCCAAAAAACGCTTATGCTCCCGGCGTAGCGCTTTAGGGTCGTTCTCCTCGAACCAAAACGCCCACGTGCTCCGCGTATTGATCTCCAGATTATCGCGACTCGACCGAATACCCACGTGCTGGACCTGGGGCGGTGCCAGCGCGAAGCGACGCAGTTTATGTTCATCGGCATAGTCCTCGATCATGGAGTCCGTCTGCCCACCCTTCCGATCGCGCAGGTATTTGACCAAACCCGGCACCTGGGTCCGTGGAAACACCATCGCCTGGGTACAGCAGCCGTGCTTGTTCATTTCCACGACGCCGCGCATGGGGCTGATGTTGTACTTCCCGATCATGAACACGAGACCGGTAAATGCGGGAATGGTAATGGCGCAGACCACGGCGATGGTTAGGATGTCCAGGTGGCGGCGGGCGGCGGTCCATACGCGCCGGGCCAGCATGAGGACACCGAAGGCCGTGCTCATTGTAAGGAGAAATACGAAGCCTATATGGCGGTAGGCGAAGTCGTCATTGGTCCAGCTCAGGGCGGTTTCCGTGTAGAAGAGGCGCATATAGATCCAATTCGGGACCCTCTGTTGTTTGTCGATACTGTAGATTCCCTTGAGCGTTTTCGCTAGCCATCCATCAGCAAAGATGATATCGTCCTCAAAGACTCCGATGTATGGGGCGTTCGTATTATAACATTCGTCAAGGACATGTGTGTAATCACTACCGAAGTACACGACGGTCAGTGATCTTGATCATTCAACAAAAGGGAGAGAGAACGGGAAAAAGAGGAGAAGAAGAAACTCACTATACTCCTTTCTCGTAATAGTTACGGCTCTCTTCAAGCGCCTGGAGTCGCTCAAAATCTTCCTTAGAGACATTATACGAAGACGCTGAATCCATAAGCCGATCCATCCACAATTGACCCCAGCTAGGGTGCAATTCAGGTTTTGTGTTGGCAAACAACACTCTGACTTGAAAGGCACGGCGCTCTCGCTCGTCGAGGCCGCTGAGGAGAGAGCCGATGGAGGCGTCGAAGTAGTTCACCTGATCCCGCTTTACGGTCACAAAAGCGAGACACAATATAGGGTCCGAAGAGCCGACCGCGCTCTTCGGGGGTTCGACCCGGGCATTATACGCAGATATATATTGAAGTGCTTCATGTTCTCGGAAAAGACTGTATTTGAGATCGTAGACGTTGGTTTCATCGAAGAAGGCCGAGTGAGGATCGCGCCAATACTGGAGTCTACAGTACTCAAAAGCGATGCTGTACAGAAGCAGAGAGACCAAGAGTACTCTACCTGCTAGAGAGGTGATCAAGAAGTAGAATAAGCGCTGTATATACACCAGCAAGCTGGCTAGAGATAGTTTCATGTTGTCATGTTCATATTATTGCCGAAGAGAATAGGAATAGGGACTGAAAGGATTTCCAATTTTCTCATGGGCTCATCAGAACCTTTATTAATAATAGCCCAGCAGTTCTTACCCCTGCTAGTGTTGAATTAGCAGGGCCAATAAATTCCAGCTGTGAGGCCATTAGAGCAGCTATTTAGTCTGGAGACTAGATTGCATTATTAGGATGTGTTCAGACTACAAGACAAATGATAGGCTAGGGCCTAGGGACTTCTTCTACGGAGTACTGTGTATCACTCCATAACTTTCAGGACCCAGCTGATTAATAATCAAGATAACTAAGTCAATGAATGCCTTCACATGACCAGGCATGGCATAAGGTGGTGGCCAGAGAAGTATGGAATTTTGATTTGATCATACTGGGTGTCTCAGTGATAGCATTATTATTGACAACTTGTTTTCTGCCAAGGATTGTGCTTCAGCCGTAGACCATGCTTATTATTATGAATTCCCTTATTCATCAGTACCCTGAAGTTCAAGAGTCAAGACATTGGCGGGCTTTCCCGCAGGCATATCTGTCAAGAAGATATTGACCAGAGCCAACATGGATCTCACAGGCTAGCAAGCAAAAATACAGAGTCTCAAGGCTCAGAAAAGTTCGCTAGGATTATTGTGCAGAGGTGGTCTGTTGACCTTCCCCCAAGCCCAACCCTTTCCAACAGGGAGTGACCTACGGAGCACATGGTTGTTTGACATGTTCTCACCTCACCACATACTACCAGTCTACCAGAATGTTATATGCGCACTAGAGAGTTAGCTAGCAAGTATGGAGTATGGACTTTTAGGACCAGTTCCAGCTTTCTGCTTACTGTCATTCCATAATAATGAAATTGTTTGTTATGTTTCCCGGAGGAGACTCATGGACTGATCATATTCTGACTCTAGATGCCATCTTCAAGCCAAGTGCAAGATAACATCTCCTCAACTATATTATCCTTCGGAAAGAATCGCACAAAAAAACTTGACCCCAAGAGATCCTCAATTCCTACTGCTGCCTGCTTGATTGACTATTTCCCAACGGCCCAATTGGTTTAGGTACCTATTCGGTACGCTCTAGGTACCTTAATACCTTGTAACGCTTTACAGAAAGCAACACATGGTATGACGGTTCGTTCAGTCTATCAGAAAACCCTTACTCATCCAGCTAACTTCATCAGATCGACCGGCCCGACTCCGCAGTTGATCTAGCATGGATGGTGGTTAGATCCGCTTCGTATGAATGGCTGCGTTTCACACATCCTCTACTATATTACCGCGTTGGTTGGAGTTCCGGCAAGTTCGGCACGATCTGTCCTCTGTTGCTATCTGGAAAATCACCCCGACTCAGTGTTTAGAGCCAGTATATGCGAGAATAAGTGAGTTCCTGTCATGGTGTCAAGTCGACAGGGTACCTAAGACTGGTCTGTTTCAGGTTGCTAGGATCACATATTGGTAATCATATCTATCAAGGTAGTCTTTCCTCCGGATATTAAACGACAGAGTCATTTTTAATTTCATGCATTCAAGGTTAATGATGGATCCTGTCTCCCCCTCCAAAGATTTGAATACGTACTCTGTACTGGTATTAAGTGTGGGCATCACATTCCCGAATTCTTGATACAAACAGTTCCTAGCCTAGCATATTCTCCTCACTTTCTAGCTCTCTACATGAACTACTGTTTAAGATAGGTAAAGGCAAGACCTGAAAAGAAATTATCATGTCAGGTCGTCCATGCATATAAAAGTTTGGATCCTCTGACAGTAAAATATACATCTCTAGGTCAACTGGATTCAGCCCGCATATTACAGAGCAAACAGGAAGTACTTGACTGACCATAACACTAATTCACAGTCAAATTATCTTGCTGCAATCTTATGGTGGACAGCCGCTATAGAGGTAGTATCAGACTGGATAGGGTACTGCTGGGATATACGTCTTTCAGCACAACAATACAATGGCGTTACTAGATCGACCATGGGGTTGAACGGTTTAACCAAGCATCAATCTAAGATCGTTTTTAATTAAGTGGACCGGAGTTCTCCGTAAATAAGCCCTGCTAAGGCGGCCATCTTGAGTCTGGCTACAGAGTAGACTCAACATGATAGCCTCCTACTGGTCTCTAGACTGTCTAGACATGAGTTTCTCATTTGTGACTTGTAGTACGGCCAATCTCTCTATGAGGTATTAGGTTGAACCTCGTCCCTGTCGTCGACAGAGAGCGTAGGGGTCTCCAGGGCCTAGGTAGTGCGCTATGTACTTTTGTCATGGCCATATGGGTCTATCTGAGATGTTGGATTATGAGCTTGGACGGAGCCCACTTAATCACTATTATAGATTAACTAGCCGCCAGTCAATAATCTCACGTCACCTTCGCTAAGCAGGCAAGTCATGTATCCTCAATCGGTATGGACTTCACACAAGATCGTACCATAACAATCTGACTGCAGCCTACAGGATAGTTTGAGGGGGCGGGCATATATCGGTAGACATGGAGCCAGGTTGACCGTCCCGAGAGTCCCAAGAAGCATCTTGAGAGAGAATGAAAGAGCCCCTACCCACAAGGTGAGGGGTCTACTATGAGCAGCTAGTTGAGGGGCCAAAATGAATCATTTATCCAAGAGCAACCCGGGCAAGTTGATTCAAGCGCATATTAGCAAGCTGGATCTGGTTAAACTCCAGGGGCGAATCGATCAGATCGATTCCACAGGCCTCGAAGGCCGCGCCATGTATATGAGCTCATTGGCAGTCACTGCTGTACCTGCACTGAAGCTCAGCACATTTTGAAGTTGAGCAAAGGTACTTTCTGTTAATGGTCACAACGTGCTCCTGTCAATGCAACCCAAGGTACAACGGCAGGGGTTGGCTCAAGGTGTATATCAGAGGCCATTGAGACATCTCTACCTTTTTTTGGAAAGAATGGCAACGTAGCATTACAGATGGGCCTCGAAACATGCATGGCTATATATCCCTGCAAGCTATCAGCGTAGCCGCGCTTCGTACTAGACAACGACCTGGACAGGGACATCCAAGATCAGTTTAGCAACGAGTAGCCTCTGAGCATACGCTGTTTACCTTCTCCACTTCCTGACCAGGGTTTGTATATCGCGCACCGCCATAGGGAGTCACAGAGTGATCGGAAGCATTGTAATATAATTCGAAACCCACGGGATATCTAGATAGGTACCCATTGGACGTGGGCCTTACGGAGTCATTGCATACCGTACCAACATTGACGGTGAATGATGATAGGCAGAGCTCACCGTGTACGGAGGAGAGATGAATGCAACAAGCCGTGGACAGTAGAAGAGACGTCTGTCAGAAGCCACGGATTCAGGTATAAATAGGCCAGTCGCTCCCGACTCAATCTCTCGAATCAACCAAATCAAAGCAAACCTCAAGCTCAAGTGAAAAACAGAACGTTCTCTCAAGTCTCTAGACACACAATCTACTTGAACCAGGTCGACACCATGTTTGGCAAGATTTCCATCCCTCTCATTGCTCTCTTTGGTCTTCTGGTACATCTCTATTGTCTTATTCTCTCTCGCAATCCTCGTTGGCAGAAACACTAACTTGCTCCTCAGGCCAAAGCCACCGAGTCTGGCATTCCGGGCTACAACATCGTTGACATAGAATGGGACGTGCAAACGACTGCCGGGGGCCCTACGGTCAAGGCGAAGGGCACTGTCCAAGATGTCTATGCCCAGCTCAAAGACATCAATCCTGAATTTGAAAACGAGTTTCCTCCCGTCAATAGTACGGACTCCTCTGTGCATGTGGTGGATCGTTATACCGTACAGAGCCACTTCTGCCAGGGTCGGTGGTCCGGGTGTAGCTGGTCGCGTATCCAGCAGGGCATCAGCTATCTGAACGGTGTGCCTGGACGTCCGGTATTATCCCTCCCCTCTCCTATCCAGAGGTTTCCCAAGGAAGTCTGCTTCTGTACTAACGCATCATCATAGTCCAATGGGCCGGGCCCCGGCAATTGCGGCCGTGTAAGCTGTTCTTATAACTCTGCCATTTACTGGTGCAATGACGTGAGTACTTTTATTGCACCTTGTTAACCTATGATTGAGTGTGAGCGGGTGTCTGATCATAGCTGCGGTTACAGAACAATTACCAATACACACTCAATGGATTCTATGACATTGCAAGTGGTGCGAACTACATCGGGCAAACTTGTCTCATCAACAGCGATACAACCTCTGGCCAGATCTTCTACACTGATAATTGGAATGTGGTTGTGAGAGGTGACAGCTGCTAGATTCCTTCATGGGTCAGGTACCTATATTGGTAGGCTCTTTGAGTGATGACCCACGGCAATCCTTATGATTGTAACCGTCGGGGCTGGGAAGAAGGGGAACAGGTAGGATGGCAGGACCTCTGGGCTATCATAAGTTTCTTATCATCACCCTAGTTGGTTATCTGGCTATTTTCTATGTGAATCTTAGAACCTGATAGAAAGCAAGTAGTTTCATGAGAAACTGTCTAGCATGAAACCTGGTAGTATTATTTTGAACATGACTAGCTGGTCCTGATCTTCAAAATCAAGCTTAATAAATGCTCTGAAGGGAATTCAGAGCGGAAGTATTTACTCGAGAGAAATTGAACATAAGTTCACTGGTTATGAAAACCAAGTAAGTACTTAACACCCTAGCTAGATATATGAGAGATTAGATAAGAAGCAGTCAGATTCAGAATGGGTGCAAGCCTACACAGTATGGTCTGTATGTAAGTCTTGCGTCTGATATAGGATAGTTTTGTTGCACACTCGCCACTCAACTAGAAAGGTGTCCAGACATCATGATATATGTGGTTGTTGACATATAGCTACTGCCAAATACGAGAAATTCTCACTCGAGGGGACATCGCGATCACACTGATTCAAAGGTGCATATTGTGCAAAATCCATCACACTCCAATGATCTTGAGAGGTTTGGAGTGTGGACAACATGAGACAGACTGAACAAGCCACAGGACAGACTCTTGGCAATGGCTGTGCTCTGGTGACTATGACGAAGGCATCACTCTAGGGAGCATTGAAGGATCAAAACCTCCCGGAAGATGTGGCGTAAATGAAGAGTTATAAGCTATCATGCTGGTTTCAGCTCTTCATGGATGGAAGAATGATGCCATCGCGAACTCCGAGTGGAAGCAGGGCGAGTTGGCAGTGGCGAAGAAATAAATAGAGAACTAGAGCCCTCCACCCTGGGGTGTATTATTCTTCTCCGACATATCTCCTTCTCCGCTCCCTCAGCTTGTCTTGTCTAACTCCATCAAACTAGACCAATCCCAGATCCAAAACTCCGTGGTCTGTTTTACCTTATTTCAGCTGTTCGGGTTCATTCACACTTCGGAGATGATCTTTTCTCTCCACAGCGATCGACTGACTGACTGTTTGTTGTTCTTCTGAAAATAATGCAGGTTGACCCGCCACTTGTGAACTGGTCTGCAGCTACAATCGAATGGCAAATCAGTATCCAGTGAGAACACACTTATTCTGAGGACTGAAGGATATTCTAGGCTTGGATGGATGGATGAAGATCAGAAACCTGAAAAAAAGGAACCTGTTACGCGACATGAACGGGGTAAAATCCAGAATGTCAGTTCAACAAGGCAGTGTTTCCCAGCTTAGCGGTTCGTCCGCCTGCGATAATCTCCTGAACTGCCTGCTCGGCTTAAGGGGGCGAAAAAAAACAAACTATCCTTCTTGAATCTATAAATCTGTCCATCTTTGCCTATCAATGATGATGATGATGATGATGATGATGATGATGTGATAACTCCTTTCCTACCATTTCCATCAGCTGCCATCGGAGCCGTGCAAGTTATACTTGTCCTTGGCTGCTTTGGAGGTCCTCACTCGAATTTCGGCTACTGCGTTTGTCTTTGCATCCAACTCGGACTCCTTGCTCCAAGTTCATCTGGTGCCGTTGAGTTCGCAACGTCCGACTGATCTTGCTGATTTTTGGCCTCAATTGACACCTAGGTGGTCAACTTCGCTGGAATTGCTTTTTTCTCTTCCTCTCGAAAGGCTTCTTTTCTTTTTCTAGCTTGATTGCTTTCTTGTGTGTCCGGGTTTCCGCTCCGTTGGTGCTCGTTGTTCACCCTTGATCCAGATTTTGCCTCTTGCAATCTCCTCTTGGGGTCCTTGGCCCGCATCAGACAGCGGCATTGCGACCCCGTGGAAAGAAAGGTATAGCTCCCTTGCTTCTTGTTTTGGTAGAAACCCGGTTTCCGCCTCGTCAATTTCTCCCCATTCCCTTTCCTGTGTCCTCTCTCTCTCTCTCTCTCTCTCCCCTCTCCATCTATCTCCATAACCCGGAACTGATCTCAGGACAAGAACTGTTCGGCGACTTACCGTACATAGTTGTAACGACGAGACCGCCAGGTGACAACTGTGGACTTTTAGCCTTCGACAAATCTTCGGGAAACATAGGGTCGAAGTAGTAGCTAGCTGGACTCGAACGTTGTTTGGCTGATCGGCCAGCTCGAAGACAATGCCTCCTCATGGATCCTCATTCACAGCGTTGAATTTGCCTGCAACATTCGCATTGCCGCAATGCATGGAATACTTTACTCTCACCGCCGGCCCGAACACTGACCTCTGGCGCAAGCCGCCCAATGGCGACACTGCTACAGCGCCGATTGTGTTTACTTCGTTACGGAATCCATTCGTCGTAGCAGAAGTCACGGTCAGTGCGGATTGGGAGATGGAATTTGACCAGGGCGGGATCGTGGTCTTCGCCGGAGCTGCACCCCAGTCATTTTCTTCGGAAAGTACGCCACTTTCATCGGGGACGCCGTTGAATCTTCATGGCATGTCTCAGCCACCGCGGCCTTGCAAATGGGTCAAAGCCGGCATGGAATTCTGCTCAGGAACCGTGAATGCTTCCTCGGTCAGTGCCACAGCCGACGGGGCTGACTGGTGTGTGTCGCCACTCTGCCTGCCTGACAGCGGACCGATGACCGTGCACTCTCTACGCATCAAGCTGGAGCGGGTGGGCCATTCACTTCTGGTATGGTATCAGATCCCATCCCTGTCCCCATTTGCCACGACGCCGGGTGCGGTGGGTAGCACGTGGAAGAAGCTGCGAGAAGTGACATGGTTCTTCTACGGGGTTGAGGACAAGTTTGTTCACGTGGGGGTATATGCGAGTCGTCCGGCCAACATCTCGCGCAGCAGCACCATGTGGGAGATGATGAACGGGCCGATGATGAGTAGTAGTGCCATAGATGGGCATGATGAAGGTCTGGTGGTGGAATTTGAGGATCTGGAGATTTACTGATGGAGTTCATACCTTTTTCTTCTTTTCTTTTCTTTCTTTCTTTCGTCATCCTCTGTTCTCCCCAGTCTATCACCGAATTATCTCTGGTTGGCATTGAGGGTTGTCGTACTTTCGGTGTGCCTGACAGGGGTACCGACGGCGGGTCAACAATGCGGCGTCATGTTTGGATTGATTCATTAACTTCTGTTCGCTTCAGCGATTCTGCCTGATTGACTGTTTTTTTTTTTTTTTTTTTTTTTTTTTTTTTTTTCATACCGAGTCTGAGTTTGTTGGATTCTGGCTCCCATTATGATTGCATTGTTTGAGGAGGAGAGGGCGAGGATATTGATCGCCAGAGGGAACATACATCTTATTTGATCTCTACAGATACTTTGGCTTTGGAAAATCTAGAGGAATGATACCCGAGGTTTGAATAGCCGGCTGCACACATCCCAAATACTGATCTCCTCTGTTGTCATCTGAGGCCAAGTATGGAAGCCAGTCAAGTGAGCATCACCTGACACTGTCGACTATTGGGGATGGACGACTAAAATAGAAACACGACAGCGGCGACCACAGCATTGATCATCTGAGATTTGGCACAAGGAGTGTCTGGCTCCCTACTCCGTATTATTAACATTGGTACTTGGTGCTGTAACTCTTAAGGCGAGAATTTTCAGACCAGAATCACCAGATAGACTTTCGCACAGCGACCGATTGAGTAGCCTGCATATCGAAGTTGAGCTTGGGCACCGTTGAGTCAGACCTACTACGGTGTCGGTTGGCCGGATAGCCGAGGAAGACATTCCGTGGCTCGTGAATCTACCTAGTAACTATCTACAAGTCTGTACTCCGTAGCCAACTAGTTACCCTAACCATCGACGACACTATCCGTACTCCATACTCGACAGATATTGTTTGAGAACGAAGCAAAAATAGAACGAAAAGGAGAAAGGGGAGGGGAGGACAAAAAAAAAAAAAAAAAAAAGAGGAGTGGATTGTGAAGCCCCTTTATTCGTAGCATCATAGGACATAGCATGTATGTACGCCGTACATCATCCGGAATTTGAGCTGCATCGAGTCCAGTAGTTATCCATCTACTACTGTATCGTTATCGTGAGGGTTTCGATCGCGACTGGGCGAAAATGATACCTACATACATACATACATACATACATATGCAGACTGTACGTACTTCGAGCCGCATTGCATATCCTCAAAATTTGTCGTGCGAACCATAGGTGGGTTAGTTAATTAGTTAGGATTTTGGCTACCTATCTTCGATCTACCAGGTCACCCTGAACCAGGGGATGTTCCATGTATCCAGATCCAGGGTCTGGGATCAGAGGGAATAGGAAATATCTCATGATGGCATCGGAAACCGAAGAAGAATCGGACTGGGGAATATTAATCACGGGGATCCATATTATCTATTTCGTATGAGTATTGTTATATTATAGACTAGACTACTGGATGACTAGCAGGAGGAAATGGGCTTATGGGACTTATATGGCGCCACTATGGAGTCCTGCGACGGAGCGTTCAATTACCGTATCTGTGTTATGTAGTGAGGACTTGGGAGTTGGACTAATATCCACTCTTCCTCCTTTTTTTTCCCCTTCTCCCTGAATGCGCATTGCAGAAATTTTCCTGTTTGACTGGGTCTTGCATAGCATGTTCTACAGTAGTGGAAGTTTGTTTGGACGGAGGGAGGTCTGCTGAGATGCTGAAAATGGCTGACAGCAACCAGATAGTCATCTAGTCTAGTCTTAAGCAGACGGAACCTTCAGTTGCTGATGTTGATATTGATGACAATGCTGCTCTGTTTTTACTGTTAGTCAGGATTTGGATCGTCGCAAGGAAATGCTGTGGATGTGATTGGCAGGCGGGACAGCGCCAACTCACCGCATTTTGCAGTTCTGGCGCCAGTCGCGACACTTTCTTCCATTTTATTGGGATGTTATGATATTCTCATTTGCTGCCTGTCGGAGGATCGGCGCGGATTGACTCTATCAGATTTGAGAGCTTCCTGTAGTTACTGGAGGCTGGTGCTGTTCGCCTTGCTCGGTGCATACCTTGTTTGACTTACAGAGTACAGGATGCAGGTAAAACATACCTACAGGCTACAGTGGAGGTAGAGTAGAGTGCCCTGTAGACTGGATTGAAGTCAAAGTAGCTGATCCTCCATCTTCCATCCTCTGCTCTCCGTCCTCCACCATCATCACCTTGGACTCTTCGTCGTACAAACAACAGCGGGGCCTACCTACTCCGTAGTATCTTGTAGACTAGATACTTACACGGAGTAGTTCATATCTAGTAGTAGTGATCACTGTGACAACTGCTCTGCTGCCCCGCTAACTAAACGGCCATACTAACTGAATTTCCTCTAGTGATGCCTGAGGCGTGGAGCTTGTATTCGTCAGTTTTGCGTGGGGACCGCATCTTCCGTTAATTTTTTTTTTTTTTTTTTTTTTTTTTTTTCTCTTTGCATCACCTGCTCTCAGTCTATCGAGTTCACAAAAGTAGTCCGAGTACTTCCTCCATAGCAGATAATTTACCCCCTCCCAGCTACACTACCTACTAGACTCTTCACTCTACTCTCTCCCATTGTTTGTTTGCACCTTGCACGGTAGATACCATCTTCCCTGAAATCCTCCCCTTATCGGACCAATCTACGTTGGACCGGTACTACCTTAGTCTTTTACCCCTCCGACAATACCTCTCACTAGACCTCTTCACCTTCCCATCTGCTTCCCATCACCATCTCAGCATCTTTGTATAATATTCTTCCCCTATCGTATTCGAGGGGTTGTTCTGATCAATTGCGAAGGAGTCGGATCCCCGAGTCCTCTTTTTTCCTCAGCCCATTTGACCTCCGCATCTCGTCTCATTTTTCTCCGTCTTTTCCCTTTCTCGCCCTTTTTTTTTTCTTCCTTGTTTGTTTTTTTGTGATACCTAACGACTTACGACTTTTATGACCATAATGGCTCCCACTACTGGAGAGACCGTGACCATTGCCATCCGGCGTCCCACCGAGACCCCCGCCATCTTCGTTGCTGGCTCCTTCTCCGATCCCAAATGGGAGCCCCTGGAGCTCAGCGTGAAACCCTTAGAGCACAAGGACGCTGACGGCAAAGCTACCACCGAATATCTCTTCTCCAGAGACGTGGAGTTGCCCGAGGGGCAGTTCCAGTATCGCTTCCGCGAAGGTTCCGACGGCCCGTGGTTCCACGATGAAGCAGTAAAGCATGGTACGAAGTCTATGATATTCTGGCAAATGATGGATCGTGTTCAGCAGACTAATCGATGGCCCGTGATGTATAGCTGCTGATGACGAAGGCGTGGTTAACAATATCCTCACTGTGAGCTCGAGCCCTTCCACGACGGCTACGCCGGTTGTTCGGGGAGATAAGGCTGTCAAGGAGGAAAGTGAGACCCCCGCTGTGAATGGCGTCAGTGATAAAGTGGAGGAATCCGAATCCTCGAAGGAGCCCGAGGTGACATCTACATCAAAGGCTGAGACGGTAGCGGATGAGGAGCAGAAGCAGAGCGAGGTCCCATCGACTACGGAGAAAGACCTGCCTGCTGAATCTGAATCGGCTGTGAAAGAAGAGAAGGAGTCGGTGCCGGAGCCGTCGAAAGACACAGACGCCAAAGATGACGCTAAAGCAGAGCCTGCCACCGAATCCACTGCTCAACCCGAAACCAACGGGACAGAATCTACGGAGCAGCCATCGGAAACGAAAAATGACACTCCAGAAGCGGAGAAGGCGGAGACAGTAAAGGAGACAGCTGTTGAAGCTCCCGTGGAAGCGGTCAAGGACGAGGCACCCAAGGCTCAAGAAACTCCCGACACATCCGCCGAGGCTGAGAGGGCGACAGTAGAGGAGGAGGTGAATATCGGGGATAAAAAGAAGCAGGAAGCTTCGGAGTCGGTTGTCAGCGTGGCTGAAGAGAAGCCAGAAGCCACCAAGGACGCGGAAGAGCCAGCCTCGACTGCGGAAAAGTCTTTTGCGGAAGTTGCTGCAGCTGAACCGGTGACGGAAGATGCATCTGTTGCCGAATGCGCCCCCGAAGAGTCCTCTGCCACTGAATCAGCAACCGAAGCAGTTCTTACTGAGGCACCAGTCACTGAGCAGCCTTCCGAGATCACCGAGGAAGCCAAGCCCGCTGTTCAAGAGTCTCTAGAGCAGAAGGAATCTGAGAGCGCTGAGGCTGAACAGCCAACACAGGAAACCGCCGAAGAAAAGACGATCATCGAGCCCAATGAAGCCCCCACTGCTGAAGTCTCGGCTAACGAAGCTGTTGTCGAAGAGCCCGCTAAGGAAATTACCCCTGAAGTGGTTATTGAGGATTCTAAGAAGGAACTTGACGGAGTGGCGCCTGCCGTAGATGAAAAGCCAGCTGAGAAGGTCGAAGAGACCATCGCTGTTGCTAAGGAGGAGCCCGCTGCCGACGAATCCGCCAAGGAACCCGTCAGCGAAGAAGCTTCGAATCAAGAGACCCCAGCTGAAAATCCTGCAGCTGAGACCTCGACTGAGGAAGTCGCTGCTCAAGAACCTGAAGTGGAGGCCGAGAAGCCAGCCACTGCTGCGGAGTCTGCTAAAGAGCCTATCAATGATGAGCCTGACGTTCAGGCCGTTCCTAATGAAGAGTCCACCAAGGAGACCAGCGCTGAAGTGGTAATCGATAAGGAACCTAAAGCGGAGACGACTGAAGAGCCTGTCCAAGAAGTCATCGCCAAGGGAGTTGAAGCACCCGTGGTCGAGCCCACAGCCACCGAGGAGCCAAGCAAAGAGCCCATTCTCGAAGAGATAACACCTGAGGCACCTTCGAAGGAGGCTACCACCGAAGCGACGACCGATAAGGAGCCTGAAGTGCCCGCTACTGAAGCGGCCATTGTGACGGAGGTTGAGGCGCCAGTGGTGGAACTTGCTGCTACCGAGAAGCTTGATGATGAGCCGAAACCCGAGGAATCAAAGCCCGAGACCCTCACTGCCGAGGAGCCTTCTAAGGAAGCCACCCCTGAAGTGACGACGGACAAGGAGGCTGAAGCGCCAGTCGAAGAGCCTACCGCTGCCGAGGAGCTTGACAACAAGGCAGAACCTGAGGAGAACAAGGTCGAGACTCTGCCCACCGAGGAAGTTTCCAAGGACACGACAGCCGAAGTAACAGCTGCTGAGGAACCTGAGGCGCAGGCAGCAGAAGCACCCGCTGTTGAAGAGACACCCAAGCTGGCTGAGGCACCAGTGGAAGAGCCTGCTGTTACTGAAGAACCTGCCAAGGAGACTGTTGCCGAGGAGAGCACAGCTCAACCTGTTTCTGAGAAGGAGCCTTCCAAGGAAACCACAGCCGAAGTAACCGCGGATAAGGAGCCTGAGGTCCAAGCAGCGGAAGAACCTGCTGTCGAAGAAACTCCCAAGGAGGCCGAGGCGCACCTAGAAGAGCCTGCAAAGGAGGAGGCCGTCCTCGAGGAGACCACGGCTGAGAAGGAGCCCTCCAAGGAAGCAGCAGCTGAGGTGACCACAGAGAAGGAGCCTGAAGTCCAAGCATCGGAAGAGTCTGCTCCTGAAGAGACGGCCAAGGAGTCTGAGGCCCAGGTGGAGGAGTCTGCTAAGGCGCCCGTTGTTGAGGAAACCACCGCTGAGCCCGTTCCTGAAGAGGAAGCTGCGAAGGAGGCGACTGAGGAGACAAAGGAGCCTACTGTTGCCGAAGTACACGTCGAAGAGCCTACTGAAGCCGTTCTTACGACTGAGGATGTGGCCGAAGACAAGAACGCCCCCCAGGAGCCCGTTGTCGAGGAGCCCTCCAAGCCTTCCGAAGTGACGGAAGCCGAGGCTCCCAAGGCTCTCGCCGAGGAGCCTACAATTGAAGCTGCTCCTTCCAGTGAACCTCAGGTGGAAGCGCCCAAGGTCGAGGAGTCTGCAGCCAAGGAGCAATCCGTTGAGGAGCCCGCAAAGGAAGCCGAAGTTGAAGCCGATGAGGAGAAGACCCCCGATTCCAAGGAGGAGGCCCCTGCCGCCGCCGAAGTACCAGAGGCTAAGGTTGTTGAGGAGGCTGTCCCTGAAACCGCTTCTGATTCCGTGCAGAAGGAAGCTGTAGTTGAAGAGCCTGCTACAGCCGAACCCGTCTCCGAAGCTATCTCTGCAGTACCCGTTCTAGAGACTAATGCCACCGAAAAGAAGGTAACCGAAGAGCCCGCCAGTGAACTCGCTGAAGCATCTACGACACAAGAGCCAGCTCCTGAGGTTGCGACTGTGGAGGCACACGCACTGCAGGAAGAGGTCGTTGAAGAGTCTACTTCTGCAGACAAGTCGGAAGCGCCTGCGAATGAGTCTTCTCTTTGCAAGGATTGTCCCCCTGAGGATCGCGCTGTGGAGGAGCCCGCTACCAAGGAATCCAGCAAGGAGCCTGTCACCGAATCCACCCCTGCTGAACCAAACGTTGAAGAATCAACTGCAGTAGAAGAAGCCGAACCCGAGGTTGCCAAGGAATCGGAAGCCCCGGCTCCTGTTGCAGAAGAATCGGTTGAGGTTGTTGTTCCTGAGGAACCGGCTGAGAAGGAGCCCAGCGAGGAGGCAACTCCCAAGGAGGTCTCCACAGAGGAATCTACTCCCTCCAAGTCCGTCATTGAAGAACCGGTTGCTGAACATCACGTTAGCGAGGTTACCGAACCCGTCGAGAAAAAGTCTGACGTCGCGGATCCTGTTGAGAATGGAATCGTTGAGGGAACGACCAAAGAGCAGCCGGAGGAGACCTTGGTGGAGCAGGAAACCCCCAAGGAATCCATTGTTGAGGAGGTTGTGGTTGAAGCACCAAAGCTGGATACCACTGCCACCGAAGCAGTTGCCGAGACTCCCGCTGTTGACGAACCGGTCGTCAATGATGAAACCGAGAAGGAGCCCGCTAAGGAGGCTGTTGTTGAGGAGCAAAGCACCAAAGAACCTGCCGCAGAGGAACCCATCGCTGAGGCAGCTGCCGTGGAGGAACCAGTGGCCGAGAAGCAAGTTGAAGCCCCCGCTGTGGTTGAGCACGTCCAAGAGGAGGAGAAACCCGTCGAGAAACCTGTGGCGGTTGTTGAGCCACAAGAGGAAGTCGCAGCCGAGCCGGCTGTCACTCAGGATCTTGCCGAAGACCCCGTCGTCGTCGATGAAGTTGCCAAGGCCGTTGAGGAAACAGTCGCTGCCGAGCCTGTCACTGAGCCTGTCACTGAGCCTGTCACTGAGCCTGTCACTGAGCCTGTCACTGAGCCTGTCACTGAGCCTGTCACTGAGCCTGTTGCTGAGCCAGTTGCTGAGCCAGTTGCTGAGCCTGTTGCTGAGCCTGTTGCTGAGCCTGTTGCTGAGCCTGTCACTGAGCCTGTCACTGAGCCTGTCACTGAGCCTGTCACTGAGCCTGTCACTGAGCCAGTTGCTGAGCCAGTTGCTGAGCCTGTTGCTGAGCCTGTTGCTGAGCCCGCCGCTGAGCCTGTGGCTAAAGAGATCACTGACGAGCTCACCAAGCCCGCGGAGGAGACAGTCAAACCAGAGCCTGTTGCTGACGTTGTCGCCGATACTGTCGTCGAGTCTGCCCCTGAACCTGTCGTTGAGCCCACGGTTGAGCCAGCCTCCGAGTCCGCCATCCACTCTACCAGTGAGCCTACGGCTGAAACGAACGGCGTGGAGCCGACCGCTGAGAAAGAAAGCGATATTCAGGTCTCTGAGGTGGTTGTCGCTCAACCCGAGCCTACGGTCGTCGAGGAGAGCCCTGAAGAAAGTGCGTCAAAAGGACTTGTCAACGGTGTCGTCAATGGCCCCGAGGAGACCGACAAATCTGCGCCTTCTCAGGACGATGAACCCAAGGACGAACAGGTGCCAGCAGCTTTCACCGAAGCTGAGGCTGTAGTCTCCACTGAAGACTCCTCCGCCGAGAAAGACGTCGAGTCTGCTCCTGTTCAGTTCACCTCTGCCCAGGATGCAGTCTTGGAGCCCACTGAAGAGGCTGCCCAACCCCAGGAAGAGAAAGACTCGATCATTACTCCCGAGCTCATTGGGGCTGGCGCCGCAGCTGCTCTCGCCGCAGGTGCTGTTGTTGTGGGAGTTGTTTCCTTCTCCGCTGCCGAGCCTAAAGACGATGTGACCACCAAGGCCACTAAGGAACACGCCCAACCTGCTGCCAAGCAAGAGCCTTTGCACCTCCCTCCTGCGCCTCAATTCACCAATAACAAGCAAACAGAGCTGTCCACCTCGAAGGGCATGCCGACTCCCGAACCGGAAGCTGATCCCGCTCTTGCAGCACTTGCTGGTGATGGCGAGGCTCTCCTCCAGAAACTGGAGCTGCCTTCTACGGAACAGCTGCCTACGGCATCTGCTCGGTCTTTGCCTTTCAACGAGAACCAGAATGTGAAGCAGACCGTCCCGGAAAATCAGGCGGCCCCAACCACAACGGAGTCTGCCACTCCAGCAGAAGACGACGACAAAGCCCTTGCCAACAAGAACAACGAGAACAACGAGGACTCTCGTTCTCCAAGTCAAAATCGGTCAGTCACTGCTGTTTCTTTGAACAATAAGCGGGACAGCTGGTTGAGGACAATTTTCCGTGCCGTCTTCGGCAACTTCTTCGGCGCCATCTTCTCGCCCTTCCGCCGTCGTGGAACGGCGGCCCAGTAGATGGTTGCTGCCTCCTTTTGCCCTACATCTTTGTCTCTTTCCGATAGTCCTTGAGCTGTCATTGTCATTGCCAAAGCTAATGAGATTCAGGAATTTCTTCTTGATGACTGTTATCGCTGCCCCATTGCTAGCTTTTGTTTGGAGTGCATATACCCGATAAGTCCCAATTCTGAATCCGTTTGATTTGATCCCAGGAAAAGAAAAAAAAGAAGAAGAATCAATCATAATCATCGCCGCTCATTTTACTACTCGTCTTGATTCCCCTGTATTTGATATCAGTGTCCATGTTCGCACTCAGTTTGTTAATTTTATTCTCCTTTTTTACCCTCTTCTCACTCTACTCTCTAACTGTCTCCGTCCGTGCAATCTTGGAAGGCTACTTCTATGATTCTTGGTAGCCGAGCACAAGAACTGGTCAGGGCTCTGCTTTCGATGCGCGCATCTGCCAGTATGTAATGATGTCTATGTTCTACTGCCTATGATTGATGAATGAAGATGAAGAATCTGCTCGGTTCGGTTTCGTATCCTCCTCTGTCCTGTGATATTGCCTTTCGAAACACGTAGCTTATATCTTCTCTGTAGTTTAGACTATCTCTTGACGCGAGGATGATTCACATTCCTCCCTTGTTTTAATGCGGATGCGGCCTGACAGGTATAAATTGGTACTTTGTGTTCAGTCCGAAGTTAAAGTCCATCATCATGCGTTGACCCCTTGTCTCGAGTGTCTTCTATCAGTAGCATCTGTATGATAGAAGACAGCAGCTGCATAGCATAGAATGATTCTTGGGCTTGCGCGTCAAGACGTACCCTCGCCAAGTTGTCGTTGAGAGTTGCTATTGCTCGATGAACAAATGATACAAGCATCTTCCCGCGGATCTGATGGGGATGGGAGGTAGTATGCCGTCTACAATAGCTTGAGACAACACCATTGAGGGAATGTGTCCAAGATGCTGTACTTGTATGTGTACTAACAACCATCTGTGGCGTTGTCTTGTGGGGATGACAATGAAGAGACAATGGCGAAGAGAACTTGGATATCATCTAATAATCATCGCATGGGTTACCTACACTTCAAACCCAGAGCCACACCCTGAGATGCTAGCACGCGCGAATGAGCAACACAGGAGACACGATTATGTGAGGCTCTAGGGTTCTGTTTACCTCATAAGAAGAGACAATCTTGCTTGGACACGCTCGCACCACCATCCTCAAGCTACCCAGGTTTGTTTTCCCCTGCCTTGTGAGCCATCTTTCCTCCCTTTCCTTACTACGGCATACGCCTTCATATTATCTGTGTTGGTCTTCTGAGTGGGTCGTGATACGCGATAAATCTGAAGCTTGAGAATCGCACTTGTGAAATTTTGTTCTTGACAGCAACGGTAGACGCTTCCATGGCTTCGCAGAGTGGAAACGCGTGGGCGCAGATGAAGGCTCGCGAGCAGCGGCACGCGCAGGTCGTCGACGACGGGAAAGGTATGCCATTCCTCCAACTCTGAAAAGAAGGCTATGAGAGGGATCTCTCTTGCGGAGAGTGGTGTTGATGGTGTCTCTTCGCAGTTGCTATACCTCGCAAGGGTCCAGTCATGGGCCACAGACCTACCAGCTCTCGCAAGTCATCGAGTCTCGATTACGACGACGAGCTGGCCCTTCCAATGCCCAAGCCGCGTCGTGCCGCTGCAGAGGAACACAATGACTCCGTCGAAGACGTCAGACTCAACGCCCCGAGCAAGCCTAGCATCACAAAGACTCGTTCCGTCACTGAGCCAGCTCGATCTAACAACACTCCTGATGACTTGAAGGGTAAGACAGATAACCGTGAGAAGAAGAAGTCTAGAGTGGCAGCTCTCAAATCCAAGCTCAGTCTGAAGGACATGGTTCAGGAGTTTCGCAAGGAGAACGTTAGAGCCGAGTCCGCAACTGGCAGCGGTGGCAGGCGTCCTCCCTGTGCTGACAATCGTGACTTCGACGAGGAAAAGCTGTACGTCCCGAAGCCAAGACAGCAGGGTGTGTATCCATTGTCTGCTCCCCCATTTCCCCTTCGTGAGATCAGTTTTGGGAAAATGTCCCAGGCCAGCGCCGAGTCCTGTGCTGTTGGTGACTCCAACACGAATGAAGAGCCAAATAACGAAGGACTGAGCCTCGGGCCCTTTGCAAGTAAGAATCAAGATGCACAGACCCCCAAGGCGCGCAAATCAGAGGCAAGCATGCAGCTAGATACCCTCTTGCTCGCCGGTTCGTCTCCTGCAGCCCATGCAGGCGAGCTCGAAAACAGCGGACAGCCACATATCATCAAAGAGCAAAGGAGAGTCCAGAGCCTGATAGCACAAAGAGAGTCAGGGAGTCCCAGATCTGCCAGTGAGATCCCTCTCCAGACGTCCGAAGACGACATAGGCGGCCCAGCCTCATCCATCTCTGACGGTGACAATGAGGACGTTGCGGACAATGCGACACAGTCTGTCGCACCATCTCAAAATCCGAATACAGTGACCAATGAAGCCAATGGCAGTAACACGACTTCTTTTGCGGGTCAAACTGGCCCCCCTTCTTTTCTGGGCCTCCAGACAGGACCGCCCTCCGCTGCGATACCGACAGTGCTGGGGCCCCAAACGCAGCAGTACCAGCCGAATCCTCGCGACGAAGACCTTCACCACACATTCGGTGGTGGTACGAGGTATGGCGGCTATGCTCCTCGACCACCGCATGCCGGCTACCTTAACACAGCTAATCTGGAAATGCAACTCAGAACGAACATGGAAACAGTCCATACCCACTTAAGTAACGCTGTCCACAGAGTCTGCAGTTCGATGGAAAATTCGAGCAACTGGTCCACTGATCAGATCCTGAAGCAAACTGATGCCATGGCGGATGTTCTGCGTTTGATCAATGCCCGCACAGCAGGTCAGAATGAAACCGTATCAGACCTGCACCGCACCATGAGTCATATTCAGTGCCAACTGGCTGCCATTGAAGTGGAGGTAAATGGTATGGAAGAAAGAATTCTGAACTTCATATCGAATCAGATCAATAAACTGAGAAGAGAGATCAACGCGCCGAAGGAGTCGCTACGCAAGGCCGATGTCTCCTCCAAGTTAGCGCAAGAGCCGAGAACCATCAGTGCTGAACTGCAAGAGCCTCCATATGCCATTGGAGGGACTGGGGACAATGAGAGACGGCATATAAGAAAGAAGCAGCGCTCTGGCAAGAGAGGTGAGGGAGAGTGGTTGAAAAGCACACAGAGTAAGAATGGAGAACAAAAGAAAAGGAGTGAGACTGAATCCGGAAGGAGTTCCCTGAGTCAACACAATGCACCGGGACGCTCTCAGGAGATCCCTCCCTCTACTGCATCTGTCCACTCTTCACCCCTGGAGCAAAGGAAAGACGGAGACGTCACACAATCCCAGGTCAGAAGAAGGGTACGAAACAACCCCAGCCAGGAATCCTCTGGAAGCCCTGTGCCTAAGACAGCCAAAATTAGTGGCCAGATAGGGGACAGCTTGGCTCCTGAGAATGACCAAAGCTCAATTTCTGAAGCTGCACAAACTCCTGAAATCAATGACAAGCCCGCCAACGAGGGCATGAAAACCCCCAGTAAGAAGGGAGTGTTTGGATTCCGCCGTCGCCACGACAGTGGGAGCCAGACTGGCAACAGATTCCTGCGCACTCCAAGGCGAAACAAAGAGGACAAGGCTTTTAAGGAGCGAAGCTCTCTTCCCTCGACGGCTCCGGATCCTTCAGTTGTTGCCGGCGCCACACATATTGAGGCCCCTGCGGTGAACAGCCCAAGCTCGATTCATCCAGCTCTCCGTGATGATAGACAGCAACAGGTCATGCTTGATCGGCAGCGCATCGGCGGGCTGCTGCATTCCCATACCAGTAACCATGTGGCTGTAGCAGTGATGGCGAATACCCAGAGAAGTGGATTGACATACTCTCAGTCTCATCAGAACATGGGGAACGAAACACCGATGGCAGGCCATCTACCCACAAACGCATTTGATATGTCTTTATCGTCGTCTTCGACAATTCAGAGAGATCCTCAACTGCAATCGCCCGCTGCCGATCTGCCTGCTGGCCCGCCTCCGGTCCAGCCGAGCTTCCTGCCTCCTTCTGCATCGTTTGTGGCAGCGCCGAATAATGCTAGCCCAGAAAGCTTCACCTGTAACGGCCGGTCTACCTCTGGCTCCCTACCCCTATCGCTTCAAGTTTCCGCCCTAGTTCCTGTTGAGGAATCAACATCGGGTGTCCCTGGTTGGTGGAATTGTCACAATGGTACTCCGTCAGTGAGTGACCGATATGAATACCGTTCCTGATAATGTCTCTGAACTGCTTGTCATTGCGCTTCGCCTTTAGTGGCCTTCCCAAAAACTGCGGTATCTTCGGAGTTGGACCTCTGTTACTGTCAGGTCAGTGCAACTTGGGATACACTTTCATTCAGAGGGTGATCAGAATCTTGGTTCTATCACTGATAAGTCTGAGATTTCCGTAACGTGCTATTTGCTTCCATCCCAATGGAGATCTGCGTAATTGACGAATCGAATTTATGTGATGGACATTTTCCTTTAATTTTGAGGATGGAAGGCAATCGTGCGTTCACGTGCTTTGTGTACGGGTATCACAAATATGTTTAAGTCACAAGAAAACTGATGTAGGAATCAAAAAACACAAAAAAACTCGCAGTGATATCAGGATGAACACCATTTTTTATGTAAAAAGTCATAAGCTCAAAGATAAAGTCCAGCTATTGATAGATACTAATTCTGAGTTGCGACCATCTTTTCGATGTCCGCTGCCACAGTCCTCACTTGAGGACAGTAGTGAAGCCGCAGCAATTCGCCTTCCCACACTGTTCCCGCAAAGACATTGGTTGTCTCAATATCGGTTGCAAACGGATTGAATACTCCATCACCTCTTCGCTCCTCGCTGTGCCACAGTGGCGCAATTCGACGCACATGATGTTTGGCTACCTGGTTCAACAGAGACAGTGTAGCAAGAGCAGACTTCTCAGGAACCTGGAGCGATGATGTCAATAGGCGTTTGGTGAAGCTGGCAAGCCGGAGTGGGGGAGGTGTTCCATGTGCGCGAGACAGGAGTGTAAATTGGAGACAGCGAAGGAGGAGGACGGTAGGTGTCTGGAAGTTGACTTTGTTTTTTGCGTTCTGCGATGGCATCGAGCCATCTGCTTCGGACGAGTTGGGATCGGGGAGTCGGAGGGATTTAGTAGGGTTGAACTCGATTTCAGGGTTGACGGAGATGGAGTAGAGGGAGCGATAGAGGTGCTTGACGAAGAAACTAAGATCGAGGTGAAGTGATGCTGCCGCTTTGCTGACGTCTTGTCCTTCCAGGAGGGCAAAGGCCGTGATGGTGCAGAGAAGAGCCTCGCGCTGAGCGTCCCGTGTAGCGGTTTCCGTCTCATTGGCTTCTTCTTCTTCCTCATCCTCTCCAACCTCAGACTTATCGGCATGCCCGATTAGGTCTTTCAGAGCCTCAAGCAAGTCACCAAAAAAGTCTTGGTTGATCAAATGGGCATATTTGGCAAGACCCTCCAGAACGGGTCCCATAAGATTGGGGATGCGGAGTTTCAGGATGCGGAAGTATGTGGCAAAGACAAGCTTAAGAGACTCGGCTTGATTCTTATCTCTTTCCTCATGCGAGACCAGAGCGTCTGCCTGCCTCATATCCTTCTCCACAGCATTTCTCTCCTTTTGCAGCTTACGCTCCCGCTTGGTGCGGAACTCGCGCTTCTGTTTCATTTTCTTACCACGAAGGGTGTTGTCCTCTTCTTCTGGCTCACGGTCGATTCTATCCCTCGAACCCTTGGAAGAGAACTCAGAAAGCAGGCGCAGATGGAGGAAGGTATTCAACACACTTTCGTGAATCCTGAAATCCTTCGCTTTCATCATTTTTGTGAGCAAGCGAACAGCTTCCAAAGAAACAACACCGTCTTCATCTCTAGAAAAGACCTCCTCCATTGTCTCTCGACATTTGATGAAATCAACATCGATCTGCCTCCTGGCAAGACGGTTCACGAGGATCTTCAGCAGCTCTCCACGGAAGTTAAAGTGAGGTACAGAAAGGAGGAGATTGCAGGCGCAGTTGATCGCAAGGCTCTTGAGACTCGGGTCTACAGCCGTGTTCTCCCCCCTCTTGGAGGACTTTGTAAGATCCGATAATTTCTGAACGTAGTGTTTGTATCCCGATAAGAGCGACTGTTCAAACGCCCTCAGCTTGCGCACGTCTTTCGAGATCTTCGCAGACATGTCTTCTTCGCTAAGAGGGCGGATCCTATACCCAGGAATCACATCCTTGTAGACGGCAGCCTGCGAAGCGAGTGCCAATTTCTTAATCGCAACATGTTCGCCGTTCTCTACCATATCAGCCATTGTCTTGAAAGACGAGATGTGCTCCTCCGGGTCCTCATTGATATAAGTCGCAAGCCGTGCCAGTTCCTCCTTGGCCTGGATTATTTGCAGCTTCAAGGGAATCTTCGGTTTTTCCTCGGCTTCTTCATCGTCGTCCATCTCCTCGTCATCGTCCGCATCGTCGTCTTCGTCATCATCAGTACCCAGAAAGCTATCGGATTCCTCAGCCTCTGCTTCGGACTCTTCAACGGCCTGAAAGCCCTCTGCTGTCTTGATAGGCAGCCGATTATTTTCCTTGCGCTTTTTGCTCAATTTGCGTGGTTGGCGCTCGTAGTCTTGTTCCAGGTCCCATTCGGCTGCACTATTGTGAAAATCGTTCAAAGCCGAATCGCGGGCAGGCCGCGAAGAAGAATTGTCCTCATCATCGGGAGGACTCAATCGTCTCCTCTTTATTGTGCGTCCGGGAGCCATGTTGGTTTGCGCTGCTTCTATTGTTTGTTAGAGAACATTGGCCGTCGGAGTTCAAGGGTCGAACTTTTTTTTTCTTCCTCAATTTTCCCCGAATGCCAAGAATCTCACGCTAGAGCTCCCGCTCCACCTTGTCTAGAATTTTTGTTCTTGCGGAGCTTCAAGAAATTTTTATTTAATTCTGAGCAGCAACAAAAATGCGTCAACTCACGGAACAAGAGCTGCAAACGCTGCTTGCCAAATTGGCAGGCTACACTGGGCGATCCCTCAACAACCTCATTGTCCCCCAGTCCGATTCCGAGGACGAGCGACATGTCTTCCGTCTGCAGGGAAACCGAGTATACTACGTGAAGAAGTCTCTGGCTGATTTGTCGACGAGCTTTTCGCGAGACACTTTGCTTTCGCTGGGAATCTGTATCGGTAAATTCACAAAGACTGGAAAATTCAGAATCCACATCACAGGTGCGAACGATCCATCCGAAATGGTCAAAGTGGCATGGCTTGCTAACAGAGTCGCACGTTTAGCGCTCGATGTTATTGCCCCTCACGCGAGATACAAGGTCTGGATCAAAGATAACGGCATCATGCCCTACCTCTACGGATCGAATGTCGTCAAGGCCCACGTCGGAAGATGGAGTGAGGATATCCCGGAGCACACAGGAGTCGTGGTGTACGATTCGAACGATACGCCTCTGGTACGAACCTTCGAAAGGCAAATGACATCTGAAGAAAGTGCTGATTTGGCTTAGGGATTCGGTGTCACTGCTCGATCCACCGCAGAGATTCGCAAGTTGGATCCGACTGCCATTGCCGTATTCCGGCAAGCCGATGTAGGAGAGTACTTGAGAGAGGTATGTTGCTCTGTCACTATGGCCATGGCCTACCGAATCCTTTCCGCATTGCTAACTGCTTGACAGGAAGATACTCTGTTTACGACGTAAAGGAAGTGCTTTGCATAGACGGGATCATTCATGGTGTTCGCGTACTAGATATCAAGGGATTTTCGCAGGAGTTCTGGAGTCTTTCGTCTGTTTGGTACAAAAGTATTTCATCTCGATGTCCATTATCATCAATATCATTCACACTCTCAAGATTCATTCTCTTATAGCCATATCTCGCCCTCGTACTGGATTCCGGGCCCTATGTTCCAAATAGTTTCCAACCACTGTGAACCCATCACGTCGTAAGTAATGATGGTGAGACCTTGCGAAGCAGTAGTTTTCACAATGAATACTTCATGGATGACAGGAGTTAGATCGCTTGTGTTGGAGGATAAACACCTTATCAACCGACTCGTCCTCGAAACAAGCAGTTAGGACTACTCGATGCGTGGGACCCTTAAAGCCACCAAAAAGCGACGACTGTATATGAAGAGATCCATTCCGTCTTAATGTTATCATTCTTGTTGAGAGTTGAATAATCTGGTCCAGTTGTGACTTCCTTGGGCTCATGGCCATGGTGTTGAGCACGTGCCCAGCGAGCATCAGTCAGCGCCTCAAATGGTGATGATGGATCTCTGCTTTGTCTACTTTGTCTGATTCGGCCATACCCACTCAATCTCACGGTTTTCCACCTGATCCAGTGCTCATCACTCTCTTTCAAGTATACTCTCTACAACAAGTAGTATCATTGTATCGGAAATTCTCCTTGCCTCCTGCTTTTGTCCAATACAGTCGATTCTTCGGTGTCGAGGGCATCCCCCACCATCACCCCACTATGCCACCTTACTCTGGAGTCCAGAAACAGCTGATCAATCAGTTTGTCAACTTTACAGACGCAAAGGATACTGTAGCTGTCAAGGTACGGGCTGCTGATCCTAGATTGCTTTTCCAGCAGAAGCCCTGTGAGAAGTGACCTTTGCATCTCAAAGTCACGTGAGGTCATACATGGCTGAAGATGGCTGATGTTTTGGGTATTCAGTTCTTGAAAGCACATAGATGGAATGCAGAGGAAGCTATTGATGCGTAAGTACCTTGAACTGTTCGTTTTTCTATGCTGCCGGCCCCCTGGTTCTGGCATGAATGGTCTTGTTTTCCACATGTTTCCCTGCTGCGGAAGCTCTACATGGTTCCAAAAAGCCACAGGTACTTCGATACAGGTACTCGCGCAATCACTCTGGATTCACGGGACATTGGATGTGGAGGTACTCATATACGGATTCTATATATATGACCATTCTCCTTGGGCGAATGGATACTGGGTCCGTCCTCATCTTCTGCGGCCTGCTACAGGATCTGCTTGTATCCTTTCCCTCCTCTTCTAGTCCCGACCCCGTGCTTGATGCGCAGAGGCCCAATTGCTCCCTGCTCATAAGTTTTGAATGACATGCAGGTCTCTACTGGTGTCGCTGCCACCATGACACCACAAAAGCTCCTTCGAAATGTTTGCTGTTCTCGTACGAAACATTCGAATCCATGGTGAGCGGAGATATTCTGTGGTAGATCCAGAGTATCGGAGAAGCAAGGCTAGATTCAGATGCCCTGGCTGAATGTTACTTGTCTGGCGTTAACTCCCAATCGTCATAGCCTTTTCTTGCGATTTAAATTTACCCTTGGTGTTGGCATTTGCTTCTCTTTCGCATATCTCTAGTCGTAAAAGTTTTCGAAACAAATGCTAATTCAAGTGTTTCAGATACTTTCAGAGCCCCCAAGGAAGTGGGGGAAGCACTTCAGCTCTCAATAAAGTCTTCGATTCGTATCGAGGTATGATGAAATCGACGAATGCTGCACTCTTTAATTGATATTCCTCCAGCTAATTTCAACTTAGATGAACCCGAAGAGAACCCCGATGGCATCGGTATCGAAGGTGCCATGAAGTTCCTGGGAGACATTCAAGTACAATTAGACGAAGTGGCATGCCTTGGGATTGCGGAGCTCCTCAAGTCGCCATCCATGGGCGAGTTCACGAGAGAAGGCTTTGTCAATGGCTGGAGAGGTGTCAGGTAGGTATACCCCATCGCAACCTCCCAGGCCGCAACATACCTAGTCACGTTACAGATATCTGACGAGAGAATCCAGCTGTGACAATCTGGACAAGATGATCAGCCACGCTGCGAACGTCCGGGCGCGGATCCCCATCGAGCCCGATCTCTTCCGTCGCGTCTACCGGTACACATTCCCCCTGTGCCGTATGCAAGGCCAGCGCAATCTCCAGTTCGACATAGCCTCTGAGCAGTGGCGGCTATTCTTCACGCCTCAGAACGGCGGTATCCAGTGGAACACACCCACAACCCCCTGGTTAGACTGGCTGATTGAGTTCCTGGAGGAGCGCGGCAAGCGACCCGTCAACAAGGATTTGTGGGAGCAGGTCGAGGTGTTCATGCGCAAGACGCTCGAGGATGAGAACTTTGGTTGGTGGAGTGCCGATGCTGCTTGGCCTGGAACCCTGGATGATTTTGTGGGATGGGTGCAGGCCAAACGAGGCAAGGGTTCGGAGGAGATGGAGGTCGAATGAATAGTGACAGGGAAAATGGGGAGGATCATCATTGAGACTTAGACCAGTTGACCTATTTACAGAGTTCTTTGCTCGTATAATATACTGTGTTTACTACATCATTCGTAATTTCTTTCTCCCGGGATAAACCAGTATGGCTGGGATTGGAAGGCCTCAATGGTTTTGAGTGTATTGTCTACATAACAAAAAGAAGACCGAAATCGAGAAGCAAAAGCGAAACAACTAAAAAATCTAGGGCAACATGGGGATAAGGATTCACATCCAGAGATTAGAAGAAGATTCATCATAACAGGTACAAGAAAAAGGGCATATCTTCATCTCGACTTCAAAGACGACATATAACAGCGTAGTTTTCTGGTGTCGATGTGAGACGTCACATGAGATCATTGGGATATAAAGTAAAATAAGATGCATGATGATACATGCAGCGCAAACACCAGGCCAAGAGCTGCCTGGTGGGTCATTAGATATTTACATCCTCTACCGGTAGTCGCCACCCTTCTCAAATTCGCTGCCAGGGCCGCGGCGCTGGTCATAACGCTGTTTGACAGGTTAGCTGGGGGGTGGATTCGCAAATAAGTCGTTTCTGATATCAGCGCACCTTTCTCAGGGCCTCGAGGCGCTTCTTCTTGGTGTGGGTGTTGACGTAGGTGCCGATGAAAAAGCCGATGATGTTGAAGAATGGCACCCAGGTGTGCTCAGGGAGGAACTTCTGCGCAAAGGCGAGAGCCAGGGGCGAAGTAATCCAGCTGACCTTCATGACAGGCATGAAGCCGGCCTTGACGGTGGCGCGGACCTGGTGGATAGTGCGCGCGCCGGCAATGATGGCCATCGACGTCAGGTAGACGACGTTCTGAATGGGGGAGATCTATAAGATGGTGCATGTGATTAGCGCCGATAGTATGCATTGGATCGATGGTGGAGGGACGTACGATCAGGTTGCTGGCGAGAATCTGCAGCACCTTGGCCTTCAGGCTGGTACGACCAGCGAAGACCTTCTGAAGGATACCAACGAGCAAGTGGCCCAGAGGCGCACTGATGAACATGCCGTAGAGAGTCATTTTCGGCACGCGCGCGCTGAAGTAGTGGCCGTGCTTGCTAACATCGTTGGCGATCCACGAAGCGATGAACTCTTGCAGACCGGACAGCACACCGGATGTCAACATCTTTGTGCGCAGAGGGTTCAACTGCAATTCACGCAGGTAAAGCTATATCCATAATGAGATTCGGAGTAAGCGATCCATCCCTGTATGGCTCTCTTATGAACGTACAGCAAGATAGCCTGTCTGTGCATCGCCGCCCGTCAAGCGCTCGCCCACTTTATGTGCCAGCTCCTTGGTATCCTCCCGAATTGATCGGGAGACATCTTCCTGAAACTTGACCGACATCGTGGGGGATTAAAGGTGCGATTTGCGGGCTGTTCGACAGATCGGGTAATCGAGGCGATAAGGTCAAACCGATAATGATCGATCACTGGAATGCGAGGACAACCAGTCAGTCAAACTGTCAGAACGCTCAGAGATGCGAAGGATAGAGGATTGATAACCGACAAAGAACGGGTGAGTATGGGGCAAGGTGGGTAGGAAAGGCGCTAGAGAGATCGGATAGAAGAATTGCCGTGGGGATGGAGGGAAAGAGGGCGATAAAAGAGCGCGAAAAGGAAAGGGGGCTGTTTGTTTACGAAGGAGGCTGGAGGCGGTTATTGCAACAGGAAGCTTACCGAGGCTGACCCAGACCGACACCACCGCAAAACACTATCTTATCAGAGGAGTGAGATTGAGAAGTTTGGAAGTCTGGAAGTTTGGTAGCAAAGAAGGATTCGTCGGGACCCTGGAGAAATTATATGCATGCAATAATGATCGAGTAAACGAACCCAGAGCTGATGGATCCCAGGTTCCCAACGCGGTTCCTGAGGATGGACAGTTTTGAATACTAAGAGGGGACGATGGAGCTCGAAAGGCAGCTTCTTATTCGGCCACGCGGTCGGCAGATGGCGGATTTCTTATGCAGACGGCTGGGTTTCGGGCACCTCCGACATCTGGGGAGGAATCCCGACGCCTGGTCTCTGAAGCGGTTTAATCCCTGAGATTATTGCTGGATATCAGGATGGATGATGGTCTTGATTATGCTGTATTAACATTGCGCAGACAGCAGTCTATGTAGGCATGGGATGAGGTGAAGATCCTCCTTCACTCATTGTATGCAAAGCTGTCTGTTATCATCAGCCTAAAGGCATCTCAGAATCGAGTACAAGATATGCAGGAACATCTTTACTTATCTCTCTCTAGCTGTAGAGAAGAATAGATAAAGATGCAGAGCACGAGGAGAAGTAGCCTGGGGAAAGAGGAGAGACAACCGGGAAGAGAGCGATTGATCACATTGTCTGGCCGAGATACATCAGTGCAGCGTCCTCAAATCATACTCATCATATGCAAAGATGCAGTTCAATGAGGGTGGAAGTCCAGATAACTATGTAGAATTGTAGATACTTGTCAAGAAGATTGTTGAGAATGATTTGTACTATATTATGCAGCAGAAAAAGATGTAATTACTGTGATCTTCCGTGACGGCAGAGCTGTATACTAGGCTTCCCAAACAGGAAAGTACCAGCAAAGAGTCACCATCGACAGCATCAACCTCACTTTCTGGTACTGTCGCCGAGAGTAACCATTCAAACGTCACTAGTTGAGACTGAAAATAAACCAGCACTCTACACGCTCACCTGTCATGTCTTTCTCAACACTCATCTTCGCTCTTTTTATCAGTCACTCTTTCATCCCATATGCCCAACCATGACGGAACCCGGAGCAGGAAGCTCGAGACGCCTCCCTGAGGGTCGCTTCTCGATATCCGCCAACCAAGTTCCCGGGATCCCCTTTCCTCTCGTTCACCCATATCCTTATCAACCGGGACTCGGACATATCCCGCCAATGGAGATGAATCAGTGGCCAGAACTATACCCGGGAGATTCATGGGAAGGTTGGCGCTCGAGGGAACCCTTTGCTCCACGGAGCTACTTCACACAAACCCAGATGCAGAAGAACTGTCCTCACGGCATGATGGTCCGCCAGTTTGTGAGCAATCGGATGCTCTGTCCCAGCTGTGGCCGCCAGCCGTTTTTTGGGTGGTTGCTAGTCTGCGTAGAAGATTTCGTGGGTCACTCTGATCGATTGGATCCTAAGGGCCCGCAGCTTTCGCGTGGAATCTCCCAAGCCATCATTGACGGTCACTACAATCCTGAAGAGAGGGCAACTGTCAGACAACAAAAGGGAGGAGTTATTAAACAGGTCGAAGAATTGTTCGGGCCCGCAGCTCGAGCGCCACAGGTTCAAGCCATTCGTGGAGGCGCATGTGGGCATCCGAAGAAAGGCCGGGATGATGGAATGCACCTTGAGGCCATCGAGAACATTGGACGGAAGGATCAAGACAATCCAGCGTCTCCCTCTGGGCAGTCTTCCCAAAAGCGTCCCGCAGCCTGTCGTTACTGGTGCTGCCACCATTGTAGACCATTTCATTATGAGCGTACCTATATCCGGTTGGATGCGTTTTGCAATGATCCCCAGACCGAAGTCACACTTCCATGGGAGTTCGGTAATAGACGGGTTTCCAACGCTAAGGTTGTTCGCAGTATGGATAACCATTATGAGCCAAGGGAACACCTGTTCACACGGGCGGTTCCTCATCCCATGGCCAGCGTGCCGCATGCACTACGCCGTCGGCTATACCCAGATATGTACAGGATGAAGATCGGCGAAATGATGCAGCAGCCAGGATCACATTTTCGCAGGAACGCCATGAGCCTTGACCTTCGCGCTCTCTATCATCGATCTAAGGCATCTGATATCTCAGACGGGAATCGTATCGCCGAGCTGAACGATAGTGACTCGGAATGTTCCTCAAGTATTGACTCGACGAGCGGTTCTGTGGTTACTTCCGAGCAAGGGGTTGTCTTGCTTCCAGCAGCAGGAGATCTCCATGACCACGAAAACATATCTGGTAATGAGTCGAGGGACGACGACTATGGACTGAAATGGTTATTCCACTGCTCCGATCCCGACATGCGTGGCCCTACACGATCGACAGCGGACGAAGGGCGGAAAAGGCGGGCACATTAGGACCCGCATGGACATCGGGAAAGCAAAAGTCTGTTTAGCACCTTTGGTGCGGTGTGCTCTTATGCTGTAGGTATGATGGCTGGATATCCTCGACCTTGCACAGTCATGCGATTCGGCCAGGGACATCGACGTGAATCCTTGACCAGTCCGACTACAGTGCAGAGTTCGTTTGGAATTCTTAAGACGATTTGGGAAATGTTACCCCTGGTAGAAAATGCAATATTTCTTGATGATAATAAACGTCACAAGCTCAGAAGATGTCTCAACCACGTGTGAGAATTATCGTCACCAGGTAGCTTTATGTAAAATGGCCTCGTAGACTGCGAAGCATCACCCTGCAGATGGCATAGCGCAGTTAGATATAAGGCACAGATGCCTCCAGACACTTGCATCTTCCATCTTGTGTTGAGACGCGAGAATTCAAGATCCCTTCCTAGTCCTACGGTTTCTTATCGGCCGCTGCTTTCATTTGCCAGGCCATTCCGAATTCCGAGCCTCGGCAGCAACGTCTAAGCGTTGAGAATTATCAGAGGCTCCATATCGCTGCCCGTCCCCCATAAACACAACACGTCCGCTCCGCGACTTTTTTCGTTCCTACTCACAGAGATCATTGGGAATCGCTAGGTGTTACCATGGCAGACTCTGAAAACCCGCTCCCTGCTTCAGAAACCCCTGTGGCGCCTGAAAGTCAAGCGTCTAGTGTGGAGAAGCCCGTGAGCCCCGCGGGGAGTTCTCCGCCGGTGCCGTCTTCGTCGGCGATGGGCGATACTCAACACAAGCTGCTGGCAGCTCTCAAAGCGACAGACTACAACATCGAACGCCTTAATAAGTATGCCAGGGCCTATCAAACTAGCTGTCTCGCTTTCTTTTTGCTGTTTCTAGAAGTACCGGGCTGGAATGACAACTAACAACACACGTTTGGTAGACTCTTATCGACAAGCTACGGTCAAGAACGAGCATTTGCGGCGACCGGATACCTCACCCATGCGCTGCATCACCTCATTACTTCCGCGCCATGGATTGCGGCCCAGGCACGCCTGGGTCTTCTTGCCCGGTTGAACAACCGTACAAAAGCCACCGGCGAGGCCACCACTCCGGCCTCCTCCCGACTCCTTGCCCTCTCCGCGCTTATGTCTGAGACTCGTTATACCCTCCGCCTGCTTGATCTCATCCCTCTCTGGAGTTGGGGCTCGGCCACGCTGAAATCACCCCCTTCGGATCCCGTCATCCGCAACCTGACTCTGGCCCAGGTCGCCGTGAATATGATCTACCAGTTCCTCGAGAACGTCGGCTACCTCGCATCCAAGGGTATCATTTCGAAAAAATGGATTGATCGGTACGGAGGTATCGACAAGTGGTATCTGTGGAGTATCCGAGCCTGGTTCGGCCACATCTTCTTCCAGTTCTTCGTGTTGTGGAGACAAGCGTTCTTGCGGAGGCAGAAGATTGCGAAAGACCCGGCAAGGGCACAGACAAAGGAGGGTCAGGAGGAGCTGAAGGCCGAAGTTCGGGCCTGGAAGAAGAGTCTGGTGAACAACGTGTGCTGGGCTCCGTTGTGTCTTCACTGGAGTGTGGAGAAGGGTGTTGGGATTCCTGGCAGTTTGTCTGGAGTTATCAGTTTCATGGCCGGTGCTTGGGGTTTCTATGATCTCTGGGCTGCGACTGGGAAGTCATGATTGTGATTGTGATTGCCTCGCTATGCAGTTGGCTTGTATATAGTACTTCCAGGCTTGACTCTTCGGGCTTGACCTGTGTGATTTGTTTTTTTTTTCTTCTTTCTTTCTCAGATGTATAGACTGGCGCATCGTATACCTGCGCAAAAAAAAAGAGAGTAAATCTGTTTTCAGACTGGGTGTGTTCACTCGAGTTTGACACCAGCCTGTCAATAATACCTGAACTATGAGCTCAGAGCCGAGCTATCTGTCCATGCCAAGGCAAGAGATCCTTCTAAGTGTGGGATGCCTCAGGCAACAAGACGCTAAGCGTAGTCATTGAGAGTCAGGTCAGTGTCGAACACCACCATTGTTGGAGTTCCTCAATGTTTGTCCTTTTTTATCAACCTCATCTCAAGACAAGCATGACAATGATCAGAATGATACATAGCAGTGAGATTTCAAAGCAATCCGCCGTCTTTCTGGTTGTTGGGTACTACGACCAGCTTCCATTCGCTTCTGTCCTCTGGGCGGTGGCGGCACCCAGAGACTGATGAACCTTCGGCGGCTTAAGTCATCAGTCCAACAGGCACCTGGACTATCGTCACCTCTTTAACTGGAGCTGTTACTGCCAACCTCCGACCCCATCATCCATCTCTCTGTTACCACGTATCACCTCTCTTTCACTTTCCTTCGTCCCCCAGACAACCCCATCTCGTCTGTCGGACTCTCCATTTCTCGTGTCCGTTTTTTTATCTTCTTTCCTGTCTGTTTTCTGCTTTGGTAGCTGAAGCCCTACCAAATCCCCACACGCGGCGCCCTTGATACTGTTACGTTGCCTAAAGAGCTTGTTCACACAGCACATTCTCCGTCAAGATGAGCGCTGAGCCAGATCACACTCACGACAAGAAGAGGGTGCACCTCCAGTATGTGCTGGATGTCCTTATGAAAACGCATTCGACAGCCTTGCTAATCTATCGACAGGGACGTCTCCGGCGGCGAGAAGAAAGAGGTAAAATAGCGGCGGCAACAAGAAGAGCTTGCTCACAATACTAACTTTGACTCACAGGACCTGGATACCTCTACAGCTATTCTCAAGAAGAAGAAGAAGCCCAACTCGTTGATGTAAGCAGCATGAGTACCTCCCGCTATCGGTCAATGGTTTTCGGATACTGACTCAACTTTTCACAGCGTGACCGATGCCGTTAATGATGACAACTCCGTTATTGCCCTTTCCAACAACACCATGGAGACTCTCCAGCTCTTCAGAGGCGACACAGTCCTTGTGAAGGGCAAGAAGCGGAAGGACACTGTCCTGATCGTGCTTGCTGATGATGACTTGGATGACGGAAGTGCTCGTATTAACCGTGTTGTGAGACACAACCTGCGTGTCAAGCACGGTGATATGATCACTGTTCACCCCTGCCCCGATATCAAATATGTAGGTTGATTAATGATTTCCCCCCCCTTCTTTCCGACTGAGGAGTATTCTGACCTGTTATTCTCGCCACAGGCCAAGCGAATTGCCGTTCTTCCCATTGCAGACACTGTCGAGGGTCTGACTGGGTCTCTTTTTGATGTCTTCCTCGCCCCCTACTTCCGCGAAGCCTACAGACCTGTAAGACAAGGAGATCTGTTCACAGTACGTGGAGGTATGAGACAGGTGGAATTCAAGGTTGTCGAGGTTGACCCTCCAGAATACGGCATCGTCGCTCAGGATACCATCATTCACTGCGAGGGTGAGCCAATCCAGCGGGAGGATGAGGAGGGTAACCTGAACGAGGTCGGCTACGATGATATCGGTGGCTGCAGGAAGCAGATGGCTCAGATCCGTGAATTGGTCGAGCTGCCCCTTCGCCACCCTCAGCTGTTCAAGTCGATCGGTATCAAGCCGCCTCGCGGTATCCTGATGTACGGTCCTCCTGGTACCGGTAAGACCCTCATGGCTCGTGCTGTGGCCAACGAGACGGGTGCCTTCTTCTTCCTGATCAACGGTCCCGAGATCATGTCCAAGATGGCTGGTGAATCCGAATCGAATCTGCGCAAGGCATTTGAAGAGGCTGAGAAGAACTCGCCCGCCATTATTTTCATTGATGAGATCGATTCGATCGCCCCTAAGCGTGAGAAGACCAACGGAGAAGTCGAGCGCCGTGTCGTCTCCCAGCTTCTGACTCTGATGGACGGCATGAAGGCCCGCTCCAACGTCGTTGTTATGGCCGCCACTAACCGCCCCAACTCCATCGATCCTGCCCTTCGTCGTTTTGGTCGTTTCGACCGTGAAGTTGATATCGGTATCCCTGACCCCACCGGCCGTCTTGAGATCCTGTCCATCCACACCAAGAACATGAAGCTTGGTGAGGACGTCGATCTGGAGACAATTGCCGCCGAGACTCACGGCTACGTCGGTTCCGATCTTGCCTCTTTGTGTTCCGAGGCGGCCATGCAGCAGATCCGTGAGAAGATGGATATGATCGATCTGGATGAGGATACCATCGACGCCGAGGTGCTTGACTCGCTTGGTGTCACCATGGAGAACTTCCGCTATGCGCTCGGCGTCTCGAACCCCTCTGCTCTCCGCGAGGTGGCCGTTGTCGAGGTTCCCAATGTCCGTTGGGAGGATATTGGTGGTCTGGAGGAGGTCAAGCGCGAGCTCATCGAGAGCGTCCAGTACCCTGTGGATCACCCCGAGAAGTTCCAGAAGTTCGGCCTTTCGCCGTCTCGTGGTGTTCTGTTCTATGGTCCTCCTGGTACTGGTAAGACCATGCTTGCCAAGGCCGTCGCCAACGAGTGTGCTGCCAACTTCATTTCAGTCAAGGGCCCTGAGCTTCTGAGCATGTGGTTTGGTGAGTCTGAGAGCAACATCCGGGATATCTTCGACAAGGCCCGTGCTGCTGCTCCTTGTGTTGTCTTCCTTGACGAGTTGGATTCCATTGCCAAGTCGCGTGGTGGTTCCGTTGGTGACGCTGGCGGTGCCTCTGACCGTGTGGTCAACCAGCTTCTTACTGGTAAGTTTGATTGTTTTCCACGAAAATACGATCGTTTCTGACCATTATCATAGAAATGGACGGTATGACCTCGAAGAAGAACGTCTTCGTCATTGGTGCTACCAACAGACCCGAGCAGCTCGATGCTGCCCTGGTTCGTCCTGGTCGTCTCGATACCCTGGTCTACGTGCCTCTGCCTGACCAGGCTTCTCGTGAGAGTATTCTCCGGGCTCAGCTCCGCAAGACTCCTGTCGCTCCCGATGTCGACATTCCTTTCATTGCCAGCAAGACTCACGGATTCTCTGGTGCTGATCTGGGATTCGTCACGCAGCGTGCTGTCAAGCTTGCCATCAAGCAGTCGATTGCTGCTGACATTGATCGCCAGAAGCAGCGTGAGGCTGCTGGTGAGGATGTCAAGATGGAGGATGAGGGCGAGGAGGAGGACCCAGTGCCCGAACTTACTCGTGCTCACTTCGAGGAGGCCATGAAGTCGGCCCGCCGCTCCGTCAGCGACGTGGAGATTCGCCGCTACGAGGCCTTTGCCCAGAGTCTCAAGAACTCTGGTGGCAGCAGCTTCTTCCGCTTCCCTTCCTCGGGTGAGGTTGCGGAGAATGACACGTTCGGGGAAGCCGGCAATGATGACAGCCTCTATGACTAAATGGGTTTCTTTTTTTCCTTTTTGAGCTTGTTCGTTTGCATTTTCAGTTTCCTATCCTTTGGTAGCTAGATCTAGTGGGACCTCGGGCTATGAACCCTGGGAATGTCGACCGGGAGTCTCCTGTTCATACGAATTCGTATTCATTTTCAATATTTTTTCCAATGTTTCCGCGTTCAAGATTTCTAAATCGTTACGTCTCATAGACCATGTGGGTGACCGTCAAATCAGAAAGGGGTGAATTACGCTGAAGTCAGTCACCTGCTTTTGAAGTAGAAGATCAATATCGACAGCATCCCTGGCACATTGTACAACCGTGAAGTGGCATGCATGGTATCAAAGTAACAAAAAAGGAAAAAGAATAAGAAGCCCCTCTCCAAGACTCCTAGGACCGCGCCCGAAAATATATTCCATGATGAATGAGAAACAAACGCCCCGTAACCGAATCAACCCAATATCGCAGCTCAACAGAAATGATGCAGAAGCGAGAAGCGTTAAAAAAAGGGGGGGACTTCTCACCCACTTCACTTGACCTGCTTGCCCGGCTTCGTCTTCTTCTCCATCTTCTTGGTCGGACTCGGGTCCCCGTTCTTCAACGCCTTGGGTTTCTCTTTCTCCTTTTCTTTCTCCTTCTCCGCCTCCCCCTCCAGACTCGACCCGGTCTTCTCGGCACGCTCGCTCTGCTGCAGCGCCGTGAGGTCCGGATCGTCGTCCAGCACGATCACGTCGCGGAGGACCTCCTTGAGCGCGCGCACGCCCTGCTCGACCACCGCCTTGGGGATGCGCACGTCGACGTTGAGGTCTTCGTCGTCGGAGCCGTCGTCGGCGGAGGGGGCGAACGGATGCATGCCTGCGGCGGAGGCGACGACGGCCTCGACGACGTCGTCGAAGCGCTCGCAGCGGCCGGCACGGAGGAGCTCGAGGGAGAGTTTGCGGATTTTTTCGGTCCAGCCGAGGCGTTGCAGGGAGGAGAGCAGGGTTGTGTGCAGGTCTTCGAGGGCGGTGGTTTGGGCGAGGTGGGTGAGGAGGTCGGTTTCGAGGGAGTCTGGGGAGAGGAGTTGGGGCGAGGAAGGGGTGGTTTTTGTGGAGGGCATTGTGGTCTTGTATTTAGTCTGGTTTTGGTCTCTTAGTTCTTGGTTCTCGATTCTTGGTCTTGCTGGTTGCTCGGAGAGTTTGGGGGTAGTATTCTGCTGGTGGTGCTGCAAGTGCTGGGTGCTGGTATAGAACTCTTTTTTCTTCGGTTCCGTTCTTCGGGGCAAAGGGTGGTGTCTGGTTCACGCGATCTCGGTGGGATTATTGTCTCACGATTATTTTCGTCTGGTAGTATGCGAGAACGGGATCCTGCCCTTCCTGTATGTCTTTTGGGGAGAGTTGGGATGTTCTATCGGGGCGCGGCGCGACGCTGGCGGAGAGGTAGGCAAGGTGGTGATGCGACTATTGCGGCGGCGGGTAAGGGAGGGAAGAACGAGGTGCGTTCTGTTCCTGCGAAGTTCATTCGGTCAGCATTGAGCGCATTTGATATTTTCAGGGAGCTGCGACTCCTACTATACGAGTATGGAAATCTGTCGAACCCCGAGAGTGTCTGGAATCCGGCGGAGCTGGGGAAAGAAATGGGTGGTGTTTAAGCTCGGAATCCCGCTGCTTGTAGAGGGAGACGAGATGGGATGAGTAAGGATGTTGGTTGGTGAGGACAGACGAGGAGGTGATATAATCCAGAAAAATCAATGCAACAGCAAAACAATTGTCCTAATTCTGGAAAATGGAGTGTCTAATTTATGAGTCGAGATATGAGAGGGTTCTTAAGTTGGTTGTCCCGTCCAGGATTGAGGTCACGCCGTCGCATCTTTTCAAGTCCAGCGGTATAGTATATGGATCAGAAAACAAAACGGTAGACTACAGTGCCAACAACAACAACAACAATAGCAATATTAACCAACATCGCTGTGGTTCTGTTCTCCTCTCATCTTCATTCTGGTTTAGAGTCGTTCTCGGTCTCTATCAATTAACAGGCAACTTGCCTCCATATCCGTGAAATGCAGCTATAATGGGTTAGCCAATAGACAGATACAGATTTCTGGTGCCAAAGCGAAGAAGATATACAGCCCTCAACGCCCTGACCTGCTTGACATGCCCAGTAAACATGCTAAGCACAGTCCAGGTTGCAATCCAGAAGCATTGACGCGCCTTCTTAGCAACTGGCACTTGGGATGGACGCAAGCGCTGGAGTGGATACGAACAACAGACATTGATTCTTGAAGATTACTAGTTCGAATCCTTGATAAACGTGAGCATTATAGGGCGGTGAAGGGTCGTTCTCAGTAGAGAACGAGAGATCCTGTCATCAACCTGACCGGTATCAATATGACGGTCTGGTAGGTTTATTTTAGACACAGTCGGCGTGGCAAGATATATAGATAGAAGGACTCCGCCGTGTTAAGCTGTTCTGCAGTTGAACAGCATGATGCTGGGAGCAGCGTCATTGTAAGGATCTGCTCAGTCTCATCTGTCCAGCCACATGCTAGTGTAACGTCCTCCAGGGTATATAAAATCCTGGACATCTTGGATCATGGATGAAAGACGAGAGGACATCCGAGGATCCGACTGCTGCTGTGGATGCTGCAGAGGGTAGCGCTGAGGAACTGAATAACGGCCGAGGACCTATAACGGTGTCTCTCTTAATCTATTTTGCATATCCGTAGTTCCGTACTTTGTGTGATAATCCGGAAGCACAGTCAATATCATGAAAATCCTGGATAGAAATAGCATCGGCTACGGAGGAACGGCGGAGTAACTAGTCTAATGAGTAATGGCATGATGATAGCGGAGCTTTGGGCTCTCCCATGCCCAAATGGTCCCGGCCGCCGGCACTATTGAATTCTGACAGCGCTCATCATGAAGAAACTGAGCATGGTTTGAATTTAGCTCCGTGCATACACACTAACTATCTAGTATCTACGAAGCACTGGTTTACTGGATGAATGTCTTGTTCCAATAATGGAGAATGGAGCAGCGACTCGACTAGCAAGATTCGTGCCATGATATTGCTGTCTAAATTGACCACTATTCGTTAGACTCCCCCGTAGTTGATGAAGGTTTCAATTTTCGTAGTTGTTTCCTTGCCCCCTTTTCTGCAGTCTTGACGGGTCAATCATAATGTTGATGATCGAATTAGGGGAGTGATGGAGGACTGTTAGTCTGTATCCACGGAGTACGCTGTCGAACATCCTTGCTCTGGGCCTGAGGCAGAAACAGGTGGGATGATCAATATATCCGCGTCAAGTCGAGTCTGGAGGCTATGGATAGAAATACTCAAAACAATGAGAATCCATCTCATTCAATCTCAAGAACGCAGAGAACAGAGTCCAGACTAACTTCACGTGCAGAGATCCAACTTTAGAAGCGCTGACCACAGCCACACCTTCTCTGATTGGACTAGTAGTAACTACTAACTTACTAAGTACTACGGAGTACTAACTACTCTGTAGTATCTGGTAGTTAGTAACTTAGTACGGATACTGCTGTGGACTAGTACCTTTTGGGTACCTGCGGGTAGTAGGATGCTCCACGGCCAGATCAGGTACTCCTAAGGTACAACATCATTTATGCTTTTTTTTTCCCCCTCCAGAACTTCTTCGGATTTAATATCAACTACCATCATTGTCATCCTCTTTCTGATTTTTCTTTTTTCTTCTGCATTCTTATTATTATCTTCATCATCTTCTTCTCCTCTCCCTCAAGTCCTCAGCTTCCCCTTCTCCCCCCCCCCAGTGGTGTTGATTTGTTTTCTACACTCCCCGTGACTAATCGACTGGCCTTCCCGATTGGGCCAAGATCCGCTCTTTCCTCCCCGCTCTCTCTGGCCTGCGTTGGTGGCCTCAGGAACCCCATCTTCGGTCACGGGCATCTCTATCCGTATCTCTATCTCTATCTCAACTAGTTATCTACCGCTGGAGACGCTTTCCCTTCGTTATCAACAGCCTACCCTCCTGTATCCGAGCAATTTCAGTCCAAATCGCTTGTCTCTCGTCCTAAATCACCATCCAGTGACAGTCCCGTATCACGCAGAGATTGCTAATCTCGCTTTAACCGCCCTCATTCCCGTTCATGTGGCTCACTTGCTTGGCTGAATTGCACCTACTTGCATCATCACCCAACCTCGTCGGATTGCAGCGAATGAAGACAACATCCATCGTCTGAAGCAAGTCAAAATTGTGCAAGCGGATTCCTCCATTGTTCCCCCCCCCTCCCGACTACCACAACCGACTACCACAATTCGTTTTCACTGTGGCACAAACAGCCAAAGCGATCAACGGGGCCGACGTCCACCTCCCCTCCTCTTCCTTCCCGTGGACGTCATCTGGACCCAGAGCTCCCATTACAGCCATGTCGCTTCATACATCGTACCATATGGACTCTGATGCCGATGACGAGTACGAACGCAGCGTGATCACGTCCCCTCACCTTGCGACTGACTCCGAGGCTTCTCCTTCCGACTCCGAATTCCCCTCCGCCGAGCATACACCCAAAACATTCGCGATTCCCGGAGACGATCCTCGATCGCCTAGAACCATCATCTCAGAATGGACGGCCGAGGAATGCGCTAACTGGCTGGCCGCACTGGGCCTCCGTCAGTACTGCGCAACCTTTCTAGGTACGTTTGTTTGAGTGACCTGCACGGGTGGATAAATCTGCGAAAGGCTTGGGATTGGATCACGACTGACCGTGTTCTCTTATAGAAAACGAAATCGTTGGAGAAGCACTCATTGCACTAAAACACGAGGAACTCAAGGAAATGGGAATCACCAGTGTGGGCCACCGGCTGACGATCCTGAAGAGCGTATATGAGACCAAAGTCAAGCAGGAGATCCCACTTGACCCTGATCACTACATACCTCTTAGTATGCTTCCGCTCCCCTGGTGTTTGAATTCAGAGGCGAAACTAACTGCGTTGCAGCGGCGGACCAGAGCATGAACGAAAATGCGACCCAGGAGGATGTTGCTCGTTTAATCCTATCTATCCGGTTACGAGACGAAAAAATCGTCAGCGTTGAGGCGGAAATGCGGCGTGTTGCCGAAGAATATCGCCGATTAAGAGAAGAGCTCCTCCCGGTCTTTAAGATGGCCAAGGACCGATCACAACCGCTACCCCCTCCATCGTCCTCCGGCTCCGCACATGATGGACACTACGACGGTCAAACTTTGATCTCGCCTCCTCCCACCACCGCCAGTACCACTTCTACTCTCATTGAGCGTGCAGCGTCCGGTATCTCCCGGACGTTCTCCAAACGTTACAATGGTGGCACAACACCGAAGAACAATTCACCTACCTATATCCCACCATCCATCCACGAAGGACGACCGTATAATGACGGCAGTAGTCTCGATCCGTCTGCTGCTGGCAACTCGCACTTGAGTGCCCTCAATGGCAAGCCACAGTTGTCGCCGGGCATACCGTCACCGACCTCGCCGGGTGCTCACTATGGTGCGCACCAGACTCTCGCGTCACGATCTTACACACAACCGAATTCAAGCCGCACAATCCACGATCATGCAGAAGATACCCCGACAATACAATCGCGACCTGATCGTTTATTGAACCCCACACCGACCCAAACATTGCGTTCGGACGTGCCCACACGATCCGACTCCAGAGCCGGTGCTGATACACCCAGCGTTGAGATCTTCAAATCATTCCGCGTCTCCATGGATGACCCGTGCCACAAGGTTCTCCCTGCTGCACTCAAGAAGTACAATATCAACGCGGACTGGAAACAATACGCATTGTATATCGTGTACGGCGATCAAGAACGATGTTTGGGACTCGAGGAGAGGCCGCTCATCCTGTTCAAGCAACTTGAGAAGGAGGGACGTAAACCTATGTTCATGTTACGAAAACAGCTGCATCCAATTGAAAACACATATGCCAGTGGGGGATCTGCCCCCAACAGCGCCGGATTCGAGGGCCGACAAGGCCAGATCAACCTACCTGGCGGCGTGCTGTGACCTGTGCCCCCGACCTTACGTGTATCATCCAATCCACCAATCAAACCCGAATCGCGACCATTCAATCTGTTGCTTGAGATACCCCCGATCCCTCCTCTTTTAGGGTGATCACTTTTTTTGTTCCGTTACATTCTCACCTTCTCACTTCCCCATTATCCCATCTTCAGACCACTTGGAACTCTTTCTTCGTCGTTATATAAGCGGTGTTATGGGTGTTGGGCACCATCAGGATAGGCAAAATAGCGGTTGTTCATTTGGCATGGCATGACATGGCACGGCATGGCAGTTCTACATCTTTTCTTATTCCTTTTCTTTTTTAATCTCTTTTGCTTTCTTTCTTGTGATATGCCCTCTATTCTCCATTCTATACATTGTCCTTGTTCTCTTCTCTAGTGACATAATTCCTTATTCTTCATTCCTGTTTCCCCCTTCTGCACTATCCCATGAACATTACCATTGCAATCTACACGACCTGGACACGAAACAATCCCATCACATTAATATCAGTATTTCCTGCGCTCTATCAACCCCATGCCCCCCCGAAATCAAAGTTGAATATCCATTCACCCTGGAGTACTAGTAAAAAATCCCAAGCAGATAATCCTAGCCAACGATAGGCCAAGAGTCCACCTTCAAAACCTGCTCTGTGTCTCGAAAAAAAGAAAAAAAAGAAAAAAAAAAACTCAATAATAACGGACTGACACGTCAAGGCCCCCTGTGGCCTGAGCCCGAATCACGGCTCTTACTCACTCTTAGGCCTGGAACTTGGAACTTGGAGCGTAACGCCTTGGAGACCATGCAAGGAGGCTGGGATGGAGAGGTTGATTGCCAGTTGATAGTTAAGTACTACGTACTCCGTACAGGACAATCGGGTCGTCGATGAATATTAATGCCTTGCGAATACTCCATAGTCCGTATCTCACTTGGCGTACTTAGATAAATAGATAGATAGATAGATAGATAGATACTGTACTGTAGACTAAGTACAGAGGAGATATCTCGATCACTACGGAGTAGATGGAATGAATTATTGAATGAGGAATTTAATACAACCAGTCACGCACTGAGCCAAGAGAGATCTATAACACGCCAATCGATAGTACTGGCCGATCGGCGCGACAAAAAGGAAAAGAGGCAGAAGAAACGGGGAATCAGGTCGTTACACAGCGTCAAAGGGTGATTGATGTCTGTAGTCTGTACTCTGGACTCTGACTTGGGCCCTTCCCTTCTATATATACAAGCGCCCCGAGATAGGCAAATGGACGCCTCGCGTACTCAAATCATGGACAAGATCTGGATTTCTTGTTTTCAACTCTCCCCCCCCCCCCCTCTCTCTCTCGCTCCCCGTTTGCCCACTGCAGAACTTCTGTGTTCGTGCGCTCCCCTTGCCTCTCATTTCCCTTTTTCTTCTATTGTTGCTGTTCTCCTCTTTTTCTTCGCTGTTCCTTCACTTCTCGCGACCTTTCTCTCCACCCCACGAGATGCGAGTGCGATGGCCTCGATGACTCGAGAGTCGGTCTGAAGAGCTCGATGGCAGATCGCCTACGCCGCCAGCGTCTTCTCTGGTCTCAGAGGGCCGAGCACCATCGGCAAATTGGACTTTGCCTGCCACCTGGTGGAACTCGCCGTTGTCTTCACTGTCGGTATCCACGACAGCGGTGTTGTCCCTGTCGCTGTCCGAGTCCGAGTCATGCAGCTCGCCCAGGGCAGCAAGACGACGGCGGCGCTCCGCAGGGGTTTCTCCCGTGTCGTCCAAGTCAACCTGCTGAAAAGGCCGTGCAAGACCGGCTGCCTCTCGAAGCCGTGACGGAGGAATCCGCTCGGTACCGTCATCCTCGGAATCTCTCCTCGATCGAGGCTGAGCTCTCGCGGCGGCCTCCGAAGTCTCCAAGGTACTGCGTCGTTCTTGCGCAGCGGAACCCTGGGTGAACCGGGCTAGAGAAGCAACAACGTCACCGGGAACGTCGTGTTCCGACTCGTCATCGGTGAGGCCGCTGTCGGAGCTGAACGCATCGACATCGCGGGTCTCGCGCTGGGTATTGGGAGGCACTGGGATTTCGGTGGGTTCTGTTGGCATGGATTGCCGCCGTTCAGCCACGTCGGCCTCGTCACGGGCCACATCCTTGACATGCTCTGGAACGTCGGTTTCCTCAACTAGTTCCCGACGAGCCTTGGGGCCAAGGTTCTTGATCTGCCGAGCGAACTCGTGCTTGGTCATTCTACGACCCTTGTGGCCGACGCCCCTCTTGCTGACCTGGTCATCGTTGGCAAGAGTGAAACGCAGACCGTCGTCCGCCATCCACTCGTCTTCAGCGGCCTTTCGACTTTGAGCAGCCTGCGAGGTTTCTGCTTCACCTTGACTGAACCACGTTCCCATCCGTCCTAGTCCACGACGGCCAGGGCCGCCTGCATCAGGCTTCTCAGTCGGAGGGATGGAATACTTCTTAATGACTTCACCGTCTTCGTCCTCGACGATGATAGTGTTGCCGAATTGGTACGCGTGGGCCGAGCGAGCCTTGCTCTTGGTCAATTTACCACCTGCACCCTCACCCGGCTTCTTCTCGGCAGATTTCTTCGCCTCCTTGCTCTCGGGCTCCTCGTTGCGGCCCTTGCCCCAGCCGACCCACTTGCCAAATTGCTTGCGAGCCTTTCCAAGAGAAGGACCAGCTGCCGCGCCCACAGCGTGTTGAATGTCTTCTCCTTCTGTCTTTTCATGGGGTTGACTTCTGGACTTGGATAGCTCGCCTGATTTATCTTCTCGCAGCCTTCGCTTCTGCTCCTCGATATGCTGCTGCTGCTCTTCCGGGGATTTATGACTGATGTCTTCTGTCTTCAGGACATTTCCTTCCTCATCTTCGATAATCATGGTGTGGCCTTCAAGATACACCTCAATGACCGGCTCTCGGCCAAATCTATCGCGCTCGTGAGTAGGAGGCGATCCTCCTCGCTCGATCTTCTCCCGTTCTGCGGCTTCCTCCTTGACCATCTCGGTCTCCTCGCCGGTATCAGATGGTCGCTGAGGCATGATGGCAGATTGACTGATCGGACCTCCGGCCCCATCGTCGCGTCTACGGCGTCTCCGAGGTCTGCGACTGGACGTTCGACCAGTAGGTGTCTCTGATTCTTCCTCACGCACCCGGCGTAGGAAGTTGCCGGGAACACCGATAGGCGGAAGGGTTCCAGGGGGATATTCCGGTTCATTGGACGACTCATCAAATTCGTCTGCCTTGCGGAAGGACATGGAGCCCTTTGCCAGAGACTGTACACGGGGTAGACGGTTCATCCAAGAAGGACCATCTTCGTTGGCAGTCGTGTAGGATAGCGTGATGGTCAGGGTATTGATGCGCTTTCCGAGAGTGAACACGGCGATTGAGGAACCATGCACCAAGATGGAGGAGATGACCATGAAGGTGGTGATGGGCCAGATCAACTGGACGACATAATAGTCTTTCGTCCCGGCCTTCGGCAGGTCCGCCTCAGACAGCGGTTGCGTGCTATCGGTTTCCAGTTCCGCCCTGGCCAGGATGGCCGCGAAAATCGCGCCAACACCAATGGGGCCGAAATGACCGGCGAACAGCGCCTCGCGCCATGTTTTCACGTCCGGTATAATCGGCTTCAAGAGCATCATGATGGGTATCCGGCGGAAGAAGATCACCAGAATAGCAATGACGACCAACCTCCAAGGCACGAGACCAATATCGGGGTTGTTGTAGTCTTCCCAGGGGATAATGGAACCGAAATAGACAAAGTACGCCAGATTGAGCAGTAAATCAATGACGTTGGACACGTGAGACTCCTCGGTCTTTTCGGTAAACCAGCCGTCGTTACTGAAGCCGACTCCAGCAGAGAAACCGATCAGCAGATCATCCATGCCCAACAAACTTCCCGAACCAGCACAGAATACCGCCAGCACGAAGTAGAAGACTAGAAAACTCTCGCGATCGATCAACTGCTTCCGCTCAGCCCACTTGATGGCGTGGCGAGCGAAATATCCGATGAGGAAGCCAAAGATTGCGCCAAAGATACACTCGTACAGAATGGTGATGCAAAACCAGTGCAGCGACACCTGCCCGGCATCAGGCCGATAACGTAGAATGTAAAAGCCCAAATAGATAAAGGGGAATGCCATGCCGTCGTTGCAGCCGGACTCGGCGGACAGCAGATCTCTCAAATGTTTGGGGACCCGCTTCGCGAATTTACCCTTACCGACGACTGACGAGGCAAGGACGGGATCGGTGGCTGTCACACAGGCAGCGCAGACAAGACTCTCCAACCAGTTGAGTGGAGGCACCATCCACCAGATGAACAGACTTGTGATCAACCAACCCCAGGTCATCACCGGCACCAGTAAGAGAAAGACGGAGCGCCAGTGCCGCTCCATGTATGCTTTCGGCAATTCGACACCGACGGCAAAACACTGGACGACGAGGACAATGCGCGAACATTCAAGGGTAATTTTGTCAACGTTACCCCATGACATGGGGTTGAAGAGGTTGGCGGCATGGGGGCCGAAGATGATGCCACACAGCGTGGCAACAGTGGCTTCGCCAATGTACAGTTTCTCCTTGACGAAGAGGGAGCAAAGCATGAACAGGCCGGTAAAACCGCCTAGGATCATGTACGCCAGATGCGGCTTATCGATATCCAGATGATCCCACGCCATTTTTGTTACCGGGGGAAAGGCGAGATGGGAGCAGAGAAGCCTAACCTAGCCGTATCGTATGGCTTCCTTCCTGTGATATTCTGCTCCGGTGTGATTCTAATTGCTTCTCCTGATCGATACGCGCGTAGTTGTGCGTCCGCGTTCCCCCGACCGATCGGACGTGCAATTACAAGTAATCTTTCCGCCGCAGAGGTTGACAATCCCGGTTTCTCGGCATGCCTTTCTCAGGAAGGTGCAAATGAGGTTCGGGATCGGACAGACGAAGATAACGATCGGTAAAAAAGAAAAAGAAAAAAGAAAGTTGGTTTGCTCTTGTATCTTGCCTGCAGGGCTCGTTAGCTGTCTTCCCGAGACAATTGACGGCTGAATAACGAAAGCGAGCAAGACGAGACAATAAGCGGAGGAGAAGACAGGCGAAGAGAAACAGCCAGAACACAAGCACTGAGTCGCGCCACTCGACCAGGAGGGAGAGAGAAAGAGCAAGAACTCAGAGACGGAAATTGATAGCCCGCACACTGGAAAAGAAAGGAAAGAGCTAATCCACTACGATACTTACAAGAGAACAATAGCACGAGCTGCGGAGAAACACCAAGCACGCAGTGAAGAACAGGACGAGAAAAAAAGCAGGCAAGCGAACGGAGTTCAAGCAAAGAACAAGCGATGACAAGAAACAGACAAGAAAGAAGAAGCAGAGAGCGGAGGAGAAGACAAGACGCTGGGCAGACGCAACTCACAAGGAACCGAGCAAATTCAAGGACCCAGAGCCAAGACGACGACGACGGAAACCAAGACTCCAACCAAGAACTTCATAATGACGAGGCGGGAGCAATGAAATTTTCCTTTCTTCTTCCCTCTAGCGAATCAATCCGAGGGAAGTCGAGAAGAGTAAGCAGAGACAAGAAAAAGAAAAAAAGCTGTCTTTTTGCTTGGACGATGGCACTTTGGGTGCTGTAGAGTACAGGAGTAGTAGATAGCGCGAGTTTGCCAAAGAAATGGAGGAATCATCCTAGTGGAAAGATGATGCTGGAAGGCAAAGAAAAGAAACTGGCTGCCTGAGTGCCTGGATGCCTGAGGACCTAGCGGGGATGCGCAATTCACGTTGTCGTCGCCCCACACCGTCGCTCGCGGAGCGAACAGTTTCCTTTCTTGGCGGGCGGACTAGCCCGGAAATGGATTAGTACGGTCCTAGGCTGAGATAAGACCACCGAATACGGTTCTTGTAAAGATAACGCGCTGTTTAATGGTTTTATGATTAGTGTTGTGGTATCCATAATTACATGATACAGCATTGCAGCTACCTACCTACCTACTAGATACAGAGCTATCTAACTGCTCAGTAATCTCAGTAATATTAGGACAATATGATCAGTCAGATAAATCAGCCTACACTACTCCGTAGAGTATATCCAACCTGATCCAGGGTACCAATGACAGCTGCCATAAACCCAGAACAGCAACATCCCCCGTGCACCACATGGGATCTATAATCGGGCGTAGCACAGCATTCCCAACTAGACGGGACTAAATAAGTGATTAACTATCTACATCGTGGGCGCCCGGATGGGTATCCAACATTCCCGTGCCCCGTCCCAAAAGAAGGCAACCTTTAGCGGAGATTCCGTCGAATGCATAAACTGGAGCATACCTAACTCCATACCTAGATAGTAGTCCGTACTGCATGTTCACAAAGTGACAAAACCCTCGCAATTACCCCAGCCATCATCAGGTATGCAAATTTACCGTCGATACTCGAGAAATACCGCCCAGCCTTGCACCAGACTTTGATTTACTGATTACTTTCGTAATCCGGATGTGATGATCCTGTATGATAATTGGTTGGAATGGCCAAGACTGGCTCCATCTGGGGCTCCACTCTGGGCCATTCGTCTGAGATCGTGGGAGTCATGAGGTGTAATCCCATTGGACAAGTTCAATGTTTTTCAGTTTTCCCATCATTTGATCCTAGTGGGGCTTGTCTGTGGTGGTCCACCATTCAGCTCTGGCCATAAATGACTCTACCTACCAAGCTAATTTTTTTTTTTTTGGTAAACGTGATGGCCTGAGGCATCACAATAAGTAATAAGTAAAGTAGATAAAAAGGTGGAGGCCCAAGTGACACTGCCTCGGGGTTCGCCATGCATACATCAGTAGGTTAGGTTACATACATATCACACGCAGCAGATTGTAGCCCAACCAAACGGTCTGAGTTAACCTCCGCCATATAGCAATCAGAGGGAAAAAGCATGCGCCGATGAGTCAGAGCAGAACAGATGAAGAAACAACAATCAGAGACAAAATCAATGTCCCGGAATTCGTGACAAACGCAATCAGGCAATAGGTACCAGTATCCTCAGAGATCTCCACTACGAAGAAACAACAGCAGGGTAGAACTGGGTGGTGGTTCTACTCGCCCAAAGGCATCCCTTCCACTTGATCACTCAACGACCGCCAGTTATCAGCCTGCAGCTCGGAGTATTTCACGCGCTCCTGGCTCCAATCCTGATGGAGCCGGCTGATGTGGTACTGACTGCGCTGGAAATGTACCAGCTCGTCCCGGATGCACTCCTTAATGAAGACTCCTCGTGCGTGTTGCTGTACAATCGACTCCTTGTCCTGCAGCGCGAGCAAAATACGTGTCAACGAACTGTCAGGGGGGGCGAGTGGGATGAAAAGGTGCCGAAAAAGCAAAACCACAAAGCTGACGTACCTTGAATATCGACTCTTCAACCTTCTCGATCTCCCCAGGCTTCACCGCTCCTTGAGGCCGGGCCCGCAGTTCTTGCAGTTTGCGCTCGTTGCTCTCAATTCGTCGCTCCAGTTGGGGTATGTTATTCTTCGCGTATCGATCTCGCCGATCAAACATCTCTCGCACACTGACCAGACAATCTCTCTGAAACTTCAAGTCTTCCAAGACGCCGTTCTCCCATGCTCGCGCCTCATCCTCCAGCAAACTTTGGCTGGCCGAGAGGTGTCTGGCCGTAGCCATGATCCCTTCATTGAGCGCCGGGACATCGCCGGGATCTGCAGAGTAAGTATCTTTGGTCACTTCCGTGAGGGACTGCAATGCTAGTGAAAATCGTAGATGATCGGCGGCAAGCCCCTCATTGCGCTTAGCCAACCGCTCAAGCAGCGCGCATAGATTGATGTAGATCTCGGCGGACCGCTTGACGCCGCTGCGGACCGTCTCGAACATATCCGTCAAATCAGCAGGTAATGAATCTTCAAGATCCGGCGGTAAGACGCGGCCCGTGAATTCGTCTTGAACGGAGATCGTAGCTTGTTTACGCCAGACCGAAAGTTCCTGCGAAAGTTAGACGACCGCGCACTCATCACCTCGCCGGAAGATGAACCACCCACCGTAGGAACCGTCAAAAACATTATGACCAGTTGTTCTTGGTTTAGGACAGGGTGACGAACGAGAGCGTTGGTAAATCGGACAAGGCCACGACGCCGTTTCTCAAGGAACGAATTGGAATCCGCTGAAAGGTGAGTGCCATTGACTTTAACGCATTGCAAGAGAGGTGAGTAAGCTTTGAGGAGAGCTGCTTATAAGCCTGTGCTCTGACGTACCTGAAATTCTCTTTGGCGGCAAGAGAGGAAGCTGCCGGAACGGATACCGTCTGTGAAGGCAATCCAGCAACCAGACAAAGTCGCTATATCGCCGGATCACGGTGCTGCCACGTCGGGCAGATTTGACCTCGTAATTACGGTGCTGGAACATGAACATCCCTTCCTTCTCAGGCAATAGAGTGATGGTCGCAACCTCCTCCACCTGGGAATTCGTGATATTGCCCACACTCGTACCGAGCGATCGTCGAGGAGCATTGGGTTCGGCTTCTCCAATGCCTGGTGTCGCGAAATCGCCAAGGCCAGCTTGGACGGAGCTGGTGAACCCACCAGCAGCGCTTGTATCCCTGAGACTTCCTCCCCATCCAGACCCGGCGCTGCTGGATGGCGCAGTCTCCGTCGGTCCACTTGGCCGCTCAGTGCTCGGCGCATGGTGTTGATCTTCATGTCCAGTTGGCCGGCTCGTCGACCACGCGTCGGTCGTCGACCGCACACTCCCAAAGCCGTTCAGGGCCGGAGGCTCAGGTCCAGGTTGTGCATGATCATGACCGCGGTGTAGCTCGGGACTACCCCAGGGATCGGCCTCAAAGCCGCCTAATGACTCTCTCGACTGTCCCGAACGCGCGGATGTGGGTTCCTGTACTGGAGCGGCTGGAGGGGGAGGGGTGGTTGGTCGTTCGTGAGCCGGCGAGGGATCCGAGGGCGCTTGTCGTTCGCGTAAGCCATCTAGATAGGAACTTTTCGGCAGAGGGAGTTCTATAGACACACCGGTTAGTTTTGAAATTGTAAACAATGCAGCATGGTAGTCAAAGATGAGAGCCCCTACTCTTCCGCCGGTCATCCACCGCGTCAAACGTAAGATCCTCCCCCTCTTGCGCAAGCCCGACGAGCGCAAGTAGAACGTTGAACTGGCCGCGTTCAAGCCCATTCGAACTATCGCCGTCGCCAGAGACAACGAGATTGAAGATCTTGGCTTGATCACTGGCGCTCAGCCCACTGCTGGACAGGATCTCGCGGACCGAGGTCAAACCGACGCCGCTGCCAACGCGATCCCCTTCATTCAGCACCAGGTCGTACGCGTCGATATAGCTCTCCGGAACGTCTGCATCAGGCAAAAGGGTTTTGACGAGCTCGTGTCGCGCCACCCGCTTGTTGGTGTTGCTGTTCCAGGGCGAGCTGGTGCTGAACCCGTCGTCATCGGCGAAGAGGGACGAGGAGCCCATGTTGGCAGAACTGGACGCTCCGCCACCGAATGAGGGTTCATCGGCGAATAGCGACGATCTGGACCTCTGGACGGAATCAGCCATCCCAGGCTCTTCCGGTGATGTCCCGAATAGCGACATTGTGAGTGATTTCAAGTGCGCGATGCGTCACGGCTCCGATGGCGACGATCCCAGTTCCCGGTTTAAGAAGCGGAGTGCGGTTGGAGGCTGGGGAGAGAGAGAGATAAGCAACAACAACACCAGGCGCTGCAGCGATAAGCACTCTCAAGAAATCAGAACAAGTACGGAGAAGAACGAAATGCGATAAAAAGGCATTGATAATGAAACCTCCACTTCTTCTTTAGCATCTGGATGAAGTAAACAACCGCTGCCTGGGGCTGGGGGGTTTTCGGGGTGATGTCGTTATGGGGCTCCACCCAGAGCACGCACTAGGCAACTTTAATGATAGTCCGATGAATGCTCGGCGGCATGCGAATAGTATCACTTTTATATTTCAAACAATATCCTGTATCTACTGTGTCTCGGGATGGATATATAAAAAGTCTAGGTATCATTGTATTTCGTATATATGGCACGTTCCGATGCGTGATTATATCATGTCCGATCTTGCATATCCTTCTCGATCCCACCATCACCCGAAGCTTCAGACGCGAGGTCACTGCACTCCCGGCTGGATTCCCTCACTGGGGCCACTACAAAATGCCCGCTCCGGACCAAGAGCTCCTGCCAATCCTTGTTGCCTGTGGCAAGTATCAACGAAGGATTTGTATCCGGCGGAAACCATCGTTCTCTACGCGTCTCTGCCTTGCTTCCTCCTTCCAGTGCCGCGCGGCTTGCCCTCGTCTTTCGCATTCTCTTCTTGCCATCCGTGTTCAGGGAGAGAAGACCACTTAACTGGAATCGATACTGTTCCAAGCGGAGATCAAATGCCATGATGGCACGGATATACGGCGCCAGGTCCTCGGACAGAGGCCGAAGCCCGTTCTCGAATGATGGTGCTAATCGTCCGGTTGAGGAGGGGTAGAAATGGTCAGCCCGTCTGACGGGCTCGAATGCGGCAAGTAATGTCGTCTGAGAAGGGCCTGCTGGTTTTGGAGTCATAGAGTGTGTCAAAACTCTCCGGCCTTGTGAAAACTCGATATCTGCCTCATGCCCATTGCGGAAAACTCTTCCTAGGAAGACCTCGAATGTACTCCCTATATTTGAGGATTGTGAGGAGTAATCAAGCACGAGGTCAGTCTGCAAAAGAGGATAGCCGTCAATGTAGTTCGCTCTCTGCTTCTCGGACATGGTAGGGATAGTGGTATCAATGGAGTCCTGCGAAAGTTAGCTTTGGATTGATAATACTCTTGTGAGGATTAAACCTACCAATTTGGCGTCAAGAGAGCAGCCAGGGCACAGAACATCGAGGTCGCTCCTGAAATCCGCATAATCGGACCGATATCTCAGCCTTTGCAGACGCTCAGAGGTTTCCACCGTAGGCTTGTTGTCTGGTGATGAGACAGTATCAAATTGCGATTCCGCCTGTGTGTCGCATTCTTGCAGGCTGAGTTGCCACCACTGCAAGGACTCCTTTGTCACTTCGATATGGCTGTCCAGCGTGTCACCCAGCAGGACATCGCGACCAAACCAGCCCATGAAGGGGCGATACGTATTCAAACTGATTACTCTCAACGGGTCACCGTTGCGATCCAGATCCGTACCTTTGGGCCACCTATCGATAAGCCAGTCCAGGCCGGATTTCTCACTTCCAACGGCCATCTGGCACCAAAAATTTAGATCCATGATCGCTTTCCGAAAGTCTTTACCGGTGGCAGCATAGAGATTGTTGACAGCTTCTCGCCTCAACATATGGCCCTCATTCGCGGCCAGGAGAAGAAGATAGTCAACAACTAGGCGTTGTGGAGGTGGTTTATACCGCAGAATTCCGTGGAATGAAATGTCGTCCAGCGGTATGAGCTTTTCATCATTGCAAGTAATAATGATTGGACGTTTTGATTGGGTGATGAGGGTCATGACTCCAGACCAGAATTGTTTGTCTTCATCAAAGAGGATATCGGCTTCTTCTAGAAGGATGAAGGACTGCTTCTGACTTCGCAGTTGTTTCGATTCGGTTTCCTGTCGGGCGTCATTCTTGCTAGTTTTGGCACTCTTCTTCGCGGTCGAGGTTTTATACGCGGCAGGTTTGAAGAACCCTCCAAGCTTGTTTTGCTTGCTTTGATCCAATTCTGGAAGTTCAAGGTTAATATCTGACTTGGGAGTTTTGGAATTGTCCTCAGCACTAGCCACGTGATGCACGAGATGATTCCTGGTCATGTCACCCACACGCTCCAAGATGTCTTTGGCGCTTCGGCGGTTACTTGAATTTATCTCGAAGACTTCGTAATCGAGCTCTTTGGCCACTGCATAAACGGATGCGGTTTTACCGCACCCTGTAGGACCACTCAGGAGGATCACGTTGGACATACGGGGCTTCCCAGCGCCAGACTTCAAGCTAGTGTCCAAGTTACCTGATCGAATAACAGTCTTTTTGGCTGAGACTGTCACTCCGCCAGCTAATTCATCCTCGTCCGAATCTGTAACCTCACTCATCTGAAATTCCTCGTCGCTGCTTGTCACAATGAAGCCGTCGAGTTTATCCGACTTCTTGCGCTTTTTAGCCCTTTTAATTTCATCATTGGTTTTTTCAAAAGTCCTCGTTGATTTCCCCGTATCCACGGCGGATATCACGAGATACTTCAACCAGTCCCGCAACATGAGTGCTTCCTTGCTAGTTTGAAGAACCTGATCTGCAGAGCAAGGGGCATATTTTTGCGTCCACAGATCCGACTCATACGTTCCCCGATCGAACGCAGTCATGCTATGCGGGATGGATGAGTAGATTCTCGCTACGGCAGGGTGGCGGACAGATGCATTGGCGTCATCAGCCAATACGAGTTCAGAAAGTTCCGGGACTATAGCTTGCTGCAAAGTCTGCCCGCTGGCAACGTGCCTCTCTGGTATCCGTAATGCCGCCGGGACGTCTCGAGTAAGATGATTTGTATGTGTACGAAGTATACTTTCATCATCGCGGATTTGAACAGTGGCCATCTTTGCTTTCTTCTGGTCAACATTCATGGGCCCAGGAGCCTCGATATGTTGTAGGTTCGAATCCTCCGGGATGCCTCGAATGTGACCAAGATCCTTAGGAGGCCAGACTGGGTGTATAGATTCGGCAAACTTCACACGTGGCTTGAAAGAAGTGAGAAAGCCCCATTTCGGAGCAGAATCCGCATTGTCCTTTCGTTGATTTAGCGTGGACGTTGCTTCAGAAGCTGCAGGGCTAGAAGCAGACGGGAGGGAAGCTTGCGAACAGCTTTCTGGCTTGCGCGTGGGCTTCGTGAAGAACGGGTGTGTAGGCTTCGGCGGCTGTTGTTTCTCGACGACCCGAGTTGAGGGAAGTTTTGAACTCCGAGAGGGGACATACTTCGTTTTCCCGGTCATAATAAGGTCAATCAGCTTCCCTATCTGTTTGACCTTTTCGGGTTCGCTAGTATATTTCAAAATGATAATCTTTTTGCGGCTCTGCTCTAGCTTCTGAATTGCATTTTTCGCACGCTTGCTGGTCCTTTTCTGAGTCTTATCCTCCGAATGCTTTGTGGTTGGTGAGCTCAGGAGTTTCCCATTAGAATTCAGTTTCAACGTCTTCCGCGGGAGTACCGGCGTCTTCGAGATTTCAATTTCGCCATCTGTCATATCTTTTGATCCAGGCACACTTTCAGCGTTGTGAGGGTTCGATGCGAGCTCGGGTTCGGGAAAAAATCCATTTTGTGCGACAGCTAAGTCATCGCCTGTGATGGCAGTACCGTGAGCAATTGGTTTGAAGCCGTGAGTCTGAACGCCTTTGCTGGGCATTTCCAATGTGGCAGCAGGCACGTTGAGTCGCCCATCTGCTTTCTCCAGAAGCGATGCATTCTCTGCGCCGACGATGCGGATTTGCTCTGATGAGCTCGGCTCATTCTCCTTTTCAGTTTTACGCCGTTTCCGTCGTTCTGAGTTCGGGTCATGCTCGAGTGTTGCGGAAGTATTGGGCGAGGAAAAAGTCAGGGGATCGTTGGACTGATCTGGAAACTGTATGCTTGGGGTGTCTCTAGCCTCGACACCGTTGGATAAGATGCCATCCCTGACAGCAGCTTTAGGTCCGAGGTCTGCTCCTGGTAAGTAAGCGAGGATTGGGTATCAGGAGAAGAAATTAACCTCTGTGCTTTTGGAAGAATGGGTGAATAGCTGGCTGCTCGCCTTGTCCCATGGCCATCGGCTGCAGTGCGGTCAATCGAGAGCAATGGTCATCGCTTGACGATGGTCCGCCTAAGGTGATTCAAAGCATAAAAATAAAAAAAGAAAACAGAGTTGACAAATCATTCAATCTGGTTTTAAGTGGTTGATGGACTCCAGATAGGGGATCTGCCAAAGACAACTCACTCCGGAGTATAACTACTGATAGAGCAGCCAAATTGATGAACGCCAAAGGAGACGCGAAGAGGCGCGTGTTTTTCCGCCCGGCGCGGCCAGTTCGTTTCCCGCCGTACGTCATTTACAGTACGGTTGCACTAGTTTCAAAATAGCATAGTGCCGGATCTCGGAGCAACTTAGCACCGGAAATTTTTCAGAATGCGATATGGAAACGAATTTGTCTGGAAGCCTGCGTGAGCACAAGAAAACAGCGGCAATCGTCGCACAACACAGGTATCTTGTGAGTCTTTGTCTGTCGTGATGGATCTTCAGCCGCCCTCGGTGCTGGCTCAATTGCCTCGTCCTCTCCATGCCTCCACCGGTAAAACTCGGATCGGTGAAGTGTATAGTTTGGCAGAGTCGAAGAAGCGCAAAAGATACGAAGTTGTTGTGGCAGTCGACGGAGAAGCTGTGAACATTTATAATGTGAGAAGATGAAAAATGTGGAAATGCCTTGCAATGAACAGTCGGCTAATTGGCTTTTAAATCAGATACAAACCCCCAAACTTGTCACCTCATATGCCGTTCCTCCACAGTCTTCATTCTCCTGCCGGCCTTGCTCAGTACGCAGAAAGCTTACGACCAAGTCGATTGTGAAAAGACAAACTTTTTGCGCCATAGGCCGACCCCAACAGCAGATCAAGGCCTTCGTTGAGGAAACTGGAGGAGCTGGATCGAGCGCGCCTGTCATTTCTTCTACGTCCTTCTCCGTGAGCGACTCGAAGAGCCCGACGGTTTATGTCGGCATTGTTCCCACCGTTATTGAGGTCGAAGACAAGGATCCTTTTGATATCCTCGCAGTGCACAAGGATGGTTTTATTCGCAGGCTGACATCCGACCTCGAGACCCAGCGGTGGGGCGTGCACCACAGCGAGATCGCAAAGGACCGGTCGACCCACGAGATCAATGCCTGCTTCCTCGTGGATTTTGAAGATGCCAAGAAGAACCTGTTCAAGAGGAGGCAAGATCTTGTGGCCATGGCTATGGGAGACTTGACTGACTCTGGGGTTGACGAGCCGACATTGTTGTTGCTCGTGTCGCACCCAACTGGCTCGAAACAGTTCGCTTTGAGTGACGTGAAAGTCCAAATATTCTGTGTACCGGCGAATGCTTCCACGGCGGGACAAATCATTGACGAGAGCCAGAAGCTCAGACATCTGCAGACCGTAACTCTACCCGACATTGATGAGCACAAGACATTCGATAGCAGCTCTTTGCAGTGGTACTTCCATTCCGGATCAGCGGGCCTGAACCTGTCATTCGAGAAAGGGTTTGTCAACATCGATCTTTCCCAGTATTCGCCGACCGTGACAACGCAATTCATTCTTGAGGATGAGAACTTTTCTTCTCTTCTGCGCATCTCGCCGCAGTCTGTGATCGGCGCTGGGAAATCGATTGTTGCGTTGTTCGACACACAATATCAATCCATCCAGCGCAGCATTGCAGTCGGGGATGTGCCCTCCAGTGGCTCGTCGGGGGTCGAAAGCCGCAAGCCAAGGACAGTATTCACTAGCTATTTTGCCAAACTGGGCATCGCGGTCGCTACGAAGGGAAATACCTTGTTCGCTTTCGATCTGAGCTCGTCGCATAGCCCCTTCAGCTCTTCCCTTAAGCGGCCAAGAGATGGTCTTCTGATTGATGCTATCGGACGCGGTATCGGATCGGCTACGGATGCATCTTCCAAGAAGAACCGCACCGAGTATATGGCATCGCTGGGTCTCACCTCTCCCGAACAGGTGAATAAGTGGGAGCAGCTGACACAGGTCCTCGACAACTCTGCCACCTCTAAGGACAGTGCTGCGTTTGACCGGGCAGTCGTGGGTTATTTTGGCGTTGGCTCGTCTAAGAGCTTGCCTCCACCAGAGCACTACGTCAATCCAGAGATGGTGATCTTCTTACTCACCAAGATCTTTTCTCTTCAGGAGGCTGGGAACAAGGACAAGCTATCGACGTCATCATCCTCGCGGTTGGCGGTTGATGTGTGGCCTGAGAAGACCTGCAAATGGCTCATTCAGACTGGACACCTCTGCTTGAGCAATGTCGAAATTGCCATGCGACGAGCTCTGAAGCCGCGTATCTTGTCGCCGCTGCCAACCGGGTCGTTCATTCAGGCTTTGATCGATTCTGATCATTCTCTCCACCACTTGATCGACGTGCTTCAGGGCCCTGTCTTGCTGAACACGGATGATCTCGCTTACGCCCTCCGGATTCTCTTGAACATGGCCCGCTCGCACTGCATGGTCCTGGAGGAGGAGGCGACCAGAACATTGACCTACGACCAAGACGCCTCGGACGAAGTTGAGACAGCAACGACCAAGCTTTCTGTGCAGGATGCCGAGGCAAGCTTGCAAGACATCTTCCTCGGATTCAACACCGCTCTGCAGAAGATCCACCACCATCCCCTTCCCACCATCATCAACTCCCTGCGCTCTGGCCTCTCCCGATCCGAACTCCTGTCCATTGTCCACCATCTCCGCCTCTGCCTCGCGACAGGAGGATATACGTCCCCTTTCAGCGAAAACCCCCCTGTCCCATTCTCCCCCGAACAAACCACCCCATCACTCTCCCTCGATATCATCACGGATCTGCTGAACGCGGCCGTCGACGCCATCGGCCCCTCAGGCTGGATCTCTGCCGCCGGCCTCGACGAAGCCAGCGCACGCGAGTTCGACCTCATCGCCGACATGAAGTCCGAGATCTCCGCTGCGCTTGCCGGAGTCGAGGAAGCCACGTACCTCAAGGGCATCCTCCGCGAATACCTCCGGTTCACCGCTAGCTTCAAGCGCTCGTCCACGAAGGGCAAGGTCGCCGGTTCGTCCAAGCAGCCTGGAGCCGAGGAGGCGTCTTCTGGCCTCGTCCGCTACGAGAAGCTCAACGGGGCCGACCTGATGGTCTTCGGACTGCCCGAGGGCGACGAAGGATTCGACATCGACGCGAGCGGCAAGCTGCTTCCGCTGTCCCTCAAGGCTCCCTCGGCGGACGTGAGCAAGACCAAGGTGAAGAAGTCGACGGGTGAAGTGAAGACCCGGAGTAACCGTGAGATCGGCTATCTGCGCCGCAAGGCTGCCGGGAAATACTCCTTTGAGAGGCTTATTGTATAGATACTTCAAAAAAGTCGGTGCTTGTTAAGGACAGTTACAGGATTTCTTTCACGTTTTTCTTAATGTAGATAGGTTCTATTGGCGTCGCAGGAACTTGATTCTTTGTTGAGCAATGCTGGATATACCTTTCCTATCGGTCGTATGCCCCTACCAAGAACCCCTAGCTGTCCTTGCAAGACATATAATGCCCACCTTACCCGTCACAAAACTATATCATCATCAAGAGCATGAACTCCATATCTCCATCCAGTATCTCACCTGCAGACGAGAAAGAAAGGAAAGAAAAAAGAAAACCAGGCAATACAACACCGCGTCCACACACCCACAGGCTCATCGCCTCCTATATCATGCACCCCATCCAACATACATCGCCCATCCAGCCCATACAGGGCGCGTCACAGCCGTTGCTGCACCAAACCCACCACTCACCTCCCAGAAGATTCATTACCGCTAATGCACGCCGAAGCCATATACAAGTCCACACTCTATAGTACTCCCTAGGACCTAGGCAGTCCTCACTCTAGCCAAGGGGTTGGGGGGCCAGGCCGCTTGTCCTTGCCATCGGCCTTTCTCCGGCTATACCGCGAGTGACGAGTTAACTACCGGGGGGGGGGGAGGAGGAAGGGTGTGGGTTGTCAGTCACGACTCACGACTCATCAGCCACCAGTCACAGTGACCAGATAGATAGTTTTTCCAATTCCAGGCAACTTAGACTCGGCTAGTTTTGTCTTGTCTTGGAGCAATTTGATTCTTGCCTGCAGGACGGGCCAACGTCAAGTGACGATCGATGGTCTGCAGTTGTGCATGCGGCCAATGGGGGACGATGGGCTGCGTGGATGTTCTTTGGTGTGATGGGTGGTGGCTGCAGGGACTTGATTACTGGGCTCTGGGCTGTGTATGATTAGTGTACAGTGTACAGTGTGCTGTAGCCTGTATGTAGGCTTTGAACGAAGCTGATACAGAGTGTACAAAGTGGTGTACTTGTGTGTCGTGCGTTTCTGGGTGGGAGGTTTTGAGATATCTTTCTCAGGGATTGCTACTTCGCAAGGTGGCGTGGGATGCTGGGTTCAGGCCAGAAGGTAGCATCGCGTCCTCCATGTAAAGCGTAACTCTGCTCTGTACTAGTAAGTGTACGGACTACGGACTCGATACGGAGTAAGTAACTGAAAGACTCGCATTCAGGAGACCTGTATCGACGCTAAGCTGGATCGATGATAGACTGCAGCGTTAGCTACATACGAAGTTGCTGGGCGCAAACCAGGAACGCATCATGATAGTCCGAGCTCCGTCATCCGACAGGCCTCGGACATCCAGAGTGCAGAGACTCCATTTATCGTGCTATCCAACATTGCCGCTCAGTCAGTGATAAGGCCCCCCCCCTGCTATCTAACTACTCCAAAATTGAAGTCTCCATCACGGATACTCGGATAGTCAGGCAATCGGGATCAGGCGCTGAGATCCACAGACGGAAGCACATACAATGGCTAGCTGCATATCCTCCGTCGGCTAGAGTGGATACTGGGTAGTCGTCGATGACGAGACCTATCTCGTCGGCTGTGATAGGGAAACCAGGCTACGGACTCCCGCTTAGTCTTAGCAGATGCAGTCGCACTGTCGCAGCTTGCTCCAACCCATGATACGCCGGTTCCTTCTCAAGAGCAACGGGCTAGCAGGGATCAACGCCCGCTGCCCACTTAGGCCCCATGCAGCATGAGCACCGCCCTCCAATCAATCGAAAGTCGAACGCAAAGGGGTGTGGCTGGACGTTGCAGAATCAGCGGTTTTTTAGAACTTGGTCCGAGTGCAACTGGTCCTGGTCTTACTCTTACGGAGTATCTAGGAGTACTCCTTTGTACCTCACAACTGTCAACTGTAAGTCTGAGACCACTAGGGAGGACTTGCCTTGTTTGCCGGTTGCCCTGTATCAGATGTAGATGGATGGAGTCAGACGTCTGGAGCTAAGTAGCAAGCAAGCATGCAAGCATGCAAGCGAGCTGCTACGCTATCACAGCTACCCATGATGCCATTGTGCGTGTCCACTGTACCAGCTCCAAGCAATGACCACCCCGCGGCCTTGGAATCTGAATGACTCGATCACCATGCAGGAGTCTGCTCCGTGTGGGATGCGCTGAGCTCGGAGAATTCAACTTTGATGTTTTTGTCAGTTGTCAGTTGTCGGTTATTCAGTGTGTCAGTGATGGCGTCGGATCTGCCTCTGCATGGATCGACAATACTCATTGTTGTTGGGTGTGTGGCACTGGCGATGGCACGCAGTACTGTAGATCAGTTCTTGTGTTGCAACTGGCAACTGGCAAGCCATGCCGGCTAAAGAGAGATGAAGCTTGCAGGAACTAGGAAGGTATCGAGCTTGTATGGTCTATCGACCAGCGAGTGTCAGACGCCAGTAGATGTCCATTCAGGGCGGTTAGCATGCGCATATGATGATATGGTATCCATCTATTCGAGAAACTCCGGAGTGTTGCCAACTGGTAGGCAAGGAAATGTTCTGCATACGCATACAAAAGCAAAGCGGATGCAAATGTCTTGCCTTGTCTGCCTCAGGCAACATAACGTAGAAATTCAACAACCACACGGAATATCCCGTCTTCTTGCTAATTACCATACCGTACATATATCTTCCTCACAACAATTACTCCTAAATTGACCAGATAGCTGTCCTCTGTCGCGGTTGCATGATTCTACACAGTAGGATGCCACTCTGATTGTATAGCACATGATCAGCACCCCTACTGGAGCGTCTGCGAGGCTACAATGCTGTGAGTGGCCTGAGGTGTCCAGGGTCTGTGATCGTCCGAGGGCCGTGCGAGTGCTGGCTGCTCATGCTGAGGATGGGAAGCTCAAGCTTTAAAACCGCTGATTCGGACTATCAGAGTATTCTTAACGGTCTTTCTAGAATTATGTGTACTTCAAATAGAATAGTAGTTACCTGATGAGAAATTCTGTAAACAGGCCCTCGCCACCCGTGCTTTGTTATCAATCTTCTTTCAGCAACAGACTCGAGAAACAAAGACAATCCAGCCTCCAGACGTCATAGCGTGGGATGGATAGAATACCTATGTACTCTGTACCTAGCTAGAGTCCTAGACAGGCCCAGCATATCCCAGTCTCCAACAGTAATTTATGTATTAGGTAACTTCCACATCATTTTCCTATTTCAGGCACTTTGCGTCGAGTTTCATTCTGGGAGTAGTCGCACAGTCAGCAGGGTGATCATTATCTACCCCTGGAACATTACAAGTCGAATATAGCCGTATGTATCCATACCGTCGCAAATATCCTTTGACCCCCAGCCGCTCATTTTACAGAAATCCTTACAAGATACGAAGACAACCAGAAGAGAACTAGAAAACGATGGAGTGAAGGGCAATCTTCTGCAGATAAACCGGATCAGTCCGGCATTCTATCTTGAGTGCTCTCTTATAAAAGTCATATCACATCACCCACTCCCAACAACGAATCTACGAGACCAGCGCCTCGACACAAGAGAAAGCTACTGGGAAAAGTGTATTTCAATGCCTGACCCGTAGTCTGGGGCCATCGGAACGTTTGTATGGAGTTACACTGTCTGGATCAAGAGACAGGCGCCAATCAGCATCTTGGATGAACCACCACACTCTGTTGGATCGAATAATCCAGAAGGGAGTTCATGCCAAAGAATGTTGGATGCATCGATGGAGTACGACAGAGTCAGGAGTCAGGACTCGAGCCATGTTTTGCCAAGTCTTCAGCAAGTCTGGGGTAGTCGGTTATCCCCATGCTGTGGACGGAAAGGAAGAGCCAGGAAGATGAGAAGCCAGGGAAAGGGATCTCTATTGAACTAGAACCAAGCCATGATCTCTAGCCTCATTGACAGGTGGACGCTGACAATAGCTGACAGTAATAGGGGGGTTACCAAATGATCCCCAAGTCCAAAGCCCAAACAGAGTCCGGAATCCGGATACAAAAGAGACCGTCAATGCCGAAGGAGCGATCCTGCTCCTAAGAATATTTGGTGCGCCGTCGATAGCTTCCCCTTAAAGATATCGTGGGGGAGGAAAATGCCCCCGGGTTTCCAGCAGCTAGAAGTAGAATCGCATTCGCAAGGCCTTCTTGTCACGGTAGCCAAGCTGTCGCTCGTTGGCTGCATCTGCCCGTCACCCTTCCTGGTTCCAAATCCACGATGGCTCTGCGTTGGCTGGTTGTGGTTCCATTCCAGTAGACAGTAAACAGTAGTTGGCCAGTCTGGGGCGGATTTGGCGCCGCGTTTTTTGAGTTTTGACCTCGTTTTCTTTTCTTTTTCGTTTCGTGGGGTTTGGGGGGGGGGGAAAGTCAAAGAGTCAGGCAAATAATGCGGAGCCTTCCGCCACCCACCTTGAGCATTTTCAGCCATCATCCATGGACATTGGCGAATTGGGGATCTTGGGAGTCTTGGGCCCCCAGTCCAAGCCTCCAAGTCCAAGGTCTAAGCGGATGGGGCTAACTCCGTAATCGATCCCATTCTGATCCATTTCCTGGGCCATTGATAAGTTAAATGAATATGGACCTAGTCACCTCATCCTCCGTACGTCCTAACTAACCGCGGAATGGAGTTAATCGAGATTAATTAGTAATTGAAAGACAGCTTGGTTAGACTATCTACCTATGAAATCCGATCTCTTGGTTGTTGCCGTTGCCAGTTGCCAATTTGCCATGACTGTATCCGTAGATAGGAATGTACTTGTAGTACCACGGGTTCAGCGGTTGAGGATCTTTGTCTGAAACGGCGGGGAGGCAATGGTCACGAGGTCGGAGTACTCCCCGAGAGCCAGTGACACTGGCACTGTGAGTTTGTGACTCAGTGACTTGGGACTTAGGACCGTAGGACAACTAAGTAAAGAACAGTAAGCTTGTCTCATTGATAATTGTCCAGTAACCAGTTACATCACTGGTGGGTATCGACTATCGACCGAAAAGGTATTGATCCTACAGGAATGGCGCTTTACTGCTTGGTGGCTTGTGCAGCGTGCATTCCGGTACACCTACTCACCGGTAATAATATGAGCTATCACCAATATCCCTGGTTGAGCCTCGATGTGATTGAGTATTACTCAGGCACGAGAACTAGATAGTCGACAAAATGATTTGAGGAATGAGGACCAAAAAAAAAAAACTTGCTTCAACAACGAGAAAGGATATTGTTGAGGATGTTGAACTAGGTACTGTGTAATATAATAATACATGGGGACGGACCAATAGCAGATCAAAGACGCCATGGGTATGCATAATCCACTGTTCATTATTGCCTGCAAGTGGCAATCTGCATAATTTCTGACCAGCCCTATGCCGATTGCCAGTCAACTGCCAAATGCTCAGTAGTGTTAGTAGTAGTACTACTCAGTAGATGGATAGTTCTGGTCAGGGAAGGTGTCTGTCTCATCGTAGTGATCGTAGACTCAACCTAGACTAATAATAAATACCAGAGACAATCCTGCAGAGAAAAGTGCACAGTACCAGGGTGATGAATCTCTATATTGCGAATGGTCTCAAAACGGACTGTGTTTTTTAGGGGATCGTGATGGGAATCAATAAATACCTCATGCGCTATAGATTAGCTTACACAATCAATGTGTCCTGTCTCTGTACGAGGCATTTCTCGTTTCAACATTCAATGGTGTGTATCTCGATAAATAACTACTCCGTAGGTACCTAGGTAGCTTCTGGTGATAATCATCCAAAGTGGAAACATCCAGGAACCTGGCCTGGTACGGATACTCCGATGTGAGGTGACAGAGGACAGAGGACAGGACGTATGATACATACCGTTACACCAGACAGTACCAGTTCCATACCGCAGCTTTCCCCGTGACTGGGGAAAAGAGTGGGGCGACACCTTGGCTCTGGCCCTGTCATGGCCCATGCTTTCCTCGGTGGAGTCACACTAACGAAGTGAGCGTGCCGGGTAGATCCACTTTTACTGCAATTACATGACGCGGATTGGCTGACCCTTGAGACCAAGGGCGTCTGTTGTTTCGTGGTTTATCCCGCGACAGTCGCAGCCTGTTCTGGGGTTAGGTCCTGGACTGACTAAGATGGGTTGTGATGACAATCCTCATCTTTCCTCTGAGGTATCGACAGAGGTATTATTACTACTACCTTATTATTAGTACTCCGTAGTAGTAGAACAGATGGCTCCCATTTGGAAAGGTATCCATTCTTCGCTTGAGTAATAATAGATAATTATTCCATTCTCCCATCCTCCTTTTTTTTCTCTGTACCTTCTATCGACCTACCTAAACTAGTCAAGACTCTCATCACTAACTGCTGTTGTAGCTTACGGAGAGTACTTGTGGCTTGGAGATAAACCTCGCACCTCTCGATTATTATTATTGTTGTTATGATTATTATTATTATCATTATCATTATTTCCAGTTCTATTACTTCTTGAACGACTACTCCCTTGTTTTGATTCTCTCAAATCTTCCCTCCATCTACTCTTTGCTGATGGAGCTGTTCCCACTCAACATTCTTATCAGCAATTGAGTCGCAGCTATCCAATATCCATAATCCACCACTTATCACTATCTCTCTCTCTCTCTCTCTCTCCATTCCCCATTCGGTTATCTCCGGCTTATCCAACCATTCAGCCCACTCCCCCCGGTTGTGTTGCATAACCTCTTGACCTCCCCATCCACCACCCCCCCAAAAAACACAAACACCAAGAACAGAGACAGAAGAAGAAGACCACCACCACCACCACCATCTCATCCGCTAGTCGAACGGTCCAAGAAGTCTTCCTCTGAATGAAGTAATCTCATCTTTGTCAATCTCCAGCTCAGTGAGTGTTGCTGTTACTTGTTACCCTGGTTCCTCGAAACCTTAACCCCTGCTGATACAAACGATGCTTCTCATCCACAGTTCGAGACCTTCATCCTTTCCCAGGCACCAGTTCGCCACCTCTCCCATCTCACATCTCGTCATCCATTTATCCATACGACAAAGCCTCAGTTCTTTTTAAACTTCACCTTCTTTTCTCCTTCGCTTTCTCTCCCACGCTTCTCAGAGCTGCTGTCATATTGCTGTGGGTGTTCCCGCCGCTTGATTCGTGTCCCCCCTCAACTGTACCACCATACCAGCCAGTCAACCTACACCCCCGACCTAAAGGGGGCATATTGATGCAATCCATCGGCAGAAGCTATTCAATCCAATTAATTATCCTAGAACTCGTGCTAACTCGATGGAATCGGCATGTGCAGTGATCAATGTTAAGCCGATCATCGTGTTGAACTGCTTATCGACCCACCGCCTAGACACAAGGCATCGTTATCGGAAGCAAGTCGGAGCTACATCTCCCGCGTGTTGAAGCATAAGCTCGACATTCATTTCCCCCTCCTTCCCCCCCCCCCCCCCCTCAAAAAAAAAATCAAATACCCCGATTTGCTGAAAGAAGATTACCATCTTCCATCCCTCATTCCATTATCAGAGAGCTGTGATTGGGATGTTACTGGACGACATGGTTGGTCAAGATCTGGGCAGTAGCCCCAAGTTAGAGAACCTCGCAAGTATCAGTGAGATACCCGGTGATCCGCCTGGTAAGTTGGTTGTCCATGCGTTCGAATCATCTAGTCCCCATATCTAATGCAGACGCCGTTGCCAGCGCCTGCTTCCAATAAGGAAAGCACCAAGAAGGGCGACACCAACGGTCAGCCGGTGGCCAATGCGAATATTCCGCCACCCAAGACGGACAAGCCTCGACCACATGTATGCACTACTTGTGGTCGATCCTTCGCTCGCTTGGAGCATCTGAAGCGCCATGAGCGGTCGCACACAAAGGAGAAGCCCTTTGAGTGTCCTGACTGCTCGCGCTGCTTTGCTCGTCGGGATCTTCTCCTTCGTCACCAGCAGAAGTTGCACATGACCACAACGCCGTCGTCGCGTCCAAGAAACGCGCGGCGAGAGAGCACAGGTGCCGCGGGCGCTGGGGCCAACCGCGTTCGCAAAAATTCCATCGCCAGCAACTCCACTAATGTGCGCCCTCGTGCCAATACCATCAGCCACATCGATGCGGCCGGTCTGGGTGTCCCCCCGGATCCCAACCCATCAGCTGGCGCCGCAGGGCATTCGGGCCATTCTTATCATCCGAGCATTGGCTCTGCATCAGTCAGTTCAAATATCGATTTCCATCGCGGTTACAGCGCAAGTCATCCCATCGCTAGTAGTCTTCCAAAGCTGGAGACGCATGGTTTACCCCTGGATTTCTCCGGAGGGCTTCGTACCGCCCCCGTCTATGGCAGCTTCGATCTCAGCATGGGAGACATGTTCATGAACCACGGGAGTACCATCAATCCAGCTCAACTCCACTTTGGTGGTTCTCCCCAAGCATATGGCAATGACTCGCCGTCTTCCCCGTTCATCCATAGCGCCCATCCCATGCATCCTCCCACGGATCCAATGATGGAGGACGAGTTCAGTTTCGATTGGATGAATGGGTTTGATCCGTCCATGCCGGCGCTCGGCCCGAGTAACGACTCTGCGATCGATGAGTCGTCTCCGTCCGCCATGAGCACAGGGAGCCAGAGCGGGATCAGCGAAGCCGTGATGGAAGGCGCCCATCGCTATTCAATCTCCTCCTCGGGCTGGCAAAACCCATTTCCGCCGCACTCCATGGCTCCTTCTAATCACTTTGCCGTTGACTATTCCTCCCCGACGTTTAATGATCTAGGCATTCCTCCTGAGACTGTGTCCCCCAAGTCCCTGATGGCACAGAACCCGTTTGCTGAGACCTATGCCACCCCTCCATCCATGACATCGGTTGGTCAGCCCATGTTGGCAGGGCATTCGCAGAGTATGTTTTCATCCTCTATGGCAACCAACGGTGAATCTCCTAATCCTCTCAACGTGCCTTTCGCGAACAGTGCCCTTCGAACTCACAATGCCCCAACCTCAACCGATACCTTTACAGACTCCACACGACAGGCATTACTAGCCAGCATGGCTTCGCCGACCGGTCCCAATCATCGAAAATACTCCCAGCCAGCAAGCAGTATGGTGCATTGCCGCGACTTATTCTCCCGTTCCGCCAACTTCAGCGGCACCCGCCAATTACCAAGCACCCCGGACATGCAGCGTTATATCTCGGCATACATCACGTACTACCACCCTCACAAGCCATTCCTTCATATCCCAACTCTCAACTTCCAAGCCCCCGAATATACGAACAATCTTCGAACGCCGAGCGGTCATCTGAATCTAAGTTCCACCGGTGTCGCTGGCGGCGGGGGTTGTCTCATCCTGTCCATGGCCGCGATTGGAGCCTTATACGAATTCGACATGGCGGCCTCCAAAGACTTATTCGAGGCCGCGAAGAAGATGATCCAACTGTACCTGGAGGAGCGCCGGAAAGCGGATATGTCCGCTGCCTTCTCCAGGTCGAACCCCGCTCGCGAGAATTCCGTGCACAACACTCCACTTTGGCTGGTCCAGGCCATGCTCCTCAATGTCACTTACGGACATACCTGCGGCGATAAGACCTCTGCGGATATCGCTAGCACCCACTGCGCGGCCCTCGTTAGTCTTGCTCGCGCTGCTGGGTTGACTCATCATATCGATGTCAAAGACCTTTCGCAGGATCATCTGAGTGCGGGTCTCGGTAGCCAATCCAGTCCGCGAGGAGCATCTGTCAGTCCTGATGACCGGAATATCCCATCTTCTGGACCGACCAAGGAACGGAAGGACTGGCTGGATTGGAAGATCGTTGAAGAACGCAAGCGAACCCTCTACGCCATCTTCACTCTTTCCAGTTTCCTCGTCTCGTCGTACAACCACCCCCCTGCGCTCACAAATTCGGAGATTCGCCTGGATCTCCCGTGTGAGGAAGATCTCTGGGCAGCAGAATCGCCTCAGGTATGGAAGAAGATGGGTGGGCCTTTGTCAGCGAAGAAAGGAGTGGCATTCTCGTCGGCTTTGACCACGCTTCTGACGGCCAGCCAGCGGGAGCAGACTCACGCGCCCTCGCCGTCAAATAATATCTTCAGCATGGTTTCGGCCGTGGATTCTGCCGGGGCGGACTTGAAACCAAGCACTTTCGGCTGCCTGGTGCTGATTTACGCTCTTCATAACTACATTTGGGAGACCCGTCAGCGCCACATGGGTCGGCAGTGGACGTCCCGCGAGACTGAAGCGATGCAAGCCCATATTGAACCCGCTTTGAGGGCGTGGCAGACGGCATGGGCCAGCAATCCAATCCACAGTTTAGAACGGCCCAATCCCTTTGGCGCAGGTCCTCTGTCCGCCGATAGCATCCCGTTGCTAGATCTAGCCTACGTCAGACTGTTCGTGAATCTTGGGCGAAGCAGAGAGGCTTTTTGGCAGCGGGACTGGATTGCCATGTCGGACGAACTCGCGCGCGGCACAGAGGCTTTCCCATATTCGGACGACATTCCTTCGGACGTGCTTGATCCGTCGATCACCCGGATGTCAAGTGAGCTGCACAACCGCCGCGACTCGATTGCCGACCTGGGTGTTGCAGATCTTGCAATCTCGAAGACTCCCACACAAGAACAACCCATGCAAACGTTGATGGGAGTGTATCGGCCGGGACAGTCTAGACGCGAGAAACACCTGCGCAAGGCTGCTTTCTATGCCGCCGACTCGATTTCCATGTCTGACCGACTCGGGACTACCTTTGCCGAATTTACGTGCCGAGAATTGCCCATCCAGTCCGCCATGTGCGCTTTCGACTGTGCGCAAGTCCTGGCGGAATGGATCGCGACCGTACAGGAACGGGTTGGCCCCTACTTGGGTGTGCTGGGCCGCGACGAGGTAGACTTGGCGCATGCGACGAACGTTATGCTTCTCGAAGAGGAGGATTGCAAGCTTCTGGAGAAGATCCGGGAAATACTAGCGAGCATCGAAAGCAAGATGCAGCGGGAAGTGCAGACCAACCCGACCATCTCGGCCTTGAATGTTCTGCAACGGCTTCCCAGTGTCGTCGAAGGAGGATATGGATGCAAGATTCTGATCGCAACAGCAAGCCTTCTCGATAGGGCTGCTGTCTGGCCAGGTTTGTTTTCACGCGCGTCTGACTTTGACTTCGACGATGGCTAATTTTTTCTTTACTAGTGACGAAACTGATGGCTCGGTCTCTCGAGGCACAAGCCATGCGGCTGAAAGAGCGGGCTGAGAACTCGGCAATTGGGATTCATTAGGGGATTTTCCCTTGAACGTTTTCTGACGTTGGAAACTTTGTTTGATGATCTGGTACACTGGAGTCAATTCCGAGTCCCGTTGCGGCATGATGCATATCACGAGAAATACCACTGGAGCCTGGAACCTGGAAATGGGCTTCGCGTCACCAAGTCATCTCTGTCTTGAGCCAGTGGAACAAAGAAAGTGATAGCCAGTCCACTCACCAATCTCCAACTTTCCTATCCCATCGCAACCAGCGTACCCACTGGGTCTTCATGGGGCCGACACGGCGTCTTCTGCATCCGAAGCCATCAATACCTTCCGAATGAACCGATGCGAGGATTCTTCTATAAAATGACTTCGCCTTGACCTGCTATGCTACCTACGACACCTACCGCTGTTCCATATTCTTCCATATACCCCCCCGTAACAGCGCCTTCTGCGAATGACTTCCCTCTACGTGGTGTGCAACATCCGAGCTCCGAGCTCCGAGCTCCAATGCAAGTGCACTTTTTCTCTCCACGCCCGCTGTGTCTTAGTCTCACAATCATCCCTAAGAACTGTACCTTTGCGCTGCTGCTGCTTTTTGTTGGCCGGATAACACTGTTACTTGTTTGCTTGTTTTTCTTTTGCTTCTTCCTTTTTTTTTCTTTTTTTTTATAATTTTCTTTTATCTTTGTACACCCCATGCCATGGTTTTTCACGATGTTACGAGGGCAATTGTGAAGGAACTGAGATACCCAGGTTCAAAGCTATTTGTGTTTCCACGACCGGATCCCGAGAAAGGACAAAGAAAGAGAAAAGAGTGCTTGAGGATACGATGGCGGGGAGCTGGCCCTGAGTTTAAATGATTTGATTGATGAGTTTGATGAGTGATTTGGTGTGCGTCCATGTCCATATATATTGTACTTGTTGTATATATTTGGTTCGAATGCTAGTGATATTCATTTTACTGGTCTTGCTTTTCTCCCCTCTTGTAACCGTAGAATATCTATCCATTGAAAGGGTCTTGCAAGTTGCAACGACATCCTTCGTCTGAAAGAATACATCAGTGGAAAAAAACAATCTAAATCCCCAGTTGATGATTGGAAACAAAATGCCCCCCTGCCGCACAGCGATACCCTGCCCCCTGCTTGATCCACCGATATCCCATACAACACACCCCCATCTCACGCAACTTCTTCTGCGCCTTTTGCTCCTGTCGTCGTTGCTTCTCCGCCGCCTCGCGCTCGGCCCGTAGTCGCGCAAGCTCGGCTTCTTGCGCGCGCCGCTGGAGTTCGCGCTGGATGCGCGCTTGCTCGTGCCGGCGCTTTGCCTCCGTGTCAGTCTCTGTGTCGGTGGGTTCGTCTTGTTGGGTCTGTTTATCCTGCCGTTGGGACTCTTCGAGGGTCTTGTGCAGCATCTGTTCTTGTTCCGCAACGTTCTGGTACTCCTTCTCTCTGGCCTCGGCAGCTTGCAGGTCTATCTGCAGCTGCGTCCAGACTGCATCGGAGACGCCGGCGTCCCGCGCGATGACCGCTTCGTCCTGGGGTGGGACTTCGGCGGGGGTGTCTGGCTGCTCGTCCGGGGTTTCTGGGGCTTGTTCCGTAACGACAGCGGACTTTGTGCTGTGCGGAGTCGCGGATTGGGGATGGAATGCGAGTTGTTGGTTGTGATTGCTGGTGCTGAGACACAGGGTTTTGTCGGGGCTGTGCTGCGCTTGCTCCCGCCCTGATCTCTCGGATATCATCTTGTCCAGCTCCGCGAGGACAGTGGCCTCCTCGAGAGCAAGACGGCCGCCTGTGATGGATCGCACGCATCGTCCGAAGATCGCCTTGGCTAATGTCTGTACGTCCCGAGCGTTGGCCCAGTTGGAGGTCTGGACGAGCGATGAGAAACGGCACGTCAGCTCGTCCTTGAACGCCGCACGCGGGGCTTCGAGTACGCTGAGGTCGAAGCTGGTTGATTTGGACTGTGCCTTGGCCTTTCTGCCTTGCAGAAGCTGCGTTAAGAGCCTCAGGCAATGCTCGCCGCTTAATGGGTGGAACTCGATCGACTCGGGAAAACGGCTTGTTAATCCCGGGTTCGTCGCCATGAGAACGTTGATGTCGGTGTCGTAGCCGGCCAGTATGATGATCAGTTTCTGGTAAAACTTGGGCTTGGTGATACAGTCCACGATCTCATCCATCGCCTCTTTGGCAAAGGGTCCTTCGCCCAGTCTGTACGCCTCGTCGATCAGGAGGACCTTCCCAAGCGCCTTCTCCAGCAGGCTCTGCGTCTTTGGGCCTGTCTGGCCGACATATTGTCCTACAAGGTCAGTAGCGGATCCTTCAATGACGTCCGCAGAGGACAGGAGGCCCATGTCATAATACACCTTGCCGATCTTGCGGGCTGTTGTGGTCTTTCCAGTTCCTAGAGACATGCAAAGTTAGCCATGATTGCTCTCCTTTTCCGGAGTAGACAGAGCGAATGCCCTACCTGGTGGCCCTTTGAACAAGAAATTGAACGGGATTTGGTCAGAAGGATCCATGTCTAGCTGCCGCATATTCCGGACTGTCTGCCGATATCCCTCCAGTTGTTCGACGATCTTCTCGCTGCCTACGGTACCCGCGAACAGCAGAGAAATGTTGGTCTCTGCCCGCTCACCGCGGTCATAGTCCGGGTCAAAGTCCTGCGGCTCCAGCTGGGAATTGGTCGACGATCTACCCGAGGAAGATAGTCGTTGCTGATGCCGAGTCTTAGCAGCATTTAATAGGATGTCAATCTCGCCCGCATTGCCAAAGTGAGGACGATTGCGTGCACGGGATAGGACCTCCAGCGCAGCCTTTTTTCCGCGGCCCGTTGACTCAAAGCCTTGTTGTTTCAGCTTGAGGTCAAGTATCCGTCCCAGCTCTTCGTCAGTGAAATCTTCAAAAATAAAAGCACTATCCATGGGGAATCGTCGTGCTAGCCCTGGGTTGACATTCTGAAACATCTCTGTCATTTGCTCCTGATAGCCTAGCAGCAGAACGCAGCGGTCATCACCAGGCACACTTTGGACTTCTGCCACAATAGTGTCGACTACCGCAGTCTTGTATGGGTCCGTTTGGGACGCCCCAGTATTGCGGCCTCCGCCACCGTACAGCCCATAGGCCTCGTCAATGACGAGGACCTTGCCCACGGTAGACGCCAAAATGCCCTTGGTATTCTGCTCGGATTGTCCTAGTGCACCGCCGACAAAATCTGCAGGGTTCTTGACAACAACTAAGATCCAAAATTGTCAGCTGATTCTTCCTGAAATAGGGAAAGATCTAACCTTCGCCATTCGATAGATACCCAATATCCACCAGTATCTGCCCGTACAGCTTTGCGACGGTTGTCTTGCCCGTGCCTGGCGAGCCCAAGAACACACGGTTTAAGGTGAACTCAACCAACGGTTTTTCCTCCAACTCCCGCTGGTAGTTGTACTGGATGCTGTCCATGAGGGCTTGGACTGTTTGCTTGACGGCATTGAGTCCAATCATGGTTTGTAGCTTCTGCCATGCAGCACTATTCTGTAAAGCCTTCGAGGGCTCAGGCCCAATGAGGTCTTCCCGAGTGAACAACATGTCATCCGCAGAGCCCTGGCTTCTCCTCTCAACGGCAAGCCTCTTTGCCTGGCGCTCTATAATCCGAGAAAAGGCGTTCTCAATTGCTCGTGCATTTCCAAAACCTTCATGTCCACGTCCATGGCCCACACGTCGAGCAACGATTCGACAGTAGAGTCCACCTATTCCACCCTCGACCTTCATTCTTCCGTTGTACTTCTTCGCGATCCTGTATTCCAGAATGCGGCACAGCTCAGCATCCTCGTAGTCGTTGAACTTGAGCTCATGGGGAAATCGACTTGGTAGGCCGGGGTTCTGTGCAAAGAACTGTTCCATATTTCTGCGATATCCTGCAAGGATAACCACCATCTTTCCAGTAAGCCGTTCCACTTCAGCCAGAAGGTAATCGAGAACCTGCAGTCCTTGGCCGTGGCTTTGGACTAGTTGGTATGCTTCGTCTATAAATAAGACACCGCCGCCGCTGTTGAGGATGTCGTTGATCTGCTTCTCGCATCCGGAGACGCCCTTGTTGGCTAACCGCGATCCAGTTGTTTCAACAAACAAATCTCCTGGAATGACACCGACCGCGGACAAGAATTTTGCATACAGACGCGCGACGGTAGTTTTTCCTAAGAAAAAAAGCTACATAAGCCGTGCTGTGTGTCAGTCTGGCGAGTGAAGTCTTACCTGTGCCCGGATTACCTATCAAGACAGTTCCGAAGCGCTCGTCTTTCAAATCGATGTTCTGCCTTGTGGCTGTGTCGACTTTTGCTTTGATGCCGAGAATATTTTGCTTCACATCTTCCAGCCCAATCATGCTCATCAAGGAGTCTATCTCGTCACTCCGTGCTCCCTCATACTTCTTTTGATATTCCCAATCGTTACTCGCAGATGACCAATCCCCGTCGGCTTTTTGGTTCTGTGAGTCCGCCTCCCGACTCTGTTTACTAGATATACTAACAACTTCCCGCTTTTTCGCCGTGACAGCTTGTGTGACTGGCTCCTGAGACGGATCCTGATCGTATTTCCTGGATTCTAGCGGTGTTTTTATTGGGTTGGCACGCAAGTTCTCAAGGTCCCGCCGATGCTGCTGCAGGACCTTTCGCCGTTCGTCTTCGTCATATTTATCTTTCTGCAGGCTTCTGAGGTGGCTAATCTCGGCTTGCATCTCAGACAGCTGGAGCTTATGTTCTCTCTGCCGTCTGGCTCTTTCAGCCTCAAGCTCCATGTCTCTTTTTTGCCGTCTTTCTTTCTCTCGGTCTTCATCAATGCAGAGCTGACAGACTTTCTGGATCTGCCAGCAGGGTCGAGTCACGCAATGGCTGCGCGAACATTGCCACTTGATTATTTTATGGCATTTCATCTTGGAATGGTCGGACAGTTGGTGGCACTTTTGAGGGCATTCGTGGATTCCGCAGCTGAGTTTAGCGCCACTGTTTTCGGTCAGCCAACAAAACTACAGGAACAGAGTGAGAGGTTATTACCATGGCAATTGGCATCCACCTTCCGGGCACAGGCTGTCGAAGTCCTCCGGCGTGCAGGGGCTGGCCGTATGCTGGGGATGTTGCTCGCACCGCACGGGCAACCCGTCATACAAATGTTTATTTGCGTTCAGATGGTCGATAAACGGGGTCCACACATCTCTTCCTTTGCGGCTTTTGACAAATGTGGTTGCGTTTCCAATCAGAATCAAGACGTTGCGCGCACGCGACAACAGCACATTCAGACGTTGGGGAGCTGCCATGAACCCTATGTCGCCGTTGTCGTTGCTGCGCGTGAGTGTGGCAATCACAATCTCGCTCTCTTCACCCTGGTAATTGTCTTCCGGCTCGCATTAGCTTGATAGTATTGTTAAGAGTCTCAGATGCCTCACCTATAGTCGATAGACGTATTGGCCGCTTGGTATGCTGAGCGCTTGCTTTGGACAACAGGCCTGCTCTCACCAGGTCATAAGAATCAAGGTCATTGAGAACCGGATCTGCCTCCTTGAGGAGCAGCTTTCGCAAAAGGTGTAGTTGACCGAGATATGGTGTAAGAACGACCAACTTATCCGTTCCGTATCCCTGCTGACCCAGGTACCGGACAATCTTCAGAACCATCTTTGCCTCGAATAAGTTCTGCTTACTACCCTTGTTGGTCTCGTCACGGCGGTCCGAGATGCCCTGAAAAATTGTCTCTGGCTGGTTATGGTTGATGAAAACCACCCGGTCCTGGAGACCGCGCGGGTGAGGACGGTTCAAGGTCTTTGTATCGTCTTGCAGATCCGGGTACGTGAGATGTTTGACCAGTCTCGATATCTCAGGACACATGCGATGCTGTTTGGCAAGGGTGGTGTGCGGGTAACCTGACACAACGAGACGCTCAAACAGAGATCTATTGAGGTCATATCCTTCCCCTATCTCAACCGACAAGGCGTACATGTTGATCTTGGGTCGGAGCTGCTGATGATCGCCGATCAAGACGAGTTGCTTGGTCTGGGGGCCCATTGCTGTGAGTACATGTGACTCCAGAATCTCGCCTGCTTCCTCGAGAAGCACGATGCCAGGTGAGACCATCGCGATGTCTGAAGCATACATTGCGGCTGCAGTTGTGGTGCAGCCAATGATACGTTTCGATTGAAAAATGCTACGTGTTTTCTCGTTCCAGGCTTGATCCAGCTTTTGTTGGCATGTATCCAGACGCTGCATCAACTGCTGCAAGTCCCCAACCTGTTCTCTGACTAAAACTTCCTCCCACGCCCGAAGGCTCGATTGTCGCTCCGAAGAACTCATGTCCCACACTTTCCGAGCTTTCTCTGACAGGTGCTCAAGGTTCTGGAGGCCATGGTCATTCCCCCTTGCCCATAAATCAAGGAGATATGAAGAGTCAACCGATCTGTTATTCCTGCCAACTAGAGTCATTCCTTCTTCCTGTAAGGGTGGCTGAAAGGCTTCAAAGAATTCCGGGTCCTCAAACTCCAAGTGCTCAAGAATGGTTGTTGTGTTCGTGAGAGAATGATATGTTGCAAACGCTGCCGAGATGCACTGTTTGAGGTCGTCGGCCTCGCGGTTCAAGTTGTCAATCACGCCCCAAGTGGACCTCGAGTGACGGTAGGCCACTCTTTGATTCCGGAGAGTCATTGAAGATGTTCGAGAGGTGGATTTGGAGCCCAAGCGCACAATATCTGAAGAAGGAATGCCAATGTCTAGTAGATCTTCCAAGAACTGATCCAATGCATGGTTGGTATAGCACAAAACCAGCAACATCTCCTTGGTCTGATCATGGAACACCTTGGCTAAAAGAGCACCAATGAAGGATTTACCAGTCCCTGTAATATCATCAGTCTCTGGCACACTCGTCTCAGAAGGCTGACTGCACTTACCTGGTGGGCCTTGAATCAAACTCACCCTCTGAGTCAAGCCAGCTATTAGGGAGTCCAGCTGTGACCGGTCTAGTTGGACATGCTTCTCCGTTTGAATGATCTTTTGTACATCGAGATTGCCCTCAAGCTTGCGGAGACTCTCCACAACGTGATGAGGAACGAGGTCTGACTGGCTCGCCGGCTGTCCCTGCCGATGAAGGAGCAAATCCTCCGACAAGGGGAGGCTCGTTTTATCCTGAAGACGCCGCAGGATAGGTTCGTAGGCAAATAATGGTGCATCAACCAGAAGAAATTGAATGTCACCGTACAGTTTGAAAGAGAGCAAAGTCTTTGTCAAAGCGTCTTCCCCAATAATCTGGAGTACAATCACCGGGGGGTCTTTCAAAAGTTCACTAACATTTCGCTCAAGAGTAGCAAATGCAATGATTTCCCCGTTGCGAAGCAGGCAGCCAAATGACCTATGGCGAAGATGGTTCTGTTGGTCGTCGAGAAACTTTTTACGGTCCTGGCCCGAATGTTGAACTATGGCCTCCAACCCGGATCTACAGGTAATGGCCAGCGTACAAGGACGGAGGCGACGATCGTCTTCTCCATGGAGGATTCGGACAAGGGATAGCTTCTGGAGCAAGGTACCACCTCTACGGCGTGTCTTCTTACCTCGAGCAGTCTGGAACTCCTCACGAATTTCAGAGAGCATATCCTCACGCAGGAGACGAAACTGGTTATCTAGGTGGGCTGAAATGCGGCTTTCAGCAGGCAAGTCAGTGATTTCTGATGCACAACGATAGAATGGCTTGACCGTAGACAAGAATTCGTCGGAGGTGGGATAGATTGCGATCTTTCGAAAGTCGTCAAAGTCGTTATCGTGCCGTCCGCCGGGGTTGCTGCCGTTAGAATCTACAGGTCCCAAGTTGGCGGACGTGACCTGTAGGACATGTCTGATTTTGTATCCCAGGGTCCGGACATTCAAGTCTGGAGATTGCAAGAGGGACCCAACACTGTCAATCCTCCTCGCATCCTCTGTTACATTGATTTTGCTCGAAGGTGGGAGCAGAAGAATCTCAGCCAGCAACCATGCGAAAGCATGGGTGGCTCTGGCATCCAGCTGCTGATCAAGATACGCCTGCAATAATGCATTCCACAAGGTCGGTGGCTCCACAAGCAGGGTCAACAAGTCCTGCAAGAATTGGCCATTGCACAACGGCTTGACGGCTGGGTCCGCCAGGTATTGGATGAGTACGGCTGTATGCTGGTTGAGGAAGGTCGGGGTGATATCAAAACGGAGTCCTGTTTGGAGCGCACTGCGAGCTTCTGGGCTGGCGATGATGCGCTCAACACATTTTGCGTGATCGTTCTGAATCAGAATGGCTTCTATAAGCAGTTTCGCCTTCTCCACAGTTTCCACTTGTTGCTTCCCTCGAAGAACGAGGGTAAAGAACTTTTCAAGACGTGCTGAGCGAGACTGCGCCATTTTTGCGAGCGGGGGTGTGTGGTACTTCGGCAGAGAATAACCTGTATAAGGAAGAGGAAGAGTATTAGCAGAAGGAGGAGTCAAAACGGCCAGGGATAAAGGATATCGATTCAGTAATGGAAACACTTTGAAAGAGAGCTCTCTTGGACAAAGCAAAGCGATAAGCTCCTTGCAGGGTTCAACTGCCAGCCTTGTTGTTCTGGCCCCTCTCGTTGACAACCACGTAGTCCGAACCAAACAAGATCTGCGCCACGAGCGGCAAGAACCCGGAGCAGCAGCTACAGGCTGGAGCTATCACCGAATGGGCCAGAATGGTCAGTGCTGTAGAAGGCGCATATAAGACTGTTCTGACTTGCAGCAGACAATGTGCGGCGCGCGGAGCTAGTGAAACATCCCACCCACAATGTCGACTTGGAAACGCAATACTAACACCTCTTTCAACCGCAGAGGACACCAGAGAGGTGGGCTCGGATCTAGTGTACCTGGTATGCCATGGAGAAGGAAGAGTGACGCTATCCCTCGGCCCCCATCTCCTGTGTTGGGTCCTCTCCTTGCCACGGTTGGGAGACCCGACCTTGCCATAGAACCGCAGGCCAAACCTGGCAATGAGAAAGCACACATTGAGGATTGTCAGTTGGTAGCCTCTTACAATTGGCTCAATTCGACAGTTCCTACGATCTTGGTCCCCGGTAAGTTGGAATGCTCACCCTCACACTTAACAAGCTGACATACAGAGCAGGTATGCCCCCTGCGTGGGCACCTCTCCCAGAACCTGTCAAGCTCCAGGAAGACCAGGGACAGTACTTCCGGGACCAAAATGCCGCTCGATATTCCTCACACCCAATGCAGCCAGCAGTCGAGGCCATCCTTGCTCAAACCCCTGACTTCCAGAGCAAGTCCATCGACATTGTCGGATGCGGAAGCACCTTGGGCAACCTCCTCCGGTTTGCGCGGAACGTTGATCTGAACGCGAAATACAGGATTTTTGTGGAAGTGGTTGGGTCTACGGTGTTCTTTCTCCGCAGAGTAAACCAGCCAACAGAGACTATTCCTGACGTTCGAGGGTTTGGTCATACATTCCCTGAAGCATACACCAGTTGGGACTGGGATGTGAAAGGGTCTGAGTCACACCAGCGCCTCATCAAATATAAGTTTGCCGGATTGAGTTGCCTCGTTCGGTTTGAAAGTGACGGTTATCTTCCTGATTTGGCCCCCAAAGGGTTGACCGTTGCCGCGAAGAGCAAGGCCGGGGAGAGCGATGTCGGTAGGGACGTTATCGCCGCTTTGCAAAGTACCACGGTCAGCGAGCGCTCCCCCGTCTCGAAGGAAAGCCTCACGGTGCATAAACGAGGGCAAGTGGTTCCTCAAGCGGCGGTGTTTGACTTGAAAACGCGAAGCATTTTTCGAAAGGGAACCGACTTCTTAGAACAGGAGCTGCCCCGTTTGTGGATTTCACAGACTCCCAACTTTGTTCTTGCCTTTCACCGTTCCGGTTTGTTTGAGGAGATAGAGATCCTAGACACTCGCGCAAGAGTGAACAAGTGGGAAGAGGAGCAAGAAGATAATCTCCTTCGGTACGCGTCATTGCTGCGAATGCTCACCAGTTTTGCTCTGGGTCACCCTGATGGACGATTCGAGATTTTTCATGAAGCTGAGAGTGCCATTCTTGAACTGCGCGAGGTGGAGGATAACGTTCCTCGCGTTCTACCCGGTCACCTCAAGGATCGATGGGCCATGCAAGATGAGGAAAGTGCAAATCTCCTAGACGAGGAAGCGGAAGAGGCAAGCTCGGAGCGGGACATTGAATCAAATTGGGGGAGGTTTGATGATGAGTGGCAGAGTGATTCAGAGGGGTCATCCAAAGACTACACGGCATGCTCTGCGTCTGACTGCGGGTACTGTGGACGTTGCCGGTACTGATTTGGTGATCTGTAGAGCATTTGCCACGTTATCTCTGGTTTCTGTCATTCGGAGTATTGGTCTCCGTGAAGAATGACGATTATTGAGTATCTGTCTTCATTATGCTGGTCATTCGGGGAATCATATGTTCGATGCATCACTCCTCAGAGGACAAGACTCTAAGCACCCCTGAAATTTCTCCTGTTGGTGGAATTGTGGCACATTAGTACTTGACTGCCCGAGCTGTACTCTGAACTGAGATGTATAAAGTCTTCAACCCATGACCTAGCCATCAAATGAACATTCTTATACAAAATAACCAACCATCAAAATGCGTCTTCACTTACTTCTCCCCTTCATCCTCCCCCTCTACGCCCTACCAACACCCGGCGGCTCAGCCAAGCCTCCCTTCTTCCTCCTCGCCGGCGACAGCACAACAGCCACAACGGCACCACGGCTGTCAGCTTCCGCGCCGGCGGCAACTGGAGTACCATCCTCAGCAAGGTAGCCGAGTACAAGGACCGCAACCGTCCCTACGTGGCCATCCAGTTCCGCCATAACGACCAGAAACCCGCCGCATATATCTCCATCGCTCATTACACGGCTAACCTGGAGGATTCCGTCGCCGAGGCTCGCGGTGCAGGCGCGACGCCGATCTCGAGACCCCGCTTTCACAGCGAAGTCCTGTGACGGGTCATCCCACCATCGTCCTGAGCTTGGCGGGTCAGCGCGCAGCTACCATTGATGCAGCGAAGAAGTCCGGCGTCAAAGTATATCGATCTAAATGAGGCGAGTACGAGGTATCTCAACCTCGGGCCGGAGAATGCGTATACGCATAACCTCAATTCGGATGACTACACGCACTTGAGTGAAGAGGGGAGCCAGGTGTTCGGGATATGAAAATCCCCAGAGTTGGACCAGGGGGGTTATGTCAGGGTCGATCCGGCGTTGAAGAAGGCGATTGATGTTGGAGAGTATTACTGGCCTGAACTATGAATCTCTGCCAGTGCTCTGAGCTTCTGTAGTGATAGTGATGATGATGATAATAGATGAGAACGAGAGATGAGATGATGTACAATGGGTGATGGGAAGAGCTGGCTGGTTTACCTCATTGGGCCACCTGCCTAAAGCAGTGTTAGAGTGTTGGCCTTATGTCCTCCCGGTTGGCCGCCAACTGGCAACATCGCTGTTATATCAGTATATGAGTCTCCAGAGATTACAGAGCAACAATAGATGGGTTAAATATATATATTCTCTCGTTGAGGAAATGGGTCCTTGATCCCCTATATCCGGCAAGCCAGCTTACGATATCGACACCAATCTAGTCGCAGTAGTGTAGACCACTCCACAGATTGAAAGGCAAGGCTAATGACAATCCCCAGATACGGCACCATTCTTTGCCACGGTGAGTTCATCATACCCTCCTATGGTCCTGTTACTGATGGTTCGTGATGATATCTCTGTCGCATCCAACCTCTTCTCGGCTGAGATCCGTTCCTCTGCACTGGGTATGTACCGTCCGTCCCCTGTCTAGGATCGAGCTAACGAGAAAACCTTCAATTTTCGTCCTGGGCCAGGTCGGGGGTTCAATATTCCCCACCGTTACGGGTGTCAAGGTGCTGCAGCCGATGTTGGTGGGCTGGCTCGGAGCCACGGGGGTGTCGTTGTCGTGGCCATCGATCCCGAAACCGAGACTCCCTTCCGAGTGATCAAGCATGAGCATCTCGCAAAAGAGTTGGCATTAAAAGTAGCAACATCAATTCATATATCCCCCTTAGCTACAACCCCTTCAGCATCACAGTATAAAGATACTAGATACTACATCCTCAAATATCAACACATATCGCACCCCGTCTCTTCTCATCCCGCACACCCCCAACCGCAGCCCCATTCACCATCACCGTCTCCCTTCCTGAACCTGAACCTATACCCCCCAACCCCAACATCCGCCTCACCGCATACCATCCCACCAGCACGAAATTCACCCACTTCGCCCTCCCATCCACCACGCCCTCATACGCCCGCTGCAGCCCGTCCCACCGCGCCCTCTCCACGCCATACCCCCCGTGAACATGCCCAAAGACATGCACAGCCGGTCGCCGCAGGGGAGGCAGCCGCCACAGGCACGCGCGGAGAGACGCACAGCCGCGCCCGAGATCCAGATGGCCGCGTGGCGGCCCATGCGTGATCAGCACGTTCACATCCATGTCCATGTCCATGGCCCCGTCGTGGTCTGGAATCTCCATCTCCACGGTATTCCAAAAGTCGTCGCTCCGCGGGTACTGGAAGGCCCAGTTCCCGTGGCGGGGGGTGTAGGGCGCGCCGAAGACGTTCACGCGGCGGGACCCGAAGCTGAGCTGCATGGAGGACGCGTGGAGGTAGATGAGCGATTTCCAGTCCAGGGCCGTGGGGTCGTAGGCTGGCTGGGACGGGTCGAGGCAGAGCTCGTGGTTGCCGGCAATCACGAGCTTGTAGCGATGAGGCTGCTCGTCGAGCCAGGCGATCTGGGCGTCGAGTTCGGCCCGGGTGCCAGATTGCGTCAGGTCGCCGGCGTGGATGAGGAGGTCACCGTCTGGGAGGGCGGGGGTTGTGTTGTGTGTGTCGGAGATGCAGACCAGCCGTATGGGGGGCTCATAATGGTTGGAGACTGGTTTCTGAGCGAAATGGTTGTAGAGGAGTGTTGCGATGGTGGTGAGGGGGGAGTTGAGAAGACGGTTCCAGAGGCTTTCCTGCTCTGGGCGGTGCAGGAGGCTATCTAATGGTGATGCTGTCCCGAGGGCCATTTTGGAGCTGATTGTGGTGTGTCGTTGGAGGTGGATTGGATTGGATTGAATGCTCATCCTGATGTCAATGTCAATGTCAACGTCAATGTTTGGGATGGACATGAACGTCGTGCTGGAACACCACGTGGTTGACTATCTTCCATGGAAATAGAATCGTATATAGTCGCAGTGAAGATAAAGGCTAATTTTACCTGGATAGTTTGAATTCTCTGATGGCTCGTCAACCACCTGGGATCATATATCCTGCAGCCGCCTGGAATGTCTCAAATAACAATCATATACTCCGTAGTTAGTTGACACTACTCGATGCCAAGGAACGGTAAGACAGACAATTTTCGTGGCCAGTGTTCCAGAGTCTAGATTCTTACTTACGAACCCTCATTTTCAAGACGGGCCTGCGAATAGCCTGTGCGGAATCTGTGGATGCGACATGCCTAAGCACTGGATATAGATACCAGATCAATGGCGAACGTCTAGTTGAACCAAGCAGTCCTCAGTTAAATAAAGATCAGCAACGCAATATGCAGATATATCCAATGTGCATTATTCATCATAATTATACATCCAAACGCCTATGTACATCCCGCCACCCAGATATCAACCAAATCCATATCAATGCGCCTTTTCCCACGCCGGTTTGTCACAGGGATGCGTGTCGCGCCAGTCCTGGATCTTCCGCACGTTCCACCCCGAGAACCACCGTCGCGTGTTCTCTGGCAGCTTCTTCGTCCCCAGTTTGAAGGCCTCGGTGAGCACATGGCACTCGTCCCCGCTGAACCGCCATTGGAAGCAGTCCGAGCTCTGGAGACATTGGTCGCGACAGGTCTCCATCGATGGCTGGGGCAGATCCACCTTCTTGTTGGCCAGGTTATCCCAGTCGTCCTCCTGGACTCGCATCTTGCCCGGTGGGAAGGACAATTCGGATAATTCGCGGAACAGAAGCGGTTTCTGCGAGCGTGAGCATTTAGCATTAACATCCGCGTCAGGGGATCCGACCAGAAAGAAAGAGGGGGAGAGAGAGAGAGAGAGAGGAGCATAACCTACCGTGACATCATCCCGGGCCTGTTCGAAATCGAAAATGGCACTGCGCTCGCGCGGCATCACATGATGCATCGTGACGACCGGCTGGCACCACTGGCGGGAGCCAAACTCCAGCGTCACCGGCTTCTCGCCATTCACCTGGGGCCAGAAATTCTGGATCTTGATGTTGAGCTCTTCCGTCAGGGTCTTGCCCAGCACGAAATCTCCACAGCAGACGTCGGAAAACACCTCGTCGTACCGACTGGCCATGCCCGGGTTCTGACCGACAAACTTCTCCATCAGCGCCTTGGAGATGATATATCCGCTGCCTCCGTGCCCGAACCCTTGGCTACCGAGGAACGCGGCCGAGCCCATGTACAGCCGGTCGCGCGGCGACAGCTGCTTCAACCAGAGCAGCAGGTTCGTCCACACCACGTATGTGTCGCTCTCGATGAACACATACCAATCCACATTCGGTCGCTGGGCCCACGTCTTCTCCACCACGTGCAGGAACTTGTACTTGTCCAGCTTCCAGGCCGCCTGCCCGTCATGCTTCAGGGTCGCGATATCGAGACCTCCGCGCTGATACTCCTGCTGCTGGCGATATAGCTCGAACTCGGGATGGGTGGCTTTCATGGAGGCGTTGAAATCCGCCAACGCATCGTGGATGGTGTAGGGACCGATCTGCTCCTGCAGATCGGAAAAGATGATGAAATCGCGCGAACATCCGAGGGTGGTCAGCAGCTGCGTGGGGAGTTTCTCGTAGATTTCGGTCGCGCCGGTTTTCACAATAAAGAGCATGTTGCCGGGATCCGGCAGCGCCTGACAGCGCCGGTCGGGATGCAAGAAATCATCGATAAACGGAAGGGTGGAGGTGGAGGCGGACGCAGCGGAATGATTGCTCGGAGGACTACTACAGCTCTGGGTGCTCACGACGGACTTGCCGGTCATCTCATGCAACGAAACGCTCCAGGAGACCGGCATGACCTGGTATAACACCACCAGGGTAAAGAAAAACAGCACAGCGGCCAGCATCATGGCGGCCACCCGGCGGAATTCCGGGGTCAGCCGAGTTTCTAAGGGCTTCATGTTGAAGGCGACCGTGGAAACCGCTCTCTCTGAGCGAAGTCCAGGGAAGTTGAGAACATGAGAAGATGAGGAAGAATGGGATTTATGAGCAGTCCGAATTTGACACTGGGGGGGGTGGGGGAAGAAGGTCAGCTAAATCGACGGAGGAAGAGTCGGGGGGTTTAAGGGTAAAGGATAAAGGGAAGGACCCCGCCAGTGGACTGACAGATTATGTAGTTAATAGTATATGTGAATGTGATAGAGAGAGAATTGAGACAATCTCGAAATAATATCCATATTGCATAAGCACTGTCGTCTGTCTTAGACTGTTAAGTGGTAGCGCTTCCTAAACATAGGCTTGAACTCTTGTATGGAGGACGGAGTTCATCATCCATTGCCATCGCTATGAGGCTGGGAGGCTGTGAGCAGTGAGCACTAAGAAGTAAAGAAAGAAGAAAAGAGTGTTCTTGTCTTAGAGTTGATCAGTTCTGATTCGACCGATTCATCCTTCAAACGCCACAAACGGAGTTGAACCCGGTGTAGTATAGGTTAGTAACTATAGTTAGAAGATAGTTAGACCTTAGAAGAATCAGAGGAGAGATAGTAAGTAGCTAGTAGGATGATTCAGTTATTTTCGGCATATCATCTTTAGTCATCGCTAGTTAGTAACTTACACAGTAGTAGTAGTAGTAGTAGTAGTAGTTGGAGGACTGGAAGTCTGGAACAACACATTTCTTACCCATGGGCTGAGTTCAAACACACCTCAAGTTCATCAACCTCGGTGGAGATGGTCTGGCACATGCGTCAAGCTAGGGCTCTGGTGCATCCAACTTCCAATATCTTCTTATAGACTACTGTAGATAGGTCTATGTATAACCAATTAACCATCCCCGAGTTTTGAAACAATGGTCTCCTTAACCCGACTAACCTTAACATCTTAGACTATACTATGAGTACTAGACGACTAGTACTACTACTATCAGTCTATCACACGATCTAATGCAACACCGTCTGAGTTGGCCCATCACGACTGACTCCCGGTCTCACCACTGTCCTCTTGTCGCCCCATTGTGCCAGCCACAATCCCACAAACCTTTTAATCTCTTGGTGCAACTCGACAATCCCCCGTGGTAGCCGTTTCCCCTGCCCCAGATCCTCGTCTGACAGCCCGTTCTGGTCCCAGTGGTGGACCGCCCCGCGAATCCCATCCCACACCTCCTCAGCGGCAATATCAACCAGGATAAACGGCTCGTCGTCCGTCGACGTCCTGGGCCGCGCCCCGTCCGCATGTGGTGTGGCTTCACGCCACGGATCCGCTAGTCCATCGATAATAGCCGCTCGGGCGTACGAAAAGTTAAACCCCCCATGCTTGTTAATGCGGCCGGTATCTGGCCGCCCCGTGATTCCGAAATCAGCTCTGCAGAACGCTGACACCTTGGGGAGTGTCAACAGCCGCGACACCAGCGAGAGTCGATCTGGGGGTACCGTCGAGCCCGGCATAAAGTAGCCCCATTCCGTGCAGACTTGGTAGCTCCAGCTGGTCATCATCGATTTATCCAGCGGTCGGGGCTGGGGCGCTGCCGCAGCAGTGGATAGGCGGCGAGAAGTCCGGTCTGTCTGGGAAGCATCCTGACGGAGACGCGAAAATGTCGATGCATTCAAGTATCCCGCATAGTTCAGCAGCCCCGTGACCAGACTGGCATTGGTCGCATCATACTGTGCGACCGAGACGATCTCCTTCGTCCACGCCTCGATCGTCGCGTTGTGCTGATAGAGTGAAATGGGGCTCGTGATGTTCTTACAGTACAACTGAAAGGCCCCGCTGCCCACCGCAGGATCCCAGTTGCGGCCCTGAAACGCGCCAAGCTGGTCGGAGAGTGCGGCGGCGAAGAAGTCGTCGCTGACCGTAGAATCCGCGCCGAAGATGGCTTTCAATTGGGACTTCAGCGTCGCGTTCGTGGCATGGTCAATCAAGACGGTGTCTGCAATATGCATAAACCGTTCCAGATTCCACACGCAGTCGGACGGCGCGAACTGCCGGATCGGCTCGTAGTACTGCCAGTAGTCCTCGATGGCCGCCGTGACCCCCGACGAGGAAACCACCCCAAAGAAAATATCCGGATAGACCTTGCGCAGAAAAGCTACGAATGCTCCAGCATAGGAGCCCCCATATCCGATCCAGGGAACAGCTCCGGCAGTCAGGTTCAGATGCTCCAGTCCTGGAAAGGCCACGTTGGACGCAAAGTGCGCATAGTCAGCCAGGGCCTGCTCCGTCGAGAGGAATCGTATGTTCTCAACCGTGAGATTGACGAATGGATAACTCTCTCCATAATAGCGATGCTCCAGGATCACGCCAAGCCCATTGTAGGTCTTGGCCAGCTGAGCCACGATCCCTTGCGAAAGAAAGGGGAAACGATCCGTCGCGTCCGTCTCACCGGCAGCAATCAGAAAGACTGGTCCTCCTTCCTTGTAATGGCTTGCATCAAACCAGTACCGCAGGTTGAACGAATCATCGCTGTGCGGTTCGTACCGGGATTCGTTGTGGAAGTGGTCGACAGGGACGGAGAAGTTGTGCTCGGCGAAGGAGACTGAGAGTGCTTGACTCCGAAACTCCCCTTTTTCGATGCTCTTGGCATTGCGCAACTCATGTAAAAGAGGAAATTGCAGCTCTAGCGGCGAGAGGCTGATGGCTTGAGTGAGCGGGGACAGGCACGTCCCGATCAGGAACGGGACAAACAACTGCATCCTTTGATAAATACAATCCTGCAGTTGATTCGAAATTGAGTTCTCATCAGATGAATGAACACGAGAAAGAGAAAAAGATGAGAAGGATTTTTGGTGGGTGATGGCAATGGGTGATGGTGGTGGTGGTGGTGGTGGTGGTGGTGATGAGTCTCAAACTGCAGATGATCCCATGCATCATCGTGCTGATCTCTTCAAGTTCAACCAGCCCCTTCACATCCCCCACTGTTATCGGAGTCGAATGTCGATCCTAGTCAACATGAAACCTGACACCATCCCAATCCCAACCCATCCAAGGCTCATATGTCCTTATTTTGTCTGATATGATGTTAGCTGTGCATGATACTACTACTGTCGGATGTAACAACAACAACAACAACAACAACAACAATAATGATCGGCTTTATCCGACTGTTCATTTGTGCCTTGATCTAAGTCACCTGAGTGGGCTCAATGCAGATGGCTCAATTTCAGCCATTAATTCCCTTACTATTATACTGCGGGTAAGTCAAAACCTGCTTCATACCTTGAGCATCTCGGCTCTGCAGCATACCCATACGCCTCCTCTTTCGCCTCTCACTGCCTCGTCCCCCTCTTGGCCTCTTTGTCCCACCCATGCTCACACCCCTCCGTCCGATGACACACAACGTTATGACCTCCCACCCTCCGAACCCCTCCCGCAAGCTCCTCTCCTTCAAGGGTAAACGGATCTTGCGCCGCAGTGCCGATCAGCAGATTCATCGGAAAGCGCGCCGGATCGGCATACAACGGCGACAGCCGCGGATCTCTCAGATCGGCGACGCTCGGGTTGCGGTGGCACGAGTGGCAGAACTCGGGAAAGCGGGGAAAGATCGTCCGGATCACGAAGCTGGATTTCTGCACTGCCTTCTTGGCCGTCGTGCGCACGGAGACGTCCGTCACGCCGGAGAAGCAGATCACGGAGCGGATGAGCGAGTCGTCGCTCTCCTTGACTCTGCAGGTGGGCGAGAACGACGATATCGCCAGTGCTATGCAGCGCCTGCGCTGAACCCGGATAGAGATATGTGCGACGCGTTGAATCTCTCCGGGTGAGACCATGCCCAGCTCACTGCGTCTTCGGCATCTTGTTACGCCGCGGGGAACGGGTGCTCGGGCGCCAGACGGTAATGTACCTCAATCACCGTGTAGCCTGTGTGATGTGCGATGTATCGGCAGAACTCGTCTTCGGGGCCGAATGAGGTGAGCATAAAGCCGCTGCCACAGAAGTCGATAAGAACCGGAGAAGGGTTCGATGCTTCTTGACCTCTGTAGACATGGACTTTGATGGTGCGATCAGCGTCGCGAGACGGGATGGAGTCGACTTCATCTGGATGAGGGTCGATCTTGAAATTTACGCGAACAGCAAGCTGGAAAAATGTCACAATGCACTTTTTTCAATAGTATTCCAAGTCCATTCATGCTCATGAGATGTGAATCATGGAGGCGAGGTCGACTACAACGCTATGTCGTGAGCTTTTGTATGTCTGGAAAGGTAGTATCTGATGACATCATGCGATGGATGGATCACCGGTTGCATTCTCATCGCTGGAACCATGATGCGACAGTGATGATAGAGTCGTGATAAAAAGATTGAAGTATAACATGACGAATAGCAGGGATTGCAAAATAGGGTACGGAAAAAAAAAGCTGGTTGAGGCTGACCCGTCTCGATCGGATAACCTTGAGATCTGGAGTCTCTGTGGAAATTTGTTAGAACAAATTGATCGAGTTGAGGGAAACTGTTGATGGAACGTACCACGCGCTACCAATTGCGCCACAGCCCCAATAGGTTGATTAGTTCAGCTTTTTTTGCCTTGTGTTTCAGAGGGACGCAGCTAGCTGATGAAGAAAGGCGTTGATCACTAAATAGGTTACTGGGTATAAACATATCAGTCAGTTGTTGTGCATAATAAGTAAATCAATCTCTACATGAGCTACAACATTGCATTTCTCAAAGTGAGATGGGAAGTTGGTCTGATATGACATATTGACGAACTGAGGCCTTGACGACCATTTACACTGAGGGCAAATGATGTCATGTGATAGGGGTTGGTTGCACCTCGCTTGGATGAGTGACAACTGACAAGTCTCAAATGACAGGTTGACAGCAGCTCGTGCATCCTGCACATTCTGAGGACCAAAAATCTGCACATCCTCCCATTGAGACCTCAATGCTGCGTCGACATAAAAAAACAAAAAAGATAGTGAGGCTGACCCGTCTCGATCGGATAACCTTGAGATCTGGAGTCTCTGTTACATTGTTAGACAATGTTGATCGAATTACATGGGTAAATTGGAACTTACCACGCGCTACCAATTGCGCCACAGCCCCAATGGTTGATTTTCCGGTCGCTAGTTTCTTACCACGACCCGCGGTACTCCCATCTACAAAAAGGGAAAAAAAAGATGAGGCTGACCCGTCTCGATCGGATAACCTTGAGATCTGGAGTCTCTAGAGACATTGTTAGAACAATGCTGATCGAGTCTATGTCACGAAGACTGGGAAAGTTGAACTTACCACGCGCTACCAATTGCGCCACAGCCCCGGAGGTATATACCCGATTTGGCTTTTTACGCCTGTGTGACTGAGAGCATATAGCTAAGCGATTCTGACATCCTTCCATCACGTAGGAGTCAGTGACCTACTGCCGCTCCGCAGGTTCATACAATACGCATACAGTTGGGCAATATGCATGCGGAACCCTATCCATGAAGTTACTGTTGCCTCCTCGCCGATAGTGAAGACCTAAAACTTGTCGGTATCAGTCGCGTTGGAGAAGTCACTGCTTCGCGTGGTAGCCTGAGAAACATGAAAACAGGAGGAGTCTACCTAGGAAAGGTTGAATCAGCCATGGTATGGTCCAAGATATCGTCGGGACTCGGAACAATGTTGTATCAACAAGTCTGTTATGTCGAAGGTTGCTTACGACTCCCGAGGCCCAGAATAAGCCAACACAGGCAATTTTCACTCATATTGGCTGTTCTGGGTTATCGGACTACAGCCAGCATTAGGTAGCACCAACATACCTGCTAATAATACATAAACAGTTCGATGGTTGCTCTACGGAGCTACACAACACATGATGATACTACCAGTCAGAATTTAGATAAATCAAGAAAATTCAGGCGAAGTGGTAATTCAAAAACATATTCCATTAAAAGAAATCCCACATCCGGCAATTCATTCTCTTCTATAGGGGAGGGACAATGATGGGAATGTAGGTCGCTTAGTAGTTGATACGAGAAGCTCATATACGGAAGAATTATAATTCTTCAATCAGGACAGCGTTGTATTTATCATCCAGCATCTTCGAGACGTAGAACTGATACTCACGATAGACATTTCTTCAGACGGACAATTCTATGAACGTGAAATTGATGATTAAATCAATATTGCGAATATAGAACTATTTCCCGACGGTATTTTTCACCAAAGGGGCTGTGGCGCAATTGGTAGCGCGTGGTACGTTATCATCATATGCTCTCGATCTAGAATAAAATTCTAACAATACCTTACAGAGACTCCAGATCTCAAGGTTATCCGATCGAGACGGGTCAGCCTCATTATCTTTTTTTTTTTTTTTTTTATGTCCACGTTTTGTGTATAACCACGTTGTCAACACTCATTCCATCAACTTTTACAACCTTTTAAACACCCTTTTTCTCTAAGCAGCGCAAAGCAACACTCATTTCCAACAGTGAAGAATCATGTGTCTTTTGACAGTTGACGTTCCTAGCTTAGAGATGTGATCCTAACTGCGGCCTCCTCATAAGCGTTTATATATTCCCGTGATTATCCTCTAAGATACCAAAAAGCTGGAACCCCTAGAACATATGCTTGAATAAAAAAGATAAGTTAGGATGATTAATTCCTATATTGATGATTGGTCAATGTTCTAACAAGTGCTCATCTACATGGGTTTAAACAACTCAATCAGTGACTTCCGGGTTACCTAGTCGAGAGATATATAATGAAAACACATCTATGAAGCAGATGGCTAGTGGATGAAAGCTTATAGTAAGCTCCCTTCCCTTCATGGTGAGGAAACAGAATAACTCGCAGGATAACTCTGATTTACTGCAATTAGAGGTGTCTACGGAAGGCATTCCAGCATTGATGGGATAATGGTTTATGGTCAGGTTCTGACGCCTCCCTATCATGAAAAAGGCAAGCTCGGGTTGATCAGCGCTAAATCAGAACAAAGTGAGACATCCGATAGGTAAATGAGCGGCGGACTCCGAAAGAGGTTTAAATTAGATAAGATTTTCTTCGTTCTCGATGGGATATATAGACGACGAGCTTGCGATATAAATTTCCCCCCCCCCAAGTTTCTCCTGTGTCATTCATGAGAGCAGCATGGGGACATCTGAACCCAACGTGGATACAGAGAAGCACAATGTGGCTGCTACGGTGGAGGAGGATTCCAGAGGGCAGATGGACGAAGGGCCTCGCGCATGGACCGTTGTCGCGGGGGCATGGTGCTGTCTCTTTTGTGGATTTGGATGGGTGAATGGTATATCTCATTTGCCATCAGATCAATGAGGATCTTTCTCTGACCAAGAACTAGCAATCGGCATATTCCAAGAGTACTACCAGCATAACCAACTGCGCAACTACTCTGCCTCCAGTATCTCCTGGATCCTCTCGCTTGAACCCTTTGTCCTTTTCGCGGCAGGAATTGTCCTGGGACGAGTATATTCACTCAGTCCTCTGCTAGTCAAAGTCCGAAACTAACCTGAGAACTAGGTCTTCGACAACTATGGCCCCAGATGGATGCTCGTCATCGGCACATTCCTGCACGTCTTCGGTCTGATGATGATCTCCATCTCCAGCGAGTACTATCAACTCCTCCTGGCACAAGGTATCTGCAGTCCCCTAGGTGCCAGCTTCGTCTTCTACCCGGCCTCTGCCTGCACGGCGACCTGGTTTGACAAGCGCCGCGCCCTGGCCTTCGGAATCATGTCTAGCGGCTCCTCGATCGGCGGCGTCGTCTTCCCAGCCATGCTGTCGCGGCTGCTACCTCGGGTTGGATTTGGTTGGTCCCTGCGCATTGCGGCATTTGTGGTGCTTGCGCTGCTCATCGTGGCGAATCTCACTGTGCGATCGCGGATTGCGCCTGTCCCGAGACGAATCCGATTCAGTGATTATGTTGGGCCGTTTACGGAGGTACCATTTGTGTTGCTCATGGTAGCGGCTTGCTTGGGATTCTGGGCGATGTTTGTGCCGATCAATTATGTGATTCTGGAGGCACAGGAGGATGGAGTCTCTCGCAATCTGGCGGAGTATCTGCTGACGATCTTAAACGCAGCTAGGTGAGAATTGCCCTGTCGCTGTTGCTCCTAATGGTCGAAGCTAATGAGATAGTCTGCCTGGTCGGATCCTCCCCGGATACTTTGGCGACAAACTGGGCCGGTTCAACGTGATGATCGCCATGTGCGCTCTCTCTGCTCTGACAATCCTTGTGCTCTGGATCCCTGGGACACTGCTGGCTCCAGGCTCCGCAGCTGTCTATGTTATCTTTAGCTTACTGTACGGCTTCGCTTCTGGTGCCTTTGTCGGTATGGTGCCTGCGCTCCTCAGCCAGATCACGGAAGATATGACCAAGACGGGTGTGAGACAGGGCGTGCTATACACTTGCATGAGTATTGCGACGTTGACGGGGAGCCCAATTGCAGGAGCGATATTGAGTCGACAACAGGGAAAATACTGGGGTCTGCAGGTCTTCGCAGGAGTCATGATGGTGGGAAGTGTGGTGTTTTTCATCATTGCGAGAGTGGTGTTGGGGGGAGCGTCATTGAAAAAGAGGCTGTAACAAATTCACTGGTGCAATCAAAAGATATCAATGTAAAATGTATTGCCGAGGGGTAAAGATCATCCTCACAAGCTGAAATAAGCACTAAAAATTGGTGTTATATATACCCACTACCATCCTTGTCCGTCCTTTCAACCTCCTCATCCAGCAAAATGACTCAACTCGTCATCTTCGACTTTGACGGCACCCTCTTCGACACCCACAACTCCATTGAACAGACCATCAAACAAACCTTCACCACCCTGCTCCCCTTGCACACTCCTCCCGACTCGTCCATCCACCGCCTCATTTCCAGCGGCGCCGGCCTTGCAGACACATTTCGCTCCCTGCACCCCACCCCAGAAACCTTCACACCAGACACAGAGACCGAGTGGATATCCACGTACCGCACTCTCTACGCCACTCATGGCCAATCCCTCATAGCAGCCTTTCCAGGCGCCCAGAAACTCCTCTGCGAGCTGAAGAACCGCAACATCCTCACGGCCATCATCAGCAACAAAGGCGTGGCGGCGGTGAAGACCGCGCTGGAAAGGAACAATCTCCAGGGCTTGGTCCCGGAGGATTTGATTATCGGCGATAAGACGCCCGGTGCGGCGAGAAAGCCTGACCCGTCGGCTTTTGAGAATGTGGTGGTCCCTGCCTTGAGGTCAAAGGGTGTCCAGGTCGATCCCGAACGGGTGCTAGTGGTCGGGGATACGGTGGCGGATATACTGTTTGCGAGGAATATCGGGGCGAGAGCGTGTTGGTGTCGGTATGGATATGGAGATCGCTCGGCTTGTGAGGATCTGAAGCCAGGGTTTGTGGTGGATTCATTGGAGGGGGTGCTTGGGTTGTTATAATTGTGAAGAGCGAAGTGTCTTTCAAAAAGTTAGGTTGTTGTATAACAATGGAATCAATTGTTTGCAGTAGAGAAGTAGCTTTACATCATTCTAGCTTTAGAAAATTCTTCAATTGAGCGATCATTTCGAATTTTCGGCCCCAAAAAGTCCTCGACTAAGGAACCAGTTCCCAAGCAGTGCCCTTCTCTGGGTTCCAGACAACGTAACCATCCACCCTGATAGAGAAATGGGTATTCAGTTGGGAGATGGAGAACGGGGTCGCTTCAATCTTTGGACCCAAAGCCAGGCATGGAGTCGTCTCATACTGGTCCATCATGAAGGTCACATACTTGTTACCACCAACAAGAATCACCTTATCCTTCCCAATAATGAGTTGTCTTCCGAATCATGGACCTTTGCTTTGGCCAGACGGAATCGGGCACCAGGTATGGTGCTCGTTCTAATATAATCCCCTCCAAAGTATGTGCAATAGACGGCTGGGTTTTTCACCGAGCGAATGTAGAACCTGGAAGAGCCAGCGTTAGAAAACACTTCTCATTGAGGGAGGTGGGAAGCATACGAGTCACCATCTACAGGGTCCATCCAAGGTCCATTGTTGAAAGTCACTGGACCATAGGTGTGTAAGGGTGTGAAGATGACGAGGTCGCAGAATTCTTCCATTCCAGCTGTCCAAATTTCTGGCTTGCACCAGCTCTTACAAGTGTACCAGTCTGCAGCTACTCGGATGACAGCTTCATTCTGTGCACTCCCCACGGCGCGGGGCCAAGCATCGAGGGTGTTCTTGTCCTTTGCGGTAATAAGAAAATCACGGCGGTCTGAGGCTCTATTTTCAACCTGCTACTGTTAGCTATGTCGACGGCCTTTTCTCCTCAGAACTGACCGTGACCATTGCATAAGCATAGAAGACCATCGTGGCTGGAAGGATGGAGGTCTATCAGCTCTTGGTAGGATGTGCTAAGTGTCAATGAGTGTTTCAAGTATCTCTGGCTAGAAGAAGGGAACAGAGTTCAGGTAGGTCTGGCTTCTGTCGCAAAGAGTGTGGTGAAATTGTGTTATGTAGGAGAGAAGAAATTGGAAAGCTAGTATGGATCTATTGATATATGTCACTTCATCTCACTCACTCCCCCATAACTCTTCGTCTAAACACCAAATTCATCAATTACACTTGGCGCTTTAGTGAAATCATTATCAACATCCACAATAGGCATCTTCAGACCAAATCCTTCTGGCCCACCAACGGCCAACCCCTTCTTAGTCTTCCATAGAGGATGCGAAGGCAAAGAAATCACGTTGACTCGCAGTCCATATCGCAAGTCCTGCGAACCGATCGCCTCACCGTCCTGACCCAAAATTGAAATCAAATCAGGAACAGTGCAAACGACCTCCTGTGACTCCTCGGAACCATCAGCATCAGTCAGAGCAGCATAGAGGTACTCGTTCTGAAAGGGAATGGTCATATGGCGGTCGTCGGGGACACTCTGCGCGCTCGAGCTGGCAGAAGCCTCGCGCTCCTCTTCGCTGAGGGGGGCAATGATAACACTACCCATAGTGTATCCACCGCCAATGAACCGCCGAACATCGACGATCTTGCCAGTGAAGAGCAGTTTGCCTGCGCAGACGTTGAACTGGAACTTTGTGAGCGTGGAGCAGATACTGTGGTGACCAGAGAACTCACAATCGCGTCTACATAGTTTGTCTTCTTGCGGCGAGCCAAGTGCACCGCACGACCCAAATACCAAGCCTGGGATAATGTATTGGGGACTCCATGGGACTTGATGGCGGAAGCAGGCAGTGGGTTGGCGCATACAGCACAGGCAAGGCCAAGCTCGATGGCTGTGGTGCGAAGAATCTTCTCCAATCTTACCGGGGAATCGGCGTTCTTTCAACTCAGAGTCAGCTGCACGTTCAAATGGGCTCTAGTATCTCTACTCACTGCCACAATCGAGGTGTTCCCACGGGCATCGGACAGCACGCAGGGGACCAGTGAGTGGCCATAGACACTGGTGGTGGCTGAAAGTTATTAGCTGACAGGAATTTCCATAGTAGAGGCAGCGACGAACCGTGATACATGGTGGGATACGCTCTGCCCATCGTATCGCCGTCAACGATGGGGACATCATAGTGTACGCCAGTCGGGAATGCACACAGACCGTTACCACCCCCACTAACCATGTCAGCTCACAGTCAGAAGAGTGGTTGCTTGTGACTTACACTTCGTCTAGCAGAAGACCTTGGAAAGTCTTGATGCCTAGGAATTTGTTGACAGCGTCGATACCAGAGGCAATCTCTGTGCCTCCTGCAATACGCTCATTGATGACACTTGGGCTGCCATACCACGAGCCAAAGCAGATAATATCACTGTCATTGAGGGACTTGGGAGAAACAATGCGCATTTTCCTCTCTCCGCTATTGCGTAACGCTTGCAGACTCTTAAGGAACTCGTGGTGTGTTGGTCCACCACCTCCGGTACCTAAGACACCGCAACCCGTGGAGATCATCTCCAGGTCAACTTCCGAGACGTACCAGACGCCGTCCTTGACCTCGGGACAATAGGTTTCGAGATCCACTCGCAGCGATGGCCGCGTAGTAGACTCAAGAGCATTGGGAACGCCGACTTTCTGTCCTTCGTCTGCCTCTGGCTCCTCTGCAGATACCGAGGGGGCTGAAGGAGGAGGTGTCAGCTCATCGGGTATCGAGAGGGGACCAACAGCTCTGATTTGAATGCGGATTGCACCATTGTGCATGTACTGTAGGGGCATTTTGTGCACCTCAACGACTTGCACGTGCTCTCTAGCCGCGCCCTTGGCCACTGCCATGTCGATGGCCTTTTGCTGCGTGGCCTCCAGAACAGCTCGCTCATCCTTGCCATCCAGGATCTCGACAACATCAATATCACCCGAAACCTTGGCGATGGCGGCGCCGACTGCATTTGCAGCCCCTTGGTGAATTGGGTGGATGCATTTGTCTACACCATCGAGATCTTCCGTCACGAGAAGCGCACCTCCTCCGACAAGGAGAACGTGCACGGGAGCAGCCGATACCTTCATCTGCTCGATGATGCCCTCGAGCATCTTCTTTATCCGTTGGCGGGCCTTTTCAACAAGAGATGATGGAACGTTGTGGACCAGCGATGAGTCTCCAAGATGAGCTTTCCCTAGGGCGACCACAATATCACTAGCAGTGAGAGTGCTGCCGCCGAAGACCTTGGCCTCCTGCTGGATAGCGTGTCCAACAGAGCCGGGTCCAATTGTGACCTTATCAGTAATAGGGTCGAGCTGGACCTGGCTTCCACCACCCAAGCCGATTGACACGACCTCGGGCATCGAAAACGCCGTTCGCACACCTCCCACCTCAACAAAGCCTGGGGCCTGCCGCGGAAATCCTGAAGGCAGGAGGGCGCACACATCCGTCGTCGTGCCACCGATGTCGACAACAATGACCTGGGGCTCCGCCTCGGTGGTCTCCGAGTCAGATTTGGAGTCGGTTCCAATCTGCTTCTTATGATCGATACCAGCCAGGAACGCGGCACCGGTAATACTGTTCGTTGGCCCGCTCGCAAATGTCTTGATGGGGTACTCTGCGGCTGTGTCGGCGTCGATCAGCGTACCGTCATTCTGTGACAGATAGAGTGGGCATGAAAGCCCAATACGCGCCATGGCACGCTGGAAGCCCTTCTTGACGCGGTGACCGGTCCGCAAAATCGCGGCGTTGAGGATCGTGGCATTTTCGCGCTCCAAAAAACCCGTCGGGCCAATATCGTGCGAGCAGACGACTTCCAACTCGGGCGCTTCTTCGATGATGATTTTCTTGCACTGTTCTTCATGCAAACCCTCATGATCCAGTGGCGAGAAGACGCCGACCAATGCTATTGACTTGACCCCGGAGGCAACAATGTCCCGCGCGGTCTGTCTAATCTGCTCTGGATTCAAGGGCGCAATCTCCCGGCCGTCAATTTCCAGGCCACCGTCGAGATAGTACGCACCGCCGTCGAGAATGCCGCGCAGACCGACAGGGAAATCAGAAAACGGGGGAATCTGACGGGTAAAGGGACCGCAGAGTCTCACTACTGCGACCCGGTCAAGTCGCCGTGCATCGGCCTCTACAAGTGCATTGATAAAGTGTGTCGTGCCGATGGTGACGCTGAGCACCCGGCTCTGATCAACTTGAGAGTCTTGAAGGACGGTACGGATGGCTGACTCGATACCGCTGGTGATATCCTTGGTTGTCGAGGCTTTGTGGGACGCCAGCACGCCACGGTTGGGCGTGTCGAAGGCGCGGACGTCAAGGATGGCGGCATCCGTATTGGTGCCGCCCACGTCGACGCCGATACGGTAGAGAGACATGACTGATGGTTTGAGGAATGTTGTTGGGGTTCAGACGAAGATGTCAACTGCCCCCCTTTTGTACTTGAGGTCGATCGGCGCCAATCATGGCGATGGGCAGAATTGCCAATTGGCTGACAGTTAACAGATTAATTCGCCGAACTTGTGATCCGGGGAGTTTGTTAAAGTTCCTTGCGGAGTCCACCTCGATTTAACTGATCAGAACAACCAAGGACGGTTGAGTTGAGCGAGATAAGACTAACTTGAAGAACTCCAGGACTCATATGACAGCTCTCAACCCCGGGACAACTGTCGATAGCGGAGATACCAGGTGGTTCATAAAGTGCTCCTGTGCCAGCTGCTATCGAGTCGCGTGGCGTTGAATCCCCAGACAACATGGCGCTGTCGACTTTGTTCAAGAGAATCGAGCTGCCTCATGGATCGCGATGGATTGTGAGATGCCCTTGACAGCAGAAGCGTCCTCTTCCGATTACCGCGGCTAACTGAATTTCTCATCAAACATACAGAACGACGATGTGCGCCCGGTCGAAGCAGGGAGACGGACTTGGACGTTCCTGACATTCCACAACTTCTGTGCGACTTCATCCATCCTATGCTGCTAGCGAGGGTGTGCTGAGCGGATGTAGGGCTCCTGATCAACTGTAACATTGCCACGTACCTGACCGGCAGCGCCCTTATCCCGCTCGGATTGACCTGGTGGCAGGCCATCATAGGTGAGACTGACCAACTTGGATCCTCTGGATGCATCTCAGTCTGATTCTATAAAGCTATTGTGATCGGCAACATTCTTGCGACCTTGGCCGTTGTGGTTAGCTCTCTAGCTGGAGCGCACTACCATAGTAGGTCGACCCCTAGCGACTATCTATCAGTCATGGAGAGGTATTGACGGTAGTAGTTGGCTTCCCCGTGTTCAGTCGAGCTGTCTGGGGCACCTGGGGAGCTCAGTTCGTTGTCTGGAATCGCATTTTCCTCGCATTCGGTAAGCGATCTCTGAGTCAAGCTTCTTGAAACTATCCCATACTAATGATCTACTGCTAGTTTGGTAAGATATAGCTAGTGCCACAGTCACTACCATCGCTGACGACTCAGGTACGGCTTCCAATCATGGGTTGGCGGCCAATGCACCTACATCATCCTCCTTTCATGGGATCCCGGGTTCGCACAACACATCCCCAACCATATTCCAGAAGGAACAGGTACCACCAGTGCTGAGTTCCTGTGCTACTTCATCTTCTGCGTCATTAGTCTCCCCGCGCTGTGGATCCGTCCCCACCGCATCGAGAAGTTCTTTTACATTGCCAGCGCAGTCACGCTGGCCTTCTTCCTCGTGCTTTTGATCTGGGCCCTGGCGACCATGGGATCCGATGGGTTCGGCGATACCCTTAATGACGGTGGCTCCATCCCAACCACCGGCGGCCCGTACAGCACCGCCTGGTTGATGGTGTACGGTATCATGTCGACCATCGGGTCCATCGCGGCGGGGATTCTGAACCAGAACGACTACGCTCGTCTGGCGCGGCGGCCAGGAGATGCCATCTGGGGCCAGGCACTGGCCTTCCCGCTGTACAGCATCGCCGCGTCCATCATCGGCATCCTCGTCACAGCCGCCACGCAGAAGCGCATGGACGGTGAGGCCGTCTGGAACCCGCCCACGCTCTTGGTGGGCCTGCTCGAGAAGGACGAGAGCCCCGCCACCCGCGCCGCCGTCTTCTTCGCCGGACTCGCCCTCATCATCTCCCAGCTCGGCAGTAACCTTCCCGGTAATGCCCTGTCCGGCGGCATGGACTTGGCCTCCGTGTTCCCGCGCTTCATCAACATCCGTCGTGGCGCCTACATCGTCGCCATCCTCAGCCCCGTCGTCAACCCTTGGCGGCTGGTCAACACCGCCACCATCTTCCTGACCGTCCTCTCGGGTTATGGTGTCTTCTTGGCTCCCATGACGGGTATCATGGCGGCGCATTACCTGATCGTCGCCCGCATGAAGATCAACGTCGACGACCTTTTCGTCGGCGACAGCAGAGGCATCTACTGGTACTCGGCGGGTATCAACTGGCGCGCCCCGGTAGCGGTATGCAATTCTGTTCTTCGAAACATGGTATTTGACTAACTGTTATAGTGGATTGTCGGCCTCGTCCCTTGTTTCCCCGGCTTCGTGGCCGCCGTCAACACGTCCGTCGTCATTTCTGATGGTGCGACTGAGCTGTTCTACCTGAACTATCTGTATGGCTTCCTGGCGAGTGCGGTAGCCTATGCGCTTCTGCACTGTATTTTCCCGGACAGGAAGCTCGACGCGTTTGTTCAAAACGGTGCCTCCGCGCGAGAGACCCAGAGATTCTATAATAGGCGTTGGGATGTAATCGAGGCGCAGACGCCGGAGATCGAGGAGGATTGCGAGGTGCCGACCGTCAAGGATGGATTCGAGACTTCGCTGTAGGGATTCATGGTATAGTTGGTACAAGTAGATAAGGTTCTTCGTTTCTAGGATAGTACAGAATTTATGAGTCAGAGTCGTTCAATTGAGTCGTCAACAGCTACAGCTACAATGCCATTAAAGACTGAATCCCCCCCCCGCGTGCGTAGACACCAAAACATCGCATCCGCATCCGCATCCCCCGGCTCCGCGCCCGCCTTCCCGCCGACGTTCGTGCACATCTAGCCCGAGGAAATGGCCCGGGGACGAGGTTGGAGATTTGTAGGGACTCCGGGGTGAAAAGGTAACGGAGAAGGAGAGTTGAGGGACTCGGTGTCGAAGTGCTCGTGCGTTAGCAGGGTGGATGGTCTGGTTCGCGATGGAGAAGATGGTGAAGTCGCTGGATTGGGCTGCAGCAGCCGGTGAAGATAGAAGAAATGTCTGCGCTGGCTGTGAATTGTGAATTGTCAGTGAGTCAGTGGTGACGGATGATGTTCCTGTTGGCATGCAGCAATGCTTACCGAATGGTTCTTGGTCAGTCGATTCTTCGACGTATAGATATCCTTTGGGCATTGGGTCCTGCAGGAGCTGCACGACTCGCTGCACATGCCGTTTCGGAGCATGTTTTCAAAGCCTTGTTTGTCCATCGATGCTTCTGACTGGCACGTAGGTAGAAATCCCTGGCTTTTTGCAAAAAAGACTTAGTTAAAAGCTTCTTTCCACCTTATATATAGTCTTCGTCGTGGAGACACCCGCAGGGCGGTTCTCTTGTGATGACACACGCGGTCTTGCGCTTGCGACATACATCGCAGCGCCTGTTCTTCTGGCTTCTTGGCTGCCAGGCGCGACCAGAATAGCTGCGAATGCTGAGTTTGCGGGGAGAATCTGGCAGGCAGGGACGATTCTCCATGATAGTGGAGTGGTGAATACCTAGTAGTTGGATGAGTATATGGAGTCAGGAGTTTGGAGTCAGGAGTCATGGACAGATGAAGGAGAGAAGCTGGCCGATGTCGGGCCTCAGTCGATTTGCATCGCTTAATTGAATACGGAAGAATGGCGGTTATTATTGGAAAGCCCGTTTGATAGCTGTTATGACTATGGTTTGGACGATTAATTGAGGTAATTGTATGGCATCATCTATCTATGTAGTATTAGGGTATGTAGTGTGTATGTTGAGATTGATACAGCTGATGGCACTTTGGCCTCCATACTATTGAATCTTATGCAGGCATCGTAGATCTATTACGGAGTAGGTATGTATCTAGCAGAGCATAGGCCCATAAGGCTATAACTCTATCATCTATAGTTCTTCCAGGGGGAATGGAGCAAGTCAATTGGCCCTATGGTCTGCTCGAGGCCTGCTCTGAGACACACTATCGATGTAGATCTGATCGATCATATCAATTAAACGACAGATCCAGCTAAGAACGCGTCTAACAAATTCTATCTCGAAGTCGATATGGATATGGCCCATCATGGAATGTGAGCAATTCGTATGATTGGTGCTGTTTATCCTCAGCATCGCCCAGAGTGGAAATGGAATGCATGCGCATGTCTCACATCATATCTGACTTTGGTAGGCAACAGGGCTATCAATTCCTATTCCAGAGAAGGATATGGACTCAGCTGCGGGAATCAAAAAAACAAATATTGCAGAGGTTTGCAGGCTAATGCAGGAACATGGCCCTGTCTGAATGCCAGCCCTGAAGTATAAATCCCTGACCCCCCCCCCCTTGTTCTTCAGGGCGGGATGTCGCACGTCAAAATCGTATGCTATAATACGACCATATGGCCTCCCTAATCCACTCACTCGTAGGCGCCCTGACGGGCCATACCGACACGCTCTGTACCGTCCTCGCCGACCACGGATTCCAGGTCGAGTACCCGCTCTCGCTCTCGTACACCCACGATCTAAACAACTACTGGTCCGCAGCCTGTTCCGACCTCCATCCGGAATGCACGGTGAGTCCGCGCAACGCGCAGGAGATGGCGGACGTGATCGCCGCGCTGGGACATACGCAGGATCAGTTCGCCGTCAAATCGGGCGGCCATTCGCCGAACCTGGGCTTCTCGAGTACGCAGGGCGGCGTGCTCGTTGTCACGAAGAATCTGGATCAGGTGGTGTATGATGCTTCGACGCAGACGGCGGTGATCGGGCCCGGTCAGCGGTGGGAGGATGTGCAGGAGAAGCTGGAGCCGACGGGACGGGCGGTCGTTGGTGGACGGTTGGGGGGTGTGGGCGTGGGAGGATTGCTTCTTGGTGGTGAGTCGGCCACGTCCATCCATGTCTGTATAGGTTGGGGATCGTTGCTGAAGGGGGTGGTGGGCAGGTGGCCTCAGCTATCTCAGTCCGCAATATGGCTGGGCAGCCAACAATATCCTCAGCTATCTCAGTCCGCAATATGGCTGGGCAGCCAACAATATCCTCAGCTATGAGGTCGTTTTGGCCAACGGGACCCTGGTGAATGCCAATGCGGAGGAGCACTCGGACCTCTTCGCTGCTCTCAAAGGAGGCGGAGGTAACTTTGGCGTCGTCACTGCATATACCGTTCAGACACACCCGATGGACCATCCCGTCTGGGGAGGGACGTATGTCTTTGGCGGCGACAAGACCGAGGAGATGCTTGCTGCCCTGCGGGACTTCGTCGAATACTACCCGGACGAGAAAGCCTCGATTATCCTGACCCGGGAACATGCCACGCTGCTGAATACGTGGATTATGTTTCTGTTCTACGATGGGCCAAGTCCCCCGGCTGGGATCTTCGATAACTTCACGGCGCTGAACCCGTTGGATCAAACCAAGACTTGGAGCAGCTACGCCGATCTCGTTAGTATCACCCAATCGCAGTCCGATGGCTTCAATACTGACGGACTCGGCAGCTGAAAAACGGGGACCAATTCATCCTTCAGTAGGTTCAAACAACGAACTGCCGGTTCTGTACTGACCGTCTGGCAGTGGAAGCCGATATAGCATCGCCGGGGAGACCATCCCAGTTCCCCACGACATGTCACCCACAGTTCTGCAGTCTCTCTTCGACTTTTGGCTCGATGTGAACAACGAGGTGTTGCTGGAGCTGGGCATGGTTGGCACGATGGACTTTCAGCCCTTGCCCCGAAGCATTGCACAGAAAGCGCTGCAGCGCGGAGGAGTCAGTACGGCCCTGGAAAAGCCAGAGTGAGCTCTCGTTAATGCCTCTATAGGACCTCCTGGACTTCCCGCCAGATCAAGACTACATTGCCCTGCAAATCACCCTGCAGTGGTTGCTATCGACGTCGGATGCCCGGATGCTCGACGCCACACGGACGCTCTTCAAGGGCTTCAACCGCCTAATCTCGCAGCATATCGCGAACGGAACTCTGCCGGATGTCTACCGTCCGTTGTATATGAATGATATCCACGCAGACCAGGATTACTGGGGTCGACTGCGGACGCGGGACCGGGCCTTGCAGACCAGGCGGAAGTATGATCCTACCGGGTTCTTTCAAACCCGGACCAGTGGATTTCGCTTGTCTTAATTTCTTCTAGTTGGCAGCAAAAGTTGAGGTACCTATGGATGGGATTAAGTTGAAACCATTGACATGCTCAGACCCGCCATTTGATTGATAGCGAAGTTTCTCCGCGTAAGATAGGTAGAGCCGGCGCCGACTCCGAGACCCTGTGACTGAAGATAGTATGGAAAGAAGAAAGACGTGGTAGAGAGGGCTGACAATGCCAATAACGAGCCAGTTGAGGATGATCACCATGTACGACCAGGCCCGTGGACAGGTGCGAAAATGGACTGGTGTCAGTTCCGATCTTGTCAATGTCAATGGTCCTATAGACAATCGTATCACCATCACTAGCAGGGGTCCTGCGCCGCAATCAAGCGTTGGTGGATCGCGCCACACGAAAACCGAAGGCGTTAACGAGACTGTTTTGCACCAATAGAACGCCTGCTGGGGTCATCACGACATTTCCCGCGCCGGATTGGGGAGGTCAAACGTCCCAGAGGGGTGAGCATAAGACCACGAGCGAAACTGGAGCCAACAAAGAAGACGGTTGGTTCTATACATAGTCCCCATTCCTTTGTAAGACAGGGTCTCCATCCTTTCCTCGAGTCGATGCCCAGCATGGGGTCACAGAAGCGGGCTCTGCGGGCCTCGTGCGATCACTGTCACCAAGCAAACGTGAAATGCGTCCCTACTGCCGTCGGTTGCCAGCGCTGCTTGGACTTGAAGATCGTCTGTGTTCACAGTCCCCCGGGCCGGTCCGGTCGAGCACCCGCAGCGAGCAGGGATTCGGGGTCCTCGCGGGTGCGTGCTGCTCGCATTCTTCCCCCGGCGCAAAGCAGCCCTTCGCGAGTCTCCAGCGAGCACAACGCCTTCGCAGCAAGCTCCGAGCATCAGAACCCCCAGCTCCCGTCCTCGACAGCGGACTTTGCGAACGGCTCCGTGCTGATTCTCGATGACGAAGCGGGCCAGGGGGAGCCCATCGACGCGATGCTGTCCGACTGGTTCTCCATGCCAGGAGCCGCCCTCAGTCCCCTGTACAGCGCAGATCATCAGACAGCTGCACTGCCGGAATCCGCCAACCCCCATTCGGAGGAGGCGGCGGCGCCGGAGGACCCGAGGGAGTAGCCACGGAGATGGGAGTCTGCTTCTCGACGTCTACATCGTAGGAGAGCTTGTTACTCTGCAATGATTCGTTGACCTTGGGCGATGCCAGCTCCTGCTCCGTAGTGGAGAGACTCATTTTGTAATTGGGCAAGGGACACACGAACGGAATCAGTTTCTCATGAGAAGCCACTAATTATGATCTCTGACAATCCGCGAAAGGTGTGATATACTAAACAAAACAACAGGCCCTTAATTTCAATGGTAATTCGACCTGGTTTATGGCGCCAGCGCTTCGATCCGTAGAGTCCAACGGCTTGATCTGCATGCTAGACAGAAGCTGCTCTCGAAGAGAATCTGACGATTTCATATAGACTCGCACAGAATAAAGCATACTTCTCATAAAGTGAATGCGATACATGGAACTGCATAATGCTCTGACTCTAAACCACCGAGACACCGATGCAAGTGCAGGGTTTAAACGAACCCACCGATACTGTTGGATTCCCCCAGTGGGTTAGTTTCTACAGCGGCCAGATCACCATTGGCTCTGATATTGATGAATCCAATCGGCGGGATTTGCAGATAGACAGGGATCAGCTCAGGGAGTACATTACGGAGTACAGACATAGTAAATATCTTGTGGAGTAAGATGGCAAGTGATATAACCTCTCCAGTTAGGCTTCCCCTACAAATGGGAGGGCTCTGGATTGCTTCGGAAGGGACTAGGGCTTGAACTTCTTATTCTGGTCATGATCTGACTTATGTACCAATTGACTGGCCTGGTAGCGTAGATAGATAAACCTCAGCACCGAGCCCAAGGAGTCTACTTCATATGAGATGACTATGGCTGAAAGAAGCTATTGATTGAAATAAACTCCCAGAGAGGAATAGCATGGAGGCTTGTAAATTCCCATTTCTTCCATCATCGCTGGTCTAAGTAGTATTAATAACTATACCTGTTTTCTGTAAAGTTATGAGATCTAGCATATGAGGATATTTCAGAAGTGTATACCTCTCGTTCTAGTTAGCAACAGATATGATATGCAACCCAAGTTTCATGATAATCTCATATAACATGGTGAAAAGCTTTAACGGACCATGAGGAACGGCTGCCACTGTGGATAGCAGATCTACGGTTAGCAAACAGCGCTGTGTGCTAATGCAGTGTCAAAGCCTTGTAGGCTAACTAGTTATTGGCCAGTGGTGATGCTATAGTCCCAGACTCCCAAGAGCTGGAAGACCGTGGCAGGTGTTTGCTTTAGAATCTGATAAAGCGATGAAGACGACTCATGAACGGCACAAGAGCTGCTGGCCTGCTGCTCACCTGAGCCGAAATGCCAACTGGATCAGCAACCAGGAAAATACTCGTGGCCGAAGCTATCATAGGCCAAACTGGACTGGCAACCGCATTCATTCTGCGCTATAAAGACAGTAAGCACTAAATAAGCGGCTGAGGATCTAAGAGTTTAGGGCCAGACTAGTGCCAGTTCTACCAGCACAGAAAAGGGGGTTAGACCCTCTACTCAGCCTTGTGTTGGTGACTGCTGGCTGAGTAGCTGTATCTACAGAGTACAGCGCTTGAAATTCTTCAGTGGCCAGGAGCTACTGACACTAAGTTCACAGCCTATGGACTCGGACTGCTTATAGAGTAAATTGGTCTTGTGCAAGCGAGTCATTGATTACCAGGCAGTCCTAGGCATAATGCTGCTCCTCTACTTTCTATCACTCCTCGTGGACTTCTGCCTGGCCCAGCAGCCGCAGTCTGAGAAGCTCGAAGGCTGGCAGTTTGACGACAACAGCCGATCCAGCTGGGACATTTTCTGGACGTGTCTGTCGACGATTTTTGCCTGCACCTGGACGGCAATCCATCTCCATGTGCCGCAGAGAACGTCTACCAAGCATGGCAACGACAGGGTGAAATTTTTGGCGTGGCTGGCCTGTCTGCTGGCCCCGGAATTCATGACCATGTATGCCGCCGTGGACTTCTATTACGCGCGTTCCATCACGCGGAAATGCAACCAGGCATTTGCTGCAAAGGACGAAGAGAAGCATGAGCTGCAGGCGGAACCAAAGACAGGGCAGCCGTCGGACACGGAGATCGAAGCTGACGAGCCTGAACCCCAGAATCCCCGTCCCTGGGGCCTGACACAAGGCTTCTCTATTCAGATGGATGGTCTGCAGTTCCACACAACCGACAATTGGGATTATGCTGTGACCACCAGGAACGTGGCATCGCTGATTGAGGCCGGCCTCCTTCAGCCGCACCATCTCAAGAGGGAGGAGATTGAAGACCGGGCCAAGGCGGATGCATTGGCCAAGCTCTTCGCGGTTCTGCAGAGCGGCTGGGTGATGATCAATATCCTCGCCAGAGCAGCGTACCATCTGCCTATCTCACCCCTCGAGATTGCTACTGTTGCGTACGTCGTCTGCGCTGCGTTTAGCTACGGCCTGTGGTGGTATATGCCCCGGGATGTACGAACGCGAATCACGATTGAACTGCCATATGCACGCGAGGGCGAGGAAATGCCCGAACCTGTCCGAAGAGCGTTGGATAACTACGAGCAGTCTTGGTTTCGCTCAGGTCGGATCGATTTCACGATGGCAGATTTCCGTGAAGCTGTCGACACCTCGTTCCCGTCAAAGCGACATTCCCTTTGGTCTCGCGAGTGTGGCGATGGCTCTCTGGTGAGATTCAGTGCGCGCGATGAAGCCATGTTGACCATGTGGGGAGTACTGGCCATGCATGTTTTCTGCGGCATTCACATTGCAGCGTAGGTTCCCTTCTGTCAGATTAAAAGTCTTCGCTAACCCTGTCACCCGGCTGCATAGTTGGAATTTCACCTTTCCTACCGCTGCAGAGAGAATTGCGTGGAGAGTCTTCTCCCTCCTCTCAGTCGGCGGCATCTGGGGACCGATTATCATTGGGACAGTGCCGTTGGCTGTGGCCTGGCTTGCATCAGGACGCGAAATATCTGCTCCGGGGCTGAAAAGCTTTATTGACCCGGAAGGTCGGCGGACGATCTTTGAGGAAGTGGTGTTTAACGGAGGCTATGTGATATACGCCCTTGCAAGGCTGGGGATGTTGGTTCTGGTGTTGACATCCATGCGAGCGCTTCCAGCAGGATCATTCGTTGGCATTGACTGGCTTTCAAGCATACCGCATATTTAGGGCTGACTTGCAGCCAAGATACCCACAGCTGGCTTCGAGAAATAGTATGAAGTCCCTGATCGAGATGCTCTTCGTCTTGGACGGGTCGGTCAGGTAGATGCAGCGTGACGAGTACGTGCTCACGATGACTGACCGACTGTTGTACTCTGGGGAGTACAGGCCAGCGATCGCCAGCGATATATCTCCAATTCAGAGGGGATATTTGTTTATGATTGTGCCACTACCGAGATACAAATGAGGGCCAAAATGTGGAGTTAGCTCTGTCTGGGGAATTCCGGTCCATGGCTTGCTGAAGATGATCTAGGGTTTAGAACACCGGCGAGGAATGTTGGATTCTTTCAAGGCCACCAGTTGGCGGTTCGACCTATCCACTTCTAGCGAGGCATGGATTCCCTTGTGCATGTACAGTTGGATGACCTCTCTGTTCAAAAAGGACCCTAGGCGCTTACTGGGATCCCCGAGCCTGCATCACCAATGGGTCTATCCGAAGGCCTTGCACCTGCGTCGTAGGCGCTTAATGAATGGATGATAGGTGCTTTGACAAGGTCGTGTAGAACCAAGCAATTTTCGACTACTCCGCGTAAATCCAAGTTTAGCGTTGATGGCCGAACAATTGAATCGTTCTATTCGCGTAGGCCCTATGACTATCGAGGGTGAAATAGACATGGATGTCTACCGTAGCGCCGTTATTGGGCCACGTTGATTGCGTGGCCGCATCTTATGGGATATTTCAATAAAGCCGTGACTTCAACTGTCTTCATTTACTTGCAAATTGTTCAATGTGATTATATTTCCGAGCGTGACAATCTCATTCCTGCACCCGTACCGACATCAGAATTGCGCAGACAAACACGAATTATACAATTCAACTTCCCCGTTGAGAGTCAATATGCGCCCCAAGTCCCGCGACGGATTCGAGTACGCAATCACTTGCAGCCTTCCGCTTGAAATGGATGCCGTAGAAGCGCTTTTGGACGAATGCTATGATCGATTTGGGACGCTATATGACAAGTGTCCTGGAGACACTAACATATACACATGCGGACGGATCGGGCCGCATAATGTTGTCCTATGTCTGACGGCAGACATAGGCAAAGCGGGAGCAGCTGCGACGGTCCCGACCTTGCTCCTCAGCTATCCAAATGTTCGATTGGTGTTCGTTGTCGGTGTATGTGGTGGCGTTCCTTTCCCGTCCGTAGGTGGCCGTGGGATCTTTCTTGGCGACGTTCTCATCAGCGACAGCATTATCGAATATGATGTTGGTGTACTATACACCAGTAGCTTCCAGCGACAGACTGATATCAAGAGTACGCTCGGACGACCGAACCGTGGAATAAGGTCCCTGTTATCAAACTTGGGGAGCGACAAGGGACGCAAGGAGTTCAAAGAGCAAACAGAGGGATATGTAACAACGCTCCAATCGCTCCAAAAGGACCGCTGGGAGCGTCCAGATGTCGCATCTGATGTCCTCTTTGAGTCATCGTACCAGCATCGACACCGCCAAGGAGTGCATCTCGACGAGTGCATCTGTCTCAAGTATGCATCCGAAGCTGCCGTTTGTAAAGTTGCCATGAATGCGAGCTGCCTCAACCTTGGTTGTGAGGAGGAACACATCCGCCGCCGTCGACCCGAGACAGAAGGCTCCGAATGGGCGGTGCATATTGGTACATTTGCATGTGCAGAAACGGTTATGAAGTCCGGAATCCACCGTGACGACTTGGCAGAGAAGGAGGGGGTGATTGGATTCGAGATGGAAGGGGCAGGGGTATGGGATCTCAGTCCATGCCTCATCATCAAAAGCGTCTGTGACTATGCCGATAGCCACAAGAGCCAGGCATGGCAGAAATACGCAGCAGCAGCGGCTGCTTCTGGAGCCAAAGCCATTCTGGAACATTGGCTACCTACAACGAAGCCAGGTGAGTACAGATACCCAAGGCACTGGATGACGATGCTGATCAACCACAAGCTTTGAAACTGGTATCCAGTGTCCATTCGGGAATTCCAGTTCCCCAGACAGCCTCTTCTGGCCAAGTGGACGAACTCAAGAAGATGAAACAGAATTTCCAGCACCTAGTCAAAGAAAGAAAAGACGTCGTCCTCTGGGGCCACCAAGGAAGTGGAAAGCCACAATTAACAATACACTACACCACGATTCCCAGAAAGTCCTACGATTCGATCATATGGATTGACAGTTCGTTAAGACACTCCATTCTTGAATCTTTCGCCCGCGTATGCTCAAACCTCAAGGGTCATCTGGAACGCGGCCAGTCGGTGATTAAGTCAGTCCTGGAGAACGACACGAATCATTCTTGGATCCTGGTGTTTGACAATGTAGAGAGTCGCGATAAAGCGCCTGAAAGTGACAGTATTAATCCGCGACCCTATTTTCCTAACTCATATCATGACTACATTCTACTGACATCCACTTCGTCTGATGTGCCCCATCGGCTGAACTTTGCTAGCATTCACATACGAGCACTCAATGAGCGAGCCCACCCTGGACCTCCTAGAGTGCAGCAAACATTATGTCTAATTTCCCGGGTTCTTCTGTCACCGAGTCCACGCTGCCAAGCGTTTGTGATATATCAACAGTCTCAGTGTCGTCCAGAACGGCTTCTTGCGAAATGGGTGGACAGTCTCTTCATTGGAAACAGGCAGATGCTCTGGCCAACACACAGCCCAGTCAAGATGGGAGAGTGCAATGACAAAACTAAATACGACTTGATAGGAGTTATGAAATCGCCATTCCGTGCGACGATAGAGTCGGCTGATGCTTTATTCTGGGTTTTGTTTGCCATCCACAAGTCAAGGAAATGATATATAATCGAGAGGTCACTTACAGGAGTCAATATCGAACCCGTAGTCTGCCTGAGCGCGCTGTTTCTATAGCAGAAAAACCTAGCCAGTACATCCCAGCCTAATTTCACCAAGAGCTAAATAGCAGGAAGAGTCTCTACTTTTTGTCTTTCTTCCTATTCCACCAATTTTAGCACATTAGAGATGGGTAGCCAACAGCTCATTGATGCCCTTTCCCATGACTCTTCGGTCTATTTCCCGGATTCTGTCCAAAACACGGACTATAATGAAAATTCAGCTCATCATACATTAATCCATAGCACAACAGGGAGAAAGATGCATATCCGTGGAGAATTGCTACTGTAAAGACGGTCAGATATCGGTGGGTCACGTGCCAACAAGGCTCCCCATTGAGGTTTCCGAGAGTGTACGTGGCCCTAACAATGCTCAGCACCAACACATCTGGGCCCTCTAAACATTCCACAAGAGCTTAAACATGGCGAAAACGTAAGTGCACATCTATCTGAAAGTAGACCCATCGCTAACGCCAACTAGTTCCATCGAGATCGTCCAAGGGACAGCAGCCGACATCCCCACCGTGCTGGGCCTGTTCGACACTGCCGTCGAGTGGCTCAAATCCCAGGACAGAACCGGCCAATGGGGCACAAAGCCCTTCTCGCAGCTACCGCGCCGCGTCAAAACAGTCACCGAGGCCGCCGCCTCGTCGCATCTGTGGCTGGCGGTTGACTTCGACAGCGAGACCACGCCCGATGTGGAGCAGCCATTTATTGGCCCCGATGGCAGACGTGGGGTAGTCGTCGGGTCCCTGGAAGTCGGCGACAAGGCCTCGTACGTGGAATCGGTGCCCGAATCCGAGCTCTACGTCAAGTTCCTGGTGACGGATCGCAAGTGTGCCGGGAACGGAGTCGGTGGTCTGCTTCTGGATCAGGCTCGGAAGCTCGCTCGAGAAGCCGGAGTCGAGCTGCTGCGGTTGGACTGTTATGCTGGGGGGGATGGGAAGTTGATCCGGTACTACGAGAAGCAGGGGTTTGTACGAACGACTGCGTTTGAGCATGAGGGCTGGCCGGGACAGTTGCTGGTGGAAAGAATGTCGAACTCCGACGAGTAGTCGTATGATTCATACCATGAATTCGTGCCCATGTCATATTCCAGAGATCTCAGCCAGTATAAGGTGAAAAATGCCCAGGCCGGAAGAAACCCGACGGGGACGGAAGCGTATCCGCTGCCTCGGCTACGAGTTGTGATCACCGTCTTGCAGGATTAAGTACTCACTCACTCACCATGGAGATATACCGGTATAGAACAACATGAACAACATGGCGCGAAACCTCTATGCAGACCCTCCCCGTCGTCCGACTCCCTCGCACGACGCAGCGCATGTCCTCGTTTCCTTCCAGAGCAATGTCCCGTCTGCAGCGACACATCGCAGCCGAAACAGCCATGGCCGACCCCTGTCGACGGCGAATCTCAGTCGGCCCCCGCAGAATCGTCGCCGGGTCTGGCGCGCCTGCGAGTCATGCCGCAGGAAGAAGATTAAATGCGACGCGGGAGATCCATGTCAGTGCTGCGTAGACACGGGGAGTGAGTGTGTGTATGCGATTGAGGGGTATCGGAGGGAGTTTGAGTCAAAGTATATTCTTCTCCCCTGTCCAAGCATGACAACTAACCGTTCAGGGTGATTGAAGGATATGGGAAACGGATTCAGGCGCTGGAAGATCTGGTGGCGACGTTGTTGGCGGAGCAACAGAGACTCGCAGCTCAATTGACACAGCCTGACAGTTGGCTCCCTCCCGATAGTCAAATGCCTGTTGCTAGCAATCTAATCGCCGAGTCGACACAATCCCCAGTGAGCGTCATCGCACAGGATCGGGTTGATATACCGGGGGCGCTGGTTATCGACCCAGGACTGGTTGGTCAACCCCAGTCTGTTTCGGTCCTTTGTCCTCCTGAAGGGAGTGCGCTGAGCACACAGACAAGTGTGAAAGCCGCCTCGCTGGTATATCGAGATGACAACGGAGCGCTAGTCAACGATGAAGCGGACGGGGCGCAATACTTTGGGCTCGGCGCAACGGTAGCCGTCGTGGATGAATGTCCCGGTCTGCGCATTCGAATCCAACAAGGTCTCATGCAGAAAGGCCGTGAAACGTTGGAGTCTCTATTCACTGAGAAGTCACTGCCGCCAGCATCGTCACGTCCCGGAAGCCTTCCTCCTGCCCCTCTCATGGACGCATTGATTGACACATTCTTCCGCAAAGTGTACCGTCTCTTTCCCATCATCGAAGCAGAGGATTTCCAGCGGCAGTACCTGCTACTTTTGTCGAATAATGCCCACCGGCCAGGATTTTTGGCGTTGCTTTACTCCATCCTGGCGGTTTCATCACCCCATATGACCCAGGACGACGGCGTCTGGAGTCGAGAGGGTTGCTCCGGATACAAAGGACTCGATCTGGGAAGACATTTTCACAAACTAGCCCTTTCAACAGGGCAGTTGAACGCATTCACGCCATTCGGAAGCAACAATGTCAATACCGTCACGGCATTGACTCTCCTCGGCATGCACCTGGCACAAACAGCCAGAATGAGTGAAGCATGGAGTATAATCGGCCATGCAGTTCGGCTGGGCTACGAAATGGGACTACATGTATGTTGATTGATCGCTTTTTGAACTGGACTCGATGTGACTGACCGTATAGCGCTCCCCGAAACGGATGGGCCTCCCGCTGATCGACGTCAAACGCCGCTGTCAGCTCTGGTGGTGTCTGTACGTGATGGACCGCCTGCTGGCCCTCCACCTCGGGCGTCCCTTAGCCATCCACGACAGCGACTCGGACGTCTTCTTCCCGTCGCCGCGTCCCAGAGCCCCCGGGTTCGTGGCCATGACACATCTGTGCCGGCTGATCGGGCAGATCCACGGGACCGTCAACTCGATCAGCAACGCGCACAAATGGCACGATGAGGCCAAGCATATGAATCTGCGGACCGAGCTGGACGCGCTTTGGGCGGATCTTCGGCAATGGCGGGAAACCATGCTGCCGGGGCTGAGTCCGGAGGAGTCCAAGCAGACCGAGCGCTGTGTGCTGGTGTCCACGTACTGTTCTGCCGTGCATCTGCTGTTTCGCCCGTTTCTGTCCACGCCGCATCGTCCGTCGCGATGGGATGCGGGACTGGCTGTGCGGGAGAGCCTCGCTGCTGCGACGGAGTGTGTACATTTGACGCCGGCGTTCAACCGGGTCGTTCCGGCGTGTCACTACTATGCCTTCCATGGACAGAATCTGTTCGTCAGTGTCCTATCGGTGCTGCACTGTATCCGGAACAGGGAAGCGGCTGTGGCCGGGGTTGGGGAGGCACTGGATGCTCTATCGGCAATGGGCCCAAAATGGCCCCTTGCGCCTCAGTACCGCGCTGTCGCCGGCGAATATCACGCCGTGACAACGGAGGTGATTGACGGCGGCCACACGGGACGGTGTATGTTTGAGAATCACGGCGTGGATCCAGGGTCGGAAGCGGCGCAGTTTGACCCCTGGATTAACCAGATCGACCTAGAAGGGAACCTTTTCCCGTCAATGCCGGACACGAGCTGGATGAACGAGTTGTTTTCTCTGTCCCCCGGTCAGAGTGGAGCAGACGCCGAAGACAAAGAACCCCCCCGGAAGCGCAGAAAGACCAAATTACGGGCATCAGTGTGTTCATTCTCAGTCAGAAAATCGACCAGTATTAGCTAGACATGACATAACATTCGTTAGAAACAGACAAAACACATAGAAACTACTTGGTATACATCTTCTCGAACAGCCGCCACCTCTCCTCCATCAGCCCCGTCCACCGCTCCTCCTTCTCCAACCCTAGAAACCGCAACGCATTGCCCGCCAGGATCTCGGCGCGCTGCCTCCACGACAGAAACGCCTCCAGCCGCGCATCCCGCGCAATCATCTTGCCGGCCTCGGGCACCTCGCCCAGCGGGAACGGATAGTCACTACCCATAATCATGCGGTGCGCCCCGACCTTCTTAACCAAGTACTCCAGCAGCTCGACGTCGTGCGTGAGGCTGTCGATCCAGATATTCTCCCGCACCGTCGCATGTTCCGTGGGCGTGACGCCGCCCGCATCCCCGGCCACCAAGTCCGGCCGGCAGTCGTACCCGTGCTGGATGCGCCCCAACAGCGTCGGGAACGAGCCGCCCGCGTGCGCGAAACACAGCCGCAGCCGCGGGAATTTCAGCAGCGTCCCCGAGCACGTTAGCACATGCAGCGCCAGCGCCGTCTCGCACGGCATCCCGATCAGCCAGCTACTCCAGTACTTGGCCCACCGCCGCGGGTTCTCCTTCGGCAGCGTGTACCCCAGCGGGTGCACGAAGACCGGCATCTGCAGCTCCTCGCAGGCCGCCCAGAATGGATGCAGCGCTGGATCGTCCAGCGGCATCCCGTCGATTGTCGTGCCGATTTCCACCCCGTGCAGTCCGAGTGAGTGCTTTGCGCGCCGCAGCTCCGCTACCGCGGCGGAAACTTCCTGCAGCGGGACGGTAGCCAGGCCTAAGAAGCGGCCGGGGTGATCGCGACAGACGGCGGCGATGTGGTCGTTGAGGTGGCGCGCGAGGATCGTGACGGGTTCCGAGGGCTGATCGTAGAAGAAGAGGATGGGGATGGTGCTGAGGACCTGGACGTCGGTGCCGGCAGCGTCCATCTCGGCCAGCCGGGTGGGGATGTCGTAGCAGTTCTTCTCGACGGTCCGGAAGAAGCGCTCGCCCACGTACATGTCGAGTTTGTCCGGGTTGGTTTTGTTCGGACGCAGAGTGAGCCAGGGGGAGCTGGATTCTGAATCCGAATCTGATTCAAAAGAGGATGTGGATGAGGATGAGGATGAGGATGAGGAGGATGGTGGTGGAGTGTTGCATGGGTAGGAAGAGAGGTCAGGAAAGGATGAGGGCATGATATGGGTGTGCATATCAATGCGGAGGAGAGGGTGGTGATTGCAGCAACTCCCCATGATGGCGTTGATCTTCTCGATACCGAGTTTGGGGTGATAATCGAGACTTTAGTGATCGTGATGATGTTCAATTGGAAGGAAGGGAAGATATAGACGAATCCTGGTTCTCTCCGGGGTCCATCCGGGGTAGTAGACGGATGGCATCCGGGCGGCATCCGTGGGACACGATAAATACGTCGTACAAGTGTCGCAGTTGCTGATCATCGTTGTCAGTCGAATCAAGAGTGTCAAAATGAATCCCATGCCTCTGAGCCCGCTGTTCTTTGCTACGTGGCTGGCCGAGAATGAAGACCAGCTGCGGCCGCCGGTGAACAACTACTGCCTCTATCAGGGCAACGACTTTATCCTGATGGCAGTGGGCGGGCCCAACGAACGCAACGACTACCACGGTACGTTGGTATCGCCTAGCTGGGAGCAGAACTGACAGTGACGACTGCAGTCAACGAAACCGAAGTATGTCTCCAGCCGTCGTGGTGCTCGCGTGAAGCTAATGAGCAGGAATGGTTCTACCAAGTCAAAGGCGACATGCTCCTGAGGGTCGTCGAGAACAACGCCTTTCGCGACATCCCTATCAAAGAAGGGGAGATGTTCCTCCTTCCTGGTATGTGTCCCGTCTCGCTTGGGGAATCACAGGCCAATATCAATGGCTCAGGAAACACACCCCATAACCCCGTCAGATTCAAAGACACCATCGGTCTCGTCATGGAACGACAACGACCAGCCGGGTCGCGCGATCGTCTGCGATGGTACTGCACCAAGGGCGACCATGCCTCCCCGACAATCATCCGAGAAGAGGTCTTCCACTGCTCCGATCTGGGCACGCAACTGAAGCCGATTATTGAGCAATGGCAGCAAGACGAGGATGGTCGACGGTGTGCAGAGTGTAGCTGTATTGCAGATCCGAAATGAGGTTACCGTTAGTTACACATTACCATACTGTGACCAATGACCATACAGCACGATACACGGGGCTTCTCCCGCTTCCGCTTCCGGACCCCACTAAAATTGCGGGGTACGGATCTGATCCGTTATCGCAGCCAATCGGAACAGGGCCCACTCCCCGATGCCTGATTGCCTTGTTGATTTCTTGTTCGATATACTCTGTATACTTTATATCACCATCGTTCATATCACTATTGTAGCTTCGACTCTCATCTCGAGCTCTACCAGACGACGTAGTTCTCCTTTCTGTACTCACAACCATCATGTCGCAACCGTGGGACTTCTCCTCGCTAGAAGCCGCCGAATCACACCTCCAATCATCTGCCTTCGAGCCCTTCCACCTGCAGAACCTCATCAATGGCGAACATGCTCCCCCCGCCAACACCTGGATAGACGCCATCAACCCGAAAACCGGCCAAGCCCTCGCCCGCGTCCCCAACTCCTCCGCCGAGGACGTCGACCGCGCCGTCCACGCCGCCGAAGCCGCCTTCCCAGCCTGGTCGCAGACCCCCGCCGCCAAACGCGCCGGCTACCTCACCCGCATCGCCGCCCTGATCGAGGACCGGCGCGAGCTCTTCGCCGTCTGGGAGAGTCTCGATCAGGGCAAGACGCTCGCGCGCGCCCGCGTCGAGATCGACCGCGCCGTCTCCAACTTCCGCTACTTCGCCGCGTATATCCAGAACCAGCAGACTGCGGCGCGCTGGACGGACGATAACATCCTCACGTACGAGCACCGCTCGCCCCTCGGCGTGTTCGCGCTCATCTCGCCGTGGAACATGCCGCTGTATCTCCTGACGTGGAAGATCGCCCCGTGTCTGGCGTTTGGGTGTACGGCAGTCGCGAAGCCGAGTGAGCTTACTAGCGTTTCCGCTTACTGTAGGTGGTCTTTCTTTTTTACTTTTTTACTTTTTTTTTTTTTTTTTTTTTTCAAAAAAAAAAAAAAATGTCGTAATGTCCTCTGTGGGATTGAGGAAAGCTAATGGGGGCAGTGCTGGGGAAGGTCCTGCAGGACGCGCAGCTCCCGCCTGGCGTGCTGAATCTTGTCTACGGGGCGGGGAATCCCACCGGCTCCGCGCTTGTCAAGCATCCTCGTGTCCGCGGGATCTCGTTCACCGGCGGTACGGCCACAGGCATACAGATCCGCCGGGACACGGTCGAGGACATCGGCAAGCATGTGTCGTTGGAGCTCGGAGGGAAGAATCCCACGCTGGTGTTTGATGACGTGGACCTTGATGTGGCGGTTGCGATGGCAGCGCGCGCGGCGTTTGAGAACCAGGGCGAGGTAGGCTCTTCTCTTTTCTGGGTGGGTGGGAGTCAGACTAATCAACAGTTTAGATCTGTCTGACTGGATCACGTATCTACGTCCAAAAATCCATTCACGACGACTTCCTCGCCCGCTTCGTCGCCTACGTCCAGCAACACTACGTCCTCGGCAAGACCGTCGGCGCCGTAGTCTCCCTACCGCACTACAGCAAGATCCGCTCGTACTTGACCCTCGCCACGCAGTATCCGGACAGCTTCAAACTCGGCGCTGTGCCCCCAGAAACCCCCACCGGCGGCTACTGGATCGAACCCACCATCCTCACGGTTCCCGACGATAGCCCGATCATGAGGGACGAGATCTTCGGCCCAGTCGCCACGGTGAGCTCGTTCGAGAGCGAGGAGGAGGCCATCTCCCGCGCCAACGACAGCCAGTACGGACTCGCCGGTATCCTCCTGACGCGAGACGGGGCGCGCATGCGCCGCGTCGGCGAGAGGCTGGATGCAGGCATGGTCTGGGTGAACTGCTGGCTGGTGCGCGAGCTGGGCACGCCGTTCGGCGGCATGAAGGCGTCTGGCACGGGCCGGGAAGGCGGTGATTACAGCCGGGATGTGTTTACGAATGTGCGCACGCTGCATATTCCCTCCTATTAGAGGTTTTGTTGTTATTCAATGATACATAGTAGTAGATATATACAGGGTTTTAAACCGCAACCGTACACTTGATCTCCACCAACAACCGTGGATTCGGCAGCTCCTTCACCCCGATCGTCGTCCTGGCCGGCGCGTTCGCTCGGTCCGGCCACACCTTATTCCACTCTTCGTTCATGCCGCTGTAGTTCTGCGGAAGATCGATCATAAAGACCGTCGCGTCGACGATGTTCTGCAGCCCGCCGGTGCCGTTGGTCGCGCCCTGGATGATGGCCTCGATATTGCGCAGCACGGCGGCCGTCTGTTCTTCGATATCGAGGGTCCAGGACCCGTCGGCGTGCTCGGTCACGCCGTCCCAGGTGCCGTCGCCGCGCCGTGATGAAGTGCCCGAGATGTAGAGAGTGCGATGGGGAGCCGTCGGGGCGAAGCGGGCGTGGGGGTAATTTGCCAGGCCTTGGGCCTTTTCGGCGGGGAGGAAGTAGGGTGTCCCGTTTGACATTGTGTGTGTGTGTGTGTGTGTGTGTTGGAGGGGCGGTGATCGTGGAGCAATCGTGGGGAGATCGTGAGGAAGAGTCACGGCGATGGGGCTCGAAACCGAGGTCCAGCATGTTCCTTATATGCTGCGGGACCGGATCCGCTCCGGATGCTTTCCGGATGGGATCCGTCGATTGCGACTAGTGCTTGGAGACGATCTGTACTACAGTATACTATTTAGTAACGCTCTGCGCAAGAGTTGTTTTAGTGTTTGATGAATCCCTTGGGCTTGCTCAATGCCAATACTATCAAATAATGTGAAATATGCCAGCCTATGTCGGCCGTGGCCGTATCACCACAAATCCCTTCTCCTGGTTCCCGGTCCGCCTCAACCGCTCTACTGCTCTACGCTTCCACTGAGAGAAAGTCTCTCGACTGGTTTCTGTTTCATCCTCTGTCCTCGGCAGCTCCGATGGTGAAGTGCCAATCCGGCCGTAGTACATATCCGACTCGCGGACCGAATAATCGACGTCGGATCGGCTGGGTCGTTGGAGAAGCTCATCCAACGTATAAGAATCACCAACGGTGTGCATTGAATCCCCACTGGAAGCTGTAGAGGAGGTATTAGACTCGGACCGGCGACTCTCTATCTCGGATAATGCACCACAGCTCGTCCGAGCCCGCGGGGTTCGATAAAAGCTGGACGTATCAAGTGTGTGTGGCACTGATTCTGGCAAAGCAGCAGCGTGTAGACGATACCGATCTGGAACGTCGCTCAACGGATCTCTCTGTTGACCTTTTGCATCGGCATTCACGCTTCTGCTGGAATGAGACGATAACTCGTACGGATGGAGAGGCTGTATGGATCAGCGATTGTCGTAGACGGGGTTAATAGAACTCACCGGTAAGGGACGTGAAGAATTCCGTAGATAGACAATACGGCCAATCTGCCAGAGAGAAATGAACAGGAATCCAAAGACGACAACCGAGCCATGAAGTCCGAGCATGAAATATCCGATCCATTGCCGGGCTGACTCGCTTAACGGACACACGAAACAGATGCTCAAGATGATTGTCGCCAAACGAACAGCAGCGCACCAGATATTTCTGGATAGAATAATTCCGGTCGGACGCTGAACGACCAGATGCACCAGGACCAGCACCTCGCAGGCCCCAAGCAGCAGAAGCTGTGCCCATCCCCAGAGTTGTAGGCCGCCAATTGCCAGTCCCTGAACCATGGGGACACCATAGAGCACATAGTGTGAGACATCAACCGTGGCTTTGGAAGGGGCTTCCTCGGAATCAGATTGGCAGCCTTGATGACGAGCAATGAAGATATTGGACCCTATCAACACCCCGATCATCAATACCACCAGAGAGATGCGGTAGCCGGGCAGGTATCCGACCAGAATGAGCTGGTAGGACAGGTAAGCCAGCAGAGGCAGACTGAAGAGCAGCAATGGGACGGCAATCATTCCACAGCCTGCTTCCTTGATTTGTCTAGCAACAGATTCCTTGGACAGGGCCGAGGAAGGCCACGATCCGCATCTAACCAGCCAAACAATCAGCATTAGAGCGACAAATCCAAGCCCTAAAATGCACAGATTGATCAGCGCGTCGACCATGATATCCGACATGGTCGGGAACCCCAGGTTCTGCGCCATGTACTCCAGTCCGTACGTGCCGTTGATCGCGTAGAATCCGTCCTCCACGCCCGGATATGTGAAGCCGTGTTCGACTGGCCCGGTCCAGTACAGCAGCGACGACCAGGCGAGTTGGCTGGCAACGGGCTGGTAGAAGCCGGGGTACTGCATTGAAAGCGAGGCGGCAAGGAAGATGAACTGGAGATAGCGAACATAGTCGGCGATGTCGACTAGGATTCGGGCTAACAGGCTCTGACGCTTCAGGAGCAGGTTGGATGCGGGATATCCTCGCGTTTGCTCTGCGTGGCTGAGCCACGAAGCTAAACCCACCAGGACAATGATGCTGGCGGGAATAAACGTGAAAACTCCCGAAGCGACGGGTCCTATATCTGGTGTAATCCGGACAGCCACGCAGCCAAGCTCCGGATCGGGGCCCCTGTGAAGACTAAAACTGACTTCTGTGGCAAGCGTCTGCAGGCGAGGAGGAGAGTCAAAGGAATAGCTGAGCTCCCATGTCGAGAGCGCAGATGATTCAGGACTGGAACGGTTAGCAGACATCGATAGATAGACTCATACATCAACTCACAGTCGCCAGATCGCCGGGGCGGGACGACAATGTTTCTTGACCTGATCCAGATGACCGACGGGATACCCAGCCACTCGAAATTGTCCATTGCTTTCGCTCCCAGCCAGTAGCAGCTCGTCGCAATTGTACTGGGAGGCATTGTAGAAGCTCGACAGTGTAAATGTCAAGACTGTCGTCTCTCCAGCTTGGTGGATCTTGCCGTTCAGGCTGTCTAAGTGGAAGTCGCCGTTCCTCCGAAGGCCAGGGCTAGATTCACATGGATAACGCCGGACAAAGGCGGCTTCGCATGCCAAGATCCATGATGTGAAGTAAATGAGGCTATTCAGAGAGAATAAGCAGGGCAGCATTGTGTTAGGGTACGGCATACTACGATTACTCTGCAATAATCCCCGAATAAAATGCCAGAAAAAAAAACAGAATTGCCTAGCGCAGTCACCCGCAGCAGTCTAAATTTAGCATTATGAGCCGTAGTCTGCCACTAAGAATTGTATTCTTCTGGTCCTGCTCCACTGTTTCACTTCTGAGTCACTCACAAATCAGAATCCTCATTATCACGCTGGTGGAGTGAGCCAAGTCTGGTTGATCTTCCGAATTGTCGGCACTCGGCAGATATAGGGATTTCTTTTATCGGGGTTCAGTAGGCATAGCATTTGGAGAGTATCTTAGGGGTTTCAGAAAGCATGCAAAATCCTGGTGCATAGACCCAGATCTTCATTAGGGAATATTCTTAGACATCTATCAAAAGAACCATGCGTAATATGAGTATACTACGTAAGAATATAAAGCTCTCCATAGATCTTTGCATGCCTAGACCCTAGGTCATTCCAAACAAACCATAGCAGTCAGTGCTCTGACAGCTGGCTCTGCGCCATACAATCACATCGTCTCTTACTGAAATGGCCCACGACGGTGCGTACAACGGATACACATCGCAGGTTATGAAGCGAGAGATACATTGAAAGGTCATCCTGGGTTTGTAACACCCTGGCATACCCTGACTAGGTTTACATCCATTATACACTCCTGTTTTCGAGAGGAATGATACTGACAACCATCCTACTCTTATTCAGATACATTCAATGGTCCAGACCGGAGGCTATCACGAGGCATAATGCTCTGGACTTGGCTCAACACAGGGTTTGAAAATGACAAACTGGCTGTCAAATATCATGAAGTACCGGAGACGGGACTGAAAGTTGAAGCGGCAGATTGGGATGCAACTGCACTGGCAAACGCTGGAGGGGATCCAGGAAGTCGCCGCAGTCAAGGTACAGCAGTATCGCGACTGGCATGCAGCATTGGACCTTAAATAGGGCTCAAGGGCTGAAAAGGATTTGGGGGTCGATTCTTGCATAGGGTTACTTACGCCCTCCTGAGCTAAGGTGATTGAATGGATTATAGTCGGGTGCTAAGGTACGGGACGACCAGTGAACTGATCAACAGAACTCTGAAGCACGGGGAATTCCTTGCATTATGGATTGTGGTAGTCAAGCTAATCAAACAAAGCTTGGTGCCACTGAGAACACTCTTGGTGTTGGATTTTGGTCGGTCTTTCACCAGAAGTACGATATGTACTGTGTATGGACGGCGTTTTGTGTATTGTTTACCATACTTGTCTGGTCGTGTCAAAGATAGACATCTCTAGGCTGGACTGAATAATGTCTGTTGACTTGTTGTTGATCCATCCGTTTGCCTTCTACTCCACACTCGGGACTTCTGATGCAAGACGCCGTTCAAGATCGCATTGAGCAAACACATGATGGTTGCAATCGATATTCTACGTTGTCAACGAAGACTCTTACCGACTTTCTCCTATTCCACAGCCCTTGTCACGGGCAGCAGCCAGGATAGGAAGATGTGATCACCTCTGACTCGGATGGCATTCAAGCGTGGCAGAAGAAAGCTTCCAACGAGCACCATCTCACACCACGATCTTGGGATTGGTGCCTGGCCGAGATGCGGGATAAAGCCCACGAATTCAAGAAGAAAGGAGATGTGGTGATCAAGGACGGCGATTCACCTGTGGCTAGATTGGATGATCTTCAGTTGGATGTCCTCCGCGCTCTGCGAGAAGGACTGGCATCGTTGTTGAACGATCCCACGGTGGCAGAGCAATTCTCATGCGTCCAGTCCAGTCCGCACCGCTGACTGGCCCGTGAGTATGGAAGAGGCCATGGATACCCGAAAGCAAACGGAGACTGAAAGAGAGTACGCCATGGAAAGATGGCGTGTCCTTGGTACTCTGAACTACACTTTTGAGGAGTTCCGTCTCGGGGAGGGGGAGTTTGTCGAAAATTGATATCAACCCATGGCGAGGAATGGGTGGCAACTGGCTCCCTTTGACCGGAAGACTCGGCCATCATGTTACCGAGCACACAAACAACCGAATCAAAAGATGTTTGTCATCGACCCAAAGCGGAAGGGCGCCGAGGAGCGGTTCCTGGCCAATCAGAACACCCGATAACAATTCGGTTAGAGTCGGCTTTGGCGGCAATCGCCCGGAGTGGGGCCATTTCTCTTACTTAATTTAAATGATCGACAATGATGATTGGTGAAGACAAAATCTTGGCAGCAAAACAAGCTCCACCACTGCCGAACGTGATTGCCGCAAACAGAAAGTGAGATCCATCGATTCCTCAGGTATCGACCAACCATACTGCAGTCTGCGTGAGTGATACTTGCCCTGAATGGAGACACACTACTGCGAGTCTGCCACATCCACCCACGATATGTGCGGTCCATGGCCGATCAAGTTATTGTAGTAGTAGTATCTAGTTTGTACGGAGTAGATTCTAGTATCTCTATTCTCTACTATTATTGTCCGGTCCAGAAACCGTAGACCTTCTGTTCTATGGCTTGTTCATCTTCGTCGTGGCCCATCCAATTATTCATCCATCCAAATTCTGTTCCACAACCCCATATGATATCTACAGAGTAGAACTTAGCGCCCTGTTCCCCAGGTCATCAACTCAATTCCACCATATTGGATCCGGCCAAGTACAGTTCGTGGAGATCTCTTGCCACGACCCACCATCACGCTCGTCCCGAAATCTCTTCACCGGCCACCTCGAATAATAGTAATCATCACACTCTCCCGTCCTCTTCTTCTCTTCCCTCTCCTCTAGTCTGTGAAAACGTGGTGGGAGTCCCTCTGTTGTCGCTGTTCGTTCTCATCGGTTCTTTCGTCAGTCCGTCTCTCTCCTCACTTGCCCTTTCCGGAACCAGCGATACAATGCAGCTGGATGGTGTTTCCCCGCCGCCAGAGCCCATCGAGGCCAAGCAGGGAGACCACGAGAAGGTCATGGACGAGGAGGCCGACTTGAAGCCAATTGACAACACGCCTTACGATGACCCATTCGGTAACGAGCAGAACGCCGAGGTCAAGTACAAAACTCTCAAGTGGTGGTACGTATCGTCTGCCTTCCCGATGATGGGATAGAATAGTTGCTGACCAGACTTCAGGCAATGTGGAATGTGTAAGCTCACGACCCAAACATCATCATCAAGGTCGAAGAAGGACATGAATCTAAAGTTGGTATAGTTATGATCGCCGAATCAATCTCGTTAGGGGTTCTGTCTCTGCCCGCAACCCTCAAGGTTCTGGGTTTGGTCCCGTAAGTGATCGCTCCCCATTCTCTTGCCTCCCCTGCTGACCGTCTCAGAGCGATCATCCTGATCGTTGGCCTGGGGCTTCTGGCCCTGTACACTGGATACACCATCGGTCAGTTCCGGCAATACTATCCGCACATTCACAACCTGGCCGATGCAGGAGAAATCCTCATGGGCCGTTTCGGGCGTGAGCTGTTTGGGCTCGGTCAAATCCTGTTCTCCATCTTCATCATGGGCAGTCACATCGTCACCTTCACCGTCATGATGAACACCATTACCGAACATGGCACCTGCTCCATTGTTTTCAGTATTGTCGGGATGGTCATCTGTATGGTGCTGTCGCTGCCGCGGACGATCAAGAACATGACCTACATTTCTATCGCCTGTAAGGCAATCGTTTCCCTCCATCCTTGCTGTAGCTTGACTCACGCATCCTAGCCTTCCTGAGCATCTTCTCGGCCGTGATGATCACCATGATTGGCGTCGGTGTCCAATACAAAGGAGGCGCCAATATCAGCATTACCAGCGAGACCAACATCTACCATGCCTTCACCGGTGTGGTCAACATTGTCTTTGCGTACTGCGCCCACGTCGCCTTCTTCGGTCTCATTGCCGAAATGGAGGAACCCAAAGACTTTACCAAGGCGCTCTGTTTGCTGCAGTTCTTTGAGATTGCCTTGTACGTCACCGCCGCGATCGTCATCTACTACTATGTGGGCAACGACGTCGTCTCGCCGGCTCTCGGTTCGGCTGGTCCGTTGCTGAAGAAGGTCGCATACGGTGTTGCCATCCCCACGGTGCGTACTTCCCCCGAGTGATCCGCCGACTCCCAATTGACCATCCCTAGATTATCGGAGCTGGCGTGGTGAACGGCCACGTCGGATTGAAATATATCTATGTCCGCATCTTCCGCAAGACTGGTCGCATGCAAAGCCGGGATCTCCTCTCTGTTGGCTCTTGGATAGCCATCGGCCTCAGTTGCTGGATCATTGCCTGGATCATTGCGGAGGGTATTCCCTCCTTCACCAACATCGTCAGCCTAATCGTAGGTCACTCCCCTTCTGGTATGCCCGGCTGCCGACGCTAATCCCGATCAGAGTTCCCTCTTCGCCAGCTGGTTCAGTTATGGCTTGCCTGGTGTGTATTGGTTGCATATCAACTGGGGCCAATGGTTCTCGTCTCCCCGGAAGATCTGCCTGACAATCATCAACATGTTGATTGTGGGCATTGGTGCTACGATGGTAAGCTTCACCCGTGTCTATTCTCCGTCTGCATTCGCTAATCGTCATAGTGTGGTCTGGGATTGTATGTCTCTGGCAAAGCCATCCACGACGATACATCCAACGCCAGCTTCACTTGTGCCAACAATGCTTAACTGATGGTTTCGCGCAGCCAATGACTTTTAGTATCTTTTTTTTTCTTCTTAAAAGCGTCCAAATGACTGCACGAGCACTATTGGAGCATGGCGTAAGCGGGTTGGTGGGTGTGCATGGGTTTTGGCAATGTATATAGATCTCTTTCTCCAACATACAGGGTATTGCTGTTATGATCACGAACGATGTTCATCAAAAGGTCCATCTTTTGAACCTGTAGCGGTGGTATTGAGCGAATGTTATCTGAAGAGGAGTGCTTTACTGAGCGGGAGTCGAATGCGAGAGTCCGTATCCTGTCGATATTCGACCTATTAGGCCTCGGGATCTGATGACTCTGGACCACTACTCCATAATTAGAACGGATCTGTTATACAGATTAGAAATCTCGGCCTTTGCTACGGGATTTGCCGGGGATTGTATGACGGGGATCTCGCCATTTCCCCTCCAGCAGACAAGCAGACAAGCAGACACCTGTTCCCGTTCCCGTTCCTGTTCCTGTTTCCATTCAAACGGCATCTGCTCTGATCGGATATCCAGATCACAAATCACAGTATAATGGCATCTCCAGCACGTCGCAGATTCCCGCGGCCCCCTGTCAAACTCGCCTGTCTGGCCTGGTAATCCCACCCAACCGGTCTTGTTCATTTCAAAGCGCACACGCTCTGACACTCTGAAACACACACACTCTCTCTATCAGTCGCTCATCCCGGATCCGATGCGATGGCCAACCGAATTGCGCCAATTGTGTCTCCCGCGATAAAGTCTGTTCGTATCTGCCCAGTCGACGCGGAGGTCCCAGAGTCGCCCGCGAAAAGCGCAAGACTACGCCGTCGTCGTCGTCGACCACTTTGGACACGCCCGTCCGGTCCGAGAAGCCACCGGCGCTGCCGGCTCTTCCCACGGCAGACGCTTCGTGGGACCTAAGTAGCGAAGATGGTATGTCGCCGCCATTCTGATGAGGGGGGAGAGCCGAATGAGCTAAGGGCTCATGGCTCATGGCTAATGGCTAATGGCTAATGGCTACTGGCGCAGACTTGTTCCACCAGTTCATGAGCCTGGGCCAGCCCGGTGCGGGCCTGCGCACGGTCGAAAGCTCAGTGGCCGAGATGGAACACATCTTCGACCGGATCTTCAGTGCTGAGACTACGGCTGCTCCCCCAGTCGAGGACGTTGTCCCCGATCTGCTGCAGGTATACGGGACGGACGAGGACATGTACGGGTTCGTGAGACTGTCGCGGCGAGCTCCCGCTGACTGGCACCAGACTCGACGCCTACTACATCTTCCTCCACCTGTACTATCCGATTCTCCCTGCTCCGCCTCCTCTCCGTCTCCCGGTGTACAACCGACCCCTGCGCACCGAATCCGCCTTCCGACCGTCGAGTCCCCTCGGTCTCGCCATGTCGGCCCTCCTCGTGCTCGTCCCCCATCCGGACGTCAAGCAGCCCGCGACCGCCGAGTACGCGAGACTCCGCCGGAATGCCGCGCACAGCTTCGCTCAGGCTGCGCTCGATGCTGTCGACGCGGATCTGGAGCTTCTCGACTCCTCGTCCGATCCGGCGCGAGCCCTGTGTGGCAGGACTGCGCCGATCATGCGACCGGCATTCCATCCGCTGGTCCCCGTGGACTTGGAGGCCATCCTAGCCCTGGTGCTGCTGAGTGTGTATGAGTATGCGCAGCGCGGCAACATCCGCAAGATGTGCAATCGCGCCGGACAGGCGTTGACGGCGGCGATGAGCCTGTCGCTGCATGAGATGCTGGAGGAGGATGAGTACGCCGAGGCGCGTCGGAGGACTTGGTGGATCACGGTTAGTGTCGTTCTGTTTTTGGGGTTTGGATGATGCTGACCTGCTTGTAGTACTTGACAGTGTGTCAAGGATCGATAGCCAGCGGAATGGTGAGTCTTTTTTTTTTCTTTCTTGGAAACACCAGTGGTTGGATGTCTGGTCTAACTTGGCAGCCCGCCGCATTCAACGTCTACGATCCACGCTTCGTGACGCCGTATCCTGAAGTACGCCCCCCCCCCGCGATCCATCATGGTATGTTCTTGGTGGTGAGTGATTGCTTGACTGACGGACCGTGTAGGGATGGAAACTCCTCATCGAAGCCCAGCAGACGATCCTCGAGGCCACCACCTTTGTCCACGATCTCGACCAAACCATCAAATCCCGGTTCAAAGCCTCCTGGATCTCGAGTCGGATGACGGAGCTGGACGATCAGATCACCGGTCTTGTGGCGCGCTGTCGCCATCTGGCGTCGAAGCCAGTGGTGTCCAGCCTCGACTCGCCCGAGGCGATCGCCTTGCAGACCATCAATGCCATCGCCGAGATCAAGCTCCATAGGTAGGTCGATAGACTGAGATAGATTCCCACCAGATCGCACACTCACCAAAAGGCAGCGCCCGCATCAAAGTCCACCGATTCTGCGCCTTCTCCGACATTCCCGTCTTCCGTCAGCGCCACTGCGACCTCAAGTCCGAGTGCTGCGGCATCCAACCCGACTCCAACATCGCCACGCCCCCGGACGACATCCCCCTGCCGTCCATCATGGTCTCGGATCTGCCCGAGCTCGAATTCTCCTTTTCCCCCCATCTCTCCTCCAAGATCTGCCTGCAGTCGGCCCTGAACATCGTCACCCTCGTCGACAACCTCCCCTACCCAAACCCGGACCACGCCATCCCCCTCACTCTCCCCCCGTACCTCTCCCCCCATTCCCGGGTGGAGATCCCCCGGATGATGCCGACGTTTGCCTGCTGCGTCATGCAGGCGAGCTATGCGATGCTGATGCTGTATCTCAAGGCGCGATCGAAACACGCCAGCAGTAGTCGGGACCCGGACGGGCCCAAGGACCAGTCCCTCGCGGGATTCCTGAACGAGCTGCAGCAGAATCTGCGGCTGGTGTCGAAGATCCTGGCGAATTACGCGATTGCGTCGGAGGCGCTGCAGGGGATGAAAGGTGAGTTTTTTATCTTTCTTTTCTGCCTTGACTAATTGGCTGGTTTGTGTAGAGGAGGTATCTCATTGGGCGTTTTTGGAGGATTGATAGAGAGCTCTGCAGGATCGGATTGGATCCAGTAGGATCTCTCTAGTCTAGTACACACTACACATAACTAGTCCGAGTCATGATAATAATGTCAATAATGATAATAATGATAACGAATCTCACTCCTGTCAGTGTCAGCAATCCAGCGGAATCATTCCGTGTGTCGGTCTTGCGAGACGAACAAGGATTGACTCCTTCGACCAGGGTTTCTTCCACCAAATCCCTAAGTAACTAGTTAGCTAGTTAGCTAGTTAGTTAGTTATTCTAGCCTTCTCACAAGAAACGCCACTGGAAAGATGCTTATCGTGCGGGGTATCCACCGAGAGACACATAAATAGTCCATTTCGTCTCCAATTGTCGATCCTCCAGTTCACTCAATCTCGTTATCATGGCGACACCTTCCCCTACGGTCCGCGTCGCCGTCACCCAGGCTGAACCCGCATGGCTCAATCTCCAGGAAGGCGTGGCGAAAACATGCCGTCTCATGGCCGAGGCAGCGCAGAATGGCGCCCAGCTGATCGCGTTCCCTGAATGTTGGATCCCGGGGTATCCAGGCTGGATTTGGTGGGCCAAACACTCCCTCTGGAAGGAATCAGACTGTCAATGAAAAGTGCAATTAACCTGCGCCAGGACCAGGAACCTGGACCCCGAACTCAACATCAGATACCTCAAGAACTCGCTCCGGCTGGACGGCCCCGAAATCGACCGGATCAAGTCCTGCGCCCGCGACAACGCCATCGCCGTCTCCCTCGGTTTCTCCGAGTACGATCACGGCTCTCTCTATATCGCCCAAGTCCTCATCGCCGCGGATGGCACCGTCAAGGCCCACCGGCGGAAGATGAAGCCCACGCACATGGAGCGCACCATCTTCGGCGACGCGTCCGGCGAGTGCTTCGACACCGTGGTGCAGCTGCCCTTTGCGCGCGTCGGCAACCTGTCGTGCTGGGAGCATATCCAGCCGCTGCTCAAGTATCATACATACGCGCAGCGCGAGCAGATCCATGTTTCGGCGTGGCCGCCTCTGTATCCGCATTCCGGGGCCGAGGATCTGTGGTCCATGTCCGCCGAGGGTATATTTGTCATTTCGTTCTCTTTTCCAACGCGGGGGGGGGGGGGAAATATACTAATGAAGGTCGCGTAAATAGGCTGCCACGCTCTTTCTCGCACCTATGCCATCGAATCCCAGACCTTCGTTCTCCATTGCACTGCCGTTCTGTCCGAAAGTGGCATCGAGACCCTGAACACCAAGAGCGGGATGCTCATGTCGATCCCCGGCGGTGGTTCGTCGGCTATCTTTGGGCCGGACGGACGCCGTCTGACCCCGGAAACCGAGAGCACTGTCGAGGCAATCGTGTATGCGGACCTGGACTTGGACTTGATCCTGGCAAGCAGAATGTTTGCCGATCCGCTGGGGCATTATAGCCGCCCGGATTTGATGCAGTTGACGGTGTGCAAGGACAGGAAGCAGAAGGTTGTTCAATAATTCATCGTTTTTCATACTGCACGGAGTACATGTGATGATTTCATTTCTGTTTCGGTCAAGAATAACCTCTGCTACAACGACAAGCCACTACCAGGCTTCTTCCCATAGACAAAGTGCCTGAGTGGCAAGCCGATGCAGAAGTATCTTGGCTACGAAGCGCTGTAGGTCAGCCAAGGGATCAGTCTCTTGCTGGAGTACGATGGGATTCGCAGCTTGGAAATCTGGCTTGCTCGCGATGTTCTAACACAATGGATCGTGATGGTCTGCAATGCGATATTCTTCAAGAGACTAGTGATGAATGTTCAACTGAAAGTAAAACAACCCGGGATTACTACGTATACGTCCGAGGCCAGGGTCTTCCCATTAATCACTTAAACATATCGTTGATCCGAATGATCGACCCTGGCATAGCGATAGAGTGCCCGCCTAATCCTGCTGGCAAAACTTCAAAATATGCCTCGCCACCCCCTCCGGCTGCTCCTGCTGCATCCAATGGCCCGCCTCCTCAATCCAAACCTCCCCCCGATAGTCCAAACACTTGGACCCCACGGCTTCCAGAACCCCCGGTTCCTGATAGCTGCCCCAGTCCTGCCGCCCCAGGATGCTCAGCGACGGACATGCGAGCTTCTTCCCCGCGTACAGCTGCAGATCGCGCTGCCAGGCCGGGTTCGTCGCGATCCGGTACCAGTTCAGCGCCCCCTGGAACCCGGTGCGGTTCCATTCGTGCGCGAGGAACTCGAGCTCGGCGTCCGTCAGCCACGGCGAGCAGTCCGGCTCGTGCCCGGATCGTTGCAGTTGGCGCTGCACGGCCGCGGCCATCCCGCTGTCGGCGGGCATCACGTAGTAGTACGGCATCTGGGCGAGCTCGGCGGCGGTCCAGGCGCACAGCGGGTGAGGTTTGTTGTCTGGCCAGGAGGCCGATTTGAGATAGTAGTAGCCCTTCAGACAGGCGCGCAGCTCGTCGACCGAGGCGCCCTGGAGGTCGGCGGCGGCGGCGGGGCCAGCATAGTACCACTTGTAATGTTTGCGGGGGTGTGGTAGTTTCAAGAGTGCGGCGTGGATGTCCTCTTGCGCGGCTGGAGCGGGGTCCGTCTCTGTCTTGTCGATAGCGACTGGCTGGATCGCAGGCGGTCCGTTGTAGGGATGGCTTGCTATGATCACTCGTTGGATCAGGTCTGGCCGGGTGAGAGCCACCCATGCGACGAGCACGGCACCAGCATCATGGCCGACCAGGCAGTGGACTGTGGAGTATCCCAGCGCCTGGATGAAGATGACCGTATCCCGTGCGGTATTTGTGAGCTGATATTGGCGCAGTTCGTCTGCAGACTCGGTGAAATCCACTGGGTTTGGCGTCGTGGTACGTCCAGAGCCCCGAGTATCGGGCGCGACGGCGTAATATCCGGCTTGTGCGAGATAGGGAAGGATATGTCTCCAGCAAAAGGAGGTCTCTGGGAAGCCGTGATAGAGCAGAATAAGGGGATCGCCCTGGTTGCCGGCCGACAGAAAGTGGTAGGTTAGATCATTGGCAGGAGACTTGAGATAGTGGGAGGAGACTCCGGGGGGTAGAGGGATAGATGGAAGGTCTTGAGACAGAGACATTACGGACTATGGACGGAGAAGAATATGTTGTTCGCTGATATCAGAACGAGGCCTTTTTGCCTTTTATCCCTTGGCGATACAGAAAACGGGGCAGAGAAGAAGTGATGCTAACTGGATATCAGAATGAGGCTTTTTTTCTCTTTCATCCCTCGGCTGGGGCATCAACCCCGCCTTCACGGGCCAATCTATGATGCAGAAACATGGGGGATGGGGTCAGCAGGTTGCAGTTCTTTGTCTGAAAGAAATATACTAATGAACTAGCTTATCATCTTGTATCCCTGGGGTAGCATTCCCGACGTGTATCACACCTGTGGCCAGGATGTCTAGGACCATCACCACCACCCCCACCGACTCTATCGTCTATTCTTATGTCTGTTCTCTCTTTCTTTAGGGATAGGAGCTTGTCTCAACACTGCTCTAAGTCCCATCGATCATATCCCAAGGATTATCGTCAAAGATGGCCTCGAATGGCGTTCCTGTGTCTTCACTTTGACCCAGGCCCATCGCTTCGTAGTCATAATCGAAGCCCCTGCCATATCTAGTGTCCTCGGAGGCTTGATCTTTGGTGGCACGGGACGTCTCGTCGCGCAGATGGGGGGTTATCCGGACGTTGTAGTCGATGGAAGCATCGGCCTCGTACGCGCCGTAGGAGACATCGGTTTCCGCAAGCTCAGATATGATAAATGTAGGAGTTTATAAGGATCACGCTTTGTTTGTAGTAGGATTCAAGTCGAAAGAGTCAGTGCCCTGATGGCGTTGTGGCAATGACAACAAAGTGATTTAGCCCTGATGTCACTCTATATAAAAAAAGTATATACATCGGGTTTTGTTGAATAAACAGTGACAGTTTCCACTGCCATGATTCTACTAGACTGTACTCTGAGCAATCATGTCTCGGAATCCCCAATACAATCACTTTGCGTTGTCGAATGCTTGACATCGAACCTATAGCGTAAGCCCCTGGACCTACATTCAAGCCACGTCCGAGCTGTGCAGCAATGTCCATCCATTTTCAGCTGCTCAAGCTCTCTAAGCTCATCCTGGCTCCGGAATATGCTTCCACTCTTCTTTTCTCGGGGCTATCTTGCATAGAATTACGGGTGTTATGCATTCAAGCAGGGGAATGCCATTCGTCGATCATCCGCGCATGAAATACCTGCAACACCCCCAAAACAGCCGAAAACACCAAATCAAATAAAAGAGGCTGGCATCTGGCAGATCTCATTCCATGTCATACTCATTTGCTCATGCAAGGGCTGGAATTCGTGGTCTATGAGTGGTGGAATCGCCAGGAATGTTGACCAGAAGGCACTACTCGCCGATGTTTTCAGCATGTGGGCAGAAAGCCGGGAAATCTGAATGGTTTCCTTTGGATGATTTAAAAGGAGCTTGCTCGATAGACCTCTGACTTGAGGTTCTGTATTTACACAATTCTACAGACGTCGACAAAATGAAATGGCATACCGCGTCAGTACTGGGCATCGCTGCGATTGCCCAGGCAGCCCAAGTGCACTTCTCCCTCGACTTAACGTGGGCCGTCGGCAGTCCCAATGGATTCGAGCGCGAGATGATCTTCGTCAATGGCCAGTTTCCTGGTCCCGCGCTGGTGTTGGACGAAGGAGACGACGTGGTGATTGATGTGACCAACCATCTCCCATTCAACACGTCGATTCACTATCACGGCATTGAGTAAGTAGACTCCAGGCTATCGGATCTTCCTCTTTCCTGACAGATTGCAGGCAAAAAGGCACCCCATGGGCCGATGGAGTGGCCGGTCTCTCGCAATGGGCCATTCAGCCTGGGCAATCCTATACATATAAATGGACAGCAGACACCTACGGAACTTACTGGTATGTGGCTCGAGACCCGGCACAGAACGCAGCTGACAGTTTCAGGTACCATGCGCACGATAAATCCGCCATCATGGACGGCCTATACGGAGCCATCTACATCAGACCACGCAAAGACCGCGATTCCCCCTTTGCCATGATCTCCGATGATCCCTCCGATATCAAAGCGATGAAACGGGCAGAGCGAGACGGTCAGCTGGTCGTGCTGTCAGACTGGGACCATCTCACCTCCGAGGAGTATATGGGTGCCCTTCGATCCACGGGATACGATATCTTGTATGTCCTGATTGAGTCTTCTCTTTTGCTGTCCCAACTGACCGCATCAGCTGCACTGATAGCGTTCTCATCAATGGCCACGGGTCCGTCTTTTGCAACGACCCCGAAGTCCTGACCCGCCTGCTTCCACCACCAGTCGCGAGGGTTGTCAACGGCACATTGACTGACAAAGGGTAAGTACTACTATTCCCGTACTTTAGCGGGATACTGACGAACGCAGGTGTCTTCCCTTTGTCCGCCCCCTACAAGGCGATTGGGAACACCATCCTGAGAAGCTTCCACCCGGTCTCAACGACGGTTGCAAGCCCAGCACCACGCAGGATGCGATCTTCAGGGTCAATGCAGACGACCGATGGGCCAGCTTCCACGTCATCAGTGCGGCCAGTCTCAAGGTCCTGGTCCTCTCCTTCGACGAACATCCCATGTACGTCTACGAGGTGGATGGCCGGTATATCGAGCCCCAGCTAGCACACAGCATGACCCTGTACAACGGCGAGCGCTACTCGGTCATGATCCAATTGGACCGGGAACCGGCCAACTACAAGGTTCGCGTGGCCAACAGCGCTGGAAATCAAATCATCTCGGGCTTCGCGACAATGTCTTACCGCGGCGGCGAGCTCAGCCTGCGCGCATCGCAGCCGTACATCGACTACGCCAGCGCCAATGTCACCGCCGATGTTGTGCCTTTGAACACAGATCAGCTTCCCCCGTACCCAGCCATCACCCCGGCTGCTGTTGCCGACGACTTCCACCTCCTCACGCTGCGCCGCATCAACAGCGCCTGGCAGTGGACGCTCGACGGCACGACTTTCCTGCCTGGAAACCTCGGCGCCTTGTCGCCCGCCATCCTAGACCCGCAAGCCCCGGAGCTCGCGTCGGCGCTCAAGATCAGCACCAAGAACAACACGTGGGTCGACATTGTCTTTCAGCTGCAAGTACAGGATCCCACCCCCGTGCAGCCGCCGCACCCGCTGCACAAGCATTCGAACAAAGCCTTTATCCTCGGCAACGGGCTGGGCAAGTTCCAGTGGGGGTCCATCGAGGAAGCCAAGCAAGCCAGTCCGAATAGTTTCCTCAAGACGCCCATCTACCGCGATACGTTTGTGACGTCGCCGCGCGGAGAGGCTTGGACGGCGATTCGGTATCATGTCGAGAACCCCGGTCCGTTCCTGCTACACTGCCATATGGAGACCCATTTGGCGTCGGGAATGGGCTTGGTGCTGTTGGACGGGGTGGATGCGTGGCCAGCGGTGGATGCGGAACAGATCACGCCTGTATAGCGGGGTGCATTGGAGCCGTAAGGGATAATGATTGAGGTGCAATACTTTGTTCTGTACATAGATTCTCCTTGCATGCATGTCTTAAATCTCTCGATGTCTGTCGTTTCCAGAGTAGAGATCATCCGTCGGGATACTGCGTCGAGCTCGGGAATGTCGATCGGATCAAACATAGCCTATCATATAGTGCATACATCCAGATAGCCTAAGTACTCTGACAAGGTTCTGAAATCCATCAAGGGCTTGTTTGCAGCCGATACACTTGGTCAGATGGGGCGTGCATTCCAACCGATGTCTATCCCTTCCTCCAACACCATATCGGGCACTATGTTGTTGTTTTCGTTGATTGTTTTCAGGAATTTCCGATCTCATCGACGCGTCAATAAGCTTTATTTAGCCGTCCGTCCCTGTAGCCCTTGCAGTGTTGTAGAGTCGATCTCGTCAAGCAGTAAACAACAACACCAAACGAACAACAGCCATCGACGCAGGCCATCATCACCATGGTCTTCTCCCGGCTGTCTCTTCTCCTCGGCGTCGCGAGCCTCGCCGCCGCCAAGGATGTTTATCTCGACTGGAACATCACCTGGGTCTGGACCGCGCCGGACGGATTCGCCCGGCCGATGATTGGGATCAACGATCAGTGGCCCTGTCCGCTTGTTGAGGCCGACCTGGGCGACCGCATGATTGTGGATGTGCACAACGGACTGGGGAATCAGTCCACGGGTCTCCACTGGCATGGTTTCCGCCAGTATATGACGGGCACGATGGACGGGTCCAACGAGGTGACGCAGTGTCCGCTGCCGCCGGGGAGCAGCATGCGCTATGAGTTCGATGTGAGTGACCAGTGGCTCTCCTGGACTGCGAGAGGGCGTGCTAATAAGATAGGTCAATCAAACTGGCGCGTACTGGTATCACTCGCACGAGATGGGCCAGTATCCGGACGGACTGCGCGGCGCATTCGTCGTGCGTGACCCAGCGCCTCCCGTGGCTTTCGACGACGAGATCACCATCACCCTGACGGATCATTACCACGAGCAAATGCCTGCTCTGTTGGAGAAGTACGATGTCGACAGCACCGCCGCCCATCCCGGGTCCAACGAGCCCATTCCCGACTCCGCGCTGATCAATGAGACGATCAACCCGACCTTCCACGTTGAGCCGAACAAGACCTATCTGGTGCATCTGGTCTGCGTCGGCAACTTCCCCGGCCACGTCACCGTCTTTGAAGACCACGAGATTTCCGTCGTGCAAATCGACGGCATCTGGACGGACCCGTACGTGGTGACCGACAAGCATATCCGGCTCGCCACCGGCCAGCGGATGAGTGTCCTGCTGCGCACTAAGGACAACACTGACCGCAACTACGCCATCTGGGACTCGATGGATGTCAACATGATGTTCATCTACGAGAACCGCAGCATCCCGGAAGGCTTCAACCCTAACGCCACCGCTTGGTTGGTCTACGATGAGTCCAAGCCTCTCCTTCCCCCTCCAGATATTCACGAGCTCGACCCGAACAATAACTTCGTGGACGACTTGGACTTTGTGCCCGCAAACCATGAGCCGGTGCTTGAGCCCGTCGATCACCAGATTGTCTTGGATACAGGGGTGCGGTACCGCAATGGCCACGCGGAGTTCCTCGTCAACGGCAAAACCTACATCGCCCCCGAAGAGCCCACGCTGTACACCGCGCTGGCGGCCGGACCAGACAACTCGTCAGACCCTTCCATCTACGGCCAGGTAAATCCCTTCGTGGTCGAGTACGGCCAGGTGGTGGAGATCGTCATCAACAACCACCACGGGAACCTGCACCCGTGGCATCTGCACGGCCATCACTTCCAGGTCCTGCAGCGCACGGTTCCCGAGGGAGGATATTTCAATGGATACTGGGGGAATATCTCATCCTTCCCGGTGCAACGGGACACCATCATGGTGCAGAACCACGGCCACGCAGTGATTCGTTTCCGCGCCGACAACCCAGATAAGTTTCCTTCCAGTCGGTTTGACTGCTGTGTGTACTGACCTTCTCTTACGAGTCTGGCTGATCCATTGCCATATCGAGTGGCACGTTACCAAGGGCTTGACAGCAACCATCATCGAGGCACCAGCACAGATGCAGGACATTCAGATTCCATTGGATCACCAGCGGATCTGTCCGAGCTATGGCGCGCCCCCGGGTGATTCTGGCGAGGATACTCCAGGGGATGAAACCCCTGGCGATGATACTTCTGATAACGGAACTCCCGATGAGAGTAGCCCTGATGGTGAACCCCCTAGCAACGGAACCCCAGAAGAGGACGGCCCTAGTGGTGAAACGCCTGGCGCTGGTACTCCTTACCACGGAACTCACGATGGGAGTAGTCCTGGGGGTGAAACGCCTGGCAACGGATCTCCAGATGAGGACGGCCCTGGTGGTGAAACTCCTGGTGCTGGTACTCCTTACCCCGGAACTCCCAATGGAAATAGTCCTGGTGGTGAAATCCCTGGTGGCCTGCCCTCGAACCCTCCCTTCGGTTTAGCTCCTCACGGCTATCCTCCCTTTGGCGGCAACCATGAGAATCCCTCCAGTGATGGCTGGGCCAATGGTTTCAAGCCCAGTGACAAGCCTGTCTTTCCCGGGCCAGTTGTCTACGATTCCGAGTATCACTATGGTGGCAAGGTCGAAAGTCACAAGACTTATGGTGTGAATAGTGGGAAGAAGGTGGCCATCTCTGCCGAGAGGGATTGATGACACCGGTGTATCTAGTCTCTTTCTTCTACATATTCCCTTAGACGAGTTTAATGTATCGTATATATTGTTATATCAAGCAGTCTGCTGTCGATCCTCCGTTACCCAGGTTTTCATATGTCAAATCAGATATTTTGTGATATAGTATCCAGGAAGCAAAGGTGTCACGACAGAACCCTTTAGTTCAGTTGTATACTATATAGTAAAATCCACGTCGAATGTATAATCATATATTTGAGAGTTTCCTCTCCAGCAATCACTGCAGACATGTAATATTTGATTCAGAAGTCTTCTCGTGGCTTTCCTCCTGCAGTTCGGAATGAGTCAAGGGACATCCATGTATATATATACCGAACACACTATAGACTACGTTCTACTCCAAGATTCCTCAGTTAATCCTCTGATATAGATAAAATAATATACTCCGTTAAACTAAGCTAAACCCCACAGCATACAAACACAGGTCAATTCTTCACCTTCGCCGGCAGAGCCAACACCTCCTCCAGCCACTTGTACGAAACAGGCAGACTGTTGGGATATCCCATATGTGGAAGTCCCTTGAAGAATCTATAGAACATCAGTAAATGCAAGCCTCTCCAAGCTGGGAAATCTTACCGTCCCTCCTTGGGAGAGCCATGGTCGAACAGCACCAGACAATCCTCAATCGGCACCACGCCGTCGTCCACGCCCTAAGCTATTAGCACACACATCCCCTGGTACCTCTCAAAAGGCAACAACACTCACATTCAACAGCAACAGGCGACAGCTCGGCTGGTCGACTACGCCCGTTTCCACCAGCGAGAACTTCTTCTGCGCCCCGGCCACAAACTCCGCCTCGCTGGCGTACCCGTGCTTCGTCGCCCACGCCTTGGTCAGCTCAAACGGATACTCGTGGTCGTTCACCCGGCTCAACCACTCCGGGTCGAGATAGTGGTGACACCCCGGACCATGCGCTACGGATCCCGCCAGCCGCTCGCGGTGCGTGTGCGCCGCCCGGATGGCGTAGTACCCACCGGCACTCAGCCCCCAGACCACCAGCTTACCCGTGTCCAGTGCCGGCTGCTGATCCAAGTGCGAGAGCACGCTGTTCCACAGGCGGTCTGGAGAGCTCGGGTCGGCCGGGTCAGCGGGCGAGTCGGCCGTGCCGGGGATCTCGACCACCACCGCGGCCCAGCCGCGCGCGAGGATCTCGTGCGTGCGCTGGCTGTTGTCCGGCCGGTAGCCGTCTAGCCCGGTCATGATCATGACCACGGGGACGGGGTTCTCGGCCCCTGCGTCTGCGGGCGTGCGGATGTAGATGGGGATGTGGGCGCCGTCCTGGCCCGAGCGGTACACGTGGGGGACCATCACCTCCTGGATGGGACGGGCCCAGAGCGAGGTGGCCTTCAGGTACACCTTTTTCTGGTGCTCAAAGGCCGTGCGCTTGATGGAGTTGGGCTTGGTGATGTCGACATAGGGGAAGCGGGAGATGCGGTAGACCACGGCGGCGCGGCAGAGAAGGTTTGAGGCTTCTTCCTTGTTGCCGGTCTTGAGTGCCTGGTGGGCCTTTTCCTCGAGCGCAGCAGCCGTCGGAAAGAACGTCTCGGTGTATTCGTCTGAGGCGGCATCGTTGATGTTTTCCTGCGGCTGTCAGCTGGGTGATTCTCTTCGGAGAGGATGGACATACCGCGATGAGCTTGGTGAAGATGGGCTCAAAGTCCTCGATGCACCCGTCATGGAACGGATAGATGGATTTTTGACACTAGGCTGTCAGCTGGCTCGTAGAATTTGACTATATGGCTATAGACCTACAGCAAACCTCCATCGCGACTCCCACAGGACCTTCAAGGACCCCTTGTGAGGATACACCTTGTCGAACTTGTCGCCTAGAATCCAACGTGTCATATTGATCGATTGCTTGAGTTACGGTGGAAAATACATCGTGCCAAGTCTACATCCTGAGCTTTTCTATATACTTGGTTTTGATGCCGAATGGACAGCCGTTTGCTGCACAATGTTCTGTATGCATGCAGAGAGAGAGAGAGAGAGAGAGAGAGAGAGATACAGATTTCCGATTTGGGAAATCGCCGATCAGAGGGATAATATCAGCCGCGTTGGGAAACTGTTGTTCGAATTGAACAAGTTTGACAATAATAGAAGCCTGTCCGAGCAGAATGTCTCACTGAGCCATGTTGGAACGCATTCAGTAGGATGAAGCCGGTGGATGCATTGGTTAGGGTTACATTCCTCAAGGTCCATGACACAAAGACTGTCCCGTTGAAGTCGACACGTCAACGATAGATATCCCAGCGAGGTAAATCTAGGCTGGCTGAGTTGAGGCGATCTGAATGCGTTTATATGAACTGTCTATAACGTAATGAAGGGAGCATATATCCATTTTTAGAACCGACTGGGACTTGCTGGGTCTGACGAACTCCTCTAATCATATGGAGGCTCTACATCTCTTTGGCTCAAAGGGTAAAAAAAAAAATTCAAAAGTCAAATTGAATATTGACATCGGAAGACAAGGGACAGAGCCGGGAGTCTGCTTTAACTGGATAGAAACAAGGTTGAGGTACAGTGGCAAGAAAGACATGACCGTGTTATGCAGCGCAGTATGTAGACTGTAGTGAGCCAGTCGTATGCAGATCCGAACACAAGCAAGAAAAAGGAAGACAAGACACAGATAACCAATACTACCGAGCCCTCTGTTCTAAATGTTGGCACCTCCATTGACTGGGATAATCTGGCCTATGCGTAGTCAGCATTCCACCCCTTCCCATACCAGGTATCTCGTCGAATAACTTACCATTCACCCATTCCGAATCCGGGCCCGCCAGGAATGACACTATCTTGCCAATGTCTGCCGGCTCGCCGCAACGTTGCAGCGGGCTCCCGTTGGCCAGCGCCTTCTCAATCTCCTCCAGCGAAGACCCCTGGTCGCATCCAGGCGCATACCGCCACGAATTCTCCCGCCACATGTCGCTCTTCACCCCGGCCGGTGCAATCGCGTTCACCGTGCACTGCTTGCGGCCAAAGTCCGCTGCTAGACAGCGGGTGAAGCCCTCCACGGCCGCTTTGCTGCCCGCGTACAGTGCATGCCCTGGAACGCCTACACCAGCGGCAATAGACGACATGAGAATCACGCGTCCTCCCGGCTGGATGTGCTCGTAGGCATACCGGGCGACGAACAGCTGTGCCCGTGTGTTCAGGTTAAACACCTCGTTGAAGTCGTCCACTGTCGTCTGTTCCAGCGGGCAGAACTTCTCCATGCCCGAGTTAGACACCACGATGTCCAGCCGTCCGAAGTGGCTCACCACCTGCTGGATGAGCGACTCAATGCTGGGGACGTGGGTCAGATCTGCCTTGAAAGCCGCGGCCTTGCTGCCGATGGCCTGGATGGCGTCGACCACCTCCTGCGCCGATTGCGCGCTGTGGCCGTAGTTGATGGCTACCGAGGCTCCCCGACGGGCCAGTTCGAGGGCAATCCCGGCGCCAATGCCTCGCCCACCGCCAGTTACCACGGCGACTTTACCGCTGAGAGGGAGATTGCTGGTGCTGACCATCTTGACGATTTGTTGTGGTTGGATATGTAGTGATCTGTAATCAGTCGGAAGGGTGTTTGGATAACCCACCGCATATATATTACTCTACGTCTATCTACTTCGGGAAACGGTTATATCACAATAGAATCGAAGCCGGCGTACTGCATTCGCACGTTTGACGGCGTTGGCTGCGTGGAATGTACGCATTCAGATTGTCTCACAAGGGAAATGCTGCTGCATCCGGATCTTGGCCTCGGTCAATATCGTAAGAGAATTGGATTGTGGATAGATCTGTTTGCGATGCGTGTTTAGACAAAAACCTCGTGGTCATCATTTGATATAACCGGTTGTTCCTCATCTGATAGTTCGCTCGTCAAGCATTCAGACAAAACATCCTCATAATCGCGGTCATCATGGTGGAAAAGAAGCCCAACCTCAATATTGACTTTCAAGGTACGGGTTGCAAGATTTCTGGAAGTCAGCACACACTGACCCATTAGACTTTCTCGCCCTGCAAAAGGTCGTGTTCGACTGGGCAGACAGCTACGACGCCAAAGTAAGTCTCAAACCCTTCTTGGAGACGAGCCTATACTGACTCAATAAGGACTGGGATCGGCTGCGAAGCATCATCTCTCCGACCCTTACCGTCGACTACACGCAGATCGGCCTGCGGAAATGGAGCGACATGCCTGCTGAAGACTACCTCAAGATGGTCACCGATATTGACTTCCTCGGCGACCCAACCATTAAGACCCAGCATCTGCTCGGAGCTACCTGGTGGGAGAAGATCTCCGATACAGAAGTCATTGGCCACCATCAGCTGCGGGCCGCCCATCAGGTCTACACGGACACTGACATGAAGACCGTCAAACTCAAGGGCCATTCGCATGCCACCAATGAGCACTACTATCGCAAAATCGACGGGGTCTGGAAATTTGCCGGACTGAAACCTACCGTGCGGTGGAATGAATATCAATTCGACGACGTTTTTCGCGCGGCCATTAATCCGACGAGTGTGGTGTAGATCAGTCGAATGAACCTTGCGGAAGTTGATATCATGTGTTGATCATTGTACTCACCATGTGAATTCCTTATCGAGCGGCTGTGAGGTTGGCATTAAATCTAGATTCCGTATGGACTACGTCAATTCAGAGTTAGCAAAGCATATAATGAGACTTTTTTGGACATCTTATGCTTGTGGTTCGGTCATGTCCGGCGCGAGTGAGTCACAAAGAAGGAAGTGAGACCCAACGCAACATTGCAATCTCACAGTTGTACTCGAAATGGCAGCTTGTTGAGGCAACATGAATGCTTGGCGTCGTGTGAATATTAATACCCTGTCTTATGACCCCCAGAGTGGGACGATAGGTCAAGCAGATCAGACGGAAGGATAAGGCGATTCCTGACGTAGTGCACCAGAATCGATCGCTAAATGGTAGATCAAACAAGATCATTGAAGATCTCCATCGGCTGACCAGCATGATGGAAGCGTATATGCCAAATGCGGACATGCCTGGAAGGAATGGAATCATGGAAGGGGGTTCGTCTACGGCTCGGCCGGCCCTCCCTCGTGTCCCGGATTTCCGCTTCCAACGGTATCCAACAGCGGTTGTCTCACAAGGCTCCCAATCTTCTCTCTTTTCGGTAGGAAAGCAACATCGATCGGAGGCTGAATAACCCGAAGACCAGGAAGCATATCCTCGAAATCCATGGAAGCCGGGAAAGCAAGTTTCGAGGGTTGCGTTGGGAATTGCATTATGCTTGCATCGGGCCTCGAACCAGTCCCTGCAGCAGGGTAGGCGCCTTCCAAGCTCACACCCCCAGACTAGAGCTGCTTGCAAAGCTATGGTTCCGAGCTCAAGCTCTTCCCATCGATAGATCTCGGCTCCCAGAGCGGACAATTGTAAAGTCCCAAAAACCTGCTATCCGATCAGGCCGAGTGGATCTTCTTCCCAGTTAGGTCATTGATGGCCTGGCAGACCCGATGTTACACTTAAAGGGGCCACTCTTCGAGTTCACCTACTGTCTCTGAAGAAAACCCAAAATCTCCAATGTGCTGCGGCTTCGAACAAAAATATCGCACAGTAGCCGGAACCTTTGGAGGTGCAGGCCACGTACCACCTGCGCCATGATGGAAGACCTCCGTCGCGTCTATCTCTTCGGTGACCAAACCATCAGCTGCGACGAAGGGCTGCGAAACCTCCTGCAGGCCAAAAACCACACCATCGTCGCCTCGTTCTTCGAAAGATGCTTCCATGCGCTGCGTCGCGAAATCTCTAAGCTTCCGCCTTCTCAGCGCAGCCTCTTCCCTCGATTCACCAGCATCGCCGACCTCCTCGCCCGGCACCGCGAATCAGGGACAAACCCGGCGCTGGGGAGTGCGTTGACATGCATCCATCAACTGGGATGCTTTATCGAGTAAGTCTGTCCAGCACCTCATGGCCTGCGCCGAATGCTAACCTCACATGAGCTACCATGGTGACCGTGGACACCCCTATCCCTCAGCCGAGGACAGCCTTCTCCTGGGGTCATGCACAGGACTTCTCAGTTGTGCCGCAGTCAGCTCCTGCAGAAATGTAGGAGAGCTGCTCCCCCTCGCGGTGGAGGTTGTTGCAATGGCAATCCACCTGGGTCTGTGTGTCATGACAGTCCGGGATCTTGTGGACTCGTCCTCATCCTCAACCGGCAGCTGGTCAGTTCTCGTGTCCGACCTTAACGAAGAGGATGCGATCAATCGAATCGCCCAATTTCATGAAAAGCGAGTAAGTACTATTTCTGCTGCCCCTCAAAAGATCATCGCACTGACCAACAGGGAATCAACCCCTCGTCTCGACCATATATCAGCGCAGTTGGCTCCAAGGGTCTCACCATCAGCGCACCACCGGAAATCCTGGATGAGTTCATCGAAGAAGCGCTTCCAAAGGAATGCAAGCACTTCAAAGCTCCCGGAGTCCACGGTCCTTACCACGCACCTCATCTGTACAATGAGCGAGAGATCCAGAGCATGCTCGACTCCTGTTCCGATATGATCTCAAACTATGCACCTCATATTTCTTTGCTTTCAAGTAACACAGGAAAGACAGTCCAGGCACAGAGCACGCGTGATCTGCTAAAGGTGGCCTTGGAAGAGATCCTCGTGCGCAGAATCTGCTGGGACAAAGTCACCGAATCCTGTCTGTCGATCGTCCAGTCTACCCCAGGCAAGCTGTGGAAGATCCTTCCCATTGCTAGCAGCGCGACTCAAGGTCTAGCGACTGCGCTTCAACGCGTGGGTAATTGCAGAGTCGAGGTCGACACCGGGGTTGGTGCTCCACAGATGGACCCCGCCGCGCTCAACCAGACTGGCAACACGTCCCGGTCCAAGATTGCTATCATCGGCATGTCCGGTCGTTTCCCCGAGGCAGACGGGGTTGAGGCGTTCTGGGACCTACTCTACAAGGGCCTCGACGTCCACAAAACAGTGCCTCCTGATCGATGGGACGTCGATGCGCACGTGGATTTGACTGGTACAAAGAGAAACACCAGCAAAGTCCCGTTCGGCTGCTGGATCAACGAGCCTGGAATGTTCGATGCTCGTTTCTTTAACATGTCGCCCCGTGAGGCGCTTCAGGCCGATCCCGCTCAGCGTTTGGCATTGCTGACAGCTTACGAAGCGCTGGAGATGGCCGGGTTTATTCCTAACAGCACTCCGTCCACTCAGAGAGATCGGGTGGGCATCTTCTACGGCATGACCAGTGATGATTATCGTGAGATCAACAGCGGCCAGGACATTGATACATACTTTATCCCCGGCGGCAACCGTGCCTTTACCCCTGGCCGAATCAACTATTATTTCAAGTTCAGCGGACCCAGTGTTAGTGTCGACACGGCCTGTTCGTCGAGTCTTGCGGCTATCCACCTGGCCTGTAATGCGATCTGGAGAAATGACTGCGACTCGGCCATCACTGGTGGAGTGAATCTGCTGACCAACCCAGACAACCATGCCGGTCTGGATCGTGGGCATTTCTTGTCTCGGACTGGAAACTGCAACACCTTCGACGATGGTGCGGATGGGTACTGCCGTGCTGATGGAGTCGGTAGCATTGTCCTGAAGCGGCTTGAAGACGCAGAGGCTGATAACGATCCCATCCTCGGAGTCATCAACGCTGCTTATACGAACCACTCCGCTGAGGCTGTCTCGATCACTCGACCCCATGTCGGAGCCCAGGCCTTTATCTTTAACAAGCTGTTGAACGACACCAACACCAACCCTCACGAGGTCAGCTATGTGGAAATGCACGGAACTGGCACCCAGGCTGGCGACGCAGTCGAGATGCAGTCGGTTCTCGACGTGTTTGCGCCTGATTGCCGTCGAGGCCCTGCAAACTCCCTCCACCTGGGCTCGGCCAAATCCAACGTCGGGCATGGCGAATCCGCCTCTGGAGTGACATCGCTAGTTAAGGTGCTGTTGATGATGAAGCAGAACATGATTCCGCCTCACTGCGGCATCAAGACCAAGATCAACCATAATTTCCCCACGGATCTTGCCCAGCGAAATGTCCACATCGCACTGAAGCCCACTCCATGGACCAGACCAGTGTCAGGCAAGCGGAAGATGTTCCTCAACAACTTCTCCGCGGCAGGCGGAAACACGGCCCTGCTGCTGGAGGATTCTCCGCTGCGCGAAATCACTGGACAGGACCCTCGCAACGTGCATGTGGTGTCCGTAACAGCGCGGTCGCAAAGTGCGCTCAAGCGCAACATTAACGCCTTGATCAAATACATCGATACGCACGCGCCATCAGCACCGGCAAATGAGAAGAGATTCCTTGCCAGTCTGGCCTACACCACTACTGCACGTCGCATTCATCACCCCTTCCGAGCCACTGCGGTCGGGGCGACCGTGAAAGACATCCGGGATGCCCTGCGTCAGCGCGCTGATCAAGAAAGCACCACTCCTGTCCCCGCGACGGCACCCAAGGTCGGTTTTGTGTTCACCGGCCAGGGGGCTCAGTACAGCGGGATGGGTAAGCAGCTGTATGAGGACTGCGCGACGTTCCGAAGCATTATCCACCGCTTCGACTGCATTGCTCGCAGCCAGGGATTCCCGTCAATCATTCACTTGATCGACGGGAGTGTTCCCGTGGAAGGACTGAGCCCAGTGGTGACGCAGCTTGGAACAACCTGCCTTCAGATGGCGCTGGTCGACTACTGGAGAGGCTTGGGTGTCAGCCCCGCCTTTGTGTTAGGTCACAGCCTGGGTGATTATGCGGCGTTGAATGCTGCCGGTGTCTTGTCCACAAGTGACACGATATACCTGTGTGGTCGTCGTGCGCAGCTCCTCACGGAGCAGTGCCAGATGGGAACTCATGCCATGCTCGCGGTCAAGGCAGCCCTGTCGGACATCCAACATTTGCTCGATGCAGAGGCTCACGCCGTTGCCTGCATCAACGGGCCAACAGAGACGGTGATCAGTGGTCTTAGCGGCCACATTGATGAACTGGCAGAGCAGCTCACGGGCCAGAGTCTGAAATCCACTAAGCTCAAGGTGCCATTTGCTTTCCACTCAGCCCAGGTGACTCCAATTTTGGACCCATTCGAGGATAAGGCCCAGGGTGTTGTGTTCCACAAGCCATCGGTCCCTTTTGTCTCGGCCCTTACAGGAGAGGTCATCACCGAGGAAAACTACGAAGTGCTTGGTCCCAGGTATATGGTGAAGCATTGCCGCGAAACTGTCAACTTCCTGGGCGGGCTGGAGGCGACTCGGCACGCGAAGTTGATGAACGAAACCACAGTCTGGCTGGAGGTCGGATCCCATCCCATCTGCAGCGGAATGATCAAATCCACTTTCGGCCCGCAGGCTACCACAGTTGCTTCGCTTCGCCGTGACGAGGATCCGTGGAAAATCATCTCTAACAGTCTCTCGACTCTGCATCTCGCGGGTGTCGAGCTGAACTGGAAGCAGTTCCACCAGGGTTTTGACTCGGCTCATGAGGTGCTCAACCTGCCCCGTTACAGCTGGGATCTTAAGAACTATTGGATTCCGTACACGAACAACTTCTGCCTCACCAAGGGTGCTCCTGTTGCGGCGGAGGCGTCGGCGCCAAAGTCCACGTTCCTCACCACTGCTGCACAGAAAATCGTCGAGAATCGGGATGATGGAACCATGGCAACACTGGTGGTCGAGAATAACATTGCCGATCCCGATCTCAACCGTGTTATTCAAGGCCACAAGGTGAACGGAGTCGCTCTCACTCCTTCGGTAAGTTGATACACATCCATCTCTTTCGAATGAGAGAGCTGACGCTTCTAGTCTCTCTACGCGGATATTGCGCAAACTCTTGTCGACCACTTGATCACCACGTACAAGCCAGAGCTGCAGGGCCTGGGCCTGGACGTGTGTGACATGACCGTGCCCAAACCACTCATCGCCAAGTCTGGGGACCAGTTCTTCCGGATCTCAGCTGTCATGAACTGGGCGGACAAGAAGGCAGCTGTCCAAGTCTACTCCGTGAATGCAGAGGGCAAGAAGATGATCGAGCATGCGAACTGCACCGTCAAGTTGTTTGACTGTGCCGATCGTGAGATGGAGTGGAAACGCATCTCCTACTTGGTTAAGAGAAGCGTGTCCCTGCTGCAAGACAAAGCTCAGACCGGCGAGGCTCACCGGATGCAACGCGGCATGGTGTACAAACTCTTCGCTGCACTGGTCGACTACGACGAGAACTTCAAATCCATCCAGGAGGTGGTGCTAGACAGCAAGCAACATGAGGCCACAGCTAAGGTCAAGTTCCAGGCTCCGGCGGGTAACTTCCACCGCAACCCCTTCTGGATCGACAGCTTTGGCCACTTGTCTGGCTTCATCATGAACGCCAGTGATGCCACAGACTCGAAGAACCAGGTCTTTGTTAACCATGGCTGGGATTCGATGCGCTGTCTGAAGAAGTTTTCCGCCGACGCCACCTATCAGACATATGTCAAAATGCAGCCATGGAGGGACTCCATCTGGGCTGGTGACGTCTATGTCTTTGAGGGGGATGACATTATCGCCGTTTATGGAGGAGTAAAGGTAACTTCTACGGTCGAACCATTGGAAGGAGACGGATTGACTAACCTGTTCATAGTTCCAAGCCTTAGCCCGGAAGATCCTCGACACTGTCCTTCCTCCAGTCGGGGCCGCCAAAGCAGCCAGTGCACCGATTCAGACCACACCGCAGAAGTTAACGCCCGCCCCCATCAAGGTCAAGGCTCCTCCAAAGGTTGCGCGGAGCAACAAGCCAGACTCGGCAGCTTCCCGTGTTGTGGCCCGCGCCCTCGAGATTCTGGCCGCCGAGGTTGGCTTGTCCGAATCCGAAATGACCGACGGTCTCAACTTCGCCGACTATGGAGTCGACTCGCTGCTCTCTCTCACCGTCACGGGTAGATACCGTGAGGAATTGAACCTGGATTTCGAGTCCTCTGTGTTCATGGATTATCCCACCATCAAGGATTTCAAGGCCTATCTGGCGGAGAAGGGCTTTGCGGACGTCAGTAGCCCTGAGCCGTGCAGCGAACCCGAATCCAAATATTCCTTCAACAGCGACGCCTCGTCCGAGGCGTCCAGTGGCCTGACCTCTCCTGGAATCGCTTCTCCCGTCAAGGAAGATGTCGTTTCGCCTGGAGACAGCAAGGTTTGGTCCAGCATTTGCAGCATCCTCGCGGAAGAAATCGGCGTCGCGGTCGGAGACATTGATCCGAACGACAACCTGCCCGAGATGGGGATGGATTCGTTGTTGTCATTGACGGTGTTGGGCCGCATCCGCGAGACCCTCGATATGGATTTGCCGGCGGAGTTCTTCCTCGAAAACCCTACCCTCGATGCAATCCAAGTCACTCTGGATCTGAAGCCCAAGGCTGCACCCCAGGCGACACGGGCCCCCGAGCGCATCCAACTCCCGGAGATTATCACGAACAAGAAGCTCAAGACGACTCAACATCCCCCCGCGACCTCGATCTTGTTGCAAGGCAACCCGCGCACTGCCACGAGCAAGCTCTTCTTGTTCCCTGATGGTTCTGGCTCCGCCTCCTCCTACGCCACAATCCCCGCTCTGTCTCCGGATATCTGTGTCTACGGTCTCAACTGCCCCTACATGAAGACACCGCAGAACCTCAAATGCAGCCTCGAGGAACTTACCGAGCCATACTTGGCGGAGATCCGCCGGCGTCAACCTACTGGACCCTACAACTTCGGTGGCTGGTCGGCTGGCGGAATCTGTGCCTTTGATGCGGCCCGTCAGCTGATTCTGGAGGAAGGGGAGGTCGTGGAGCGGCTCCTCCTGCTCGACTCTCCCTTTCCCATTGGCCTGGAGAAGCTGCCTCCCCGCCTATACGGCTTCTTCAACTCGATCGGTCTCTTTGGGGACGGCAAGAGGGCACCTCCCGATTGGTTGCTGCCGCACTTCCTGGCCTTTATCGATTCGCTGGACGCCTACAAGGCTGTTCCGCTCCCGTTCACGGAGAGCGCATGGGCCGATAAGATGCCCCAGACGTATCTTATCTGGGCCAAGGATGGCGTCTGCGGCAAGCCAGGCGACCCCCGGCCGGAGCCCCCAGCGGATGGCTCCAAGGACCCGCGGGAGATGCAATGGCTGCTCAATGACCGCACAGATCTGGGTCCCAACAAGTGGGACACTCTGGTGGGGTCCGAGAACATTGGGGGAATCCATGTGATGGAGCAAGCGAATCACTTCACAATGACGACAGGAGAGAAGGCGAAGGAGTTGTCTGCGTTCATGGCGCAGGCGATGAGCTCCTAGAATGGATGGTTTGGTTGTTCATATTGCATTGTGTATACCACCTTTCCCTCTTCGAAAATGTATCTTGAAAACATCATTAGTTAGTTTGGAGTAATGGGAGTCTGCTTTTCGACCAATGAGCTATACAGTGTAGGTGTCCCAGTGTTGGGCTTTTTTGGTTTGACGTCAACTTCGGAGGGTGAATGCACAGCCTCGTGAGGACGATCAGCGGGGGATTTCTGTTGGGGGATGATCAGTAAGCGCTAAGGTCGACTTTCTGGGGCCGAGTGAGCAGTAGAGGAGATGAAATTCAATGCTCAAGGATGGGTTGTTGTTGATGAGGTTGATGAGAATGGTGATGCTGTGATGGAGGTGTCAGTTTGTGTGTCTGGTCACATGCGTGGACACCTCAGGCTTTCTTCATCTGGCTCTACTGCTACACTAACAGTGCAGTGGTTATGAAACAACTGCATGGTATGACGGTGCTCATCCCACCATGGTATTCAAATTGTCTGTTGATTAATCAATATCTAATGGATTTTAAGACCAAACATGCAGTGGCCCAGGCCAAGGATTGAGATGAAACCGACCAAGGCACTGCCATGATCCATCCAGGATTCCAGGGGGCCTTGTGGGCAGTTCTCACTAAATCGGATCCAGGAAGAAATTTCTAGAAGAAAGGGTAGGAACCAGGAAGGGCAAATACTGTGCATTATGGGTAGTGAATCTATGATAGATCTGCCATGTGTCTAAGGAGCAGTGGATGGCAGTGCATGCTGCATACTGCATGCTACTTGCATCGCATCCATATTCCATACCACTACTCCATACTACTGTGTGCCTTGATGCCTGAGCTGAGACAATCTGCGACTATTAATAATCTCGTAAAAGTATGATTATTGCCTGAGGATCCCGAATATCCGATTAACTGTGACCAATCAGGGATTTCTCGGCTGGATTTGCCACATCCCCTGCGGTGATTGGCCAGTCTGAGCAGCAATTGCCCCATGTTCTCGTTTCAAAAAGGGAAAGAGATCACTGGACCTGCTGACTGTCCGATGTGTCCTCGACGGGAAAACACTTCCCACATTTCCCATTTGAAACACAACAACGACATTCCAACAAGCAGAGAGACTGGTGTGAAAGCACGCGTTCGATTAAGCTCTGTCCGGGTATGCATCTCCATGTTTCACGTAGACCAGGTCCATCATCTAATCTTCAGCTTTGGAAACAGTAGTTACACACGCTCACAGCAGAGGCTTGATCTGGACGATCTCACGGAACTTGTCCACCCGCCAAGCGCCCAAGTCCCTAAGTCGGCTCCATTCACTCCTCTTGGCAGGAAAAAGCTCTGAGTCTGTGGCCACTCGGGACTTGCGATCCCTTGGATTATGGATATCCAATGATCCATTTTATCCAGGTCCCATAGAACCTCGGACATAGGGTAGACAATATGCTCTCCGCACTGCTATTATAAGCGACCTCCTCCACTTCTTTGTTCACGGCCACCAATCACCACGACCAATGTCCGGCATGGCGCAGAATCAGGGGGGCAAACCAGACTCAGACTCCCCGTTGGTCCCTGAGGAGTGAGGACAAGGACATTGGAGGATTCCAGTCATGGAGGCTATGAGCATGCGACTGTGGACGATGGACTTGGACCAGAACGGTCATGGAACACGTCCTGCGGCTCCAACGGCTGGAGTCTGACTGAACTCTGCTCAGTCACTACTCACTAGTCTACTGGTAAGAATAATAATGAATTGCCAATAATGAACGGGACTATCGACTAGTCTCCTTAACTCTCAAGGCTGATCAAGTGACATTATTGCGCTGAGCAAGCTCTCCGTCCTCTCTTCTCTTCCTCTTCTGTCTCCTCATCTCACTTTTTGACGTCTGAAAAGAAACTCGGACCACGCTCATTCTCTTTCAACAAGAGCATTCGGTTTCTTCCTTCCTTCTTTTTTTCTTCATCCTTATCGATGCAACTTCTCCTCTGCTAAAAGCTTCGTCTACAATCCTTGTACATACTAAAAAGAACAGCTCATGTCTGCGTATTCATAGCAATTCTGCTGCTCGCGTGCCCCGTCGTGGGCCATGTGATATCGCTCTCTTCGCCTCCCTCAACACCATCTGCGAGTATTTCAACCCCGTCTCGGGTAGTCAGCGCCCTTCCTGTGGTTCCCTGCTCGCTATGAATTTCTCCAAAGTTATTTCCTTCTTTGAGGGGATCGTTCGCGTCATCCGAAAATCCCCCGTCCATGCCTTCGACTGGTGGTGGGATGCCTCACGCAAGTTCTTCTTCACCATCACCTTCATCTCTCTCCTCTGGGCCAAACTACTGCATATCTACGCTCATCTGCACTCATTACCTCCCTCCAAGTTCCTACTCTGGGGCCCAACCTTCTTTTTCCAAGATGTCCTCTTCATTATCCTCATTCGCCTCTTCACCCAGTCCATCTCTTGGCGCCCCGTCGCCATCTTCTCTGCACTATGCACAGTGCCAGTCGGGTAGGAAGGCTCCCTTGGGAAAATTTTTTTTTCTTGAGCGTGGCGTGTGTACTGACCATGTTGTTCTCACAGTCTGCTCATGTCCGGCATGGCATCCTCTGCCACCTCCTTCTACGTCGTGACCGGGGCCGAGATCCATTGGCGCCAGATTCGAACCTTCCACGGCGACGCCGCCGCCTTTCGAACCCTCCTGACCGGTCTGACGGGCTTTCTGGTGGTCGAAGCCATTATCATCGCTGTTTCGTGGTTTGTGGGCCCTGCGATACATCGGATGGTGGGTGGGGTGGTCAGCATCTTGGTGGCGCCGTTCCAGAAGCTGCTGCAACGCATTTGGCGCCTACGGTGCTCGCGATGGAGCAGCTGGAGGTCCGGCCGCCATGCAGACCCCGAAAACTACGAACATATTGCGGTGGATGACTATCTGGACGACAAGAGCGAGGACGGCGACTCGGTGTTCCTGCTGGATCCCATGAACCCCGAGACGCCCGTCAAACATCATGACTCGCTATGGAAGCGTCTAGCCGTCTTCGTCTTCTTTGGCTGCTTCTTCTTTCTGCGCTGTGTTCGCCCACCCAACCCTTCATACATGTTCCTGTCGGGAGCCTTACCCGTTGTCCCGTTTACCTCCAGTCGCCGCCTATTCCCCGTCGATGCGACGGGCATGCCCGGTGACTACACATGGCTGGATGGTCGATCGGCGCTGGACAAGCCTCCGTCCTGGGACTGGCTTCCGCAAGACCCCATGCCTGGATTTGAGGATTGGTACCCTGATTTCGACGATCACCACCGGTCGGATCGCCGCCGTCGTCCTCCGCCACTGCATTACAATCCCGCAGAGGACCCGTTGCACATTTCGAATCTCCAGAACCCCGTGCTGGATCCCCTGCGGGACGCGTTCGCCAGCGGCAATGTCAGCATTAAACACGTCATCCTGCTGAAGCTGGAGAGCACCCGAGCAGACGTCTTCCCACTCCGCAGAAACTCGTTCATGTGGGGACGCATCGCTGACTCGCACCCCAATCGCACGATCCCTGACGCAGTCCAGGCGAAGCTCGCCAATCTGACACGAACGGCGGAGTATCTCACCGGCTTCACGTCCGGATTCCGGCGCGACAAAACCGCGCACCAGGGTAAGAAAGCCTTTGGTGGCCTCAGCGCACGTAATGCATTTACCACCGGAACCTACACACTGAAGAGTCTGGTCGGCACCGTCTGCGGCGTCACCCCGCTCGTCACCGACTTCAACCGTGAATACAAACATCACATCTACCAGCCGTGCATGCCGCACGTACTCAATGCGCTCAATCGCCAGCTCGACCCCGGCAACCGGACGGAGGACTTCACCTCGTGGCCCTGGCATTCCAAGTGGATGCAGTCCGTGACCGAGGGCTACGATAAGCAGGATCAGCTCACCCCGCGGATGGGCTTCAAGGATATCCTGGCCAAGGAGCAGCTGACAAGTCCCCGTGCCAAGCACTACCCAGTCAAATCCAAGGAGATCAACTACTACGGTTACGCCGACACCGAGCTCCGCGAGTACTTCCGCGATGCCATCGACGATGCCGAACGCGACCACAAGCGCCTGTTCATCACCCATCTCACGGGCACCACCCACCACCCCTGGGGCATGCCGAACAACACCTACCAGCAATTCATGGGCAAGGAGAAGTCGCGGTCGAAAGAGGATCTGAATAAATACCTCAACACCATTGGATTCGTGGACACCTGGCTGGCGGAGATCATGGACATCCTCCACGAGAAAGGCGTCGCAGATGAGACCCTCATCATCATGGCGGGTGACCACGGCCTGTCGCTGCCCAACGACGGCGGTGTCACTCCCTATGACAACCCACACATCGGCAGTTTCCAGGTCCCCATCGTCTTTGCGCACCCCAAGATCCCGCCCGTGGAAATCACGGCGCCGGTCATCTCGGACCAGATCGTGCCGACGATCCTGGACCTGTTGATTGAATCATCCTCGCTTGAGCAAAAAGCCAGCCATGCCGCCAAGGATCTGCTCTCCATCTACGAAGGGCAGTCAATGATCCGGCCCCTGATCCAGGAACAGGACGGCAAGCAAGACTGGCAGTTCACCGTAATGAACACGGGCGGCTCATGGCTGGCGGTGCGCTCCGCCGCCAAGCCGGCCTATCGCCTGGTGATCCCGCTCATCGACGATCTCGAATGGCGGTTCACGGATCTGAGAGAGGATCCCAATGAACTTCACCCTTCCAAGAGCTTTGACCTGGTCGATCTAGCCAACACTCTCGATAAGAAGTACGGCGCCGAAGTGACCGACTGGGTCCGGGACGCCGCCCATGTTGCCGCCTGGTGGGTGGGCGACAACTGGCGTCGGTACCGGTACCTTCCCACGTCTCGCTAAGGCTAAAGCTTTGTCTTTTTTTTTTTTTTTTTTTTCTCTCTCTTTGGTCTTTGGTCTTGAAAATCGTTCTTCCTTGCATCATCATCATTCCCCTCATCTACCCCATTTGGATCTAGCCTGCGTGTGATATACCCGTTTAGTGCTTGATGTCATTTACCCTGTACAGTTCGCACACTCCTCGAGGAAGGAGATCATACATACATATCTATACTTCACCTGTGAATAGATTTACCTGTCAATATTTTTGGTCTAATGTTCCAAGCCTGATGGCCGTGCATGACGGTATATTGCGCCAGAGTCACCGTAGCATCTGTAGCCTCCGCCTGCAGTCCTTCATATACTTTATTTACCGGGTAAGAGGTCCGAGTCCGTTGAATTTATCCTGCGATGCTGACCGTCTGCCTATGGCATCTCGTCTTTTGTGAGGCTTTTCCTCGACCGGTTCCTGCTCCTGCAGTCAGCTGAGCGGTTTATATGCCCTCCGGCAGTTCTCCCATATTGAGCCACATCACCACTTTCGATTGCTCCACGCCCAAAATAGAAATGTCGACATAATCGCCAGGGCCTCATACGGTCATGCCTGATCGCCAGCCGGCCGGTTATTGCATCCAATCTGTGTGGCTATCCAGGATGCACTCCGCATTCTTCAAGGGTTTGGCAGTGGCTGTCCCGCTCCCGTCTCGGTAATTAAGTGGACGATCCTCAGACTCATGTTGTTATAGGGTTGTTTACCCGCGACACTAGACTGCCGACAACGGATACTTTGCGTGCTTGCACGAGCACGTTTAATCTTGTTTGGCCTCGATCTGGCAAGTGATGGGCCTGATCCCAGCTGCAGAAACGCACATCAAACCGCGCCGAAACCCCCTTGCGTCTTACCCTGAGCGCGATATGACGACAGGGCAATTTATCCTCAACTCCCACCGTCCTACACACGGTCTTGTCCGCCAATCGGGCCAATTGGGGGTAGCGGTGACGCCCATAACGTATCAGGTTGGGACATCCAGACGGGATGGCGAGCCGTTTTCCTAAATGCAGAGGGATGCTTACGATCGTCGCAGAGCTGCTTGTATTTCTTCGGCCTGTGCCCGCCTGTCCTGCGGTAGACGTTCACGCTTTCTCGTCCTCTTCTTCTGTTAGGGACGCCGTGCTTCCCGCCGTCGATGTATCTGTCCAACCGCGTTCTGGCCGCGTTTTTCGCGGCCAGCACTGGTTAGTTTCTTCCAGCCAGTGGATACATACCTATGCGCTCCCTCAGACACTGACTTACCGCAGTCATCCAGACATGCCTGGCGCAAGTCAGTGCCCCTACGGCCTACACCGACCCGGGCACGGGCATCACGTTTGATACGTGGACGATGCCTGCTACGGGTACCACAGGCGGACTCACGTTTGGTATGGCGCTTCCCAGCGATGCCTTGACCACGGATGCAACCGAGTTTATTGGATACCTGGTACTACCCTCCTTCTTTCTGGGAAGAGTCACGGAACTGACAAGGTAGCAATGCGCATCCACCAAGGCAACCGAGTCCGGCTGGTGCGGCCTGTCCTTCAAGGGATCCATGAACGGCAACCTCCTGCTCATGGCCTGGCCCTACAACGGCACCATCCTCACCTCCTTCCGCTGGAGCTCCGGCTACAGCATGCCTGACGTGTACGCCGGCAACGCCACCCTCACGCAGATCTCCTCCACCATCAACGCCACGCACTACACGCTGCTCTTCCGCTGCCAGGACTGCCTCGCTTGGAATCACAAGGGCACCACCGGGGCCGCCTCCACCAAGTCTGGCCAGCTGGTCCTGGGTTGGGCCGAGGCCAACGCTTCCCCGGGAAATCCCTCTTGCCCTGCAAAGATTACGCTGGCGCAGCATGACAGCCAGAGCATCTGGGCCGCGAAGCTGGACAAAAACGCCGTGAGTACCAAGTATGAGGAGTGGACAAAGCTAGCCACCAAGACCGTGCCGGGTGACTGTGGCGGGGACGACGGCGGTGGTTCCGCCCCCAAACCCGTGCCCGTCCCTGAAGGTGCCGAGTATGATTATGTCGTTGTGGGCTCGGGCGCCGGAGGTATTGTCATGGCGGACCGGCTCAGCCGCGCTGGCCATAAGGTCTTGCTCATTGAGAAGGGGCCTCCATCGTCGGGACGGTGGGGTGGCACCATGCGGCCGGAGTGGCTGGACGGCACCAACCTGACCCGGTTTGATGTGCCCGGTCTGTGCAACCAGATCTGGCATGATTCTGCGGGTATTGCCTGCAAGGACACCGATCAGATGGCAGGCTGCGTGCTGGGTGGTGGAACAGCCGTCAATGCCGCCTTGTGGTGGAGGGTATTCCCCCTTTCTTCGCTCCTCAAGTGTATCATCAGTGCTGATTTTGAATAGCCCAATCCCATCGATTGGGATTATGTCTTCCCCGCCGGCTGGCATTCTCGGGACATGATTGACGCAACCAACCACGTCTTCAACCGCATTCCTTGGACAGTCCACCCGTCAGAGGACGGCCGGATCTACCTGCAGCAGGGCTACGATGTGCTCGCTGGAGGCCTTAGGGCTGGGGGCTGGCACGAGGTGACCCTGAACGACAACGCATCCATGAAGAACCACACTTTCGGCCACACACCGTACATGTTCATGCACGGCGAGCGCGGTGGGCCTATGGCGACGTACCTGGTGTCTGCCAGCGCGCGGGACAACTTTGATCTGTGGACAAACACGACCGTCAAGCGCGTCGTGCGTACCGCCGAGGGCCACGTTACGGGTGTGGAGGTCGAGGCATTTATCGATGGAGGGTACGAGGGTGTGGTCAATGTTACAGCCAAGGGGCGTGTCATCCTGTCGGCGGGCACGTTCGGCACTCCCAAGATCCTGCTGCGAAGTACGTGTTTTCTCTGATCTGCTTGACGGCTAAGCTGACAAATCAGGTGGTATCGGTCCCTCCGATCAGCTAAAGATTGTGAAGGGCTCGAGCGATGGTTCCACGATGATTGCTGAGGCTGCCTGGATCAATCTGCCGGTGGGCGAGAACCTGGTCGACCATACCAATGTAAGTGTCTTTTCGCGCTGTACATCGCATATACTGATCGGATAGACCGACACCGTGGCCACGCATCCGGATGTCGTCTTCTACGATTTCTACGCTGCGTGGGACAGCCCGATTGAAAGCGACAAATCCAGCTACTTGAACAGCCGCACGGGCATTCTGACGCAGTCTGCTCCAAACATCGGTCCCATGTAAGTTGCCATATGAGGTGTACATCCAATGGCTAATCTTGTAGTATGTTCGACGAAATCGTCGGCGCCGACGGGATCAAGCGGCAGATCCAATGGACAGCGCGCATGGAAGGAGGCCACGATATCCCGGATAAGCGTGAGTACATCATATCTGCGATACCTCGACTGCTACTGACTTTCCAGACGCCATCACCATGAGCCAGTACCTTGGACGAGGCTCGACCTCCCGCGGACGCATGACCATCACGGGGAACCTGGACACCGTTGTCTCCACACTCCCGTACCTGCGCGACCAACACGACGTCGACGCCGTCATTCAGGGCCTGATCAACCTGCAGGTGGCGCTGAAGAACGTCAAAGGACTAACTTGGGCGTATCCCGCGCCGAACGTGACGGCGGCACAATTTGTGAAGACGGTAAATCGACCCCCCCCCCTTCCTGACAGTACGGAAGACATTCTGACAATAGTAGATGGAAATCACCGCGAGCACCAGACGCGCCAATCACTGGATGGGTAGGTCAAACCCTTGAATTTCTGTGAGGCCTTGCTAATAATGAGGACAGGAACGTGCAAGATGGGCACCGACGACGGCCGGGACGGCGGCACGGCCGTGGTGGATCTCAACACCAAGGTCTACGGAACGGACAACCTGTTCGTGGTGGATGGCAGCATCTTCCCGGGCATGGTGACTTCCAACCCGTCGGCGTATATTCTGACTGTGGCCGAGCGGGCGGCGGATCGCATTCTGGCTCTGAAGTAGTTCTGCTCTATTCTCTTTTCATCTGTTTTGTGGTACATGCACGTCATTTCGGCTCGGTTCATTGTACATACTTACTCCTAAGGAAGTTGGCCTGCGAGTCGGGCATGCAAATCTGAGTTCCTTTCGCGAGTCTTCTGCCTTCTTGCATAGACTTCTAGCTTGTCCGAACATCGTTGGAAGATCATCCTATTATCCGTACTAGGCTACTAATCTCCGTTTGATCGGCATGCAATTCCCGGTGCATATCAACCCTGCTCAATACAGCTAGCTGTTATCGGTTCTATTGCTGGGAATTACCGAGTAGATATTATTCACCCCCACTGTTCTTGTCATGGATATGAAACATGATCGGTTTGCGAAAAAAGACAACATCCCCCCTGTCCCCTTCCTTCAGAGAGCCTTGGCTTCCATCTACTCAAACTGCTTCAATGACTAACTGAGCCATCGATGGTGTCGTATTCTACGAGACACGCCGAGGTAATTGAGGACTTCGAACTCTTCTTATTCCACTATTTCCTTCTCAGGCTACTATCGACCTTCGACCTTCAACCTTCAGAATGGAAGAAGTCATGCCGATGGACCCCCCTCCCCCACCCCCACCTAAGTGAAAACAGCGATGGCACTGACAAAGGCAGCATCAATGTTCGCCGTGCCAGAGGCAATGGTCTGCTTGTCCGTGGCCGTGGCGATGCCCTGGATGGCCGACGAGAGGGCATCGGTCTTGGTCTGCAGGGCCTGCAGGTCAGACAGCACGAGGCTGGCGACGCCGGCGCTCTCGACCTCGGGTTTCTATTTGCTCGGTTACTCGTAATCCCTTCCATCGGGTTGTGGTATGGTGGATGCCCGTGGGCGGCGGGAGGGAAACATACCTTGGCCACAATCGCGTCCAGCGAACCCTTGATATCCGGCTCCAGCCCCAGCAGCGCTTGGGTGACGCTGGTGCTGTCGCCGCTGGACAGCGCCGAGCTGGCCTGCGTGTCGCCCGTGGCCTTGTCGATGTCTGTCTCGAGCTGCTGCTCGAGCGCCTGCGTGGCCAGCGCTTGGCTCAGATCGCCTGTGAAGCCGTTGAAGGCTGCGGTGAGCTGCGCGATGTCGCCGGAGATCACGGTCAGGTCGCTGAGGATGGTGGCTGGGTTGCGGACCGCGAGGGTGCCGCAGTAGGCCACGTCCAGGAGGAGTGTGGCGAGCACGGCGGCAGTGAGTTTGAATTGCATTTTGGTTTGTGGGGACTGTGGTTTGAGAAACTGGTGGTTCTGGAATGGAATGGAATGGAATGGAATGGATGCTGAAGACTGATGGTTGAGAGTCCAATGCCGATGTTTGCTGGAATCGACGGCCTTTATATAGCTTCAGACTTTCAGATTGTCGAGAACCTCATGGGATCGTCAACGATGAAGGAGGGTCCTCGGTAGTGCCACCCCCCTCCTCTCCCTCCTCTCCTTCCCGCGTACAAGGTCAGTGATGGGAACACAAGATGCAGGCTGCAGAATCACATCTTGCCAAACACAGACATGCAGAATTGGATCTGCAGAACGAGAGGCTGGTCTTCACATGGTGAGAGAAGCATCGCCTAGGCAGTGACCCAGACTGATATTATATTTATTGCTCTCAAGCCCATCGTTCGACGTCTCCTTCCAATCAGCCCCGGTCTACCCCACACTTCCCTTCCCTTCCCTTCCCTCCCCGGGAGTAGTATTTTTGGCTTGAGCCATAAGGATGAAGGGCTATTGGTGGAGATTCTCTCCCAATTGCTGCCGGCCTGCCGCTATGGGCATCTTCGGTCTAGGCTCGGAGATGTAACCTCGTAGATTAAGTGAATCGGGAGCTAACCGATGAAGGATGAGGCATGAGGCATGAGCGCTTGGAGATGGGACTGTTCTGCGGCGCTAAAAAGGGGATACATCATACATGTTACGCTTTCCTTGCGGGAAACGGCAAAAACGTAGCAGCCCTCGTCTACCAAGTAGTCTGGCGAACTCCGAATGCGATTGCAGTCGAAGGATCCGCGTGCATGCGTGCATGCTGCGCTGCCTCGGATGAAGCACTTGTGGCAACTGGCCTGAATGTGACACGATAGTGCCATTCCGGCAGTGACACGAGCATCGGGTTGTACAGTGGAAGTGTGTGTGTGTGTGTGTGTGTCATGTAGGCACTGGGTTCGGTTGCTGGGTTGCTGGGAGGGGGTTCTAGAGACGCAATGGACCAGTGGAGCAACCCGCATAGTTCAATAGCATCTCTCTGTCGGAGCGTGGTGTATGCAGGGAACCGTTCTTCTACGTGAGGTGTTCGGGAAGATGTGTGTGCTTGTCCCAGGCAGGACTGGGAGACGGCATCAGATCTCGGCCTGAGATGTCACCTCCTATGGCCTCTAGTTCGTGTAGGCTTAACGTCAATTGCGCAGGCAATGCCCGAGTATGACTCGATAGTATCATTTTTGTTAAGCGTACCATCTGTGGGTTTAGGCCCAGATAGATCGTTATATGTCCAACCTGACTCCTTCCACGCACAGGAGCCATAGCACATCGAGAATACAACCTATCAATAGATGCAAGGGGAATTTGAGCTCAAAAAGGGGTCCTCGGCGATAGAATCAGCAGTATATCCTGGCCGGCAAGAAATGTACAAACGGAAATTTTGTCAAAGAACGAAAGAGAAAGAAAAAAAAAAAAAAAAAAAAGATCAGCAATATGGATTATGTACATTCACGACTTGACCGGGTGGCTGATCATACTCATCTCCCCCCTGGCCGCAGCTCCCAGCTCGTCCAGCTCGGTCCCCAGCCGCACCTGCGAGTGGATGAACGACCCCCGATCATCCTGCATGGGCTTGTAGTGCGTGTCCGGGCTCTTCGAGACGACCGCCCAGACGGACGCGACGATGACGAGCAGCATCAGCACGAGCGTCAGCGCGGCGTTGAGCACGAAATAACACACGCCCATCACGCCCGACACGATGCCCGGCTGGTCAAACACGCCGGAGAAGAAGAGGAGGAAGATGGCGTTGAGGAAGTTGAGGGCGGCAATGGCGATGTTGAAGGCGTTGGTGCGCTTGTCCATCCACGGCCGCATGACACTCACGCCGATGAGCATCAGGCCTTCCAGCACGAGCAGCGCGACCGTCTGCACGATCGGGGCCGACTGCGCCAGGCTGATGAACAGCGCCTTGACCAGCAGGTAGCCGATCGCGACCAGGACAAACTCGGCCGCCGTGGCGCGGTACTGCACGTACAGGAACCCCCAGCGGTTCAGGCAGGCGGCGTCGGCGTACAGCACGTACGCCGGATTGCGGTGCATCGAGGTGGATCGCTGCATCCGCAGGAGGATGCGCACGGCGGCCCAGCCCAGCGCGCCGAGGACGGTGGCGAACACGACGGCGGCGACGACGATCTCGGCGGGCGAGTCGTGCTGCGTCCACTCCCACAGGCAGAAGATGGACAGCGGCGCGAAGCCGACGAACATGAGCCGGTACAGGATCCCGCGCGCGACGACGTCCCATTCGGCGACGAACAGCGCCCAGCCGGGACTGGAGGCGATGCGCCCTTGCTTCGCCAACACGGTGCAGACCAGCTTCGTCGCCCCGACGACGACCAGCACGACCAGGGCGAAGAAGGTGAAGATGATGATGCTGGTCAGGAACAGGTTGGTCTGCTCGATGGCGGCCTTCAAGCCCACGCGGCTGATCCCGCGGACGATGACATTGCGCGGCGGGTCCGGGTCGGCCGACCGTTTCCGCAGCACGTTCACCGACGTGGTCGAGAGTTCCAAGAGCAGCATCGCCGGCGAGCCGCCCGTGGCGCGCTGGTACCAGGTGGCGATGTCCTGCACGACGTTCACGTGGATGACGCCCATGCTCCACTGGAAGTTCTGCGTCCAGGCCTGCACGATGGGCGGCATGTGCACGGCCAGCATGCCGAACATGGCCTGCGACTGCACCAGGCTGAAGAGCGCCAGGGTGTTCCCCGCCAGATGGGCGGCGGCATTCGAATGGCCCCGCGTGGAGGTCAGGGCGGAGGCGGCGAATCCGAGCCCCGAGATGACGGCGGTGGACCAGCCCACGCCGGCCTGGTAGACGGTGCGATCGTTGGAGAGGCGCGCCTCGACGCAGGTGATGCTCTGTTTGGTCTCGGTGGAGTTGATGTAGATGCGCACGGTGGCGTCGAGGTCGGGAACGGTGTAGGCGATGCCTGGCGACAATCAGTCAAGGTCCCCCGGGTGACTGAGCTTCGCGAGATATACCTGGGATCTGCTTGACGACATCCTCGCCGATGGCGATGGCGGAGGTGGGGAGATCAATGGGGCCGGCGCTCATGGGACAAAAGCCCTTCATCTTGTCGATCTTGCAGGGGTCGATGGTCTTCTTCGGGGTCGAATAGCCGTACACGCTGAGGATGAGGTCGGCGGTGACCAGACCGGAGATGGTGGCGACGCCATCGAAACTGAAGGCGAGGGTTCGGTTATCGGGGGTGAAGACGACATTGAAGTAGGTTGCGGTGAAGTTCTGGCTGTCCTGGCAGATGGTCAGGGCCTTGGATTCGATCAACCGAGTGGCGGAGACGGCGGCCAAGGCGAGGAAGCCGAGCAGGAGGGAGAATAGGAGATGCATCACCAAATGATGGGCGGCATGAGCGTGAAGGAACGATGGAGGGCAGTCAAGAGGGTTGCGTTTCCATGGAGCGAGAAGGGAACGAAGCGGACAGGCTGACCGGAAGAGGGCGCAGTCACCTGAATTATAATCCATTCTCATCTATTATATAACCGGACTGGATCGAGACTAGGCATTTCCGTGGAATTTTAGGAACTATCTAAATCATACTAATCCGCATGGTGAGACGGGAAGAACGGTCTGGTAGGCTGGCTTCTACGAAGTTCGAGACTAAGTGATCGAACTAGTTCCAGGGGCTAAAATGGGGGCACCGCACAGCCTCCGAGTCATTGTATTCTATAATTCGGGAAAGATGGATATGGATATGATGGATATTAATAGATGAGCGCCCTGCGTGGGAGTCCTCTGTGCACAGTAGTCTGTCCAGTACGTACGTTTCGAGACGGGATCGATCGACGTCTACACAGTACAGAGTAGATCAATCAACCAGATGAACGGAGTTGGATCTCTCTAACACGTATCTACAAGGCTTTTGGTCTATCCTCTACTCGGTACGGAGTATATAAAAAAAAGACTTCCATCGTTGGCAAGCACAACGGACCCATCCGGGCACGCACTTCTCACTCCGACCACGACCCGAAATCGGAGCATGGCAAATCAATAATGCTCTCGTTTCGGGCCATGGAGCATGATCGGTCACTCCCCCATCAGCCGCCCTTCTTCGCGTCCATCTCATCCTCCGGCCACAGCATCCGTCGGGTCACGACCGCCCAGACCGTCGCGCTGCCCACGCACAGCCAGGCCGTCACCTGGCAGATGGTCAGCCCCGAGGTCACCCAGAGGATGGCGGCCGATTGCAGCACTTGGCCCAGGCGGATGGTGGCGATCACAAACCCGGCGTTGGGGAAGACCATGCTCCAGTAGGCCAGGGAGATGGGCACCATCCCCCGGCCGCCGAAGACGCGGCACTGGGCCAGCACGCTGAGCACGGCGATGCTCAGGCAAAACGCCGCCATCGTCCACAGGAACACGGCCACGAACGCGGCGAGGATCAACACGATCTCGCCCGCGGGGACGGCGACCGGAGTCGTCGTCGTCGTCGTTGGCGGCGAATCCACCGAGGAGAGGATGTATCGCGCGGGGAACTGCTGGACGGCCGCCTGCGCCATGCCGATGAGCGCGAGCGCCGTGAAGCTCCAGGGGCCGACCGCGATGAACATCTGCAGTCGCTCCGCGCCGGTGGGGAGACCGTGCTTGTTCAGACGGTAAAAGTACTCGGCGTAGATGAACAGCGACATGAGGAAGCCGAACCCCTGCAGCGTAGTGCCGCCGAGGAGGATCGGGATGGCCTGGTCCCGCGGCTGATGGGGGGCGAGATCGGACGCGATGGTCCCGGACAGCATGGCGGGGAAGGACGGGAACAGTCGCACGAGCGCAAAGGGCTCCCGGCTGGCCATGCGGATATGGTACAGGTACCAGTTCTGGACGACGGCCTCGACGAGCGCGCCGGCCACGTAGATCCAGAAGACGACGCGCAGGGCCGTCTGCAGCCAGGGCCCACAGGCGTCGGTACCGTAGTTCTCCGCGCCGATGATGATGGTGGCCAGCGCCAGCGGACCGGTGGCCACAAAGGGTCCCTCCTTGGGATCCTGGACGGACTGGGTCAGGGCGGCGGACCGGGACGCGAACCGGAAGAGCAGGCAGCCAGTGACGGCCGCGAAAATGACGAGATTGAGGAGGAAGATGATCCGCCCGATGATGTCGAGTCCGGTGAATTGATGGGGGGTGGTAGAGAGCAGGATGGCGACGCCTCCGGTCGCCATCGAGACGGAATACCAGCCCCAGGTCACTCGGCAGAGCCGGTCGGCAAGAGAGACTTTCATGGGGAATTCGGATGGATCTCTCATCGTGTCGGGGATGCTATCAACCGCATTCCGAACGGCTTGTGCAATTTATACTCGGGCTAATCCTGGAGTCAACCTCAGTTGGTGGGCTGATCGGTGGTCTGGATGAATCTTGTGGACTGACATCAACTGTGATGATTTATATCCCCGTCTGCGTGGTTACTGGATAGTCTCAATGGATCAGGGAAAACAGGATAGAGAGAGAGAGAGAGATGAGAGGCAGGAGATAAGAATCGGTTGGGCAGAGCGTTAGTGTGGTGGATTCATGGTTAATAGTGTCAGATATATATCATGCCACTGTGCCTTTGTGTATCAACGGTTGTAGATGAGGATATGGATATGGATATATGCTAGAGGATAGATGATAGAGGACTAGAGGACTATATGACCATATGACTATATGAATATGGTATGGATACAGTGATATTTAAGAGAATATTCTATAGAAACAAATATATCAGGGCTATTCTTGATACACTTTATCTCCCCGAAGATCATCCAAAGCCTCTGTGGTGTAGTTGGTTATCACGTGAGTCTCATACAACCGAATATGATCAGAAGATTCACTTCTGAGACATCTCAAGGTCGGGAGTTCGATCCTCCCCGGAGGCATTTTTTATTTCTTTTGGAGCACTCAGACTAGACCTAGGAGCCAGGACCCTAGTCTGCCGAGGCTCGTCCTGACTTCGTGACCGACTTGGCAGAGCTTGTATGGAGGATCGGTGGATTCTTCACTGATGAGTTAGCAGTGACTTGGTAGTTGGTACAGACTCAGCTGAGCTGTAGTCATCACCATATTTGCTCCATCCATGAGAACAAGAAGAGGAGGCTCAATGGGTTGCTGCTGGACTGCGATTACTGCATGATGACTTCAACTCGGGCAAATTTTCTTCTCCATTCGGCTGCCTTTTTCGGTCTAGTCCTATCAATCGGTTTATTGCATTCTGATTGGCTGGAAATGATATGCCACGATCTCCTGTTTTCAATCAAGCCTTCTGGAAGAGAGGAGAAGCGATCACCGGTTAATTTTGAAGCTATACCGAGGTTCTTTCGCTTGGCTAGAAGAGATCTAGGAGAAGCTAGATACACGACTGAAGGAAAACAAGAAAATATATCTATACGATGGAAGAGCATAACCCTGTAGTCTAGTCCCGATCGAGGCCCTCATTTCTGGTCCTGGATGATGATCCGCATATAACTGAAAGCAAAGTTAGCCTCGTCCCACGTCTCCTGATGGTCCACCTACATGCTCATGCCCACCAGCGCAAGGCCAATGCCAACAATGCTCTCCACATACACCGGCTGGGTGCTGAATGCCCACCCCAGTCCAACAATGATGCACGTCTTGAGCTGGCCAACCACCGTACCGCTGATCGGGCCGGCCAGGTCGATGATATAAAACTGCGAGAGATTGACCAGCGAGGCCAGGATGCCGCTCTACGGGCTGTCAGCAACCTTCCCAGAAAGAAAAGGGGAGAATAGGCAGACCGTCAGAATCAGAATCCACATCGAGGCCGGAACGGCTCCCAGAGGAGGCGTCTGGGTCCAGGGCACGGCGAGCAGCAGCAGCCCCGTGCTGATGGGTGCCTGGTTGAGCAGTAACTGCATGCTGTTCAGATGCAGCTTCTTATGGTATCGTCCAATCCACACCATGTAGATCGAGCTGGCAACGACCCCGCCAAGCGCAAAGACCGTGCCCCAGGAGGAGTTGCTTGCGCTGCCGGAGGTCGCAGCGCTGCTGTCGGCCGTTGCCCCCAGAGTATCATAGTACGAGACGATCGCCACACCGGAGCACAGCAGAATCAGGGGCGAGATGGCCGTCCGCGGGATTGTCGTGCTGTAGAGCATGTAGTTCAACAACGCGACCACGGGGGTGAGGAGCAATCTCGCCAGCTGGTGGAACAGGATGGACGAATAGGCGAGGGAGAGGTTCTGTAGGATGACCTGGACACACATTGCGGCGGCCAAGGGGATGATCGACAGCAGAGGCACCGGCTTCGGCACGAAGACGCCCAACTGGGGGCGAGAAATCGCCCATAGCGTGGCTCCCGTGATAAAGAAATGATAGGCCGCAAACGCAACCTGGCAGTTGCGGAATGAGGCATCGGATAAGATGTACTTGTTGGTGAAGACCTGGCTGCGTTAGAGGGACGGATTCACCAGGACTGGACGACACCTACTATGGCAACAGTCGAGGCCACGTTGATTACCGTCCAGATGATGAATCGAAGGCCCGGAATCGCCCTATCCTTGCCTTTCTCGTCATCCTGGATCCCGGCATGTTTCTCTCGGTCTTCGATCTCGGGGAATTCGGTATGGCTGGACGAGGAGAGATCGGCATCGTAGTCGGACAGAGAAGAGCTGACTGGCCGAACGACTGGCTCCGGGAGCTTTTCAGATAGAGTTGATGAGTAGGACATGTTGGCCTTGCACCGAGATTAGGATCAAAGTAGAGGGCCTGCCCACAGGACTATAAGGGAGTGCACCCACGGTGAAACCATGGCTTCGACTGCTCAGCTCAGAGGGTGGAGCGATGATACATCAGAGATCTCTGAGGCAGAATGGCACAGTATGACCATAGTTAGTTCAGCTGGCACTTGAAAAAGAATGATTTGTAGACCCAGACTTGGTCCTTGTTGGATCAGGCCAGGTTCGCATGCGGAAGGGTTGCAGCGCTGGACGTTGGTAGAAGTAACCTCAGGTTGCATTATTTGTCTAAAAATCACTATTATGGGATTCTCGCTCTAAACATGGAGTACTCATGGCAAAAATAATTGAAAAAAAAGGTACCGATCTTTTACAACTGGGCAACATGGCCTCAATGCATACTGAATAACCCTACTGCTCTGGATACGCAACCCGAAATCCCTGTGGATACTTGAATCCCTCCAAATCCATCAGGTCCGGCGACCATGGCGAATGGTCATCCTGCCACTGCGAGAGAGCCGTCTTCGACCCCGCAAGAAGTCGATGGAGATTGAGCTTGGTGCTATACACCAGATCCCACGCCTCGCTGGGATGCCAGTTGTCCTCGCCGTAAGTCTCAATGTCCGAGTCCTTGAACGAGGATCCGGCCCGTCGATGCGTCCCGATCAAGTTCGGATGCGGCGCGTAGCACTGGATTTGCGGTCGATTCTTGCCCCCGCACATGTCTCCCAAGGCATTGTCCACCGCGATGTCCAGATGGTCCACCGACAACGAGGCCAGAATCTTCCGGGCGCCCTCGTAGGTCACCGCGTACCCGTATAGACAGCAGCCGGTATTTGCCCGGTAGACATAGCGCGTGGACTCCTCGGGGAGCTGGGGATATCGCTCCTTCCACTCATCCAGCGGCCCTCGACGGTCGACCCAGTAGCTGCGATGTTTCATGCTGGGAACGGTGGGATCGTTGGGAATCGCGAAGAACTCGGTCTCGTTGAACCCGGCCGCCGTGGAGCAGCCGCCGACCCAGAGAAGATCCCAGTCGGTGCCGTAGGGAGCCCTTTTGGAGGCGGTCCGGGTGCGCGAGAGGGTTTGGAGACCGTGGGCAAACTCGCGCAACTGCTGCTTGAGCGAGATATCCCAGTCCGCATCGTCTTCCATAATCAGGGCCGTTGTGTGCCGATTTTCCACGACCCTGAAAGGCGTTAGCGCCCGTCTGTGGCGATAGTTAGTTGAGACACGTACGTGCGAAGGGCATTCATGTGGGCGCGCCAACAGGCTGCCGCGGTTGGTTTGACAATGGTCAAGTTCATTCCCTATGCATTCGACTTAGAGAATAACCAAGAAAGTTGAGCATAGTGGACATACTTCGGGAAGCGCTTTGGGATGAATCTCGTCCGGCTTAACTCCCTCCAACCAGTCAATCTGGAACCCGACGAGAGAAGCAGCCAGCGCGAGGAAATCGCGCTTGTCCGTCCGCTCTTTGAGGCCGATGGCATAGACACGTTCAAACTGACCATGTTAGAAGGGGCCCGTGGACAGATTTTCCGGTACATACACCAAGCGTCTCATTCTGAATAGCGTCAAAGGTCGAATCATCGGTCAAGCGACGATGTCCCCCCCGGATCATCTGTCGAGTCGTCGTGTAGTTGAACCCATTGTTAATCAAAGCATTGAGGATGAGGATGCTGCACAGGAACCCGGCGATGATCTTGATGACCTTGGAGTTCCACAGCGCCATGGCGACCGCCATGAAGCAGAGACCAGATGATCTGATCTACGAAGGTGATGGTCGAGGAATGTCAGTCCCAGGAGTTGGATGAAGCTGAAACTGAGATGTGCAAGTTGTCATGGTCCTACTGGACGGGCGTACCCATCTTCAATGATCGCCATGAGGATGACAATGGATATTATCCATAAATGCTGGTACCAAGCGATTGGGGTCTCCTGTCCGTTTTCAGCACGCCGTCTTGGTGGACGGTGTTGGGCATCCGAAGTGACCATATCATGACGAGCATTCCGACAGTGGGTCGCAGTCATAAGTATCCGCATTGGGGAGTCGAGGCCGCTCGGGTAGTCATCGATACTACGGCAGGAGTACAGGCATCTGCGTTCAATCGATCAATCCATGCCATGATGAAGCTGCCAACAATCGCAGTCTGTCAAGAGAAGATCGTCGGAGGGAGGAACCTCAGGCACCAGTGTGTCCTCAGGCACCAGTGTATCCGAATCAGGAATGTGGATACCATGTATGAATGTATTGAAAAAAATGGCCAATCAGCATATGTATTATTGTATTGAGCTGTCACGATGGAAAGGTCCAATGGAAGTCAGGTGATCGAGTCTCAGTCTGTCTGGAGTCTCTAGCTTCAATGTACTCTCATGTCTCTCTCCTCAGCTTTACTCTCAGATAGAACCACCCCCCAACCCCCAGCTAAACACGTTCAATCGTGTCAGAATTTCTCTATGTCCCACGGTGATTGATCTCCGCTGAATTCGCTCCGGTCGCGTCGCACAAACTGTCCATATCCCTTCTGTCCCACAATGCCTCCGTTGTCCCGATCCCAGACCACCTCTCCTCGCAGCAGCGTATACCGCGGCCATTGCGTGATCGTCGTGCCCTCGAATGGGGTGTAGTCGACATTGTGATGCAGCATGTCGTTGGTGATGGGGAACGGGTCTAGGGAAGGGTACCAGATGGTCAGGTCCGCGTCCGAGATGCCCGGGATCAACGCGCCCTTCCGGGGATAGAGTCCATATAGCTTCGCAGGGTTGGTGCTGGTGACCTCGACGAACTTCTGCGGCGTCAATCGGTTCGCGCTCAAAACCAGCGGCAGTCGTGTTTCCACTCCGGCACATCCGTTGGGGATGTAGCGGAAGCGTCCGACGGGTGCATCTGCGCTGATTGCGGCCTTCTTCCCGTTGACCGCATCGTCGTACACGAACGGACAGTGGTCGGAGGAGAGGATGGTGAACGTGCCGTTCTGCAGCCCGCGCCAGATCCCCTCGAGATCCGCCTCCCCGTCGCGCGGGGGAGGCGAACACACGCACTTGGCGCCTTCGAATCCCGGTTTGTCGAGCTCAGCGCGGGTGAGGAACAGATATTGCGGACAGGTTTCCGCGTACACGGGCAGCCCGTTTGTTTGCGCCTGGCGAATGATCTCCGCGGCCGATGGGGACGACACATGGACAATCAAGATCGGGGTTTGGATGAGCTGGCCCAGGGCGATGGCGCGATTGGTCGCTTCGCTTTCGAGGATCTGCGGGCGCGAGGTGGCGTGGTACTTGGGGGCGAGCAGCTGTCGCCGCTCCAGCTGTTCCGTCATCCAGCTGAGCACGTCCCCGTTCTCTGCATGGATCATGGTCGTGATGCCGTCGGTGCGCGACTGGAGCAGCACATCCAGGATCTGATTGTCGCGTAGCTGCAGCGCTTCGTAGGTCATGTAGATCTTCACCGAGGAGATGCCGCGCTGCCGCAGGATGGCGAATTCGTCGAGGGCCTGGCGGGTGGGATTGCCGACCAGCAGATGGAAGGAGTAGTCGCAGTATGTGTTGTTCTCGGCTTTCTTCTCTGCCTCATCCAAGGCGCCCAGCAGCGACGGCGCCGACTTGTCTTGCGGGGCAAAGGCAATGATGGTGGTTGTGCCTCCCGCGATGGCCGACCGTGTTCCTGTCTCGGCAGTCAGTCAACTTGGCCGTCATCATTGTTGTTTGACAAAGACCAGACGAACCGGTGGTGTAGTCGTCGGCCGTCCTGCCTTTGCCGAAGAGCGGTGGTTCCGCGAGATGGACATGAGCATCCACGCCTCCAGGCTATTCTCTAGTTAGTCTGGCGATTGTAGACGGCGTGCAACTTGATTTGCAACGTGATTTTAGTTTACCATCACATATGCTCCCTCCGCATCGATGACCCGAGCAGCGGGAGTAGTGGCCAGTGCCTGCGCTGGTGCCAACAGCGCAACCTTCCCATCCTTGATGCCGATATCATACCGTCCAATATCAGCAGCCGTGACCACGGTGCCATTGAGGATGATGCAGTCCAGCGGGCCTTGTAGTAATGTCATATTGGGCTTGGAGATCAATGAGATATTCTTCCAGTGAAGGGCATTCCGCTTCTATATCAATCAATCCCTTGAGTATCTCGATATCTTAAAGCTGATATGGCTTATCTTTATCTTCGTCTGGGGAGATTTGTATTATCTGTGTCTTATTCCACTATCAAATGAAAAGAAGATAATGATGATAAGACGCTTGGCTTTATGGCTCTATGGCGTAGGGAGTAGATAGGCAGTAGAGAGAGGGAGGATATGAAGTTATTCTGATGCACCAGGTCAGGTCACTATGACGGGCACAGCACTGTGAGGCTTTGGTTCTCAGAATGAGCAGAGAAGTTCATACAATTTATCATGGATTGTTCCGGCCTGTTTTTGAAGAGCAATCAATCAATCAATCAATCAATCAATATAGATCTAGATGATGCTCAGACTAACCGTCTGTCAGCCACCGAGCTGGACCACAAGCGTAGCACAGACACCAGACCAGACACGCCATGGGTTAACCACCTTCTTTCTCCAGTTAGACTGCGGGGAGAGACATTTTCCATGGGGTTCTGACCAGTATCTTGTATCTGCTGGCGATTTTACCCCCAAGGATCTGCGTTCTCCAGAATATCTCCTGGTTTGGCTAATCCTCCTGCTCCCATCAGACTCGATGAGTTGAGGCTACAAGGCACCGGAGGAATCGATTGACGCGAATATCAGCATTGCACATTGTTCTTGAGTAATTGATCTCACTGAAGCATCCCCGAGAGACGCCCGGTGCATCAATCATGGTGTCCATGGGCTATACCACGGCCATCCAGCTACTCCCTCCTCCGCAAAATCCACCACGATGGCGATATCAGACACTTCATATTGAGATCCCGAGCTAATCTCAACATGATTCAGTGCTTCATTCGTTGGCGAAGCTGAAGAATCATAGAATGACCATTCACTGACCCCGTTTTCACAGATGAGCTCCAGTCAAGCCTTGACGGATCCTCTTGGCCATCTTCAGCCTGCTCTCTTGACTCTTTTATATGATTACCATCCACATAGATCATGGATTGGCCCTTGCCATGTGCTAGAGCCACTTGACACCTGCTAGGAAACACCAGTCTGGGGTGCATTCTTGTCTGTAGTACGAGATTGCACCACTCCGACTCCTTGCATATTTACCCCCTTCCCCTTTGTTTCTTGGTGATCTGTTCTTCCATTCTTCTTCCATTGATCTTTGATCTATATTTGGCTCAACCAGCGAGTGTGGCCCTCGACGGGGTTGATCCTCGTCTGCATGAAAACGAGCGTGATACGCTCGATGCCATTGACCACGGAGTGGACACGGCTATCCGTCCTCAGCACCGAAAACTGCACGATCCGAATGTCACTTTTAAAGAGTACTACTACTACGCTTAGCTGACCCGTCCAAATCCGACGGAGGCGTCCAGCAGGTCACCAGCAATGTGGCTAAGGATGCAACAGCCCTCAACACTAGCGATCAGGCTATTCGACTGACCATCACCGACGAGGAATGGACCAATGCATCGCAGGCGCTGCGGACGGCCACCCGCGGTGCGGTCTTCTACCTCATCACCACCGACATTCTTGGTCCCTTTGGTCTGGGATATGCCTTTGCGACCATGGGATGGGGGTAAGCCGTGCTGGTACTGCCCAGTGGACTTTGACATATTGATGTATGTAGACCCGGAATTGCCCTGTATACCGTCTTTGGGGCCCTCGCGGGATACTCTGGATACCTGGTCTGGGATATCTTCATGGGCCTCGACTCGTACCAGTTCCCCATCCGCAGTTTTGGAGACATGGCCTCCCGTCTGTACGGCCCCTGGGTGCGATACCTGCTCAATATGCTGCAGAGCATTCAGCTGCTGCTGAACGTCGGATTGATCGTCATCTCCAACGGCCAGGCCTTGTACCGGACCAAGCTATGTTTCATCATCTGCTGCCTGGTGTGGGCACTACTGGGCTTCTTCCTTGGCCTCGGCCGGCGGCTGGATTAGGGGCGTATGCAACCATTGACAATCTGATCCCAAAGTTGAGTAGCGGTGCTACGACTTCATATTCATGCACTATTGCCATCTGATTCCTGTGCTCTGTGAAGTCGATGAGACGTGGAAGCTTCTTCCCATGGTGACACATATGTCTCGACCAAAGCAACCTCTTTGTTGAAACATATTAGATACAATCAAAAGTTACCAACGGATCACGTCCTCTCCCAGCTTGACTCCTTCTCGAAAATACTCTATCTTCCCCTGCCGTCCCTCGCAGAAGCGACCGGCGACGGTAGTCACCCGTGCCGATACAGGTAGATCGGCCGCTTCATATACCATACCATGCTCGATTCCCGCGGCTTCTTCCTCCATGCGCACGATTTTCTCCGCCAGAGCAGCAAACACGGCCGAGTCCCAGACTCCTTCCCGGCGCCGACTGCGTTTCATGAGATCGATCGCGCGGCGCCGGAGTTGGGATTGTCGACAGGATGTAGCCACCAGCCAGAGAAGGGGGACCATGCCGAGGGAGACGACAAAGGAGACTGATGCAGGTGGCGGAGGCTGTGGTTTGGGGAGAATGGTCGCAAATGTCCCGGATTGCTGGCTGGAGGGCAATTCGTGCTGGATCGGACGCTGTGAGTAGCAAGCCCCCAGAGTTGAGTCAATGATCTTCTCGGATATGGATACGATGGCCCCAAACTCCGTGCAGAAGTCGTCCCAAGATGAATCGGATATCGGTGCCTCCATGCGCAGGAGGATGTCCATCGCGATGCGCCATAGCTGGAGGTAAAGGATAGTTCTCTGACGCCCGAGGTCGGAGCCTTTGGTAGAATGAACCATCAGGTATCGGTCGAAAGTCCCTGACCAGGCATTGATGTCTCCCTTGACTTGGTCGTAGTGGGCTTGGATGCGGTGCAGGTCAGAAGCGAGTTCAGGATCCACACGAGTCTCATCCAGACTGACGGGCATGGATGATAGGTAGAGGAACTTGAGGCATTGATTGTATATAGATTCAAAGGAATCGCTGATCTCTTCCAGTGTGCACGGCGTATCCGCCAGCGCTGGACACGGTAGCCGGGGTGGGGATAGAAGCGTCAACTGCACCGAGGCCGGGATGTACATCTCCCAATCGATTTCGAGCATCTGATTTTCGATCGTCATGAACATGGACCGAATGGCAACCGGAGGCCAATCTACCGCGACTCCCTTGGCCTGACCTTGATATTCCAGGTGCTTCAGGATACGCAGCCCTGCGATTCCATGTTGGATGGCGTTGTTGAAGTGCCCCTGCAGACTCTCAAAGCAGTAGAAGAGGGCGCACATGATCAAGACCGCATCGTTTCGCTGTTCAGCGGCACCAGGGAGCATTTTCAGGGCCTGGTGGATGGCCGCGTTGTACTGTTTCAATGCATAGCGGGTATTTTCCGGGGTCAGAGCGACAAACCCGCCCGTCTCACTCACAAAAGTGCGATGCAACGAGCCCAAAGCCGTGGCAGCCAGACGCACACTGGCATCGCCATAAGCCGCGTGGCGTAGAAAGTCACTGGCCCTAGTTCCGAAGCAGGAGACGGTGCAGAAATGGAAGAATTCCAGAGCGCGATAATCGCCCTGAGTCATGGACTCTTGGAAAAATGGTAATTTGGGCAAGATGACTGGCTGGGAGACGCAGGATGTGTACTGAACGATATGCAATCCGGCAGTCTGGAGGCGATTCCTGGATTGGGGCGAGTAGCCATCGCATTTGCGGCCAGTGGATCGACATCGACGACAGCTGGGATGCTCCTCATCGCATTTAACGCGTCGAAGCCTAAGCCACTTCTAATGAATAACCAGTTGAAGAAACTCTCTACGCCGGTTGGACTCACTTGCAAGTCAGGCACCCGTTTCGCGAGCGGCTGGTTCCTGTTCGTTGTGGCATGTCTCTTCGGTTATTCTGGATACTTCCTCTGCGAGGATTAATGAGACCAGTTAGGAGATTTCACCCCTCAATCGATTTGAATCATATGGAGCTACAATGTAGAATACAGCTGCCTTGTCTGTAACTGCGTGCGAAGTCAGAAACCAGGCGATATCGACTTGTCCCGGTGAGGCTAGCGTATACGAGGGCGCCATTCAGAATGCCTAATGGACGGCAGACGTGTCGTGCCGCTTAATTCTATTCATAAGGTTCGTTGAACGGGCGCCAAGGCTGAGATACACTGTCCTAAGAGTGTGAATATGCTAGAAAGACCAGAAAGTTCAATGATTGGGTGGCTCGGTTGGCAATTGCAGAGGATCTACGGGCAGGTTTGAAGATATTTGCTTGAAGGTAGTCATGGTTAGGATCATAGATGGCGCAGTTCATTCTCTATTGTCTTATTTTGCTGCCTGACAAGAGATCATCCTGGGATTCTTCGGGATATATGAAGAACCAGGTCACTCCTACAGCATGGTCTTGCCTACCACTATCCTCCCAGTCAGTTGTTATGATCCATCATGAGTGCTACAACACGATCACCGACTGCCACGCATACGCAGCTCCCCACGGAGACCTGTACTCATCCAAAGCCAGGAAAAAATGGCTATCTACCGCCCGAGGCCTGCGACGCCATCTTATTCTATGAGCCCTCGTTTGCGGCGGCGGTCTTGTTCACTGCCCTGTTCGGCTTGACGGTCATTGTTCATATCATCCAAGCAACCGTATATAAGAAAGTAGGGTCCCTGCGGCAACTTCATCGAGCGTGACTGACAGATCCACCAGACCTATGCTTGGGTTATCATCATGGGAGCAAGCTGGGAGTTGCTTGCCTTTGTCTTTCGAGTACTCCAGACACGTTATCAGAACGAGGACGCATACGCCTCGGCTCATACCATTTTGTATCTCCTGGCGCCATTGTGTATGTGTCACTGGATACTACCAGACTGGAAACGGGATCTATTCATGCTAATTAACTACTGCAGGGATCAACGCCTTTGTCTACATGACCCTGGGCCGTCTGATCCATTTCCTCATCCCGGATAAACGACTTGGCGGCATTTCAGCGAAGAGATACGGATTGGTATTCGTCTGGCTGGATGTCCTGGCATTTCTCGTCCAGCTGGGAGGCGCCGCCATCAGCTCACTGAGCGACACGGACCCTAGCATTATTATGCTCGGCATCCATATCTATATGGGTGGAATCGGCCTGCAGGAATTGTTTGTCGTGATCTTTGGCGGCCTTACCATCCACCTGCACCGACGGATGATCAAAATGGAGAAAGTCGGGGAATTGGACATGGAGAAAGCAACTCGAGGCTCTGTTGCCTGGCGCTGGCTTTTTCGAGCGATATACGCTGTCCTAGGTCTGATCACAGTAGGTCCATTGTCGTACGGAAGAATTGACGGAATGAAGACTAATCAGAGACAGGTTCGCATCATCTTTCGTCTGGCCCAGTTCGCTCGAGGCGCTGATGCCAACAATCCTGTCCTGACCCATGAAGCCTACGAGTATGTACTCGACGCAGTACCCATGTTTCTGGCGCTGGCCCTACTTAACATCGTTCATCCGGGACGGGTCTTGCGAGGACCGGACTCGGAGTTTCCCCGTATCAGCCGGCAGGAGAAGAAGCGACTGAAGCAGGAGAAAAAGACAGCCAAAAAGGCCGAACGAGCTCAAAAGAAGGATCCCAAAGGGGGGATGCATGGAGACTTTGACGCGCTTCCTAGTCGAGAAGAGAGTTATAGCCTCAGATCTTCCATCGGGCGATAACATAGCGACTGTTTCATTTAAGAGATTGTATAGAGAGATTCACTTTCATATTGAATTCACTCGAAGTATACCAGTCTTGACATTCACCCATCATTATGACCCTGTAAATGTGTTACTTCTAGGCACCCACCCTCTCCTCCAACCCTCCTCTTTATCCCATTCCTGTTCGCTGATCTCCCAGTGCACAGCTGCGGCCAGAATTATTTGGTTACACTGACAAGAAGGAGGATGAATCTGCCAGGGAGCGCGGCGACTGACCACTTTCTTGAGGAGGTCCTACTTTTAGAGGGAGTCGACGACATCGGGCATGGACCTCGCTTATTGACCATTGCACCCAACCAGCTGGCCCAGGGTGGCCTTATGCAAAAGGCCACATCAACCGTATCATGATGTCGCGTGTCTACGGAGAAAATCTGGCTGCGATTTATGAGGATTTGACCAACGAGGAAATGGAAAGCATCAGAAGGCAGCTAGCACAGATTCTGAAGTATCACTCCTTGAATCTGGGCACCTAAGGTGACATTGCTACTCCATCCCTCTTCTCACAGGCACATGCGAAGCGAGGGTTTTCTTTGTCCCAGCAAAGTCCTCACTTCCTTCGATATAACAGAGGGGACGACAAGCTGTAAGAGGGACTCATTCGCAGGAACTCATTCGCAAGTCGCTTGCCCTGACTAACGACTGTTAGATGCATAGTGGACTATACCACGGGAATGGCCGCATACAGTCCGATTGACGCCTTCTGGGGCAAAACCACCGCAAAGGCCAAGTTCATTTTTGACCTTCGGGATATATGGATAGCCATTTGCTGACATTCCAAGTTTCTGTGAAGAGGTAAATGAGAATCATACCCAACTCCTCGAAATCTGCCCTGATTCATTCGATCTATGATTTAGGACTATGTCGTGAGTAACCTGGTTTATGGTATGCAACAAGGCAGATACGCTCTTATACGCTATGCTCTAACAAAAGAGTAGTGTTCTACGCAATCCATGGACTTCGCAAGCTGCGACAGCCACCAAACACTTCTCCCTTCTGAACTGTTCCATACTGGGGGTTGATGGCGGTTGGCATATGCTCTGCTGGATTCCACACTAGCATCAAGTATCACACGCAGATGTGTAAGTGTCGTTATATCCTTGTCTGCTCGGATAATCTACCTGACCAATTTGCGGGGTGGTGAGATTTGGAGCTGGTACGGAGTACTATCCACACGACTAAACGGCATTTTTCTCACAGCTAATCTCTTGCGATCAGTCGTCTTCAACATCGGATGGTGGTTCTGGCTGATTGATAGATGGGCCTGTGGCTTCCTACGAAGCCTACGCCAGAGGATCGGTCTACCCTGGGCGTTTCTGTTGGAATTCCACGGGTGGTATGTTCTTCAAAGCTCAGGTTTCTGCTCTTGTTCTCTACGGTAAGCAGACAGATTGACCACAGACAGGTGGTATCTTTGTACAGGAATTGGTGCATATATCTTCATTGATGTGATTGACTGTCTCGTATCTGGCGAGGTGTACAAGAGCATATCCGACTCCTTTGTCTGGCTGGGGCCATGGGCCGGCCGGTCTATTTTTGCAGGAAGAGCGTCTATGTTGACTGTAGAGGGCAGCAGAAAAGACGAATGACCATATCCTCCTCACGACGAGTTGACAGAATAGCTTGGTGAATATAGCAGTGCCAGATACTCAAATACAAAGCAGGAATGCAAGATCGCTTCATCAAGTCTTATTCTAAGACAAAAACAGCATAATCCGTGTATTAGCAATCACACAGACCAAGAAGCAAAGGCGTACCATTATTCGGATAAAAGAATTGGCTGATCAACAGACGTCAAGTCGTCCAGGAGCAACTGTTCCAAACGTGCCACGATTTCCTCCCGAGACCAGTCCTTCACCTGGGGCCCAAACTCGTAACTCGCCAGTCGCTGTAGATGGATGAGACACAGATTCGACCAGGATATGCTTTCCGCCCATCGAATGAGTCCCATCCATAACGGACGGGTCATATCAGGTACCTGAACTGACGTTAAAACCATCAGGGGAAGGCAGATGGGTGAGCACAGGCAGCTCGGCTGTGTTGGTGGTGAGGGGAGGCGGAGATAAGGATCTATAGACAGAGCACCGTATGGAGTCACCAGGTGGGATTCGTAGCTTTCCGTCGAGCTACTTGGGGAGACGGGGAAGCAGGGTGCAAACGGATCATCGACCAGCGAAACCGGTGTGAAGGACGCCTTTAATCTTCGGCGAATCGAAAGCCTACCGTTACCTATTGCAAGTCAGCGGCCTCGAAATTACAAATGACCGTGCTACACTCCCTGAATGGTACATGCCTTCTCTGGCGGCCAGGTCATCCAGCACGCGCTGAACATCGCTAGCGATCAGGGAATTCTGGTGCCGGGACTGATGCGGCCGATTCTTCACGCTTGCTGCCAGCAGCATCGCAGCCTCTTCCCGGCCCTTCTTCCTGCTCAACACCCCGAGCAGAAACAAGAGATGCTTACTCCACGAGTCTGGTATCATCTCCCTGGGCAGAACGTGCACAATGGGGACTTTCCAATTGCGCTCGATCAAACCTATACTGCTGGCTTTGGCTCGGTCCGAACGCTTGAATCGCGCAATAATGGGACTGATGGTATCTCGATAGCTGACCAGTTGACGATACTGCTCCAACGAGTCATACTTGAACGACCAGAGATTGTTCCCGCAAATGTGTGTCCACGCAGCATAGATGAGCTCGGCAAATCGCTGATTCATGGTAGAGCCAGCCGTCAGGATCTCTGTGAGCAGTTCGAGCCGCTCCAGATCGGGCATCCCCCTTAGCTGCTCCTCCAGTGCTTGTTTCACGTCCAAAGAAGGATTATCGTTGATGGTCTGCTGCAGAACCTCCATGGTTTAGGTGGGAGGGGAGGAGGGGGGTGGCTAAAATCTTTTCACTCCAGAAAAAAAAAAAGAAAAAGGAAAATCGAGTAAATTAGGGAGTGCTGCTAGGATCATCTGTCAAGAGAAGATGTCTCTGTTTGAATCTCCCCTTATAGCCCTGCGATCGGTTGTATCGGCCACATGATCCCAGCGTCATTGGCCAGAGTGAAGGTTTCGTGCCAAACTCTCCATCGTAAAGCCTGCATAGAGCCGCCGACGTAGCAATAGGGATCTCGCCAAGAATAGATCGATGAGATCAGAAGCGAGGATCTATTCTAGATCGACCTGCCATATTGGGGACTGTGCAGATATGCCTGGTTATCTAGGTTTGTCGGACTGGTGTAATCCTCCCGAAGAATCCCATGTCTGTGGCTCTGCAGAACGGCACGATTCCTCTTCGCCGATAGCCAACTCTCAATGGGAACGATACCGAGGACAATGGCGACGATAGTGGCAAGGCTTGCAGATCGTGGGCAGCACAACTGGGGCGGGCAGTATGTCATTCACCACCTGGCCCTCTACCTTGACAAGTCAATTCCCCTGGGGGCCTTGCTCACCACTAGATATGACGTTGGTATGGTAGTCGAGCGTGATATCTGGGCGATGACGTTGATTTTCTTCTCTTTCATTTTCTTTCGTTTTCTTTCTGGCTGTCTATAGTAGGGTTATTCGCCGGTGTCGTTCCTTGAACGGGGATACCTTCAAGATCCGTCGGCTAAAATCATTACCATGACACTGGACGATGAACAATGATCTCAGCGCGAGACTCTGTCCGTGCGGCGTCCCAACATACCACTCTGTGTCGCACAACACACTATGCTTGGAACTTATCATCGAGAGTGTCATCTACAACGCATGGTGCTCTCTGGATTAGCAGGAACCACGTCTGTCCTCTGGCAGTGGAGTCTCAGGAGGGGTTGAGCTGTCGAGCTGATGACCTTGGCAATCGAGGGAAAGAAAGGCAGTCTGCAGGACCATAGAACCTGTACCGTTCTCCTGGAGGGGTTACACGACATCAAGCTGGGGGCGAAATGAAGAAACCGAGAACACCAGACGTCGCAATGTTGTCACCCATCTGATCGGTGTTGTACCACCATGAACGCCCTTGCCGCCGAGGGGTAGCGGCACTCACAATGCTCAGACTGACCCTCCATTGGAGCTCGATGCAGTATCTCGACCAGAACCTCCCCCCCCCAAGTTCATCCCGGCGGAGATGACGCTTCTTCAACCTGTGGCTTGGGTGACACAGACATAGCCCGAAGATGATTGGTATGATTGCCGTTCAAAGCCTATATGGTCTGCCTGATGTAAGGATATGCTAGTCACGTCGGACGGAGCTACTGAACAAAGGGCCATTTCACAGATTCATCATCAGCAGGGCTGTTTAAGCCACCAGCACAGAAGATACTTCAACAGCGTCCTGACTATCAACCAACCCTCTGGAAGATCAGACTTTCTGCCGTCGCTAACCGTTGGCTCCCTGGGCTCCCAAGGACTTTAACTCTCATGGCATGACTGGAATCCTGCTTCAGAATCAGCAAGGGTTCACCATTCCCACGATCGTCATCCTCCTGCAAGCAGATATGATAGATTAGATCAGGTATCTTTACATACTCCGGGAGCTTGAGATGAAGATAAGTATGCGAAGATTTCTGCGCTCCCCCTGACTTTTCTCAAAATCTATTCCTACCCAAGAACCAAATACAGCGGGAACCCTTTAAAACTAGCCCTCATGAATGCATTAGTCAAGAAGAGGTGGCAATCTGGTCCTGGCAAACATATAATAACCACATGGAGAGAGTGAGACGGGCCTACGCTGTCCAGCAAGTCAGATCTACAGGAGGAACACTTGCAACGGAGTAAAGAGAAAGGTCTGAGGAGATCAAGGTTATGGTATGCCGCTTTAATATAAGTTTTACCTTCATAGTAAGGATAGTTATCTATTGGTTTTTTATGTGTGATCCCCCCGTTTACAGCGGACTATAGCTACAAAGCTGCCACAACAGCGTTTTTACTTTACCTACTGCCACTATCTCCACAGAGTAGATGTTAATAGTATATCATGAAGTTAAACTACAGTTAGAATATCCTTATTAATCTAGTAAATAGTTGCATAGCAGGTATATGAAATATTAATAATATTAAATACTAGGGGTATCGAATAGTAAGCTATTCCATATCCTTACTATCAGAGCCTCTGAGATACCCTCTTTTTTTAATCAGTATGATAATCAATACATATACAGAATAGCTTAATATATATCCAATGTGGTGCATAGTATCAATCGTACAAAATATGTTGTGGCAGCTTTGTAGCTATCCTACTAGTCCGCGTAACGTTTCCTCTCTTCAGGACTTTTCAGGTCGCTGCAGATAAGTGGGATTCTGGAGTCACTAGGCCTGATATCATGCTGTACTAGGCAGTTTGAAGAACGTTGGGCAAAGCAAGGGCAATATCCCATTCCTACCATTAGGGTATGTCAAAAATCCGGTTAAAATGACATAAATGTCAAATGACAAGCACACCTTATCAAAATATATATTATTCTTTAGATAGTTGTCTAGTGTCTACTAGTATATGGTAGTTGCTAACTTACTATAGTAAAAAAACCTTCTGATCAAATAATCTTTTGTCAGAAAAACAGTCAAAATAACACGTCATTTTTGTCATTTTGATATTTTGAATACCACCCCTACCCACCACAGTACAGAGTAGTAGGCTAGGATCGCATCACAACTTATGTAATCACAAAAGATGAAAGTCATCCGAGAACATCCGGCTTATCATAGAGTTTGGTTGCTGAGGAATGCCGCAGATGACTCTGTTGGCAGTTTGGCACTCTGTATTCGTAGGAAATGGTCTGTAGTTGATCTAGTCAGGGTCAGGGACCAAATGACAGATGTGATGGTGATCCTTTCGCATACTCCAGCTGTATCCAAGCCTGACATTGTTTCGATATATGTCCCCCCAACATCTCGGCCAATTTTCTAAGATCTAAGCCTTTGCCGAGGAGCAACGGAACAGTTCCAAAAGACTCGGTATGTATATCAACTGAAAGATTCAAACGCTAATTTACAATTGGATCGGTAGCTTGGATTTAAATGAAAATGAACATGCACCAAGCCCCACTAGTCTATCGCCTCTCGGGTTGCCCGGGATGCAATGGCATCTCGTCCCCCTCATGATAAATCTGCTGCTCAAAATAATGCTCGACTTTAATGGCATTCCGGTCCATCGGCCGCAGCTCCGTCACTTCTCCCGTGGCCTTGTTGGCCGACGCCTCGGAGTGGTAGTCCATCTGCACGCTGCTGCCGTTGTAAAGCGGCGCCCACGGACGCTGGGATCCTTGGGTGTCGCGATGCGGCTGCGACTGAAGGTTGCCGTTCCGGGAGGTGTTTCCATTGACCGAACTCTTGAGCGTGCGAACCATGGTCACCAGCGCCCGATAGATGACCGGCAGGTTGGCGCAGAAAATCCCTCCCAGAGGCTCCCAGGCCGAGAGAATGCCCAGCGGGACTCCCGCCCCTGTTTCATCGTCAGCTCAGCATCCATAGGGCGTATCGGAAAGGGGCTACATACAGGTGAAATCCGGGGATCCTTGCGAGACGACAACGGACAACCGAGCCGCACTGACGGCGCAAGTTCTAGAATGACAATCAGTTCGTGCTGCGGCGAAACAATAGACTCAAGATCAGCACGTACGCCAATCCAATGGAAAACAGGAAACTCAAGGCGATTTTCCGATTGCGCGACATCTGCAACTTGAAGATCACAGGCAAAGGCATGGCAAAGATCCAGATATCCGTCACGAGATTGGTGATGTTGGTGAAATAAGTAAAGGCGACGAGATTAAAGCAGGTGCCGGCGACATTGGGATCCCAGAACCGCGCAATTGGCCGGCATTGGAAGCCCAAAACCACCTCGATGGTTATGAGCCAGAGAGTCACAAAGACGGCCGTCGTCAGGACCACGGTCCGGAAGCGAAACGTGGCGAAGATTCGATGGTACAGCGCCAGGACAGACAACTTGGTGCTGGCGATGGCGGTATTATAGAAGTGACTGAAGACATAATTGCCCTGCTTCTGTCAGACACCCAGACAACCAGCATTTGTACAATCTGGCGCCGAGGAGTGTTGTTGCTCACCTGCATGAAGGTCTGGATCTGTTCATCCGTGAGGGCAGCTTTGTGACGACCAAAGCCAAACGGGGGTCCTATTTCACTCGACCACGTCCATCAACGACGATTTCCTTTTTTTTTTTTCTTTTTCTTTTTTTGTCGGAGCCTTTCGCAACAATCACAGCCACATACCGTACACCAATCCACTAATACAGACTGCGACCCCACAGATCTAAGAAGATCACAAATGCCAAGTGTGATTAGACCGCGATGTCCATCAGACCATCCAGGGGGGGGGGGATTATCTACGGAGGAGTAGTAGAGAACTTACCGTGGCCCACACCATCAGGTAATCGTCGAACGTGAGCTTTCCTTTGCTGGGAGAGCGCCATCGCACCCAGAGACGAAAGATGGTCGTGAAGATTTCTAGAGGAATGGGAATCGAATAGGCGATGTTAAGCTCGGTAACGCGAGACTCGGCCAGAAATGCGGCGTCTTCCGCGGCCCTCGGGGAGAGAATCATGATTGCGGAACCACTCTAACATTACTCGAGAATCAAGTTGAGATCAATAGACTGACTGGCAGACAGACAGACCGACAGGTAGATAGATCCAATGGAGAGAGAAGAGAAAGAAGTGGGGGTGGAGATATGAAAGAGAAAGAAAAGCAGAGATGAGATTTTTGGCCTTCGGGTCTCTAAGGTGACGCATCTCGTGCCATTTCGAATTGAGCCATGGCTGCTTAGGCGAAGTACGAGATGAACCGGTGCAAAGTCAGTCTTCAGTCATCAGTATCTACTCTGTAGTAGGGGAGTCAGTCTTCAGTCGTAGATAGGCAGACACCGGCAACAAGGATCTGGGATCGCTTACGCCTGAGAGATTCCTGCAGAACCGAGCAGAAAGAGAAAAAAAAACCCTCGTGGGAGGAGAAGAACCAATGCAACAGCAGTGAAATGCAGCTAATCGGACTGAAGCAGGTCGAGTCTGGTGGCTGACAGGCAGACCAATTGAGTTATTGGCATCAGGAATCCTTCTGCAACTATTGCTTGATCCTGGCTGCGATTCGACCCCGTTCAAGCCTAGTAGAAAGTCAGAATGAATGCCTGGCCTCATTACAACGAGGAATTACGAGTCTAGAATGCAATTGAGTGGAGAAGCGATAGTATGATGTTTTGCAGAGTTTCGCTTCTGCATTGGTGTTCGCAGAAGAAATATACGAATAGTCCCTGACTACTGGGGAGACACGATGTAGTTAGTTAACGAGGACAGGAGGAGAGAGCACGACACAGTAGATAGTTCGCTAGATAGACAGATAGCCTAGTCCCTAGTAATTCTCTCCCGTAGCAGGAGGTATGGCCAGATGTCGCGGCTCGTTAGATACAGCGGCATCAATATCCAGAGAGTAAGTATACGAAGTAGTCAGTAGTAGTAACGAATGATAGGAATGCAAGTAACCCACGGACTACTCTTCTACTATTATTATTCTACGATAATAATAATAGCAGCCTAATTAATCCCAGACCCCCAGATTGATCTTCACTCCTAGTCCCCGAAATAGGGGTATAATGCTATATTATTAAGATTATTATCCCACAAGCTCATTTCCCTTTGAACCTCTCTGAAGTCCGAACTCTGAAACATCCTGCTTTGCTAATTTGTATTTTCTTTTTCCTTTCTTTTTTTTTTTTGTTCACCCATTCAGGTGAAAAGTACCCGATGAGATTCTCTTCCCAGGCCCTTGTGGCAATCGGTCTGGCCCCCATCGTGGGTGGTTCTCCCGCGCCGTCCTCGGGTCTGACTGTCAACCTGGGATACTCGTCATACCAGGGATATTTCGACAGCGCCAATGGACTAAACATCTGGAAAGGGTGGGTTACACTGCATTGATCTGGCCCCAAAGTCCCCAATTGCTGATTAATTCCTCGCTGCAGGATTCGTTATGCAGCTCCTCCCGTCGGCCATTTACGCTGGCAGCCTCCCAACCCCCCCGTGAAGAACAACAGTCGCGTTCTCCCTGCCGTTGATCAGCCTCCCTATTGTCCGCAGTCCGGGGCTGCAGGGACTCCCACCGTGTATGGATTCAACTCGGCCCCTGGCAACGAGGACTGTCTGTTTCTGAACGTCTATGCGCCTCCCGGAGCCTCGGATCTGCCGGTGTTTGTCTGGATTCGTACGTCTTTGGATGATTGAAATCTCCCCCCCTCCTCTGCCCTTTCTCCACGGGTTCCCACATGCTGATCAGTGCCGACCACCAGACGGTGGTGGATATGGCCTGTTTGGCGCCGTCTACGACCCCAGCCCGCTGATGAACACCAACAACAATGGGTTCATCACCGTCGAGATCCAGTATCGTCTGGGCGCATTTGGTTTCCTCTCGTCGCCGGAAGTCCACAGACAGGGTGCTCTCAATGCCGGTCTCCTGGACCAGCGCTTTGCGATGAAATGGGTGCAGCAGAACATCGCCCAGTTCGGAGGAGATCCCTCGCGTGTCACCATCGCAGGCGAGTCGGCGGGGGCTGGATCGGTGATGCTGCATTCCTTGGCGTATGCAGGAAGGGATGCCAATCTGTTTCAGAATGTAGGTCTTGGATAAATCGTCACTCACTTCGGCCCTTCGGGTTGACTGACTGACTGTAGATCATCGCCGCCAGCCCGTACTCGCCTCCCGTTTACAACTACGACGATGCCGTTCCTACAGGCTATTATCAGCAATTCGCCGACCTTGCCGGCTGTGGTGCATCCTCAGCGGCCAACCCCGGCAACAGCACCTTCGCCTGTCTGGTCGCTGCTCCGACTGAGGTTCTGCAGAATGCCAGCGGGATCGTGTCGACGTCCGCATACTTTGGCACGTTTGCTTTCCAGCCCGTTGTAGATGGCGATATGATCCAGCAGCTTCCCTCGGCGCAGTTGGCCGCAGGAAACGTCAGCGGCCATCGCATCCTCGTGGGTGTAAGTAATTGCTCTCGTCTATTTGGTTTATTTCCCAAACACTGACCATATCAGAACAACGCCAATGACGGTGTCCCCCTGAGCAACCCAAACATCCTCGGCCGCGATGCCTTCAATGACCACCTTACCACGACATTCCCCGACTTGACTGCGCAGGACCTCGCTCGGCTGAATCAGCTCTATGGCACGGCCGATTCGAACCCGGCTGACGACGGTCCGCGCTTCGATACGCTCGGCACAAGTGGTCCGACTGCCAAAAACCAGTCCGAGATGGCCACTGGGTTGCAGCAGACCGTCTTCAACATCTTCGCCGAGACAACCTTTGACTGTGCCGCGCAGTGGCTGGCCGAGGCGTTCAGCGGCCCCGGGCGACAGGCCTGGAAGTACCAGTACTCGGTGACTCCGGCCTTCCACGGCGCCGATCTCAACTCGTACTTCAACATGAGCGCCACCTGGCCCAGTGCCGGCTTCAACCACGCCTTCCAGAAGCTCTGGGGAAACTTCATCATGAACAACCGCCCTATCATTCCCCTGGCGGATGCGACCGCCAACAACAACCTGTCCGTGGTGCCCGTCGGCCCCCCTGGCTATCTCAACTGGCCCCAATATCGCCTGAACGCGACCTGGCAGTTGGATCTCAACACCACCGGAGGCTTCGTCACCCCGGTCGTGGTGACCCCCAACCTGACCTACTATGTCCGCCAGGGCAATGATGTCGTCAACAACTTCCGGCTGGTGGATGCCCACACCTGGGAGGGCGGACGGGGCATGCGCTGCTCCTTCTGGCGCTCTGTTGCGTCGCGCGTTCCCTTTTAAGGGCAGTTGATTGGAACGAGGTGTTTCGCCGAGGAACGGTAGAGGACGGTTTTATGTCGACGTACCGGCCTCAAGTCTACTATTGTACATAACCACCTATCCGAAACTAGCTAATGCAGATACCCGAGAATGAAACGAGGCCTACCAGGCCTAACAGATCTGTCTTTCTTTTTTTGTTTTGTACAATATATGGTACGCTTCACACCGGTTTGGCAGCTTTTCCAAAATGCATCCGTCCCTGCCACTTGCGCAGCCACTGTCCGAAGACCTGGAGCAGCACCATGAACGACAACGAACCAAAGGTGATGGCTGCCTGGATCCCCAGCGCTTTGGCTGGACCCATGCCACTCACCCACTCAATTTGGATGTACGTTGCCATGAAGCCTCCCCAGTTGCGACTCGCAGTCACCCATGCGCCAACCTCCCCGGACCCTTCCGGATAGCAGTCGAGCAGATATGCGTTGATGGCGGTGGTGATTACCATCATGCTGCTACACTGCATTGCAGCAAAGACGGCGATGGTCATGTAATGCCAATGGCGCTCAAAGGCAAACCCCAGCACAATCAGACTGACGCAACAGAGCACAGTCGCGGGGTATACAATAATCAGACGGGCCTCGGGGTGTAGTCGCCCTTGGTGGCGGTTCATGTAGAATGTACCTACGGCATCATGGAGGTAATGTCCAATCAACCAGCCGATGATCACGCCGACGATGCCGAAGAAGTAAAAGTAGCCTGCAATGTCAGCCGGGTACCCCGTCTGAACTGCCAGTGTACACTACCTACCGATTCCCCGCGTCGAGAAGCCATAGTCATTTACCAGCCAGATCCCGATCGTCGTGTTGACTCCAATCACCCAGGCGAAATTCAGGAAATAGTAGATCAGAACAATCAGCACGGGGATCTTCGTGATGGCTACCAGAGGCCGCATCAGACATTGCAGAAAGCTCCGGTCTTTCCAGAACTGTGCCTGCTGAGCGCCGGTCAGGCGACCAACGTACGATCCACGAGCGATCCGACGGCCCTTGCGCTCGAACAGCGTCTCATCGAGAAGAAAAACTAACAAGAACGCTACAGCCGACATGCAGGTGCACAGCCAGAAGGCCCAGCGCCAGGAGACGTCGGCCACGATGAAGCAGGTCAGCAACGGGCCGAGATACGGACTCATGATGATGAAAAACTCAATATAGTTGATGACTCGGGGGTGCTCGTGGAAGAAGAACAGATCCTTGATCCAGAGCAGGGCGCCTCCCTGTCCGACACTACAGAAGAGACCGTTGATGATGCGCGCCGCCATGTACGACTCAAAGCTCGTGGCAGCTGCCGACCAAGCGCACGTCCCAACCATGACGGCCTGGAACAGCAGAAGGATAGGCATGCGGCCAAAGAAGCTGGCCAGGGTCACGACAATAAGCCCACAGGCACCAATGGTAAATAGATTGCCGACGACCGCACGTTGAACCGTCGCCTGGGGCAGTTCCCATTGCCTATATCATGTATCATCAGCCTGTGGCCCTCATCGGTGGACTGAAGACTCACATCGACTGCGGAATCACCGTGATGATGGCCGTACCCCCGGTGTAGTCGGCCAGAAACGCGATGTACGCCATGATCCACACCGTCATCCATTTCTTACGCTGGCTCCAGTTCAAGGGATCATCCGACGTGTCCAGCGGCTGAGGAATGAGCACGTAACGGCCATCTGACGAGGTTTTGAGCCCCGCTGTATTGTCAGGATATAGCCTTGGATCGACAACGTAGCCTTCCAGCGCCTCTTTGCCTTCATTGATGCTGTTGGAATCGATCTGCACCGGGGGCTTATCTTGCATTGATGACAGGGCTTATGTTTGTCGTGAGGGCAAAGGATTTACGAACGACCTGAGGTTTTCTTTCGCATGGAATCTGATCGCATCAGAACGGTAAAGAATGAAGAAACGGAAAAAAGAAGAAAAAACGCTCGACATTGTGTCACATAGCTAGAGTCTTGGGTACCCTGTTCTAACGGCTTCACATATTTCGCGGGATAATTTCCAGGATCAGAAATCTCTGCTTCGCTACTGACTCAAAAAATATATTAAGTACGGTAGAACGTCAAATCCTAGTATCCCAGGTCGAAGTACTCTGAACTGCGTCCTTTCTCGTCTCTCCAGGGGCCACGCATCAGCCCCTCTAGGATGAGACAAGGATGCGATTCGCCCGCATATTCTGCGGCACAGTCATTTCGAACAAGCAGACGTTAGGTTGATGGGACCATGGCATTTACGGGCGCTCCGTTAAAGGGTGTATAATACATAGGCAGAAGAGAGGTTTGCGTTCCTATCAGCAGTCCAGGGAAGATGTATCATTGGCAATGGACCAACGAACGCAATATAATAATACTGTCTCCCTAAAACTTAAGCACCTACCAACCCCCCATGATATCCCTCGAGTCAAGACGGGAGACGCTGTCGCTTCCGTGTGTGGCGGGCGGCCCAGAGAAGCTAACCGGGGTGAAGCCTTAAGCTGCATTAGGGCTCCGGAACCCTGCAAGCGCTGGTGGCCGGACCGTTTGATACTGTAGATCAGCGCCTGCTCCCTGATGCCATTGTGCTTCTTCCGACTTGGGACAGGTATCGAAAATGTCCGATTGGTCATGTTTGACAGGGGCGATTATAATTACATATCTGAAACCAAGACTGGCCAGAGTATCCTCTCAGATACCCTGGAAAACCAACAACATACATGGAAAGACATCCTTCGACATGGGTAAACTAGCGGGCTACGCCGATGGGGTTCTCTCAAGGGTTCCGGGACCTTCTAGTCGAGCCCCATATACAGAATTTCTGCCCTCAAGGCGGGATAAAAAAAAATTCAACGTGTGCTCTCTTCATCTAATGTCATTGAGCTCCGGAGGATGCTGAGTGCGCAATGTCTCCCATATATGGAGGGCGAGGCCCCCTTTTGCTGGGAGTGACTTGGGCAGAGACGGCGCTGGCTCTCATTCTGTTTGGACTGCGCGCAAAAACAGCCTCCCTCTGTCCACCAGGGACCCGTTCGTACGGTATCTGTGGCCTGCGATGGGATTTCGTCTGGGTCATGTTCTCGCTTGTATGTTGGCGAGAAAGGCTAGAGGATCATGGCATGCAAACTGACAACTTTGCTAGGCGGTCGCCTTGGTCGCGCAGTGCACCATGACTGTCAGCGTGATGTACGGACTCGGTATGCATCGGGATCAGCTCTCGCATCATGAGCTGGTCCTGAGCAACTATTGGAGTTGGATCGCGCAAGTCCTGGCAATTATCGATCTGGCCATCGCACGGGTCGCCGTGATTGCTTTCCTACTGGCTCTTCAGATGCATACCCATCGTAAGGGCCGGTGGCTTTTGCTCGCAGTCGGTGCGATCCAGGCACTCATCAATGTGGTCGAAGTAGGTGTGATATTCCACCAGTGCGACCCGCCCCATAAACTGTGGGATACAGATGTTCCCGGGACCTGCGACCTGATTGAGTTCTGCTTGCATCTTGGTTACGCACAAGGAGGTACTCTCCCTGCTTCTCTTCTTTTGGCAGTGATAAGTTACTGACGGTGAAAGGGATTGGTGCGGCCTCGGATATCATGCTTGCCTTTTACCCAGTCTACATCATCGGAAGACTGCAGCAGATGAGCCTCTCCGTCAAGATAGGGCTGTGCTTATTGATGAGTGGGGGTATCATGTATGCACCCAAGAGGCTATCCCAAACATTCTCTTGCGCTGGAAGACAATACTGATGTGATTCTTGTGTAGAGCCGGAGTTGCTGGGATCAACAAGACGTTTGCCATCGCTACGATTGCCGAGACTAAAGACCAAACCTACGCTATCGCCAAACTGAACACCTGGGTACTGACCGAGATGTGGTTCATTCTCATCTTCGGGTCCATCCCCGGGCTGCGTCCCTTCTTTCTCCGGTTCTCGCAGAGTATAAAAAGCGTGGCGAGTTCGTCGGGCTCGCGCAGTGGCACACATTCCGCTGGCAACCCCAGTGAGCCTGACCCCCCAAGGGAGACCTGGACGGATTTAGTCGATCGCTCGCACCATCCTTGGACGGCACACGGGCCTCGCACAACTAGGTGTGTGTCTGTCGGCCTCCATGGGGACAGTGAAGATGATATTCTCTCCAACACCTATCCTGGGCACGGTCATATCGTGGTGACCAAGAGCACGGTTGTGACCGAAAGCCATGATATTGATAAGAGATAGACTATGTAGTGTACTATATGGCCAGTGACAGTAGATTTGCCTCAATAGGAGTTTCATGAGTGCCTCCAAATGACCGACCGCACTCGATTACAGGGACGGCCTTCTCAATAGCTGAATACCTGAACAGTAGAGTCGTGGAATGAGACCGTTGGATTGATATATTCTTTGCGTAATGCATGCCCCGAGGCTGACAGGAAGATCTGCGAGCAAATAATAGCTATTCATAGCTACCGTTTGAAGTATCCCTGCTGGTCTACATCCTAGCGAATTCGCCTAGGTCAGTGAGCGGATATTGAGCAGTGCCGGTTTCCGTCATCACAATGGGGGACGGATTTCCTACAAATAGCGAGGGGTCAGGCGCATATCCTACTCTATCGTCAAGGCAAGTTTATTCCCACATCGGATATCCACCGTTCCGACCAAACAATTGAAATGACCGTCTTTGACGAGATTGCGAACGTGCACAAGCTGGCCGAGGCTGAGGCTGCGGGAGATCCCAATGCCCACAATCAGCTACTGGCCGCCATTCGCAAGTTGCAACTGACAGCAGAGAAGCCAATTGATACCACGTCGCGATTGAACTTTCAGGTAGGATATCGACTCATTATTCTTGTAAATGATGGCTGATAGGACAGATTATGCAAAATATGTGTATTCGAGTGGCTATTGAGAGCAGACTTCTCCATGTGATAGCCGAAAAGGCAGAGCCCATATCATCGCGAGAGCTGGCTGAGGCAACAAATACTGATGAGTTTCTGATTGGTGAGGTCATCTCTTATTGTTTAGCCCAATACTTATGCTTCTAGTCCGTGTGATGCGGGTGTTGACTGCCATTGGCCTTGCAACTGAGACGGCCAACCAGACCTACGCTGCCAATGAAACGACATACTTCGAGATTTTGCCGGGGTCGATTGCGGCTGTGAAGCATCAGTGAGTATCACAGGCTCTGTATACCGCAATAGCGGCTGACCCGGGATAGTTTCGAGCCCGATTTTGGCATGGTATAGTCCATTCATCCTTCCGGGCGATGCGCTTTCTAACTGTCCCAGGGAGCTAGATTAGTAGATTACATGCGTGGCCCAGGTATCCATCAGTTCGCCGATGAACCGGATCAAGTGACCCTCTTCAAGTACGCCCACGGATTCGACAAAATCTTTGGCATGCTGGAGCATAATCCAGAACAAAAGGAGGCATTTGATGACTATATGGCTTCTCGGCGCTTGGTCCATCAACCACAGTGGTTTGAAATCTACCCCGCTGCTAAAAAATTGGTAGTCGATCTACGACAGGATCCAGAGTCTGTCCTGCTGGTCGACGTTGGAGGCGGACCCGGCCAGGAAATGTCGCGCTTCAGAGAGCGTCATCCCAACATCCCGGGAAGAATTGTTCTACAGGATCTACCATTGACCCTCAATCGAATCGAAAAGGTGCCGGACGGCATCGAACCTATGGAGCATGATTTCTTCACTCCCCAGCCAGTCAAGGGTAGGGCCAGTTGATCTGTGGCGGACCATCTCGTCCCTAACTTCGAACAGGTGCTAGAGCGTATTTCTTTCGCCAGGTATTGTACAACTGGTCCGATGCTAAAAGCAGACAAATCCTGTCGCATATCGCTGAAGCTATGGACCCTGAATATTCAACCCTGCTGATCGACGACTACGTCCTGCCAGATACAGGAGCTGAGCTGCGAGCCGCCGAGATGGATATTCTCATGTGGTTGCATACCGCCGGTCTTGAGCGGACCGTTTCGCAGTGGAAGTCTCTCTTTGATTCAGTGGGACTCGAATTAGTCCGGATCTGGAACACTGATAAGGGCGATGAGTCCGTGCTGGAAGTGAGAAAGAAGCATTAGGAGAGATCCTGATCCACGTTTCAATCTCGGGGAATGTGGATAGATACCTTCGTATTCTGATAAGTGCGAACGAACAGACTAGGGATACTTGAGGGATCAGGCTGCAGTCTCGCGATGTACCAATTAGATCAGAAGCCTACAAAATTTGGAGCCATCTGCTCTCTTCATATAAACCTTGGACTCCCTAAGAATGGTAGCTATCACGCCCTATCAACATCGCTACGATGTCTAGAACAAACACTACGATCCTCCCTCCTGCTCTGAAGAAAGGGGTCACGATTGCATTAATCTCCCCTTCTCTGCGCTTTAATAATGACTTCCCCAAGGCAATTGCCCGGGGACGAGTCTGCCTGGAATCTCTCGGCTTCAAAGTGAAGATCATCTTCACAAGTCTGCCACAGGACGCTACGATTTCCGATATGATTCAAGTCCGATGCGAGGAACTCCATGCTGCTTTCGCTGGCCGCGGTATAGCGGCCGTTATTTGCATGAGTGGAGGGTCCCATGCAAACGAGCTGCTGCCCTTGCTCGACTACAGCCTAATCCAGGCGCATCCCAAGATTTTCATCGGCTACAGTGACATTACGTTCTTGCACTTTCTACGGCCCAACGGTGCTGTCACACCTATCAGACTATCCGACACCCTTGTCATTAACAGTCGAGCACCTCGTGCGCGTTCTTTGTAAGAATGGCGAGCCCGTGGGTTCTCTTCCGCAACCAGACATCTGCACTGTTGAACACAACGACTTCTTCTTTGGCAATGATACATCCAAGAAGCCACGCGTTTTGGTCAAGGCACCGTCCTGGCGATGGTTGCGCCAAGGTCGCGCCACTGGCTATCTCTTCCGAGGCACTGTAGAATGCATGGTGCGGCTGCTAGGATCTCCGTATATCCCACCGACATGGAGAAGCAGCATCCTATTTCTCGAGGCGGCCATGGGCGATGACTTCCGTTCGCCGTACACTGTGGACAAATTCCGCGTGAGTCTAGCGGATCTTACCCTCATGGAGGTGCTGCGAGATATCAGCGGATTGGCCATTGGCGGAGGATACAAGTACGACCAACAGATGCAGGATGACCTTGCGTGGTGATTACAGAAATCTTCAGTAGCATGGTCGACCGTTATCGAAAGAAGAACCTGCCAATTTTGATGAATTTAGATTTCGGCCACACCAGCCCTCTCCTTACTCTTCCATTTGGCGCTCTTGCTTGCTTGGATTCCGAGAAGAATGAGTTTGCTATTTTGGAATCTGGAGTCGACCAATAGCTCTGTGGGTTTTATGTTCAGGGATCCAGCTGGATGTCGGTGAAGGCGAGGTTTGTTGAGTGGTGATAGTTTCCGAAGAGGCTCTGCCCCTGTTGACCCCTATTTTCAATGCACAGCCGAATCAAATGCTTTTTTGCAAGATCTTTTAGCTCCCTTGCTCCCATTATTGTTCCAATCGTGAATTCGCCAAGGCAGGCAACACTGGTTCCGTCGTATTTGGCCCCGCCTGAATCTTGAGGCAGCAGCCAGCTGCCTAACCCCAACCACGTTCAATATAACCCGCGCGGAAACCTCGCTGGCACTGAAGAATCGTTAGAAGAGATTACCCAAGGAGCTCTCACCCATTGATTACAGACAACAATCACCAAAACCGAAATGGCTTCTGAGACCAGCTTCAAGCTTCCGGGCTTCTCCTTACCCCTGGACTACCTTCCCGATGGAAATATCATGTTTCCGAGCGTGCTGGAGACCGATTCCGTCTCGTATGTTATGGGACTCCTGTACTGACGCCTGAGAGCAAAGAAATTGACTAGATGCAGGCGCCTGAATACTCATCGCGAGCTGCTGATCATGCGCGCCATCAACGCCATCACCGACAAGTCGGATTGGGACCAGAAGGTGGGCACCCTGTCCGAACAATAGTGCTTATCACTGATTGCGACAGATCTTCAACGACGGCATTCTGGCGAAATGGCGCAAGGAGATCATTGAGAGCCGCGAAGATGTCACCGCCAAGATGCTGTCTTGGATTGTACAGGAGGCAAAGTGGAAAGCCAAGGCCTTTCAAGAAACTGGCCAGGTCGTGGCCTTCGATGTTGGCGTGGTCAAGTCGGATACAGCAGTCTCAGAGGAGTTGCGACAGGCTCTGCTAGAAGCTGTCCACCCGCTCGAAGACATTCCCGAGGACCAGAAAGATTACCATCCCGGATCGGACCAGCAAGTTGTGGATCTCGTCCATCCGTCGCTGTTCCCTGTCATCTACGGGCGGACTCGTATTCTCCCCGACAAGCGTATCGAGCTCGATAGCTTTGAGAGCGCGATTGGCGAGGGCCAAGTGCTCCCAGTGCCTCCAGAAGAGGAGGCTGGTGCGGCGCGGGATCGCTGGGGGAACCGCAATCACGAGCATAAGCCCTACAGCCGAAAATTCCAATGGCTGCCCTGTGACGTCCAGTTTGCTGGCGATGATGAGTGCCGTATCGTCACTTATGTCAACAATCTGCATCCGCGCCAACATCGCCCGTTATATACTGTTATCGAAAAGGTCCTGGCACAAGCAATCCCGCTGTGGAACACAAGCTTGGGCTTCATGGGCGATTTTTACCAACGCATCCACTACTATCAGGTGGAATTCGGTGATAATGGGGAACCAGAGCCTGAGCAGATGGATTCGGACGAGGAGGATGAGCAGGACTTCTGGGAAAGACATCAGGAGTGGGAGGATAGCCGTCCTGTCAAGCGTCCTGAGCCCGGCGACTTTAAGCCGCATGTTCTCACAGGCGATAAACAGGTGAACTTGCGGAAGGACTTCGCCGATCAAGGATTGCAGGTGATTGTCAAGCTGGCAAATATTGAGCTGACGCCAGAGAAGCCCCGGTACGAGGGAGGTTCATGGCATATCGAAGGACAACTGGTGAGGATGTACCCTGATAGTGCTGGATACATGACCGACTAATTGACTTTTTTAGAATGAGCACATCTGTGCCACTGCGATCTACTACTATGACAGCGAGAACATCACAGAGAGCACTTTGGAATTTCGTCAGCGGGCAGACATCGATGGGGTGGAAGAGATCTCGTATCCTCAGTCGCGGCACGACTTCCTTCAGGAGGTTTTCAACTTTGACGAGGACGTGACCAGTTACGACGAGGACGCTGACATTACGCAGATACTTGGTGGCGTAAGCACCCAGCAAGGACGTCTTCTCACCTTCCCTAATATCGTTCAACACCGTGTTGACTCGTTCGGACTGGCCGATACGTCGAAGCCCGGTCATCGCAAGATCCTTGCGCTCTTCCTCGTGGATCCGCACATTCGCATCATCTCCTCTGCTAATGTGCCCCCTCAGCGCGAGGACTGGTGGAAAGAGCGGCAAGAAGTCGTCGGCCGGCTGTTGAATGAGAAACTTCCCGCTGAATTGCGAAATATGGTCCACGATGGTCTCGAGGCTACCCCGATCTCGATGGATGAGGCCAAGAAGTACCGAGAGGAGTTGATGGAAGAGCGTTCCATCAAGGCTGACGAGCAGAACAAGCGATTTGAAACGGGTGGCTTCTCTCTGTGTGAGCATTGACGTATGAAGATGATGATTGATGTCTTTCTATTCCCGGATTAAGCTATGCCATCTTCATACTCGCAGATGAATGTGATCTATTAACTTCATCAGATATATGATCGTTATGAAGAAATGACTGAGGAAACTAGATCTAACCACTTCCCCAGCACCCCAAACCCATGCCATCTTTTGTATCGGAGCCGAGTAAGCATATATGTGCCCTGCATCAAGGGACGATGCCTCCATATTTTGAACTGGAGACGCGCAGTACGGCAAGGAGAAACAACGCTGTATATCACACGGCCTCAAAGGAAAGATATGAGACTATGTAATGCAGAAGGTTGCCTGGAGAAAAGGATTGGAGGCATGCCTATATTCTTAATCACGGGAAATGTTATTTGTTGAGGAATGATCGCGACTACCTGCTTACCAGCTGGAGAGGCGAGAAGTGGTTCTCCGCCGGTACTTGTTACTTCATCTGGATGTAGCATGATGTTATATTTCTCTTCTTCCACTCTCTTTCTCTAGGAATATAATTTTGCAACTACAGCTAGTTTGAGTCTATCCTCGGGTAAACCGCAGGATTAACCAAAGAGAGCCATTGTAGAATATAAAATACCATTGCGTGATAAACCAATTAAAAGCTGACTGTTGGCCGAGCTGCTTCTAAGCAGGAAACAACTGCAGGCATGGATCTCTTAGACTGAATTCCAATGGACATCGGCATATATCGCGTAGAGCTGATCAAGTTTGGCGCTTCTGCTTACCACACTTGCTCAAACACTCTTCAACTTTGATAGCCATAGTCGCAGGAATAGCATGCCGGACCTTTTCAATGTCCTCACCAGCGATGGTCTCCCCAAATGTGGCAGCAATCACATCATCGCTGAGAGAAAATGTCTGCGCGGCGACAAGACCCACGGCAAACTCGTCGGAGTTGAAGGCCGCGGTGAAATTTGCAGGCACGCAGTCTGGGTTCACTTGCGTGTGGAATGAGCCCGCCGGATAGATGGTCACCATGCCAGGGTTGAGCTCTGCACGGATAACTCGTTGGTGGCCTTCAGAATCAAGAACGCCCGCCTCAGGAACCATTTCAGACAGCACGCGGCCAGAAGTAATGGCAAAAAGCTCAGTGGCACGAGGATGGAGATGCACGAAGCTCATGCTGCATGCTATTGCAATGATTAGTGTAAATCAAGACGTAAGGCCATTCTGACTGAGGATACCTGGCAGTTGCGAGATACTAAAGGATACACCAGTCCCTACGAGGGCAGGGAAATTTTGACTGCTGGCAATTGGAAGCGAGGTTTCGGTGAAACTGAAGACAAAGTCTTCATCCTTTGGGAGGAGCTTGTAACGTTCGATGGCGCTGAACAATTAGATCATTCGGTTTGCACTATTCGAGTCCATGTCGAGGTACTTACGTGTCTGCAAGTCGCAGCTGAGCTGTCAGGCTAAGTTCTGATGTCGAGCGCTTGGTGATCGGTTGAGGTGCTGCCGTTGCCAAAGGGACAAGGGCGAGCATCGCCGTGATCACGGAGCGTAGCGCAAAGTCAGGAAGCATGATGGTTGTTGGAGTTGAATTAGTGAGAGGGTGTTCTGTTGCTTTGAGGAAGAGTTGATGATGATGTGCTCTCTAGAAGGGAAAGAGGTCTCTTATATATTTCAACATGGGCCCTGTTCATTCCAGCCCATCATGGCTGAACTCAATCATCCGGATGTATTCCAAATGGTATCTTTCTGTCTGACTCGCTTACTGCGTATGCGCATCGCGATCCCAAGCAAATTTTCTATACGCACAACTCAGCCACCATCCTTAGCCTCAACTGACGAGGACTTACCGTCAATGTCAGCGTCTCAGGGCTCAATTAGATGCAGCATGGGCGTATTAGTAATACGCCATGTCGCTCAGCCCTGTGATCGACCTCCCCAGAGCGTGTAGAGCGTATAGAGCGTATGCCCACAATGGAGCGTGTTATGACTTGTACTTGGATGTATGGAGGCCTGGCCTCATCCCAGACAGCGTGTTTCCTTCTAGAAGACATGGTGGATCTGGACCGTATTACCACCTTGCTTGATATCGTTGCGGCAAAACTTGAGGCGAGTTTCCACGATCTCTGTGAAGACAACCTCGGTGGTAGCGAATTCAGATATAAAGGCACAGGCAACGATGGGTTAGCCAGTTTTCAAAATCAAATAGCACCTATGAAGACTATCACAGAGTTGGCCGCATCCCTTGCCCGCCACCACGATAATTGCAATGTTTACATACCTCCACACTTCGCTATCCTGGTGATCGGAGTTAGATTGGCCACAGGTCAAAGTATTTCGGTTCCAGCAATACAGTCGACCGCATGGAATGCAAGTTTCGAGCTCAGCCCGGAACAACTCAAGTTGGCCAACCTGACAAGCGACCAGGGCGCCATCATCAACACCGTTACCAATTTCGACCGGTCTCAGCAAACGGCGGAGCTCACGAGGATGACTTCTACAATGTTCGCGGCCTGCCCAGGGACCAGTGGCCCACAAAGCCTGGGAAGACAATCAAGCTCTAGGAGACCACGGATCCGTCCCCATTCTCCATTCCCGCAAAGACGGCCATGTCCCGTATCATCTATAGCATGACAAATGCAAACGGTACCCTGATTCCTGCTTCCGCCTATATCCTCTTTTGAGCAACCCACAAACCTTGGAAAGCGACCCTTCAAAGGGCAATTCTTCTCGTTCAGGGAAAAGAAGGCCCAACAGTGCCATACAACACGACCAAGACTACAGCCCAAGAGATATGCAAGAGATACCCCGCGGATCTGGAATTGTTGGCTGTCCGTCAGGGGAGTCATTTCGCCGCCATCAACGCGGCGAAGCAGATCTGGTTGCGCTGGATTGATAATCGATTCGAACACCGACGTGTTGACAAGCCTGGTTGCATCGAGTCCCCACTAGACAGCCTCTTGCCTCTGGAGTACTATTAGGGGCTTCCAAATTCATTTCCGCTGTGGGCTGGAGAGCCACAGTGGGTTTATGAACTACCGACTGTATTGTGATTACGAATTGGGGAAGAGATGGAGATGAGGCAGGGATCAAGAGTGTTAGCGATAGAAAGTTTCACAGCTTGATGCTCTTGATGTCTGTATTGTCACCATGTTTACTCATTCCTGCGACGGATCATTCCTTGAACCAAATAAAGTACATGGAGCCCGGTGTATATTATACACATCCTATGATCCTCAAAATTTGGTCCGGTTGGATTAGAGATAACCATCGATGCCCCAAACCATGCCTCCTATTGAGAACTATGACCACCCATGCTGTGATGTTGGTTTTGTTGATGATCAAGGCTTGAAACACGCTGCGCATGAGTAGTGATGAAATGCCTTAATAGTATGGCATGAGACGATTGGGTCAAGATTTATCTCTGCTACGCACTGGGGCTGAGCTCCCGCTTCAATAAGTACATGGTCTCGGGCCACCATGTTTTTCCAAACTCTGCTGACTGGCCCGGAAGATTCTGAGTCTTCATCAATGAGACGACCTGGCCAAGCTCCCACTCTCCAATATCGCCGATCCACCAAACACCGTCCAACAACATAACAAGGACCAGCCAATGCGCAAATATATCCATGGCTAACAAGTGTGTCGCATCGAGCAGTGGGACCTCTGCCCCAGGTGAGTCTCGGGTCATCCAACTCTCAGCCCTCGCCGCTGCAGAGGGGGAATCCAGCACGGACTGAACGAGATTGAGATACTCAGCCGGGGCTTTGTTCAAGAACGACATGATGATCCGTCGGAGTATATGCGGTGACTCCATCGAAGTGACGCTGATCATGTATCTTGCCACCCATGGTGAAACTCTAGATTGATCGCGACACGATATTGACCGATACCTTGATGGCGTGACACTAGTACCATCTCTTGCGGGCAGAGCTACGCATGTACATCTTTCTAAAACAGACAGGGTTTCCAAGCAGGCCTGTAGCTGTAGGTGGCTGGTTATAGAAACATCTGAACTGTTAAAGAGAGCGGTGGTCGATTCAGCTCTCTCGTGTAGACTTTCGAGAGCTCGGCCATAGGTAGATGCGACAAGAGGGAGAAATAGGCGCTTTGTTTCCTCAGTTGGACCGTCCTCCGGCGATAAGTTGTCAGTGCTACTTAAGACCGGATTCGGTAGTTCGGATCGTGCATCTAGAATTGGGCTGGAGGTAGCGGCACGACTAGTACCGGCGGCGGCCACGACATCGTTGAGAACTGCAGTTGATGCTGTGTGGGCAGCACGTGTGAACGAGATCCATTGCGAGTGCTGCGGGAGCACGTCATTTGGCAGTCGCAGCGCACACTCTTTTGCAGCGGCTGCAAGATGTACTCGGATGGAGTGACTAGCAGAGGCGTACAACACCATCAATGCCGCATTTGCCAGAACGTGATCGTAGGAATCCAAGTTCCGGATGGATGCTTGTATGTGCCGCAGGGAAGCCTGGTGATGACGCTCCGCAAGCGCAAGTAGCTTCTGAATATCCCTTAGGTTCTGGGGGTCCAGACGCAATCGGGCATTCTTAGCTATATCGTGCGACTTGCATGCTGCTGCCAGGGCTAGCAGGGATGACATGACCACGTTGGATTTGAATGCGAGATTTGGCACCCCTACCGAAAGAGCGTAAAGATCGAGATCGTCGACGGGGATAGTTTGGCTGGTGTGCGTGAGGTAGTGAGTCAGGAGACTGAGCTCTATTGTATCGAGAGTCCCAAGGGTGTGACTATCAGGAGCTAGTCTCTCTTCTGCGGTATTCAGACCTCGAACTAAACCACATTGTGTACCAGACACCCGACTAGAAACCGAGGATTGGCCACTCGAAAGCGTCAAGGATGGCACAGAGTTTCGAATTACATTACTGGGAACTGTAGGCGAAACACATAAGCCGGGACCTGGGAGCTGAGCCGATCCCTGCTTCTTTGACGAGCTGTCATTATGGAAAGGGTTCTGATATCGGCAGGTATACATGCGCTTGGTACATCGGGTGCAGTTCGGTTTCAACTCATCGCACTAGGGAATATGATTAGAACACTGCGAGAAGGTTCGCGAATATAGTGACACGACCTACCTTCTTCCGCTGTTGCTTACATCTGAGGCAGCCATTTCTAGATTTCTCGTGTCTTTTCCGGGGTCTGAATCTGATCGTCTGTAGTTCCAGGAGCGTCGTATCGCCAGCCATATTGCCAACCGCGCTAGGTGTTGCGAATTCACGTATCGGCATAAAAGGGGGATTGGAGCGTATTAATCAAGCCGTCCCAGGGCTCGTCTTCCTCGTCTGTCAAGAATCCCTCGGTCATAAACATTGAGATCTGACTTGGGGTTCCTTTCTGGAGTCTTCTTTGAGGCTGAAATCACTTCAGCCCCATGAATGATGACATTGCCAAGCAGAATCAGCACTAAAGTATTGAGGTTATTTGTAGGCGACACGATCCGCCTGCAGCTATTTCAAATTTTCTGCTAACTTAGGACTAGCTTATTCTGACAGACATTAACATACGTTGAGTGAGCTAGTCCATAAGCAAGGATGAGACAGAGGCAGCTCAATTATGAAGATAACCTAGCTTCGCACACACACGAAGTAAAGAAATCCTTATAGGCCTGCTTCGGTAGCCTCAAACCAATATAAATTTCTCATCTTATCAGATATTCATTAGCATTATACATTTCATGGAGATGCTGAAACATGCCGCATAGCTCTTTTCCCACCTACTATTAGTTCCCCATGTAAAATGAATAGGGGTGTCCTCCATATACATCTCGGTAGCAACACCAGTACTGCAACCCAACGCCCCCAATGTGATATAATCATATCTGTGTCTTGAGATCAATTCTAAGAACAGATTTAACCTCACCGCTAGTGCCAAGACGGTATCAGCTGAATGACTTGGGCAAGGCTGATGGGGTGCAGTGTGCAGCCTCGTTGTGTCCAAATACGTTCTGATAACCCCTATCGAGAGAAAATGTTCCATATACGCAGTACAAGCATGACCAATGAATTAATATTTCTCTGTTATTCCATATATTCTAGTTCTTTTGCTTGAGTAATCAATCGCACGAGGCCAAGAACCCGAGAAAATGCGTCTTCTCAGGACAACAGAGAATGACCAGCAAAAGCTTCAGGTTGAAGAGTTTAATTACGCAAACGTACCGCTGTATGCGATACTGTCCCATACATGGGAGACAGAGGAGGCAACCTTTCAAGATACCGAAGCTCCTCAAATCATAGACAAAAAAGGGTACAAGAAAGTCCAGCGATTTTGTGCCCTTGCGAGATCCAACGGGTTTCATTATGCCTGGAGTGATACGTGTTGCATTGACAAAACCAGCAGTGCCGAGTTGTCGGAGGCAATTAACTCAATGTATCGTTGGTATAGAGATGCAGCCGTCTGCTATGTTCACCTCGCAGATGTGTCCACACGGCTTGTCAGCCAGCAGGTGGTTCAAACGGGGATGGACATTACAGGAACTCATCGCACCCGAAGAAGTTGTTTTCTTCGATAGAGTCTGGAATGAGATCGGCACGCGAGAGAGCCTACAACACGAAACCTCCAAGCGCACGAACATACCAATTGATATCCTGTCTGGAGCTGTTGATATAGACAGTGTTTGTGTGGCTGGAGGATCGCGCCTATGCATTGATGGGCATATTTGGTATCAACATGCCTCTGCTATACGGCGAAGGTGAAATGGCTTTTATCAGGCTACAGCGAGAGATCATGAATGTATCCGACGACTACACTCTCTTTGCCTGGCAATGCAAGTCTGATAGTAACGGCGGACTACTAGCGAACTCACCGGACGCGTTCTAAGATTGCGGTGATATCAGAGATGTGAAGGCAGGCTCCATTACACGGAAGAGCCCATGGAACACTACCAATAAAGGGATCCATGTCGAACTACCGTTCATTGGAGTTGGTTCTCGAGGTCTCGGTCTCGCCGTCCTTCCGTGCATAAAGGGCGAAAAAGGGGACATGTTTATCGCAATATATCTAAGGGAAATCTCCTACATCATGGAACAATTCGCAAGATTCCGCTGCGAGAGATTGGAGTTTATAAATCTAGAGCGTTTGAGACGGCCGCAGTATCCCATTCGACGCATATGTGTCCGACAACCTCGACGTATTCTGGAATCAAGACGGTTCCATCGTACCCGCACGACCTCAGATGACGGAACACAGCCAGCACCAGTCGAGGACATCATCCGGCACATCTCATCTCTGCCCGAACAAACTCTAGAGGTAAATACCCGAGATGGAAATGGGCAAACAATGCTTACCTGCGCTGCAAAAGACGGGAACACCGATACTGTTTGGCTGCTACTGTCTAGATCTGATATTATAGCCCAGCCCCGTGACAAATGGGGCATGGTGCCGCTGTTGTACGCCGCTCGATGCGGAAAGGTGCCTTTGATAGACATATTTATATCAAGGAATGACGTTGATATTGCCGTTGTCGATGACTTGGGTCGGACTGCGTTATCTCATGCTTCAGAGTGCGGCCACGAGTCGGCTGTGAAGACGTTACTGACAAGAACCACCATTGACATTGATGCGATGGACAAATCCAGATGGACCGCTATAGCCTGGGCGGTGATGAATGGGCATGAGACCGTAGCTAGGTTATTACAAGCCAAGGGCGCCACTATCACTTTGAAAGACAATTCCCTGAGAACAGTATTGCATTGGGCAGCAATCAGTGGAGACCATGCTATTCTCCCACTATTGATTGCCCAGGGAGCTCATCCTGACCAGAGAGACTCGGCTCAAGAAGCCGCATTGAATATAGCGACGCGCTGTGGGCACAAAGAGTTTGTCAAAGTACTTCTTACTCATAATCCTTATATAGATTTGGAAGGACCATCCTCCAAAACGGCACTACATCTTGCGGTGGAGCACAGGCATGAAGACCTGGTCAGGATTCTCCTCGCAAGCAACGCTAGTACAGATCCTAAAGACTATAAATTGGCTCCACTACACTCAGCAGCAGCCATGGGGGACGTGGAAATCGTCAGGTTGCTCCTTGAGCATGGGGCAGATATTAATGCAAAAGCTATCGCTCGTCTGACTCCATTACATCACGCTGTGATGAACAATCACGAGCATGTGGTCAGCTTGTTACTCGCAAGAGGGGCAGATATTCGATGTCAGAACACCTACGGGCAGAAGCCTCTGGACATTGCAATCTCGCATAAGAGACAGCGGATCGTTGATTTAATCCCTGGTCAGAGGCAGAGTAGTCCTTTGGACAAGCTTGGAGCTGCATTGAATGGCTTTCTGAATTCGACACGTTAGATACTACATGATGCTTTTCTCAGTTGGTATGGAAGGAATGTCCATACAACGCGTTGAATATGTTTGCCTCCTTGTTTGGGGGTCCTTACCAAAGTTCTCGGTGTAGTACTTGTGTCACTATCTGGAGAATTTATAGAAATATGTTTGTCTCAGCTGTGAGAATTCGTGGTTCGATTTTTACATCGCTAGACGTTCTATCTGCCACAAATATATGGGTTGATACTTGCTCTCTCATAAAGGTCGACTGAAATTGTTATGAAGCTTGTCCCCCTACCAGTTTATATCTCAGTGGGCTATAGATGGTGAGAAAAGAGGGTGTCTTGACTGGAGTCCCCGTCTTCGCTCTGGACCGTTAGGGCATTGGGTGAATATTCGTCCTCTAAAATCGCTCCGTTGTCGGCTAAAAATATCCATGGCTCCCATGCTTATAGCACTAATTGTCAATAACATTATGATTACACCCTGTCCGCATAAGACGCGTTGCAAAGGCCCCAGGCGTATGCTAGGCTAGTGGCCAGTTCTCCAATTCGGGTTCTTTAGCTTAATCAGGATTGGTTTAGGACAGACCAGGAATGAGAAAACATCTACCCGAACTGTGATAATCATATGGACTGTCATCTAATACCGCCTGACCTGTTAAGCATACTAACACACCTCTGGCTTGTATACCTGCAACACATCATGTAGCTGTATGACAAAGGTAAGCCAGATCAATGCACATCCAGCTGCATCTCCACCAGCTGCATCCCACTTCATGTTGTTGCACCACTGGCCCATGCGGTTGCGAAATGCCACAGTGCGGTCATACTTAAAGTGGCTTGTCGAATGCTGGATCGCCTTCCATTCTCTCCAGTGTTGTCCCTCATAATGGCCTCCATTGCCGTAAACTAACTTGAATCCGTATTTTGAGTCCAGATCATGAATAATTCGTTGCCACTGCTTCCAGTTCACATCTTCTGCCAGACTGCCCAGAGTATCTTCGACGTCATGTTTTAACCGTCGTAGATCTGCGTCGTTCAACTGGTTTAGAATGTCCAAGCGCGTAAACCCTGCATATCCAAGGATAGCACGAGATTGCTTGCCGGTTTCCTCCAAAAGCTTCTGATGCGCTTGCCGGGACTCATTAAGCTGGGCATTCAAAGACTCAATCTCCTGGGCACGCTCGTGAGTGATTTTTTCCAGCCGCATATTGGTGTCCTCGAGCTGGGCGATTCTTCCGTGTAACTCTTGCACAGTCGGGTGTTTTGTGGAAAGAGATTCTTCTTCTTTGTCCGAAACAGCAGTTGAAAATTGCTCTCTCAGAGCCTTGATAGAAGGAGTAAAGAAGTATTCACCACCCTTCTGATCAACCCATGGACTAATCCCAAGATCAAGTTTGACCGTCTTCTCCGAGTTGTTTCCGTCGTACAGACTGATGTGACCCTGGGGGTGATCGAAACGGAGTCTCTGATTAACGAAGGGATCCATACCAGGTCCGTCAGGGAACGTCTTGGTCTTATACTCGGGGAAAGAGGAATTGCTCGCCCAGCCTGTATCTATTAGCATCACCAACGCCTATAGGGAGGACAGTGGATGATTGGAGCGAATCTGTAACTCACGTGTCATGAGGAAGTTGAACCCGTCCCGAATAAGACTCTGGTAGCAGGTAAAGTAGATCCCACGTTCTTCAATTGTCCTGCCCTCCCTCTTCTCCTGCTCTGTGAGTTCAGGGCCAAAGGTGATACCACGGCGGAGAATGACACTAGCATCTTCCTCCTGGCCTTCGGCCTCGGACTCATCGCTGTCTGGCTCCGGAAGCTCAGTGCTGTCACCGTCATCCTCTGTCCCAACATCGCGCTTCTTATCGGCTCTCGGACGCATTTTGCGGATGTGGGCCGCGAACGGACAGCCCTTTATGCTCTTCTTGGGTCTGAAGTCGAATTTATTGTCAAAGGCTAAGCTAGGGTTGTCTTCGTCAACGGCTTTGGCGACAGGAGCTCCTGCGATGTTTGTTAGTCCAGGTAGCAGGTGGTTAATACTGCGATCTACACATCACAGGCGTACCGCTTTTCCATCGTCCCATCATATGAGCACCCAGCTTCGCAGGACCATTGGGCCCCCCATAGTTGTTCCCAGGGATTTTCGGCGCCGCCTGCTCTAGGAACCTTTCGAATTCGGGAACCTTCTGGTCGAGCTGACGGAAAACTAAGAAACTGCCCTCCTTCGCCCATTCGGGGCCTCGTTTCATATTAGGGTCACCTTTGTGCCCCAAGAAGATGTATCTAGCTCATGTCAGCGGGCAACCTCTATCATAAACGCATCGAAAGGGCATAAACGCATTGAAAGGGGTCTAAACGCACCCAGGTAGACAGGCATGAGGTTCGCCCTTGGCTGGAGGATCATCCAGACCTTTGATCTTTGGTTGAGAAATATGATCTTCATAACCGAAACTACAAAATCAGTATCGCGCTCAAGTCAATAGGATGATATAGGAGACAATCATACTGCTCTTTGCCTCGGTTTGCACCTGGACGATGTTGGCCGTCTCTCCGGAAAGCGATCTTCATGCTGGCCTTGTTTGCATCTCCCACGCTGAACGCATCCTCTATATCGCAAATCTTCTTACGTAGAGCTTTCGGAGTGTGCGCCGCGACAATGAAAACGCCATCCACTCTCCATTCCCAACGTTCGAGTCCGCCTTTATCTTCATTCCCGGGAGGCGCTCTGAAGTCGGCATGCAACGCAGGAGGGCTATCGGCACCTTCGTAAACAAGATCATCAAACATTCCTTTCTCGAATAGACCCTCGTTGATTCTATCGGTGCTATAGGCATCTCGATCCTTTTGCAGGGTCGCGGCAAATTTCACTTCAACGCCCGGATTTTCCACCTAAGAGATGTTTGAAAGGTTGGAAATACGCCATGAAAGAAAGATATACAACGAAGAAGGGGAAACGAACCTTGAGCAAGCCCATATGGGTAAAGGCAATATTCACCGCTGTAAAAGGCTTTCGGTCGTCTTCGGGAATATCACGTCGGGATATAGCACAGGCCTCTTCAAACTCCCCAATTGACCTCAGGTGGTTCTCGCATTGAGTGCCAGTGGTGATTTCTCCATTGTCGAGAATATCTCTAAGGTGTTTTCGGAACCTCCCTTTGTCTGTGATCTTGAAGAAGAGGTATGATTCCGCAAACTTGGGGAGACGAGGCCAGATGCTGCCCTGGATGTTGTCGGTGTCAACCACTCGCTCTTGCTTGTCAACAGGCATTCTGGTCTGGAATCACTGTAGAGGTTCGAAGAGAAGATGTGCTGGTATTCCTTCGGAGTAGCGAAGGCGGCCCTTTTTATATCTGCCTTAGGGATAGAAAGACGTCCACACCGATGTTGTACTAGTAAGAGTCAACTTTAGTATTCAGGCCGCGGTCTGTGAACAGAATGCGGCACCAGGCTCAGCGCAGGTCCGTTTCCCTGGCTTCTCACCATCCCTCCATCAGCTATTCTCAAGGGGAAACAGCGTCGTGTTTACATCACTTTCTAAAGATAATCACAAATGAACGGGTCATGATTTGTGGATTCCCAATACAGGCAGCGTGATGGTCTTCCAAACTCAATGCTCTTCTCCACCCGCTGAGACTGATCTGCCATATGTGATACTGTTGTACAGCATATTCATCCACTCCTCCTCCGGCTGTGACAATGCTCTACAATATGGTTGGTCCGTCATATCTATGTAGAGATGCCGAGGAGAATGGATGGTTCTCCCGGCGAGCTAGCGGATCCTGGCGCCTGGGATCACACTAATCACATCTCAGAGATCGGGATTCCTCCCGGTTCCTACTAAGTTTGATCTTCATCAGCTCAGAGTGTGGAAACTCTTCAGCTGAACAGTGGAGATAGTGGCGCTCAGGGAAGCATCCCGGCAGAGATTCCGTGGTTATATATCGAAATTCCCAATAGTGGCACGAGTATGGGGCACCGCTCGTCCTCCGATGACCTCCAACAAGACACGTTGATTGTCTCATGCTCCTGAAACCGCCATTCACCTCGATATGACGGATACATGGGATGGGAGGGTGGCAGGGACCGAGCCGTCCGCATGGTGAAGCTTGGCAGAGCTACTGGAGGCATTCGTGGCGCCTGTCTCCGTGTGAAAGATCCACAGTCCCAACTCGGCAGTCAGCACAAACATGATCAGCGATGATCTTCAGCCACTAGTTCAGGGTGATCTAAACCTTGATGCATGTACGGAGTAGATAGACTAGATTGAGCATGGAGGAAGCAGGTTTGCCGAATTCCTAGGAAGTGATGCTGCAGCCAAGGCGATACAGTGTCAAACAAGGAAGGATTAGCCAGGACCAACCATACTGCTGGAAGCGAACTAGAGAGAGAAGCTTGCAACTAGATGACTCCCAAATGAGAGCTGCAGAACTATCCGTATCAACATCTTAGGATATCTCCACTGATGATCCCTTGGCGAACTGGTGTTGGTGGCCAGCTTCGTCTCCACAATCCGGGCAGCCACGGACATTACATATTGTGGTTGTTGACGAATCTCGCCCAGCTGCATTTATAAGGGATTTCTCTTCTGTGTGTCTCAATTCAAAGTAATTCCCAGAGAGCAGCCATCAAAAATGAAGTTGAAATGGGCATCTACTTTTCTCCTGGGGACGGTGGCTGTTGATGCCTTCAAACCCGCTGAATTTTCCTACGAATCCTCCGAAGCAGAGCGCATCGACATCGCCAAATCCGTGACTGGCAGGATCAAATACCAATCTCCTCCAGCCGATTCGGACCTGATTCCCAAAACGAATGCTAAGGATCCCAGTCAGAATTGGAAGGTCCAATGCTCAAGCCAGTATGAGGGCTATGACTGTGGTTATGCCATCGACGACCGAAGCGATAGATACTGGCATAGCGACCCCACGAAGCAAGAGGAAGCATCCTGGATTGTCGTTGACCTTCGCAAGGAGTACTATGTATCCGGTCTGACCATGCTGCCTCGGCTGGACAAAGATGTCGACCACGGCCAGATTGGCAAACACCGTATCTCTCTCTCACAGGATGGTGAGATTTGGACCGACGTCGCATATGGCACCTGGGGATCTAACAAGAGTCCCAAGATGTCGGCCTTTATTCCCAAACCAGCTCGTTTCGTGAAACTTGTTGCCGAAACTACATCCCGTCCGGATCGGTCACAAATCAAGAACGGGAAGATCGCCATCGTTAATCTGGCAGTTTACTCCTACAACGAAGGCACTTTTCCGGCCGAGGATCCCAGCAAAGGTGTTTGGGGCCCCACGATTAATCTACCGATTGTCCCAGTGTCATCTGCTGTCGAACAACATGGTGACATTATCATGTGGTCTGCCTGGGCTGACGACCAGTTCTTCGCCTCTCCTGGTGGTAAGACCCTGACCACCACCATGAACCGCGAGGGCATCATCACCCAGAGTGAGGTTTTCGAGACCAAGCATGACATGTTCTGCCCGGGTACTTCCATGGACGTCGATGGCAACATTGTCGTCAGTGGTGGTGCTGACTCCGGTCGTACCAGTGTGTACAATGGCACGGCGTGGGTGAAGGGCCCCAGCATGGCAATTCCTCGCGGATATCACGCATCAACCACCCTGTCTGACGGTCGAATCTTCACAATCGGCGGGTCTTGGAGTGGCGGAGACAAGGTCGAGAAGAACGGCGAGGTCTATGTTCCTGGTGAGACTCCAAGATGGGAAAGACGTCCAGGCGCCAAGGTCGAGCCGATGATGACCGACGACCGTCTGGGAGCCTGGAGAGCCGATAACCACCCCTGGCTATTTGGCTGGAAAGATGCGAGTGTCTTCCAGGCTGGTCCTAGTAAGATGATGCATTGGTACAATGTCGATGCCAAAGACCACAAGGGTCGGATCAAGGGTTCCGTGAGAGAGGCTGGAAAACGCAAGGAGGATCACGATTCCATGTCTGGTAGCGCTGTCATGTACGATGCCACCAAGGGTAAGATACTTACCTTCGGTGGCCAGCGTCACTACGATGGCTCCTACGGTTCTAAAAACGCACACATCATCACTCTGGGCCTTCCCTACCAAGAGCCCAGAGTAGAGGTTGCCGGCAAAGGTCCTGATGGTGCGAGGGAAGGTGGAATGAACTATGAGCGTGTTTTTCACACCTCTGTCGTTCTTCCGGATGGAAAGGTCTTCATTGTCGGCGGCCAGAACTGGGGCAAGCCGTTCCATGAGGGGGATATCGATTTCACGCCTGAGATCTACGATCCTGAGACCGACACGTTCGTGAAGCAGAGCCGTAACAACATCAAGCGTGTCTACCACAGTATCTCCATGTTGCTGCCCGACGCTACCGTTCTTAATGGTGGAGGTGGTCTCTGCGGGAACTGCTCTGCCAACCACTACGATGCTGAGATCTTCACTCCACCATACCTCTTCAATGCCGATGGCAAGAAAGCCGCCCGACCAGAGATCTTAAAGATCATCAACGGAAATTTGAGAGTCGCCGTTGGCAAGGTACTAAGATTTGAAACAGACTCTGCAATCAAGTCTGCCTCCCTGGTCCGTGTCGGAACAACCACCCACACCGTCAACACCGACCAGCGTCGTGTGCCCCTGGTCCTTAATTCATTGCCGCAAAATAGATACACTGCTCGGCTTCCGGACGACGCTGGTATCATTCTTCCTGGGTGGTATATGCTGTTCGCTATGAACGCTCAGGGTACCCCCAGTGAGGCGAAGATGGTCAAGGTTGAACTCCCTTCTGGTCATCGGTATGAGTCTAGCAAATACACGGAAGCGGAGGGAGAGAAAGATCTCACATCCGGCAATATTGGAGGATCTCACTACTGTGACGACGACGATGACGCAGTTGAGGGATCAATGTCTTTTATCTTTGCTCTGACCAGCAACTTCTGGAAGACCTGGAAATCGGTCTTGATCACTAAGGCTTGATGTGCACAACGGCGAGAGAGAGCATGAGGAGTTTTTATTGTACAATCTGTGAATATCAATAAATGTACCACAATTTGAAACAGCTTCCAAATATAAGGTTTTATCCGAACATATTCAGCCCGCGGTACCCAGTTCTTATGGATATGGATGGAACTTGGTCATCATGTGCGTGGCAGAAGAACAATATCAATATTCTTGCTTTCAAAATGTGATATTATCTGATCTCCCCGGTAGAAAGGATACACTGATGTACCTACTACGTTTATTGAAGATGCTCTAGCACGTTGAGCCAGGCAAATCTCCCGAGATATATAACTATACTCGTATCAGAAGACAGCTCATCTGAACGAAACACCTCCAAGTTATATTTATTCCACCAATACGCCTAAATTCTTGTATACCAATGGGTGATAGACATGGTTTTACTCCAAAGGCCTCTTTCGCTCCCCCTTCTAACATGTTTTGGTGAGAGGTAGTGATGGCGAGACTCAACACCGTTTCGTCGTGACTTGAACAGCTTATCCTCTGTATAAGACCTATCTAACAACCACCTGCATGGCTTTCTTAATCAAGTCTGCAGTTCAGTTGCGTCATTTCGGTCCAATTGCCCTTGCGATGCTTGTTTGAATTGGAGTCCAGCCGCGCTGTTCATACCACCTGAACAACAATTCTTCGGCTCGCTTTCTGGGTAGGATCTCCGCGTAATCCCTACCTTCATTCTCTGGGGCTTTTGGAAGGCTCTGATTGTCAGGTCGGAGCCAGCGCAGATATTGGAGGATCTCGGTCCAATTGTGTGGCTCAGCAAACGCGAAGACCCTCTCCATCCGAACAGAGGGATCCATGACCGCAATCGTGTAGAGGCGGGCAACATCTTCAACATCCACAAACCATTCTAGTATTTTTTGGAGGGTCAGTGATTAGAAGGGCTTCCGGGCTGGTCATCGCGAATGTGCCACGTACTTGGAGGAACCAATGCAATGACTTCTTGTTTACCCTCTAGAAGATCTTTAACCCACCTCATCGTGGAGCCACCAATCTCTTGATGGAGGATCTCCCCAACCTGCAAGAGTAAGCAATGCGCCCCCTTCTTGTCATATCTAGATCCAGTCTGCTCTTATGTAAACTGTTGACCTACTGTGAAGGATGCCACCACGACATTTAGTTCAAAGAGGGGTCGATGCTCTCGAACCCAATTCCACGCGGCTCTTTCTGCCTCCGTTTTACACGCAGCATAGGTTGCTAGTCTTTTCTTCCACTGCAACGCATTGTTGGACGGAAAAGACTGGTCAAAAGCCTCTTGAACAGCTTCATCATTCCATGAATCTATAGATCCCATTGGCTTAGAATATCAATTTTGCCCTATGATGATACCCTGGGAAGGAGAAGTTGACTGACGTTCAGTGATCTGTACGCCTTCTCGGTTGGGCACACTTGTGTAGACGGCCATCGAAGACGAGCCTATGATAACCCGTCGGATGGAGGGTTGCAGATATGCGGCTTCTAGGACGTTGACTGTTGAGCGAATGGAGAGCGGAATGACGTCCTGTGGGTTCTCTGTGATGGAGATGTCTCCGGCCTGCAGTCATCAGTTCTCTGCTTCTTATTGGCATCAACTGAAGCCATTCTCTCGGGACAGGGTCTCACCAGGTGTAGGACGCCATCCACTCCATGCAACGCGTGCCTAATCAACTCAACATCATGAAACCCTGGCAGGATACATGTAGTGAATTTATTGCGCCCATAAGTCTCCTCGAAGAACTGGTTCAGCCACGGCTTTTCACCACGCACAGTTCCTCGGACACGATAACCAGAACGGAGAAGTTCATTGATGACTTGGCTAGCGATGTATCCGTTAGCCCCAGTGACAAGGATCAGGGAGCCCAACGGCAAGGCCAAAGTGATTTTTGTCATTTGAAATTGATTCTAGTTAGCTGAGAGGGGTCACTGAGGGCCATGGCAGGAGTCATAGGCTAGTCTTTGTCCTATAAGACGGAGCGGATCTTTTTTGCATAAGTTCTACCATTGGGCCGGAGGCAGCTGCGGAGAGACACTGAGAATGCACCCTTACTTGGAGTATTCGTTTCTGCATGTCTCTCAGGGAACTTCGTGCATATTACATACATTCGCAACAGCCCCCCCTGCTGAGTCACGCTTGCATACTTCATCTGTCTATGTAGTGCTGCCCAAGGTTGCATCAGACTTGAGGTGGTTGTTCTGCCCTGCCTTGCGTTACTATGCTTCATACCTCCATCCCTCTAGCCAGCCACATTGGGGGACAATCGTAGCATTGATTTCATACTTTAGTAATAAGATCCCTTATGAGGCCTGTGCTTATAATGATCATCTAGAATGTACAGAGTAGTCTGTCTGTTTTGATGCACAATCATACAGTCACATTGTACACTATGCCTACTACAATCACTACTTCTCAGATCAGGTTTTGTGGGCGGCGCGGCCCATCCTGGGCCTTAAATCAAGCCAAGAGAGTGGTCAGTATGTCTGGTATAGAGATGTATCTCTATGGGGGCTGCGATAGGATTCATTATTATTGATGCGAGCGTCACTGGCATTCATATTTATAACCCCCCCAGTAGGCATACTCACACTTTCAGTACTCAGTCTTCTCCGAAGATAAATACAAGAGATCGCCAGGATGACCCAGAAATTCTTCGCCCTTTCAGGGCACAAGAGAATTGTCTGTGGGTGCTTTACACAGCTACCAGGACTATTACCGCCGTTTCCGCGGAGCACTGCCAGGTCAGAGATCTTCTCCAGGATGGACCTTCCCAACCAGAGCTTACTGTAGGAAAGATAAGGGAAGTAGATAACTGTAGCTACGAGTTCTCAGAGGCCCCCGTAAAAACGTAGTACTCATCACTCGCTTTCTCACTGATGGTTAGTACGGAGTATAGCTTAGTAGCACCTCAGATATCTATAACGTTATGGAATGGTTGATACTAGTCCGACACCGGGAGCAAGGAGTGCTGATTCCACCTTGGTATGTTTCCTTGCCTGACCTTATAAGTATGGTAGCAAAACGATTATTCTTCTGATGCATGACCCTCTTGAGTAATGCAGGCAGGCCGAGTACAAAGCTGAGATCTTCATCTCTAGATGCACAATCCGAGACAAGTCTGGCCACGCCAGGTTAGCAAGGATGTCCCCTTCATAGAAGGCTACTTGCTAAAGTAGAGATAAGGGGTAGATTATACTTTGTTTTACAAGGAATGGTCAGCAAAACTGCCCCTCCATGCAAGGTTTGTTGGCGGTTCCTAACTTTGCCTTGAAGGCATAACCGAGCATACAGACTACAAGAACGAGCAACTCAATCAGTTAGCTCTTTGAATACTGTTGTGGGACCTCTTTGACAAGCCCTTTTCCTCAGCTCATCCATCCCAGGCCAGAATATTGTGATTCATCTTCCCCCAATATCCATAATGGGCTCAATTTCCACCGACTGCGATGTCCCTGTTCTACTGGATATCCGGAAATCAGCCGAGCTGCTGAACCTCCGTTCCTTTGTTATATCGGGGCTTACGGCGGAACGGAAGACGCTGCCTTCTCTTCTTCTGTGGGATGATCAAGGGCTGAAAAATTTCAACGAATGGACAATGAGTGCAGATTACTATCCCAGGGCACGGGAGTTGGAGATCATTGACACCCACAAACATGAGATGGCGCAGGACCTGCCAGAGAAATTTGCCATGATTGAGTTAGGCTGCGGGTAGGCACAGGTCCATCAGTGAGCTACTTCCATCCACCGACTTGTTCTGACCCAAACCGCTTCTAGGAACCTCTACAAGACAGCTAGCATTCTCACCGCTCTTGCTCAGAAGGGCAGAGAGGTCCATTATCATGCACTCGACGTCTCCGCCGAGGCACTGTCAAATAGCCTGAACGGATTGAAAGCGCACCTCTCAGGCCATCCAACGATCAGAGTCTCCGGGATTATTGGAACATATGAAGATTGTGTTGACTGGCTCACCAATTCCGCAGCTCTAGATCGGTTGGGACTCTCGCATGTCAACTTCCTATGGGTCGGAAACACAGTGGCAAACCTAGAACAGTCGGAAGCGAGTGCTCTACTCGGAAAATTTCGTCAGGGATGCAAGACTGTCGGTTTAACATGTAGCTTCCTGATTTCTGCTGACTGCTGCTCCAATAAAGACAGAGTGATCAATGCCTACAATCCCAACCATGAACCTGCACGCACCTTCATGCTGCACCCTCTACATCATGCCAACATGCTGCTGGGCCACGAAGCCTTCCGGCTGCAAGACTGGGATTGTACGCTGGAGTACGATACTACCGAGAATGAAATTTTGTTCTGGTATTCTCCAAAAGTGGAAATCACTCTCGAGGTTGGCCAAAAGCACATCCACCTGCCGGAAGCAACAAAAGTCTTGTTCTGGCGGAGTGGAAAGTGGACGCCTACCCAGGTGGAACGAGTTGCCAGCGATGCAGGATTCAACGCTGGTCGTTTGTGGCAGGACGAACTTGGAGAGTACGGTAAGTAGATCCATAAAAAAGGTCGTTCCACGATATGAATTAACAAAGTCCCTCTAGGCTTTTACCTTCTTGAGAGCATGTAATACCTATGCCTGATTGAACCGGGATCGCGAGTTGGGTCATGGTGGAGTGGGAATCGTCCTTGCTGTTCGACTGCCTATATCCTTGTCAGGAAAGGGGAATAGAACTATAATCTGACGGCAGATGAATGGATTTTTTCTAGTAAAGCTCATTCGTCTATCTAGCATCCGTAATCCGACCAGACTTTGCTCCTAGAGTGGTGGCTTGATTGGCAACGTATTCAGCCCTTTTTTGTACTGTATAAGAGGAGCGGCAGGGGTAGTTCCCGACCTCACCAGGCTGCTATGCTACTAGTATCTATGCGCACAGGAGGTCGTGGGGGAGAACCGCTGCCGAACCGCTGCGTAGGTTCAAGCAAGGGAGGACTGCTGTTGAATGAGACACATACATCCCTTGATCGTGCGATGCGCCAGCGGTATTTAACCACCTAGCTTGATCCAGCTCTGTTGCGCAAAGAAGAAGAAACAGCCCTTCACAAATAATCGATCAACACATAAACTCGCTTGGGCTTAAACAATGGGTGATAGAACAGCACCGAGTGGCGGAATGCTTCCAAGACTTAGCGATGGAGTCGAACCTGGGGATTTGACCATTTCATTCCAGGATCTTCCACCGAGGGTAATTGCACCGATTCAGGGATTCTGTGATGAGAAAGATATCGAAATCGCTGCCTTTTTTCGGTCTTTATGGGCAGTGTTTGTGCGTGTCTTTTCAGAAGCAGACCAGGTTTGTTTTGGATGTGGAGATTTGCGCTTGACGCCTGAACAGAAGGCCAAATTTAAGGTCATCCAGACAACATTCTCGACAGAGATCACGATTGCTCAATTACTCGAGGATGAAAATGGGGAGGCAGCTACTGTTCTTGACAACGAGACAGCTCCACCACACAACTCTGCTCTGCTGCTCACCCAAGCAATCGATAAGACGGAGGCAATGGAAAGCGTGGCCAATGTCATGGTACATATTGATGAATACCCTTCCGGCACTTGCAAGAGTTGACATGGCATGTATAGGGAGCTTACGGCGTCTTGATACTGGTCGAGGTGGACGATGCATCGGCGCCAGTCAATCTGTCCCTCTGGTATCATACATCGATCCTTTCTCCGCGGTACGCCGAGCACCTCGCTTCAACCGTGGCAAAGATTATCGAGGAAATCATAGGATGCCCAGAAAGGCGTATTAGAGATGTTGACATGTTCAGCCAGTCGAATAAGAGTGACGTCCTTAACTGGAACGTCCGTCCATGCCGGGAGCCGGAATCCCTGATGGGCACCATCTCTCGTCATGCTAAACAGCGTGCGGACCATCCAGCTATACATGCATGGGACGGGATCGTTTGCTATTCGGAGCTTGATTCGCTGGTCGCCAAGTGGGCACAGCATCTTCACCAGCGAGGTATTGGGAGACGGGCCATGGTTTTGGTGCTCATGGACCGCTCTAAATGGGCCGTCATAGCGGAGATGGCTGTCCTCAGGGTCGGTGCAGCTTTTGTACCTCTCGACGCAGCTCAGCCCTTAGAACGGCTTAACTACATAGCACATGAAACCGGCGCGACACTCCTACTGGCCTCTGAGCGCTTTGTCGACTTATTATCGAGCCATGTCGACAGCACTCTCGTGATATCCGACAAAACCACGAAGAGCCTTCCGGAGCCTCACGAATCTAGTAGCTATCCTAGCACTCCCGAAGATACTGCCTATGTGCTCTTTACATCTGGCAGTACAGGCAAGCCAAAGGGCTGTGTGGTCAGTCATGGCGCGTTGGCTAACGTGGTGCATCATGGCGTAGCGCTCAAGATTCTACCCGAAAGTCGCGTACTACAGTTCGCATCCTACACCTTTGGCGTCTCGCTGATCGAAATATACTGTACTTTAGCCCGTGGTGCCACGATTTGTATTCCTTCAGCAGATGACCGTATCAATGCCCTGGACCGGGCGATGAATGATATGCAAATCACTTGGGCCTTTCTAACCCCCTCCACAACCACTTCTATTATGGGTCCAGTCGAAACGTTACAAACGCTTGTGCTAGCTGGTGAGCCCATGGGCCTCAACCACCTCCACACCTGGATTGATCGGGTTGAGTTACTTCAAGGCTTCGGTTTCACTGAATGGGCAGGAGTCTGTTGTGTCTCAAGGATCGGTTCGGAGCGCGACATGCGTCTGATCGGGTCATCACCGACTGCTCGCCTTTGGTTGGTAGATCCAACGGATCATAATAGACTTGCTCCTATAGGGGCCGTTGCTGAACTTGTTGTGGATGGCCCCGCGCTGGCCAAAGAATATTTGAACAACCCTAAGCAGACCGAGGCGTCATTTCTGGCGAACCCGCCTTGGCTTAGGTCTATGAGTTCAGGCGGTCTGACAGCCAGCAGGCTATATAAAACAGGCGACTTGGTCCAATACCGCGCAGATGGGACACTTAAATATGTTGCCCGAAAGGATACTCAGGTCAAGATCAGAGGACAACGGGTGGAGCTGGCAGAAGTCGAATATCACGTCCGGCGGGCCTGTACGCAGGTTCAAAAGGTGATAGTAGACGCAGCGCCTCCAGCAGACAGCAAGCAAGGCCCTATCCTGGTTACGTTTCTGTACTCAACACAACACGAAGCTCTCCTAGCCGGATTCCCATCTCAAGTAGCAGCGATCAAGGCAGAGCTGGAGACATGCTTGCCCGACTATATGCGACCCAGCGTTTACTATCCACTCCAGTCAGTTCCGCTAACCGTGTCAGGAAAGACAGACCGGCGAGCCCTTCGCCAGCTCATCCAGACCTCGACGCTTCGCGATTTGCAAGCGCATGAGTCACCTGAGTCGATAATTGTTGCGCCAACGACAAAGATAACAAAACAATTGCACCAGCTCTTCGCAGAAACTCTCCACCTCGATCCGTCCACCTTTGGCATTCATCACAGCTTCATTCACCTTGGCGGCGATTCGGTAACCGCCATGCAGCTAGTGAACCGTGCCCGGAGAGCTGGCTACCGTCTAAAGGCTCATGAGGCTCTCAAGCTTGAGACTGTGGCCCGGATAGCGAAGCATTTGAATGCGGATGACTCGGGGCCATCCCTCGACCCCGTCTTAGTAGATACATCGCCATCATGTACGCCACAATCCCAGCTTCGCCTAGATGATCAGCAATTACACGAGCTCGTCCAACAACACTTGTCGTCTTTGGGAATATCTGGGGCACAGGATGTCGAGGCAGTTCTCCCCTGCTCACCAGTGCAGGAGGGTATGCTGGTAAGCCAAAACCACGACAACACACACTATCAGATGCGCTTTGTGTGGGAAATTATGGCCCGAGACCGTCTCCAGCCCATGGTCAACCTTCCTCGCCTACAGTCCGCGTGGCGCAGTGTTCGGCAACGTCACTCAATGCTCCGAACAATCTGCCTTACAAATGCAACGTCAGACCAATATGCTATCCAAGTCGTCCTCCGGGACACGACCCTCGTAGAGGCAGCCGTCATCCACGACCCTCTTATTGATCCATCCTCCATCTTGATGCGCAAGGAGGCCATCAGACAACCCGGTTCACCAGATGTCCCGCAATTGACCATATTCCATGTGAATAATGTCAAAGTGTGGGCTGTGCTGAATGTGAACCACACTATAGTCGACGCGATGTCAGTGTCTCTAATAATGCGCGACCTATCCTTCTTCTACTCCGGTTGCACCGATCAGCTAGCGGTAACCCCTGCGGAATATGGGGCGTACCTCGATTACTTGAGTACCCTGAAAATAGACGCAGGTTTATTGTTTTGGGAGCGTTACCTCGATGGCCTTGAGCCATGCCTTTTCCCATTGCTGAATTCCTCTCGACAAGCAGCATCACCGCCTAGACTGCGGTCTCTCCCCGTTAATTTAGGAGAGGATGCTGTGGGATACCATGCATTCTGCAAAAATCATGGGCTTACGGTCGCAAGCCTCTTCAAACTCGCCTGGGCTCTAGTCCTTCGTCTTTATACTGGATCCTCGAATGTATGTTTCGGCTATGCTCCCTCTTTTCGGGATGCTCCGTTGCTGGGAATTGAGGATGCCGTTGGCCCGTTTATCAACATGCTTCTGTGCAAAGTTGATATGACTCAAAGTAGTTGTTCTCTCCTGGACATCCTCAAAGATATCCAGGCGAGCTCACTGCATGCATTGGAGCACCGCCATGTTCCGTTGACAGAGATCCGACACCATCTACATCTCGCGGGCGAAATGATGCTGAATACAGGTATAACCTTTCCCGCACGAGTTCGTCAACCAAGTGACTCTTCAACTGCTATTGCCATTACCGAGATTGAACGGATGGATCCTACCGAGGTGAGCTGCCGCCCGTACATTCGTTTGTTCCCACTTGGTCCTTCCTGAGTTCATCCACCAAATCCTCATTTGCTTCGCAGCGATTACTGACACCGGCCTTTAGTATGATATCGTCCTCGTAGTAGATGCCCACGACGCCGAAGTTACATGTACCATCAAATTCGATGAGCACTATCTCCCAGACATGCACGCAGATAGCCTCGCAGACACCCTCAAACAGGCTCTTCGTACCATCATCACGGAACACCACCAATGCGTTTCGCAGGCCCATCTCTTAGGCCCAATCCAGCAGAAGCAGCTGGAGCGGTGGAACCATGAAGACCCACGGGACCTCAAACAGTGCGTGCATCAGCTCATCCTTGAGAGATGTCGACTCTCACCGGACGCCTTGGCGGTTGATGCATGGGACGGACGCTGGACATATCGTGAACTGAACGACCTTTCGTCGCGCCTTGCGTATCATCTCCAGGAATCGAATCCCGGCCTAGGTCCGCAGGTTTTTGTCCCTCTTTGCTTCACCAAGTCACGTTGGCTACCGATAACCGTCTTGGCCGTCATGAAGACCGGCGCTGCGTTTGTTCTGCTCGAGCATTCGAACCCCCTAGAGCGCCTGCAGGATATTTGTGCACAGCTGCAAGCACCGTTTATGCTGAGCAATAAGCAGTGTGCTGACCTCGCTAGGCAATTGGGCAGCAAGGTCATGATTGTGGATGACGAGGATCGGTCTTGGGCACTTCTTGCTACACATGAAAGCGCGCCACCAGTCGCCAGTCACCACCCATTATACGCAGTTTTCACCTCTGGCTCCACAGGAACGCCCAAGGGCGTGGTGGTCGAGCACCATTCCTTCGCAGCTACCGCAACAGCAGTCCGGGACTCTACGGGCTTCACGGCAGAAGACCGCATGTTCCAGTTCTCATCGTACGCCTTCAACGTCAGCGTGATGGAGCATCTTCTATCCCTGCTGTCAGGCGCCTGCCTGTGTATTCCATCCGAAAGCGATCGCAAAAATCGGTTAATCGAGTGTGCCAACGAGCGTGAAGTCACTTTTGCCATCCTTACCCCTACCGTTTTACGGCTGCTGGACCCCCATCGGGTCCCTACACTGAAGGCAATCATTGTCGGCGGTGAGCATGTCCGTGAATCGGAGATCCAGACGTGGGCTTCGAACGTCCGGCTTTATAGTATGTATGGCTCTGCTGAATGCTCTGGCGTTGCTACATGGCACCGTTGCACGGGGCAGAAGTCAGACGACGGGATGATTGGCAAGGCATTGCGATCTGTCGCGACGTGGGTGGTGGACCCCCAGAGTGCGGATGTTCTGTCCCCCGTGGGGGCTGTAGGCGAGTTACTGCTGGAGGGGCCTGGAGTGAGTCGGGGATACCTCCACGCTCGTCAGATAGGAGTGGAATCCCCCTTTCTGGTACAGCCGCCTCAATGGGCCAGACATTTCCGTGGCGAGGGAGCGGCCGCTGAGCGTCGATTCTACCGTACTGGTGATTTAGTAATGTACACCACCGACGGAAGCCTGCGTTTCATGGGGCGGAAGGACACCCAGGTCAAGATTTCTGGTCAACGGGTTGAACTAGGGGAGATCGAGACGGCGATAGAGGATTTCTTCGCTGGGACTCATCAGGCCGTTGCCGACGTTGTCACCCTCGCAGCCGAGGGAACCAACCAAGAAACATCCCACCCCGTTCTGACTGCCATGCTCCACGATCGATCCGCTCGCTTTGATAAAGGAGTTCTTTCAGATGGAAGCCTTCTTATCCGGGGCGAGAAGCTCCCTCTCACGCAGGCGACGGCTCTATTGGCTCATTTAGAATTATCACTGCCGCGATACATGGTGCCGTCCATGTTCATCGCCCTGCGAAGAGTTCCCCTGACCAGGACCGGGAAGATAGACCGCAAATGCTTGCGTCAAGCCGTGCAAGCGGTGCAAATTGGGGACATGGATCAGTACAACGCCGCTGCAACCCAGTGCCAGCCGGTGACTTCTCAGGCAGAAAAGGATCTGCAACTTCTGTTCGCAGAAACATGCCAGATGTCCAGAGAGAGCATCTCAGCCGACAGCAACTTTTTTCTCATTGGCGGTGATTCTCTCCTGGCGATGAAGATGATCATTGCTGCACGCCGTATGGGCATCCAGCTTGCTGTCGAGAACATCATGCGAAATCCACGGCTAGCAGACCTCGCGGCAACAATTAAGTACAGCAACACCGATGAGCCAGTGCTGGAACCCATTCCTCCGTTTTCTCTCCTTTCACTGAGCTCATTGATCACGGTCCAAAAATGGGCAGTTAGTCTGTGTCATCTGACCCCAGACACCATCGAGGACATTTACCCATGTACCCCAATGCAGGAGGGAATGATGGGCCTGAGTCAGAAGAAGCCCGGGATGTATGTTGTCAGGGTCCCTTTTGATCTTCCCGTGGATACAGATGTTCCACGACTTTGTCGAAGCTGGCAGATGACGGTAAACAGCAACGCAACTCTCCGCACACGTATTATGCAGACCCCCGATGCAGGGCTATATCAAGTCGTGGCCACTCCCGGTGCATCCGAGATCGAGTGGCCAGTGTATCATGGTCTAGATGCCTGTATAGCCGAGGACGCCGCCCGCCCAATGGGTCTCGAGCAGCCACTTCTCCGGCTTGCCCTCATCCGCCATAAAGACAATAGCCGCGTCACAAATCTTGTGTTGACTATGCATCATGCTATCTACGACGGGGCGTCAGTGGTATCGCTGTTAGACCAGGTGGAATCCGCCTATCGCGGCCAACGCCTCGATCTTACGCCATTCAATTACTTTATTCGACATGTTACAGCGCAGGACTCGGCCCTGCAAGCAGCTTTCTGGGCATCGGAGTACGAAGGTCTGGAAGCCTCTATCTTTCCACCACTCCCGGCGGCTGTGCAGACACCTGAGCCAATCTCAACTCTGGAAACACCAGTATGCGTGCCCCTGGGGCCGAGCAGGGCCGATGCCACATTGACCACCGTGGTCCGGCTCGCCTGGGGAATGCTTGTTTCCCACTATACAAACAATCGGGATGTAGTCTTTGGCGTCACCCTTTCCGGTCGCACGACTTCTATCACCGCTTTGAATCAGGTATCCGGGCCGACTCTTGCAACGGTCCCGTTCCGAGTGAGGATCGATGGAAAGAAGAAGGTGCATGATATGCTCTCTGACGTCCAGGCTACTGCAACACGCATTCTGCCCTTTGAGCAAACCGGGCTACAGAGAATCCGGAAAATAAACCAAGAAACTGCGTCTGCATGCGATTTCCAGAGCCTTCTCGTTGTGCAAGCACCACGCACGGATGGGCGAAATGGAAAGGTCATGCAGCTCCCAGAGTCGCACCAGTCCTCATATGATGCATTCGCCAATGACGCCCTGATGGTGGTCTGCGATCTCCCAGACATAGGGGCTAGCGAGCGTACCCTCAATATTTCTGCCAGTTTCGACGAGCGGATTCTTGACCCAAAGCAAGTGCAGCGTATGATGGGACAGTTTGCACACATCATACAGCAGGTGCACAGCGAGCCAGGCCGGCTCATTGGCGACATTGAAGGAGCAGGCCCGAGCGACATGAGACAGCTGCAAGAATGGAATGGGCGTCTCCCCCCTGCATCGCCCCATACACTACACGGTCTTGCTTTGCGCCACGCTCGTAACCGGCCACATACTCTGGCAGTGTCCTCTTGGGATGGTGAACTCACGTACCAAATGTTGGACATTGTCACAGCTCACCTGGCGGCGAAACTTGTTGAACTGGGCGTCACCAGTGGGATGTTTGTGCCACTCTGTTTTGAAAAGAGCGCTGTGCCGACAGCCGTCATGGTCGCTGTGCTGCGCGCTGGCGGTGCTTGCGCCAATATCGATCCCGCTCTTCCCTTGGAGAGGGTTAAGGAAATGCTGCATCAAATTCGACCTACTCTGGTCCTTGCGTCAGCTGCCAAGCGGGGGTCAATGATCACGGCCTTAGGAGGAAGAGAATTAGTCCACGTCATTCCTTCGTTAGACAGCCTCATACGCACGGCTGAGACAGAACCTCCACGATCCGCCGATGTCCCAGTGTCCCTGAACGATCCAGCATTCCTTCAATTCACTTCTGGTTCAACAGGGACTCCGAAGGGAATCATCCTGGAGCATGTAAACCTGGCCACCAGTATAGAGTACAACGCGAGCAAGCAAGGGTTGGGTCCTTCATCTAGGGCGCTACACTTTGCTTCGTATTCATTCGACGTGAGTATATACGAGAATTTTTCAACCCTTGCGCTTGGTGGATGCGTCTTTGTCCCATCTGAGGAAAGGAGAATTTCAGACATCGCAGGGTATATTCACGAGAATCGTCTAAGCTGGGCAATGATCACTCCATCCCTAGCGAGTACTATTCGCCCCTCTGACGTCCCCAGTCTGGAGACACTCGCACTGGTTGGGGAAGCCATTCCACTGGAGGTGGCCGAGACATGGGCTTCCAAAGTCAGACTAGTCAACGCGTATGGACCCTGCGAAGCAACATTCTGTGCGGCAGGCGATATCCCATCCGGGACATGGTTACCCGGTACCATTGGCCCCATGCTGGGTAGCGTGGGCTGGATCACACGTCCAGACGATCCTTCACGGCTGGCTCCTGTAGGAGCCATTGGCGAGCTTCTAATTGAGGGCCCTCTCGTCACCAGGGGATATATTGATAACCCGCAGAAGACGAAGGAAGCATACATAGAGGCTCCGGAATGGCTTGCTAGGTTCCGTGATGGGAAACCTAGCCGTTTGTATCGCTCCGGCGACCTTGTGCAGTACGTGGAGGATGGTTTTATCAGGTACATCGGACGAGCCGATACGCAGATCAAGATCCGTGGGCAGCGAATTGAACTTGGGGAGGTAGAATATTTTGTCAGTCGAGTCTTCCCACGCGCCCGGCAGGTGGTGGCGGATCTTGTTTTACCTTCTGAAGGAAGCAAGCAGCTACTTCTTGCTGCATTCGTCCTTCTCCCGAATGAGGACCAGAGCGAGGCATCAGGGCAGAGTCAAGGTTATATCCTGCCCGCGTTCGAAGAGTTCCGCGTGAACATCTCCGTCGCACTTCCTCGGCTCCAGGTCTCCCTCCCTTCTGCTATGATCCCCGTTATATATCTGCCATTGGCTTCCATTCCCCTAACGGCTAGCGGCAAAACCAACCGTTTACTATTGCGGCAGTTGGCGCAGTCTCTGACGTGGCGCGATCTGGAGCCATACACGGGCAGCCAGATGGCATGCAACCGAGGCCCCGAGACACCCATGCAATCGAAGCTGCACTCAGTGGCTGTAGCTGTCCTGGACATTCCTCTGGATCAGCTTGGTGTCGATGATGACCTGACCCTGCGAGGGTTGGATTCCATCGGGGCCATGAGATTTGTCGTGGCTCTTCGGCAAGAGGGGCTCTGTTTAGCGGTGACCGACATCTTCGCGCATCGTACTCTTTCTGCCCTTGCGAATATTGTCGAGAGTATTCATACCGATGTTGAGGAGATCCAAGAATGGAAGGGAGGAAACGGTCAGGGACCGGTATCATCGCTGGTCAAGGGCCACTCACAAAATATCATGAATGACTTGAAATCTCAATATGCCATCCACCCCAACGATGTTGAGATAGTGCTTCCGACGACGCAATTTCAGCGGGAGTGGCTCTCATCCTCACATCACGGGTACCTAGCCCTTCGTCTGCCAGCTTCCTTCGATCACGAGCGCCTACAGCACGCCCTTCAGGCGGTCGTAATGAAACACAGCATACTGCGCACCGTGTTCGTTAACCTTCCGGGGATGACAGTCCTGCAGCTTGTTCACAGCCGCACGCAGGTGCAGATTCAGATAATTCAGGATCCCAACAATGATATTGAAGACATTTGCAGAGAGGATGCGAGCTCACCAGTGCCATACGGGGGTCAGTATTTCCGACCAATTTTAGTCCGCACGAGTTCTGGGCAGGACAACACCTTGATTCTGCGATTATCTCACGCGCAATATGACGGGCTGTCCCTTCCGATTCTCCTCCGAGACATCTCGACGTATTACAGCAATGATCCATCTGAAGTCGATATCGCCCTGTCAACCCAAAAGACGTTTGCCGATTTTGTCACGCGCCGCGCCCAGATGCAAACACCAGCGGTTTTTGACTTTTGGAGAGAACTCCTACTGGGTTCTTCCATGACGCGCCTTAGCCCCGACACTTTAGGAGCCGCTGGCCACGATATGCCGGAGGTCAGCATCTTCCGGAAAAAGATGATTTCCATGCCCACTTTGCCCGCAGGAGTAACGTTAGCCACTCTTCATAAAGCAGTGTGGGCGATCGCGCTCTCGCGGATGGTGTCATCTCACGATATCGTCTTTGGCGAGGTCGTCCATGGACGCAGTATGCCCATGAAAGAAGTGCTCGACATTCTTGGGCCATGCACCAATATCATCCCGGTGCGCGTGCAGATTACCCCCGGCCAGACCGTCCAGGAGCTCCTCAATCACATTCAAAGCCAGCATTTCCAAACCACAGAGCACTCGGTCGCGGATATGGACGATATCGTGCAACAGAGCACCTCTTGGCCTCCAGGGACGGGATACGGCAGCGTCGTACAGCATCAGAATGTCCCGTTGACCTATGATCTGTCTCTGGAGAACCACCAGATGACAGCTACGACATACACATACAACTTTGTTCCCAAAGTGCCCTATATAACATCGTGGCCATGGAATGACAAGGAGCTGGAGATCGGTGTATGGGCATCCAATCATAGCCTGGACACGGCAACGGCCGACCGCATAGTTGAGGAGGTGGGTGAGATGACCAAGGCGTTGGCACTGTCGTTGGACCGTTCAGTTGAGAGTTTCCTATAAATTCGGTCCCCAAGGCGCTCGTGTCCGATAGATCGGACAGGTTGAGTTTCTGATATTGCAGATCTGCTCTTGCTACTAGACTCCCTAGCTGATAAACAGCATTACGTGCTACGTAATTGCCTAGCAGCGGACATCAATATATCGTAAGGTCTCAAGGTTTTTTACGGTCAATTTGGGTTGAGCATTGCGGGGTTGGAAGCCCATCTTCAACGAACTCCACGACAGATAATAGAAACCCATGGATCCTCGTTGGAATTTACGGATGTCTACCCGTTCTGGTAGCTGCATGATGTACCTGAATTTTTTGACCACGCTTCATCCCTTCTCGTGTGGTTCTTTCTGATATTTCAAGTGGGGTTGGACAGTAGTTTGCCAGTACTTACAAACTGCCGAAGCCATACTTAAAGCTGCCACCTAATCAGTGTGCGCATACAATTCTACATCAACAGTTTCCGTACAGCCGCCTTCGTCGAAATATATATATATATTTCTCTCGCGTACACTATTGGATTCAACCACCCCATCTAACCCAAGGTACTCCGTAAAAAAAAAAAAAAAAAAAAAAAAACACTGCATCTTTCTGGTGCAGCGGTCGCTCTCCGACTCCCGAAACCTTACATAGTACTGGAAACGTTTATACCAGTGCTCGTCCAATGAACTCGCCCAACTTCTTCTGATCCAGAATCTCCCCCTCCAGCAGCTTTCCTGTCTCCACCGTCTCCTCGTGGACGCGTTCATACCGGATCAACGTCGGTATACACGGGACCTTCCAGTTGGTCCGGTAGATGTTCTGCGGATCTTTCCATCTAGAATGACCATGATCTCATGTCAGAAAAAAAAAAAAGAAACGGAGGGATCGTTCCATTCAGAGCAGCAACTAGCAGAGCGACGTACTCGGGCTTTTGTCCCACCTCGACAACAGCCAGCCGGGGTGCGTCCGCCGGGGAAAACGTGGCTTCAAGGACGGGCCAGGCGGCACGAACGTCCGGACACCAGGATTGACCCGTCACCGGGTCGTCAGAGGTCACAAACACAATGAACAACGCTTGGGCATCCTTGGGAAATTCAAGCTGGGCGGCCGAGCTGGGCAGTTGGAAGTCGGTGATGAAGGGCATTGTGATGGTTGGTGGGGTTGAGGAATTAGAATGGGGGGTTTGGAGGGGAATAAGAGAAAAATGAAAAGATCCCCGATAAGGAAAATGTGGTGAAGAGAAATCCCGCAATAAGAATGGCGGCATAATTGGAAGGGATGAGTTCAGTTGCTGTCAGAGCGGTGAAGCGCGCTGGTGGGACTGGTTAACTGGGTCACTGGGAGGCTGCGAAACAACCAACGATGAAGTGATTGAGAGTGATAATATAAAGTATCTCGAGATCGGAATGCATGTAGATCCTATTTTGCTAGATATTAAATACTATGATTCAAAAATCTTGTAAAGTTGTAGTACTATTGTTAGTCTGTCTAGTCGACTACAAGTTAACCTTGTACCTAACCATCTCCGTCGTGAGGTTCATACTGGCTAATCAGCAGCCATCCCCTAGACTAACCATATGGATAGCTGGATAGTTGTCCACCTACAAGTACATATGAAGTATCTCAGTAGTGTGTAGGCTGTGTCGCAAGTGCCAAGATGGTGAGGATGATACCACGCGTCTAACTTCAGCCACGGTTTCAAGATGACTCACTTCGTATTGGTTATAAAGTAGTCCGTTTCCCGGGGCATTGTCCAGTCTGGATAATCTTCTAAATATCGGCGACATGTCCAAGGTTACAATATCCGAGGACAATCCTTTCCAGGTTCTGATCAATGAGACGAACAATGATGCAGTAAGTCATATGCTATTGGGCTCTCATGAGATTCCCTTGCTAAGCCTTGCTATCAGGCTCAATTGCAGTCCCGCTATGAGAAGCATCGGGTAGATCGAAATGCGCAGCAAGCTGCGAAGATCCTGGCCCCCGATTTCGCCGGCTGGAATCTGGACGAGATTCTAGCGCGCATGGAAAGCCCTGCAAAGGAGGAGGGATTTGTGGATCCTCGCAACTGCCTGGTGATTTGGGCCCGGCCGCCGTCTCCAATTCGGGATCTTATAAAGTTTGTGCAAAGCGAACTCAAAAGCGTTGCTCCGAGTTAGTTTTCATCCCCGGATAACTCTTCCGCTCGGCCAGGAGGGAAAGGCGCTCATTAGGTCCCCACAGCCCTCTGGTTCATGCCGTCCGAGAACCTGCATACGACAGTATTAGAAATCGCCCATTCTCTGACCGAAGAGCAGATTGAGAGTCTGGTGCATACTCTGCAGTTATCACAGGATGTATGCGCATCAGAAATTGCAGACTACACGGTTGCTCATCAAACGCGCCTTATCAAGCCCATGGTGGCCTTTGATTCTACCGCTATGGCATTGACCTTCGTCCCAGCCGCTGGTCCCGACGGCCCCGACACCCAATCGAGTGACAAAGACGAGACCTACAGTTATCACCATCTACGTCGTGATATATCTGAAATGGTTCGGATGGCGGGTATATCGGTTGCGTCTCGATATATCGCTCCTTCAGCCCATCTCACCATTGCTCGGTTTGTCACTCAAGACGGCTTTGTCGAACCAGGAGATGCAGTGGGAGACAAACATGTCGACCCTTCCAAGGTCAAAGAACTGGTTGACAAAATCTATGCAATTAACCAGAAATTGCAGGACGAATTTTGGCCGAGTACGAATGGAACGATCAAGGCTGGCGGGGAGTGGCTAGTTGGTCAAGAAACGGGCTTGGTCATTCGCAAAGGTCGTCTCTGGTATGGCGGTGGTGTGGACGTACAGGTTGGGAGGGGATATTAAGTCTCAATTTATACTGATTAAACTCTCAGAACTATGTCTATACTCTCTGATGTACATACCCAGTATGCTCTTATTCTTCGGTGCTTCTATCATAGTGAGGCTACTCTACTTAGAGTGTCAACAGAACTCATTTAATGTAGGTGATGACAAAGAGAAGCTGAGGAACCCTGCATATAAATATATAAAAAGTAAATTTTAATTAATACTCATTAGCTAGTAAAACCGGTCATCTATAGTATCGAATTACTCTATTCTGATGTAACATGACAAATTTAGGGTACGTTCTACGGAGTATATACCCTCCAAATAGTGTCAAGTTTCTGTATCTTTTCGTATTTCGTTTCTATAGCAGTAAGCTGTGTTATACTAGAATATTAATAATAATAGGGTCCAATCAACAGACAGGGCAGGTCACTAAGGTTTTAGCGCCCTGGGCCAACCTAATTTACAGCGGCGGGACATCCATTTCCAACGCGTCCATGGCTGGGATAACTGGATAAGAGTTTGCCTGCCTGTGGGGTTTACGCACTTTACCCACAAAGAGTCCCCACTTGTTGTACCCACGACCTGACTCAGTCACTCAGTACTCAGTCTCTGTCTCCTGCTGCTATTGTCCTGGTGGATTCCCCCACCCCTCCAAACTGGGATTCGTTGCAGTCTTCATCTGAACATCCGAGGGATCAGAACGACAGAGGTAAATCATACGCGGGTCATGGCCGTTGCAGAAGAGCGATGTAGGGATAATGATCTTCCCGCACCCACAGAATGGGAAGTGGAAAACCTCAGACGTGTCTGCGATAACATTCCCTCGACCATATTCTTAATTGCCGTGGCGGAGCTAGCCGAGCGTTTTACCTACCGATGCATCACGGCTCCTATGCGTAAGCTCATGACTTGAAGAACCTCTGGCGAAAGCACTAACATGACACGAACATATCTAGAGAACTATATAGAAAACGCTCAAGATGATCCACTAAGACCAGGAGCTTTGAATAAGGTAGATCTTGGGGCGGGGCTGTAGAACGGCACCTTCAGAAAAGAATCGATTTGGGCACTGACGCACGCTCAATAGGGACAAGGAGTTGCAACTGGTATCAACTACTTCTTTACCGGCTGGTGCTATATGGCGCCGATTCTGGGAGCGGTCATGGCAGATACATTGCTTGGCAGGTACCAGACAATCTGTCTAGGGACCGGGTAATGGAGTCCCCATTTACAAGCACGCATACAGAGGAGAACATATCTGACAAACACAACAGAGTCGCGAGTTGTGGTGTCTCGATTCTTTTCGTCACGTCTTTTCCTACCAGTCTTGAGCACGGCGCTGGCTTACCGGGCCTCATCGTTGCATTAGTCTTGATTGGCTTGGGGTCAGTAATATCAGGAGAACTCAAGAGTCTGATTCCATCACGCTGACTTTCTGTTATAGCTTCGGAGGGATCAAGAGCAATGTTGCTCCTCTGATCGCTGAGCAGTACTCGAGGAAGCCCCTCCAGATCAAGACTCTAGGAAGTGGAGACAAGGTCATTGTAGATCCCAACCTCACGATTCAGACTATTTATGGTCGTTACTACTGGTCAGTGGTCATTGATCGCGGTTTACGAAAAACAACACACTGACCTGGTTTAAGGGTTATCAATATTGGCTCACTCTCCGTGATACCAGCTTCTGTGAGTGTATCCATGTCTATGTCTTGCCTGATTATACTGACAGGTATGCGGTTCAGTGGTTGGAGTTGAAAGTTTCATTCTGGGCTGCATTCCTCCTACCGCTCTGCTTCTGGGTCTTACCAGTCAGCGCATTGGTCGTCGGTCGAGGAAGATATAGTAAGCGAGAAATCCACCTTCCATCGTTCACGTAGTGGTTGTTGATGATTTTTTCTAGTTGTCCAGAAGCCAAGTGGCTCCGTCCTCATCAAGGCAATGCGAGTCATCTGGCTCGCTCTCAAGGGAGGCTGCAATCTCGATGCTGCAAAGCCGTCGGTCTTGACACAAACTCACCCTGCGACTACCGTTCCCTGAGACGACGCGTTCGTCGAGGAATTGAAACGAGCACTTGTCGCATGTTCTGTTTTGTGAGTCATCTGAAGTGAGACAAGACTCCTGATATTTCTCTACTAACAAATTTCCACGCTTTTGATCAGCTGTGTGTTGTAGGTTTTAAGTACTCGTCAAAGACTCGGATCCCGGCAGACTAAGCTGGATTACAGTCCTATTTTCTGGGTTTGCTATGGACAGACCAACAGCAACCCGGTTAGCTAGGCAGCTACTATGAAAACCTATGGGATTCCAAATGACATGAGTATTTCGACTGGTGATCCTTCATCGTTTTGAGAGTACTAACTGAGACCCATAGTGGGATGCTTTAATCCAATCATGGTTCTGACCTTTCTTCCAACCATGTACGCATCCTTCTAGGCTGCCTTGTGTTTTGTTTTTGAACGTGTGAACTAAAACATACTCCAGGGAGAAGGTAGTCTACCCAGCCCTGCGACGATTTCGCCTCAGCTTTAAACCGATCAGTCGAATCACCGCCGGTTTCCTGGTTATGGCCTGTGCCATTGGATATTCCGCAGGGATTCAAGACTGTCAGTAGTATATTGTTTCAATCCCTCTCTCATGGCCTGCTAACCCAGGTCGCAGTGATTTACCGATCACCACCATGCTACGACCATCCTCTCAATGGATCTTGCAGCGATGGCGGAAGAACTCCAAATGACGTAAGAAAATTTTCCTTCAACCATTATTATTGCTCGTTCCAGTGCGATCCCAACAACAACCACAGGTTAGCGTCTTCTTGCAAGTCCCCATCTACGCAATGACCGCCCTTTCGGAAGTCCTCGCCTATGTCGCCGGTATGGAGTACGCATACACCAAAGCCCCTAAGTCCATGCGCAGCATCGTATCGTCTCTTTTCCTCCTCACCTGCACCATCGGTTCAATGCTGGGTATCACGCTTTCACCCGTCTCAAAAGACCCCAAGGTCCTCATAGAGTACGCCTCGTTGAGTATTGTCATGCTCCTCACAGCCGTCTTGTTCCTGCTCATCTTCAGCAAGTACAACAAGATAGAGGAGAAAATGAACATGCTTAATAGCGAAGAGGGGAACTCTATCTCTCCGAATGGGGTGGTTGAGCAGATACAGACAACTGAGAAGGCTTAGAAAGGCTTGCTAGGTACTAGAAATTGAGACAGGACCTCTAAAAGGTAGATGCATCGTGTAGTTTATATTGGGATGATCTTTAGTTCTCAATGGTCTACGCTGAGTGAACCTTGGTGCTAAAACATAAAGAGTTATCTTCAGAAAAAGTGCTTGTTGGCAGAAATAGAGGTGAAGGCGTCTCGAACTCTCAACGTCCTAAATTTTGGCTTTTTCATTACCTATGTCCTGCGCAAAAAAAAAAAAAAAAAAAAAAAAGACCCTGTTCCTTATAAGCAGCAGCATGAAATGACCTCTATCAATGGCTTCATCAGGCTGAGCCATCATATCAGCAGTGGGCCGCTAGGCCACTAGACACAATCTCCAGACTAAATTAAAAGGGGAATAGGCCCCTCTCTCCACTGATACTTAAGAGTGGAGTTGCGCATAAAGAGACTGCAACCTCCCACATACCTACCAGTACATACATGATACTTCATGCGGATGTCCTGGAAATGCCATCATTGGCTGAGCAAACTTTCAGCATCTATGAGCTTGCCGAGCATATGATTCTGCAGCTGAATAATCCTGTGGAAATCATTCGCGCCCAGCGCGTTTGCCGAAACTGGAGAGATGTTATCCAAACATCCCCGGCGCTCCAGGAGGCCTGTTGGTATCAATCCTCCAATACCAGGGATGCTCAAACGCGGCCAGTCTCCGGTGAACAAAAATGGAAACTGAATCCTGCTTTCAACCGAATAGGCGTCTCAATTTCCAAAGATACAGGAACAGATGGAGAGCCAATAGACGGGCTTCAAGAAAAGGGGGATTTTAGCTTGGAGGAAGGCATCTACGACAGACCTGGATCATGGACGACAATGCTGGCCACGCAGCCTCCCTGCCAGCGAATGATGGTCGAATGCTACGGCGACTATTCCGATGACGAGACAATGTAATAAGACCTCTGGCATTTGTTGCACACTCATAAGCTGATATATTGCTTAGGTTCTATCTACTTGTATCTATGACAGGCTGTCTCTTAATGGGCGACATCATGGCTGTTCTAGCAGAATGCCAGAATCGACAGCAATGCGGCTTAGATCGCTGGGGTGGAGTACTCCACGATACAGGCCGGTTAGTCCGATGGGAAGAGAGTCATTGGGATACCTATCACTGGGTAGCTCTTGACAACATGCCGGATAATGTTTCAATTAAAGTTGCAGTCGAGCTGCCTTGGGGAGCAGGGGGGTATCCTGCATTTTCTCTTCGGCGCCTCTACGGCAGCGAACACTTTCTGCATGAAATGATCCTGCATAAGATGATAACAGAGCTAGGGGAGGAATATCAGTGGGAATATGGTTTGATTGACCCTGTGTGCAAGAAAAAATATAAGGCAAACCTATTGGTTGTAAGGGAGCATCAGGAGGGATATCTGTCAGTTTGCAGCAATATCTTCCGCTTACTATCTGACATGAAATAACTAATAACATGATATATACACTTCACTGCCCTATTACTTAAGTAATTGAAGTTAGGTACAGCCATATACACATTCCCGTCTTCACCTAATGCATATTCTATAGCCTGATGTATTAATGACTGTCATCTTATAGCATGGTTTCTAAAAGATGATCACCCTGTGACACTCCATCCATTTATCCATCCATCTTTCTTTCTCCATCATCCTCCCCCCTCGTGTGGGCTCAACTTTTACTATCCCCTCTTTAATTCTCATTTATTGGGTTTATTCAGAATCAATTACTTAAATTATAAAGATAAGTAAGTAATATGAAAGATTATCATAAAAGCAGCAGGGTTTATAAGGCTATTTCCTGTTTAATTAACCTCATAAACTTAAAGGTGCATTGGGCTTCTAGGATATCTAACCCTTACTAGACATATAGATTCACCTTTAAAGACATTCCTAGTGACTCATATGTAAGGTAGCTATGAATTATTACCTACCTTCGATAATGATCTAGATTTCCTTTCCTAGAATAGACCTTGACAGCTCCACACTATCATTCCTAGGCCTTGTCCTGACACAAGGCCTGGTATGAAGAATGATCTGTAATTCATGGTTCTACCGCCATTACCCGAATGATATCTTCGCAGTATTGCAGAGCATCACGGCCATAACAATTCCTTCACCCAACCATCACCACCTGATCCAGGAAGGAACCGTACCCTCTGATGTAGACGGTCATGTGAGCCTTGCCAGAATTCGACCACGAAAGGCTCAACAGCATACAGCCTCCAATCAAGCTTTGGTAGTGAGCATGAACCTTGTGCCATCTGAGCTTCAACATCCGCCACACGTTGAAGAAGCACATCGCGACTCTCAAGTTTTTGACTCTGCTTGGATGCCACCGCACTCATCCTCGAGCCGAGAGGCCGCTCAGAGAAATCTTCTTGGCTCTCCTCGTCTGGTAACTGATTGGCCTTTCCTCGAATTCTAATCGACCGACCAACCTCCGGCCAATAAAATGTCAAGGCGACGTGTGCGTTCTGCTTGATCTGGAAAGCTTTGGGGCTGTCACCTCTCGCGGCAAAGTGCCATCCACGCTCATCGAGTTCTTTAAGGATGAGCACACGAGCGTCAGCCCATCCATGTTCATCAACTGTCGAGAGTGTCATCGAGTGCGCCTCTTTGACCCCGGCTTGAATTGCTTCGTCAAGCCACCCTATAAACGCCTGCTGAGGTGTATCCGGAAAATCATCAAAGTTTGTCTCTGGAAACGGGCCTCTCAGCACTTTGATATTGCGAAGTTTATTCCTAAGAGGCGGTATGTGGGTTGCCATCTGTCATTGTTATTGCTTGATGCGGTTGTAAGGGAATCGATGTAGTGACTTACTATGCTGGCTATTCGTAAAGATCGACTATAAGGTCCCCGTGGTTCCAGATTTGGTAGATGATTTCTACTAAGCCCTCGTTATTCGCAAGTTGTTGTATAGTATTTATATTGGCGACTAGGTAGTTAACAAACTAATGAGTCACACCGATCACACCGAACTTCGGTGACTGAAAACGAACTGAAATGAGATCATCGATGCTAAAAGAACAAAGCTTCGTATAGCCTTGGCTAATTATAGCCATAATTATTGTAGCTGTTATTGGTCGCTTTTTATGCTTCTTCAGCTGGCAGTATTTCTTTAGCTCTCGTCAGCAGACCAGTACAGAACCCGTGGATCTCACCCACATAATCTACGGGTGTCTACTCCGAAGAAAGACCATTACCTCCGAATCGATTGCTACCACACAACCCACAAACGGTCAAGCAACAGCACCCCGTCAACCTCCATGCAGCCTATTCAACCCCGCAAGCCGTGTATCCGCAGCCAGTAAGTCCGCCGGCGTCCCAACTTTCACTAGCGCTCCCCCGTCCAGGACTGCCACTCGATCATAGGCCCGGATATGCGTCATCTTATGCATCACCGCCAGAACGGTGCATTTCCGGAACGCTGAATCAATATTACTCTGCACGAGGGCCTCTGTCTCGCTATCCAGACTACGCAGCACGTTAGCGGAGATTCCATTATACAGAACCTTCATTTCACCCACCTGCAGGTCGCCTCATCCAGAACAAGGATACTACAGTGCCGTCGCTTGACAATTGCCCGCACAAAGCAGAGCAGCTGTTGCTGCCCCCCCGATAAGGCCAAGGCGTCCACGTCCGTATCCAGACCCCCTTGCGCCTGCACCAGTCCCCACAAACCTACCCGGTGCAACGCGCCCACGAGCTCTTCCTCGGACGCGGCCCCGGAGAACGGATCGAGATTGAACCGCACACTGGTGCCTTGCAAAAGAAATGGGTCCTGCGGGACCACGTTGAGGCGGCGGCGAATGCGTCAGCAGCGACGACCTCCTGGCCCTCAACTAAGATCCGGCCCTCGAGCACCTCCGCCATGCGAAATAGAGCCAGCAGCAGCGACGTCTTGCCGCTCCCTGACCGGCCGCAGATAGCAAGGTGCTCGTCCGGCTGGACTGAGAGGGTGATAGCTTTGAGAACTGCGTCGGCGGTGGAGAGGCTGGAACGCCTGTTCCAGGTATATTAGCGGGTTCCTTGTCATCACAAGGGGAGTCAATGGAGCGCATACCTGGAGGAACCTAGAGCCGTAAACCCCGCCACCACGCCCTTAAACTCCACAGCACCAGGCCGTGGCCACAGAGCTACCATCCCACCTGCAGTCTCGGGTTCCCGGCCTCCATCCTCAACCTCAGTTTCCGCCACGAAGCGCCGTACGCGCGTCACGGCGCCGATACTCGACTCCAGCCGGGTCCACGTGCGGATCAACCGGGTCAGCGTCTCGCCCAGGCCGGTGAGAATAACCAGTGAGACACCCACGCCGCCGGCGCGGATGTCCAGCTGCTGGCCCCGGGCCACCACGGTCCCAACAAGAACCACCACTAGGGCGGTCATCAGGATGTTGAGCACGAAGGTTAGCCAGTGTTGGATGCAGCTCTGCAAATAGGCTGGGCGCTGGGAATGGTCCGCCAGGCGGGCGGCGCGGCGCTGATAGACATGGGCCCAGCCGAAGGCCCGGATAGTGGTTCTCCCGGATTGGGACTTTGACTCAGTCGCGGTGAAATGGGTATATTTGTTACCCGACCCGCGATATCTGGGTTGGAGTCGGAGAAGCCCGACCCGTTGGGTCGGGCCGAGCCACGGAGGAACCTATACTACTAGATTAGGCTAGTATCGTATAAATTATAGCATTATACACCAATTTTATATATAGCATCCTGTATTTGTAATTACTAGTACTCTATCTCTTAGCAACCCATGGATGGGTCAACCCACATCGTATTGTCAGATCTAGGGATGGTGAATGTCAAATTGTCAAATGGTGGGCTTTGGTTAGTTCGGCCCCATAAAACTAGATGGGTTGCCTGAGGGTGAAAACTGACTCGACCCGGAAAAAAAAAATCAAGCCTAAAAATAAATAGGAGAATAGTTTTATTATCTGGGAGAGATATCATTAACAAACTGCATCTATTTCGCCTCCATTTTCTCAGTGGGGGTATCTGTAAACCCTGAGTCCCGTATTATATATGCTGACCCAGTCCCGTTCTTTATACTCAATGACTACCTCAAGCAATGGTGCTGTATAATGGAGAGTGAGCATCAAAAAGAAATACACATAAGAGGCCAAGAGCAAATGTCAGGACACATACAACAAATGCTAAGCTACAAATATATATAGAGAAGTTACCTTTATAAGGCAGCCTCATATCACATAAGCTCCCTCACAAAATATCAACATTGATTGCACGAAATCAAATAAGGACTATTAGCAGTATTCTACTAACCATTGACAAGCCTTCTTGGCAGTGCTTGTAGTGGAGAATGACGTGCTTACCTGACATACAGCTAATTGAGATCCCCAATTTTGACCATCCCGAGAGCCTGCATGGTGATCAGCGGAGTCCCCATTCGTGGATCACACTCGTACCAAAGTCTATCAAGGTTGATCACCTTGACGCGGAGTAGGTCTCCAAGAAGCGACGGAATGATAGCATGGTACTACCTATAGAGGGTTCTGTCATAGCCAGAAGGCTCTATATGAATGTTATAATCGATTAAATAATAACAATAATAACGAATAAGGTCGAACCTGTAATGACATGAAGCTTTCTTGAACCATCATTGAGACTCCTATATCAAGGCCCAGTAATGCAAGCCCTGGCTTATATGCAGGCGAGCACCTTGGCTTACATTGATATCCAGCATGTAGACAGTGCAAGCCCAGAATAAATAGAGAGGAACAGGAAGCGGGATGAATATTGAAGCGTTTTAAGCTTGCTCTTTAATTCTGAGATCCCAGCACACTTATATGCCTGTGGTTAACGAAAAATAACCCGAAATCCCTTCGACTCCAGACTCGGCAGCGGCACAATCAAATCGTGAGCGGGCTTGACATCCTTCTCACTCGTCTCATAAAGCTTGAAGTCTGGCCCCCCAGGACGAAAAAGCGTAGCGATAACGTGGTTGATTTCAGCGTACGCGAGACTAATTCAGCAAAGTCAGAGACAATTAAGCAGGTTAGCATGCTGGGCTAATAAAACCTACTTCATTCCCAGACATCGCCTTGACCCCCTCGAAAAAGGGACATAGTTGCGACTCATCTCCGGCGTAACGTTCGACAGCCATCGCTCGGGGAGGAATTCATCAGGGCGCGGAAATACGCTCGGATCGCGATGGGCATAGTATGCAGACATGCCGACGGGGACACCGGCTGGGATCGTCCACTGCCTGAACTGGAGGGGTTGTTTGGGGGAAACACGCGTACGGCGGTGCATGGTGCCGAAGCTGAGGCTGTAGTACACAACATCAGTTAGCGTGGTGCTTTATTTAGGCGTAGAGGAAATAGAAATACCGAAGACCCTCTTTGATCACCGCCTGTAGATACGTTGCTGTCTCTAATTCAGCCCAAGTTGGTTTCTTGGCCGGGTAGTTCGCCATAATGAGCTTCAGGTCTTCTTGGAGACGCTTTTTGATGGCTGGATTGACCACTATGTGGTAGCAAATGAAGCACAACGATCCAGCTGTGGTAATGGTGCCAGTGCCAATAAGGACCTGGGCTTCCTTAGACAGGAGATCATCTGTGAGTTCAGACGGCGGGAGATCGCTGTTCAGCAGATGTCGAAAAATGGTTGGGCGGGCATCCATCATCGAGGTGTCTTTGGATCCCTGGGCTGCTTTTTCACGCTTAGCGACTCGCAGATGGTCATCGCACATCTACCAATGTCAGCAGTGCGATACTCTGGGGCCTAGGCTTTCATTACCATCTTGAACTTATTAAAGGTCTGGGTTCCGGGGTCCAGCTTTGCCAGAATGCTCACAGGAATAAGCCGGACGACACTGCCCAGTTCAGAATTCACCCCTCAATTAGCGGGAATAACTTACTGAATCAACCAAGGCAACCCCATAAACAAAGGCAGCGTAGCAATCCCATTATGGAACATGTTATACCACCACGGTGAGAATTCCGGATCATCCACCAAAACATCAGGCGGGTCATCCATACACAGCCTGTTAATGACATCCCCTGAGTAAGCCGTGAAGGCATGGTCCAGTCTCACTACCTTTCCTGTTCTCTTGAAGCTTTCGAATCGGTTGACGATCAGTTTCTCGGTCAGCTCGCCAAGCATCGGCTCTAGCCTTGAGACACCAAGACGGGAAAAGTAAGGGTCGAGTGGCTTTCTTCTCTTGCGGTGGAGGTCATGTTCTATCGTCGCGATGTGAGAGCCCTTGAAGTCAACAATACCTTCGACGAAGGCCTCGTATCTGTCGGTGGGACGGACGGAGCCCGCAACGTAGAGTTCGTCATAGTATTCCGAGTCGCGGATGGAAAGCTCGAATGGATTGATCCTTACTATTGGTCCTATATACAAGAAGCCCTTAGCTTTGCTTCCTTTACAATTTGTGCAGTGAAATCAAAAAGTCATAGTACTTACCGTACTTGTCGTGCATCTTCTCAATCTCAAACAGATATTTGCCTTTGTGGACAAGATCATAGTACAGCTCGTACCAACTTGTTACTGCAGCAAGCTTGGGACCTGGAAATTTTGCTAGGGGAGACAAGAAAAGGCGATAAATAACTAGATTGAGTAGATAGAATGCTCCTGCGCTGATAACAGCGACGGCAGCACGCAAGCTGGCATCTATGGGAAAGTGCAAGCTGGCCTCCATTTAAGGCCTTGGTGAGACACTAGGTGAGAAGACGCCCAAATCTAGAGTGGTTTGAGGGGTCAACGGGGCTTCACAGAGATTACTTCGCGTGTTATAAGCTCTTCGACATGCTTCTGACATAACAAGGATAAGTGGGCGGATGGCCCAATCCGGTGATTCCCCATTAGGTAGGTGCCGCGACAGGTAACCCGACAGGTATTCCTCTGCCCTCTCTGCTCTCCTTGTCCTATCTGAGCGGCCGAAGGTTCTTCGTTCCATTTGACCTTATTTCTCTTGCGGCTTGTTGGGGCATGGCTCCCAGCTTACCTAACCACCCTTTCTGGGTCGGCCGGGTTTTCCCCTAAAAAGAACGTCCCCGAGAGTACGATCCTAAACCACGCGGCTACCCGATAGAAATGAAATCATATAAGAGAAGTGGATCGCTCCTAGAAACACTCGCTAATCCCTTCAACCCATGTAAATGTACATTATCTCCCCGCGACCTGACCCGTTCCGCATGCCTGCGTATAGAAATGGCCTGCAAGTACTCGACACTCATCGACTCCTCCCTGTACGACAGGGAAGGTCTTTGCCCCGGAATTGATCTCAGGAGACATGTCGCCGGTGAGCTTGAAGAGGTCGGTGCTTTCAGGGCCCAAGAAGACTGGCGCCGTTTGGTTGGTCCCCTTCCAAAGCCTTATGCGGGCCTCTTAGGACCCGACTTTAGCTTCATAACCGGCGCGGTGCCAGAGTGTCACCCAGATAGAATGGAGATCGTCGCTTATGCGCTGGAGTTTGGTTTCATGCATGACGGTATGTGCTGACTGTCTGGAGTTGCCAAACGAGGCTCATTCAAACAGATGTCATCGATACGGATGTCAACCATGCCTCATTGGATGAGGTGGGACATACCTTGGATCAAAGTCGAACTGGCAAAATCGAAGACAAGGGCTCCGATGGAAAGCGCCAAATGGTCACTCAAATCATCCGCGAAATGATGGCAATTGATCCAGAGAGAGCGATGACTGTAGCGAAGAGCTGGGCCTCCGGCGTCCGACATTCAAGCAGACGGAAGGAGGACACGAACTTTAAGGCACTTGAGCAGTATATACCCTACAGGGCCCTCGACGTCGGGTACATGCTCTGGCACGGCCTGGTCACCTTTGGCTGCGCAATTACAATTCCCAACGAAGAAGAAGAAGAGGCAAAGAGGCTCATCATACCTGCGTTAGTCCAAGCGTCGCTGCTGAACGACCTTTTCTCCTTCGAGAAGGAAAAGAACGACGCTAATGTCCAGAACGCTGTCTTGATTGTCATGAATGAGCATGGGTGTAGCGAAGAAGAAGCAAGAGATATCCTCAAGAAACGCATCCGCCTTGAATGTGCCAACTACCTCCGCAATGTCAAAGAGACCAATGCGCGGGCGGATGTCAGTGATGAGTTGAAGAGGTACATCAATGTCATGCAGTATACCCTTTCCGGCAACGCAGCCTGGAGTACGAATTGCCCGCGGTACAACGGACCAACCAAGTTTAATGAGTTGCAGTTGCTGAGAAGCGAGCACGGCCTGGCAAAATACCCGTCAAGGTGGTCACAGGAGAACAGAACCAGCGGCCTCGTTGAGGGTGATTGCCACGAATCCAAGCCAAACGAGCTCAAGAGGAAGAGGAATGGCGTCAGTGTAGATGACGAAATGAGGACGAATGGCACTAATGGCGCCAAGAAGCCAGCGCATGTCTCGCAACCAAGCACGGATTCGATTGTTCTAGAGGATATGGTGCAGTTGGCGCGTACTTGCGATTTACCGGACTTGAGTGATACAGTGCGTTAGATGTATTCCTGCGCTGACGCAGCTGTCACTGACGGTGATTCCAGGTTATTCTCCAACCATACCGGTACCTTACCTCCCTCCCCTCTAAGGGTTTCCGAGACCAAGCCATAGACTCCATCAATAAATGGCTGAAGGTGCCCCCGAAGTCGGTGAAGATGATCAAAGACGTCGTCAAGATGCTGCATAGTGCATCTCTCATGTGAGTCCTTGCCCTCTTTCTTTTATCGCGCTTTTCTAGG